GGCTTTCCAAAACAGCCGAGAGTACAACCGATGCTGCTCCGGTCGGCCGAACGCGGTAGCGACGAACGCTTCTTTGAAGCTGGAAGCATTCCTGTACGAAATCCTGCTTTTGCGATAGTAAATTATCCTGGGTGATCTTGGCGTGCGCTTGGCCTTTCAACCCTCTCAATCGAGCAACGATGCGTTCTGCTGGCGAAGACCACAACGTCCTCGGGACTGTTGTCAACTCTGCACTTATCGATTGGCGGACGACGCAGCTCATCTCTTCGCCAAACTGCACTTGTTGTTGTTACAGCAGGCACTGCTTCCTGTCGGCGTCTTTCCTTCGCTCTCAGCTGCGACGTCTCACTCTGGTTGCGAGCATTCGTCGGCAACTTCTGCGCGCTCACTACGACGCTATTTTTCGACGCCCACGCCCTTTCACCCTGCTGAAGCAGCGGATCGCCTTGCATGGGTCGCCCTCAGTCGCATTGATCGGTGTCGCCCCCTTTGTTGGTCGTCATTTGGACACGGCGACTGCGTCGTCTCGGTGACTCCTCAGCCGGCGACGAGCCAGCACAGCCGCTCGCGAAACGCGAGGTTCTTCCTGAATGTCGAGGGTGTAGATTCTGTCGATTGCGTGTGGAGAGGACTGGCGCCTGTCTACATCTCGGCAATCAGTGCCTGCAGCTGATCCTCCTTCATGATGCCAAACTGTCCGGACGGGCGACCGTCCTTGGCAACCCTAGGTGTGACTGTCGCGAGCTGGACGTTGTTCTGGTCGAGCTTCTCCTCCATCACCTGCTTGAGTACGCGGAGGCACAGGATCTCGGCGTCCTTCAATGACATGTCCTACAGAAAGAATCGTTGTCAAGGTCAGTCGTTTGCTAGCGCGAGACGATCCGAGGCGGTCCTGGTTGCAGCATCAACGGGGTCTTACCTTGTTGTACTTGTCTTGCAGCTCGGTCTGCGCACCTTCGGAGCCGCTGCCGATCGCCTTTGCATCGTACCTCACAAAGGTTCCGGAGGGATCCGCGTGGTAGCTGGTGCGAGCAAGAAAGCCGGTGTGGAAGACGAAACGAGACAATGATGAGCTTCTGTGCCTCGGTGCGCGCTGTCAAGAGTCTGCTGGAATCTGCACTTACAGTTGTGGGCCCTTCTCGTCGATGCCGGCAATGAGGAGCGCGACGCCGAAAGGTCTTGACATCATGGCTTCGTCGCCCGCCGTCGACTCTCCGAAGCGGAGGGCGAGATCGCAGACGGCCTGCGTGACGGACTCGACCTTGATCTCCTCGTCGTATGTGAAGGCGTGGTTCTGGGATGTGACGCGTGCGTGCTCGATCATGGTCCTGGCGTCGGCGGTGAGACCGCTCATGGCGGCGCCGAGATGCTGGTCGACCTCCATGATCTTTTCGATGGACGAAGACTCGAGCAGCTTGGACTGCACGCGCTTCTCGACACCGAGGACGACGCCTTCCTTGGTGGCGATGCCGACGGTCGCCGAGCCCAGCTTGATGGCCTCGAGCGCATACTCGACCTGGAAAAGACGGCCCTCGGGCGAGAAGGTGTTGACACCGCGGTCTACGGGGACAGGCCAAGTCGAAGCGGAGCGCATGGATCAGGTCAGTACGTGTTCCAAGGCAACGCCGAGGCAGATGCAGCGAGCGACTGGCGTTTCGAACTCACCATACTCGGACCTTGTCAAGAACATGGCAACGGGCGACGGGCTGGCGCTGTGTGGAAGACGGCTGAGCGGGTCTGATGATGCAAGCGAGTGGAGGTCGGGGTCCGTCGGTCTTGGCTGTGGTGGCTGAAGACGCGCAAGTTGCGTAGACGCTGTGGAAAGGAGTCCAGCGATGCGACGAAAAGGGCGATGGCGGACCGAGAACGATGGTGAAAGGCAAGGATGAGCGGAGGTGGTGTGTGCGAAGGATGCACGGATGCGAATCTCGCCGTGTGGAGCTGCGCGAGGCCGAGTCGAGTGTTGCGGTGGCCCCGACACGCGTTTCTAACACTGACCTAGGCGGAAAATGACGAATTGCTCCTACTGGAGGCCGCGGCGAAAATGCCCGATCACTCCCTCCACACCCTGCCTTCCCAGGGTCCAGCCGAGCCCACCTCGAGCCGCATGGCGTTCCGCATGATCTTCATGAAGCGCACAATGCGAAGCGCAAACTGACACTTGCTTATAACACGCCGGCATTCCGTTCGTGCGTCAAAGCGTTGGCTCACGCAGCTCTCACAGACATGCACCCCGAACGGTAGCGATGCGGTAGGGGAAAACAGAATTGTCCAGAGAATGCAATGCAAAGAGAGACAGAAACGATCCTGAGGGAACGGGTTGGTGGTATGGAGGCAAATGATCACGATGAAGCGGAACGAGAGAGGTGGCCGGCGCATCCGCGCGAGGCGCTGGGAGCTCTACCACTTGCGATCGACGAGCATCCTGCGCGACTCGGTGCTGAGGTAGCTCTGCGAGTCCCAGGACATGTCGACGTCCTTGACGTGGTCTGCGGTAAAGATGATGGGGAGCGCGGTGAAGACGATAAAGAGGAGGCCGAGCGAGCCTGCCAGCAGGCCGATGGCCACCTTTTCGTGCGCGGGCGTGGCGAAGGCCTTGGCACCCTTGGGGCGCGTGCTGTTCTTCTTGTCGCCTGGGTTGGTGGTGTTGGCGACGTCGGCGTTGCGGACCATGAGGCCGTCGTAGAAGAGGCGCTGGAGCGACATGTTGGTCGAGTACATGGCGTAGTCCTGATGCGAGACGTTGGCAATGTAGTCGAGCGTGTGCCTGGGCGGGAACTTGCCGTTGAAATAGGAGGAGGAGGCGTTCTGGTACTGGAGGACGAACTGGGAGCCTCGGTCCAAGTGGTTGCCTCCCTGCCATAGTGCTTGGCAGTGGGTGTCACCTGCGCCGATGTCGAGCAGAGCGAGTGCATACGAGACTTGGCGGTTGAGGAATCGATCGATGACGTAGGTCTTGTTGGCGATCACATCCTTGCGAGCGTAGGAGGTGAGCTTTGTCTGGTTGCCGTTGAGGCCGTAGGGCCAGGTGTCGTACTCGTTGCCGGCAGCGCAGGAAGCGTTGGAGTAGGGTCGCGCATCGGTGAGCCATGCCCAGGAACCGGGGTTGCCGATCCAGAAGCGCACGTTGTTGTCGTAGACCTTGGTCTTTTTCATGAGCGCATAGCGCTGCGTTGCCTGACCGCCCATGGAGTGGCCGGCGACGACGATCTGGTTGAGGTTGGGGTAGGAGGTCCTGTTGAAGAGATCGTCGATGATCTGATCCACGGCGGCGTAGCTGGTGACTGCATGCTTCATGGGAGGATTTCGGGAAGGAGCGCCGCGCTGCCAGCTGGAGCCGTGGAAGACGATTTCGTTGGGACGTGCAGCGCCGGCTTGGAGGTCGAGCTGGTTGAGCATGGCGGGAGCGATGATGACAAACGAGTCGTTTGTGACGCCCTGCTGGTTGAAGTTGGTGACGGCGACGTTTCTCGCATTGAGCATGAGGTTGGCGTACTTCCAGATGTCGCGCGGCTTTCCTGGCCAGACGACGATGGCGCGGAGCACCTTTGTCGGATCTGCGACGGTGGAGATGTAGAAGGGCATGACGCCGGATTCGTTTTTGAACACGTTGTGGACGGAGAAGGTGCGATTGAGGGTGAAGCCGGGCGTGTCTGGAAGCTCCTGCCAGCCGTTCTCATCGGAACCGGTTGTGTCTGCGTTCGGGATGAAGGGTACGTTCTGATTCCACGCGAAGTTTGAGTACCCATCGCCCTGCAAGAGGTTGCCGGTGGTGTCTGTGCCGCCTGCGGCGTTGTTGGCGACGTTGGGAAGGGCGTCGGCGGCCTGTGCGGCTGCGAGGGGGTCGACAGCCGATTGATCGCGAATGGAGTTCTGGGTCTCTTGGGACTGTCTTGGGAAGAGGCGGTGGTTGAGCGAGTCGAGCAGGCCGTCGGTGAAGAGGGGTAGATTGTCGTTCAGGGATGGGTCGCGAGCGTGGAGGTCGACATCGATGCGGTTGAGGCGCGGTTTGGAGCCGGATGCCTGCTGAGCGAGCGCGACGAGGGCGAGCGATGCGAGCGCACCCGCCTTGAGCTTGGCTGTGATGGAAGGCATTGCGTGACGGCGATCAGGGAAGCGCGACGAGAAGGAGGCGAGGAGGTTGTTGCGATCCAGAGATGGTGTCGAGGATGATGCCAAAACAAGCAGACGGTCGGCGATGAATGATCGCGAATCGAGGCCAAGACGCTGCTGGATGCATGCAACGACGGCGAGGAGGAGGATGAGGATGAGGCTGAGGAGGTGGAGAGGAGGAGTATGGGGAGCGTGCCCAACTGAGACAATCGCAGCAGGAAATGGCAGGACACTGCGAACCAAGTTGAGCTCGTGCCGAATGCTTGTTGCTGCCTGTGCCGTTGCAGGGGCTACTACTGGTCCGGCTCTGGCTCTGGCCGAGGTGCATGTCGAGTTGGCAAGGCGAGCGAGGCGGGCATGTGTTGGCGATGCTGCCCCTCCAGGCAGGCACACGCGCTGTCTCCGTTTCGGATCGGAGGCACGCCGTCGAGGAGGCATACATCCATCATGCAAGTCGTCGCATGCCGCCTCTGCAGCCGGCCGGCCTGTCACGCGTGGTGGCGCTGCAGCGAAATTTTTGGAAAATCCACCAAAAATGCGAAATTTCGCCGTGACAAGTCGCTCCGCCCGAGGCCGAGCACGCGGTCGTTGGCAGCGGCGACCTGCTCGAGTTGGAAATTTGGAGGATGTTACATCGACTCGATCGTGACACCGTCGAAAATCCGCCAAAGTTGAAGCGAGAGCTGAGCGGCGCTGAGCGCAGCGCGCGGCGCGCCGTGCAAAGTGGAGGAAATTAGGCTCGCCACGGCTTCCTGCTGAGGACGGTCACCAGCTCATCGCTCCTTCCCACCAGACCCTCTTCGACCACAGACACATCCTTCCCACGCCCACCTTCTCCTTCCCGAACCGACATTCATCTCTCCGCTCATTGCTCCGACCAGCAAGTGCTCCAAGTTCCTCACACTCTGCATGCGCAGCCACTGAAACTCATCGCCCACTCGTTTTATACTCTGCGCCGGTGGCTGGGCACCTGGCTACCGATAACTTCCTTGCGCACCCATCCACTCCAATTCACCAGCTAGCCACTCCAATTCACCAGCTAGCCACGATGCCCACCTCCGCATCAGCCGTGGAGCCCGCCCTTGGCGGCGGCCCAACAAGGACCCTCGGCGTCACTCCGCCCATCGCCACAAACGGGCCCACCCCAAGAGAGGTCGAAGTCACACATACCCTCGTCGCAGAACTAGAGAGGCAGCGTGTATTCGAGAGCGATGAAGAGAGCAAAGTTCGGTGAGTTGTTTTCTCCTCTCGCACAGGCCGTCTCGAAGCATGCCCACGACGACACTCCGCTGACGCTTTCTGCCTCTCCTCACCATGTCCCTCTAGTGAGGTCATCTTGGGCAAGCTCGATGCCATGGTCAAGGACTTCGTATACCGCGTCTCAATATCACACGGCATGTCCGAATCACTCGCTCGTGCGGCAGGCGGCAAAATCTTCACCTTCGGCTCCTACCGTCTCGGCGTACACGGACCCGGCTCTGATATTGACACTCTCTGCGTCGTACCCAAGCACGTTCAGCGCGAAGACTTCTTCTCCGTATTCGAGGGCATGCTCAAGGAGCGCGAAGAAGTCACAGAGGTCGCAGGCGTCCCCACCGCACACGTGCCCCTCATCGCTTCCAAATTCATGGGCGTCGATATCGATTTCACCTTTGCTCGCTTGGCATTACCCAGGGTCGAGGACAGCCTCTCTCTCGAGGACGACAACCTCCTGCGCAGCTTGGACGAGCGCGACGTACGCAGTCTCGGAGGTTCCCGAGTCACAGATGGCATCCTTCGCCTCGTGCCCAACATCCACGTCTTCCGCATGGCCCTGCGCTGCATCAAGCTCTGGGCACAGCGTCGTGCCATCTACTCCAACGTCATGGGCTTCCTCGGCGGTGTCGCTTGGGCCATGCTCACCGCGCGCATCTGCCAGCTCTATCCAAACGAGGCTGCCGGCGCCATCGTCTCCCGCTTCTTCATCATCTTCTACCAGTGGAAGTGGCCCCAGCCCGTCCTCCTCACCCAGATCGAGGACGGCCCGCTCTCCGTCCGCGTGTGGAACCCAAAGCTCTACCCCTCGGACCGCCTGCATCGCATGCCCATCATCACCCCCGCATATCCCGGCATGTGCGCCACCCACAACGTCTCCCAGTCCACACAGATGGTCATGACCTCCGAATTCAAGCGAGCCGCCGAGGTCGTCGATCGCGTCATCATCGGCAAGACAGACTGGAGCGAGCTTTTCGCAAAGCACGACTTCTACTTCAAGTACAAGTACTACCTCCAGGTAATCGCCTCTTCCGGCTCCGCCGACCTCCAGCTAAAATGGCACGGCACCGTCGAGTCCAAGATCCGTCAGCTCGTCATGAAGCTCGAGCTGGTGCCCACCATCACCTGCGCGCATCCCTTCATCAAAGGTTTCGACCAAGTCTCCGAATGCCACAATGACAACGAGGTGCGCCTGGTTGCCACAGGCGACATTCCCGACGAAGTGGCTCAGCGCACCCAGAAGGTCGACGCCCTGCCCGAGACCGAGGAAGCCAAGCAGGCAGCCGAAGCAGAGGCAGCCAAGGCCACCCAAGGCAAAGAGGGCCATCGCATGATCTACACCACCACCTTCTACATCGGCCTCAGCATCGAACCCAAGCTTGCTGGCGAGGGCCACCGCAAGCTCGACATCAGCTATCCCACCGCCGAATTCACCAGCAAGGTCAAACAATGGGAGCAGTACGACGAAGCGTCCATGGGTATCGTCGTGCGCCACATCAAGTGGACCCAGTTGCCCGCCTACGTGTTTGAGGGCGGCGAGAACCGGGTCGCCGCCGCAGCCGCCAGCAGGGTCAACGGCAAGCGCGCAAAGTCGGGCAAGAAGAAGAACGGCGCTGCCGACGCGGCTGCAGACGACGCCTCGAACCAGGCCAACGGCGCCTCTCACGCCGCAGAGACTGTCACCGCCGTCGACAACGGAGACACCGAGATGGCCTCTCCCACCAAGAAGCAGCGCACCGTGCCCGTACCAGGCTCGCTTGTTGCCGCCGCTGCCGACACGGCGGCTCCGACGTCGACGCCTACCCTACCGCTCCAGCCGGCCACAGCCTCCAAGGAGCTCGAAAACTTCCAGCTGGCCACGGGCAATCAGCCCATTGCAGCTTCCACCAACGCGCCCGCAAATCAGTGAACGGCCTAGAGCCGTCCAGCTCCTTGGTCAGAATCAGTACGAGGTATTCCCTCCCATAACCTCATCGAGTCCTCGTTTCCCGGTCCGAAAGCAACCTCTTTGTACTTTAAACAAACTCCAGATCTCAAAACATACCTCGCGCAGCTTTACCATTTCCAGCCTCGCCATGACAACCGCGTGAGAAACCGTCAAAGCAGAGCATTCCGAATGACCGGGATCGACACACTCAGTCACGCCCAGGCACACACAAAGACGCAGACAGGGTCTGGGAGCGAACAAATGTGTTTTTAGGGGGGCGTAAGGCGTCTGGATGCTACGCTGCATGCGAGGACATACCGAGACAGTGGTACTACAAACTACATCCGAAGAGCTGGATCAAAGCGCAGCTCGTCGGAGAATGATGAGATGTGGCCCAAGTCACAAATTTTGGGGGGTGGGTCGGAATCACGCGAACGCGAGACCGGGGATGATACGGATGCATGTTCGAGGCACGGAGATATGCAGAGACAGAAGCCTCAAACGATGCGGGTGCGGGTGCGGAGGATGGTGGGTTGGAAGGGTGAAATGCGAGAATTTAGGCCTTGGTGGCACGGGCGGCGGTGATGCGCTTCTGGGCGAGCTGGCGCTTGTTGAGGCGCACAGTCAGGTCAGACGAGGCAGCCTTGGGGACCTGGGCGGCGGGCTCGGCGAGGAGGATCTCGGCGTGGATGGGGTGGCCCTCGTAAGGGTTGATGCGGCCGTGAGCACGGTACGTGCGGCGGCGCGTCTTGGGAGCTTGCTGGATGACAATGTTGCGGATGATGAGCTCCTCGGTGTCAAGGCCCTTGGCCTCGGCGTTGGACTCGGCGTTCTTGAGCAGAGCAAGGAGGAACTTGACCGACTTGACGGGCCATCGACCTGTGAGGGTGTAGGGTGTACGAATAGCGAGAGAGGTCAGCGATCAATTCTTTGCAGAATGGCAAATATGGCAGTGGCACTGGAGGTGCGCGGCACAAGTTTCTTCCCATCCGTCCTATCCTTCTGGAATGCGGTCGTTCGCACTCTTCGCCTCCACCTCCAATGACGACTGTCCGCCATCTCTCTACAGTCCCGGTCCGGAGCGATCGAGTTTGAATCCTCGGTGCGGACTGCGATCGCGATCCCTGCGTGCTGATGCTGCGGCCTCCCAGATGTCGCACTGCCTTCGACTTGAATGCTACTTACCCTGGGTGGTCTTGAACTCCTTAGCCTGCTGGGTGCGGCCGACACCGCCGTTGAAGCGGCGGAAGGGGATGCACTGCTTCTTCTCGACGACGTTGCCGAGGTAGGCGTAAGCCTTCTGGAGCTTCAGGCCGTTGACGGCGGCGGCGGTCTCGCGGGTGTTCTTGAAGTGAACACGGAGGTACTCGCCGCGCGACTTGGCGGTCTTCTCCACGAGCTTGGAGTCGTCGAAAGCGTATCGGACCTATCAGGGTTGGAACGAGCGGCAATGGTGTGAAAGGGCGAGATGGTTAGAATACGAACTCTGAATGGATGTGTGCTGGTGACGAAACGCAGGACGAGCTGGCAGGCGTGCAGGGAGTCGAAAGTATGCCGCGGTGGCTCCATGCAGGCGTGGCAAGGAACGTGGGTGCAAGGTGTGTCGATAAAGGTCGTGATGCCAAATGCATGATTGTTGGACGAGATCTTGCCTGGACAAAAGCTATAGCGTAACCAGGTGCTCCGACTGCGCGAAGGAAAAGGAGTGTCGATGCAAAAGGGCGACAGACAATGCTGCTGGAACGATCTGCCGGCGCGAGACGAAGGGTCGAGGATCATCGATAGTGTGGTCGTATGTACGACTGGTACTAACCCGCACGATGCCGAGTTGAGTCGTCCATGACTATGGCTACGAGAACGCGAGAGTGCTCCATGCCAGTCGCTACGGTGCAACGCTCCGATGCATTATGTCCTCCACCACCGATATGACGTGACTGAGCCGAGGTACGGGAGGATTCCGGATGGCGTCTAAGTCTGTCGACCATAGACGGTGCATCGCAATGACGCTTGCATGATTGCCATGCTGGTAAAGCCGGGAGAGCGATTCTGATGCGAATTGAAGGTGTGATGTCTGCGGATGCCATGCCAATGCGAATGCCGGTACGAAGGGTGCTAATGCTGGTCGCTGCTTATCGGTGGTGGTGCTGGTGTCGGCGGCACGTGCGCTTCCAAACATGCTGTGGCTCGTCCTGGGATGTTTGTCGATATGATACGTACCATCTTGAATAATGTGTGGGGGGTGAGCCTTGAGGATGATGGAAGGATGGCGAGCAAAGGTTGCAACTCAATCTCGATGGCGGTGGTGGCTGCGCGCCCGACAAGCTTCGCTCGACCCTCTGCAGCCCTGCTGGCCGCACACTCGCCCCTCTGCGCAAGCCAGCACAGCCAGAGAGCCGCCCTCAGGCCTGTTTTGCTGCTCTCTCTGTGCCGTCTTCTCGTTGGGTCGCCAAAGGCGTTCTCGGAGCCGTGAATTGCAAGTCGCCCGCCTGGCTCAAGCTACGCCCGTTTCGAACTTCAGAGTTTTCCGGCTAGCGACGCACTCCAGATCACGTGAGCTGACCTCAAAACTGTAAAAATTCGTCGACCCCCCATCGCAAGGCGGAATCTCGCCCCGATTCGGAAGATTTGCGTGATTTTCTTCGATCGATGTTGCGCTCGGTCTAACATCTTGATTTTTCCACATCCTCCTATGAACCGTCCCGGTCCCTGGCGCTGTTGAACACATGCATGCTGTCCAGCCTGAGGCAAGCATGCTCGAAGTGCGGAATACTGGAACCATCAGAAAGTGACGTCGCCGCGGCTCCATCGGATCTGAAGTGATGTCCTTTGTGCCGTCGTTTGCGGCTTCTGATATCGTAGCTACGAGCACCGTGAAGTTCTTGGGCTGAACGTCTTCCGGTGCTGCCTGCGTTGCCGTGCCGAGCTCCGCCTGCGTCCTGGTCTTCGGCGCTGGGGCCCTGCATCGAGACCGTGCAGGTCCATGCACGCCTACTCCCTTGCATATCTTTATCTTACCTTTGCGCAGCCTTGGATGTCATGCAGGCACCGTGGCCGACATGCGCCGTTCTTCAAGATGCTAATAAATGCGTGCTTCACTCGAGGTCGTCCCCGTCACTACACAGGGACGGTTACACATGCAGAATTGGGAAGGTGCTTCTACTCACGCATGTAAGCCCGCGGCCTGCACATTGACGGCCTCAGACCAACGAAGCTGCTTATCCTCGCCAGACGCTTTCTCAAGCACGCCGAGCATCTAATCAGGCGTCGCAAAGGGTCTGCACGATGCTTTCTGGTCACACACGCGGCATGTAAATGTGGTATACTCTAGACATTATATAATAATACTAAGCTGATCGTGTCAGGGTCGGTAGTAATGTGATTGCTGGGGTGCACGTGGGAGTGATGGCTTGGCCAGGTGCGTCTGACTCTGATCCCATCCATATCGCTCGTTGGTCGATGCAACGAAGCTCGAGTTCAAGGCAACTCTGCTCTCACCCCAGCCGTCGTTGTATGTGTTCAAGGATCGCGACGCGCGCTTGGGTGGAGCCGCGGCTGTGGTCTTAGGCAAGCGCATGGAGCTGGATGGCGACGAGGACTGAAGCAGCTCTGCCTTCTCCTTCATCTCCCGGGAGCGCTTCTTGCGTCGCGAGTACGAGCAGACCCAGAAGAGTGCCGAGACGACGGCGACGGATCCGATGATGCAGAAGACGATGACCAAGGATGTCTGCGTGCGCGTGAGTCCGGACGTGGCTTTCGACGCTTTGTCGCCCGCACTCTGTCCAAGGTTGGAGATCTGATCCGTCACTCCAGAGAAAGCAGCTGGATTGACCTGACGGCGGTCCTGTCGAACCATCCTGACCATTCGAGGCGCTTGCATATCGATGGGTGCTGGTGCGAATGCACGAAGTTGGCTTCAGTGTAGCGCGTGTAGGAGCCGTTCCGATTGACCGGCAATCTAAGTCTCGATAGTAGTTCCACAGCTGCGGTGGAGTTAGAACGAGTGTGCGACGAAATGTCGTTCGAAGCGTGGGAAGCACTGAATCGCAACAAAGTCAGTTGCAGAAGATACGAGATGAACGATAGGACGAGTTGGCAGGATGCTGAGGAAAGGTAAAGAGCTGGACCGGCCAGGGCACAATTGAGATGGAGACGGTGGTGGGGAGAAACAACGTTGTCTCAAGGTAGCGGGGCAGGCATCATGGCGGCGGGGTCGTCGTGTGGTGGGCGAGCTCACCGTCGCAGAGCGAGGTATGCGCAAAGCTGCTAGTGGGCTCGGCAAGTCGCGAGTTTGGACGAGGTCCAAGCGAGCGTTCGGCGTAGAGTACGAGCGTGTCGGGCGCGGCTGAAAGAAGGCGCCCACGTCTCACGCCGCCGTTGCCTAGTCGCCGCTGCAACTCGCGCGAGCCAGGCTCGCTTAGGGTCTCGAGACGGCCATGGACAAACCAGTCGGCGCCGCGCCTCCGACTCACCGAGCGAAGGCACCATAGAGCCACACCTCGGCATTGACAGTCGATCATCTCGATTCAAATCAAAGCTGGCGAGAGCATGAGGGGCTTGGCCACCGTATGCGCGCATGACAACGGGTTTGTGAGGTGGGGATCTGCGTTGCATGCTGGCATGCAAGAGGCGCAGGCTAGCCTACAGGTGTGGAAGCCTGCCAGGCAGCCGCAGCGACGCGCATTTCTTTATTTGGCAACGGCCGTCGAAGCGAGCAGGAATGGCTCCGCGCGGCGTCTTGAGCCGCAGCACCGCTGCACAGTGATGCTGGGCATGCAAAGTCCCTGCGCTTTGGCGTGAACAAGGGTTTAGTCGCCGAGTCCGTATCGGGATTGAATCGGGCTAGAATCCAGATACGCCCCCGCATCCTTCCTTTGGGATATGAGGGCGATCCTTTCGTGTGCAGTCACACTCAATTCTTCGATTGGGATGCGCATCGACGGCACCATGGGCAACGAGCGGCAACAAGACTCGACACTCGGAGCCCAAGGGCGATTGATGGTTGCGACAAGGCGGTGATTGTCTTCCAAGTCGCAGCTGCGAATGCTCAAAAATCAAGCTCAGATATTGAGGTCACAAAAAACACGCCGCCCCAAATGCTTGCGAAGCGCTCTGCCAGAGAAGGTGTCCGTCGGTGTCGTTTTGCATACACCTCAACGGCTTTGCAGAAGATGAGCAATATCCTGAGCTCGACCGAGTATCAACACCAGTCTTCCTTTGCGGCCCGTGTTCTTATGATACTAGAACTGGACCGCACGAAACCGCCCCGGATCACGCCATCTGGCCGAAGATGTCGAGGGAGAAACACCGTCTGCTGCAAGGGCACCGATGGTCGTGGACAAGAGGGACGAGACCAAGGTGTTTTTTCACAGTTTCGAGCCAGCTGCGCACGACAAATTCGGGTGGGCCGAGGTCATATGACCTTCGCTCTGCGCCAAATTCGGGTGGTGGTGGAAAAAAAACTAATGTGGGGCTGTCACTTCCCCACACCGAGCTGCCTTTCTTCCCGAACTGGAAGATTTCGACACTGAGACTTTCGGTTGTCCACTTCATGGCCTCGTCCTCGTCTTTCAATGGATCGCCTTCGGTCGAAACCAGCGAGACACCTTCGGCTCTGCCACAGCGACTGCCAGTGAATGCTCGCCTTGTCTGGGTCAGCCGCAAGCTGAGTCGGCGCCCTCTTTGCCACGACGACTGCCCATCTCGCTGCAGAGGTCAGGAACGGAGGATCGACGAGCCTCGGAGCCTGCCGCGTGCTTGCCGCTTGGCACTCTGGTCTGCATTTGACCGTCCCGAGGCGTAATTCTCCGAGGGCATCGACGTGCCGGTCGAGGCATCATGCAGACGGCGAGTGCATGAGCATCTCGGTCAGGCGTCTTTGCGAATCTTTGCAAGACGGGTCACAGGGTTTGACTGCTGAGTGATGAGCTGAAACCACCAAGATCGTGCTAGCATGCTCCAGCATGTCATACAGCCCATACAGCCCCTCGCGCTGCGTCTGGTATCTAGGGCGTGCGGGAACGGGATGTGATTCGTCGATCCTTTCGAATTTTGGTTTTGCGTGTGTACCTTTTCGTGCGCCGCTGCCCGTTGCTCTGCGGCTCTGCTGCTGCCACTGGGGCGGGTTCTCGTAACCCCACACGCCGCTAAGTTGACTTATCGTCACAAGACCGCATCATGCCATCCCGATCGTGAACGGCGCCTAACCCTAACCCTGCAGAACGCCAAAAGCGTCAGCTTTGCAGATAACATGCTTGCATTGCGAATGACTCGATGGCGAACGTTGGCTTCCGCAGGGCGTCCCTTCTGTGTTCAATCACTCGAATGACGAAAAGCACGGCGGTGTCGCATCATTGGTTGGTGAGATAGACAAGCACATGACGATGCCTAGGATGAGTAGCAAGTTTTCGGGCTTCTGCTCCCTGATTCGTGCTCGTTCTGACCTAGTAGACGCAACCCGGGCTTGGCAAATCGCGCAGCCAGCCGGGATGACCTGCACCGACATGGCATGTTGTGCTCCCCTAACTCCACTTACGCTGTACCCCGCACATTGTTCGACGCCGGAAAGGGGTGTGTTCCTATCGGGCCCAGAAGCATCGGGAGGGATGTCCACCGAACCCTTTTTCGCATTTAACGGACACCCGCACCAACACGCGCCGTGCCTTTCGCAAAGGCGAGCCGAGCTGGCCACGAGGGCCAAGTCAACACCCTGGCAAAAGGGCAGCGCGATACGTGGAACGGTCACCGCGCCTTTGGTCGCCAGAAAGACCAAAGGGCTGCGGGTTTTGCACCACCAGCTTGTAGGCAGCGTAAGGCGCCCGAGGCATAAGTTAAGGGGCTCCGAGAGCAAACGGCAGCCAGCGTGCTGTGCGTTGCGTCGAGTGGGGTGAAATTCGACGAGCTGTAGGGTCTCGTGGCCATTTTAGCCAAACAAGTGCGTCGCGCTTGGCTCCGAGCCATTCGAGACTCGCCCCAGCCTGGGTCTCGGCATCGACACAGCCCACACCTCCAGTTCACTCTAGCTTGCCTGCGTGCCCCACAGCGACTGCAACTGCGCCGGCTTGGCTAGCGGCCTGAGCCCCACTGGATTGCGCCGCGTCTCGCCGCACACCATTCGCCATGGCTTGGTCCGCCTGCTTGACCTGGCATTGCGGATGGCGGGCTCGGGCTTCTTGACCGGATCCTCGAGCCGTGCAGAGTGGCATGAGCACGTCTTCACCAGCCTCGATCGGCTTTGAGAGTTCGGTTGGCGACGCCGGGCACCCGAGCCCAGTCAGGCCGGGAAGCTGTCCGGGTAGGATTTTGGGCGGGCGCGGAGGGGCGTGGTGCGGTGGAGCCATGCGTGGCGCCGAGTCAGGAGGTACGCGTTTTTCGTCATAAAAATTAATTTAATAAAAGATAAGACACAACGAAAAAACAGACAAGCACTGGAGGCGCTGGCATGCGCTCTCGAGTTTTCGCTCCAGGCAGACAAGCCACGGGCCGTGGAAAAATTGAGGCGAAAAATCGGGGGTGGAGGGCACAGGGGGCGCGCGGCAGGCCAAAGGAGGTGTTGAACTCAATTGACAGAGGGCGAGCCGCCGTGTCAGATGATGCCGCTTGCTGCAGGTGCTGCTCCACTACGGCCAACCGTTGGGCTCGGAATCTGTTGGTCTCGAGCGCTTTGTACGCGGCGTCAGCTGGTCAGCTTGGCCGGGGCTGGCGCCTTGACCCTGGCTCTGGAGCGAGAGCGAGACTCGGGTGGAGCTTAAGCTCGAGTTTTGGCCGACGCCTTGGCCGCAACACCCGGCACGACGAGTGCGCCAGAAGCGGTAGGATGACCAGCCCGGCACTTACTCCTCTTTGCTCGCGCAGCTGGTCCACACGGAGCACTGCTTTGTTGCTCTCCACGCTGGCCCCACCCTCCCACCACCCCGCAAGCCAGCCGGCTGGCCATCTATATAACCATCGGCTCTTCCGAGCGGTGCCACTGCATCTGCCTTGATCCCATCATCCTCCGTCTCTTCTCTACGCTCTAGAGCTCTCACCCTCCCATCGGTCCCTCCGACGATCAAGTGCTGATCTCGTTTTGACCGCCATTGCGTGAGATCACCTCCTCGCGAGGCAAGCTTCTTTCCCCCCCTTTCTTCTGCTCATCCACCATGGCTCCATCGGTAGACCAGGCTTCGGCTGCTCCGGCAGCCAACTCGCCGTCGTCGCTCGACGATGTCTCCAAGGTCAAGTCGGCGCTGCTCAGCGCGGCCCACTCGACGCCCAGGAGCGGCTCCCACACGCCCATTGACCACATCATCGCAAACACGGCCGGATACACCGACACTGTCTTTGAGGGCAAGGCCGACCAGGCCGCCCAGGTCAAGAAGCTCCTCTCCAGCAAGGGCTTCATCCGCCCCGATCTCGTCGACGCTGAGGTCGATTGGTTCTACCAGTAAGTGCCCGTCGCGGCCCCGCGCCAGCTCCGAATCGCCAATTCACACACCTTCTTGTCTGCTGACGCCCTCCCCTCCGAATCACTGCAGGAACCTCGGTATCGATGACACCTACTTTGCCCTCGAGAGCGTCGAGACGGTCGCAGACCACGTTCTCGCGCTCTTTGGCGCCAAGATCATGGCCTACACCAAGCACTCCAACAGCCTCGAGATCGACCTCGAGAAGGAGTCCGAGAACGGCGCCGTCTTCATCCACTCGTCCCAGGCCGGCAAGTCGCAGGCAGAGGGCCCCCAGTGGGAGCGCCGCATCGACGCCAACTACCTCGACAAGTCGTCCGTCGAAAAGGCCTACCGCCTCGAGACCTACCGCTCCGCCGGCTCGGTCTCGGCCCAGTCGCAGCAGCAGCTCCGATGCTACTTCCTCGCAAAGTGCAACTTTGTCGAGCCCCGCCCCGCCCCGGACTCGCCCAGCTACGCAGACATCCGCGCCGTCTCGGACAAGACCTTCCTCACCAAGGCCAGCGACAACACGCTCGACATCTACCAGAGCATCATGGACGAGGTCCTCCGCCGCCAGGGCCCCGTCATCGAGATGTTCGAGGTCGAGGGCAGCCGGGAGCGCAGGATCGTCATCGGCTACCGAATGGGCACCACCAACAGCTTCTTCAGCGCCCTCTCGGACCTCTACCACTTCTACGGCCTCTTCTCGTCGCGCAAGTACGTCGAGCAGTTCTCCAACAACGTCACCATCATCTCGATCTACCTCAACCCGCTCCCCGCTTCCAACAGCCCTCCCATTGAGCACTCGATCCACCAGGTCATGAAGGAGGCCTCCCTCATCTACGTCCTCCCGGACAACCCCTTCTTTCAGCCCGCTCTCGCAGAGAACACCCACGCCGTGCAGGAGGCCACCTACGCCTACGTCGGCTGGCTCTTTGCCCAGCACTTCTGCAACCGCCTCGGCCAGGCGTACCAGTCGCTCCGCAACGTGCTCAACGAGAACGACTCGCAGCAGGCCGCCATCCTCAACGAGATCAAGCTGCGTTTCCGTGAAGAGACCTTCACGCGTCAGTCGATTCAGGAGGTCATCGAGAACCACCCGACCCTCATCCGCCTGCTCTACGTCCACTTTGCCAACATCCACTACCCCGGTGGCGCCGACGACCAGGAGCTCGTGCCGACGCTTTCCTACCAGAGGCTCGTCAAGGAGGAGGTGCTCGACGACAACCAGATGTACGACCGCATCCGCAAGGCTGCCACCAACTCGCACGAGCGCCAGGTCCTCGAGGCCTTCCTCTTCTTCAACAAGGCCGTCCTCAAGACCAACTTCTACACCCCCACCAAGGTCGCCCTCTCCTTCCGCCTCGACCCCGGCTTCCTTCCCGAGGTCGAGTACCCGGTCAAGCCCTACGGCATCATCTTTGTCGTCGGCGCCGAGTTCCGCGGTTTCCACGTGCGCTTCCGCGACGTCGCCCGAGGCGGCATCCGAATCGTCCGATCCAGGAACCGCGAAAACTACTCGATCAACCAGCGCACGCTCTTCGACGAGAACTACGCCCTCGCCTCCACCCAGCATCTCAAGAACAAGGAGATCCCCGAAGGCGGCGCCAAGGGCACCATCCTGCCCACGCTTGATGCCAACCCCAAGCTCGCCTTTGAGAAGTACGTCGATGCCATCCTCGACCTGCTCATCAAGGGCCAGACGCCCGGAGTCAAGGAGGAGATTGTCGACCTGCTCGGCAAGGAGGAGATCCTCTTCCTCGGCCCCGATGAGGGAACCGCCGACCTCATGGACTTTGCCGCCGAGCACGCTCGCGCTCGCGGCGCGCCCTGGTGGAAGTCGTTCACCACCGGCAAGACCGCCGCCACTCTCGGTGGTGTGCCTCACGACGTCTGGGGCATGACTTCGCTCTCGGTGCGCCAGTACATTATCGGCATCTACCGCATGCTCGGTCTCCGGGAGCAAGAGGTCACCAAGGTCCAGACGGGCGGTCCCGACGGCGATCTTGGCTCCAACGAGATTTTGCTCTCCGTCGACAAGACGGTCGCCATCATCGACGGTAGCGGTGTCATCTACGACCCCGTCGGTCTCAACAGGCAGGAGCTGGTGCGCCTCGCAAAGGCTCGCAAGATGATCTCTGATTTCGACGCCAGCAAGCTCAGCTCGAACGGATACCGTGTGCTGGTCGAGCAGAACGACGTCAAGCTGCCTACGGGCGAGATTGTTCCAGACGGCATTGCTTTCCGCAACACTGCCCACCTACGATTCAAGGCCGACCTCTTCGTGCCTTGCGGCGGCCGACCCGAGGCGATCAACATCTCCAACGTCAACCAGCTCTTTGACCAGGATGGAAAGCCGCACTTCAAGTACATTGTCGAGGGTGCCAACCTCTTCATCACCAGGCAGGCGCGTCTCGAGCTCGAGAAGCGCGGCGTCATCCTCTACCCGGATGCTTCGGCCAACAAGGGTGGTGTCACGTCGTCTTCGCTCGAGGTGCTCTGCGGTCTCTCGCTCGAAGACGCCGAGTACGTCGAGTCGATGCTGTTCAAGGATGGCAAGCCGACCAACTTCTACCTCTCCTACGTGCGCGACATCCAGACCATCATTGGCCGCAACGCGCGCGCCGAGTTTGATGCCATCTGGCGCGAGAACATCGAGACGGGCAAGCCGCGATCGACGATCTCGACGGAGCTCAGCACGACGCTCAACAAGCTCTCGGAGGAGCTCGAGGCGACGGACCTCTTCTCGAACGAGCAGCTGCGATCCGCGGTTCTGGGCCAGGTGTTCCCGCCGACGCTGATCAAGAAGGTGGGGCTTGCCAAGCTCATTGAGCGCATCCCCGAGGCGTATGCTCGCTCTGCGTTCGCTGCCAAGGTGGCTGCCAGCTTCGTCTACGCCAACGGCCCCAACGCCAGCCACGTCGACTTTTACAAGCACATTTCGACGCTCCTGTCGCAGCCTGCGCCCGCTGCCGCGACGGCGCAGCACTGATGCGCAAGCGCTCCCTTCCCCTTTCGGTTCTCGTTGCGAAGTTGTATGGACTCTTTAACTTAATTGGTGAAAGCCGTCTTCTGTGGCGGCTTTGGAGATGTGTAAAAATACAGTTCGATCACTTTGATCTGCGCGAAAGCCTACAGCATGTGCGATCCTGACTTTGAGCCGAACTCTATCGATGTAATCTTGATGAAATGGTGGTGCGAGATTATTGTGCGCTGGTCAGGCATCGTCTTCGTCTTCGCCTGCGCCGTAGACGGCTTCAAAGTAGCTGGGTGGGAGGTCGAGTTCCATGTCTTCGCCGTACATTAGGTCGTCGTTGGTGAGAAGGAAGGCTGGATCGACCGGGGTTAACTGAGTCGGCGGCGGAGGGGGCGCAGCGATCGGTGCCGGGGGGTCGGGGATCGGCGCAGGAGCGAGTAAGGGTCGTTCTGCGCGTCGAGACTGTCCGGCAGCGTTGGGAGAAGAAGAAGCATGCGCGCGCCTGGGGCTACCAGACGCTGCGGATGGTGGCTGCGTGCTTGGACTGGAAGACGAGCCGCGCCGACTCTTTGGCTCTTTGCGCTTGGCGCGAGGCTGCTTGGTCCGCGAACCCTCTCCCACAAGCGCATCGGCGTGCTGGCGCATGGAGGTGGCCGTCTTGGCGGGGATGCTGGGAAGGCTGTCTGAATTGGTCACGAACAGAGCGCGTCGTCCGCTCGACTGTGCGCCTGGTGCAGCTCCTTTCTCGGTGACGTGAATGTGCGCAGGACGATCGAGCTCTGCCGACGAGCGTGCGGAGCTGATGGCCGAGTCGGCTGCAGCGCCTTTGGACGAGTATCTGCTGCGCGTGCGGCTGCTCGCGATCGATGCTGTCTCTGCTGCTTCCGTTGCCGGCTGAGAGGCTCGTCGGACTTTTTGCTCGCGGGTTGCCGTTGCTGCTGCGCGAGGCTGCACAGCTGCCTGCTCCCTGACCGCGTTGAGGTTGCCAGAAGACTGCGCGTGTACGAATCCAGATGCACCGGCGGAGGAAGCAGGCGGAGGGCTCGTCATACCGGCCAGCCCCATGGATGCGCTGACATTGTTCACAGCGCTGCCGTGGCTGACGGAACTGGGCGCAGTGGCAAAGTGGGCTGAATCTGTCGAGGCGGAGCGGAAGGATCGGAGTGAGGGTGCTTCCGAAGTGCGCCTGCTCTGCGGCTGCAGATACGCGCTCGAACCGGCTGAGCTTGCCATGCTGCTGATGCTGGGTCTCTGGCGTCCCGACACTGCCGACGAGTATTCGGAAGCGGGTGCTACCGATCGAGGTGCCAAAGGCGGAGACTCGTCCGAGGCTGGCAGGACATTTCGAGACTGCAGGGCGGCTTGCTGCGCGCTGCGCCACGCCAGACCGGACGGATACGGACCGTAGGCGGTCTTGGGCTCGACTGGAGGCGGACAGGCGAGGCTGATCGATTCTTTGTGCACGACGCTGCCGTCGAGCACACGAACGACAGCCAGGTAGTAGTCGAGCGCGAGACTGGGCAGATCAAAGTTGGGTACGCAATTGGGCGGTAGCGAGAGCAAGCCGTTGAGGCGAAAGACGCCGCGAGACTCTACCGAGCACCTCAGCGCGGCGTCTGTCACCGGTTCTTGCTGCACGGCGATGGGTTTCTGCTTCTTGCCTGTGAGCAGGCGCACTCTGCGAAAGAGCGTAAATGTGAGGGGAGATCCTACGGTGAGGTCGATCGGCTTGTTGGTTGCGCAGCGCACGACGAAAGGGATGGAGGAGCGCAGCGGGAAGCACGCCTGGGGTGCCATAGGCATGGACAGCGTCCACGCCTCGTGCCAGTGAACTACGGACTGCTTCTTGGGACCGCCGAATAGGGAGGAGAGGAAGCCTGATTTGCGTTCGGGCTCAAGCTTTTGAGGACCGTTGGGCGAGGTGAGAAAGGGGAGTGGACGGGTGAGCCAGTCACCCGTCGTCTCGATGGGCTGGCATCCGTCGCCTTGGCGCTGAAGGACGATGGCGGCCATCTGTGCGCCGAGCATGCGTCTATTGAGCAGAAGCGAGGTTGCCGCAGGAGCGGGCGGAGGCAGGTAGACGAAAGGCGCATAGCTGCGGAGGTTGCGCTTGAGCAGGCCTGGTCTTTGCACGGTGAGCTTGAGCTGGTACTTGACGGTGGCCCAAGCCGGTCGGATGGTCCCCTTGCCGTTGGCCTTTGCCTTCTGACGCATCTTGGCGTCTGCTGGTCCGACGAGGAGCGGCTCGATGACGCAAGATGGAGGAAGGAGCGGAGGATTCTTCTTGTCCTTGTTGCCCACTAAGGGCAGGTCGATGGTGAAGGGATAGGCGTGCCTCCCCTGGGGCAAGAGGTCGGAGTCGCGGTCGGTTTCGTTCTTGGGAGGCTCGAGCAGCAACGTTTCGAGCTGGAGCAGGGTGACCTCCTTTGTCTTTGTCTCCTCGGGATCGATGGGCATCCGGTCGAGCACGGAAGGGGTATCTGTGGAAGCCGTTTTGGGTATGGTGATGGTCTGCGTGGCAGTGAGGGTCAGCTTGATGGCCGAGATGCGATCGCCCGAGGGATCGGTGACTTGGATGTCGACGCTGCCAGACAATGCGCCCCATCCGCGGTCGGCGCTGCCGCCCATGAAGGTGGGCACACGCTGGGGATACGAGAAGACATGGAGGGAGATGTTGGCGTTCTTGGTCGGGTAGGTATGGACGGTTTTGAGAGGAGCCGCGGTGGCAGACACGAGCGGCCTGGGCTTGCGCGCCATTATTGCATCCTGGAGCCTCTTGACCCGGATCCTCGAGTTGGTATGTTGGCGGGTGGATGGTGGAGGTGAAGCAAGGGCCACCGACGTCGAGACCCAAGGAGGCGCTCAAGAGGCGGCGGCCAAGACGTGCCAAGAGTACAAAGTGGCCGCGGATGTCTGTACTGCCGATTGCACTGCCGAACAGCCTGTCAGCCGCCCGCCGAAAAAGAAAAGAGAGGATCGGCAGGGCCCCGAAGCGCCTCGCCTCGCATCCCCGGCGTGGATGCAGATGCAAGTGGAGGAGGCCACTGCGATTTTGCCCGAATCTCAGCCTTGGACCTGTTTGCCGGCTGCAGTTGCACCCTGCAGAAGCATCCGCGGCAGCCCGTGGCCCGGGGAAGTTGACCTTTGAAGGCTCTCTACGTTATGAAGTATCTCAGTCACCATCTCATTCAAGGAAGACAGCTTGGCATGATGGGGCGAGATGATTGCTTTCTTCTGACAGTGTGTTGCTCTGTGCGGAACTAGGCGAGGAATTTGAGAACGGGCTGAAGCCATGCCTCTGGGTTGTCACACATGGGAAGGTGGCCGGCGTTGGGCACGCTCGCGAATTCAGCGGCAGCACCAGCCTGGGTGAGCTTGGTGGCGAAGGCCTGAAGCGTTTCGGGCAGCTTGCCGTCCGCCTCGCCGGCGAGCAGGAGGTGGCGATGCGACGATGCTCTGCTGGCAAAGGCGTCGATGATGCCGTCGTTGACGAGGTCGTAGCTCTGCAGCGCTCGAGCACCGGCGGCAAATCCGTCGAGAGGGGTGGATGTGACCATGGCCTCGGTCCAGGATCGGCACTCGGCGCTCGCCTGGGATCCGGGGCCATACCAGCGCGGCACGGTGACGGAGGCGAGCTCGCTCATTCCTTTGGAGTTTGCGAGTGCAATGCGCTCGTCCCAGGCGGCCACGTTGGCGGCGGGAGTGCTGGGCTGTGTGTCGCAGGCGACCAGCCTCTCATAGCGGTCGGGATGACGCAGGGCAAACGAAAGTGCGGTGGCGCCGCCCTGGGAGACGCCGATGACGGCGTAGGCCTTCTTGACCGCAAGGCTGTCGAGGAGGAAGGCGACATCGTCAGCGAGCTGTGGGATGGTACAGGGCTGTGCAGGCACCGCCGAGTTTCCGTGACCGCGCTGGTCGTAGGAGAGAATGTTGAAGCGGGCCGAGAGAGCGGGTACGACGGCGTCCCACATGGAGAGGTTGGTCATGAGCGAGTTGATGAGCACGACCCAGGGCGCATTCATGCTGTGGAAGTGGACGCGTGTGCTGAGGAGCTGACCGTCGGGGAGCTGCACCAGTCCTCGTCCCGCCGAAGAGCTGTTGCTAGCGGTAGGGTAGGAGAGAGCGGCTGCATCTTGGACGTGTTCGCTGCCCTGAGGCTTGGGCACGGGTACGTTTGCGCGGTCGTCGACGTCGATGGCGACGAGGAAGCGCGAGACCATGTTGTACACGGCGACGGTAAGCGTTGCCTCTGCGACCTTGCGGTTGACGAGTTCCTGTCCCTGGAAGCCGTCGACGTTGGCCTTGTCGCCGAGCTGCTCGACGTTTTGCGCAAAGGCGGACTTGAGCGAAGCAAAGGTGGAGTCGTCGACGCGGACCTTTGTGGTCATGTCGTCTGCCAGAGCGATGGCAGCCTTTTGCAGCGGGCTCAACACCGAGGATGCGGAAAGCGGAGCGCGAATGTCGCGGACGGCAGCGAGTTGGGCGGTGGTGCAGCCGGCCTGTTCGGCGACGGGAGCATGCTGGATCCACTCAAAGTTGGCCGAGTTGTGTGCAGCTACGCGGAGGATCATCATCTCGCGCACATCGTCCGGGATGGAATTCTTGGTCCTTGTGGCGCCGAGAAGCGTGTTCCAGCCGCTAGCGATGGCGGGCGCGTTGAGCAGCGAGCCGTCGAGCGGGGTGAGGCCGCGAGCGCCGCGGCGTTCTCGGATGGCATCTGCGATGGGGTCGGTGCCGGCGGCGGGATATCTGTATGGGATTCGTGGCATGATTGGCGTGCTTGCCTTGCGTTGCGTTGCGTTGCGTTGCGTGGAGGTGGATGATGGAGGTACACAGGCAAGCGCTAGCCAACACGGCGTCGTCCGAGGTGGAGCAAGAAGAAGTTGGCCAATGCTCAGGAAGCAGCGGCTGGAGCCGAAATTGTCTATTGCCGGCACCTCCGGGAAGAATGTTGAGCCGCGCTTCTCGGCTCTCGAAGCTCCAGTCTAACATTGGTCCGCGCTCAGCACCCTCACCCCATCGGATGCCAGCCGACAGCCGGCAGCCGACATCCGACGACCTCCTCAGACTGGCCAGGCTGAGTTCAAGACAAGCGCACCCGTGTGACTGCGTGATGAGACTCGATGGGATTCGGCGGTGGCGGCTGCTTTCCGACCAAAATGGCAAATCTCCAATCCGCGTCCACTCATTTGTGCGGCTGAGCAGCAGCGGAACAGCAGCGGTGCAAAGTGGAGCCGTGGCGGAAAAAAGCCAGGGCGCAAAGGAGTTGGAGCCGTGATATCCTGGTTGGCCCTGCGCCTGCCTTGCGCCTTCTGCGATTTCGAATTGTGGGGGCGGCGGCACAACAGCAGCGAGTGCAAATAGCCGGAAGAAAGAAAGATGTGACCGCCGCCGCCGCCGCTGCTGCAAGCAACCGAGAGCTCTTCCCTCCCGCACAACAACCCTGCTGGCCAACCGGGGCAAGCTATAATACCCATCAGACCGCCGTCTTCCTCTCCGACCTTTCTCATCCTCACACCGCAAGATCCAAACCCTACTCGCTCCACAATGAGGTTCTCCGCTCCCTTCACCGCCGCAGCCGCAGCTGCTTCACTCGTCCTCCTCCCCGCTGCATCCGCACATGGTCCCGAGACCAAGGACGAGGTCGTCAAGTTCCTCGACCAGCAGCATGCTGCCTACCACTGCGCGCCCGCCATCGCTGCCATGACTGCCGCACGCAAAAAGTCTTGGGCACAGAAGGTGCTCGGCGGCGACTCGGTCCAAAACAAGAACCTCTTCATCGACGGCTACTTTGAAGACCTCGGCATCGACGGCGAGATCGCCGCAAAGGGCATCAAGGCGCTCGAGGAAAAGGGAAAGCGCATCATGGCGTGCGACCCCGTCGTCGAGTCCAAGATCCGCAACTCCACCTGCGTCCTCTCTCCAGAGACCACCCAGGGCCCCTACTACCACACCGAAGACCACCCCATCCGCGCCAACATGGCCGAATGGCAGCTCGGCGTGCACTTCCAGATGGACGTTGGCGTCATCGACGTAGACACTTGCGAGCCCATCCCCAACATCCTCGTCGACCTCTGGCACGCAAACGCAACCGGCCACTACTCGGGCCACCCCGACCCCGCACCGCACCTCAAGGACGAGATCCCCGCTCAGACCGGCGTCCGTAAGGGTCTGCTGTCCGCCTTCCCTCGCACAAACACCCACGAGCAGTGGCTCCGTGGCGCGCTCCCCACCGACAGGAACGGCGTCGCGCAGTTCACCAGCGTCTTCCCCGGCTACTACACCGGCCGCGCCACCCACGTCCACGTCAAGATCCACAACGACTGGGAGGCCCTCCCCAACGGCACCTTCCGCTCCGGCAGACTCATCCACACCGGCCAGTTCTTCTTCGACGACGAACTCAACATGATGATGGACAAGGTCTGGCCCTACAACACCAACCCCATCGCCGACCTCCCCGGTCGCGGCCGCACACGCAACTGGGAGGACTCGCTGCAGATCTTCCAGGTCTCCCACGACAACGGCTACTTCCCCACCTTTGACGTCGAGAAGCTCGGCGGCGTCATGACCGACGGCCTCATCGGCTACATCACCGTCGGCGTCAACCGCTCAGTCATTGTCGACGAGGCTTGGGTCCCCACCACCGGCGGCGGAAAGACAAAGCCCTACGTCCCCGCCGATGCCGCAGCTCCCTCCCACCAGGAGCTCTGAGGCGGTCGCATTCATGAAAGACATTTGTAATATACGCTCATCCTTCACGAAACGTTCTTGGCACGCAGAATCTTAGGCATTCAAAGCAAACAATGAGTGTGACGTTATGTTTTCTTGAGAGGGCGGGCTTTAGGCGCGGTCGTCGTCTTTCATCCTTGCACTGACGATCGACCTGCCGATCGCAGCGCCTAGAGGCACAGGTACTGCGTTGCCGATCTGCTTGTACGCTTCTTGAAGGTTGCCGTCGGTGGCAAAGTCGATCCAATCCGGGAAGCCTTGTGCTCTTGCGCACTCGCGCACCGTCAGCAGCCTGCGCTGCGTCGGATGCAGCAGGCTTCCTTCGCCCCGGACCTTGGTCGTCAAGATCTTGAAGTGACCCTCGCTGTCGAGCCGCTCGAACTTGAAATGCTCGTTGCGCCATCGTTCCGTCTGTGGATCATCCAGTGTCAGCAATCATTTCATGTCGCCTATGCAAAGTCGGTGGGAATGATACGTACCTGATCTAGGCTGAGGAGCGCAGGCTTGTTGACGCTCGGCAGGCTCCACGAGTCGTACGTCGAACCCGGGTCCAACGCGACGTTGACTACGCGCTCCACCATGATGGCCGAATATCCTGAAGTCTGGTGTTGGCGGGTTCGGGTCATGATCTTGCCCCCAAAAGCGCGCATTCGCTGCTGGTACGACGTATTCGGCGGCGTAGCGTATGGTGTCGAGGCGAACCCTGTCGGCGTACTAGATGCCACCTCGAGCTGTGCGATTCCGGCCCGTTCGCGCTCCAGCTCGATCGCATCAGGCCCCTCGTAGGTCTGGTGCGGATCCCGCCAGTCGAACACCGCAAGGTCGTCGATCGCATCAGCAACACTGAGCGCCGGCAAGATGGGCATGCTCGGCACCCGGCTCGTATGCTGTCCGCTGGCATCCGACCACCAAAAGCCACTGGACGACCTACCCTGAAAGTCGTGGGTGGGCTGTGGAAGCTTGGGCAGCGTAAGGTCCTGTCTTGCAGCGAGAAGGATGAATCGGCCACGAGACTGGGCGCATCCATAAGCTCCTGACTGGACAAAGCCCCACGTTGCCGCATAGCCAATCTTGAGCAGGGCCGCGAGCACGAGCTTGACCATGCCTTGATCATGGCCGCTGAGCTTGGACGCCGTGAAGCCCTCGACGTTCTCGAGAACGAAGTACTTGGGGCGCAGGTGGTGGACCCACCCGAGCACCGTGCACACCAGGAGGTTGCGAGGATCTTTCTCGGCCGCATCGCGAGCCGCAGTCTGGTTCTTGCGGCTGAACCCCTGGCAGGGTGGGCCGGCTGCAATCACATCGATATCTCCCGGTCGTGGCAGCGAGTTCTCCGCATTTGGAGACATGGCCTGTTCCAACGCGTCACCAGCGTCGACGCATAAAATCTTGGCGTTCGGATGATGCCTGCGAAAGGTCTCGACGGCGTGAGCATCCGCATCCATCGCGAAAGTTGTTTCGCATGCGCCCGACAGATCAAGCCCGAGTGTGAGCCCGCCCGGTCCACACATTAGCTCCATTGCTCGGAGAGGCTTCATCGCACGTTGACTGCGTCGATCCTGTCGCTTTGCCATTGTGCAGGTGTCGCAAGGCGGGCGAAGTAGTTGCGCACTTTCCTCTGTGACAAAAAAGTCGGTCGCTTCAGACAGCCACGACGACGGCGTGTCTACCAGCGTCGTGACGTAGCATTTGGCGATCGGCTTGAAGTGTCGTCGATCGATCCGTAAGAATTCCCGGTCAGGCACGAGCAGACGGTCGTGTTTGAAGCTCGACGTGGATGCTTGACGATGCAGCCGGCGGATGACGACGTCCAAGTTGCGCAGGCGGTGGATCTGGACGACGTCCATCAACCTTGCGCCATCGCGTGGTCCGAGCAGGACGAAGTCGCCATCGTGGTACTGCACCTCGTCGTCTCGGATCTCGGCTGCCCACTCTGCGAGACCGGTGAAGGCGGGAAGCTCTGGGATCCATGCTCGACGAAGCACAACCCCACGAGCATCGATCTTGGTTACGATCGCGTCGACGCCAATCGTGACTCGCTGCGAAGTGACGAACACTTCGTTATCATCCATCACCCCACGCAGAATAGTCTCGGAAGAAGTTACCACCAACACGCCCTGGATATGCCGCCCTACTCGCGAAACGATCAGCACGCGGATGCGCTGCGTCGTGCCTGGCTTAGTAGCCAGCACAAGATCTCCGAGTCCAGGCGCTTCCTCGAGATGTATAGACGGATTCCGGTCCGTCGCTTGCGTGTCTGTGGGGGTCTGTCGCTCCAGGAAGCGTTTCACTGCGGCCGCCCTTTCGCTACCGCCTTGGATGGTGGCTTTGGCGCACGCAGATGCTGTGGTGCCAACCACCTGGTAGCCGTTCCGCAGGCCAAAGTCGCGTGACAGCACTTGGCCTATCCTGGCCGTCGTCTTGATGAGCGTGCGCCTTTCGCTCGTGTGAGTCATCGTAGCAATGCGGTTCAGGAAAAGGATGGAGTGTGTAACGATGAGAAGAAGCAGAACAGCGAGTTCACGAGCGACGCTGACGTGAACGCCAGGCCGGCACCTTTCTCGCTCCCACACACGCACGCGCAGGACAATGCTTTGTCTGTCTCTGACACAGGAACACCCAGATTCAATTTCGGACGGCAAGCATGAAGCGCAAGTGAGATTGGATTGCCAAACGCAGAAATGAAAGTATCGACTCAGTCGGAAACCTTGGCAGGCGGGCCTAGAGAAGGTCAAAGATATCCTTCTTCTGCTGCTGCGCGGCGGGCTGCGACGACGCAGCCGAGGACGTCGAGGCGAAGAGAGCGCTCGAGCTCTGGTTCTTCGCCATCTCGGCCATCGACATCTTCTGCTTGCCGGCAGCAGCGCTCGACTTGCCAGAAGACGCCGCCCACAGATCGTCAAAGTTGAACGACGTGTTGGTGGCCGCAGCAGGACGCTGGGCTTGGACGGCTGGCTGTGCGGGCTGCGATGGAGCCATGACATTGCCGACGGCCGCCTTGGACGCTGCTCCGGCTGGCGCAGAGGGCTTAGCCGTGTCGAAAAAGTCGAATGAGGCCGCTGGGGGCTGAGCAGCAGCCGCGGGGGCTTTACTGGCAGGAGCAGCGGCAGGAGCAGCAGGTGCGGCCTGGAAGTCGTCGAAGTCATCGCCGAATCCATCGTTGGTGGCAGCTGCTGCGGAGGTTTGGGTGGCAGACGCGGGGATGGCGGGAGCGGCAGCTTGCTCGTCGTCGTCGTCAAAGCTGAACAGGTCAGCCACCTTGGGCGCTTCCTTCTTGGGTGGCTGGGTGGTGCGCGACGATGCACCGCGTGTGGTGCTCGAGCTAGGCTGTGGACGGCTGGAAGGCGTCTCTTCAAAGTCTCCTGCATCGTACTCCTCGAAGCTCTCTCGAGCAGCCGCTCCGCCTCCGCCACCGCCACTGGAGCTGCCAGCACCGGCACCAGCTCCACCACCAGCCCAGTAGCTGTCGCTGCCGAAGCCGCCGTAGCGACCGGTGCCGCTACCGGGCACGAATTCGCCGTTGCCGCCGCCAGTGTATTTGGTCTTGTTGGTGCGCGCCTTCCTCCTCTCCTGACGGATGCGATCGACATCGGAGAGCATCTCGGCGAGCTCCTTCGCACGGTTGCGCACATTGATACCCTGGTCCTTACCCTTCTCATCGATGTAGTGGAAGTTGCGCAGGATCTTGATGGTGGCGAGGTGGGACCGGGCGTCGTCGACGACGCGCTCCGAGCCGTGCTTGACGAGATACTCGAGCAGCTGGAGCGCCTTGTAGATCTGGCGCCATTCGCGCGCCTCCTTCTCCATGAATCTGCGGTAGATGGTGGGCATGATCTCGTTGAAGTCCTGGAAGTTGTTGGTGGCCTGCGCGATCTCCTGCATGAGCGTGGAGCTGGCGCCCCATGGATCGTCGTTGGTGGCCTCGTCCACCTTGGCCTCGATCTCGCTCACGTTGAGCGCATAGTTGCGCGCCTGGCGATAGAGCGACTTGACGTCGTACATGGTGAGGTTGGCAAGCTTGCTGCCAATGTCGTCGAAGTCCATCTTGGATGTGCAGAAATGCGCGGACGCACAGAATCAGGGCGAGTGTATGTGTTGGCTGGCTGTCCACGGCTGGCTCGCGTTTGCTATCTAGCAGAAGAAGGCGTGCGATATGTATGCCAGGGCGAGAGGCAGGTGTGCGGTCAACAGGTGTGCGGTCAAATGGAAGATGGCGGATAGCTGCAGTGGGATCGTAGGAGGTGGGTGATATTGAGAGAGGAAGAAAAGGACGTGGGACGCTAGGCGTGATTGATGCGTGCGGAACAGGCGAGTGCTTCGCAACTGCACCGCATCGCATTTCGCACTGAACTGCGCCCCGTGCGGCGACGCACATCCGTGTTACTTTCCCGCGCCAAAGCCTCTTCCACGCCGCCGCCGCCGCCTGCTGCTGGCACAACACCGTGTCGCCTTCCCAATTCCCGGGCTGGGTTTCGACCTCACAACCAATATAATTCGAGTCGGGCCGATTGCGACCGTCAGCGATTCAATCCCTGTCTCGCACTGGCCCACCACACCCACAACATCAAAAGCTCGGAGGTGAAGAGCGGTTGCGACTCGCTCTTGCACTCGCTCGTGTGCAAAGCCAGTTCGATCGAGCACAGCGGTGGAACTCATGCTGAGCACGTTCACGCCTTCCACAGACGCATCGGAGCCGAGAGCAAAGAGTCAAGAGGTTGAGAATGTGTATGTATATATCCGGCATGATTGAAGGACACAGGACCAAGGGAGAGATTCATGCAGATCGACTAGGGATACCGGATCGAGCTGCACTTCTTCTCGCCATCTGATTACCAGATCATGCTGCTGAGGTCGGAGCGGATGCGGTTGTAGTCAAGGATACCCTCGACCTGGCCGTGGGCGGCGAGCGCAAAGTCGGCATCCCACAGGTAAGTGCGCGCCACACGCTGGATGTCCTGGACGCCGATCGAGTCAATGGCCGCCTGGATCTCCTGCGGCGTGTAGCGCTTGCCAGCGGTGACGAGCTGTCGTCCGATGTCCTCGGCGATGGCGGTGGTGCCGTCGAGGCCGAGCAGCAAGCTCGCCTTGAGCTGCGCCTTGGCACGCTCCACCTCACCCTCGGTGGGTGCGGTGCTCATGCGCTGCCACTCACGAAGCGTGAAGTGGATGAGGTCGTCGAGCTGCAGGAAGTTCTCCGAGACCATGTAGACACCCCAGAGACCCGTGTCCGAGTACGAGGTGGAGAAGTGCATGAACGAGTTGGCGAGGTTGTTGGACGAGACAATGTGCGACAGGCGCGACGAGAGCAGCGGGCTCGAGCCAAGCGAGCGGTCCCAGTTGCCCATGATGCTCTGCAGCACGAGCATGGGGAAGTAGTCGGGCGACTTCCACGAGACACCCTCGACGGCGAGCGCAAAGTTGCAGGTGGGCGAGGTGTCGTCGCGGATGCGCACCTCGGATCCGACGAAGCCGGTCTTGGGCGACGACGACTGGCCGAGCTTGATGGGGCTCTGGCTCACGGGGAGGCTGCCAAAGTGCTGCTCGGCGAGCTTGACGAGCGCATCGTGCTCGATGCCACCGGCACCAACGAGAACCATGCGGTCGGCGGTGTAGTTGGTCTTGATGTACTCGGCGAGGTCCTCACGCTTGATCGAGAGGATGTTCTTCTTGGGGCCAAGGATGGTGCGGCCCAGAGGCTGGCCCTGGAAGGCGACCGAGTGGAGGTGGTCAAAGACAACCTCCTCCTTGAGCTTGTCCACCTCCTCCTGCTCGCGGAGGATGACGTCGCGCTCGCGCTCGATGGCAGAGTTCTCGAGCTTCGAGTTCTGCAGGATGTCCGAGATGATGTCGACGGCCTTGTCGACGTCCTTGCGGAAGGCCTTGGCGTAGTAGACGGTCTGCTCTCGCGAGGTGTAGGCGTTGAGGTGAGCGCCGAGGTTCTCGACCTCGAGCTCGAGAGCGTGCTGGGATCGCTTGCCAGTGCCTGTTGGATCAAGAAAGAAGCGCCGATACGATGCGAAAAGAGAGCCCGAATTGGTCAGCAACGCGGTCAACCGGATGATAAGGCGAAATGCATGGACGAGATGAATGCACGAGAATCAATGCAGGCCTTGCGATGTGAATCAAAGACAGTCAAGGATGCCCCTGAGTCGACTCGCAAAGGCATCTGCTTGTGCTTGTGCTGCTGCAAGGTTGCATCGAGCCAAGGCGGACGACTGGCTTGCGGCATGCAGCGTCTACGATGATCCAGCGTTCGCCGGTGTTGGTGCAGCCTTGTGCGAGTCGCCGCCAGGATATAGGCGGTGCGTCAAAGGACCGAAATGTACGTACCCTTGAAGGCCATGTGCTCAAGGAAGTGGGCAGTGCCGTTGGTGCGATCTGTCTCGGCGCGCGAGCCAGCATCGATCCAAACACCGACGGTGGCGGTCTGAGCCGAAGGGTTGGACTCGGTGGCGACGGTGAGGCCGTTGGCGAGCGTGGTGGTCTGGGTGATGGGCTGGCGGGAGACGGCGGTGGCCAGGTTACGGAAGTTGAAGGTGGCGGCGGTGGCCGGGACCTTGTTGGCCCGGGCAAGCCTCAAAGAGGACTGGGCGAAGAGACGAGCAGCCATGGTGACGAGGGCTGTGCGACGGAAGTGACGAACAGATCGGGATGCGAGGGTGGAGAAGGAGGGAGTAGAAGGTTGGTAGAGACGTCCGGCTCTGGGAAGCTTCTTCGGCGCGACCTGGCAAGCCCAGCCAGCGCAGTCGAGCCCAACCCAACCCAGCCTCTCGACCAGCTCCTTCTCTCTCCCTCTCTCTCGTGATGGCGACGGGCCGCTCGCTCGACAAGCCACGGCTGCCTCCGACTTGAATTCAAAGATTCCTTCCCTTCCTTCGCGCCCGCCCAACGGCCGAGAGAGTGAGCGCGCGTTAGCTGCAGCAGCCAAGTCTGACCATTTTCGCCCCAGTGATTGGTGTGTTGACGGGGCTCGCCGGAACAAGTGGCCATTTTCGAAATTTCAAAAGCGGCCGCCAGCCTGACTTACGATGGCGAAAATGCTGTGAAATTTAGTCCTCACTCGCCCAAGCGGTGCCAACCCAGCGACCGCAAGTGTGATCGATTTCAGCTTCAGAGAGCCACAGACCCCGATCCTTCCATTCGTGCGAGTAGTCAACGGTCAAAGCGTTCTTCTCAGGGTTTTTGGTGGGCGAAGGCCGACATGACATTTTTTCTACCTCGAAAGCATGGGTGGAGGTTTAGAAGAAAGAGAAGGCTGCAGGCTTGCAGCTAACCACATCCCTCAACCTCTCTTCCCGGAAGCACCGACAAGCTCTTTTGACCATGGCTGAAGCAGGCCCGTCTTCAGCAGCGATGGCCAGTGCGCCCTTGCATCACGTCGCGGCTGCCCATCAGTCGGAGATGTACACCTTCCTCTCGGTAAACTCGGTGCAACTCGTCGACATCACCTCCGGGGCCAAGCCGACGACGCTGGCCATTCCGACCACCGTCTTTGTGCCGCAGCCGACGCTTCCAGACCAGTCGGATGCCGAGCGATATGCCGACCAGCCTCATATCAGCTTCGCCCGTCTCGCCAGCTTCTCGCACTCGGACCGCTTCCTCGCGCTCACCGGAGACGACAAGGTGTTGCGCGTCTGGAAGCTTCAACGAGATGCCGACAACCGCATCGCCGGTTTCGAATTCGGCAAAGAGATCGTGATCAAGCTCCTCCCTAAGCGCGCCGCCGTCCTACACTGGATGCAACCCACTGACAACACTCCGGCAGGCTCCGAAGAGCTCATCGTCATCGACCGTTTCGGCGACGTCCGTAGCATTATGGTCAACGAAAACGACGTTCGAACGCTTCCATCCACCTCTTCCGACGCTCATGCGGCAGCTGACGCTTCAGCGGACGAGCAGGACCAGATGGATTCGCCAACCGACGCGTCGATGCAGATCCTCCTCGGACATGTCAGCATGATCACCAGCCTCGCCTTCATTCCCGCCGCCAAGCAGGGTGCCCCGCCCGCGTACATCATCACCGGCGATCGTGACGAGCACATCCGCATCTCCAGATGGGGTCCGAAGCGCCTTGCCTATGTCATCGACCGATTCCTGCAGGGCTCCCAAGCCTTTGTTGGCGCTCTTGCTGTTGTTGGCAACGCCGAAGGCACTCTGCGTCTCGTCAGCTCGGAAGGCGGCCAATCGCTGCGTGTCTGGACGTTGCCGCAGCCCTCGGCACCGGCGACAGGCTCGGCGGCAGACACGGGCTCCGAACACGCTTGCCTCTCCATCAACGACTTGGGCTCGGTTCTTGCACCTTTCGTGCTCGCCCGCGACCGCGAGGAGCGCAAGAGGGAGTCTAAGGCTCTCCAGGCCTCGAGCAAGCGCAACAAGGCCGCTAAGCGCAAGCAGGACCAGCGCAGCGCCGACGGCAACGCGTCGGAAGCGGCCGAAGCAAAGCCGCTCGCTGCGCAGTACGCAAAGGACTCCAAGCCCACCGTCGTCATCTCTGATCTGCTTCCCTTCACCGACGCCGAGGGGACACAATGGCTCCTGGTCGTGGTCGAAGGAGCGACTGCATTCTTCCACGTTCCGGTCAGCGCATTGCTAGAGCCGGTCTCTTCGGAAGACAAGACGAGAGACATCTCGAGTCAGATCCGCGTCACCCGGGCCGCCGCGCCGATCCTGCACCTCGCCCGTGTCCAGCGCGCAGCGAGTGCCGACGTATCCGTCATTGCCACCTTCGACACACGACCCGAGTTCCGCGGCGAAGCCGAGGCTGCGGATGATGCCAGTGCAGAAGCTGCCGTCTTCCGTCTGGACGCCGCTGGCAACTTTGCACGGGAGTCGGAATCGCCGCTGATCCAAGCCCTGCTGCCTGCCACCGAGCCCAGTGCCGGTGCATCCGAAGAAGCGCCGAGAGCGCTGCTCGATGCATCGATTGTCGAGCACCTCGGCTTGTACCCAGCGCTGACCACCTGGCCCAAGATTGAGGTGCCTTCTTCGGCCGAGATCATCGCCACGCGCTCCTCTCGCAAGGGCAGGTTCAACCATCCGCTTGACACCTCGCTCATCGGAGTTGCCGAGGTCAACGAGACCAAGCCCTCGAATGCCTCGTCCGACCCTGCTGCCGACGACGCGCAACGTCGCAAGCTCGTCAAGACCATGCAGGGCGGCAAGCGCGAACGCGGTCGCGAACGCAACCGAGAGGCTATCCGTCTGGCGCAAGAGCAGGCGCAAGAGCAGGCGCAAGAGCAGGCGCAAGAGCAAACTTCCCAGTAGAAGCTGCTGATCGACCAATACCAAAAGCATATCCACTCGCGCACATCGTTACCGTCATCATCATCGTCGTCAATTTAAAGGCATCCACCCATCAAGTCCCGTGACGGCCGCATGCAAGCAGTCGAACAGGAGCGTGTTCTGCAATCCGGACCGAGGAGAGCTGGTTCGAGCTGGACGCCCTCGCAACGTCCGAGTTGAGCAAAGAGATGCACGGAGCAAGGGCGACGGCTGCCTCGGCAGTAAAGTGACCGAGTCTCCTCGACTCGCTACATTTGATCGAGTCGGTCAAAGGGCCGACCCTCGACGGTCAAATGGCTGGCTGCTATGGTATTGGTGAACGTGATGAGGAACGCACCGAGGCTGGTGCCCGCGTCGGGACGACCGACGGCAAAGTCAACGCCTGCCATGGTGTCGTTGCGGCTCGCATTGAGGAAGCTCAAAGGCCCGACCTGCACAGGCGTCGCAAGTGTCGCCGAGGAATGGCACTCGCTCACGCCCGAACTGGCGTTTGGAGCTCCAAGTGCAGAAGAGCCACCGCGACGGGGCGAGGTCAGGTGGAGCGAGTCGGGCAGGAGACTACGATCCTGCCTTTGGCCGACCGATTGTAAGCGGATGAGCCGAGGCGGTCACCAGTGTCGTGTCGGTGGACGCCGTTGCTGGGCTTGCTCAGCCTGTGCAGCTTTCTGAATTCGCAGTATCCGACAGCCCGACTGTGAATCAAAGCTCGAGGAGCTCGCCCCACCTCTGCTGCAGGCGTGGCGGAACTGTAGCTCTGCAAGCTGGGCAAGCTGGGCACGCTGCAACGTCCGTCTGACTCCAGGCAGAGCCAAGTCAAGCCACGGACGAGGGCGTAAAGAGAGCCGGATCATCCGCTCCGATCTTTGCAGCACGCGGTATGCTTCAGCCTCGTTGCTGGAAGCTCTCGAACGCATACAACCTAGCTTGCGTATAGTCACTCAGCCGGAGCGAGGCTGGAGTGACTTGCGCCACTTCTCAGCATCGAGTAATCACACGTTCGGTGAATCACTGGCAACGGTGGCTCTCGGCGCAGCCGTGTACCAGCGTGACCGAAATGCAGCTCACACGGACCTCTGGCTTTTCCCGACGTGAATCATCGGTTGGCCCGAGGGGCTGTTGTCGTTGCCTCTTCCATCCTTTCTTCCCAAGACGTGAATTACGACCCCACGGGTCCCTGCGAAGCGTGGAGCAATCATGCCGCAGCCAGCTGCTCGTCGCGACCCTCACCATCCAGTCACGATGAGTCTGCCAGGCACACTTCGAAGCAAAGGTCAAGCCACCCGAAGAAGAGTGAGGTGGCATCGTCGATCCTCTCGCCTGCAGCGACACTGCTCGGCGACTCGGATCATCCGCCTTGCTCGTAACGGCAAGCGCCCACCGAAAGGGCCCATGGAGGGGCTGAATCACAAGCCTCGCCGATGCTCGGCGACATCTCACTTCCTGACTTGCTTCCGGCGTCGAGCTCGACTGCGGTGCTCTCTGAGAGAGAGAAGACAAACGCCACTCATCCCTGGCCTGGGAACATGGTCTTGTGACCTCCGGCACAGCCGCTCAACATCACCGCCCTGCTTCCGTCGGTCCTCGAGGCAAGCTACGACTGAGCGCGCGCTGTCGGTACGGCCCAAGGCTGCGAGCTCTCAGGAGCAACTCGAGCGCTCCTCAGGCGACACCAGCCTGCTCAGGGAGGGTCGCTGGGGCAGCCTGAAGGCATATATACGGACGACTCGTAGCGGGTAGCGCCGTCCCCCCTCATTCCACCAACCCGCCAAAGGCATCGCTCAGCTTAACGACAACAGCTTCGCACACACTTTGCTCTACAACACGCCAGACCCTGCAATCTTTTGATCAACATGTCTGCCCAGAACATCCCCGAAGGCACCTACCGCATCAGCTTCATGGACGGCGTCCTGGTCGGCTTGGAGCCCAACAGGCCTCTGCGCGTGCTGCCAGAGGAACACAGCGAGCGCTCGGAGTGGCAAGTCAAGAAGCATGGCTCTGACGCCTTCGTCATCGTTCTGAAGAAGAACGAGAAGCTGGGCATCACCTGGTCCGGAGATCTTCACTTTGGCACCCCGCTGCTGCTTGCCGAGAACCCGGCTCCCTTCAAGGTCCAGCAGCAGGAACGGGACCGTTTCGAGTAAGTGTCTCCCTACTCTTCGCATCTGCGCACGATGTGATGTCTTCGTTCGACGTTGGCTGGATGCTCACGCCTGGTTGAACCCTCGCCGTTCAATTTGACTGGACCGATCTCCCTCGACGTTCCCTGTGACACTCTGCAATGTGCCGCGTCGACAACAGCCTCGTCCCCGCCAAGGATGAACAGCTCGAGGTCGCTCTGTCGCCGGCTATGATCTTCCCGCCGATCGTAAGTGCTCTTTCTGTCGCCGGCACTCCGTCGCGCCGACCGTTGACCGAATGATGTGCTCACATCCCTGCCTACATGATGCTTCTCTTTCCCTCCGCCAACAGGTCGCTTTCATGCCTCGTCAGATCTCCTTCGCCTGGCACTTCCAGAAAGTCTAATGCTCCAGGCTTCGGGGCACGTCATGCAAGTCGCTCCGCGTGTAGCGACGACGTGCTCGGCCAGCAGCTCTTTGCCGCCGGCCTGTTCAGTCTCCCGTCATCGTCGTTTTCGTCTTCGCTCTCCAGCCGCTTGCATTCCGCCGATTCGATGGATCTTTTGCTGCTTCGCGACCGCACGAGGCACAGCATTGTCCTCCGACGCATTGGATCGGTCCCCAATGTATCCTCTTCGCCGACCGAATTGCAAGTTTTCTTCAACCTCCAACCACAAAATCTGAGCTCAAGCTTGTGCATCCACACGCGTCGACACGCTGATGCCATTGCATCTTGAAGTGATTGCGAGTTGCCAGGGACAGCGTACATGGAATGCTGCATCGGTGCGTAGATTCGGCGTGCCAAGAGTCGAGCGTCGCGTCTCTGCTTTAGAACTCGCCCTGAGCCCGCAAAAGGAACGACCAGAACACGTGATGAGAAGCGGGACACCCACGAGAAAAGAAAGAGGGAGTCTGGCAGTCAGCATCAAGTTCACCACGCCGTCTCGACGAGCAGCAGCAGCAAAGGATCCACTTACAAAGTACGACTGCTTCTTGACGCGGAACTGTTTTTGCAAAGGAGGGTACTGTTCGTCGTCAGAACAGATTGGATCTAGGTTTCAACGGTCGGCTGGGTAGCAGAGAGGGGAGAGTTGTGGGGATCAGCGGCACCACTTACCTTGTAGGGAGCGCCCTTGCGCATGCGGTCGCTGTCGTCCTTTGGCTGCGCGAAGCCCTTGTCGCCGTGGCCGTACGAAGGGCGTCGCGAGGCCTCGAGCTTGGCAGCTGCGAGGCGCTGCTTTCGGCCTTCCTCGGTCTCGCCGGGCAATCGATCGGCGACGCCGTGGGGCAGACGCTCTTGCCCCGCCGCTTCGGCGTTGGCGGCCTTGTTGCCCGTGCTGGGGGCGCCGGCATCGGCGGGCGGCAGGTGAGCAGGACGACCCTTGTTGTCGACCTCGACGTCCTGGAAGACCATCTGCTCCTCTTTGACGATGTGCTTGCCCGATGGCGTGCGGAAGGTGTGCTGCGACGCCTCGGCCTCGTGGACGGCGTGGCCGAGCTGGGCCTCGTCGTGCTGCTTCCGGGCCTCCTTCTGCTGTTCGGGCGAGAGCTGCTCGTCGTAGGGCGACTGGTACTTTTCGCCACGCGCGGCCGCCTCCTTCCTCAGGCGTGCATCTTCTTCGATGCTGGGCAGACCTTCGGCCTTGCGCTCGCGTCGCTCCTCCTCCTCCTCGATCTTGTCGTGCTTGGCAAAGTGCTCGAGGTCCTCCTTGTGGGTGTAGCTCTCGTCGGACTGCGTCTCGGGGGTGTTGTGGTAGAGCTCCTCGTGGTGGACAAAGAACTCGGACTCCTCGTCGTAGTGGTGCCCGAGGCTGCCGATGTTGTACTCTGGGAAGGTGGGCAGGCCGTTGGGGCCGGCGTCGATGAACTCCTTCTTGGTGATGAGGCCGTCGTTGTTGGTGTCCATGGCGCGCAGTACGGAGCCGACGATCTTGTCGGCCTTCTCGTCGTGCACCTCGTGGGTGGGCGAGTGCTTCTTGGACTCGGAGTGGTGGACGCCGTAGATGGCTTCGATCTCGGATCGGTCGAGCACGCCGTTGCGGTCGAGGTCATGCAGGGCGAAGGCGCTGCCGAGGTTGAAGGCGTTGATGTGGTGCTCGGTGCGCATGTGGCGCTGAATGTAGCTCTCGTGCTCAATGTCGGTTGGCTCGAAGCCGGCCACCTCGGCAGGCTCGTTGGAGATGGCGTCGTGGCTGTGCGCAGCTGCGCCGTGGATGGAGAGCGACGAGAAGAGCACGAGGCCGAGCAGGACCCAAGAGACGCTCATCTGCTTGGTGCCAGAGGAAGGCGGCGAAGTGCCGGCAGCGCCGGAAGGACCACCCTGTTTCCTCTTTTCGGCGATGCGCTTTGCCTCCTCGTGGACGTCGGTGACGTTCTTGGAGGTCTTTGTGTAAAAGTCGTGGATCTTGGGATGGTTTGCAAAGGCGTTGTAGTACTCGCTGAGCTTGGTCCAGACCAGGTCGGTCTTGGCCTTGACCTCGGGCTTGTCAAGCACGGCCTGAGCGCGCTGGTGGAGCTGACGAGTGAGTGAGGGATCCTGCTTGTCCAGAGCCGCAGCAGCACCTGCCTCGGTCGAAGCCGGGTCGGGAACGGTGGTGGTGGTCTTGGGACCGGACACGGAGGCGTCGTCGCCCGGAACCGGCATGGCAGCGGCCACCTTGTCGGTCGCCGAAGAGAGAGCCGCCGGACCGCTGGGGGTATGCTCGGTCCTTTCAGTTGTGACGGCGGCAGAAGGGGCAGCCTTCTCGAGCTTCTGGCCGAGGGAGCGGTCGAGATGGGAGAGGTAGCCCTTGAAGGTGGTGGACAGGCCGTGCTTGTTGTCGAGCTCGATGGCGCGCTTTGTGATCTCGTCCGAGATGGTGTAGCCGTGAGCGAGGTACTCGGCAACGATGGCGGTCTTGGGCTTGTCCTCCTGACCGACGGGCTGTGCATCGTCGTGAGCAGCGGCGGCGCCAGTGGTCGTAGCAGCGGCAGCTGTGGTGGTGGCAGCTGAGGCGGCGGAGGCGCCGAGCGTGACGGAGAGATGGGCGCCGTCGAGCGAGCTGCCGTGGAGCATCACGGCGGTGCTGGCAGCACTGGGCTTGACGAATTCGATGACGGCCTTCTGGGTGGAGGGGCCATCGTCGGTGAGGTCAAGCTTGGCGATGGAGCCGCAGAAGCTGAAGAAGTCATCGATCTGCTTCCTGGCAGTCGACTTGTTGATGCCGGTGACGACCACCGTAGATGCGGGGGCTTGCGAGCTCATGGTGAGGCTAGTACCGGAGAGCAAGTCAAGGCTCCGACGATGCAATGATGCTTATCGAAAGGCGAATGGCAGAAGGGTCACGCGTCAGAGCAAAGTAGGACAAGGCCAGCTTGCACCGATTCTTTGCCGCAGGTAAGTTGGTGGGTGATGGTGACTGGTCAATGCGGCTTGGTGAGTGCACGTCCCGAAATGAAAGGTGGGCGCGTGTGGGTGACGAAGGAGAGTGGAACCCAAACGTAAGTGGGGCTGTGATGGTGGGATCCAGCGACAAGGCCACGAGAAGGTGCGGTGCGTAGAGTTGGAAGTCGCCGGCGCTTTGAGACCGGCGCGCGCTGCCAGCGTGCTGCGCTTCCGGGCGGACTCGCACCCATGCACGAACCTCAAAAAAGTGTTGCTTTGCGGGGCTCAGGAGAGAGACATGCAGGCGATGCATCGCACGAGCACCATTGAGCCATGTCAGTGCCTGCTTCGCTCGTGCGAGACAAATACGAAAAAAAACGCGACGGAGATGTCAGTACATGTTAGGGCTAGAAAAACAACAAATACGGATCGCCGAAATCTGCCACGCGGAAAAACGGCGGCGGATAATCTGCATGCCTCGACGAGACAGTCGTCGGCCAAGTGTCGAGAGCATGCTCGCATTCCGAATACCAAGCATCGCACTGTACGTATATCCGTCTTCCGATGGACAACCTATCGATGAAGCGATTGAAGGATGTCCTGTACCTCGGGATAGCGCCAGCAGTGAAGTCTGCTTGGTCATCGCATGAACCGTCCCAAACACTTCGGATCCGCTGCTTGCTGTGCACTGAAAAAATAGCAAACGGCTTCGCCAACGTCCGATTCCACACGTACATCGTCGCAAGAATGCATGTGCTAGCCTACTTCGGGCTCGATCGCGACGAATTTGCACGCTGCCAGCCTGTGCCATCAGCATGAACCAAAAAGGCGGATCCGACGTTAAGGATCCATGCGCGCGCTTCCGGCGTCTGTTCCTGAGATTTGTATGCGCTTTGCATGAAGAGCTGGTGACGAAACTACGTCCGTAAGATTGGGCCGCATCCGCCTCGCTGTCGTACTGTACAGTACATGCCCGTCTCGGGCAGCGCCGGCGACGTTGCCGCAGACGCGGATTTTCGCCGTTGACTGCCTCCAACTCCGCCGATTAAACGCGCTCGCCAGCGGATGGCGCAAAAGTCTCGTCGGAGTTGTGCTCGAGGATAAACTCGGGGCATGAAATCCACTCTCGTTCGCCCTTGCACGCGCCAGTCCTTCGACCCCGGTTGCCTTCCGGAAGCGTCGACGATGACACCACTAGCTTCTCTCGATTCACAGGCGTTCGCTTGTAGCATCGTGAGCGCAAAGATAGGAGCTGGAGTAGGTGGTCGGCCTCACACGAATTCGACACGAGGGAGCAGGCAATACAGCGTCGTGTTTGATGTCATTCGGCACCGATGATCGGGTGAGGCCTGCCAGCTCGTGCGTCGAACGCGTGCTGCCGAAGCGAAGCTTCCATACATACCGGCAGCTTCCGTCATTGACAGCAAATGACGCCAGCCGCTCGTCCCGTCTCGCGCACCGTTATACTGTAATATTGCGGGCCACGGCATGTGCGGGGAGCTTTTTGGCCCGAGGTTTCATCGTGCAATATTTCCTTGATTTCCACATTCTTCCTCAATTAAGTCGGCCTTCTTTTTTTAGCTTGTATTGCAATGTTGCAGAGCACGATGAATCGAATACGAGAGAGGTGGACTTGAATGACCGACATACAGAGAGGAGGCCGCACACTTTTCCGACAGAGTCGACCCTCTAAATTTAGAGGACAGATCAGCCCGATATGTATATACTCGTGTCGGCTCCGAGCACGCACAAGTGATGCGTGTGCGTAGAACCGCTTACCAGCGTGTGGTCAGGCGACACCACGACGTCCATGCTGATCACTTGACGGATGCTCAAAGAGCCGGACAGAGGCGTCGAGATCGTCTGAGCGAAATCTTGGCTTCGCGGTCAAAAATAGCCCCTCGCCGGAGGATGTGGAACGTGGGTGAGGCGAGACAGGCGCGTCGACAGCACGCCCCGAACCGAGGCGATTCCCATGTGTCTTGCCGAACAAGATCCGCTGCCTAGCCGAGCTCGGACGCGGCCTGCTTCGGAGCCGACCGTAGATGTCTCCGAACTGATGCTATCCTCCCCGCTCAGGGCTTCCAGTCGAGGAGATGGGCCGTGGCAGACTATTGCGCCGATCGAGCATGCCTCGCAGCCCCAAACGCCGAATCCGCACTGATCCTAGCCTTAAAATACAGCCCATCGTGACCTGACGCTCTACAACAGCATCCAAAACGCGGAGTTGCCCCGCTGTCTCGGTGTCAAATCTGCAACAAAAGCATCATTATACCACAACCTTCGTTCTGAGCTGAGCGTGCTCCTGGGGAACCGAGACGAGTCTGGATTGCCGAGCTTGTCGCCTTACCACCAGACATCGTCAAGCTCCAACAGACCCTTGCAAACACAACCTGCGAAGCGAACGGTCGCAACGCCAACGCAGCAGCCTTACGCCCAGACGACACGACGAGACAAGGCCAGAACCGCCTGACTTTTCGATCACGTCTTGTGCCGGCCTCCTCTGTACAGAAGTGCCTCCTTGAACCCTGTCGCTCTACTCAACTGTGTTATGCCTGCTGTCACAGCAGGTATGCCAAGCCTAGAAGATTGGCGGGCGCCACTTGATGTTGCCGCGCCACTTGCCTTACGGACATCAGGACGCCTCGAGGCGAAAAACCACGCCCTCCAAGCCGTGCGCGACGCGTGCCCTACTTTGCATCCCAAGGGCCCACTGACCTCATCGTGCGCTTCTTTGCAGAAGGATGCAGAGGCCTCCGCTAGAACTGTGTTCGAGAAGCCAGCTGTATCCGACTCCCCGGATAAAAACTTGGCTGCGGGGGGCATGCCAGACCTACAAGAAACCTTACAGTCCTTAGCAGTCACCACCGTACGCCAAGTCATACTTACAGCGGAGTGGCTGTACGGAATGAAGCTCTACTAGGCTGGAATGCACGGTGGCGGAAAAAAGGCGCCTCTCACACTGTGCCACACACACCACCGTCTCGACCCTTGGCATTGTTGGCAAAATGGGGCACCAGAACCGAGACGTGTGAAATATGGCGGACTCTGAAATCAGTCTGTTAAGCGGATCGGAGATGGTTTGGGGCCCAGCAGCAGCAGCAGCAGCAGCAGCAGCAGCAGCAGCAGCAGCAGCAGCAGCAGCAGCAGCCGCATCCACCCAGTCTTGCCGAAGAGCGGCAATGCTGCTCGGCGTGCTCAGCGCTATTCACACAGACAATGCTGTGTCAGCCCTGTCGGCGAGGAGCAGCTGATCGACCCCTGTGCATCACCAATTCGCAATTCCGAGCTCTTCTATTTTCGGGCTTGGGCGATTGCGATGATGTTGTGACTTTTTTCCACTTCCGCCTGTCCGTTCCTGATCGGAAGCGCTTTAATTCGATCTCATCTGTAATGCGACGCGCTGATGCCTCGCCCACGCACAAGCATTGAGTGGCGTGCTGTCTCTGTCCGCCCAAGAACTCCGCAGAGCTGCGGTAGCCGAGGAGGAGGAATTGCGATTTCCTGGTTGTCGCAACATCAGATCAAGCGCGGCGATGCCGACAGCCAGCAGTGGCACAGAGAAGCACTGCAACACTCGTTCTGCAAATGTCACATTCGAGCTCATTCGGCATCGCTCAATATAGCATCAGAGAGCAACTCGCCTCACAACAAAAGTACAGTACACTGTGTGCCGTGGCCCTGCGGTCTCTGTTCGGGCAGCAGCCACTGTGGATTTTGACTTGTCAGTCGATTTTTTCCCTTTTTGTTTTTTGTTTATTTATTTTTGCTTTTTTTTATCCGCTGCCCGCTCACCGATCCGATCTAGGGCGTGAAGGCTGTTGGTGCCGGTGTGCCACGGGTTGGACTCTTTTCGTTGAGATGAGCCTTAGCCTGTTTCATGCGATCTCAAGCCTCGCATCGGAAGCATGGATCGCCTGGGCCTCCGCGAACTGTAGACGCTTGCATTCGATCCTCAGTTCCAACGGCAGCCTTCTCTAGGCACGAAAGCGTCTCCACGCCACTCGCTGGTGCGATACGAAAGGGATGCTTCGAGACTCCAAGGTTGGAATGGAAGCCCACCTTCTGCGCCGAACCGATGCGCTCGCGTGGCGCGTCGCCTTGGGTAGCGAGTGCCAAGAGCGGCGGCTCTGAAAAGGATGCAGTAGCAAGTTATTGAAAGCAGCACCAGGCGTCATTCCGCGACTCGACGTGGCGCCCGAGCAGTGGACCGGAATCCGCTGCCGAGACACGGCATCAGCCAACCACGCCGAGGATGAGTCCAGAGAAGCTGGCAAGAGTGCACTCCCGGTCGTGCAGCCCATTATCTCACGTCGCAGCAACCGGGCTAGCCGCCAGCTGACTCGTCATTCCTTGCTTGACGTGCTGCTTCCGGGTCGGACTGCCGCCTCCCCCCGTGCTTGCCATGCTCGTTTGCGCAGCGCGGACCTGGCCCGCCCTCCCTTCTCCGCTCCCCAGCAGCTCGCTTCGACACACCGCCAACATCCGGAATCCTCAGCTGAAACGGTTTCTTGGATTTCCGAATTTGGCCCCCACCGAGAATTCGGTTGAAGTGTGGCTTTGTTGAATTGCGCTCGACCCGCTTTGCTTGTCGATAAGCGTCTCAGGTAGACGAATGTTCAGAACAGCATCAGGCTGCTACCGTCAGGATCTCGTGGCTGGGCGGAGCGGGGCGAGGCGTGGTCTGCTCATCTCGGAATCGGCTCCCACTCAAGTGCACGACGAGGGCACATGGGGTTGAACGTGGTCTAAACTCGCTTCCACGCGCTCCTGCTTCCGTTCCAGCCGCGCCGGAAAATTGGAGGAGGCGTCCCTTCCCCTGCGTCCGACTTTATCCCTGGCCAACTGCGCTGCCACTCAGTTTCCCACTCCGCTGCCATCATGCTTGCGTATGTCTGCCTTGACGCTAGCCGATCGTCGGCGCAAGGCCCTCTCACTAGCCCCCTCGTAAACTGCTGGGCTGCACCCGTGACCGACCAGGACCGGATCAAGTAGCCATTGTGATCCCAAAACCTGCTGTACATACAGTGCTCCCTCCGAGCCCCGGATTTGTCGCTGCGTCTCCGCTCGCGCTCATGCGACGGTGCCGAAAGACGTCGTCGCAGCTAGGCACCTCATGCCCCCTCTGCTCCGCCCGCCTTGGCTGTCGTGCCTCTTTCAGCCGACCATGCGTGTTCCGTATGCCGTATGTTCTTATCCGTCACCTCTGCCATGTTCCCTGAGCAACTGGCCGCTCGTCGAGGCGCTCTGCTCGACATTCAACCTCCTCACCACCATTCCCCGCTCCGTCCTGCCCACCTGCATGTCTCCGTCTCAGCTGATTGGCATCCGTGTCCCGCCAAAGCTTTCCTTTGCAGTTTTATCCTGGCCGCACAGCCCTCGTGCGCGCTCGGCGACTTTTCCGGTCGGCCAGTTCCGTCATCGCAGCTCCCGTCCTGCCACTCTCCGCCGACAGCTCGTCCCCAGAGGCTTGTCAGCTGTTTGTTGAGCCCTGTTCCATCTCCTGTCGCTGCGCTCCAAGCAGCGCGATCCTTCCGTGGATGGCGGTATACTGCTTGCCACGCCCCGTACGTTTTTCCGCTGGCAGCTGCACCCTCCCCTTGGTGGCCAGAATCGCCCGACACGCAAATGCACGCTGGTGCTCGCATGTAACACACTTGCATATGGATCTCCTTACCATGGAACACCCTCCCCCCAGATCACTTGCGGTCATCCTTGATCTTCTTCGGCGATTCGCTGGATTCGCTTTACTCTCTTGCCTCCATCACCGTCAGCCCGTGTCGTCAAGGCTCGCACATTCCTCTTGTTTGTTGTGTAGCCCTTGCTTGCTCAATCCGCTGTCCCAACCACGCCGCGTTCCTCGCCTGTCTCCGCCGCCCCTCGCATCGACTGTTTGTTCGTCTCCCGTGCCTTGGTCCGCTTTGTATACAAGGCGCATCCCCTTCCACATATGTTCCTCCTTTTCTTCCCTTTCTCGAGTCCACATCCAAACGAGCTCTCAGGCTCCACAACCGTCCTCGCCCTCACACGTCTTTGGATCGTTCCAGCTTGCCGAACATATACACCCCTCTCGCCTCCAGCTTGACCCGCTTTTGGCTCCCACCGCCTTTGGAGCCACAGCGATCTCTCAGCTCGAGATCAGCTTCTCAGCCACACACAGTTGACCTGCTATCAAAGGCGTAATCACTTGCCTTGACGCCAGCGACCCGACGCTCTCCTTTGTCGACTCCCGTCAGAACCGTGTGCGCAGGCTCAGGCAACTGCGACTCTCGGTGGTCAGCACTCTAGCCTATTGGCGCCTTGTCTTCGATTGTCATCTGAATTGGCGCAGGGCTCGTCTCAGCTGTCTGCGACCTTCCACCGGCTTCCCGCCGTTTCAGATCGACGTCCCAGATCGTGGATGCAAACAAACCAGCACCGTCTCTTGCCTCGGCACCATCACGCGTAGGCGCTCCTATCCTTAGCCCATCATACCGCCATTCCAGGCTGAACCTGCGCAGGCTGCTCTTTGCTGGAAGCAAACCTGCCAAGCAACTCCGTTGTGCGAGGGGAGGAAGTGGCCGCTACGTGCTTCTTTCCCTGCCAGCACCAGACCAGCATATAACACCGTTCGTCATCGCCCATTCTTCAGCACCATGGCAGGCGATGACACGCAAAATTATCTCTTCTCGTCGGCCAGCTCGACAAGAAGAAGCTCCGAGAAGCGCTCCGCATCCAGCAAGCCCGACTCGAGATCCCGCACCAGTTCCGACACAGACATCAGCAGCATTGGCGGAGTGCACTATCCTTGCTTCGGCAAAGTTGACCTTGCGTCGTACATCGCCGCTCGCACCTATGGTTTGAACTTTCGGCGGCTACACGATGAATGGGTGGTGCTCGGGAGACCGGCGATCAACACCAGCCACTGGCCTGTGCTGGCCGGTCATCGTGGCCTACCCGCCTCGCCCAACGACTTTGTCGCTGTGGCCGAGCACTACGAGGGGAAGATCTTCTCGCAGGTTGCGCTCGACATGGCGGGTAAGCCTGCGGACCGAAATCGACCTCTGGACGACTTCATCATCTCTATGGTGGTGACTGCGGCGATCGTGAACGCCGACTTTCTCATACACCGCATGGTGTGCGACGAGATCCTGCGCGAAGAAGCCATGGTGCAGCACGTCTGGCATCGATACTTCACCACATTCCTACACGACGCCATCCGACACTTTGCCCACGAGAGGACGGTATGTGATCGGCTGGGCACGCACAACTGCGTGGTGCCGCTCCTGTACGGACAGGCGTGTGCCATGACATTGCCCACGCTGATTCAGACATTCGACTATCAGGTGCAGATCTTTCAGAATCTCTTTCCCAACTTCGGAGATCACGTCAGCCGGTGTGCATCTGCACAGCCTTCCCAGCGGCTCGATGTCGATGCCATCATCAAAGAGTACATCACAAAGATCGAGGGAAGCACACGCCAGGCAATTGCGGCAGGGATGGGCGCATCCACATCTGGACAGGCCGGGTCTTCTGGAAACACACAAAGTCCATACGCAGGCATGATACACCCGGAGGAGGATTCGCAAGCAGAGGTAGGCCCAAGTCGTCCGCGGCTGGCTGTCACCGTAGTTCCCGAAGAAGTCAAGGGACGCCCTGACCTGTTCGTATCCGACATCGACTCGGCCATTCGCTGCGATGTACCGCTCGAACAGGTGCTCAAGGTCATCGACTCAAACATGACGGTGTCGGCACCGTCTTCCACAGCTTCGACGCCCCCACCGATCGCAGCGATGACCTCCATAAGAGCACCGTATCACAGCAGCAGCGTCTCGTCAAGAGCTTCGTTCCCATCCTCGGATGCAGATTGGCCGCTGCGCCGGAACGCCGATCTGAGCGACTCGGCAGTGGAAGAGGGCGACGCAGACATCGACTCGGCCAATCTGATGCTCCGACCACCTCTGCAAGGCCAAGCTCAGTGGCCGGTGGGCATTTCGCGCCGATCAACGTCGGAGGAGCACAACTCAATCACGCCCGACGAGGCGATGGCAGCGACGCAAACGCGCACGCATAGCAACTCGGTGTACTCGTACTTTAGCTCGCTTCCTGCCACGCCAACCGAGCTGCTATCGCCAGATGGAGTGGTGTCGAACCAGGAGGGAGCGCAGTCGTACATGGATCGACGGCCTTACCGTTCCAATTCGGGGCTGCTCGCGTCTACGTCAGCGGCACTCGAGTCGGACACACGCAAGAGGACGCGCGCGGAGCAGAACCGCGAAAAGATGAAGGCTTACCACCGGCGAGTGATGCAGCAGCGCGAAGCACTGACGACGGTGCTCGCGGAGATGTCGGCACACGTCGGCACGATACCCATGCTGTCCACCCGCACCAATGCTGCCGGGCTTCTGGGACTCTTTTCGGGCGAGGCGAGCGGCTCGGTAGGCGGGGATGGAGCATCCGGATCTGGCAGTGCGAGCTCTGTGGGACGGAGTGCGCCGGAGTCGAGCTGGTCGGTGTCGCTTCGCAACAAGCAGAAGCAAGAATCGAAAGCGCGGCTGCGCAAGCGCGAGATCGACCAGGTGCACGAGCTGGGCCTGTACGCTAACTACGCCAACGCCACGCTCTCGCGCCCGGGAGCAGCAGGCACTTCAACAAGCCCAGGGTCACGAGGAGGGAGCGGAGCGCCAGGGATGGGGGATGTTCAAGGAGGCATGTCGACGGCGTGGCGTCAGCTGGAGACGGCGCAGATGGCCGAGGCGGACGCGCAGATGTCTCATGCAATCCTGCGGGTGTTTTTGCGGCATCGTCCGAGCTGGATCGCGCTGATTTCGGCGGAGCAAAGGCTAGCCAGCGAGGTGGCCAAATTGTCGCCGCGGACCGAGGATGGTGCGAGCGCGGTGGATGACGGTTCGGCAGGCGACGGCAGCCCAGGCTCAGGTGCAGGCAAGGGGATCAAGGCGCTCATTGATCGGGTCCAAATGGAAGAGAGGGCAGGGACGATGTCGATGCTGTCGCCAGATTCTGCGCACATGCTCTCACGAGGGATGATGTCGGGCGCAGGCGTGAATCAACCAGGACCGCTGCTTGACGCGAGCGGAACACCGCGATATGCAAGTCAAGGGTCGTACGGTGCTTCGGTGCTGCTGGACGCTGGAGCAGTGGTTCTGTCGCCTGGCAGGGAGTACGGAGCGACAGCGTCGCCGTCCGGAGTGACGCGGCCGATGGGTGGAGAGGAGAGCGCGGACTACTTCAGCCAAGAGCGTCGAGCATTGGGCGGACGGCAAGGCGATTCGGCGGCTGGAACGCAGCGTGGGTCGGGCCCTGGCCACGGAGCGATGTCGAGCATGCTTCCTGCGCAGAGTGGATTCAGCTATGGCTTCTACGGGGCAGAGGCACAGGCGCGAGCGAATGCACAAAGCTCGATGGGCGGGATGGCTGCCATGTCGCCGCCTCCGCTGCCGATGCAGTCGCGCATGTCAATGTCGTATGATGGGCGTGGTGGATATGGGGCGGCGACGACGACGTCGCGAATGGAGCAATCGCCCGGACTGTACCACGCGCAGCCGATGCCGATGCAACCGTACGCCTATGGCCAAGCACCCTCGCAGCCAACGCAGATGCCCGGCGGCGCGCACGGTCTCGCACAGCCAGGACCACAGCCCATGGCGGACTCGATGATGGCGTATCGCTCGAACGAGTCGACGGCATCATCGTACGCGACGAGTCATCATCATCATCATCAGCAGCAGCAGCAGCAGCAGCAGCAGCATCAAGCCCAGCAGCAGCATCAATCACACACACAGCCACAGCAGCCGCCCTCGTACGGTCAGCAAGGAGGCTACCACGCGCAATAGCAAAAGCTAATTGTGGGCTACGGCCCCAACATGTGACTCTGATTCGTGATGCGTACTTCCGCGCTGTTTGTATATGACTCAACGGCGAGATTGTTGATTTGAATGGAGAGGGGACACGACGGTGAAGGGGGCCCTTGCAATTGAAGAGCGACGTGTGGGGATGTGGATCGCGCCCCTACGACCGAAGAGATCCGAGGTGGTCCAGTCAGTGGGTGCTGTGGAGACCTTGACAGTTGCGAGGTCTGTGATTGGCCAGCTGCACGCGCCTCGCTGGATGGCGCCGGCGGTGGGGCCGATCAATTCACGCTGCATCATTGGGCAGCAGTGTGCTGCTGTGCTCGGCTGTGACTCGAAATCACAGGCTCTAAACGCCGCTGCGAAATTGAAACGTGTTAGATTGCTTAAAGTGTTGCTGTCTGATCAGAGCTTGCCATCGCCATTGAGGTCTGCTGATGACAGCGAGCCTCCCAAGCATAAACCTCAAGATTAGTACTAGCAAGCTGTCGGCTGTAACGAGCACCGCCCCTGTGATTGATTGATATGCAGAGAGCGAGTGGCGTGAGACGGTGGTGGGCTCCGTGGGTGGGGTGAGTGGGCTGCGTATTTTCGGCGACGCTGCAATCGCACATTTCCGCTGAGGGCCTAAGCGCGAGGCAGAGTCACTCGATCCTGCGCCGCCTTCTCAGCTGCTGCACTGCGCGCCTCTTCCCCCACCCAATTCCAATTGCAGCCTTGCTGGTGTCTTCGCAGCGCCGCCACCGAGCACCGCTCACAGCATTATTCAAAAAGGCCTCGGCGCATCCTTCCATCTTCCCGTCTTCCTCAACCCCCATACCCTTTCCAAAAGATGGCGCCCAAAACGCTCTACGAGAAAATCTTCGACTCGCACCTCGTCCACGAGGAGGCCGATGGCACCTGCCTCCTCTACATCGACCGCCACCTCGTCCACGAGGTCACCTCCCCACAGGCCTTCGAGGGCCTCCGCAACGCCGGTCGCAAGGTGCGCAGGACCGACTGCACCCTCGCCACCGTAGACCACAACATCCCCACCGCCTCCCGCAAGGCCTACAAGGACACCAAGTCCTTCGTCGAGCAGGCCGACTCCAGAACCCAGTGTCTCACCCTCGAGGACAATGTCAAGGCGTTCGGTCTCACCTTCTTCGGCCTTTCGGACAACCGCCAGGGCATCGTCCACATCATCGGCCCCGAGCAGGGCTTCACGCTTCCCGGCGCCACCATCGTGTGCGGTGACTCGCACACCTCCACCCACGGTGCCTTTGGCGCGCTCGCCTTTGGTATCGGCACCTCCGAGGTAGAGCACGTGCTCGCCACCCAGACCATCCTCCAGAAGCGCGCCAAGAACATGCTCATCCAGGTCGACGGCGAGCTCTCCGAAGGCGTCACCTCCAAAGACATCATCCTCCACATCATCGGCATCATCGGCACCGCCGGCGGCACTGGCCATGTCATCGAGTACGCCGGCTCCACCATCCGCGCCCTCTCCATGGAGGCGCGCATGTCCATCTGCAACATGTCCATCGAGGCCGGTGCCCGTGCCGGTCTGATCGCCCCGGATGAGATCACCTACGAGTACATCAACGGCCGCCCGCTCGCTCCCAAGCAGGGCGCCGCCTGGGACCAGGCGCTCGCCTACTGGAAGTCGCTTCCCAGCGACGAGGGCGCCAACTACGACACGGTCATCAAGATCGACGCCAAGGACATCCCGCCCACCGTCACCTGGGGCACCTCGCCCCAGGACGTCGTCGCCATCACCGGCACCGTCCCCGACCCCAAGGACGCCAAGTCGGAGGGTGAGGCCAAGGCCATGGAGCGCGCCCTCGAGTACATGGGCCTCCAGGCCGGCACGCCCATGGAGAAGATCAAGATCGACAAGGTCTTTATCGGTTCGTGCACCAACGCGCGTATCGAGGATCTGCGCGCCGCCGCGCGCGTGCTCCACGGTCGCAAGGTCGCCGAGGGCCTGTACTGCATGCTCGTGCCCGGCTCGGGTCTGGTCAAGAAGCAGGCCGAGGCCGAGGGCCTCGACAAGATCTTCCAGGCCGCGGGCTTCGACTGGCGCGAGGCGGGCTGCTCCATGTGCCTGGGCATGAACCCGGACCAGCTGGCGCCCGGCGAGCGCTGCGCCTCCACCTCGAACCGCAACTTTGAGGGTCGCCAGGGCGCCGGCGGACGCACGCACCTCATGTCGCCCGCCATGGCCGCCGCTTGCGCCGTGACGGGCTACCTGACCGACGTGCGCAAGGTCGTCGGCTCCTCCACCGCCAAGGTGGGCTCGGACGCCGCCAAGCCCGCGTTTGAGATCCAGGTGTCGGACGGCAAGTCGTACCTCGTGGACGCCACGCCGGCACCCGCGCCCACCGGTGCGGCCGAGACCGACGAGGACGCGATTCGCGACGTGCCTGCATCCAAGATCTCTACCGCCGGCGCGGGCATGGACAAGTTCACGGTGCTCACGGGCATTGCTGCGCCGCTCGAGCGCGCCAACGTGGACACGGACCTGATCATCCCCAAGCAGTTCCTCAAGACGATCAAGCGCACGGGCCTGGGATCGGCGCTGTTCTGGCCCATCCGCTACGACGCCAAGACGGGCGAGCCGGACGCGTCGTTTGTGCTCAACCAGTCGCCGTACGATGCGGCCAAGATCCTGGTGGTGACGGGGCCCAACTTTGGCTGCGGCTCGTCGCGCGAGCACGCCGCGTGGTCGCTGCTCGACTTTGGCATCCGCGCGGTGATTGCCGAGTCGTTTGGCGACATTTTCCGCAACAACCTCACCAAGAACGGCCAGCTGCCCGTCATGCTGCCCAAGGAGCAGATCGTGCGTCTTACCCAGGACGCCAAGGCGGGCAAGCCGATCACCGTGGATCTCGAGAACCAGGTGGTGGTCACCGCCGATGGCAGCGAAAAGTTTGCGTTCGAAACGCCCGAGTTCACGCGCCACTGCCTGCTCAACGGCCTCGACGACATTGCGCTCACCCTGCAGAAGGACGCCAAGATCGCCGAGTTTGAGCACAAGAGGAGTGTCAACACCCCCTGGCTCGACGGATTCGGATACTCGGCCAAGATCGAGACTAGCCCCGCCAAGCAGGCGCGCACGGATTGGTAGGCGCCCTCGATCACGCTTTGATCCTCTCGCACCCTGTCAAAATTTCATGTTTTCGTTTTGCACACAGTCTGAGAGTCGAGGTCGAGGCCGCGCATGCGAAGTGAAAGCAATTCGCTCTGGAGAAACGATGACCATTCCGTGAAAACCTGAGACCGAGCAGATGATGTTCGAGGGAAAGAGCCTGGTTTTGAGTGAGGGTCTTCACTCCTCGCGCTGGAGCTGTTGCATGTGTACGAGATCGGCGTAGATGCCGTTGAGGGCTAGCAGCTGGGCGTGTGTGCCGCTCTCGGCCACACGGCCATCCTTGAGGCAGTAGATCATATCGGCCCTAGAAATCGTACTGAGCCTATGAGCGATGGCGATGGTGGTCCTGCCCGCTGCGGCCTTATCGAGCGCCTCTTGGACGATCTTTTCCGAGTCCGAGTCGAGCGCCGAGGTTGCTTCGTCGAGCAGCAAGATCTTGGGGTTTCGGATGAGCGCACGCGCGATGGCAATGCGCTGCTTCTGTCCACCCGACAGCTGCGTGCCCTTACCACCGACCTCGGTATCCCACTTGTCGGGGAGAGACTCGATGAACGCCAGGATGTTGGCTGAGGCCGCAGCCGCACGTAGGTCGTCCATACTAACCGTGTCGGCGTCTTCAAACGCGCCCAGGCGGATGTTGAATTCGATCGTCCCGTCGTACAGCGTGGGTTCCTGGCTGACGAGTGACATGTGTTTGCGGATCTCGCGCAGGTTCAGATCGCTGATGTCCTTGCCGTCAATCGTAACGCTGCCCGAGAGTGTGTCGTAGAACCGCTGGATGAGTTGGATCGTCGTCGACTTGCCACAGCCCGATGCACCCACCAGCGCAACGTATGTGCCGGGCTTGACTTCAATGTCCAGCCCGCGCAGCACGCGCACCGTCGGCCGCGTCGGATACCTAAAGTGCACATTGGTGAGCTTGATGTGGCCCTGCACATCGGCCAGCACCTCGCCCTCGTCGCTCGTCACATCGATCTCGGGCACCATATCCAACAGCTTGATGCTATCCCACGCCGCCGTCTTGGCGTTGGAAATGTCGGGCACAAACGAAAAGGCGTTGGACGCCTGGATGGATCCAAACACCACCGCCGTAAGGATGGTGAAATACTGGCCCGAAGTATACTCGCCGCGGATAAGCAGCTGGGAGCCGTACCAGAATCCGAGGCCGATGATCCAGAACTGGAGCGCCTGCGAGACGGCATAAAGGAAATTGCCGTAGAAGGCCGTGTTGCGCGAGATGCGCGAGGGCTCGTCGAGCTCCTTGCGGTAGATGTCGAGGCAGTCTTCCTCGCGCGTGAGCGATGCCACGATGCGCATGGCACCCGCTGCCTCGCACGCCTTTGCCGCACTTCCCTCGTACGCCTTTTTGATGCGTGCGTCCTTGAGCACCACGAGCTGCAACCTCACGAAACCCGCCGAGAGCGTAAGTGGGATGCAGGCAATCACCACCAGCGAGAGCTTCCATCCGTTGGCAAGTGCAATGATCGCGCCCGTGACGAGCGTCGAGATGCTCTGGATGATGGTGCCGAGCGTGACGCCGACGAGGCCGTTGATCTTTTGCGAGTTGTCGGCGAGCGAGTTGCTGAGGCTGCCGGACGAGTGTGCGTCCTCGTCGTGGTACGCCACATCAGCACGCAGGTAGGCAAACAGGCTCATGCGACGGATGCGCTCCATGAGCACCGAGCTCGCCTTCATGAGCGTGTACGTCTGGATCGAGATGGCCAGCGTGCACAGGATGGCAATCACAAAGAAGAACAGCGCCCACTTGTTGGCGTCGTGCAGCATGATGCTGCGCGCCGGCTCCGGACAAGCGCCGCCGCCAATGGGACTGCACAGCGAAAAGTTCTGCAGCGCATGGCCGAACAAAATCGAAAAGCACGGATACGCAGCACCGGAGCAGATCGACGCAATCACACCAGGCACGTACAGCGTCATGATGTGGTCGCGGTTGATCTTGGCCAGGCGGTAGAGCAAGTAAAAGATCGAGGGGATCTTTTCGCTTTCTTTGTCGGCCTCGGCCTGGCGCTGGCGCTGCTGCAGGATGGCGCTGGCGACGCTGCCGCGCGTGACGCTCTTGTCGAGGCCCGCCGGCATCTCGGCCTTGGCCTCGTCGCGCAGCCTTGCCTTTTCGGTGTCGGTGGTGGCGAGGTGTGCGGGCGCTGCGTTGGCCTCGGCCGTGAGGGGCGCGTCGTTGTCGTCCGAATCGCTGTCTTCGCCATCGAGCTTCTCGGTGGCGACCTTTGCGCGGATCTTTTGCGCATCGACGAGCTGGGCGTAGGCGCCGTTGAGGGCGAGCAGCTCGTCGTGGGTGCCGGTCTCGAGGATGATGCCCTTGCCCATGACGACGATCTTGTCGGCGTTCTTGATGGTGGAGAGGCGGTGGGCGATGGTGATGGTGGTGCGGTTCTGACTCGCCTGCTCGAGAGCATCCTGGACGACCGCCTCGGACTGCGTGTCCAACGCCGAAGTGGCCTCGTCGAGCAGCAGGATGGTGGGGTTCTTGACGACGGCGCGCGCGATGGCGATGCGCTGCTTCTGGCCGCCGGAGAGCAAGAAGCCGCGCTCGCCGACCATGGTGCGGTATCCGTCGGGGAGCTGGGAGATGAATCCGTGCGCGTTGGCCATCTTGGCGGCGTCGATGATGAGCTTTTCCTTCTCGTCGTCGGGCAGATGCTGCTGGGGCGTGTTGATGAGGCCGTGTGCGATGTTGGAGAAGATGTCGGTGGAGAAGAGCGTGGGCTCCTGCGAGACGAGACCGATCTGGGTGCGGAGCCACTTGAGATTGAGGTCGCGCAGGTCGATGTCGTCGAGGTAGGCTGCGCCTGCATCGGGGTCGTAGAAGCGCTCGACGAGCGAGACGATGGTGGACTTGCCGGAGCCCGAGGCGCCGACGAGGGCGGTGACCTTGCCGGCGGGTACTTCGAGGTTGAAGCCGTCGAGGACGGGCACGTCCGGACGCGCGGGGTAGGCAAAGTCGACGTCGCGGAAGGAGATGTGTCCGGCGCAATTTTCGGGACGCAGGCCGCTGGGGTCGGACGAGTCGATGGGCGGGACGCGGTCGATGGTCTCGAACACCTTGGCGCCGGCGGCAAAGGCGTAGGAGAGCGCCTGCATGTTGGGCGCCATCATTGCCATACTGAAGGCCCCGATCAGGATTGACAGTATGACGTTCATGACGGTGCCGGACTTGATGTGGCCCGAAGCGAGGAGCTTTGCGCCGAAGTAAAACGCTAAGCTGTAGCCAGAATAGATTACGAAGAAGAAGACACCCATGCCGATACCTTGATAGAGCGAGCGTTTGATGCCGAAGCGGGTTGCCTGACGGTTGGACTCGTCGTAGAGATCGACGAGATTGTGCTCGATGCCGAAGGCCTTTGCGGTGCGGAGGGTGGCGAGCGACTCTTCTGCGATGGAGGCGGCCTTGGAGACGCGGTCGAGCTCGGCCTGCTGTAGCTTTGCGGTGACGGCGTTCATGAGTGCGCCAGCGATGATGATGCAGGGGATCATGGAGCTGAGGGCGAGAGCGAGCTGCCAGGATTTAACATAGGCGACGATGAAGCCGGTGACAAAGGCGCTGATGAACATGACGGACATGGGAATCTTGTCGCTGATGCCTTCTTGGATGAGCTGGATGTCGGACTGGATGCGAGTGGTGATCTCACCTGCGCCGACGACGTCAAAGTAGGCGATGTCCTGACGGAGGATGGCCTGGAGGTAGTGTTCGCGGATGCGGCGGGTGACGACCTGGCCGGTGTAGATCCAGGCGGCCATGTAGATGTAGGTTGCGACGAGCATGGCGACGCCGATGTACACGAGGAAGAGGACGCCGTGTACGATCTCGGAGTTGAGGTGGTCGCGTGCAGCGGGGATGTCGCCGCCAAAGAGGAGCGCGTTGGAGTACTCGAGGAAGGCGGTGGTGAGGCTGCCAAAGACGATGGTCATGAGAGGCTGAACGGCACCTGCGGCTGCGGCAGCGATGAGGCCGATAAAGTTGAAGAGGTGGTCCCATACGGTGGCGTAGCGGTAGAGCTGCTTGAAGCCGACACGATCCACGGCTTCGTCGTCGCCTTTCTTGTTTTTGGTGCGCTTTTTGTTGGTCGAGCCGGACTGCTTTTCGTCGCTGTCGCGAGCTGGGCTGCTGGATCGGGACGAATCGTCGGACGCAACGCGCTCCTTGTCCGAGTCAGGGCTGGAGGAGGCGCTCGTAGGTCTACGAGAGGGTGCATTGATGGGGACGTTGACATGGTCGGCTCGGGATGAGGAGGCGGCCGCAGGTTGGTGGTCGTCGTGGCGCTCTGCATGGCCGTGGTCGATCTCGCCGTCGTCAGAGTGGTCAGCGTCGATGGCGTGGATGGGCTGCGGGTCGCTGAGGATAGCATTCTGAGCATCCTTTGCGCCCGAGTCGAGGTGAGGCTCTAGGGTGGCGCCCGCCTCGCCTGGTTGAATCGCTTCGAACTGTGCCTGGTTCGGCATGGCGGCTGCTCCTGACTGTGCCGAGGCCATTGTGAAGACAGGCCGGCGGCGTGTGAGTAGAAGGAACGGATGGCGACGATGGACGTCGTAGGAAGAGAAGGTCGGGCCGATGCGACCGAGTGGCTGGCGTTGCAACAGGCCGTGTTGGGCAGGTGGGCAGGTGGGCAGGTGGGCAGGTGGGCTGCTCTTCGGGTGCAGTCATTACTCCGAGCAGCTTCATTGATTTGACCTGCGTGGAGACCCTTGTTTGGGCCATCCCAACCTTGGCTGCCGGTCTGACTGTGCATCCGACTGTCGTTTCGCCTGTCTGCTGGTCTTGGCACCGGCCCGACCGCGCCAAAATCGCGGTTCAAAATAGGCAGGTTTGGGGATTTTTTAATAGCATTTGCCGCACGCGCGCAGCTTTTCCCCCTCAACCCGCGCTGCACCTGCTTTGCTCACTCAATTCCGCGGAGCTGCCACACATCTCCCCCCCATCTCCCCCCCACATCCATCTTCATCAGCCACGCACGGCAGACATATGAATGGAGTGGCGATCATGAATACATAGAATCAACGTGCGAACAAACAAATAATACTAAAAACAACCCACTTCAAGCCTCGAGGCCCTTGACGTGGTCGACCGTAGACTTGATCTCGCCCACGCGCGCCGTCGTCGTGTCGAACCACTCGATGGCCAGGTTGGCCGACGCCTGCTTGGCCTCCTGCTTCTCCACCTCGGCGCGGCGCTGGGCGATCGCAACGCGGAAGCGCTCCTGCAGATCCCACGAGGCCAGACGCAGCACCTTGCGCGTCTCGCGTCCCACACGCGCAGAGTGCACCGCACCAAACGACACCTCTTCGCCGCGCTGCTCGTCGCCACCGCTGCTGCTAGTGCTGCTGCTTCCATTGCCGCGCACAAGGCTGCCCGAGGCCAGACCGTTCTTGATGTTGCGACCAATGTTGCGAGGCACGCTGTTGGGCAGGTCGTAGATAAAGTACACCACCAGTCCCGTCGACACCACCGCCAGCACCGGCGCCGCCCATCGACGCGCCGTCGGGTTGCCCACCAGATCCGAAACGCGCACAAACGCATCGATCGCCGTCTTGGCGCCCAGCGCCTTGCTCCCCATCAGCGTCAGCGCTCCCAGTCCCAGCGACACGGGCGACACCAGGCTCATCTCGTCGTCGCTGCTGCTGCTGCTGCCGTCCTTGGTGCGCTTGTCGTGCGTGAGCTTGCCGCCCGTCACCACGACAAAGTGGTGGTAGACGTCCAAAAAGTCGCTCGGCTGCACCGCCACCACTTCAGCACCCAATCCGAGCCCCACCAGGCCCGGCATCGCACGGCGCTTGGCAAACATGGCGTCCGGGTTGAAGATGCGCGTGCGCGTCTCCGCCTCGTCCTGCGGCAGATGCGCCAGTCCGAGCTTCTGCACGCGGTCCACCGCCTGCGCCGCCGTGCCGCGCGCCGTATCCTCCACCGAGCGCAGCGCCAGCTCGAGCGACGACGTGAGCGCATGACGCACCTCCTGCGCATACTCCCACACATTGAACAGACCCGGGTAGGCGGGCAGCGTCACCGCCTCCACCGCAGGCTTGCCGTTGCCAATGAGGTCGATGGCCGAGCTGAGCTTGCGCTGCGCCTCCTGCATGACCGCCGTCACCGCCTCGTCCTCCTCGCTCTCCACCACGCTCTCCAGCTTGTGCTGCGACGCCTGGCACCTCGCCAGCTCCGGACGCGCCACCTCGAGCGCCTTGATCGCCTCGGCCAACTCGATCTGCGCCACCTGCGTGTTGATCTTGGCGAGGAACGCAATGTCCGACAGCAGGCGCACCATGTACGTCTTGGATGGCAGCAGCTTCGACTTGGCGCGCTTCAGCAGCACAAAGTCGCGCAGCGCCGCCTCCAGACGCGCAAACGCCTGCAGGCTCTGCGCGCTGCGTGTCTCGACGCTCAAAGCACCGCCCTGCACCTTGAGCCCGAGCTCCTCCGACGGCGTGTCCGGTGCCGCGCCAGCCTCGGCGTCGTCCACCTCGGCGCCAAACACGGCCTGCGAATCGACAAAGTGGACCAGGTTGGCGGCGTCGTCGTAAGTGCGCGGGCTGAGCTGACGGATCTGGTCGAGCACGAGCTTGCGGCACTTGTCCTTGTTCTTGATGGACTCGAACTTGTTCACCACGATGAACACGAACGCCTTGTCGTGCGACGCATTCCACAGGAACTCCTTGGCCGAGAGCGTAAAGTGGTTCTCTGCGCTCACCACAAACACCACCACGTCGATCTCCTCCTGGCGCGCAAACAGCGCGGTGGTCTTGAGGCTGTCGCGGTTGAGGCCGGGCGCGTCGATGAGCGCAATGTCCACGATGCCGTTCTTGAGCAGCGAGTCCTGGGTGGCACGCGTGTCGCGCGCATAGCACTTGAGGATGGGCGCGTCTTCGGGCGACATCTCCTCGGCCTCGGCCACGATCTGCTCAATGTCGTCGAGCGTGTGGCGCGTGAAGGTGGAGGGGTCGCGCGCCGAGTACTTGACGCCGTGCTTGAGCATGTGCACCTCCTCGACGTCGTTGTTGCTTTCCGAGGCGTCGAGCACCTCGCAGAAGACGGTCGTGCACGGCTGCTGGTCGATGGGCATGAGCGGACGACGCAGCAGCGCGTTGACAAACGTCGACTTGCCTGCGTTGAGGTCACCGGTGACGAGCACCTTGGACTGGGTGTCGGTGAGACGCTGCTTGAGGTTCTCCAGATGACGCTCCGACTTTTCCATGCGTCCGTCCAGAAGCTGGGCAACGGAGGAGCGTTCGAGCGAGCGAACGAGTGCGTGGGGATCGGCAGCTACGGAGCCGACGCGGAGGTCGAGCTTGAGCACCGACATGTCCGTGGACTCGTCCGAGTCTTGGTCGTCGTCGTGGTGAGCGGTGGTGGTGTGGCGTGCGGGTGTGTTGGGCAGGCTGGCGTGCGCTGCGGGCTGAGTGGTGTAAGCGCGCATTAACGCAGGAGGTGCTCGACGCGGTGTAGAGTCTGTGGAAGAGGAGCTGGAAGACGGGTGTGCGTCTGCCTCCTCGGGGCTGTGAGAGAGCGCATTGGACTGGGTGCGCCTGTGCTGGCCGAGCTGCGGACGCGACGGTCCAGGCTTTTGTGCATTCTCATCGTCGGCGGTGGCGTAGTGGATGATACGCTTGTTCTTGTTGAAGTCGCGGAGGTCTGCGAGCAGGTGGCTGGTGTTGTCGATGGCGCCGAGCAGCGTGTCGCGCGACTGCTCAAACTCGGACTGGTGCTGCGCGAAGGTCTGCTGCGCGTCGTTGTTGGCGCGAGCCTCGTCGATCTGGCGCTGCTTGGTGCGGAAGAGGTCGCCACCGTTCAAGGAGGCAGAGACGGTGGGCAATGGAGCCACGACGTCGGCTGTGTGAGAGCGCACTGGCTTCTTGGCGGGTGTGGCGTACATCTGTGGTGCGTTGTTGTTGTCGGACATGGTGAAGAGTATGCTCTGGGCGAGGAAAGAGTGTAGATTAGAGGCGGGAGCGCATGGCACGACCAACTTTGCAAAGGAAAGTGATGTGCGTAGGCTGTATGAGATGTGGTAGCGAGAGAGAGGACGATGGCGAGCGAGCCGATGACGATGGCAAGCAAGGATTTCAGTTGCAATAATCGCACACACAGAGGCGCGACTTGGGGCACTCGCTGACAGAGCCTACAGCTAAGCGCGCAATTCTGTGATTTGGAGCCAACCTCTCCACCCGGTCCATCCGATGCGCGCGTGGCGGCGGCTCAGCAAAAGTTTTGGATCGGCTGACCAGCGACTGAGCGCGACTCGGCCGGAACGCCGTCGCTCTTCGCGTACGCTTTGCAAAACACTACGAAAAAACATCTACAAAAGCTTGGCTTCGGCCCCAAAAAAGACGCGGACGCTGCATCGGTGTATCGAGCAGCCGACGTAACATATTTTGCTCAAAAATTACTCTTCCGACGCTCGTTCATACGTTCAAGGAGCCTGTTCAATACGCAGTCGAAGGCAGCAGGCAGGAGGAGTGCAAGTTGTCGTGATATTGCCATTGACGAATGATGACGCTGCTGTCAGATGTTCGAAGCGATGCACTTAGACCAGGTCGAAGAACTTCATGTCGATCTTGTTGGTGAGATCGCGCGCCTGGCCCATGAGCGCCTGGAAGTCCTCGCCGGCGCGGTGCTTGGTGGTGGCGACGTCGCTGCCCTGGTTGTCGTATTGCTCTGTCGTTGTTCGAGGATAGTGTCAGTGGAGATGTGGCGTTGTGGCTTGTGCAAGGGCGCGTGGACTCACCAAAGACGACGATGGTGTTGGGGTCGTCGCGGCTGCGGCCGGGGATGTAGTTGAGGCAGTTGGGCTCCTCGTCCGAGTTGGCGCGGGCGGCGACCTTGTTGAGCATGGCGACGATCTTGTCGGCCTCGGCGGCGCCCTTGGCCTCGATGCTGTCGTCACAAAGTGGACCGGACGCAAGAGGGTGAGCGACGTCGCCTTGAGCCATTAGCCTTGCGGTGAATGCGCGATACTTACGTGACCCACATGGAGAACTTTCCGGTAGGAGCAGACATTGTGAGCGATGGTCGATGGATTGGAGGTGGTGTGTGATGAGGGATGGTAGAGGAGAAGAAAAAGCTCGAAGTCTTTTCAATCACGGCTTACCTCCGGGCCGTCCAATGAAGCGAGGACGGGGATAGGCGAGTTTTGGTAGCCGGCGGTGGGTTGAGCTTTTTGGCAGTTTGGTTAGCCGAAGCCGGGCCCGCCATGCACAAGGCAGCCGGTGCATCAAATTCTCGCTCTGCAAGTATGCTACGGTCTAACAAGTAAAAAATCGAGCTGCACAGCGACGCAATCGATACAATATGAAAGCGGTGATTGCGCCGCTCGGATATCCGTCCAATCGCATCCGAGACAAGTGCCATCATCACTGTCGCTCATCATCGTATCATATGAGCAGCCGGCGCTCAGTGGAATGCCCCGAGGCGGGTCTGCCTAGTGCACATACAGTGCGATAAGGCTGCCATGGCTCATGGCCAAGGCTCGCGGGTTGTCAGCGTGGGGGGGATGAGTTGACTGTGGGGAAGAAGGCTGCTGCACCGAGTCACAAGCGATTGACGGCCAAGTCAAATTCGAATTGGAGAGAGCAAATTCGAGCGAAATTTGCCGTGCGGTGGGCGAGGCGACCGAGGCATTCGAACGGTGGTGACGCCGGCGCTGCAGCTCCAAATGCAGGTGGATTTTCGCAGTCGGAGGATTAGAATTGCGTTTCGCATGCAGCCGTCAAACCACACACGACAGGCAAACAGTTCGTCCTATCTTTGTTCTTCCACCACCACCACCACCATCAAGATCATGCTCGCACAACGATCCGCACTACCGCGATGGGCGGTCATCGCCATTGCCGCGCTCGTGCTTCTCGCCACCTCCACCCTCGCCGCCCCTTCCTCTCCAGAAAACTCGACATCTCCGATACCACCCGCAAAACAGCCGCACCACCACCACAAGCACCAACAAAAACAGGTCCGAGATGAATGGTCCTCCATCATGGGCTGGTACGTTGGCTGTCTCCCGTCCTCCTCACATCTGCGCATACGAGCTACTTGCTGACTCTTCCTCTTGTCTCTTTCTCTTGCGCGCCCGACAGGGTTTCGTAAGTACTAACCAGATCGTCGTCGGCCACCCACGCCGTAGCACGCACGCACGCAACAATGTCAGCTAAGTCGAAAAACAACATCTCCTCTTGTCTACACCCGCCATTCTCGCGCAACAGCATCGCATGCTGGGTAATTGTCTATTCGCCGTACGTGTCTCTCGTTCTTTCATCCTCCCTAATCTCTCGCCTTGCTTGCCCCCTTACACCCAACCTCTCAGGTCTTGCCCTCTTTCAGTCAAATGCACCAAAACTACGTCTCCAAGTCCGCAGAAGGCCTCTCCATCACCTTTGTCGTCATCTGGCTCGCAGGTGATGCGCTCAACGCCGCAGGCGCCTGGTTCCAGGGTCTGCTTTGGACCATGGTAAGTCCATCTCCCGTACCAACCTACAGATCTCTCGCAAAACGCAGTGCTGACGAGTATTGTTTGGCTTCGCCGCCTCCCACAGATCATCCTCGCTCTGTACTACTGCGCATGCGACTGCGTGCTCATCTTCCAGTACTGGTACTACTCCAAATACTACCACCGCGGCGTCAAGATCTCGACCATCTCGGCGTCGCTCGAGGCCAACGAGCGCACGCCGCTCATCGGCGACGGCAGCGTCATCGAGGACGATCTGTCGGCCAAGGACGATTCGGACGACGACTCGTCGGTGCGCACCCAGATCATCATGTACACCATCGCTGCGCTCCTGGTCGTTGCCACGGGCGTGGCTGCATGGTGGGTTGCCGAGCACTCGTACGGCTCTGATGACGACTTGCCACCCGCCGCGCCCGAACCCGTAGGCTGGCGCTGGGACGCACAGGTGGCCGGATGGCTCTCGGCGATTCTGTCTCGTCGCGCGTGCCGCAGATCCTCAAGAACCGCACCACAAAGTGCGAGGGTCTCTCGCTTGCGCTCTTCGTCTTTGCCGTCGCAGGCAATCTGACGTACGTCGCCAGCATTTTGCTTAAAAGCACCAAACACGACTACCTCGTAGAGAGCTTCTCCTGGCTCGTCGGCAGCCTCGGCACCGTGTTTTTGGACTTTATCGTGCTGGGGCAATTCATCCACTACCGCAGGGCCAGGCGCGAGATCCACAGGCTCCGAAGGTCCAGCATCGCCCACCACGAGCGCGAGCGTCCACGCATCAACGCCACTCCCTCGGCCTGAATCTTTCAATCCAGCCCAACAGCATCTTTTATGTCCTCATAGACTCGGCACCAATCACACTCAGCACAACATCGCATTTCATTGGATCATTTGCAAGCAAGCGAGAGTGGCGGTGTTCTAGCGGTTGCGTGTGCCTCCGAATCCAGTGCTTTGGTGCCAATCGTGCGAGTCGGAACGCGATTCCCAGCCTCGCCGATTCGTCGACGGTCCTGCCACAGGCGAGCGAAATCCGTACGGTCCTTCGTCAAAGTACGTCGGCTGGGCGTGCGCGGTGGGGCGTCGCCGCGATGCTGCAGTGGCCGCAGCCAAGCCCCCAAGTCCCAATCCCGTCCAAAATCCAGGTCGCCACGATGACGATCCCGAGTCTGGCTCCGATTTGGGCGTGTACGGTGGTGGAGGCCCGTTGTTGGGGAAGAATCCTCCTCCTGGCCACCACCCTCCTCCACCACCACCTCCACCGCCACTGCCACCTCTTCCACCCGTAGAGGCACCTGGTGCATGCGGTCGTCCTCTGATAGACTGCCAAAACCCGTACGCGATCGTTGCGAGGATACCCCAGAATATCAGCTTGAACAACAGATCCACCATCGAGCTTGCCGCTTTCGGGCGGTACGTTCTCCACGGATCGTCCGGGCCGGTCTTTGCCGGCAGAAGAGTGTACGTGAGCGCACAGCTGTCCTTGAGCACATATGGATCGTCGGCGTAATCGTATCCCTCGCAGCTGACTTCCACCCGGCCCAGGCGGAGGGTTGTGGGCAGGTCCGCAGCGCACTTCCACTGTCCATCGCCCATCGACTGGCACTGCACCACGTTCGGCTGGTAGCGCGAACACGCCGACCCCACACACTTGAGCTGCGGCAGCGGCTCCGTTCGACGATACGCCGTCCGCTCCCCCGCGTAGAACGTGAGTGTCCGGATGGACGACATGGCGATTCGACGCCCCGCACCGTAGTACGGCAGATTCGGATGGTACGCCCATGTCGACCCGAGAAGCGAGAGTAGCGCCACGACAGCAAATGCCACCGTGGCAGCGCTTGGTTTGGCAACTGTCGCCCGCATCAGTGTAGCCGCTTGGTAGGAGGAAGGTTGTGGTGGTCGCAGCACAGAGCGAAGCTTTCCTCGGGCGAAGCTGAGCCCCGGCTGGTGGCGGTAAGGTGGTAACGAAGCAAAGCAAGTTTGCAAGGTGACGTGGAATGCCGCCATGCCTCCACTTGGCCCACGCTTTCCGCCACAGCACAGCACGCATTTTATTCATTTTGATTTAATTTTATTTATATCGCATCTTTCCGCAGCTTTCGGCTCCCCGCAGAGCCTGACAGGAGTCGTCACGACTCGCTACAGATGCGGGCTGGAGGCCTGCTCCCTCCTGAGCACAAACGTCGGCTTCCTCTCTCCGAGCACATCCCTCACGACATCGGCGAGCCAGTCCCGCGTCTGGGCCGGATCGAGCACGGTATCGATCTCGGCCATGCTCGCCACGTTCGTCGCACTGCCGCCCGCATAGAGCTTGGTCACGGCAGCGTCGGCGACGCGCTTGCGCTCGGCGTCGTCGGCGATGGCGGCGAGCTGCTTCTTCATGCTCAGCTGCACGGCGCCCTCGAGCGACATGGGTCCCAGGCTCGCAGCGGGCCACGCGGCACAGATGGCGTTGCTGAGCGTGCTGCCTCCGAGCATCGCCTGGGCTCCAAGCCCGAATGCGCGACGCAGGATCACGCCCACAAAGCGGCCGCCCGACTGGCTGAATTCGGCCGCGGCGGTGAACCAGTCGCCGAAGACGCGGAAGCTGCCCCCGCCGCGCGCGGTGCGCTCGAACTCAGGACCCACCATGAAGCCGGGCGTGTCGCAAAGGCTGATAAGGTGGGCACAGCGCGTGCGTGCCAGCAGCCGCAGCAGACGCGTCGCCTTGAGGGCGGCCTCGATGTCGATCGCCCCACCCAGCGCCGACATGGGGTCGTTGGCAAGGATCGCTACGGCGCGTCCCTTGAGTCGCGCAAAGCCCGTGATGATGCCCGTACCCCAGTGCGCGCCCAGCTCCACCCACGAGCCGTCGTCGACGAGCAGCGAGATGACGCGCCGCATGTCGAAGGCGCGCCGGCGCTCTTGCACCGATGGCAGGCTCGTGCGGAGCTGCAGCACGTCGCCCGAGTATCGCCATGCCCGCTCGGACAGCTGATGGTGCGTCCACATACCCACGAGCGTGCGTGTGAGTGCGGCGGCTTCGTCCTCGTCCGCCACCACCACGTCCACTCCGCCCGTCGCAGCGTGGATGGCAGTCGGGCCGATCTCGTCCGACTCAAACACGCCCAGTCCGCCCGCCTCGATCATCGCACTGCCGCCCATGCCGATCGAGGTCTTTCCCACGCCCTTGGTGTCGACACCCTGCGCGGCGGCTCGGGCTGCATCGCCGCCGCGCGTCGCCACCACCACATCGCACGTGCCCAGCAGCGCCGCATTGCCCGCAAACACGTAGCCGTTGGCGACGCCGACGATGGGGATGCCCTTGGCGCGCACCTGGCCCATGAGCGCAAACGAGGGCGTGTGCAGGCCCGATCCGGACGGATAGTCGGTATCGCCCGGTCTGCCGCCGCCACCCTCGGCGTACAGCACCACGGGCGCCGGGTTGGAGAGCACGGCGAGCAGCAGACGGTCGAGCTTAAGATGGTGCATGTAGCCCTGCGTTCCGGCGAGCACGAGGTAGTCGCCCAGCATCACGCCCACCGTGTGGCCGTAAATGCGTCCGAAGCCCGTCACGATGCCGTCGCCCGTCGTCTTGTCCATGAGCTCTGGGATGGTGTAGCGCTTGCGCTGCGCTGCGAGGGCAAGGTCGCCGTACTCGACGAGCGAGTCGGCGTCAAGAAGCATGCTGATGCTCTCGCGCACCGTGCGGTAGCCTCGTGCGTGCCGTTTGGCCACCGCCGCCTCGCGGCCCGAGTCTGCAATCGCGCGACGTCGCTCTTGCAGCTCCACCAGCTCGGGACGCGGCACGTTGGGGTCCTCGCTCACCTCTTCGGCCGCGGCTGAATCGGTGTCGCCGGTTGCAGCGCTTTCGGACCCCGCAGCAAGGTCAACCACAAGCAGCAGGTCAGAGGCACTCACCACGCTGCCTTGCTCGACGGCGATGCGCTGCACGCGCCCACCCGCAACAGACGCATCCGCACGCACCACATGCTCCATCTTCATCGCCTCAATCACCATCACCTCCTGCCCCGCCACCAGCGTGTCGCCCTGCGCCACTGACAGCTTCACCACCAGCCCGCCCAGATGCGACCTGACCGCCGCCTGGCCCTCGCCCACCTGCACTTCATCCTTGGTCGCGCTCTCTCCTGTCTGCGTGATAGACGCACGGCTCGGCGCCGAAGCGAAGAGCGCCTCGAACTCGTCGGCGTGTTTCCTGAGCGCGGGGAAATCGGTCTGCACGGTGTGGATGTGGTGTTGGGCGTTGCGCACCGGCTCGTGCGTCAGCAGCGCGAGGAGGAACGCGGCGTTGGTGCGCACCCCTCTGATCGTCGTTCCCTCCAACGCGCGGCGTGCAGCACCCAGTGCCGAGGCGTAGTTCGGCGCGGTCACGATGATCTTTGCGAGCAGGCTGTCGAAGAGCGGATGCACTGCGTACACTCCATGCTTGGGATGCGGGGGATGGGCTGCGCTCTCGACGCGCACATGTCCGCCCGTGGGCCAGATGAGCGCGTCGATGCTACCGGTCTCGGGGCGCACCTCGTCCGTTTCGCCGCGGAACGACTCTGCATTCACGCGGAGCTGGATCGCAACCTTGGAGGGGAACGCCACTGCCTGTGTTGCGAGTCCCAGCTGGGGCAGTGTGCGGCCGAGACCGACGAGGAGCTGCAGCGCCACGAGGTCGTGGCTCGTGACGTTTTCGGTGATGGTGTGCTCGACCTGAATGCGCGGATTGGCCTCCATAAAGTAGAAGCTCGCGGTGGGCTCGTCGACCAGGAACTCGACCGTCGCCAGGCTGCGCAGCTTTGCGGCACGGGCGAGGCTGAGTGCGGCGTCGATGATCCGCTTGCGCAGTGCAGCGTCGAGGCGGGGGGCGGGGGCGATCTCGACGAGTTTCTGATTGCGCCGTTGCAGCGAGCATTCGCGGTCCCAAAAGTGGCACACCTGACCAGTGCCGTCGCCGAGCACTTGCACCTCGACATGGCGTGCATTCACCAGGAAGCGCTCGGCATAGACCGTTCCGTCGCCGAAGGAGGCGGCTGCCTCGCGCGTGCACGACTCGTACGCATCCGCCACCGCCTTCTTCGCCTCGGCCGTGTTGGGTCCAATAGACACAATGCGGATCCCGCGTCCGCCACCGCCATTTGCTGCCTTGAGAATGATCTTCCCTCCCGGCGGAATCGATCCTGCAAACGCCAGAATGTCGTCTAGCGCCGAAGTGCTGTGTGCACGTGTGCCCTGAAGGATGGGCACTTTGAGACGCTGCGCCAGCTCGCGCGCCGAGACCTTGTTGCCCAGCAGCTGAAGCTGGTCGTGAGTGGGACCGAGAAAGACGATGCCGTTGTCGTGGCAGAGTTTCGAGAAGTGAGCGTCTTCCGACAAGAAACCGTAGCCAGGAGCAATGCCCCAGCATCCGTGCTGTTTCGCGGCAGCGACGAGCGCCTGAGCATCGAGGTAGGCTTTCGGTCCTTCGCCGTCGAGCTGGTGGGATGCGTCGGCGAGCGCAACGTGCAGCGCATTGGCTTCCGACCGCGTGTACACCGCCACGGTCTCGATGCGTGGAGTCGCGGCGTCGAGAGGGAAGAGCTGATAGGTGCGGATGAGGCGGCAAGCGATCTCGCCACGGTTGGCGATCAAGATGCGCTTCGACATGGTTTGCACTTGAGCGCGCACGTCAAATTCAAGCGTGCTCATCAGGGTATAGATGCGGTTGCGAGCAGACGGTCCAGATTGAAGGTGGTGGGCGAGAGCACCTGGTGGGGAGGTCAGTGCGGGGTTGATTGAATGCGGGGTTGATTGAATGCGGGGTTCGTTGACATAAATCCACATAGCCGGTGCAGCCGGAATATCCAAAAAGTCGGCTTTGGAATGCCGCTTTCAAGCCGAGCTAACCGGTCTTTCGGCGTCGGCATCCTTCAACCCCACACAACGCGCGCTTGCTCACCAGCCCAACTCTCACGCAATTCCCCCGCCACTCCATCACAGCATGTCAGATAGCGAGCAACACGATTGACTAAAGATGAAAGTGAAGCTAAACGGGAAACGCAAATGAAATCGAAAGTATGAATCGTCGTTGGAACTTGAGGCTTTACTTGGCAGCAGCCGCCCGCCTGGGGCGGCCTGACCTCGTGGTAGCCGCCTCGTCGTCGGTCTTGGGCTTGGCCTTGCTTCTGCTCGATGCCGTGGTTGAGGTGGCAGGTTTGGTAGCTCGAGGCTTGGATGCAGCGGCGCGCGTGCGCGTCTTGGGTGCCGGAGCTGCTTCTTGCTCTGACTGCTCGTCGTTCTCAGCCGACGATTCCGAGGGGTCATTCTCCTCGGCGGGTGCAGCGGCTTTGGTGCGGGTGGTCCTGGTGGCCGTGGTGCGGATGCGCGTGCTGCGTGCGGCGGGCTTGGTCGGCGAGCTAGCTGCCTTTCTGGTGGTGGCGCGCTTGCCCCTGGTGGTGGTGGGTGCAGCCTCGTCGTCGCTCGCCTCGTCATCGCCGTACGCTGCGCTGCTCGATGGATGCGCCGCCTCGCTCGCCTTGGCTGCACGGCTGCGGCTCGCGCGGGCTGGCTTGGTGGTCGTCGATGCCGTGGTGCGCGTAGCCCGCGCCCGAGTTGCGCGCTTCGGCGCCTCCGCAACCTCTTCTTCCTCCTGCCCATCCTGCTCTTCCTCGTGGTTGTCTTCCTCCGTCGTCGGCTCGTTCTCGCTCTCCGCTACCACCTTGGCGTCCTCCTCAGCCTCGCTGCTCTTTGCCGCAGAGGCCTTGGTACGGCGCGTCCGCTTCTCGGGCGAGGCGACGGGCACTTCCAACACCACTGCAATCGCCTGACTCGCTGCAGCCTTGGCCTTCCTCGTGCCAGTGCGACGCGTCGCCTTGGAGGGCGACTCGCTCGCATCCTTCTCGGCCTCGACAGCATCTTCCGGCTGGCCAAACACCTCAGCCGCGGTCGTGGCAACTTCTTCTGCCGACTCAGCCTCTGGCTGCGGAGCTGTGTCGCCGAAAGCGCGCTTGACAGGCGACGAGCGTGTGGCGCGCTTGGTGGGCGAGACTGATCGAGTGCGTGGCTTGGTGGGAGACACGGATACTGCGCGGCGCGAAGCTCGCGTCTTGGTGGGCGAGGGCTCGAGCGGTGCTGGCGCCTCTTGCTCGTCAGCAACCACCTCGGTCTCCTCGTGAGTCGGCTCGGGCGAAGCGGCTACAGCCACATCCTCGATGTGTGCATCATCGACGGGAGCTGCCTCTGGCTCGATGGCAGCGTCAGCTGTTGACTCGGCGTGGTCAGCCTCTACCTGGTCCTCCTGGAACTCTGTATCTTCCTGGGTCACCTCCGAATCGACCAATGCCTGTGCGATCACTTCGTTGTGGGCGTCCATGGCGGCGGCATCAAACATGGTGACGTGCAGCTCTGCCTCGAACGCGGGCTGGACCTCGGCGACGGGCGTCGGCAGCGGAGTCACGGCAGGCGTAGCCAGGTCTGGCATCGATGGCAGCGCCCTCGGAGTGGTCGGCGTCGCGAGGGGAGTAGGAGGAGCGGCGATGGTTGCAACTGGCACCAGCACTTCGGCTGCCTCGCTGCGTCGTACACTGCGGCGCGGCTTGGACGGGCTTGCTGCGAGCGCAGCCTTCGTAGGCGAGCGCTTGGACGGCGAGAGGATGGCGCTGATCTCTGGGTTGGCGGCACGCATTCGCTCGCCAAGCACGCCGTACTGAGGCGTCTTCTCCGGGCTGGGCTGCAGCATCGAGGCAAGGCCGTTCATGTTGGGAGTGCCGGGTGCGGCGGCTGCAGCAGAGAAGAGGTGTCGCATCGAGTTGAGTGCCGCTGGAGTCTGCGGGACTGCAGGCTGCGGTGCGGCGCTCTCCGTCACCGGGCGTTCCGGGCTCGACGGGTTCCTCGAGCTGATCTGCACTACTTCCTCCTGTGTCACCTCCTCATCATCATCGTCTTGCTCGTCGTCCGTGGGCTCCTCTTCCTCGGCGGTGAACATGTCATTGAGCGCGTCTGCGATCCTGTCCGACTCGGGCTCGGCCGCGCCGTCGTGCAGAAGGTCAAAGCCCATCGACAGCTCGGTAGCCGGCAGCCCGACGTCCGAGACGCGCACCACCTTCCTGCTCTTGGACGGCGATGAGCTGCTGGCATCGACGGCCGTGTCGCGCGTCTTTTCGTGCACGATGCGCTCACCTGCACCGCTGATCTGCAGACGCACAAGCGCCGTACGTGCCGAGGGCTTGGCATCGCTTGCACCCGCCGGCGGCATCGAGATGCGGCGCGAGTGTGTCTTGGATGCAGGCTGCGGCGTGGCGAATTGCGGGAGCGCCGAGGCTTTGACGGGGCTGAAGTTGTACACGGGCGGCTTTTGTGGCGAGAGCGAACTGACCGAGAGGCTCTGGTCCACTTCGTCCTCGTCCTCGTCCGAGTCTCGCCAGGCCTGTGCGGGCGTCTCCTCGACAAGCGCGGGATCGAGCAGCGATTCAAAGTCGTCCTTGTTCTCTTCTGCGGCCGAGATGTCTTCGAAGGAGGCGGAAGCAGTAAGACCTTCGGGCTGCGGCAAGTCGACCATGCCAGACAGGCTCGAGGGCATCGACATGGACTTGGACAGGCCCGAAGCGCCGGGCGTGGCGGGCGACGGCGGTGGGGGAGGCAGGAAGAGGCGATCGGAGTACGCCTCGCTGGAGCGCAGAAGCGTCTGGGTACGCAGAGACACCCTGCGCTTCGTCGAGAGACTGAGGCGCGGGCGCCGAGGCAGCGGTGTGAGGCCGACAAAGTGCTGCTTCTTGACGGGTGATGGGGTCTTGCTGATGCCGAGCCTCATATGTTTGGACGCAACACGGCGAGCGCTGGGGCTCAATGCGACCGCCGATGCTTGCTCCTCTTCCGGCTCGACGTCTGATGCATCCGAAAAGTGCTCAGCTGCCTCCTCACTCTCTGGCTCCTTCGACGACTCCACGGGCTCGACGGCCTCGACGGGCTCGCTGGGCTCGCTGGGTTCGGTGCGCTCCTCAGCGTAGAAGCCGAGGCTCATGCCCTTGAAAGGACCGGCCCGTCCAAAGAAGCTGCTGCGACGCTTTGCGCGCTTGGGGCTGCCGCCCTTGCTGGGCGAGCCAGCAGGCGCGTTGTCGCTGCTCGCGCTGGGCGGAGGAACGTTTTCCGCATCCTCAGCAGCGTCGATCGAGCTCATCGGCGAGTCTTGAGTGGCGTTGTCAGCCTCTGGCTCGCCTTGAGCCTGCGTGACTGCAGCCTCGGCCTCCTGCTCTAGCTCCTCGACAATCACAATGTCTTGCTCCGACTCGTCGTGCTGAGCGTCTTCCTCGGCATGCTGCTCTTCGACGTGCTCGCTGTCGCTGCGGAGGCTGCCGTCGTGCTCCTCGGACATGGCTTCGAGGGGTGGCATCATCCTCATCTGCTTGACGGGGCTGAGCCTGCCCGAGTACGAGTTGGCGTAGAGGCTGAAGCTGACCTGCTTGGGCGGGGCGGTCTTGGGGTCGGCGGCTATGGTGCGGCTCTTGAGCGGGGTGGCGAACAAGCCGGTGGTGGATGTGGATGAAGTGAGGCTCTGACGGCCCGACCTTTTCGCCTTGGAGGGGCTGACATTGGCGGACTGCATGAAGCGCTGGAGGCCGTTGGCCCTGCGTGCCTCCCTATCGGTGTCGTCTGCGTTGCGAGACTTTGCAGGCGATGCCGCTTTGCGAGAGGCTCGAGCCGGTGTGTCGATCTGAGCCGCATTGACCAGGCTCATCCTGACGCGCCTTCGCGGGCCAGCTGGAGTGTGGGGTGCTGCCGCCGACGGCTTGCCTCCCTTGACTGGCGAGGCGAACAGGTTGGCCGACTGCTTGGCTGCGTCGACATCAGTGGTCTCTGGAAGCTTGAAGAGGAAGGAGCGCTTGGCAATAACGATCGAGTCGCCCGAGTGGAGCTGGTACGTGCCTTGGCCGCGGGGAGCTGGGAGCGCCTGGACGCCATTGAGGAGCACGCCGTTTGCACCGAGCACCTGAAGGAAAGCGGCGTTGCCCTCGGGTGCGGCCTGGATCTCGATTTCGATGGTGCAGTGAATCCTGCTGACGTCGCTAGCGAGGAAGCGGACATCGTTCTCGATGGATCGACCGAGGGTGGTTTTGAGGTTCTGGATGGGGAAGGTCTCTTTCTGACGGCCCTTCTTATCGAGCAGGACGAGGAAGGCGAGGACTGGATCCGATTGCACTTCGCTGTGAGTCGCCGACGAGGAGTGCTTGGTGGGCGACTGGACCGCGCTGGTTGTGGGTGCATCGAAAGTGTCCTTGACGGGTGAGGATGGGCGAGATGAAGAGAAGAAGTTGGTGAAGCTGTTTGACCTGCGCAGAGGCACAAAGGTGTTTGGCTTGTTGGATGGCGACAGGACTCCAGCAGGAACGCCACCTGAGCCCATGTCGGTTTGAGAGGTGCTTGGGCTCATGCCGAACGACCTGCGGAGCGTGTTGAGCATGGTGAGCGGCTGAGCTGGAGATGTCCGACGACACTATGGATGGGAGGGTGGACGAGCTTCAGTGGAACATGCGTGGGCGATCGACGGTCGAGACTTCGTTGACGATGCAGCGCTGTGTAGACGCCGCGGGTATGTGTGAAGCCGAGATGAAGTTGAGGTGTGAGTGTCGAGAGGCAAGTTGGAGCGGGCGTGCGGATCCGACTTGAGCTCTGGCCCGGGACCTGGTCTTTGGAGAGTGACTGCCAGGAGAGCAAGAGAGCGGGAGCGGCAGCCCGATGCTCGTCTTCAAAGCGGCCTCTCTCCGACTTCCGCCTCCGCGCTCTGCGCCGTGTGGAGCGCCCTCCCAAAATGCGGAAGTGAATGCTGAGTGAAGCGGGCCGCTGCAAACAAACAGCCGTCCACCGCCTGGTCCGCGCGTGGACCCTGACGGCTCTGCGCGAGGCCATCACGTGATTTTTGCTAGCGAATCGCTCTAACATCTAGAAAAATTCGATGTCGTGTGTTGGAGCCTCTGGAGCCTCATCCTCCACACCGGGCGGCAGCGGCGGCTCACCGCATGGACCACATCCGCACCTGCCAAACCGGGGAAAAAAGGGCCAAAGGGGAGGCCGAGAAGCATGCCTTGCTGCTTTTTGTCCATCATCTCTCTCTCTCTCGTTCGTCTTCGCTCCAGCGCGTTCGCCCACCATTCTCGCCTTCGCTCCCACCCGCGCACTCTTCAAGATGGCCGCCAAGACCGACGCCAACTGCATCTTCTGCAAGATCATCGCGGGCCAGATTCCGTCGCTCAAGCTGTACGACTCGGACAAGACCTACGCCTTTCTCGGTGAGTTTGCGTGCGTCTTTGCTTCTGTTGCATCATTACGGCTGACATTTGTTTGGCGTTACGGACAGACATTGGACCCATCTCGGAGGGCCATGCGCTGGTGATCCCCAAGTACCACGGCGCCAAGCTGCACGATGTGCCGGACGAGCACCTGACTGAGCTGCTTCCCGTGGCCAAGAAGATCGCCATCGCAACGGGCGCAGACCAGTACAACATCCTGCAGAACAACGGCCGCATGGCGCACCAGATGGTCGACCACGTTCACTGTAAGTCGCGCATCTTGAATCCAGCCCTCGAAAGCTGCAGCTCAAGCTAACTCTTGCTCTTGCCTTGGATTTTCTTCCACAGTCCACGTCATTCCCAAGCCAGACGAGAAGCAGGGTCTTGGTGTCGGCTGGCCCGCTACGCAGCCTGCCAAGGAAGAGCTGTCCAAGCTGCACGACACGATCAAGGGCCGTCTGGAGAAGCTCTAAACACGTTCCCTTCTGTAGCCGCAATACACAGATTTGCTGACAGTTTTACACGGGCGGAGAATGCGATTCGAGATGGCACAGCTTCGGATGTACATGCGAGCGTACACTGGCATGTGGGAGAGAGAGAGATTAGGCAGTGCGGTAGATGAGATGGACGCCGCTGTCCGTGTCGACGATGCTGCTGAGCTCGCCCACCTTGAGACCGAATGCGGCGTCTTCGAACGGCTTTTGCATCTGGCCGCGCTGGAAGAAGCCCAGATCACCTCCCGCGCGTGCGGAAGAGCAGTCCCTACCACACCACGACATAACGACAAGAAAGAGGTCAGAATTCAGTGCTGGTGCGAATGTTGCACGGCGCATGACACTTACGAGTGCACGCTGGCGAGCGAGGCAAAGTTGTCCTTGGCGGGATCCTGCTTGAGTTGATGCTCAAACTTCTTGAGCTGCTCAATCGCATCCTCCCTCGAGCGCGTGATGTTGGCCTGCGCATGATGCCGATCGCAGCAATGGTCAGCTTTTTCCATTGCGCGCTGATGGGTGGGACAGCGACTCACCTCTTTCCAAGAGCTGGGTCTGCGGGAACCAGCATGCTTGATGAGCAGATGGCTGGCGCGCACCTTGTCGGGCTTCTCGGTTGCGCCCGGGGCATTGGCAGGGTCGAGGTACTGTGCGCCCGGAAGCGATCGGATCGACTCGTCCGTATGGCCCTCTGGGATCTCCCATGTGGACTGCTGCGTCACCGGGTCGTAGAAGTACGGCAGTCGACGCGAGTTGCTAAAGCGGATCTCCCACTGAGACTGTCGCAGCGTACTTAGCGTCTACTCGCATGGATTTTCCTGGACCGGAGCAGGCAGACTTACCGACATGGCTGTGTGCTTGCTCGCTTGCTGGCTGCGACGCTGAGGTGATCGTGTTGAGCGTACGGGTGGAATGTCGAACCGTGTGTTTGTCGGAACGAGGGCAATCAACTCTTCCCTGCCGGCGACTGCAGGCGTCGTTCTGGCTGTTGGACCGAGCGCGCCTGAAATCCGTGTTGAGAGTCGAGCGACGTAACACTTTGCCGCAAAAAAATGCTGATTTTGCACCCCCTTTTTCTTGCGATTTTTAGTTTTCTTTCTATACCCTCTCCACGGTTTTCGGGGTCGAGCGATGCTGGAAAAAAGAGGCGCAGGAACCTTCGATTTGCATGGCACGCAGGGCGGGATGGAGCCGAGCGGGCTCGGCTGAACTTTGGCGAGCTGTCTGCAGAGAGCATGGCCGCCGCTGCTGCTGCCGCCGATGTTCAGTATAAGCTATCTGGCTGCTCTTTGCCATGAACAAAGACAGCAGTGGGCGAGCAAGACAAGCCAAGACTCGCATTGAATCCCGCCACGTGTGCCAGCGCAGAATAAGCATTGAACCGCTCCTCTGGTCCTCGCTCTGTTGGTCAGCTCCACTGCAGACGACCGAATCAACCCCCTCAAGAGCGTCCGGCGTTTGGTCTTGCATCGCGTTATTATACAACGGCTCGGCATGGCGTGGACAACGCAGGATGAATTGGGTGGCTGCGATGATGGCGCCATCGCCGATGGGTAGCAGCGTCCCGCGGAATCGTCTCGAGGGAAGGGCGAGAATCCAAAACCCAAACCTGCAGGTCTCTGCAGGCGAGCACGAGGATCGACGGATCTTCCCACGGGCAGCTGCCCACGCCACAACAAGCTCCGATGCCGTCCCAACCGCGCAACACGCTCGTCGCAGCTCGAACCCTCACTTTGAGCGTGGGACGGGTTGCGCTGAGATACGAATGTGTTGCATCATCGGGAAGCAGCTCGGACTGTGCCAAACAAGATGAGCGGGAAAAGCCAAGGCGCCAACCTACAGTATGGGGTCCGGAGGAAAAGGAAAATGAGCGGATCGGAGTTGAATGCTGAGAGTGCACCCCGAGAGAGAGTGAGGCGGCGGGGCACGCGAGCAGCCATGCATCTGCCGACAAAAAAGTCCTGGAAGCGAGGGCCACCCTGAGACAGAAGAAGAGGAAAAAAAGGGTTCGTTCGGCCATGCCGAGAGCCATGCACCCATATGGGTTTGGTTGTGCATATCTGCACCGAGGCTGCATCAGCGCAGTCACAGTCAAAGTCACTCCCACACTCACAGGCACAGGCACATTCAGTCATCGCATCGGCACCACCGAGTCAAACTTTGGCCGGCACACACAACTTGAGCTGCTGCGAGCGTTGCGAGACGGTCGAGAGGGAACGGCGTGGGAAGCAATGGCCCTTTGTCGCCGCCAGAGAGAGAGGAAGAGGGAACGATACGCACGATTGGGGTTGTGGATTTACGCTGCACAGCTACAGTTTCGTCTCCACGTTGCTGAGCCGCGGCCTCGCCGCCATGCCGATATCGAACGGCTCTGGATCCGTAGCCGCTTCGAGCTCCGCTAGCATGGACGGCTGCCAGCCGACCTGCTGATCCCTGTCGATCCCCGACTCCGCATTTCCACACAACAGCTGCGCTCACTCTGCTCTGGATTGCTCTCGGTTGCCAAGCCAGGCCAAGCCAGCATCCAAAGCTTCCCAGCGCCACCCGCTGGCCTCGCAACCCTCGACCACCACAAACTCCACTTCCCGGGTCTCGCAATCTACACAATCACGCCCATGCTCGTCACCTCTTGCCTCCAAGCCACACGCCCGGCGTAGCTTCCCTGCCCACCATAAAGAAGGAGCTCGCATCGAAACATCGCTCGCGCTCGCATACACCCCACCTAATCCAGCGGCTGTATACATCCGCACCGCACATAACTTAGGCACGCTCATCCCGCCGTTTCCGCTCAAGTCGACTTCATTTGCGGGACCGCGACCACACGCTAGCCGCTCGAGCCAGCAAGATCATCCGACATCAACCTAACTCGATTCCAGTTTGCTGTGACCACCACCACCACCATCTAGTTTCCGCAGCACCTTCGGCGAAGCGCACGTACATCTATTTGCAATCCTTGCCATTCTTCTGAGCAGGGTGCTCGCGTATCTTCCACGCCCTTTGTCGTCCCGAAACCCAAACAAAGACGCACGGATCGCAGTCCGACTGCAGCCCCGCCAGACGAGCCGTGCCCCTGCCACAGTCCGCGTCGGCCACCAGCGCCCAGTGCAGAGCATACACACGCCGCATGCACCCAGCGCTACGCCCCTTTCGTAAATTTGCGCCTCGGGCCACACTCAAGCGCGCCGGCTCTGCCTACTTTTTCCGAAGCCATGGCGCAGCTGCCTCATCACCCGCCCTCACACTCGACCTCGAACTATCCCACACCACCGCACACAATCCACTCAGCCCTGCCTTCGCTCCGTCAACCTTCCTCGGCACCAGGCACGACCGCATGCTTCAAGCCGCTTCCTTGCGTACCCAACGACGTCGATGCGGATGACGACGGCCCGGAACTCGTGTTTCATCGACCTTCCCTCGCCCGCGACCACGACGCTCCTATCGAGTCCGACCTCTCGAGCCCTTCCGCGAGCAGCACCGCCTCGTCGTCCATGCAGGCCGACTGGCACGAGACCTCGCTCCGCAACCACGTCGCCAAACTTCCCATCGAGTTCGCCGACTTTGACCTCTCGCAAACCGAACAGCCCAGCGTCTTTGGCCTCCGACGCCGCATCGTAGCCGCCGCGATCGATCACGTCGCTGAGCGATCCGACTCTTCATCTGACAAACGACATCAGGCCCGCCAGTTCCAAGAACAGGGGCTAGGCGACTGGCTCGCCGCGCACACCCCCACCACGAACCAATGGAAGGACAAGATCCTGCGCAAGAAGAAGTCGCTCGGCTTTCGACACGCCAAATCGGCCAAAGCCACACAGACGAACGCCGGCTCGATTCACGACTCGATGCTCGGCACGGCATCGCCGCCGTCCGAGTCGAGCGCGCGTAGCCGCTCCGTCTCGGTCACCGGCTCCACCTCGTCGCACGACAAGATGCTCCGGCGCGACAAGGAACTCGCACAGCGCGAGGCCAACTTTGACCTGGTCGTGCTCAGCCGCTTCGAGACCGCCGAGCTCAAGATGACCGTCTACACCGAGCATCGACGCGGATCCTGGGTGGTGCAGGGCCCGGCGCCTCAGGGCGCAAAGGTGCTCGACGAGCCGCCGCTCGTCTTCAGTCCGTGGGACTGCCAGATCGACAGCCGCGCCATTGTGGAGCGCAAGAAGCTGCGCTCGTTTATCGAGCTCAGCGACACCACGTGTGCCGTGCGCTGCACCACGTGCACCAGTGCACACCGTCAGCGTCTGGGTCACGCCCACGACGGCGATGGCGGTATGGGATGCAAGCATTGCCAGGGCACGGGAGCGGTTCGGACGACGTATGTCGTGTGCGTGACGCTGCGGCAGACGACGTTTTTGCCGCTCATGCTGCCGGTGCGCCACCGCGCAGGCAAACACCAGGACGCATTTCGCACCTACTTGCCGCGGACGAACATGGCCATGTCGCATGTGGATGTGCTGCGCATGCGCTCGCTCGAAGCGGTGCGCTCGTGTGCGCTGCGGGTGGGACGCGTGCACTGGCGCGAGCACGACGCGCGGCTGCTCGTGGCCAAGGCGGTGCTGGAGCGCCGGAGCTGCAGCAATGTCGCGGTGATCAACCGCACCAACGGCCGCTTCCGCACGTTTGACATTACCGACGGCGGCTTTGTGCGCGGCCATCCGAACGCAGCACTCACGGAAGAGGAGAGCCGCATTGCCGAGATGCCCGAGCTGGGCGACGCGCTCGCCAGGCTGCCGGTGACGGCGGTTATGCACCCGGAGGCGACGCACCGGTTCGTGGACCTGGAGCTGGTGGACATGGCGCGATCCAAGCAGCTCTCGATCGAGACGCGCTCTGATCCGAGCTCCCCGAGCATCGCCGCGTCTGGTGGCAGCACCGACGAGTCGTACTCGCCGTCGGCGTTTTCGTTCTTCCAGCGCGCGGGCGAGATGGCGAGGCTCGGCGGCAGCAGCTCGCGCGACTCGGCGACGCAGGGCGGCAGCCGCGACCGCACTGTATCGCAGACGGACTCTACCGACTCGCGGCGCACAGGCACGGACGAGGCGGAGACGGCACGCAGCGGATCGGGTTCGCGCTGGCAGCTGCCGCCGCTCAATCTGGCGGCCTCGACGCAGTCGCCCGTGTTGAGCGCGGGCGCGGAGCCAGTGCCACTGCAGAGCGTCCAGGAGCCGCCGGCGGTGGGCAGCATGTCGGCGACGCGCAAGGCGTGGACCAAATATGCGCCCTCGTCTCCAGCGCTGAGCGCGACGGCAGCAGGCGCCCGCCCGGCCGTGGCCAGCACGCGTGCGCGCATTGGCGCCTGATCCACCGCGCCTCCCTCTAGCTTCTCTTCAGTTTTGGCATTCATGATTCTCTCTCAACATGTGTAACGGTATTCGAGCTTCAAACATCGCTTCTCTCACGCACGCACGCACGCACGCACGCACGCAAAACACAGCATAGAGAGGGAGGGAGAGGTCATAGAATTACACTGATTGTGACGGGCAAAGAGAGAGGGTGAGGATAGAGGGTCAGCGATTTGGGCCAAAAAAAGAAAAGAAAAAGGCAGGCTGTGGGAGGCTGTCGAATTCTGCAATTTAGCCGAAGCTCGAGGCGCGTCGGGAGGTTGAGTTGGAGAGGAGGCGCGTGCGCGTGCGGGTTGCGCGTGGCGGGGCGAGAGGAGCCGCACTTTCTAGTCCTACCCAAGCCAAGGCTCCGCAAAGTGAAGAGGGCGGCGGCAAGGGGAAGGCGGCTCGAAAGGGCGAGCAAGAGAGACGGATGGGTACTGCGACGGCGCTACACCAATTGGGAAATGCGTGTTGAGGGTGTTGCCCCGTTTGGAAGACGAACGCAGTCGCCCAACTCTGTCACACCGACCAAGGCCAAGGGGTGATGACTTACTGGATGGGAAAGGGGATCAGGCCAAGACGATGAGCCAAGCGATCGAATCACTCGCACTTGCCAAGTGGGGGGACGACTTGGAGGCAAATGGTGTATGACGGCGTGGATGCTGTCTAGGCCTTGTTCTTGGGGTTGTCCTTGGACGAGGCCCAGGAGGTGGCGGCGAGCTTGAAGCGCTCCTTGTGCGACAGGCTGGGCTTCTCGGTCTTGAGCACGGCGAGCTGGTCCTTCATGTACTTGTTGTACGCCGACGTCTTGCCCTTCTTGGCACCCGCAGCTCCGGTCTTCTTGGGAGGCATGTTGAAAAGAGTTGTTCGAGTGGGAGGAGGAGGAGGATTTTTCTCAAAGGTGGTGGTGGATCGGAAGAGGAAAGAGGAGAGGGGAGGAGGTTGCTATTTGAATGGATGAGGAGGGGTCCATCCGGGGCAAAGATGCGAGACGCGAATCTGCCGAACGACACGACGAGCACCCCCTCCCCCACCGAACAAGGCGAGGCGGGTTAAAGGGCAAATTGCCACAGATGGGCGGCAGATGCGCACTCGAGAGAGACCGCACGACACGACGCATGCAGGGCCAGTCGGGAAAAGGGTCCCTGTCGGCGTGCAGTCGTGCAGTTGCGCTCTCGCTTGGCCCCGCACCCACCGCATCCACGCCGGCCAGCACGAGTGCCAACGCGCGTCCCGTCACTCCTCTTCAAAAGCTCGCTCGCCTTGAGGGCCACCTTGCCTTTTGGGCGTTGCGCTGGTCGTGCCCGACGCGTGTTGCAACGCGACCCTGCCCCCTCGAGCTTCGGTCGAGCGGCGATGGTGCATGCGTGCKTGCGTTGCTTCGTGGGCTTTCGAGGTAAAACACGCTCGCTCTGGGCTTGGAATGAAGCCTGGCTGGGAAATTCCCACCATCCATCCGCCTTGCCATTCATCGTCTTGCTTCTGGCCCGCTTTTTTGACTCTGGCTAGGATCGATCAGTGATGAGCTTTTGGCTCTGACTTGCATGCGAGAGCATTGCAGACGGGACTGGCTCCGAACACGGCCGGAGCTGCACACAGAGGTTGTGCCGGTGGAAGCGCGGCTATTCCACTTCGAGCGTGGGCTCGTGCCCTGCGCAGAGACGCAGAGGACTCGACGCGCCGAGCGTGCATGCCCTCGAGGCTCCAGTAGTGCATCGCTCGAGTGTCAAACGCGCGCGTCACGCAAATCCAAATGCGCCCATGCATCCATCCGCCTTGGGCCCTTTGTTCCGCGCGTCTCGTCTCGTGCCCATCTCCATCTCCCGATGGACATCGGGTTCGACCCCCCGCATCCGAATCGGCATCCCGCTCCGTCGGCCTCTTCCGAAGCACTGCGCATCATCCGTGCGAGGTCAGGTGGCAGATCCGCGCCCCCAACTCTCTTTCTTTCTTTTCCTGCGGCTGTCTCGTGTGGGGAATTTTTGAGTTTTCGCTTTCGCTCGGTTGGCTGAGTCCAAGCAGAGGGCCAAGCAGGGCCAAGCAGTGAAGCCAAGGCTGGAAAGGAGCCCGTCAAATTGGCCGACCCTCTCCGCGGTGGCCTCTTTGCAGTCACGGAGAGTTGCCAGAGGTGCTGCGCTTCCACTCGCCCTCTGACTCCACATCCCTATTTCCCCCCACTTCACACTGCCTTCGCTCCGCCATCTCCCGAATCGATCCGCCCACCTCATCAGTCCCGACCGTGGTAGTCTGCCTCTAGATTCAGCATTCGTACCATCAATCCTTGCCTCTCTGAAAGCACTGCCCTCGGCGCTCTCTTGTAATAATCTCTGGTTCATGCTGCGCTCCGCTTCAATCAACCACCACCATCGCCCGCGCCCGCACTCGCGCCATCATCTCTGCAACTCCCTCGCTCCGTGGCGCACGCTCTGCTAAACGCACAGCTCCATTCCAGATTCCTTCCCTTCCGCCGTCCCCGCCTGCGCACTCCTCCGCCGTCTCTCGGCTGACGCATGCAGCCTCCAAAGGCTGAACCGCTTCAGATTCCCTCCGAGGATGACGTGCCTCTCTTCGATCCAAGCGGCCTCAGCGCCTCCCTCTCCGTCGACGACTGGCACAACTCCTTCGACCTCAACAGCGTAGCCGCAGCACGCCTCGGCATCGGTTCGCCCCCCTCCATCCACGCCTCCGCCTCCCTCTCCAACTCGGCTTCCATCGCCAACCTCACCCGCTCCGACTCGCGCAACAACTCCAACTCTGATACCGGTCGCACATCATCCCATCCGCCACCGCCGCCGCCGCAGCATGACTCCGACCAGCATGCAGACAGTATCGACGATCAATACGATCCACGGCGTGGCAGGCGGCGCAGGAGCTCGGCAGCGCAGTCCGACCTCCATCCGTCCTCGTCCACAGCCGTCAGCTCCGCCGTACTCCCGCAGAAGGACACCTCGGTTGGCTCCAAAGTGCGCATGTGGTGGGAACGCAGCGAGGCTGCCACGCCCGACGCTGATGTCAACCCTGCCTCCACCGCCAAGCAGGTAGCTGGTCCCGACTCGCTCCCTCCTCTGCGCACCGACATGGGCCCTGCCGAATCGTCGTCGGCAGCCAACTCCACTTTCGCCTCTCCAACCGTGTTCTCGCCAGATTCGTCTTCCTCCGTCGTGCGTTCACCAGCCGCCGACTTCCTCAGCGCCTTCTCGAGTCTCAACAGCGTGGTCCAGCCCGCCAACTCGTACGACGCTCGCTCGCTCTCTTACTCTCCGCCACGTGCAGGTCATCGCAGCCTCGGCGCTTCCCTCATGCGCGACGAAGTGCGCAACGGCTCCGCCGCCGCTCCTGGATTCGCCTCCCTCCGCGGTCTCGGAAGCGCCGCTGCCATGCTGTACGACACCCAGACCACCACCGCTCCCAACCCGCCGCCTCGATGCGATGATGAGGGCGCGCGTGTCGGCCCAGGTGGCCGATATCTGCTCGGAAAGACCATCGGCTTTGGCGGATTCTCCACCGTGCGCGAGGGCTGGGACCTCGATGCCCAAGGGCCGCCCGATCCTACCGCCCCACTCATCGATGGTCAGCGCAAAGGTCGCCGCGTCGCCGTCAAGATCGTCTACCACGACTCGCAGCAGGGTTCGCCGGCGCGCGAAGCAACTGCCACCAAGCAGCCGCACGCGCAGAGTCAGTCGCACGAGCTGAACATCTGGAAGAGCCTGCCCGTCCATCCGCACCTGCTTCCGCTGCTCCACCACGAGTGCCTCCCCATCGATGCGCACCATGCCAGCCCCACCCACGCCTCGGGCGGTACGCTGGCCGAGCTGCTTATCATGCCCTACTGCGACCAGGGCAACCTGCTCGACTTTGTGCGCAGCGAGGGCGCCGTCGGCACCGCACCCTACGTGCTCAATGGCGAGCAGATTCAAGCCTCAGAAGACCGCAGATCCGGTTCTGGGTCGTGGTTCGCACCCGGCTCGGCGCGATCGTCGATGCAGCTCTCGAGGAGCTCGTCGCTCAAGGCGTCCATGGACGATCCCGCGTGGCGCCAGTCGGGCTCCAGGACCGGCTCGGGCTTCATGCTGCCGCGCAACCTCGGCTCGCATGCGCTTGGCCGCGTTGCGTCCGTGTCGGCAGCGTCGCAGCTGCGCACCATCCCCGCGGGGCAAGAGCCGTCGTCTTCGTTGGCGTCGTCGCCCGTCTCGGCAGCAGGCAGTGCGTCGAGCGGCTCGAGGCTGATCCGCAGAACCACCAGCCGCACCTCGCGCAGCCAAGGCATTCCCATCGATGCAGCGCGCGAAACCATGCGCCAGCTCGCGTCCGCGCTCAGCGCGCTCCACACAAAGAGCCACGTGCTGCACGGCGACCTCAAGCTCGAAAACGTGCTCGGCCAGGATCAGTCGTCGTGGAAGAAGCGCCAGCGCATGTCGACGGAACAGTCCGATGGAGATCAGACTCGCTCCAGGCAGAACAGCGCCGGTCTGGCCGACTCGATCGACTCGCTCGTCGCCTCGTCCGTTTCGTCGCACCACACCTTTGATGTCACCGATGCCGTCATGCCCTGCTGGAGGCTCGCCGACTTTGGCCTCGCGCAGGTCGTCGATCCTGCACACGCCAAGAGCGCGATGCCTGCTGCTCCGGCTCTGATTCGCGCACTCAAGGAGGAGGCAAAGGCTGCGCACGAGCCCAAGGGCGCAAGGAACGCGCAGAGGACAGGTCGCGGCGGCTCGTTAGCGTACACTGCGCCCGAGTATCTGCGTGCCCAGGGAAGGTCGGGCTCGTCCAGCCCGCGCACGCCAGACGACGCGGCCGACGACGACGAGCTGCCGCCCGAGTCGCCGTTCGCCGCCGACATGTGGGCGCTCGGCTGCATCCTCTATGCGCTGCTCAGCGGCAAGCTGCCCTTCTCCGACTCGTTTGAGCCGCGCCTCCAGATGAAGATCGCAAAGGCGCAGTGGGAGTTGCCGCCGCGACTGCGCAGGCGCGCCGAGCGGCTGGCTGCTGCGTCAACCAGCACGCTCGTGTCGCAGCCCAGCGTGTCGAACCGCAACAGCTTGGTCGACCGCGCCGGCTCCGTCGAGCCCGCCGGCGTCGCGGATCGGTTCGCGTTCAGCCAACGCCGCAGTGCCTCGGGCGCACCGCATGGACCCTCGAGCTTGGGCACCATGGATCTCAGCGCCTCGTTGCCGTCGCTGCTGCCGCGCGAGAGGCAGGCGACGGAGCCAGCGACCAGCGCGCTGTCGAGACGCATGGTGGCGGTGCACTCGGATCACGTAGTCGGCTCGGCGCCAGGCAGGGCGGGTCACGTCGAGAGCTTCGAGATCAACAGTGTCGCCAAGGCCCGCGCCGACGTCGAGGAGGACCCCGAGTCGGACGACGACTCCGATGTCGATCCTGCCTGGGACGGGCTGAGCTGGGACCGCGCTGCGGCGAGGCAGGTACTGCGTGGCCTGCTCGAGCCGGATCCGCGCAGGAGATGGACGATCGACCGGCTGTGTGCCAGCGCCTGGATCCGGCAGGAGGCTGGCGAGTCGGGCAATCTGGCCGCCATGGGTCCGCCCGCTTCGCTGCTCAACACCGCGTCGGCGCTCCGCAGCGCGCACTCGACTTCAACGGCGACGGCGGCAGGTGCTGCGGATGGTGCGCCTAGTGTCTTTGCCGAGCGAAGCGCCTGGGCCAACTCGGCGTCCAAGTCGAATCCGAGTTTGGCCGAGACGGCGGGCCAGTCGCCTGCAGCGCCGAGCTTTGACCGGGCAAACGTGGACGAGCAGTTCCAGCGCACCGAGCGTGGACGTCGATCATCGAGCCTGGCTCGCACACGGCCTGAGAAGCTGGCCACCGGTGGCTCGGGAAGCGCTTCGCCAGCGCTGTCGCCCTCGATCTCGGCCGACGACGGTGCGGGTGCGGGTGCGGGTGCGGGTGCGCAGCGCCGCTCGCGCTCGACGTCGCGCATCTCGGTGGTGCATCGCGACTCGAGCCGCACGCGCAGCACCGACGTGAGCGGCAGCTCGACGCCCAACCGCGAGCGCGACCCGGCGTGGATGGCACACCATCTCGGCAGCTCGCTCAACTCGCTCAGCCACGCCTGGGTGCACAGTGCCAGCAAGGAGCGCTGCGACAGTCCCGCCGAGTCCGAGCGCCGCGGTCGGCTGCCCAGATCGAGGATGGCGGATCTGGACGAGAACACCACCTGGAACGGCGAGGATGACACGAGCAGCGACAGTCGCGCCGGCTCGCATGTGGCGGGCTCGCTGCACCGCACGGGCCCGATCGCCATCCGCGGAAGGAGTGGCTCGAGGAGCCGCAGTCGGCACAGCGGCGAGAGTGGCTCGCCTGAGCGCTTTGCGCACCACCGATCCATCTCGAGGTCGAGGTCGAACTATTCGCTGTCGCACGAGGCCGGTGCGCCGGGAAGCTTGCTGTATGGCAGGAGCGTCGAGCCGCAGCCGACAGTGGCGCCGATCCTGGCCGATCACACGCAGGCACAGCGCTCGTCGACTGCACGCAGCAGGTCCAGGGCGCCCGATGCGCTCGCCCAGATCCTGGGCAGGCAGAGGTCGAGAAGCAGGTCGAGAATGCGCGATGGCAGCGCCAATCCAGCGCCGGGTGTTCCACCAGCGGATACAGCGGGCGTTGCGGCGAGAAAGAGCGCGGCAACACCGTCGGATTCGGAGCATGAGCAGGAGGCCAGGGGAAGGGCTCGCGATCGCAGGTGAATGCCGGTTCAGCACGGAAAGATTGCATGATACCCGGAATGAATGTCTCGTCTCTCTCGGATATCAGTGCGCTGCTCGTGGTGAGAGGCGTGGTGTGAGTAGGCGCAGGTGAGTGCAGCGGCCGGTCGAGTGGTTGGGGTGAAGGCAGGGCGGCAGGAGGAGGAGGTGCGGAAGCGGAAGCGGGAGCGGGAGGCGGAAAACGGGAGCCGGGTTGAACACCTCCACAGGTTGCGGAAAGTGTGCAGCTGCTCCAAATTTTGGCTTCCAAGTGTCAATCAACTCCTTCTACGCCCATCACATAGTCGGCTCTCAGCTAGCCAGAGCGATCCGACTCAGCCTCATGCAGGGCTCATAGGGTCTTCAGTCGACTTCTAGGCTTTGGAGCTGCAGACATCAGGTCAGACCGACTTGCGGAGTTACTTCCACCGCGCCCTCGACCAGCATCCTGCTTCCCCACAAACTAGCGAAGTCCTGGCTCGAGGCCCTCTACGTTTGCCATTGCGATCAACGAGCAAGAATTCCGAGGGAGCAAGAAAAGGTGCTGCACATCGTGGATACGGCAGCTGTAGCATACGCACGCACATGGACGCTGCGACGTCGTGGTAGCCATGGCGGAGGCGCCGTTTGACATGCCGGGCCACCGGTGGGACCCGGAAAAGAAGCGCTTCTTCAAGATCGTCCCGGGCCCATCGACTTCCGCGTCTGGATCTAGCTCAGGTGCGCAAGGATCAGGATCAAGACATCGAGGGTCGAAGCAGCGCAAGACGGAGAAGCAGAAGCAAGAACCTCCACGACCGCCATTGCCGGCGCTTCCCACTGCCGCCTCGGGTCTGGGCGTCGGGAGAAGCGCCTTCGGACAAAGGGGATGGGATCCGGTGGCACAGCGCCAGCAAGCACGGAACTCAGTAGCCGTAACACGGCAGCGCGCACACCAGCTTACCGAAGCAGCGTACTCACAGCTAGCGCTGACTCGAGTCTTGCGCCCATTCGATTACATCCGGGAACCGTGCACAATAGCGTCCATGTCCACCGACTTCCATTCGAAGGCTCTGCTCGTGAGCAACACCAACTCAGACCTAGTCGGCGTCTTGGAAAGACCGTACTTGTCGTCCATGTACACGCTTGACTACGACCCGGATGGTTCTGGACCAAGCCAGGTCTGGCAGGGTCCCCGGCAAAGCTTTTACGCAGCATTCCACGACGGCGCCTTGAGCAGTTTTATCGATATTAATTTTGCTACTGGGCCAGCTAGCCCCTCGGACTTTTCGGACCCTAACATAGACGTCTTCGAATTGCCAAGGGTAGTGAACCTGCACGGCTCTGCGTCGTGGGCCTCATGTTGCCTTCCTTCCTCAAGCGGGGACTCGGAGGATTCGTCGATCCTTGCAATAGCGCCGGGCAAGAACGTGCATGTGTTCACCTTTGTGCACACGCAATCGTCACTTGTCGTGAAGCATGTCGCGCAAAACAAAGAGCTGAGCGACATCATGGCGCTTGCACTCGACCCGACTGGACGAGTGCTGTACGTCGGCCTTCGCTCTGGGATAGTACGTGCTTGGAGCCTTACTTCCAATACGCTTACGGCATTCAGGACTGTAGTTGCGGGACAGGGATCGGTGACCAACCTTGCGGTGCCTTCGTGTGGCGAGTTGCTCGTTGTGCGCATCACGGGCGAGGTCTCACTGGTCACCCCAACTGGCGACACGATTCGGACATTCGAGGGACACGTCAACTCGTACCATTTTGACCTTGGTTTCGCTCTCGATCCCGAGTCCCGCGTGATGGCGTTGGCGGGGATCGACAATCGCGTGCGTGTTTGGTCGCTCGACCTATCAACACCGTTCAAGACGTCAGCAGCCAAGATCCCTGTCCCAAAGTTTGGTGGGTTCGATGACGAGTCAGTGAAAACGATCTTCAAACAAGCGCACGAGGATGGCGAAGGCAGAGTGATGGAAAGGGAAGATGCGCTCGGGGCGTGCGTGTTCCCAAAGGACGTGACGGCGTTGCTGTGGCACCCGCGCATGACGCGAGAGGACGAGCCAGCAGAGGTCGGCGGCTTCAAGGACCTGTACGTCGGCGCGGGCGAGTGGGTGTACCACTTTACCTGGCCCTGAGTCCACTCATTCAGCACACGTAGCCACATCGTGACTTCATTTTCATCGAATGCAATGCTGCAGTTGCGGTCTCAAAGCATCTCAAAGAAAGATGGATTGCAACAGATGTGCTGGCTATGGAAAGCGATCTCACTCATCGAACTCAACCGTGGTGACCAGGACGATCTCGAAAGCTTTCCCTGGACACGCACGCTCACCATGCTCTCAAGCCGACGACGCATCCGCGCACACACACTGCACGACACCCCCTCACCCCTATCCCTCTCCCGACACCCCGCTACCCCACACGCAACATCGACCCGTCCACGCACACCTTGACGTGCAACCTTGTCCCCATCGGAACTCGGCAGCCTGTGCGTGCGTGTGTGGCCGAACGAAAGAATGCGCAGAGTAGAGGAGGTGAAAAGGAAGAAGGAAAAGGGGGAGGGGGTTGACCCAAAGCCTGATTCGAGGCTTGCGAGGACGCTCTGGTGGACGTTTGGGTCGGGGGAGTAGAGAGGAAAATAGGGCACAGATACGACGTCTGGCCGGGATATATGGGGGCTGGCAAAGAGAAAAGGCCAAGGTAAAACCAGTAAGATTACACCGTAGAAAGGGAGTACGCTTCGAGTCGTCAACTTGAGCGATCAAGGTCGAGCGATGCTTGCAGCGATTTTTTCGGGGATGGTAGGATGGGAGGATGGAGGTCGAAACCCCCTTTTGTGGTCTAGACCGCAACGCCAGAGGCGAGTGGTTTAGATAAAGCCGATGCGGTTGGAGACGTCAAGAGCATCCTGGTCGGGGGAGAGACGGACGAAGGCCTTCTTCTTGCCATCGGGGCGGATGAGCGTGTTGATCTTGGCGGCCGAGACGTCGTAGAGCTTCTTGAGAGCACCCTCGATCTGGCGCTTGTTGGCGGCACGGTCGACGATGAAGACGAGCGTGTTGTTCTCCTCGATCTTCTTCATGGCCGACTCGGTGTTGAGGGGGTAGAGGATGGTGCGGAAGGCATCCATGCGAGGGGCGTGGGGGACGGCCTTGCGGGGGTACTTGGGCGCCTTGGCAAGGTCGAGAGTCTTGGGGCGACGGAAGGTGGTGTCGGTGCGCACCTTGCGGGTCTTGGTGCCCTGGGTGCCCTTGAGGGCAGCCTTCTTGGCGGCAGTGGCCTTGGTGGTCTGGGGCTTGGCAGCAGCAGGCATCGTGATGAAGTGACGGTCGAGATGGATGGGGATCTTGATGGTGAGGAGACAGGACGGGAGGTGGTGCGCAGACGCGGGTCCTTCTGGTTCTGCTCGCAACGACAAATCCGGCTGGGTGGGCCCAAACTAACAGCCGAATTTTGGAATTTTGCGTGAGCTGTGAAAAGTTCGGCCGAGCTTTGGCGTACATCACGTGTCTGTGAAGAATTTGATCAATGTCATTTTTTTTCGATGTAACAGCTCTGCATCAACATGCCACGTGCTCAACCCCACAGTCGCGCTCTGGGGTCACGAGACCCTTGAAAGGCGAGGCCAAACCGAGTCTGGATCCTGAGCGATGACCAGCCAATTCGAGCAGATAACCGGGCGCACCTCTGTAGAGCAATCGGAATCGCGCGGATGTTGCCGGACGGGCGTCGACGGATGGTCAAGTGACGGGCATGGCACGGTCATGCTGACGCCTGGAACGTGTGCGCACCATGACGCCAGCCAGGCGTGTCGACGACGCTCGGGTATGCATTCAAAGTCAGAATGTAGCCCGGCTTGAGCTTGCCGTGAAGATCAGCTGGAAGAAATCGAATTGCGGAGCGGAGCTGAGCCAGCGAGCGGTCGAGAGCTCACTCTTGTGCGACAGCGGGGCAAACGGTGCCACGGAACGAATGTTGCATGGGACCGTGCAGCGAGAAGATGCACAAGACCATCGCCGCCGCCCAACAAAGAAGAAAATCTGGGGAGGTGGGAGTGCAGATGCGGAAATGCAGTGCGGGTCTGTATCACGGGTGATGATGAGAATGTGGGGCACCACACTCTTCCATGCTATGCCAATTGCAGCCGAGTGCAGCTTACGCTTGACCTCACCGGCGAGCTCTTGATCTTCTGAACTAACCCGCTCGTTCCTGGAAAGGAATGCGCGCGATCTGGATCGGTGCGGAGGCAGTGCGCGTGCACGTGTGTTTGGTAGGTGCAGCGCGATGGATCGAGGGGATGCCACAGGCGAGACAGCGCCCGCATGCTCAGTACAGTATCGTATTTGGTGAAGCCACTCGCTCAGCTGTGTAGCTTGAGCATTGCAGTGTACTGCAATTGAGGCGCAGTCGGCCAGGTCGTAGGATGTGATGGCTTTAGCGGAGAGCGGTGTGGAGCGGGTCGCGACGCGGGGCGATGCAAGGAAAAGCCACGCGATCTGGGGTAGCGATCTTCCAGCGGAAATACCGAAGGGCCCTTTCTTCGATTCGGATGAACCGATGGGCGTTTCGACAACGCGATGGCAGGCGAGGTGGCAGAGGCAAATCGCTTTGCTGCTGCTGACGGCGGAGAAACTCGCAACAAAGCTCGATGGCGGCGGCGGCGGCGGCGGCTGATGCAAACCGAGTCTGGACGGCGCATTGCCGCCGCGCGGATGTTTCCGCACGCAAGTCACGTTACACTGCGCCGAAGCTTTTGCGCTCGCAGGAACTGCCGTGTCTGCCTCATCGTGCTTCGCCCCAGACCCTCGTTCCCAATCAGACCACCTCTGGCACACCTACGAGAACGGGTGCAGGTTACCGGGGTGACAGTCTCAGTGGCGGAAGAGGACCTCTCAACACTTCACCGTTGCCGAGAAGAAATGGTCGCAGAGCCGAGAGGCAAGGGGAGCGCAAACCTTGAGCACCTCCTGGCGTCAGCTGAGACGCACGCGAAGAACGCGTCTGCACAGGCACAAGAAGCGAATGCTGCTTATCAAGACTCGTTTTGAGCTTGCGATACCGCAGTATACGTCGAGCATGTGACCGGACGAGAAGCCCGGCGACCACGTTCGACGAGCGCATGATGTCGAGAGCCCGAGCTCGCATTTCCCGCAGATAAGGACGGCTTGCAAATGCACTGGTTCGTAGCAGCCCAGAATAGGCAAGATAACGTAGTGGGTTGGGATGTCGAATACGCTGCGGCGGAGGTGCAGTCTCGGTCGCGGTGGAACTTCGGACGCGCGAATCGAGAGTTTGGTCGCACAGGTTGACAATGGAATCGGTGGAAGCCAGCACGAGACTCGCTGGTTCAGCGGTACGCGGTCGACTAGCGAGAGGCACATGAGCAACCACGGCCGGGCCAGAAGTGCACCCGTGGGCCAACTCGGTTGCGTGGCCTGGACCGCCGATTTTTGGTGGCGCTTTTGCGGCGAAAAGGGAAAGGGAAATTCGATATTCAACCACCGCTAGCGGAGCCAGAGCGGGTGGACTTGTCAATCACCGCCTCAGCTTTGAGCTTTCCTCCGCACTCACTTGCCCGCTGCTTGTCACTCGCGTGACAGCGACGCCGGTCCAACCAAAATTGGGCGCTTGCTCTGCTTACAGGATCCCGCTACTTCTCCGGCTGGGCTGGCCTCCTTACCGCTCTCCTGCCGCGCGTACTTGCCTATCGTAATGCAGCTGCAGTCCGTCGGCCTTTCGGTCGTTCTTTTCGGATGTAACGACTTGAATTCCAAGCGCGCATCCCTTGCCAATCGGGCCGACTCTGTTCGACCTTGGCCGTGTCACCGCCCTCATCAGAGATAGTGTGCGATAGGGATATGCGTAGGTGTCGTGGACTTGGAAGCACAGGCGTAGTGCTGCGGGCTGTGCATCTGCGCGTGCGCTGATTGGACCGACGACGATCAAAGCGAAGAATCGCGTGGCTTCGGCTTGCATACATGCTGGGGCTCGATCATCAGATACTGGATTGGCGCCTCTTGGCTGCTCATGCAGTGCTCAGCGAGCCGTCGTCATGTGTCGACTCGAACCAATGAGGAGCGGCTGCTGCACGCGGGCTGAGTGGAAAGCTGAGTGCGACCCAGGCCGAGCCTCCAATGGGAGCAGAGCATGTCATCTCGGCCCCAGACCGTCAGCGCAGCATCGCAACGTGATTGGACCAGCCCACCTCGCCCCCACCGACTCGCCACATCAGGCGACATCGATTGGATGCTGCCACGCTCGAGCTCGATGCAACTGGTCCCCGCCCGCCTACAGAGCAGGCTTCTCAAGTGGGCGTATGCGGATACCTGCGCCGAAAGCTGCATTGTGCTCCGGCTATCTAGGCCGGCTCGACTGAAAGCTGAACGCTGCAACGACCTCAGAGCGTCTATCGCTGCGGGACCTTGCCGTGATTGATGGCGTGATGAGCTTGCCCACCGAAAATGAGGTCCCTCATCCGCGGGTTCATTATGCCTAGATTGTGTCGGGTGAGGCGCACAGGACGACGAGGGTAGGGCGTACAAGTGAGCGAGCAGGAGCGAGCAGCCGGCGTTGTCGCCGTTCCGTAGGAAGAGTTGCAACGAGCCGAGCTGGGGCGCGAGCCCATTCTTCTTGTCGAGATCTAGACTCCGCTCCAGCTGCAGAGCGCTGTGGTGTTGCCGTGGCCTCATTCTGGACTTCGACAGGCGTCTGGCCACTCTGTCTCTCGCGCATCGAGACGCGACGCCAGTTTCCATTTGCAATTCCAATTCCAATTTCAAGGGCCAAGGGCCAGATTCGGTCGACTGACGCGGCCCTGACTGTTGTGGCGCTGCTTTTTTTGCCCGCGGGACGGCGAAAAAAAGGCGAGACAGACTGCGATGGTGCCCAGTTGAGCGAAGTTGAGCCGCCGCACGAGCCGCTGTCGAAGCCGTTCTCCTGCGGTCTGGCTCCGGTTGCGCAGATTTGGACAAGCGCCACGCTACGATACCGCACTCAGCCATGTGCGAAAAACTGCCATGCCGAACGCTGCGCTCGTGCCGTGTTAGCCTCGTGGGTTTGGTTAGCTGCAGCCAGACGGGCATCGCTGCGGTCGCCTGTCTCAGCTCCCCGCTGACACCACCGCTGCACCTCGACATCCCCACCCGACGGTCAGCCCAATAGGGAATCGTTCTCTCCCTCGACCCAGTCTGGAACCCCGTCGTTTCCATCCAATCGCAGCGTAGCATCCCATCAGCTCATCCCATTGATCCCACCCCTTCATCTCGCCCCTCGTGGCCCTCGCCTCGCCCGCCTCGCCTGCCTCGCCTGCCTCGATAAGCACGGCGTGACCCCACATCCACGTCGACTGTCCGCCTGCACGCGCTATCGGCCTGCGCCACGCTCTCGCAACCTCGCCTCGCTCTCATTGGCTCCCCGTTTCCCGTGCCTGATTCCTCTGCGCCTGCGCCTGCACCGGCGTCGAGGCCCCACCTGTCACGCTCTGCCTATCTCTCTCCTCCCTCCTCCCCTTGGTATGCTGCCTCCAGGCCGCACACTGCCCCTACGTTCGACTCCGCCCCACTCCCTTTCGAATGCAATCTGCTCGCAAGCTATAAAGACCATTCCCTCCTCGCCTCTTCCCCGTCCTTTCTCCTCATCCAAATCTCCGACTCACCACAACCCCCTACTCTATTCATAATGTCTTCTCCATACTCTCCTTCGGAGGAGAAGGTCAAGGCCGACTCCTACAAGGGTGACATCGTAGCCACCCTCGAGGATGGCGTCGGCCGCAACGACGTCAACGCCTTTGACCAGCGCAAGGGTGAGGAGCTCAAGCACGCTCTCCTCCCTCGTCACATGGCCATGATTTCCATCGGCGGTGTCATCGGCACAGGTCTCTTCCTCGGTACCGCCTCGTCCCTTCACAACGCCGGCCCCCTCGGTCTCTGGCTTGGCTACCTCGTCATGGGCTCCGTTTGCTACGCCATGATGATGTGCCTTGGTGAGATGATCTCTTACCTTCCCGTCCCCGGTGGTCACATCAAGCTCAGCGAGCGTTTCGTCGGCAAGCCTCTCTCCTTCGCCATGGGTTGGAACTACTGGTACAACTGGGTCATCGTCCTCCCCGCCGAGCTTTCCGCCGCTGCCGTTCTCATGTCTTACTGGTCCGATGCCAACCCTGCCATCTGGATCTCGGTCTTCCTTGTCCTCGTCGTCGCCATCAACCTGCTCGGCACCCGCGCCTACGGTGAGGCCGAGTTCTGGTTCGCCTCGATCAAGATCATCACCATCGTCGGCCTCATCATCCTCTCCATCTGCATCGACCTCGGCGTCGGCAAGCAGGGACGCCTCGGCTTCCGCTACTGGAAGAACCCCGGCCCCTTTGTCCAGTACAACAAGATCGAGGGATCCCTCGGCCGCTTCCTCGGCTTCTTCTCCGTTCTGGTCAACGCCGCATTCAGCTTCATCGGTACCGAGATCGTCGCCATCGCCTCCGCTGAGGCCAAGAACCCCCGCAAGTCGGTCCCCAGTGCCATCCGCAAGGTTTGGATCCGTATCTGCCTCTTCTACTTCCTCGGCACCTTCATGATCGGCCTCGTCTGCGCCTCCAATGCCCCCGAGCTCACCAAGGGTGCCAAGACTGCCTCGCGCTCGCCCTTCGTCGTGGCGATCAACAACGCAGGCATTAAGGCCTTGCCCAGCATCGTCAACGCCGCTCTTGTTACTTCAGGTGCGATCTAACACTCAGAAAGCATTTATTCCTTGATCATCGAGCTCACCTTCTCCTCCTTTTCATACCTTTTCAACTATCTTTAGCTGTCTCGGCCGCCTCGTCGGATCTCTTCACTTCGAGCCGCGCCCTCTACTCGCTCGCTATCGCCGGTTCGGCTCCTCGTATCTTTGCCCGCACCACCAAGCGCGGTCTTCCTTACATCGCTGTTGCCGTCTCGGTCGCCTTCTCTGCGCTCTCGTACATGTCGGTCCAGGCCGGTGCCAGCACTGTCTTCGGCTACTTTGCCAACATGACCTCGATCGCCGGTATGGTTACCTGGTTCTGCATTGGTATCATGTACCTGCGCTTCAACAAGGCGATGAAGGTGCAGGGCATGTCGCGAGACGTGCTTCCCTACAAGGCCGCCCTCCAGCCCTTCTGCGGTTGGTGGACTGTCTGCTCGACCTTCATCGTGATGCTCTTCAGCGGATGGTCGATCTTCCTCAAGGGCAACTGGTCCACCTCGGACTTTATCACCAACTACATCCCCATCCCCTTCTTCATCATCCTCTACCTCGGCAACTGGTTCTACAACCGCAACAACGGCGCCCACATCCCCGCCTCCGAGGTCGACCTCACCACCGGTCTCCGCGAGATCCTCGAGGCCGAAGAGCCCGAGGAGAAGCCCACCACCGTCATGGGCAAGGTCTGGCACTTCATCTCCTAGATCGCCCAAAAAACTCCTCACTCCCGCCTTGTAACACTACCACTATATCCTCTGTCTCGCACGCTTGGTTTTTGCAAAGGGATTTTCATGTTTTCACGTCCATCATCTTTCTTGGTCTGATTCGTGTGTGCTTGTGCGCGAGACAAAGTCGGCGACGGCGAGTTGGCGGGACGCCTTCAGTCCGACGTGAGGTCGACGACGTCGTCATGCGCGGTCGGAAAAGTCGATGCGGTCGAACAGCGAGACCAAGATGGCATTGTTGGCGTCGTCGTCTTGCACCGTGTCGGACTCGTCTTGAGGCTCCTCGCCTGTACCAGCGGGGCCGGACGTGCTCGACTCCTGTGGGGCCACTCGACGGTAGTTACGAGGTACGGCCATACGTCCGGCGGGACATGCCAAATATGCTCGCCTGCACTGCTGGAGCTTGGCGGGGTCGTTGAAGATCTCCTCGATCTGCTCCGACGACAGAAACACGGCTCGCATGAGCCTGCGCAAAGCGATGTCGCTGACAAGCCGCATGGCGAAGAAGCAGAAGGTAGATGCGGTGGAGGAAGAGCCAAGGGGGAGGGACGAGTCGAAAGTGTTGGCAGAGAGCGGACGAGGGGAGAGGGAAGGAGTGAGACGGGGTAGCGATACTTTTCAAGTCGTCCTTGATCGTGCCGCCGACACATTTCTCACGCTGCGGGAAGAACTGTGCGGAACGATGTGCGGACTCCAGCGATGTTGCGGAAGTCAAGCTCGCGGTGGGGAACATGTTGGTGCCGAATGGCGACGGAGGGATGATTAGGGCTATGAAGTACTCGCTAAGCAGTCTCGCACACTTGTGTTTTGCAAAGAGATTCTTCATTTCGCGTCCGCATGCTTCTAGGTCTGATGCGCACGAGCGAGACAAAAGTGTGCGCTAAAAGCCCCCTCCCACCCGCTTACCCACGGGGGCTGATGCCGATTGAGATGCTTGCCATAGTGCTTGAGGATATCGAGAGCCCCTTCCTACCCGCTTACCCGCAGGGACATTTCTTGAGGTCGTTCTTGATGTGCCTATTCGTATGACCCATCCACCTTGGCTGCTGCCTACTTAAGATCGGATTCGGCCCCCCCTGCGCACGCCATCGACTCAATCGTTGATGCGTTCATTGAAATGGACCACGTCACGCCAAGTCGGTCCGTATTTGTCGCTGTCGTCGAGGCGCGCGATGTTCGAGCCGATTCCAAAGACGATCACCTTCTCGTTCCTGTTCCAAACCACTTCGACGTTCTCCAGAACAACGAGAGTACCCCGTCTGAACAGCTGGCATTCCAATCCCAGAGCGTTGTAGAGCTGCGAACCTGCGCAGGCCCAGACTTTCATGTCGAAGTCGTCATCGAAGGACACCGTGATCTTCTCCCGCACCGTCTGTGGGTACGTCCTGGCCACATTGGCCTCCGTGATCTTGCAGATGAAGCGGAACGTTCCCTCCCACGGGTACCTGGAGACGTAGTACAGCGGCGGAGTCACCATGTAGTTCCAGTAGGTCGTTCCGTGAAGCGTGAAGGGGTCCGAGTGCTTTGTGAAAGGGTTGATCACCTCGATGGGGCTCTCGCCATCCCGAGAGGCGGATTCGGAAGAAGATGCATGCTGAAGAGCACGCGGGGCAACGATGCCGCGTGCCTCAGGCCTACCGGGGGAGGCGGGGGACATGTCGTGCGCTTGTTGGCGCTGTCGAAGCTTGGCGGGATCGCCGAAGAACTCGTCGATCTGTTCCTGCGACAGGACTAAGGCCCCCCTCAGCCTGGGCTGGACGATGTTGCTGATAGGCGGCATGGCGAGAGAGCGGAAGAAGGAAAGCGTTGGACTTGCGATGCGAGGGGCTAGGGGGAGGGGGCAAGGTGGAGTGTGTTAGTGAGTGGACGAGGAGAGGAAGGAGGACGCTAAATGGAAGAGAGGAGATACTTAAGTCTTCGTCTGGCTCGCGTCGCCCGCACATGCTGCGGAACAAGATGTGCGGAATGTCGTGCGAGGGTCAGCGGTGCGGCGGATGAAGACTGTGATGCGGAAACAAATTTTGGTGGTGCGGAACATGTTGGTGCCGCGTGGCGACGGATCAATGATCAGGGCCATGAAGCACGCACCCAGCGGCGGAATACCCCTTTGCCGCACTGCTTCGATTCACACAACAATTTCAAAGCTCGAATTTTGCTCGTCTGATGACATTACTTCGGGTGCGGAGACTGGCGGATGTCGAGTCGGGTCGTGATGCAGTGATGCTGCCTTTGACGTGCAGCTCGGTCGACATCTTGTTCTCGCGGTGGATCGACGCTACCAATTCTGCAGCGAGCTAGACGAACGAAATGAGAAAGCGCAGTGCTTGACGCCAAAGATACATTTCGCTTGGGCGATTCCGAGAGCGAGTACGGAAGCACTTGAGCGAGTGCAAAGCTCGGATCGAGATCCATCAGTGTGCTAAGCCGTTGGGACGATCGAGACAATGTACTAATCGCTACTTCTTAGACGTCTTGGTGGTGCTCACTCGAGTGGTGCTCTCCTCGGTGATGCGCATGGGCTCTCGCAGCTTCTTGACCTTGGCGACGCTCAGCTTGTTGTGCTCCTCGAGCTCGGCAGCGAAGCCGTCGAGACTTTTGACAATGGCATCGAGACTGTCGGCGAGAAGTCGGACCCTGTTCACGAAAGTAGGTCCCTTGCTGATACGCTTGAATGCCGCTTCGACCTCAGTCCTTTTCTCATGCTCGGACTTGTCCTTCCGCACGACGCGGTGCGACGTGTACTCGTAGCTCGAATGCTTCGTCATGGCCTAGACCAGAGAAGTTTGAGGAGAAGCGGATGCTGTCAACAGCAAGCGTCGAAATCAAGTCTTGGATTCCCAGCAACCTACCAAGAAAACAACAAAGCAGAACAACGATTCTTGTGCTTCGTACTTGAGGAGGGCGGAGGATGTGCCAAATTGCTCGGCGACCAGTTGAAGATGATTGTGGTAATGGCGAGGGAAGTTTTTCGACGGAAAAGGATGGTTATGTATACGTGCAATGAGGTGCGGAACTTCGGCTTCCGCAGTCTTTCGCGAGGACTCAAGTGAGACCCTGCATCTCCCCCACTCCCATTGCTACGTGCTCATCGCTGCATCGCTGCATGTTGGACAGCTAGCGGAGTGCATGACCGAAATGAAGCCGAGCTGCTCCGCCTCAAGGAGGATCAATCGAGCAGGGCATCGACACGTAATTTCATACACAGGCATGCACACGAAATGAAGTGATTCGGATGGTCGTCGGATTTGCTAGGACGAGATAAACGGCTCGTTGCACGCATCAGGAGTGAGACAAGTGGGTGCTCTGCATTCGAGCTATTGCGGATAGTAGAGCCGGTTGAGCTCGCGGTTGAAGCGGGTGACGTCCTCGAAGCTGATGTTGGAGTTGCCTGCGTTGAGCTTGACATACGTCGAGATCGTGTCGAAGCGCAGGCACCTAATTCTGCCGAGGCTATGTCCACGAACGACATCTTCGACCTTGACAACATCGCCGCCCTTGATGCTGTGCGGCGGCAGCCGGCCGCTATACATGCTTGAGTTAGGATGGACGAACAAGGTCATGGTTTCATCCGGCGTAATCTCGAGTCTGACCTCAAGGAAATTGCCTGCGTCGATCTCGAAGTCCGGAAGCACTCGTGCGATGAATGACATGCGTGCGCCTACAAGCCCGTACGGCGAGTCCCACAGCAATACTCGCGAACTCGAAACTGACGCAGATGTCAGTACCGGGCAGACGGAATCGCTCGTCGCCGAGCTCCCGCCTAACACCAATGTTAGAATCGAGTGTCTTTTTGCTGCCGTCGGGGGGGATCGTTGCCTTGGCATTGCGGGCAGCTGGCGCATTTGCAACAGTGGGCCTGCCGTGCGAGGCTGTAGCGCAATCGACACACAGTCAGCTACTTATTCCAATGCAGCGAGGTTTGAAGCTCACTTGCCAGAGATGCCTCGGCCTTGTGCGCTGGCAACGGCGACGTACCGTGATGCTACCCGTTGGGCTGTGATCGAGCAATTGCAAGCCCGCAACCGCAGCGGGTGGCTCGAATTCATGCTGTGATAAGATCAACATGCCAGCCAGAGTGGCAATACTTGCGATTAATTTACAAGGATCTCGACCGCAAGGAATGCAACTTTTCCAATCGAGAGGATCAAGGAGCCCGTTTCATCCAGAGTATACGGATTGGGCGTCTTGCTCGCCAGATTAGCTTGAAGCGACACAGTCGAGCCGGGGACCACTTGAGGAGCTGCCGCTGCTATGGTCGGACTTGTGACCAACTTGAGTGGTCGAGTCAGCCTCTTTATCGCCTCTAAAAGTCCAAACAAAATCGCATCGAGGAGCTCGGTCGTCCATCGAATCATCCTGCTTGTCGCTTGCGCTCGAATGCGCGTCTTCGTCGCTGGATGGCTTGTTCGTCGACACCAGCTATGAGGCGGATCTCAAGGAGGCCGGAGACAATGTTCGAAGGAGGGAAAAGCTCCGTGCAGGACAGGCTTTGCTATGGATCAGTGAGCTTATCGGGGTTCCGCGTGCAGCGGCAAGTCTCGGAAAGAGTGCGAAAGCGTGCTGTGCAGCGACTGCGTGACTTCAAAGCATGATCCTAAACCACTCGTGGAGATGAGTCCAAGTGCGGCAGCACCCCGTTCAGATTCGGCGCAGCCGAAACCAACAGAGTGTCGGATTGCTGCACAGATGCAAGCGTTCCTGCAGCTGTTCTGCTGCGAAGCTCTGTTCCGCATGTCGGCCTCAAGCTCTCGGAGCATCCCGCTCTTGCACACAGTCAGCGTGCCTCAAAAACTTGCACACCGTCAGTATGCCTCAAGGAGCACTTCACTCGGAATCACAAGTCAAACTCTGATTGCAATTGGGACAAGTTAGGTTACGCTTTGGAGGCGGGAGCGTCCGCACGGGCGGCATTGATGGCCTTGATCCAGGCTGCGGCGTTGCGCTGAGCGGGTGCGCGCAGCTTGAGCGTGTCTGCCTGCGGCGCACCGCCCCCCACAGCGGGCATGGAGTGGACCACATTGAAGGCGTCTGCATGTCTGCTGCTTTTGGCCTTGGCCTCGTGCGCGCTCACCTCGTTGACGGGGATGGGCATGCGGTACAAGCTGGCGTCCTGGGCATGCAGCACGAGCAGCAAGTCGGTCGTCAGCACCAGGCGCAGCTTGCGGCCCGATTTGGCCTTGGCCACCATCTCGTCGCGCAGCACACGTCGTTGGCGCTTGACGCCCGGCTGGGCCGGATCGACAAACGGCTTGGTGAGATCCAGACGCGCCTCTTCGCCCAACCACAGATTCTGCGAGAGCTTCGACAGCGCCGTCGTGTCCTCGTTTTCCCGAATCGCCTCGTTGGTCTTGGCCAGGATGTCCTCGGCCGTTTGCTTGGCGCTCGCCACGCGTGCATGGTCAACATGGTCCTCGGGGGTATACCGCAGGATTTGTGCCAACAGCAGCGGGTACCGCGTGAGTCTCTGCATGGGTACGAGCAGGAAATGGCTCAGATCCAGCCCTCGAGCAGCTGGATGATTCGAGCGCAAATTGAGCAGGTGGATATCCACGCGTGTATCGCGCTTCCGCTCGGCCGCAAGGATCTCGCTCGCGCTCTGCTGGTTGACGCAGTAGGGCAGGTAGACGCTCATGGCCGGCATGTGGCGTTCGAGCACATCGCCGATCGCACCCACGAACAGCCGGTCCTCCTTCTGCCGCGCCTCCAGATCCGACAGATACGACACCGCCGTCACCAGCACGCTCTCGATGTTGGCAAAGATCACCGTGCTCGCCTTGGCCGACAGCATGCTCTGCATCGAGTTGAAGAAGACCTCGACGATGATCTGCACGTCGCGCACGTGCGCCGTCTCGGTGGCGATCAGCTCAAAGATCGCCTCTTGCCGCTTGCGCTCCGTGTCCGAAAGCCCGGACAGCAGCTCGCGGCCCACGAGACTCGACCACGACGGCGCACCGCTGCGTGCAGCTGCGCTCTCGGATGCCTCGGACGACTCGCCGCTCGCGCGCTGCGGCTCCGAGATCAAGGCGGCTTGCAACAGACCGCCTGTTGGCGTCGAGGCTCCCATCGCGATCGGACCACTGACGATCCGACTTCCGATGCCCGACTCGGGACGCGAAGCCGCTCCCGACGATCCCGTCCAGTTGCTGCGGTGCGACATGGACTTGATCGTTGAGAGGAAGCCCGAGGTGCGCGACGAAGACTCTCCCGCTGCGGAACTGGGTCGTGCGGGCGAGCCGGTCGCGAACGAAGGCGGCGACGCTGGCGGCACCATGGAATTCTTGGCCACCGCACTCGCTGCAGTGGCAGGCAGAATAGGCTGCAGCGACACCTCCTTGGTGAGCTTGAGGTAGCGGTCGTAGGCATCCTCCATGCGGTCTTCCTCGGTCGCCTCGGCGGTGTTGTCGACAGCAGGCGTTGGTGCGTCGCTCGAGGCGGCGTCGTTGGGAAGCGCAGGAAGGTCGCGGCTCGGACGCTTCTTGGGTCGGCTCGGCGGCTTGCGACGTTCGGGCTCCTCGGGCTTGGCGGGGCGCTTGGCCGTGCGCGAGCGCGAGAGCATCATCAGTTCGTCGAGATTCTTGTGTCGCTTCTGGCCCGGAGGCGGAGGCGGACGTCGCCCTGCTTTGGTAGGCATGCGCTTGACCGAGTCGTCTGCCTGGGAAGCACCCACCTGCTGGCTCTGCTCCGGGCCGTCTGCAGAATCGGCGGCTAAATCGTCGGCCTTGACAAGCACACCTGCCGCTTCGAGCACGCGCAGCCTCTCGATGGTGTGCTGGCGGATTTCCGCTTCGGTCTGCGGCGCAACTTGGTCGTCCGCGTTGAGAGGCGCATCGCGATGGTCCTGGTCTTCATCATCATCGTCGTCACTCGAGGTCCATCCTGTGGTGGAATCGGTGTCTTCCGAGTCGGAGGCTTCGTGAGCTTGATCCTCCACGCCAACGCCAGACGGAGTCGCAGCCGAGTTTCCGGCCTCAATGGTGCCGAGCGCATAAGCGACTGCTTCCATCTTGGATGCCTCGATGGCCTTTTGCACCTGACGATCCTCGCGCATGCGCGCGATCTTGATTTCGCGGTCCTCCGCTGCCGATGCTGCCAGCGCAGCAGCTAGCTGCGCTTCTTCGTCCGCCTCGTCTACGGCGTCGCTTGTTGCATGAGCTGCAGACGTACCGGCGCGTGTTGGCGTGTTGGGATCGGCGTCCACATTGAGCTTGGATGAGCTGGGACTCTTGGTGTCGGCATCAACCACTACCCAAGCTGACTTGGAGTCGGTGCTGGTCGGCTCGGACTGCTGCGAGTGCCGGCGCACCATGACGCCCGAGCCCGTATCGCTGTCCTCCTGCCCGTGTCCACCTGGTCGGGCTACATCCGGCGATGCCTGGAAAGCGTTCGTGCCTTGGCCGCCTGTTGGAGTTGATCCTGTACGCAGGCGAAGCGAAGATCCATCAACTGTCTCAGCACACTGCCTCTACGTAACCACTCACGCTCACGACGACTCCGGAACAAGAGGCTGAGCCGACCTCACCGAAGCTCTCCCGACAAGGAGGCTGCGGCAAGGAGGCTGCAGATAAGGCGGGCCAAGGCGCCCAGGATCACAAGGAACCCGCACAGCTGGCCCGCCTTTTCCACGGCCTCCCGGCCTGGTAGTCATACGAGGCAAAAGGCGCGAGGCAAAGTGCGGAACGGTACGAGATTCTATTGAGATCGACCCTGGGACACGATGGCGAGGGCGCCTGCCCGAAGGCAACAGGGAAAGAAAGGAACGCAAGGGAGTCCGGACCAAAAGGAGGAGATGGGAGAAGGGGCCACACTAACCAGAAAGCTCCAGGTACGTGGCGGGTGCGACGAGGATCTTTGCGCCGCCCACGTCGACGCGCCACCAATTGGCATCCTCCTGATCGACAACGAGCAGCTCGTCGCCCTCGCTAAACGTGGCTTCTTCCGCCGAAGCGCCCGAGTAGTCGTACAGAGCCTTGGCCTTGGCAGCTGATGGGCAGAGAGATGTCAGGTCAGTTTTTAAATCTAGTCACAAATCGCGCCAATCCCGCAATCTACATACGCTTGTCAATCGGCTCGACGTACGAGCGCGGGAAGAATCCCTTCTTGGACCCGCTAGCGAGCGAGCCGTACCACCAGTCGCTGCTGGCATCCTTAGGCGGGTGTGCCGAGAGGACGTCGTTCTCCTCAAAAGTGAGGTCCTCGTCGCGCTGACCCGAGTAGCCGTACAGTGTACGCACGCGCACGGAGCGACTCAGGTCAAAGCCCTCGACCTCGTCGCTGCCCGAAGCTGCATGACCGTTGGCAGGCTTGCGGGCGTCGAGGTCCTCAGGTCCCTCGTCCTCGTCGCCGCTGTCCTCCTCGGCCTCTTCGCGCACCGAAGGCTCGTCTGGAACGAACGCAGTCGCCTTCGTGTTGGCCTGGTCGTTGGCGAGGCTGTTGGCCCAGTCGACGCTCTGTCGGTTGGGGTTGGCAGCGGCAAGCTCGCTGGCGCCAAAGTCCGAGTCGAAGTTGTCGGCCATGGGCGGGGCTGGGGGCGCAGGCGGCGCAGGAGGCGGCGGGGGAGGAGCATCCGCAGCCCCTTCGACCGTGCGCTCTCCAACAGCCGACGAGACCTGCGGAGCCGCAGGTGGACTCGGCGGCGGCACGTACGTCTGGACCGGGGGCGTAGCATCGCCAATGACAATGCCGGTAACGAGCGCCTTGGAGCGGTCGTTGGTCTGCGCCTTTTTGAGCCTGAGGCCAACCTGAATCTGGCCGAGCAGAGCACCGCGATCGACAGGCCCCTCGGCTGGCTTGATGACCGGCGCTTTCGGAGCAGCAGGTGCGGCCGGAGCAGGCGGAGCGGCTGGAGCAGCGGGTGCAGCAGGAGGCGCAGGAGGAGCCGCGGGAGCCGAGGCGGGCGGGGTGGAGCGGCCGCTGCTGGGGATGAGATTGCTGAAGAGCGCCTGAGCCAAGTTCTGGCGCGTGGCGCGCGTGCTGGACCCAGGGCCATCAGCGTCGTCATCATCGTCGTCTTTGTCGGATTCTTCCCAGTCGTCGTCATCATGCTTGGGCGCGGTGAAGATGGTGCGCGATGCAGAGGTGGGCGTGGCGCCGGTCGGCTGGGCCGAGACTGGAGGCGTAGCACGGGTGGCGGCAGGTAGGTTCGAGTCGGCCACAGCCTGCTGAGACCGGAAGAAGGGATTCGTGCCTCCGCTCGAGGGCTGCGCGGGGGCCACAGCGGCGGGAGGACTGGTGACGGCGGCTCCGGCTCCCTGCTGCATGCGGTGGAACGGGTTCGTGCTCGAGCCTCCACTCGGGCTCGGCTGAGCGGGAGCGGGAGGCGCCTCTGGGGCAGGAGGAGCGAGGCTGGTGGGCGACGTGACGGCAGCTGCAGGCGCAGCAGGTGCGGCCGGTGCGGCGCGCGCTCGCGAAGGAGGTGGCGGAGGAGGTGCACCCGCCTTGCCCGACTTGCGCGAAGGAGGCGGGAGCGAAGACGCTGCAGGCTTGGCACCACTGTTGAACATGTTCTGGCGCTCCTTGAAAGCCTCCTCCTGCTTTCGTGCCTCTTCTTCCTGCTCCTCGAGTCGCTTAAGACGAGCCTCGCGCTCTGCCTTCTCTTTGGCAAGCACCTCTTCGCGACGACGGATCATGTCTTCCTGGTCGTTGATCTCCTCCTTGGCGGCCTGAACAACTGGAGCAGGAGGAGGAGCGTCGCTGCGCTCAGCCTCCTTGATCTCCTGCTTGACTGTAGCGAGGCTGGCCTTCTCGGTCTTGAGACGGTTCTCTTCGAGACGAGCCTTCCTGGCTTCCTCACGCGCAGCAGCCTCGGCATCTGCCTGTGCGCTCTTGGCGGCAGCCTCTGCTTGCTCGGCCTTGAGGCGCTCCTCGACGCTGGTGTCGACGGGAGTGGGACCGGCGGGGGCGACGGCACCGAGCATGCGCATTCGCTCCTGCACACGGCGCTGGGCCTCGGATCGGATCCAAGCGGCACGCTCTTCGGCGGACATGTTCTTGGGAGGGCCCGAGGCAGCTGGAGCCGGGGATGCGGGAGCGACTGGCGCAGGAGCGGGTTTGGGAGGCTCGGCAGGCGTAGAGGGCTGGGACGAGGCGGACCTCTCGGCATCGCGCTCGCGGTAGTCGTCGTTGCGGCGGGRAGAAYCTCGGTCGTCGTAACGGTCGCGCGAGTAGCCTGAGTCGCTGCGGCGATCGCCATCGCGGTCAAAGGTGCCGCGAAGATACTCGCCGTCGCCGAGTGTGGAGCCGGATCGGCTGGAGCCTCGGTCGTTCTGGCGATCGCGGTCTTCGGAAGCGTATCGGTTGTAGGGATCGTTGCGACGGTCGCGTTCGCGGCTCTCGCCGAGCTTGCGGTCGCGCTGTCGGCTCTCCCTTGCCTCGATGCGCTTTTCGAGCTGGGGGAGGCGCTCGTGCATGAGATGCATGAGCTCGCGCTCGGCCTTGCGGCGAAGGTCTGCCGAGTCGCGTCCGCCACGACGGTTGTAGTACTCGATGTCGTCCTGCACGCGGCGGATGCGGTAGCGAAGATCGTCCATCTCGCGGTCGAGCTCGCGATCCTCGTCGTCGTCGGCGCCCTGCTTGTCGAGGAGCTTCTGGGTGTTTTCGAGCTGACGCTTCATCTCGGAGAGGTCGTCTGTGGCACTCTGACCCTCGTAGCGCACAGTCTTTCGGTCAAGGTGGCGACTGCTGCTCTTGTAGCTGGGCACGTCGGCGTCGTCGTGCTTGTAGGCGGTGGCGTCCTTCTTGGGAGCGACGGGGTTCTGGTGGAAGGAGCGCGCCTTGGCGTAGGAGGCGCCGCTGTTGGAGCCAGCCTCGGGGAGGTTGAGGCCGGTGCCGTGACGAACGCTGGTGTCCTTCTTGAGGAGGTCCTTGAGGAAATCGACCGAGTCGTTGAGGTCCTTGGCGGAAGGCGGGATGAGCTCGGAAGGCAGGGTTTCGGGAACGTCGTTTCCATTGAGAGCGCGGTAGATGAGGCCCATGGCGACGTGGAACTCGTTGACGTTGAGCTTCCCTCGGTTGCCGGTATCGGCGAGATGCCAGATCTGCATGAGCTTGTCGGTCTCGAGACCGCTCTGACCAAAGACCTCGCGAGCGACCTCGCCGTTGATGAAGCCAGTGCCTTGAGAGTCCCATGCGCGGAAGATGGAGTCGTAGCTCTTCCTCTCCTCCTTGCTGAGCGCCCAGGGGATGCGAGGCTCTTTGGAGCCCTGCTGCTGCTGGCTGAGGGTCTGGATCTGGGACTGGAAGTTGGATGGCTGCATGCTAGCCTGGCTGAAGTTCATGTTGCCAGCGACGGGAGCGCCGGAGAAAGGCTGGGAGGCGGGGAGGAACTGGCTGCTCATGAGCTGCATGCGCGGATCGCGGATGGGCATGCCGGTCATCTGAGGCATGAGGCTGGTGGGCTGCATCTGAAGACCACCGGCGCCGCCCATGTATCCGGTCTGTTGGGGTTGGAGACCGCCCATGTAGCCGGTCTGCTGGGGCTGAAGGCCGCCGCCCATGCCGCCGCCCATGCCGCCGCCCATGCCGCCGCCCATGCCGCCGCCCATGCCGCCGCCCATGCCCATACCCATGCCCATGCCCATACCGCCGAAGTTGGAGGTGGCCTGAGGACGCAGTTGAGACTGCATACCGGGCTGCATACCCATGCCACCGCCCATCATGCCGGTTTGTTGTGGCATGAGGCCTTGCTGTTGCTGCTGTTGCGGGAATCCGGTCTGCATTGGACGTTGGAATTGGGACATGCCAGGATATCCGGTCTGTTGAGGCTGGAGGAAGCCGCTACCCTGCTGCTGCATTGGCTGCTGCTGCTGCTGTTGCTGGGGATAGCCTGTCATCTGCGGCTGCATTGGGCGGCCCCAGCCCTGGCCTTGCATGTTGTTGTACATGCTGGGTAAGCTGAGTGGCTACCCTTTTGAGCGCGTGGAAGGAGGGGGTGATTGCGAGGGAAGGCGGATGGATGGGATGAGAGAAGGAAGGGATTGAAGGGGAACGAGGCGGGAAGGGGAGAGAGGGATCGCTCGGACGGAGCAGCACCGCACGCGGACTCGGCACAGCCTGTCTCGGCTTGCGGAAGGAGCAGCGTCGAGCGCAGCTGCTGAGACGCTAAGCAGCTGGTCTGTGCTGTGGCACTGCCGATCCACCGCACTCAACACTCGCTGCGGAACCACCAAATGCATGCACGGCTACGTCGATTGCAAGCTCAAAAGGGCGAGATCGAGCGATTTCAAAGCCTCGAATACAAATTCCAACCCCGGCCGTTACCTGCTGGCTTCACACTTGGCGCCCATCGTAATCAATCGCCTTTACATCTCCCGATGGGCCTCCACGCGAAATCCAGGGTCTCGATTGCTGTCCATCACCGCTTGCACCTTTGCGTGTGCTTCTTGCTCTCGCTCAACGACTTTATTCCTAGCAAAGATGCCGAGCTATCTGATTGGAAGGTACGCACTCAACGACCACACATTGCTCCTAGTTGTCGTGCTGCTTAGCTGACTCGGTGATGGTTCGACTGGGTATAGGGTGGTCGATCCGATCCTGGGGCTCGCTACAGGCGTGATGGCGTATGTGCTGTGGGAGAACGATGGACGCAACTCGCACGAGCGTCCCACAGGTCGTACCCTTCCCGAGCTTGTACGTCGACGATACTACAGCGAAGAGCCTCCCGCGAGCTTGTACGCTGGGCCGGAAGCAACCACACGATCGCTGTTCCACATCCCCTCAGCCTCGCACAAGGCCACTCCCACCGACTCGGCAAGCTCAAGGTCGACAGAGCAGATCATTGCAGATGCCAAGGAAAAGGCGGCTCGTGCAAAGGGTCAGGCTGGAGCAGATCTGCGTGCCATCAGATCCGCCGTCACCGACGAATGGAATCAGTCAAACTCGCGATCCTAATCTTCCTCACACCTTACAATCTTGTCCCGGCTCCAAACTCACCTTGTACAACATCAAACCCTTTTCTCATAATCCGGCATCACATTTGACGACTAAATGTGTCTCATTGCGCTAGAAGTACAATTGATTATAGGAAAATGAGATGATCGCTCAAGCCTGGGCGGCACGCTGCGAGTCGGCAGTCTCGTCGCCCGCGCGTCGGCCGTCCTTTGTGACGCCCTGTCGACGACACATCGGACAGGTATTGGACGAGGTGGTCATCCATCGATCCACACACGTTGTATGGAAGGCATGTCGACACGCCAGCACACGGCACTCGTCGTCCTGCTTCCAGTCCTCCAGACACACCAGGCAGCGCTCGGCCATATTCTCGGTGATCTTTCCCTCACCCACCAGAGCCGCCACCTCGCTGCCGCGGATCTTGGACAGGTCGGCGGCAGCGTCGATCTCCTGCTGCGTCACGGTGCTCGGCTTGTTCTGCATGGCCTGCATCGTGCTCAGCAGATCCATGAGGATCATCAGATCGCGTCCTGCTGTCGCCGGATTCGACGTAAGCAGCGGGTGGTTCGCAGGATATCGCCCACCCGATACAAACAGCATAAAGCGCGACGCTGGCAGCTCTTCGCCGTTCGCATCGGTCGCATCGTCCCACGCGGAGGCAGTAGCAGGCGCACCCTCGGACTGAGCGCGCGCACGAGGCGAGGCTTCTGTCGTCCGCGTCGAGCCCAGCGTCGTCGGACGTGAGGTTTGCTGGCGTGTGCCGCCGGCATCTCGGCCTGGACCAGGTGCTCGCGCGCCCATCATCTCCTCTCCGAAGCGCTCGGTCACGTTGAGACTGCGCACGCCCACGACGATGCACGGCACCAGCTGCGACGGCGCCACGGGATCAAACCGGAACAGGCGGAAGAACGACAGATTGCCGTTCTGGAAGTCCCGATCCCGCCGCGCCTGCGTTTCGGCCGCGCCGACACCGTCGTCCGCCTGCTGATCCTGTTGGCCCTGCGTCGACTCATTCGACGCAGCTGTGGCATCTGTCGCTGCAGGCTCCGACGTTTCGCCGTCAAGCACCTCGGCACCCGAGGTGGTCTGAGCTTGTGTGGCATGCTCAAAGTAGTTGGTCGTGTGCGCCTCGGGTTGAGCGGGCGCAGCTTCTTCCGACGGGCGCATGAGCTGCACCGCAGCCATGAGATCGCGAACCAGATGATTGAGGAAGCTGCCAAAGCTGCCTGGCACGCCGTCTGGCAGTACGCCGTTTCGCACCTGGCGCAGCGTGCCCACGACATCGTTGGGACCGAGCGAGAAATCAGCCGTGGGCGCCTCTGATGCGTCGGAAGAGGATGCGGCCGACTGACCATCTCGGTCTGAACTCGAGTCATTCGTCTGCGAGCCTTCAGAGCGCGACTGGAGCGTGGGCAGAAGACGGCTCGGATGCATGAACGTGCCCAACGTCGATCGGACGAGCCGAGAGAGGCTGCCTCGAGACGGACTTTGCGGCGGCACAGCGCGATCCTGAGCCGAGGACGCATTGGAATCCGTGCGTTGCCTCTGCGAAGATGCCTCGCGCTCGGCTGCGTCCAGGAGATGCGCGATGATCTCTTGCTGCCTCGAATCTTGGCTCGAATCTTGGCCAGCATCGACTTGGTCGCCAGACGATTGTGCTCCGGGTGCCTCTGTAGGATCGTTCGAGGAGCTAGCCGGTTGGCTCGCAACGCTTTCAATTCCACCTGTCGGCGGAAGTCCCGACGTGCTGGAAGCACTGTGGACGCGGCGCGAAAGAGCAGCTAATCTTCCGCGAAGGCCGTTTCCGAGACTGGACGAGGCCGAAGAGGAATTCGACGCTGTGCCGCCGCCGCTCGAGGACGACGGACGGTCAACAGTGCGCGAGCGTTGCCAGTCGGCGAGCCAGCGCTCGTTGCGGTCGGTGGATGCCTGGCTCAGCCGTTCGAACGGGCGGCGCAGACTGGTCTGAAGTAGCGACGGATCCACATGATGAGACTCGGACGCGTTGAGAAGCGATGCTGCCGTGGCTGCAGCGGCGATACCCAGGATTCGACTGAGCATCACGGCTTGCTCTTCCAGCGTCACGGCGCCTCTGAGACCGTCTCCATCCAGGGCGCCGGGAGGAAGACCGATGGGGTTGTTGGAGTCGCGCGGTGCTTCTGTGCGGGACGAGGAGGCAGACTCGGGTGCGCGTGGGGCATCCGAAGCAGTCGAAGCGTCGACTTCATCGCCCGCAGAAGCCTCGGAGGAAGCGGGACGGCTGGCAACGGTGCGAGCGACGAGCGCGCCTTGAACCACCATGGATGTGCCACTGATCATCTCTGGCTGCAGAGGCACGCGGATGGTGTGGGGTCGCGACGGTTGCTGAGCTTGGTTTGGCTGTGCGTTGGAGTTCTGAGAAGGGGTTGCACCTGCTGCGAGATTGGGTGCGGCTGCGGCAGGCTGCGACGCTGCTTCACCGGTTGCAGTTTGTGCGGCGGCCATCGTTCCAAGCAGCGCTGCAAGCGTGGCGGATGCCAATGGATGTGGACGTGGCGAGGGTGTGGTGGCCGAAGCGGTGGTAGAGGTGGTGGCCGCTGGCTGAATTGGGGCAGAGACCGAGACTGGCGATGAAATGGGGGCACGAGAGCCGAGAGCTTCGAGGATGCGTTGTCGGGCACGCTCCCTCTCCTGGCGCAAAGCATCGAGATGCGGAGGAGGCGTGGCGTTGCTAGGTTCGGCGCCGGCGTCTGAGGTGGATGCGGCTTCTGTCGAGGATGGCTCGGAGGTGAGTGTGGCAGGAGCGGAAGTATCGGTCAGGGAAGCTGCATTGGCGTCGGCCAGGGGCTCGGATGACTCGGGAGCCGTGGTGGACGGAAGAGGAGAGCGTGACTCTTGCGATTCGAGATGCATGGGCTCGTCAGCAGGAGCCGAGGCAGCAGGTTGAGAAGCGACATCGGCGGACGAAGAGGCGGAGGAGCTAGCAGGGGCGTCTGGAGATCTCCTACGCCGTTGACGGAGAGGCTCGCTCACCGCAGTCGGGTCGGTCGCAGGCGCAGGTGAGGTGGAGCTTCGACGTCGCTTTCGGCCAGAGCTGGCGTCATCATCAGCAACTGCAACCACTGCATCTGGGACATGATCTTGGCCGTCAGATGAAGGTAAAGTGCGAGCCGATGCTGCGGCTCGACCCATGCGGGCGCGCTCGCGGCGGGCCTGGTCTTGCTGTTGGCGGGACTGAGCGTGGCCCATGATGGATAGTGCCTAGTGAGTGCGAGCCAAGGCGGACGTCAATAGCTTGACGCGGAAGAGGCTGCGATCAGCGCGGTGCCGGCATACGAGCAAGGTGGAATGCGGCCGGCGTCGCGGACCAAAGACGTTTAAAGGGAGGCGGGGCAGTCGAGACGGTTTTGGTTGCGGAATCCAAGCGCGGCCGACGGAGCTGCGGTGCTGCGAGTGCCTGCGACGTGAAAGCGTGGCTCGGACCTCGACTTGAACGCAGAGGGACAAAGCTCGTAGCGGTAGAGCCAGCCGATGAAGATGATGTCCTGATGCAAAGATGGATGTCGGAAAGAGTGAGAGAGGGAGCGGTTGTGCCGGCAGGGTGATGCAGTCGAGCGTGTGGCCAGCCGGACTTTACCCTTTCTTTGCACGCCGTCGATGACGAGAGCATCCGCAGCCGCAAGCGTGATTCGCCGAGCTGCTGCAATCAGCGAGATTTAAAATTAGAGTGTTAGACTGAGCCACATGAAGCTGTGCTGAGGTGGAGGTGGAATCGCTCACAGCCGACGCTCGCTGCGGACCGGCCAGCTGGGCTGAACAGCCTCGCCTCGTCATCGGCAATCAACCCGGAGAGCAACGGCAAGCATGCGCAAGAGCATCGAAGTGCATCGGGCGAAGTGTGATCTGTCCTGCGATCTGTTTTGCAGTCGAAGATGCCCTTCGGACATGGCCGAAAAGAAGCTGGTTGGTGCTGCTGCACGTTGGGATTGAGCAATTTTGGCAATTTCGCCGGCGGTGAAGCAGCGGCAGCAGCAGAAAGCAGCAGCAGAGGCCGCACACGTTGGCGCCCAAGCCAACACCCATATATGCGCGCGATAGGCAGAGCGACAGCCATTTTGCTTGGACCCCGTGGCTGCTGCTCTGAGCCGACTAGCCGAACAGATACGACGACCGACTCTACGCCGCGCCCCAATCAAGCCTCCTCGTTGCATTCGTCGGTCGCCGTGCGCACTGCGTCGTCTTCACGTCCACCATCACATCCCATCGAGACGTAATTAGAGCTGGCTCCCACGCGGCTGCAAACACCCCCACCTCGGCCCCCCCCCCCCCCCCCCCCCCCCCCNCCCCGCGATGGCCTCCACACCGATAGCCGGCGTGCCTTCTCCGCGCAACGACGACGACGCCATGGATCACGCCGACATCCAAGACGTGCCCGCCCTCGCATCTCCCTTACCCGCACCGCAGCACGCAGCACCGGAACCCCACGCCGCCATCCAGGTGGCAACCGCAGCCCACCTCTCCCACCCCATCCCCGGCCTCGCCGCGCTCCCTTCATCCTCCTCCTCCCGGCGCGCAAAACCAAGCCTGCTCGGCTCAGACGGCTTCGGCAAACTCGGCGCGCAGCTGTGGGCGCAGCGTGAGGAGAGCGTCGTGCGCAATCGTCAGGGCAGCGTGCTCACCCGTGGTCTCATCCTCAAAACCGACCATTTCGCAGGCGGCGCCCGCCATGCTCATCTCAACCTCCACCTTCAGGGCGCACCCAACTTCCGCAAGGCCGATTGCTCGCTAGAAGTGTATGGTGTCGCCCAGCCCACCATCACCGGTCTCAAGACCATCCTCTCCGTCTTAAATGCACGCCCCACCAAGGACGGCTCCCACTCTCAGAGCTTCGACTCGCGTCTCTCCGGTCTTGGCTCCTCGGGCGCCGCATCTCACTCTTCCCCGCAACTCTCCGACCCCTTGTCTTCGCCACCCTTGTCCGCCAGGAACAACGAACGAAAGGCTTCCGCACGATTCGACAAGTCGCGCAGATGCGTATGGGTCTGCACCAGGGAGGAGCCCGTCGTCTATGTCGGCGGTCGCCCCTTCGTGCTCCGCGAAGCTGAACGCCCAGTCACCACTTTCGGCCTCAGCATGCGCGCCGACAACCTCGAGGCCATCGAAGCGCGTCTCAAGCAAGACATCCTGCGAGAGTCTTCCAAGTACGGCGGTCTCGTCATGGTCCATGAAGAAACCGCCACGGGTCAGATCGAGCCCACCTGGATTGCCGTCGATGACGCCTCGGTGCACACTGTCCGCGAGGTCTGGGATCGCGTCAAGTCCGAGGGCTGGAAGGTCGACTACCACCGCATTCCTATCGCAGAAGACCAAGCCATCGAGAACAACTACCTCGACGCCTACACCCAGGTCATCAAGGACCTCGACCCCACAGAGACAAGCCTCGTCGCCAACTGCGGCATCGGCTTCACCCGTACCACCTTTGCCATGGTCGCCGCCGTCATCCTCCGCAGAAAGCAAATGCTCTTGCTAGGATACGACGATCCCTTTGCCAACCTTTCCGAGCAGCAGAAATCGCCGCTCCAGACACCCGCCAATGGCACGCCCCACTCGGGCGTCGCGCGATCCCTGCGCCAGGCCAGCGAGCAGCAGGTCCAGAACCTCTCGCTCCTACGACTCATCCGTGTCCTCAACGTCAGCCTCTCTACCCGCGACTCCCAGTCCACCATCGAGATTCTGCTCTCCAATCCTGCGCTCCTCGAGTCGCTCCGCAAGGCCAATTCGGGCGACTATGGCGTCATCCGCCAACTCGCCGGTCTCCTCGACGAGGGTCTCGAGAACAAGGCCGTCGTCGACGTCGCCATCGACTCTTGCGCTCACGTCACCAACCTTCGCGAGACCATCCTCTCCTCGCGCATTCGGTACTCCACCGATGCACTCGACGAGGCTCAAGCGGCGCTCCATCTCGAAAAGGCTGCCAAGTCGCTGGAAAAGTACTTTTTCCTCGTCGCCTTTGCTAGCTACGTCAATGCGAGCAAGACCGCCACCTTCCAGCATCGATTCGCCAACTGGCTCAAGAACCGCGCCGAGATCTGGCGTGGCATCCAGCTCATCCGCTCCAAAGGCAGACGCCTCTACTTCTTCGACCCGGTCGGTGATCTGCGCATCCTCTCCGGAGGCAAGGCGGGTGAGCTGGTCGCCACCTCGGAGAAGCTCCAGGACCGCTTCGGTGAGGTCTCCGGTCAGGGCGCCCAGGTGCCCGGTGACGAGTTCGCCGACTACGTCATCCGCAACCGCGCCGGTATCGTACTGCGGCCGTTTACGCTCCTCAAATGTGACATCTGGCGCAAGTTCATCGAGAGGAACGCCGGCCTGCCCATCCGCGGCACCGTCAACTTCCGCCGCATCCCGGGCAGCAACATTTTTGCCACCGGTCAGCCCACCGTCGACGGCATCCGCAATGTCGTCGCGGCGCTGCACGAGCACTATGCATCGAGGTCCGACGCCGACAGCTACCCTACGCGCACCGTCACCTGGATCAACTTGCGTGAAGAGCCGATTGTGTACGTCAATGGCAAGCCCTACTGTCTGCGTCAGAAGGGCATGTCGCTGCGCAACATCAAGGCGTACAGCGGCATCAACTGGGACCGCCTGCTTCTGCTCGAGGACCGCCTCAAAAACGACGTGATCAACGAGCTCGAGGCGGGCGAGGGGCGGCTGCTGCTTCACACCGAGACATCCGACGGCACCGTGATCCCCATCTGGGAAGAGGCGGCTCCTACTGACGTAGATACGATCCAAGAGATCATGGCCAATATCGGTGCCGACTTCAAGCACAAGCTGCAGCTCCGATTCCGAAGGATCCCCATGACCGCGGAGAAGCCGCCCGACTTTTCCGACATCAGCGAGCTCCTCTCCACCGTGCTGCAGGCCAACATCGAGGGTCAGCCCATCGTTCTCAACTGCCAGCTGGGCCGAGGTCGCAGCACGATGACCGCGGTGCTCATCCTCATGATCGCGCGTTGGTTAAGGCAGGGTCAGACCAAGCGATCCGAGTCCAGGTTGCAGGAGGTGCACGATGACGATGACACCTCAAGACGCAATGCGCAGCAGGGTGGCCGCGACGGGCTGCGTATCTCTGCTGCAGGGCAGGAGAGCGGCGCGGAGACTCCGTATGCGCATGAGACCATCAATCCGGATTTGCTGGACGACACCATCGCCACCAGCCCGGCTGCCGACGGCAGGCCCGCCAAGCGTGCGCCGCTGAGCTATCACGTAATCAACAGCCTGCTGCGAGTGATCCCCAAGGGTTTGGAGGTCAAGCGCATGGTGGATGACTGCATTGACCAGTGCGCTACGGTGACGAACCTGCGCGAAGCCATCGAGGACGCGCGACTGGCGGCAGAGGACACCGAGGACGAGGCTCTGCGCAAGAAGCACATCCAGGGCGCCATCCACAACCTGCGCCGATACTTTTTGCTCATCATCTTCCAGTCGTATCTCACGCAGACGCGGCCGGACCTGCTCGAGGCGGCGCCGAGCTTCCGCTCGTTTGTGACGCGCCAGCCGGTGTTCGAGACCATCTCGAAGGAGTTTGACAAGATCGACATCTCGACCATCATGCCGCTGCAGAAGGTGGATGCGAGCGACGGCATGGCGCTCTCGGACGAGGTGCAGGAGGTGGTGTCGCACCGCTCGGGCAGCATCCTCTCGGCCTACACCATGCTCAAGTCCGACTTCTTCAGCGGCATTCTCAAGCTCGGTCTGCCGGAGCGCATTGAAGGCATGCCGAACCTGCGTGGTGTTCCGCTGCTGTTAACACCGCCGACGCCGTCGAATGGTCAGAATGCGTCGTCGGCGCCGATGACGCCCAAGACGCCGCTCGTGACGCACGGGCGCGAGACGTGGGGGTCGGGTATGCCCACTGTCGAGGGCCTGCGTCGTGGACTGACGCGCATGGGTGCTGGGCCCAACGGACCGGCCAAGGTGGTGTGGACGTCGCTGCGCGAAGAGCCGGTGCTGTACGTCAACGGCCGTCCGCACGTGCTGCGACTGGCGGACCAGCCGATTACGAACATCGAGGCGACGGGCGTGACGACGGATGTGGTCGAGGGCATGGAGGTGGCGCTGAAGAACGACATGCTCAAGGAGGCGGCCGAGCGCGGCGGGCGCGTGCTGCTGCACGACGAGACCGAGATCCGGCAGGGCGAGTTCGACATCATCCCCGTGTGGGAGACGGTCAAGGAGGGCGACGTGCTCACGCCGCGGGAGGTGTACGAGCTCGTGCAGCGCGAGGGCTTCAAGGTCGACTATGCGCGTCTGGCCATTACGGACGAGCAGGCGCCCGTGCCCGCCGTCTTCTCGCAGCTCGAGGAGCGCGTCATCACCGCACTGCAGACCGGATCCGCATGCGTCTTCAACTGTCAGATGGGTCGAGGACGCACGACGACGGGCATGGTGATTGCGTCGCTCGTGTCGACGGTCTGGCACTATGGCGAGCAGCTCGTTTCGGGCTACGAGATGAGCGGCTCGCTTGTGCTGGCTGCATCGGCGTCGATGGACGATGCGGCGGGCACGCTGGTCAATGCCGAGGACGAGGCGTTCGGACAGCCCAAGGACGCGCTCGACAACCGCGAAGATAACCTGTGGCTGCAGGGCGAGTGGCGCACGATCTTGCAGCTGGTCGGCGTGCTGAGCCACGGCAAGCTGGCCAAGAAGCTCACGGACCGCGCCATCGACCGCATGGAGGCGGTGCAGAATCTGCGCAAGGCGATCTACGACTCGAAGCTGCGTGCGGACAATGCCGAGATGGGCACCAAGAAGCACAAGCATCTGTCGGGCGTGTTTGCCAACTACCTGCAGCGGTATGGGTATCTGATCACTTTCGCCAACTATTTGCTCGAAAAGAGCGAGGCGGATGGGTTCATTCCGCTGCTCCCACCGCTTGGGGGTGGTGGACCCGCCATTGCGATTGATGCGAGTGCGGAGGAGGCGTCGTCGGTGGCTAGACAGAGGTCCGAGTCGGTCTCGTCGCAGCATTCGAGCTCGACTGTGTTTACGAATGCGGACGGAGCGAGGCGGTTCCCCTCGTTCTTGGGATGGTTGCAGCCCAGACGTGAAATCGGCAACATCCTCGGACGTGACCGCCTCGAGTAGAGTGCTTTTGTCAAAATGTCAGCTCGCAATAGAAACGTCTTAGAACTTGAATCGAATGTGTTGGTGTGCAATGTGAAAATAGAAGGTGAGGAGCTGGTCGTACAACAGCTAGACACGGCAGTTGTTGATGCCGACGATGAGGATGTCTTCGGCGCCGATCTTCTCAAGCTTGTCCATGATGGTGGCCACGTCGGCCTTGAGGACCATGGACGAGACTGCGTTCCAGTTCTTGTCCTCGAGCGGCGAGACGGTGGCGGCTCTGCGGCCGGGGGTGATTTCGAGTGCACGCGCGAGGTCGTTCTTCTGCACGTTGTACTGGCACAGCACGTACTTGGAGGCGGCGATGACGCCGCGGATGCGTGCGGTGATGAGCTGGATCAGCTCCGTGTTGGAGCGCTCGTGCGGTGTGGCCGACTTGATCAGCACCGCTTGCGACGAGAGCAGCGTCGAGATCGCCGTGAGCCCGCAGGCGCGCATCGTCTCGCCGCTCTCCACCAGGTCCACAATACCATCGGCCAGCCCGAGCGCACATGCCGCCTCCACAGAGCCTCCGACGTATTCGATCTGCGTCTTGAGCTCTTCTGTCGCCCCGAGCGTACCGGCTGCACGACGCACGGAGGTAACGCGCGCATCGAGTTCCGAAAAGTACTTGGCCGCCAGATGGTCGAAGCTCGTCGCGACCTTTTTGCCGACCAGGTCCTCGACGCTGCTGATGTTCTTGCCGGCGTTGGCGGGGAGTACGGGATCTGGGATCTGCACCTGGAGCGAGCACTTGCCGAATCCGAGCTGCAGCTCTTCCGACACGAGGCCGCTCACCTTATCGCCGGCCTCGGCGACCATGTCCTGACCGGTGATGCCGAGGTCGACGTTACCCTCGCCGACGAAGCGCGGAATGTCGGCGGCAGGAAGGAAGACGAGTGCGATGGGAAGGTTCTGCACGAGCGCGACATCGAGACGGTGCTGGCGCTTGAACTGGATGTCGGCGCCCGAGAGGATGTCGACGCACTTTTCGTACAGCCTGCCCTTCTTGGGGATGGCAAAGAGCAGCCGCCCGTTGAGGTTTTCGGCACTGAGCAGATTCGACATGTCGGTCTAGCCTTGTGTGGTGGTGATGCGGATGTCGAGATGGAGGTGATGAGGTGGACGACAGGTGCAACAGATGCGGTGGGTGTGATTGGACATCCGAAGATCCGCATCGGCGGCAGCAGCGGCCAATTCAATTTTTTATGCAGCCCAGCAGCCAGGCGGCACTTCCAGACGGCACTTCTTCCAGATGTGCACATCGTTGGTCGAATCGGGCAGATCGTCCCCAAAAATCGCGTCATTCGCCGAGTCACTCGCACAGCAACAGCACAGCGCACGTGCAGCCAGGGTTCATCCCCCAAGACCGCTCGGCCAACTCCGAAGCGCCCGAAATGCTTAGCCGGCCTGACTGCGTCCATTCACGTCAACTCGTGCCCTCTACTCGCACTTTCTGTATCTAACTCCTACAGGAGAACTCTGCTCACACACAGCATCTCACCAACGTCGTGTAAACGACCAACGGCGTGTCTATTTGCCTTATCGTGATAAAGAATGCGACGTCAGTGGTGATGGTGGTGGTGATGTCCATGGCTGTGAGCGTGGCCGTAAGCATGACCGTGGGCGTGGCCGTGATCGTGATGGTCATGTCCGTGATGATCGTGTCCATGATGCTCGTGTCCATGAGCGCAGGCGGCATTATGAACCACACCATCGTCTTCATGACCCTCGCGTTTGACAGTGACGGTAAGCTCACCTGCTCTCTGGGTGCCTCTGAGCATCTCGCCGGCCATAAGCCCGCGCGTCGCCGCCACGCTAGGCGCCAACCGTTCCCAGGCCCACTTTGTCATCTCGAAGCAGTCGTCCTCGGACGCGTCGGGCTTGAGGAATACGGTGACCGACGCCACGAGCGATGCGGATTTGCTGCCAAAATGCATACCTCGACCCGAGCCCGCGCCGCCCGACAGCACACCCGACGCACGGTCCGCCTGCACCACGGCCGACGTCGGCGGCGTGAGCTGCCAAACATTCGGTGGAGGCACGTACGAAACGAGCGGATGCTGTTCCACCGTCTTGAGCGCACGCTTGAGCTGCTGCAAGTTCGGTGACGCCTCCGAGGGGGCTGTCTGCAGAAGCACCTTGCCCAGCGCGACCGAGGCAGGATAGGCTACGTAGAACATCGATACCGACTCGAGACCGGCAAGAACTTTGTCGAGCGCCGCCACTTGCACCGAAGGCATGGTGAGGCCGGCGAACAACAGTGCCGAGCTGAAGAAGAGCACCGTCAGACTGAACGGGTTTGCAAGCAGCGCGAGCAATGGCGACGCCAGTTCCGACGGACGCATGAGCACCGAGCCGCTGCGACCATGGCGTGCGGCGCTGGGTGGCGCCGAACCCGATGCGGCCGTGCTAATCCCGCACGCAGCGACCAAGCGCGCATGGTTGCCCATCACGAGGTTCGAGATCACGCACGCCGCGAGCGAGAGCGCGAGCAGCAGATTAGGCATCACAATGCCATACGAGTGCTCGGCGTGTGCGTGCGAATGATCATGACCCGACGCCGAATCCACCGCACCCTCCACCGCATGGCCACCGCCACCTTCGAGCAGCGCATGCTCGACCGACTCCTTGAGCACGTACACGCTGGCAAACAGCAGGTAGATGGTCTGGACAAAGTGGAGGAGCGTCGAGACACGGTGCATGCCGTAGGGGCGTCGGATGGCGGTGCCGTCCGCCTTGCCCGTGCGCCTGCGCAGGTCGGCCGCATGCTGCTCCCACTCGAGCGCCCAATCGGCCATGGCACTGCTCAAGATACCCATGGCGTCAAACACGACGAGATAGCCCAGGCCCGTGGCGGACAGAGAGTCCACCTCCTGCCCCGCCATCCACAGCGCCGCACCCAGACCAAAGTGCGACATGCCAAACAGCAGCAGCGGACGCGAGGCTTGCGGGATGTGGCTGAGCGCCGAAACGGTGCGTGCGTGGAGCGAACGCTTGCCATGCGCGTGAATGTGGCTGTGCCCGTGGTGGTGACTGTGGTCGTGCGAGTGGGCGTGGTGGCTGTGGGCGTCAAGATGCTTTTCTGCGGCCGCGATCGAGGTATCCGAGGTCCACGAGGTGGAAGAGGTGGAGCGCTCCATGGCATGGCCGTTGTGCTTGGCGGTGATGGGGCTGAGGCCCGAGTCGAGCATGGCGACGCTATGGCGGTGGTGATGACCGCGTCTGCTCTTGGTCGGGCTGGGGCTAAGATCTCCGAGCTGACTCGGAGCATCCAGCTTGCCAGCCGCCGGCTGCTGGTTGGCGGTGAGTGCAGCAAAGCTGGCGGAACGCGGGGAGAGCGTGGTGGCATCGGTGCTGACGGTGATCTGAGGACGGTTGCCGCTGCCGTTGCGACGGTGCACATGTGAGGCCGGGGTATGAGCGGGCGTGCTGGCGGTGGCGGCGCTGATGGCAAACGTAGACGGAGGCGCAGTGTGTGGCATTTCGTGTGCAAACGCATCGCGCGCTCTGGCTTCGTCCGCCTCGGCTTCAGCGTCGGTGCCCGGGCGCGGGAAGAAGACGCTGAGGTTGCGGCTGTGTACGCGCGAGTGTCGGCGCGAGTGCTCGCGTCGCTCTGCCACGGTCATCTTGGCAAAGTCGACCTTGCGTACCGATGTGGGCGCTCCGTTGGGCTGCGAGGTGTCTAGGTCGGCGACGCTGTCGAGCTCCTCATAGAGAGCGTCATCGACTTCGTTCGAGGTGTCTGCGTCGGGTGTCTCGTCGCCCATTGGCGCAGCGAGCGGCCGTTCGGGTGTCGACTCTGTGGTCGCCGGGTCGGACACGCTGCTCATATTGGATTCCTGCGGAGCCAGCTCCGGCTCGATGAGCTGTGGCTCGGTGTGCTGCGGCTCGACGGGTGAGTCGGCAGTGACCGGCGAGATGACGATCGCTGTGCTGGATTCGATGGGCGAATCGACACAAGATGGATCGTGCGAGTCCGCGGCGCTTGGTGGCCTGCTGAGCGAAGAACGGGACGATGGCCGGGGCGGTTCCGGAAGGGAGCGAATGGAGGATGATGATCTCTTCTTTTGCACCGGAGGACGTAGGGTGGAAGGGTACGAGCCGCTTGCGAGTCTGATGGAGGGCGATCGAGAAAAGGTAGTGGTTGCGGAGGCCGCACCACTGCTGAGGCTTCTGGGGCGGGGCGGTGTGGCGGAGAGGGTTGTGGGGTCCGAGTTGCTGGGAAGCAAGAAGGAGCTGCGCTTCTTGAGGGTGGGCGAGGCGGGACGTGATACGGACGAGGGCGGACGGAGCAATGCGGGGCTGGTATCTGCGCGCTGTTCGTACTGCTTTGTGATGTGCTTGACCGAGCGTTTGTGCGTGAGCGAGGCAGGTGGCTTGCCGTCTTGCGAGACGTCGGGTGCGAGAGTCGACAAGTGCTTCTGTGGGCTCGACGGTGGGCGAGGGGTGGAGACGTTGGCGTTGCGCGAAGGAGCGAGGACACAGTCGGCTGCAGCCGGTTCGGGGGCGGGGGCGATGGTGATGTCCAAGGGAGCGTCGTGTGCGTGCGGGGCGGTGGAGCGGGGCGAGGATGAAGGCATCGGCTCCAATGGTGGTGTTGCCAGACGATACCTAGGACGAAGAGGCCAGAGCGCTCGCCAGGATCAGCGTGGGTCCAGTCGAGGTCGCCGGGGTGGAAAAGCAAGCGCAAGAGGACCGAGGGGCTCGAGAGGCAGAGAGAAGGAGGCAGAGGTGTGGAACCAGACGCAGGACAAGAAGAAGTGTGCGAGAGGCAGCGTACAAGCGTGCGTTCCTTGAGCAGCAACAGCAGCAGCTGTGCGGTCAAGCCAAGAAAAGTCGCTTGCAACGGAGCACTGACAAGCGGGCGTGGCAAGGAAATTAGAGCGCGTGGGCACGGCAACTGCGCTGCAACTGCAACTGCACAGTGGCGTGTAACTGGTGAGGTGCGACTCCGCCCTGGACAGCGTGTCGCCTTCGCTCGCTCAGAAATTGCCTCGCGCGCCTCTGTTGGTCTCAGGCATACCTTCTTTTTTGAGCGCCCTTTTCGCAGCCCGAATTTCCAGCCCCACTTTCTTTGCGCAGCTCACATGCACAGACCTTGAGAGCCGTCGTCTCGTCTCTGTCGCCGTATAATGAAAGGAAGGGAATGTCTTGCGTCGGAGCATGGTGGCAGGTGTGTACATCACTTGTTGGACAGGTGCAGATTTTGGAGCGTGCTTTCTAACTTGCCAGCCAGGCCCTCTTGCTTGTCGTCGTCCTTGGCTTCCGATGATGCCGGCGCAGCATTTCCATCTTCGGTATCGAACCATTCGTTGCCATCGGCCTCTTCGTCCTCGTCCTCGCTGTACAGCTCGCGTTTCGTCGGCGGCGAGATCTTGCCCGGCTCGTCTGTCGGCGCGGGGTCGGTCGACGTCGATGTCGAAGATGCTTCCGCTGCCAGGCCTTCGCTGCGGCTTTCGCTGGCGAGCGCTGCAAACGTGCGGAACTTGGTGGAGGCTCGCACCGCCGCGATGGCCGATTTCCAGCGCTTGCGGTAGTTTTCGCGCAGGCCGGCCGAGATGTCGTGCACGCCCTGCGTCTCCGCCTTGTGCTCGGTGAGCCACGCGTGCGCCATGCCCTGGTCCGCCGTGAGCCGCTTCTTGGGATCCACAGTGAGGCACGCCTTGACAAAGTCCTTGGCCTCGGCGCTCACGTTCTTCCAATACCGGTCGTGGAACTCCACCTTGCCACGCTGCGTCTCGGCTGCCAGCGCCTGTGCATCGTCCGAGCGGAAGGGCGTGTAGCCGCACAACATCGTGTACGTGATCACGCCCAGACTCCACATGTCCACCGCCTTGCCGTGTCCCTTCTTGGCCAGGATCTCGGGCGCAGCATAGCCGAAACTGCCGCACACCGATGTGAGCACCTCGTTGTCGTCCTTCATGTGCGCCGCAATGCCGAAATCCACCAGCACCACATTGGCGTCCTCTTCCTTGGTGCGGTACAGGATGTTCTCCGGCTTGATGTCGCGGTGCACGATGTTGTGGTGGTGCAGATACTGGATGGCCGACAGCACGGCACGGATGGTGCGGCAGGCGTCGAGCTCGGTGAATCGACCGCGCGCCAGGATGCGCTCAAACAGCTCGCCGCCCGTAGCCTCCTCAAAGACGAGGTAGTACTTGTCCTTGCTCTCGAACCAGTCGAGGAACTTGACCACGTGCGGCTGATCCAGCCCCTTGAGCACGTTCATCTCGTCCTTGACAATGTTGTCGTGCCCGCGCAGGATGCGCTTGCTGATCACCTTGACCGCCACACCGATCGGAGGATCGGCCGCCTTCCATGTGGCAGAACGCACGATGCCAAACGTACCCTCGCCCAGCGTCTTTTTGAATTCATACTCCTTCTTCTTCACATACGAGTCCGGCTGCTTGGCCAGGGGGTTGTGGAACGGCATCGGTGCGATGGTCACTCTCCAACGCCACTCGGGATGGCTGCGATATCGACCGCTGTTTTCTTGGAGCCTATCGCCGGGCTTGCTGATTCGGGGAGATGCCTGAGCTCCGCGCTGCAAGATTATCCTTGTGGCAAGAGAGTGTGCTGAGGTCGACGGCTAGGCGGGTCGAGTGCGAATGAGTGGAAGGATGACGGACGGAGAACAGGAAGGCAAGCCGGCCGTCGGTCACGCACTCAAAAAGTGCACTCAAAAAGTGCGCCCCAAAAGCGCACCTGCATCCCAGCCTCATGCATGCGAGCCTCCGCTGCAGTCCGGCCCGCGCTTTTGGGCTCGTCTGTGCGCTTTGGCCAACTCCGCACCGGACCAAAAATTCAGGCACACCGCAGCGCTCAATTTGGGTTTCCTCGCAAAAATCGCCTGTCCGGCGGCCAATTTGGCTCTCAAACCCAGATCGTCAGCGCCGAGCGGAGCGTCAGCCTTCGTTACACATGACACCCCTCTGCTTATTTCCGTGTGCACTCCTGCGTGTGGTTACAGGCTGCATGCATAGAATGAGTGCTGGTGCTTGGTTGATCACCACTTCTCCACCGAGGGGCGGAGGTCTGTCTCGAACGACCATACGCTGCGTGGTTGTCGTGCGGTGTCGAGGTAGACCTGGGCGATGTCGTCGGCGTCCATGCGTGAGCCAGGCGCATAGTCCTTGCCCACAAAGGTGTCGGTTCGCTCCGTGATGATGATGCCGTCGATGATGAAGTGCGCCACATGGATGCCCTTTGGCCCAACTTCGCGTGCCAGACTCTGCGCCATGGCTCGCAGTCCAAACTTGGCCGATGCAAACGCAGCGAAATTGGCACTTCCCTTGATCGAGGCCGTTGCACCGGAGATGAGGATGTTTCCAAGCGCCGTCTTGCCATCCCCACCCGAAGCAAAGTCGGGAGAAGAGGAGATGGCTCGAAGCATCGCCTGTGAAAACAAAAATCCTCCCAACCTGTTCACGACTCTCTACCGTCAGCAAAGGTGCACTTAGAACGGAGGTAAGGGTGGACTTACACTTGGGTGCGGAAGGCTTCTTCGACTTGACTCTGCTTGGTGTCTAGGAAGGAGGCCATTGCAAAGCCGCCATTGGGATTGAAGATGCCCGTGTGGATCGAGGCACCTTGATGTTGCTCTCCGCCTTGACCGCTCGAAAAGTGCTCGTGCACCTTTTCAATCGTCGTGTTCATCGATGTCTCGTCCTGACAGTCCACAGCATAGCCTACTGCACGTCCACCGCTGCTCGACTGGCCGTTTAGCTGCGAAGCCAGTGCGTCCATTCGCTCCTGCGATCGCGAAAGCAGTGCCACCGGATGCCCTGCCTCGGTGAACTTGCGTCCAAGACTCAGACCGAGTCCAGGTCCTGCTCCTACCACTACTACAATCTGCTTTGCTGTCGTTGTTGCTGCCATATTTGCTGTCACTGAATGCCTGAAGGAGATGGAGATACCAAGAGAGAGAGAGCTGCTCGGTCGACCTGTGGCTATATAGCCGATTCCAAGCCTGCTCGCGCACGTCCCCTTCGCAGCTCCAAAAAAATCCGAATGCCCGGACCCTGCAGCTGCCCACCAGCTATTCCCGGCCTCTGAACTTATTGCCGGGCCGTCTCACCACAAAGACACCGCAGCCGCTTCCGCCGCATCGATCATCCATGCGAAGGAAGCGTTTCACGCAACAGATCTGTGACAGGATAGAGCCGTAGCCAGATAGTGTATATGAAGTGAACGGCGAGACGAAGCGGTGGATCCGACCATGGCACTGTTGCGATCCCACCGAGGCACCCTGCTGCGCCGCTCATATTCACGACACCGAGGGCGGCTCCGGCACTGCAGCGCAGAAGCGTCCGTAGAGCGACAGCACCGAGTACTGCATGCCCTGCGCCACCTCGACCTGGAAAGCGGCGTACGGCACCTTTTCGCCATCGATGCTGATCAGCCCGCCGTTCTTGAGCTTCTTGTCGCCCTCCTTGCGCCGCGGCGTCACTCGCAGCGCCTCGACCTTGACGTACGTCATCGACTTTTGGTACACCAGCTGGCCCGATTCCGCATACCCGTTCTCCGGCAGCTTCGCCGCGCGCCCACCCGCATGCAGCATCATCGCCACGTCGATCGTGCCGTCGTTCGGAAGCGCAAACGGGAACTGCATCAGGTCCCGACTCACGTACGGGATCTTGCCACCGTACAGACTCGCGATCGGCTCCTGGATGCGCGCCCACCCGTCGGCCGAAGTCGCACCAGCCTCAGACGATCCATCTGCCGCCGCTTGATGTCGGATCGAGTGCCGTTGAGTGAGGAACGAGTGCGACCACGAAGGATCGTTGAGGTCAAACGGTGGTGGCGTCGTTGCATCCGCCTTGAGCGGCTCAGTGACGGCACCGTGAACAAGGTCTGACGAGGCGGCACCGCCGTTGGCTTGCTGCTCTTCTGCATCGTCATCGATCGAACGACTCGCGTTGTTGAAGGCCAGGACGCGCTCGCGCATCTCGGCTCTGTTCTTGGTGCCGCGCGTGCCGAGCTTGATATCAATATCCACCTCACACTGCGTATTGCGCAGCACCGAGGTGGCATACCCAATCACGAAGCGCGTATCGCCTAGAGCGCGCAAATGTTCGGTTCCCAGATCGAGGTCAGCAAAGATGCCGATAGCCTGCGAAAGGAACGAGTAGTACCGGACAAAAGGCTTGGAGGGTGCGTCGATGATGTGCGCCACATCCTCCGAGCCACGCGCGCTCTCGCTTACGCTCGCATTGAGTGCAGCGTCTCGCCTCGCTCTTGCTGCGTGCTTGCCGAGAGAATTGGTCGGTGGACGGCCGGGCACGGCCACTCCGGGAGGGAACGCAGACGCGGGCTGTGTCACGCTAAGCAGGTCGAGCTTCATCGGACGACCCTTGATGATGTTGAGGCACGCCAGAGCCAGGCTGAAGCCCTGCTGGGCGCCGAGGAGATTGATCGACATGGCGTTGCCGCTGCCAGCCGGGATGGGTGCGAGGGGCAGACAGAGCGCATTATGGGCGTCGGCTCGGGTTGCAAAGCCATTGAGCACCTCGTGAAGGAGTCCGTCGCCGCTGACGATGGCAACAGCGTCGTAGTCCTGAACCTTGAGGTCGCGAGCGATTTCGAGTCCGTGGAGGCGGTGCGAGGTGATGGTGACGTCGAGCTTGCACCCTGCGGCCTCCAGGATGGGGCGAGCGCGGCTCTCAAACAATTGTCTTGCCTTGCCTGGACCTCCAGCCGGGTTGACGAGCACCTTGATGCGCTTGTGTGGCTTGACGTCTTTGTATGTCCGGGACATGACATCGTCGACCCAGGCCTGCGCTTTTGCTTCCGAGTCGACGCCATCCTTGCCAGTGAGAACGCGCGCCTCGATCTTGACCAAGCGAAGGCTTGAGCACGGACCCTCGAGCTGCTCCCTCAAGCGCTCTGCCCGCGCCGAGGAGGAGAGTGCGGCGTACGCCTCTTGTGTGAGTGACTCCATGCAAGCCGGTTGGACCTTTGCCTTTTTAAGGAAAGCAAACGGGACGGATTTCTCGCGAGCCTGTGCCTGCACGGGCGGAGAAAGGAGCCGCACGAGCAGCGAGCCGCCATCCGAGTCCGAGACGAACGAGGCATTGAGGACGAGCGCCAAGGGTACGCGAACGTGCGCTTTGCTGGTGTCGGTGGTGTCGGCATGCCGAAGATGGCCGCGCACGACAAAGAGGAACTCGTGGTCGTAGCCTATGCATGCGGGTTTGCCGTCGATGGACACGTCGACAAGAGCCGGCGAGCTGGTTGTCTTGGTTCCTGGTTGCATCCTTCCAGAAGCGGCCCGTCTTCCTTTACGTGTAGGAGGGAGGGAGCAAAGCACTCAGGCCGGATGAGATGGCGAGCAAGGAAACTCAAGGCCTCGAGTTACGGGAGCGATTGGCGCACCGGGCGCGACAGGGTATCTTTGATCGACCGAGGTGGCGATAGGAACGTAGCGGATGCTCTACGCTTGAGGGAGATTTGGGTTTGGTTGTAGACGAGAAGCAGACGGCGTCGGAGGATGTGCGGTGAGAGGGAACGAGCCAGTGAAGGCGCTCTCCGACCAGGCGAGCATCCGCGCCGCCTCGAGATTTTTGGTCTCTCAGGGTCCTTTCGGCTCGGCCGTGATGCACCGAGAATTCACGCGGACGCGTGCGTGCCAACGCGGCGCCCTGCTGGTCTACAGCACTGCACTGCTCCGCGATGCACCCATCCAGGTTCCTTGACTTACCGCGCAATGCAGAGTAGCAGCATGGACATGCGGGGAATCTTACCGGAGCCTGAGCAGCTCAACGGCACTTCCGATACGAAGAGGATGGTGGTGGATCGCAGCGCGAAAGCGGTCTCGGAACGTCCCGCGCTAGCGTCGAGGAGATTTCGCGGCGTATCGCCGGCGCAAAGCGCCGAAGCTCCGAGAGGCCCAGGAGGTGGAGGTTTTTGCATTTCTGCCCGCGTGCCGCTGCCGCCGCTCAAAGACGGGTTGGCTCGAGCGTGATGCTGTGCGGCGAACTAACTGCAAGACCGCAACCACCACTTGCCAGGATTCACACGATCTTGCATCGCGAGCCGCACCAGGGCGACCAGCTGTCGCTTCACGTCCGACGCAGCTTCCTGCACACGCGCTCGCCAGGAAGGCGCGATTCGGCCTCTCGCAGCAAGACAAGTCCGATTGCTTCGACGGATCCAGATTCTGCTCCTACATGCAAGGCTCTCACGAGGTCGAGGAGCAGGCGACGGCCTTTCTGGATCGACATCTCCGCTTCACGTCTGATAGCAAAGCAGAGCGCCCGCACGTGACACTCACCTTTGCTGTCTCGCATGATGGCAAGATCGCAGGCCCAGGCAAGGCGCAGCTAGCACTGAGTGGGGCTGAAAGCATGCTCATGACGCACACGTTGCGGACGCTCCACGATGGCATCTTGGTCGGAATCGGCACCGTGCTGAACGACAATCCGCAGCTCAATGCACGCCTGCTCTCCCAGCCACCGCCCGTCGCACAACTCCCGAGACCCGTCGTGCTCGATTCGCAACTACGCACGCCCATCGACTGCAAGCTCATTCGAAACCACGCGGCGGGCGTGGGCCGGCAACCGCTCATCCTAGCATCCGAGCAGGCGAGCCAACAGCGCCGACTGGAGCTGGAACGCGCGGGAGCCGAGGTGGTGCAGATGCCATCACTCGACTGGCAGACGATCTTGAAGCATATCCATGCAGCCGGAGTACGCCGGTTGATGGTCGAAGGCGGTGCAGCCGTGATCGATAGCCTGATGCAGCAGCCGCAGCACATCAATGCGCTGCTCGTCACCATCGCACCCGTCACGGTTGGTCCTCAAGGCTTTGGCTTCTCCTCGCCTTTGCCAGACGTCCACGCTAAGGATGAGCAAGCAGGCTGGTCGCCGCCCAACCGGTCGAAGTTTGGAAAGGACGACGTGGTTGTTTGGCATCGACATCGATAATCAACGTGCATGTCAAACCATCGTCCGAATGCGTCATGAGTGGGTGCAGAACACCGGTCCGACTTGAGCGCCAACGGTGGTCCTACCAATCACAGCAAGACCGAAGGCTCGAGGCTTTTCATCATTGGATCTGTGCTGGCGAGTGCTTCAGTAGTACCACAGCGGAGGTAGCACACCCATCCGCACGAGCTGATTTGTCGAATCCGGACAAGAGAGGTCAGGAGGACTCTCGCACGGAGCTCGACGAGGCACGTACGAGCTCCGACCAAATAACCGCTGAGCAGCGGATCGAACCTCTAGCCGACAGTAAATGTCTGTCATGGATCCAGTCAAAGCTGCGTGCTGTCGGAATGTTTGACGAGCCCAGTTGCCTTGCAGCCAAGATCGATGCGAATTTGCACCGCGAAAACAGCTTCCGACCCGTGCAAACAATGGCAAAGCGATGCAGAGCAACCTTGGCATCTACGACAATGGATGCAAAGCACTGCAAACCGTTTCACGCGAGCGACCAACCGCGTTTGACAATAGGATGGTGTGCAGCAATATCTGGTGAGCGGGGCACGATGCGATCATCGGGTTGAGAATCGTCTGCCAAACCGGCAACCACGGGGAGGTAAGCACTGTGGCTAGATCCTTGCCTACTGCATCGGGCGGCGGCCATGACGGCGGTCGAGATACGAGCCTGCTCTTCACACACTCTCGGGCTAGGAGCGGGTCATCTGGTTGGCTGGGCGAACGCCACGATTTAGGGATCTGCACCCACATCCGACAGGTTCGCATGCACCACAAGCGCTTCGAAAGCGGCCGGACAGTCGGGGTAACTTAACCAGATCCATGCATCGGCGTCCCAGGTTTAGTGGCGAGATCCCGAGCGGCGACAGCGTTCTGCTTTTATCCACCGACGGATGCTGTAACTTGCACTCGAGTACACACGTGAGGTGCAACCAGAACAACAGTAGCCGGGCCGGCCTGCATGCATGTAGGCATGTATGCATGTACACGGCTCCTGCCGAGCTGACTTCCGGGGCCGCGATGCGCATCGTAGTCGCAGTCCCGGGATCGCGATCGGTTTCGGAAACCTTGCACACGACATCACGACAAAGTTTTCAAAGCGCAGCCAGAGCTGCAGGCTACACAATGGCCCACCGCTTGCTCGTTGGCATCGGGCGACACATCATCCGCGCTCGCGACACTACAGGACGGCACAGCTGTCGTTCCACCGCTTCCCACATTCGATTATCGACGTCCCTACTCTTCTCCAACATTGATCCGGTGGCGGCAATGCGTAGGAGGCAGCTTGTTGCTATAGCCTCTTCGTGCGAAGGGGGCATGACGAGCGCCAAGCACGCGAAAATACCGCGGAACATTTTCAACAGTAAACTACTGCAGCTGGGTCGGAATGTGTTCTCGGCTGAATGGGCGGAGAGTGAATGTCTCACTGTGCACAGAGACACGGAAAAGCAAGATTGCCAGTGGAGCGATGACTGGCCCTGTGACTGGCCCGGTGGGGGACGGATGTGCAGGATCGCGTGCTTCATGCCTCGCTCACTCACGCTCACGGATTCCGGATTCCACGAAGCGACCCACAGCTGACAAGCCAACGAGCCACGCTAGCCACGCTAGCCAAGCCTCCTGGCCTCCGAACCGAATCCCTGGAGACTGCTGCCGTGTGCCTGTGGAGAGCTGCGTCGATCCAAACCCATTTTTTTCTCGCTTTTGTTCTTTTTCTTTTCCCTGTTCTTTTCCTTCGCTTCGCTCCCGCAGGATGTCTGGCGGAAACGTCCTCGTGGTCAGCTGCGGTTTGTGCGTGGTTGTACCGGACTCCTTTGGAGCGCTTAGCGTGCAGACTCGGCTCGGCCAAATTCAAGCGTGGCAGAACACCGACCACCGACGGCATTGGCGAGCTGCCTCGGCTCGCACTAGCCTCGCAAGCCTAAAATGTTGCTTGTACGGCTTAGCCTGAAAGCGGGGAAGCACTCGTGGCGGACATCCGGAGCGGACTCGGCTCTCGTCCTACCTTGCTCGAAAAGCTCGGCCGCAGCGCAAACCCAACACTGGCATCTACGGGCTGAAGTCTCGGTTTCGGGAACCAGGGACATCTTGCATCAATGCGGGATCACTGCGGCAAGGAGCACTGGATGCAGAACTGCGATCCTCCCAACCGAACAAGAGCCGAAATTTTGGGACCAACGACGCCGTGCAACGTGTCGTCCGCTCACTTTGCAGTAGCTCGGAGAAGGGGGAGAGGGGGTTGGGCCGGCATCTGCGACATGGTGCGAGGGCAAATGCATGATGACCATGGCTCAAACACTTCGTGCGTCGCTCCTGGATCTAGCCAAAATCGAAGCCCAACCCAAAAAAAAAAAAGAAAAAAAAAGAGAAAAGAGAAAAAAAAAAACAAGCAGGCACGCAGAGCTGGTTCAGCTGCCTGCCAAGCACTCGTTCTTGTCGGAGTTTGAGAGTTTTGCCACGAAAAGCCATCGCACCTTGACCTTCTACGGTCCACTGTCGCGTCGCTCCATCTGCGTCGTCGTCCGTACGGCACTCGGATCACGCGATGCCGTCTCGCTTCACAGTCGACTGGGACAGCATCCAGGCTCGAATGAAGCTGGCATGGTGTCGGCATATTCAGTCTCTGGAGCTCGAATGGCGCAACCTGGGGTGTCGCTTGCGGGAGATCTAGCGCACTGCAGAGTGGGAGGACGAAGCGAAATCGATGCCGATGCCGATGCTGCATTGTCAAAAGGGCCAGGTGGCAAGACGGGCCCTTGCTTCTCCCCAAGCAAAGCCAGTCGGTTGCGGGACGTGCAGCCTCGCGTCGAAATTTTGACATTCACGAGCCAAGCTGATGCCCGCAGCCGCTGCCGTTGGTGACCAGAGTTGTCGGCACTCGGACGCACGAAGCCCAGATCTTCTCCGCAGCCTCGCCCCTTTGATTCGTCAAGTCTGCTGATGCTCTGATCTTCAATCGATACAGTACCACTTGCCAGACCCTGAGGTCACCTGCCCACGCTGAGAACCGCTCCAGGATGCGAGCGTAGTTTGTTCTCCCCTAAAGTTTGCTGGCTCGCAGGGGTTCTTTTTCTTTTTCTTTTTCTTTTTCCTTTTCTTTTTTTTTTCTTTCGAGGTTTCTGTTTTTTCCCCCTTCCTTCGCTCTGGGCTCACAGTGTCACTTCCAATCCCGATCCGATTGCCATCAAAGAATACACAAGTTTCAGGCACGGCAAATTGTCAACCCTCGCTTTGGACGGGATCTTTGTGTTAGCAGTCTAATTTAGCTGCGACGAGCGAGCCGAATGGTCGGCGTTTCTTCCAAGAAGCCACGCTACTGTTTCGCTTTTGCCAGCGCTGCAGCTGCGATTGTCGGAGCGGTGTCGAGCCAGCGGCGCTCCCGCAGCTTGTTCTCAGCGCTTAGCGCGCCTATTTCGAGCTCTTTCCGGGTACCCAAGCTGATGCTATGGCACGGCCAATGGGCCAAAGCCTATCGATGCATTCCGACCGAGAATCGCCCGTTGCGATTCCGAACGCCGTCGAGGCCTGGATCGTCCAATTGTTTGTCTGAGATATACACACTCTATTCACGAGCGTCAAGGACGAGAAACGTGTCGTTAGCCGCATCCGCTTTGTTCTGTCAGTCTCGCACAATCGGATTTCGAACGACAGCATTGCATTGTTCAAACATGGTGCGTGTTGGTACTCGCTTTGGTTCGCAAGCTCTTTGTGGCGTTAGCGTGTTTGCGACGCCCGAGATGACCCAATCACTCTTGAAGTTCTCCATTGTCGGCCTGATCACGTTGCATCGCGCTTGGCAGACGAATCACCATTGTCATGAGCATTGTCAGGAGGGGAGCGAGGGTTGGCGCGTGCAGCCTCGCTTGGCTGACAGTTGAAGCTGCCGCAAACCAGAGCTTGCCAGGGACAAACGCGGACTTGACCCCGTCAAAGCCGCCGCGTCTGGACGCTGCGCATGAACCCAGGACCCGATCCGAACACAACCATGCCCGAAAGTTCACCGGTCCGACGGCGCATTCTTGTGCATGGCGTTGCATAGAAGAAATGTTGGCCACGAGCTTGCACAAGGCAGCAGCTTTCAGGCCTCCGACACCTGCCGCGTCGGGAGCCGCATCATTTGTTGATGCGCTGTACTCTAAAATATTAGAGGCCGTCATGACCGTTGCCGAGGCTCAACCGAAATTTCACCAACGTGGCGTGCAAATTGGCAAGCATGTCTAGTTGGTGGGTCGAGCAACGCCATGAAGCTGCTAGATCTCCCCAAACGAACGAATACAATTGTATTCTGCTTTGATAAGCTAGCTTGACGGAAGGATGGTGGACCATGCATGGTTGCTCTCCGAATTTGCATCGACACATGCAAGCAGTGGCGGCAACATGGTGTGGCGCGGCCTCGTGCGCCATCTCGCGATTTCTAAGCGCCGCATCCTGCATGCTGCATCTCGGGAAGGACGTGGATCGATGCCGGATTGATACCGCCAGCTCGCCAGCCTGGGAAGCATCGCTTGTTCGCTTGTATGTATCAATGCCCACCTCTTCGAGCAGCCCGGGGTCTCATGCGAGCTGTACAGTGACTGAGCAGCTTTACCGGTCCCATGTGCTCGAGACAGGTGCGTTCGGATGCCGAGGTAAGGCCGCTGGCAATATTCGGCAGCGGACTGGCTCCATTTGCCGATTCCAGAGATCTCCGCAATTCTATTTGGGTCGCCCAAAACTCCTCTCTCTGGGTCGACTGCTGGTGTGACAGCTAGCGCGCCCTAACGCGCACCGGCAAGGCTCAGATGCACCTGGGCTGGGCAGGCCGAAAACAGCGTCACCGCATTTTTCTAATCCCTGGTGACCAAAATCGCAAAAGATCCTTTTTTGATCTTTTAATTTATTTATTTATTTGTCTCTTTGGGTTCCTTCCTCCCCTCGACATCTGATGCGTCGCCTTGCTGATCAGGGGCGGTGGTGGTTGAGTTTCTCTGCGTGTTCCACTCGTGACCGCTGGCTGCCCAGCTGCTCAGCTGCTCCTGCTCTTGCTCCTGTGCCTTGCCGCCTTGCTATGCATGTTTCGTATGCGAGTCACACCCAATCACACCTGTCGATGCTCATCCTGAGCCGCCTTTTGAAGCACCGCACAAACACCACCAGCCTAGTCCACTTCTGGCCTTGTCCTCGCACATCGAAGAGGTAAACTAGACAATGTGCAGTAGCATCGTTCCTCCTGAATTTCGGACTCGGCACTGGCTTCGTAGCTTTCACAGAGGCACTGCAGAGGCACACCAGTGTGTAGGCACTCCTCCTCCTCCTCCTGGAACGCGCTGCGGAATCTGCCAGCCCGGCCCACTCGTATGCCGATACCTTGATGTCCTCCGAATTGTGCAACGTCGACTCACCCCTGGCCCTCGTGCGTCTAAGCAGCACGTGCAACGAATTCTAGAGCGCCGGCGTGCGCATGGTGGTCCTGGGGGCGACTGGATCGTTTTAGGCGTACTCGGCTCAATGCCAACCCGGTGTCCGGCTGCAAGACACGCCAGCTGTAGACCCAGACTTTGCAGCCGATTCGCGGAATTTCACTGGTGCTGCTGCTGCTGCTCTTTACCCCTCCTTTGGTTCATCCGCTTTTGCGGCTCGTGGTGCCCATGTGCTGCTGGAGCACCGTGATCCCGCAAGCACCAGCGCACAGCTCCTCCCTGCGGCGAGACTGGGCGTGCGAGCGCATCTACGAGATCGACCTGTCATTCCACTACTCAACTCGACCCGCCCCGCCTGTTTCCTGGTTGGGTTCCCGCACTCCGCCCATGCGCCCGGGACAGGCTTGACTCGTCCAAAATGCTCCTGCCTCGTAGCCGCGCAGGCTGTATTTGGCTCCGACGCTTGGTCGCGGCACTCCGAGGACTTCCTGCACCCTACCTCGTCCCAACATCTTTCTTTTGTCGTCTGTTTTCCGCATTAACCGCGAACCGCAAAACTCGACGGCATCACTCACCCTCGTGTTCCGCCTCTGATCATCAGCTCCATGTCAGTGCAGCTTGAGCGATTCGAGTCTCGTAAACTGAGCTGTCTGACCTCAAGACGGGCGAGCCGCGAAGTTCCTGGGGCTTCTGCTCGTGCGCGCCCGCATTCGCCGCTGTGCCCGGAAGCACGCCGTTGCCGGGATCCATGCTCTGGGTCTCGCCAAGCAGGCTCTTTCCCTTCCCGTCGAATCCTGCGGAGAGAGACCCTGAAAGGGAACTCGAAAAGACCACTCGCCACCCAGATTCTCCCCATCCATGGTTTCGCTCTGCCTTGGGCTGCGAGATCGTCTGCTTCCGTGCACCCCGTCGTGTTTGACACGCGTGCATCTGGTCCGCAGATGCGCCATGATCACTGTAACTTAGTCGCACTGGTCGCTCGATCCGTCCTTGCGCATCCTCTCGACCAACTCACTCATCCAACCACGCTCACCTTCGAAGATCGCTTCCCACGAGGTTCCTTTCCACCTTCATAAGCCGCCGCCCCTCTTCGTCCGACCTCTGTTGCTTCCGTTCATCTTTGATAGCTTCATCTCCTGCGTCCTTACTTGTGTCTGCGGACAAGCTGCCCGCTCAACCGCCCATTCCCCACTCGCGGCGCTGGTAGCAAAACGTCCCTCAGCACGGGCCGGATTGCAGGGCCATTCTCTTTGCTGCAGCTTAACTTTCCTTCTTTTCGGACCACCGCCCACCGTACCAACCCCACCTTTCGTGCCTCGCATCATTCTAGGCGCCCACCTTGCATTCGAACCTCATCATCACCCACTCCGTTGCGTCAGCCTCAGCTCGGCGTTGCACGGCGTTCATTTGCTCTCACCGAGTGCTCGGTTTGGCCACCGCAGCTCACCCCATCTCGCCAGCGCACGCCTTTGCAGCAATTGTTCCACCCGGGTGCGTCGGCCCCTGAGATATGATAATCCATTTCAAGCGCCAGGCTGCCATGGAAGTCATTTCGAGACCATTGTCGTAAGTTTCTTGCCACCTCCGAGTCCCGCCGTTTCTTTGTTTCGTTCGGATTAAGAGGCGTCGAGTGGGTGCGGCAGGGGTCGGCCCACTTCATCTAGCCCCTTGACGGGCATCATATCCGCCCAGAGATTCGGTCGGTGGGCGCAGGGAGACATGCATCGCTCTCACGTCGCCATTTACGAGAGTGGTGGATTCTGAGGTGCAGAGCATGGAGAGATGCTGCAATCTTTTCCGATGGAGCGAGGGCGAGCCTCCATAGGTCGACGGCGCTGCGCACCACGCGACCTCAGTCGCGGCCTCTTTCATTTGTCCATCTGCTGCCTTGCCGACTCCGAGTAGGCACGGACGTAGCGATATCAGAAGACTCACCCATTGTTCGTTCTTTTGCGCCCCCTTCCTGCCTGCATCGTTCGGTTTGTCCTTGGCGTTGCGCATATGGCTCGGAACACTCGGACCACAGGAGCAAGAACGGATCCTTGGAATCATACCGCTCTTTCGCCCACGCATTTGAATCTGTAAGTGTGCGCCGCCATTGTTCACGACGACTAAAGCTCTTATCGACGCTTCCCGAAATGAGGCGCTCTATTGTCCAGCAACCCTGTGGTCACCGACGGCCTTATGAATGGACGGCAGCCTTCTGCATGGTTGCTGCGTACAAAGCTTCTGGCAATGTGGCGGGGCTCTTCTGCGCATTGTGTCGGGCGGCCAGCGCGTCTGCTGCCTCGAGGGCTGGGAGGTCACTGCCTCGCACTGCATCTGCATCCGACCCCGCATGGACAGATCCGTACAGCTTAAACAGATCCGAACTGCAAAGACTGACTCCTCTTTCTTCGCACCTTTGTTCACGCTCGATGTACTTTTTCCCATTTGTCTCTCCCTTTCTCTTCCTTCCTTTACGACCCTCTCGTCTTTGCGGTCATCTTTGACGACCATTAGCTTGCCGGTCTTCCGAAAAGCGGTGTTCCGCCTCTCACTGGCATGGCACAATCGGGGTTTGGCCTGGGACCAGGGCCGTCGCGATCTGGTCAGTACTATGACGATGCACTCAGTCATGGCCGTCACAGCTATGATGAGCTAGCTTCGGCAGGCATGCCTTCGGGAGGCTCGGGTAGACCGACAGCAGGCTACATCGATGGCTCGCCGCTGCTGGCAGCCTCTTCGTCGTCGTACGATCACACAGGTGCTCTGCGCAACAACACCCACACCCAGTCGTCGCTCAACTTGCACACCTCGAGCCTGCATGATTCGCTATCGCCGAATCACTATAACAGCTTCCTGCCGCACGAGCATGCAGGATACGCTCAGCACGAACAGCCGAGCCCTTACATGGGCAAGTCGTCTCTGCACGACAATCACCACGCTCATCCGTATCCTCACCACCATCAGCATCATCCGCACCATCCTCTTCATGGCCGACACATCTCGGAGCCTCACATGTCCATGCCGATGCCCGGCGAGCCGCATGGCGCGCACAGTGCGGGAATGCACCTTGGCTTTGCAGCGCACGGCGCGCATGGGCACCCGTCTCAGCACGCCCATCATGCGTATGGCTCGCTCGATGCCGAGCGGAAGCCTTTGGCTCACGCGCCGGCCCCCGAACCGCACACACCGCGACCGCCGAATGCGTGGATCCTGTATCGGTCGCAGAAGTTCCGCGAGCTGCAGAAGAAGCGCGATGCGCATTCGCAGGCTGGCTCGTCAGAAAAGCCAAAGTCGCAGGCCGAGATCTCGCGCATCATCTCGCGCATGTGGCAGAACGAAACCGACTCGGTCAAGCAGAGGTTCGAGGCGCTCGCCGACGAGAAGAAGCTGGCGCATCAGAGGATGTATCCCACCTACCGCTATCGGCCCAAGAAGAAGGCCAAGACCACCAAGGCGAACGCAGCCGGATCTAGCCAGCAGCAGCAAGGCAACGACAAGGCAGCATCCGAGAGCGGCGATATCAAGAAGGAGCCGGGCTCTTCGTCGTTGTCTGCATATCAAGGTCGTTCGGGCTCGGACAAGAAGGCGGGCTCCAACTTCTCCCACTCCCCTGACCCACTCGACACGAGGCGAAGCTCGGCTGACTGGAAGCGTTCGATGGCGTATGCGGGCGAATCGGGCATGCACCAAGCTCCAGAAGGCGGCGAGATAGGGCCGCGCAGGGGCACGTATGGCTCGGGCAAGGAGCGCGGAGACCTCCAAGCGAACATGCATTACGGGCGATCGGTCAGCGGAGCTGCTTCTGGATCCGAGGGTACATCGATGCCGTCGTACATGGGCGCACGCATGCATCCGTACGGCGATCGACTCGGTCTGATGCGCCACGAAGGCTCTCGATCGTCCGACGTATTCGGCGAGAACCAGGCCTCTTCGGCCACGTACGCCGGCAGCCCCTGGCCCGACTCGGAGTGTGTAGGCGGCTCGTCCACCAGCAGCTATCTGGATGGACTTCGAGGTGGAGCGGGCACTTATGCTGGGATGGCCGGACAGCGGGTTGGGACGTCTTCGTCTTTGGTAGCACCGTCTGCAGGTGGCAGTGCGTCCTTGATGTCGCTGTCGCCGATCCAGCGGCCCTCGATTCCTTCGCAGCACCTGTCGCACGCCATGGACGGCCTCAACAGCGATCTCAGCCTGGCAGGCCTCACTGGCCCCAGTGGCGGGGCAGGCTACAGCGGGGCCGACTCGGGCTTCCGAGCATCTCCCCTGGTCAACGACACGGCTCGCTTTGGCCCAACGTTTGGCGATGCCAGAACCGAGGTCCCCAGCGGCCTGCCTGCGCCCGGAGCGAACGCGCGCAACCTTCAAGAATCACTGGACCCTCACTCGCGCCTGCAAAACGATTGAGCCGTGGACGCCTCTAAACACAAGCTTCAGCTCGAGTCTGCCGCTAATCGAGAGATTCATTACCAGTTCCGTTGTAAAAGCATTGCATCCCGTCTAATCCTACACGATGACCTTCATCGCCTGTTCACTGGCGTGGCTTGCACCCCGGTGCGCTCATTTGGAGTGCAGCTCCATGTGTTATACCTGGGAGGGTGTGGTGGTGATGTTAAGGCGGGGAGAGCGATTCTTGTCGTTGCGGAAACAGCGATCCGTGGCGCAGTCGGCGCTTAGGCGGGCGGAGTTGCATGGCTTCGCATGGCGACGTGTGTGTGAGCCAAGGCTGATCTTCATCTCGAAGGCGCACCAGCGCCTGCCGAAATCTTCGATGCTCGGCGAATTCGGGCACAGCTGAAAAAAAGCAAACTGTTAGGCCGCTCAACTCAAGCGATTTTTGGCATTGTTAAGTTTTGGGCTGTCCTGCTCCACATGAACGCGCGAAAGGCGGAAAGGCCAGTGCGGCACTTGAGCCTTTTGCACATCTCACACCCTCTCCACCAACCTTTGGCTTCGACTCGGCATCTGCTCCCGGCTCTCTCTGGCTTGCACACACCATCTGCACACGGACTCATTCGGATCAGACCAAGGATATACCGTCACCATGTTGATCAAAGTGAAGACACTTACTGGCAAGGGTAGGTGAACTTTCACAGCTGCAATGTCTTCCGTCGGATGATACTGACCGAGCTTGGATTGGGACGCGGGACAGAGATCGAGCTGGATATCGAGCAGACGGACAAGATCCAGCGCATCAAGGAGCGTGTCGAGGAGAAGGAGGGCATCCCACCAGCACAGCAGCGTCTCATCTTTGGCGGAAAGCAGATGTAAGCTCCATCACAGTTCCAGCACGGGCGCGAAAAAGCATGTGCTGATCCGCTTGGTGATTTGACGTGGTTCAGGCACGACGAGAAGACAGCTAAGGACTTTGGCGTCGAAGGCGGTAGCGTGCTCCATGTAAGTTGACTGCAGTGGCTGTAGAGCGAGGCGGATACTGATCGGATTTGGTGCACGCACACAGCTCGTCCTCGCGCTCCGTGGCGGCCAGTAATCCAACGCGAAGCCTCCAGGTCTTACAGTCATGTACTATTAATCCAGCTCAAAGTGCGTCCTGCCATTGCGATCCGACTAGACACTGCCCGACGTGTCCACTGCTGCATGAACAATCAACAGCGAGCGAGCGAGTGAACAGCCTACGACGTCGGGGTCGGCATCAATACACGGTCACGGAACCACTCAGACCACACATTTGGACAGTGCAACTTCTGCGCTTAGCAACGAGGATGGACAGGGTACGGTGAATCTAGATGATGCTCTGTCGGTCGGCGAGGGCGACGCTGCCACTTCCGGCGCCGAGCGACTTGAGGTGCTTGATGAGCTGGTCGAGGTTTACGATCTCTCCCTGACCCTGGCCCTCGTCGGAGTCCTTGCCCTTCTGCTGCTTTACGCGCACCTGTCTCGCGTCTGCGTTCCACTCGTTGGGTGCCAGGATGACGGCAAAGGGGATGCCCTCCTTGTCGACGACGCCGAACTGCTGCGGCAGCTTGGGCTTGGCCTTGTGCATGAACTCCGCCTTGATGCCGGCGTCCCAGAGCATCTTGGCCACCTGCATGCGCTCCTTGAGCAGTCCCTCGCCGACAGACATGACGTAGACGTCGACTTCTTTCGATCGCACACTGGTGCGCTCGCCACGCGCCTCCTTCTCGCGCAACCTCTGCATCATGATGGCAAAGACGCGCTCGACGCCAATCGACACGCCGACGCACGGAACCGCATCCGGCTTCTTGGAGCCCGAAAACATGCCCACCAAGTTGTCGTATCGTCCACCGGCAGCGATGGAGCCAACACCGACCGTGGACTCGTCCACCTCCTCCTCGCCATCTGCCGACTTCTTCTTCTTGGACTTCTTCTCGGGCGCCTTGTCCTGCGCTGCTGCTTCACCGCTGAAGCCAGGCGGAGCCGAGGCGGCAGTGACCGCCTCGTAGATGAGGCCAGTGTAGTAGTCGAGGCCTCTAGCAAGGCTGAGGTCAAAGCTCATTCGGTCCGAGATGCCGTAGACGTCGAGGTAGTCGAAGAGGAGCTCCATATCCTTGACACCCTGCGAGGCGATGGCGTGGCCAGACATGGTTGCGTCTGCCTTGAGCTTTTCGAGCAGGTCGCGACCGCCCTTGAGCTTGACGTACTCGCCGATGCGGTCGGCGACGTCTTCGGCGAGGCCCTTGTCGACGGTCATCTCGCGCTTGACTTCGGACCAGGGCGACTTGTCGAGTTTGTCGACGGCGGAGCTGATGGTGCGGATCTTGTCGGCGGGGACGCCGCAGATGTCAAAGATGCCGTCGAGGATCTTGCGGTGGTTGATCTTGATGGTGAAGCCCTCGATGCCGAGGGCGTCGAGTGCCTCGACGAGGATGCAGAGCACCTCGGAGTCGGGCACCATGGGGTCGTAGACGCCGGCGATGTCGATGTCGCACTGGTAGAACTCGCGGAAGCGGCCCTTAGACATGGCGGGCTGGTCGCGGCGGTAGACCTTGGCGATGTGGTAGCGCTTGATGTTGCCGTGCTCGGAGGGGTTCATGGCGACGAAGCGCGCAAAGGGCACGGTGAGATCGTAGCGCAACGAGCACAGCTCGCCACCCTGGTCCTGAAGATCGTAGATGAGCTTGGAGTCCTCGCCGTACTTGCCCGAGAGGATCTCCTTGAGCTCGAAGACGGGCGTGTCGATGGTGACTGCGCCGTGGGCGGAGAAGACGTCTTCGATGGTGGAGAAGATGCGCTTGCGCAGCGACATGGCGAGCGGCTCCCAGTCACGCGTGCCCTTGGGCGTCTTGAGGGTGAACTTGACCTCCTGCTTGGACGAGCCGGCCTTGGCGCCGATGCCGAGCTGGGCGAGTTGCGCCTCGAGCTTCTTGAGCTTGCCGATCTCGGCCTTGAGCGTGGCGGGCTCGGTGTTGGCGGCGCGCAGCTGCTGGACCTTGTCGTCCTGCTCGGCGCGTGCGGCCTGGAGCGAGGCGATCTTCTTGTCGGCGTCAGACATGGTTGGCGAGCCGGAGCGCAGGTATTTGAGAAGCTGTTCGGGAGGCACCTGCTTGTTGGTGAAGCAGCGCGATGCAGAAGCCAGAGACTGGGTTCGAAGAGCTGGACGGATGCAGGAGCGCAGCAGTGACATGAACAGGAGCGGCGCCTGGCTGAGTCGATGCGCTGATCCTACGTTGCGTTGGAAGAGAGAGGATGAGGAGGAGGATCAAGAAGGCAATCGGGATAAGAGGGCCCATTCCTCCATTTTTTGATCCTTAGCCGAAGAGTCACACTTGCGGAATGCCTTCTTCCTGCGAAGCCACGTGACAAAGAACAGATACGGTCTAACACTGCTGCGCATTTCCGAAGGGTCCGTGCTGAGCAGCTCCTCTCGATGGCGTCCAGCTCTGCCTTCGTTCATTCCCTCACACCCACCACCGCCGATCTCAACCATGTCGCTGACTGACGTACCCATGTCGGCGCACGCCCGGCAGCACTTTCAGCAGTACCTCTCGCAGCTGTCCACCACTCGCAGCGATGCTGGCAGCAGCAAGACCGCTCCCTCCGACCTCGACGAGCTGCTGCGCCAAGCCACGCTCCTGAACCGCCGAACCGACGAGCTACACGCGCGGCTCGCCGAGCACGAATTCGCTGGTACCGACGATCCGCAGCTGTTCTGGACCACCGTATCGCTGCTCAGCAACCTGCGTGATCTGTCCGCCCAGCTGGGCCGAGCCAACTCGGACCGCAGAGCCGCCGATGCGCTCGCACGCACGCGGCAGAACGTGGCGATTGCCGAGTCAATGCTCAGCGTGCTCAGTGTGTCTGGTACGACGCAGGCCAGCGGGCCGTTCACTGCCCCGCTCCAGCCCATCTCGGCAGTCGAGCCGGCGGGTAAATTGACGAGCAACGCACAGCGTACGGACTACGAGGGATGGAAACAGCAAGCTCTTGCTGGGATTGAAGACGATGCTTCGACCACGTCGTCGCTAGAAGACGAAGAGTCGGACGCCGAGTCGGTGCTTACGGATCCCGAGATCCACGCAGCTGCGCCATCCGAGCCCGCTGTGGCGCTAGGGGGCATTCGAAAGGACGACGACGACGACGATGATGATTTGTCCGAGTACGATCGTGGGCTGAAGTCGCGAGGCGAAGCGTCTGCCGCTGCGACAACTGCGACAACTGGGACGACCGGGACGGCGGGGGCACCGGAGGCTAGCGAGACGATCCTCCAGTCAGACCGGGCGACGCACGAGGCGCTCTCGTCCGAGCTGCTGCGAATGGCGTCGGTGCTCAAGACCAACTCGCTCGCGTTTGCCGATGCGCTCGAACGCGACCGTGTGCTGCTCGAAAAGGCCGGTACGGACCTGGGTCAAAACCTGGACCTCATGACACGCACGCGCGGCCGTCTGGGTGTCTACTCGAAGAAAGCCCGCAGCATGGGCTGGTTTACGCTCTCGGCCATCCTCATCGTCATGGTCAGTTGGATGCTCATGTTTCTCCTCATCCGCCTCACCTAAACTCTTCCTTTTTCGCATCAGATGTCATTGACTGGGGAATCAGCGTTTGGACCGTGTGAATGCTTCGTCATAGGCTTCTTTGACTTTGTTCAACTGGCCTTTGCGCGCGGCCATTTTGAAGAACCTCGCGGCATCGGCTTCGTCAAACACCAGAGGCGCGAGTTTGGACGGTGCTACCCAGCCCCAGCTTCGTGGACGGCCGTAGAACTCGACGGCCACAGTGTGCGGTGTGTCGGGTCGATTGCGCAGCACACTTGCCGGAATCTGCCGCTCGTCCGTAACGACAACAGCCGGAAAGTGTGGGAACGTCTCGATCTTGGCCCACACCTTGGCGCCGTTCTCGGGCAGCGAGGTGGACGAATAGTCGCGCACGGGTGAAGTGCTCCTTGCCGCACCACCTCGAAGACGCTTACGTGGCGGAGACGCCGATCGTTCAGCGGATGCATCGCCCGCACGCGTGCTGCGTCGGGTCGACCCACTCGCATCCTCCTTTGCTGCAGTTGTTTCTTCCTGTCGAGTGCGTTTGGACCTTCGTTCGTTCCCACCCTCCGGCGCTGAGGTGGCAGCTTCGTCCGGCGCCTCGTCGTCGGAAGTCAGCGGCGAACTCGCAGCCGGTCCACCTTCTCCCGCTGCCACATCCTCGGCCTCTACCTTCTTGCCCGCAGCATTGCGCTGTCTGCCGTGTGGCTTGGTCTTGATGGCTGCAACGTGTCCCGGTTGCGGGTGGGACGACGGCACCGTGCGCGACCGAGGTCGTTGCGGCGTACTCCCCGACCCGCCGTCTGGCAAAGCGCTCGGTGCGGCCGCACTCGGCGACTCGGGCGCCGAGATCTTGCGTGGTCGCTGACCAATCATCTCCGGTCGCGCCGCCCCCGCACGGTGCCGCTTGGAGCCCTCCGGTAACACCCAGCCAGTGTTGAAGAGCAGGAACGAGTCGTGTGCGCCCACATCCTCCTGCACCTGTACGCCGTCTTTGGACTTGGCCGAGGTCTGCGACTGCGTCTTGCCCATGGCCGTTGCCGTTGCTGCAGCCTCGGCAGATGGATCCGGGGATGCAGCCGAGCCACCACTCTGTGCGCGCTGCCGCAGCTTGCGTCCCGAGGCCGAGGGTGGTGCAGCAGGTGCGCTCGCTTCTGCGCCGGCAATCTCGTCGGCGGCTGGGGCTCGACGCGTGCTGCGCCTCTCTGCAACAGGCGCGGCAGGCGTGTCCGAAGTCTTTCGCTTCCGTTCCGGCTTTGACGCCGCTGTATTGCGCGACGAAGCCCCAGACTTCGTCTTGCTGGCTGACGCCTCGCCTGCCTCGGCGGAAGACGTCGTAGGCTCTGCAGACGGGGGCGGCGGCGGAGATACGTAGATCTGCTGCACAAAGTCTTGCACCAAGTTGGCCACCGGCGGAATTATAGCGGCATCCGTTAACTCTGCGCGCGCATCATCGTGCTCTTGTTTGACCACAGGCGCAGGCACTGGAATCGAGCCGTACGCCTGCTGTCTGAGCTCTGCCTGCTCCTCGTCGTCCATCTCGGCATAGTCGCGCAGCAACGATAGAATCACGGAGGGCGGTTCGATGCCCAATTCGAGCAGATGGCGACGCGTCTCGGCATCGATTTGCGGGGCAGTTGCCGCCAGGGTGCCGTCCTCCGTTCCTGCCTGTTCTTGCTGCAGACGCTGCTGGTGGAATCGGAGGTGGGACGATTCGATGTTGGCGAGCTCGTCGAACACGTCGGGTATCATCTTGAGAATCTTGGTGGCGGCCTTGTGGTAGGGGGTATCTGGCTTGTTGTACGTCATGGCGTTGGTGGTGATCTTGAGCACGTCTGTGCGCATCTCTTCCACGCACTCGTACTCTATGTTGGCGATCTTTTGCTTGATGGCGGCCCAGTCCATGGGCTCCTTGACAATCTCGTAGTAGTCCGGCACGTCGAGCTTGGAGACGGGCAGTGCAAAGAAGCCGTGCCTGTCGACGGCCTCAAACTTGGCCACGGCGGCGCGCAGGTCTGCGTGGAAGGGAAAGAGGACGGGTTCGACGAGCGAGTCGCGGATCTCGTGTGCCTGGCGCAGTTTTTCCCTCTCGCGCTTGCGCACCTGTTCGACGAGCATGCGCACGCGTTCGAGGTCCTCGCGCACGCTGCGAAGAAAGTGGAGCTTTTTAATCTTTTGCGCATCGGTCTGTTCCTTGTTCTGCGACGAGGCTGTCCACGGTTCGAGGTGGAGACGCTTGAGAAGCGGTGCGCCACGACGAGCTTCGCGCTTGAGCGACCAGTAGCGCGCGATGAGCTGGACCGCCGTGGCCTTCTTGCGCAGGTGGATCTTGGACATGTACTCGAGCACGCGGTTGGCAATGTAGGCGGGCACGAGCGGCGGCCCTACCTTGAAGCTCTTCTTGTAGGCGCGGGCGGACTTGGACGAGTTGCGAGGCTCGCTTGTGGATGCGCGGTTGTCCGAGCCGCCGACGATCGAGCTGCGGCGACTGACAGAGATGAGGGGTGCACCCACGCCGGACTCGACCGACTGCTCGCGGGTGCGAGAGGCAGCAAAGGGAGACGCACGGTGAGGCGTATCTGGACGGTCGTCGTCCGCAGCGCCTTGGCGGCCAAAGTCGATCTTGAGCTGGTGACGCATCTGAAGGGGCATGTGGCGGTGGCAGCATGCGCGCAGCACTTCGGAGCCGTCTTCGTCGCTGTCGTCCGAGTCGTCGTAGAGGTGGCGCGAGACGCGGGTGCGTTCGGTGCGGAAGAGGAGGCCCGCTTTGCGCGCGCAGGTGACGTGGAAGGCGGTGAAGCAGGAGCGATTGTCGCACTGGATGCAGGCGCCCATCCTGTGCCTGCAGAGGTAGCACTGGAGCTTCCACCTTGCCTTTGGGATGCGTTCGACGCTGTCGATGGGTTCCATGTAGACGGGGTTGCTGACGCCGGTTTCGGGCACCCACATGGCGCAGAGGAGATGGGCCCACTTGCCCGTGGTGGTCTGCTTGAAGGCGCCGCCCTCGTGCGGGCAGAGGAGGCAGGATACGGCGCGGTCGGGGGAGACGGTGCACTTGCGACAGAGCCACTGGCCCTCGGGGATGTATGGGATGCCGTAGCAGTCCTGATGGACGGCGAGGTTGCAGCCGTCGCAGAATACGATGGCGTTTGAGTTTTCGGCTTCGCCGTCGTCGCAGATGGCGCACTTGCTGTCCTCGCCTCCCTCGGAGTCTGCGTCGTCGTCGTGTGTTCCTGCTGCGGCGTCGGCGGCTGCAGCGCCTGGACGCACTTTGGGCGGGACGCGTGTCATGAGGTCGAACCACTCCTTCTCGAGCTGGTCGAGGATGATCTCGAAAGTCTCGTAGGAGATGGTGTCGAGGCCGTCCTTGCGACGCTCTTGGTTGAGTGCATCGAGCCATTCCTGGTCCTGCTCGTCCATGTCGTATTCGACCTGCCTCTTGAGGTCGCCCTCGGCAGGCTCGACATAGCGAATGTAGTGGTGAGGCTTGACGTATTCTGCGCCGTCATTGTAGCCAAAAGGAAGCGCGTGGGGGTCGATGATGCCTGGTGGGATGTGGAAGAGCAGCGACTCGTCTGGCGGGATCTTTCGGAAGCTGACCTTGGGTAGAGACGAGGCGAGCGGGATGTTGTTGGGCTGTGATGGGATGCCCGGCATGACGGCGAGCTGAGCTAAGCCGAAGCGCCGCCAGTGAAGACCTGCTAGCTCGCTCGCACTGTGCGTGGAATGAGTGAAGGGCGGAGGCTAGATTCGCATCGCTATTGGAGCGCGCCGACTATGTTGACAGCATGCGCGCGGTGTCGGCTATGAACGCGTGGGAGCCAAGGAGGCGCTGTCGCGACTGAATGCGGGTGGCCGTAAGCGGTGTGGGTGACTGTCTCGCTGCGTCGGTGCTTCGAATCGAACAGCTGTTGAGGAACGTCGAAGCGATGAGCGCCGTGAAGTGCGGCTGAGCAGGTGCTGAAGGGAAGGATGATGAGATGAGGTTGGAGAGGAAGGGCTCCACTTTGACGAGGCCGCTTCACAACGCGTCGAAGCTGGCCAAAGCATGGACCCTTACGCGTGGGAATTTTGTTCGGAGTGTTACATCGCTGATCTCCTACAATTTCAAAGATCGAAATCTCGCTCGGAAATCGGAAAGCCAGCGCCGAGCTGCTTAAATTTGGCTGAGCCAGAAGGCCAATCTTAGCTCATGCTCGCCTTCCTCCTTCTCGTACACTGTCCCGACGTAGCACCTCCAACTTGAACCCGCATACGTCTACACAATGATGGCACTTCCAACGCTCAGAGTAGCCTCAGCCTCCGGCAGCGTGGCACGCGCACCCATGGGATCGCGCTTCAACTCGACTGGCGCAGGAAGCGGAACCGATGCGGCGTATGGCTCGGCAACGCGGTCCACAGTGCCTCCTCGATCCACGCATGCCACCTACCACCCGGGCGGATACGGCATCTCGGAGGGCCTCAAGCGTGCGCGCAAGCCGTACCGATTCCGCAACATTCTGACTGGATCGCTCATCATGGGATTCGCCACCAGCGTCTACTTTTACTCGATCTCCAAGGTGCGTCATCTTCGGCGAGCCGTGTGCCGTGCACGCACTCGGAGTGCATTCGGCACGACACTGACCATCCCCATGTCTCGCTTTGCTTTCTCCTCATGCCCCTCTTGGCGCCACAGGTCAAGCAAGACGACTTTTCCGACCTCGCCGACGTCAGGGCTCCTGGCGCTGCGGCCGACGCTGCTTCCACACCCGTCACCACCGAGTCGGATCACAAGCACAAGGTCTAGACACAGTCGTTTGCTGTACAAAGGAATTCTACAAGCTACTGCACGTCTGTTCCGTGTCCGGCTGCGGAGAGCTACAAGCGCACATCGCGCCAACGTCTTTCATTTCGAAGCACTCCGTTGGTGAACAGGCCGCTGAAAGTTCAGTACGCTCAGAGCGTTTCTGAGCACTTCGAGTGAGATTACATGGTGGCGAGTCTCACCGTGGATGCCTTCGCCGTCTGAGGACAGTGTGTAAGGATGCGTTGACAGCGCCGGTCCCTTTCAAGAGAGCGGAGGGAATCGGCTTCCGGAAGCGACCGAATCGGGCCAAGCCGAGTCGGATAAAAGCGAGCGCGAACCTCCACTTCAAAGGGGTGCAGCCGCCGCCGCCGTCCCTTTGTGCTCGGCGTTTCTTTGTCCCTCCTTCTTCGACGTCCATCCGTTCCTCCTCGCAACTTGACTATATATAAGAGCTCCCTCAGCTTCAGTCCGCTCCGTCAGAGCTCCTCCACCATTCACGATGGCAGGCTCAAGAGGGGCTGCAGCTGTAGCTCAGCGGCAGCTCGTCAGGACAGCGGCTGGCACCATCTCGTCCGTGCCCGCACGCATCGCGACTAGGTCTATCGCCACGAGCGTCGCAATAGCCTCGTCTAGACTGGGACGCGGCTCGAGGTTCACGCTGTCCAAAGATGGTCCTCACACCCGTCGCACCCCGCGCAAGCCTACCTCGCACGATGTGCCTCATGACGCCGCTGCATCCGCGCCATTGTCAGCACCCTCGCAGACACAGCAGCCAGCGCAACCTCCAGCAGCTCCCACCCAGGCCGAGTCCACTCAATCTGGCGCCAGCGCGGCATCCGCGGCAGTGGCTACCGATCCATCGCTCAATGTCCCCGCCGTGTTGCCGGACGCACCGCAGGACGTGCTGCAGCCGACCAAGCCAGAGTTCGAGGGTGCCACGCGGCTGCTCTCGCAGTCTGCACTGGTGGTGACGCGCGAGATCGAGATGATGAACATCTTCCTCGGCTTCGAACAGGCGAACAAATACTCGATCCATGCGCCGTCCGGTGAGCTCGTCGGTTACCTCGCGGAAGAAGAGCAGGGCTTCATGACTGGAGCTATGAAGCGGCAACTCCTGCGCACGCACCGACCGTTTCGAGCGACGGTGATGGATGCCTCGGGCAAGCCGGTGCTCATGATCCGTCGACCTTTCACATGGATCAACTCAACCGCACACATTTATGCCGTACACTCCGACTATCCCGTCGGCTACGGTGCGCCGCAGGATGCGGATCTGGAGTTGATCGGCGAGGCGCAGCAGCGATGGCATCTGTACAGGCGCAAGTACGAGCTCTTCCTCCGTCGTCGGGAAGAGGAGGGTGAGAGGTTTCAGCAGTTCGCGAACATCGATGCGATGCTGTTGAGCTGGACGTTTATGATGCAGGATGCGGACAGCAAGCTGGTGGGCGCGATCGATCGAAACTTTCGCGGCTTTGGACGCGAGATCTTCACCGACACGGGCCAGTATGTGCTGCGCTTTGACTCGGTTGGCGAGACTGCCATGACCGAGGCTCGACTCACCCCGCCCTCGGGCGAGGCTCAGCGCGATCAGGGATTGGCAAAGGGGATGGAGCTCGTGGAGAGCCACGGCACGAGAGCGCTGACGCTCGATGAGCGTGCAGTGGCACTGGCAACCGCGGTGAGCATCGACTTTGACTACTTCAGCCGCCACTCGGAAGGCGCACATGGCGGAGGCATGTTCCCCTGGTTCTACATGGGCGGCATGGGCGGAGGCGGAGGTCAGGCCGAGGCCCCTCAAGGCGGTAGTGAGGCCAACGTTCCTACTCAGCAAGGTGGATCGGCAGACGATGGGTTTGGGGCTGGTGTGGCGGGCGGAGCGATGGGAAGCGGGATGGACTATCCTTACGGACCTTCGGACTCGGGCATGAGCCAAGACACGCGGCTGGATCAGCCACCTCCCAATGCAAGCGGATATGGAGAGGATGCGCCAACGAGCGGGCAGCAGGACTCGCCGTGGTGGAACGCAGACCAGCAAGGCCAGGCGCAAGACGGCGACGTGTGGGGTACAGCCGATTCGGACCCTTGGGCCGGCGCCAACGACACGCAGCAGCAGGATGGAGGCTTCTGGGGCAACTGGGGTGGAGGCGACTCTGGCGACAGCGGCGGAGGAGGCTGGGGCGGCTTCTTTGGAGATGAATGACGGCGGAGGCGACTATTAGTCCACACTCTAGATCTACATCTCTCTTTTTCACCACGGAAGGCCGATGCCATATGCCGAGATGTGGTTGTTTTGCGAGCAGCTGACGGGTAGTGTACACGGATGGAGGCTGGGGAATTTTACTTTCGGTCCTGGATGTGGACGCCGTTCCTGGCGGCTTCGCGGAGCAACTCGTGCTGTCTGAGCGCGACGATCCTCTGAGCCGGCGTGAGGTGCGGGTTGGCCTCGATCCCCTCGGTCCTGAGCACGGTGCCGATGGACATGAAGAAGCCGAACGTGGCTGCGGAGCTGAGCATGAACTGCGAGAGCGTTCCGAGTGCGCCCCTTGGCCCCGGACCTGCACGCAGAATCTGGATACCGCCACCGATGAATCCGATCGTCAGACCGACCAGCGTGCCCGTCATCGCACCCATCTTGACTGCAAGAGCAAAGCAGCAGCACAAAGGATTCGCGTCAGCACACGTTGGAGTAAAGCAGGGCTGGAGGAGGCGGGCTTACTCTTTTGGAATACGGTGGGTTCGCCACCGGGCATTCCCTGCATCTGAGGCGGAGGCGGCATGGCTGGATATGTTGTACAGTTGGTGACGGAAGGTGGAGGACAAGTGGGGATGGCTTAGCTACGGAGCCTTAAAAAAGTGGACGGATCCGAGTGGGTTTCGAGGCGCTTCGACGGTGCTGTTCGACCTAACAAGACCAATTTTTGATGCCTCCACATGTTCATCGTGCATCAACCACCTCTCATCCTCCCACTCACCACCCAGAACAACATGACGACTGCACTCAGCTCGATCCCGACGCTTGCGTCGCTGTACACCTCTACGCTCTCACGACCTGCTGCTTCGTCCCTCGCCAGCAGCATCTATCCGTTCTCCTCGCTGCTCTCCATCCACTGTGGCGACATTACGACGCTGGGGGTGGATGCGATCGTCAATGCGGCCAACACCTCGCTGCTCGGAGGCGGTGGAGTTGATGGTGCAATCCACCGTGCTGCTGGCCCCTCTTTGCTAGCCGAATGTCGGAAGCTCAACGGCTGCAAGACGGGAGAAGCAAAGCTCACTGCGGCGTACGATCTACCTGCCAAACACGTGATTCACACCGTAGGACCGGTGTATTCATCCCACTCTCCCGCAGAAGCAGAGACGCTGCTCAGAAACGCCTACAACAACAGTCTGGAGGAGTGCAGAAAGGCTGGCGGAAGGAGCATTGCATTTCCAAGCATCTCCACCGGCGTATACGGATATCCATTCGACAAAGCGGCCGCTGCAGCGCTGGACCAAATCGGCCAGTGGCTCGAACACGACAACAACCACAAATCGGTAAGCTAAACTCGCCTCCCATTAATTCAACAGCTTCAAGCTCTAACTAGTCGGCTTTGATGTTGCAGATCGACCGCATCGTGCTGTGCTGCTTTTCAGAAAAGGACTACAGCAAGTACGTCGATCTTGCGCCGTCCTACTTTCCGCCCCAAGACATGTTTGATGAGTACGCCGAGACCTAGTCACCGCTCCCTATACGCATGGAAATCTGTGATATTTTGGTGTGCATGGTTGCAACGTGTGCAGGCAAAGGGAATGCTGAGAACCGAAACGAAAAGAAGGAAGGAAAGAGAACTAGTAGTCGGTGCCGCGCGACACGACCTCCTTGCACGTGGGACGGAGGAGGATAGTGTGTTCGTACTGCGCGGTCATGGCGTCGGCCACATCGCACAGGGGCGGGTAGTCCTGGACGACGCCGAGCGAGACGAGGTGCTTGAGGCCGAGCAGGTAGTTCTTTTCGCCGACGCGGTCGAGGTAGCGCCTGCAGAAGGGGAGCGAGTCAAAGTGCTTGTTGATGGTGCGCAGCAGGCCGTGTGCCGAGTGAACACGGATGGGGATCGACTTGGGCATACGTGCCTTTCTCGCATAGTGCGAGCACTCGCCCTGGTCGATCACGTATCCGCGACCCGTAGAGCCGAACGTCTCGATGGCGTAGTACTCGCCCTCCTCCATCTTGACGTCGAGGTCGGGCATGGCGACGATGGGCACCGACTTGCCGCCGTGGATCGAGTAGCGCTCGATGCTGTGGCCGTTGAGGTTCTGCACGCACTTGACCTGGTGCATCTTGCCGTTGGCCTCGAACTCGTGCGACTCCATCACCTCCTGGATCGCCGCGCCGATCTCGCCCAGGCGCGCATCGATGCCCGCCTCCTTGACACCAGCGTTGGTGGCCGCCTTGACCGCCGCCAGCAACGGGTCCCAGGTCGGCTCAAAGTTGAGCGTAAACGCCGAGTCGACGATGCGACCCTTGACGTGCACGCCAAAGTCGACCTTGAGCACGTCGGTGGCCTGCAGCACGCGCTTGTCGCCCGCGTTGGGCGTGTAGTGGGCGGCACACTCGTTGACCGAGACACCGGTGGGGAAGCCGATGCCCGACTCGAAGCCCTCGGCCTCGACGAGTGCACGCGTGCCATCCTCGACGAGCTCGGCGATCTCGATCATCGACATGCCCGGCTTGATGGTGGCCTGGGCGTACTGACGCACCTGGCGATGCACCTCGGCGGCACGGCGGATGATGTTGTAGTCGAAGCCGTCCTCCTGCTGGACGATTCGCTCGCGTTCGCGCAGCTCCTCGTCGGTGACGCGCTTCCTCTCCTCGCTGAACTTGGAGGTGTCGTACTGCTGGATCTCGCCCACGGGGAACTTGCCGTTGGTGAAGATCTTGGTGAGGCCGACACGCGGAGGCACGGTCTGGGTGAGCTTGGCCTTGGACTTCTTCTTCTTCTTCTTGTTCTTCTTCTTCTTCTTGGCGGCACCGGTAGCAGCGGCGGCACCTGCGTCGTCCTCGTCGTCCTCGTCATCGTCGTCGTCGTTGTCGTCGCCGTCGTCGTCGTTGTCGCCGTTGGCGTGGCCGTTGGTGTGGCCGTTGGAGTTGCCGTTGGTGGCGGGGAGGTTGGTCTGAGCGAGCTGGTCGGCGACCTTGTCTACGGACGCCGAAGCGCCGTTGGTGGAAGCAGCAGCAGCGGTCATATTGAGGCGAAGCTGCAGATGCCGGTGATGGACAAGCTGGTGGAGAAGTGTGAGTCGCCGCAACCTCCGACGATGCAAGCTCAGTCGGCTCGACTTTTTTGGCCACCCTGAGCTCCGTCTCGGTTTGGACTGCCCGAAAAGAAAGTAGTCCCGACGCTTCTCGGACGGCACAGCATCGGGAGCTGTTCCCGATTTCCAATTTTCCGCTTGGCTCTGGATCGCGATATCCAGCTTCAAGAACTGGGAGGGGTTGCTTCTGACTCGGCTCAACCCCCACACGTACGCACAGCTGGAAGCAGAGCAGAGAGTGGACGACCCCCGTTGGACGCTGCAGGGGATCGAAGCGGCTCATCCGCAGAAACAGAACGGTTCCAACACGACGTCGGAATTGGGCCGAGGCGAGGCGCACCGACCCACTTTTTCTCATCGCGCCGGGTCAAATTTTTTGGTTTCTGTTCCTTCCTTCTCAGAGTCACGACAAATTTCAGAGGTGGGAGGGCCTTCGGAAAGATCCTTTTGGGAGCGAGATGTGCCTGCCTTTTTTTTGCGCTGGGAAATTTTTAGGCTCTTGCTTCGGCGTTACCGATGCGCTTCCAGTCGCAGGAACCACGCTGCTGGGCGAGGAAAAGGAGGGAAAAAAATGTCTGTCGGGACCTGGCCGACGGGAAAGGCACCAGAAGAACGACAAGGTTGAGTTGCGCAGACCCTGAGTGCAGCAGCAGCAGAAGCGGCAGCAGCAGCAGTGGAAGCGCAGCAGTTACACCCACGGGCCCCACCAATCGGCGCCCAATCGAGTCGAGGCAAAAGGCTTCTTCGGTAGGCTCGCTTGCTCTGATTCGCGTTTCGAGCGCGCTCGCGATCCAGCTGCTCCCACCGCCGCCTCCTTGCCTCCTCTCCTCTAGGTATCCACCTCGCCAATCCCTTTCTCCTCTCCATCTTCACTCGTGGGCCTGCTGCTGTCGTCGTTGCGTCATGTGTGGCATCACAGCACTCCTCCTCGCCTCGGTCGACCAGTCGGCTGCGCCCGAGATCAACGAGGCGCTCTCGCTCCTCCAGCACCGTGGTCAGGATGCCGCCGGTATCGTGACGTGCGGCAACAAGGGCCGCTTCTACCAGACCAAGGCGAACGGCATGGTGCGCGATGTCTTCGACGTCAACGCCGTCGCGCGTCTCCAGGGAAACATGGGCGTCGGCCACGTCCGCTACCCCACCGCCGGCTCCTCGGCGCACTCGGAGGCACAGCCCTTCTACGTCAACTCGCCCTACGGCATCACGTTCGCCCACAACGGCAACCTCATCAACACCGACGAGCTGCGTCGCTTCCTCGATGCCGACGCCCACCGTCACATCAACACCGACTCGGACTCGGAGGTGCTCCTCAACATCTTTGCCAACAACCTGCAGAAGACGGGCAAGTTCCGCATCAACGAGGAGGACATCTTCACCGCCATCCGCGACCTTATGAAGCAGTGCAAGGGCGGCTACACCTGCATCGCCATGCTTGCTGGTTTCGGCATCATCGCCTTCCGCGACCCCAACGGCATCCGTCCGCTCGGCATGTGCTCGCGCCCTTCGTCAGCTGCCGACGGCGAGCTGCCCCTCGAGGGCCACGGCAAGGACTACTGCTTCACCTCCGAGTCGGTCGTCTGCGACGCGCTTGGCTTTGAGGACTTTGAAGATATCAAGGCCGGCGAGGCGGTCATCATCACCAAGTACGCTGTGTCGCGTCGCATCCTCACGCCGCCTGCCGACTCGCCCGACGCCTACGCCTTCTCGCCCGACATCTTCGAGTACGTCTACTTTGCCCGTCCCGACAGCGTCATGGACGGCGTCTCGGTCTACCGCTCGCGCATGGCCATGGGCGACAAGCTCGCCGACGAGGTGCGCCGCCAGCTGCAGAAGACGGGCGAGTCGATCGACGTCGTGATCCCCGTGCCCGACACCTCGCGCGTTGCGGCGCTGCAGCTCGCCCAGAACCTCGGCGTGCCGTACCGCGAGGGCTTCATCAAGAACCGCTACGTCGGCCGCACCTTCATCATGCCCGGCCAGAGCGTGCGCCGCAAAAACGTGCGCCGCAAGCTCAACGCCATGGCGCTCGAGTTCAACAACAAGAGCGTGCTGATTGTCGACGACTCGATCGTGCGCGGCACGACGTCCAAGGAGATCATCCAGATGGCGCGCGATGCGGGCGCCAAAAAGGTGATTATGGCGTCGTGTGCGCCGCCCATTCGCTACTCGAACGTGTACGGCATCGACATGCCGTCGCGCCAGGAGCTCGTGGCGTACGGCCGCACGGTGGAGCAGGTGGCCGAGTACATCCAGGCGGACATGGTGATCTACCAGACGCTCGAGGACCTCATCGACTCGGTGCAGCAGTTCAACCCGGAGCTCAAGCAGTTTGACTGCTCCGTGTTCGACGGCAAGTACGTCACGGGCGGCGTGGATTCGGCGTACATTGCGCATCTCGAGCATCTGCGCAGCGAAAACGCAAAGGCCAAGAAGGCGGCCACCAAGATCCCCGTGATCGCCGAGAGCCAGAAGAAGATCTATGCCAGCCGCGCCAGTCCGGCTGCTTCGAGCGTGGCGGGCAACGACGATAGGCTTGCGGTGGACGCTGCACCGGCGGGCGCCAACGGCAGCGCTGCCAACGGCAACCGAAAGCGCAGGCTCAACGAGGAAGAGATGGAGGAGGAGGAGAAGCAGCAGGACGTCGGATGCTCGGGCCCCATGAACGGCGCCGACGACATTGGCCTGTTCAACAGCTGGACGCGCTAATGTGCGCGCCGCGCGCCCCAAAAGCATCATCGCTATGCACCGTCTTGTGGTCGTCGAATCGGTTCGTATAATGTAAAATGTTACCCTGAATCAGGTCGGCTCGTAAGTGTGTGAGACAGATGCGGTGGAATTGCGTACAAGTACAGGGTGAGATGATACAAAGCAGGGCCAGGTCAACGGGGGGGGGGGGGGGGGGGGGGGGGGGGGGGGGGGGGGGGGGGGGGGGGGGTCATTCGTCGTCGCTTTCAGAGTCGTCCTGCGAGAGGTCCGAGGCTGCGTCGAAGTCTGCAGTTGCTGTGGCTGCGATTTCGGCGCTGAGGCCTGCGACGCTCGCCTCGTTGCGGTCGCCGCTATTTGCGTCGAGCCCCGCAGCTTTCTGTTGTGCCTGAATGCGTTGTCCTAATCACACACGGAAGAAATGCCAAAGTCAGTACAAGAGCCTCGTCTTTGTTTGGGCTGAGAGAGAAGGCTTACGAGTGAGGAGGAGGATCGCCTGTTTGTCGGCGCGTTCTAGACGGCGGAGTCGTTTTTCGAGGTCGCGCTTGAGGTCCCAGTTGGGCCGTTTGGGCGCGATGTTGGTGAGGTCCAGATCCTCTTTGCGTCTGCGTTCGTCGTCGGCAAGTGTTGATTGCTGCAGACCGTCGACGTCCTTCTCGACCGTGTCGGGTAGGTCTCGTGCGGAGGTGAAGCGACGCATCTGGCCGGTGATCGGGTCGTAGTTGCGGAAGTGGCGCTTGATGAGCAGTCCAGCATCGTTGGATCGCGACGAGGCGTGGCCGGTCTGTTCGTCGTTGCGACGCTGACGCAGCAGCAGAAGCTTCTGCTTGCGTGCGTGCGAGAACGCTTCCATCGACATCCTGACACACTTTCGCCGCAAGACAGCAACAGCCAGAGCGAAGATGAGGTGGGGTGAAGGTGGACACGAAGCCGAGGAGGCGTGGAAACGCGATTTGCAGGCGCCGAATCGGGACTCGGAATTCACAGCCGCGCGACTAACCGACGCCGCCTCAGGCAAAGGGTCCCCCCTCTCTCTCTCCGTTATATCACCCACCGTTCGGTCATAACAAGGACCTTGCGACACCGCCTTGCAGGCATCTTCATCGTGACGTCCGAATACACCATGCCGCGCTCACGCTCGCCTCGAGCGGGCTCAGCCGGCGTCTCTCGCTCGAGCGACAACGAGGACCCTCCCGCGGCCTCCACATCCTACCGCATCGAGCGCTACGACTCCTCCTCCACCACAGACCTCATGGTCACATCACGCTCGAAGCGCAGCACCGCAGGTAACCGACTCAAAGCGCTGCTTGATCAGGAGCTCGAGAAGGACGAGGTGTTCGCCGAGGTCGAGAACGACGTCGACTTTGAGGCGAACGAGCACGACGATGGCGTCGATATTGTGGACAGCGACTTTGACCGCGACTCGGACGACGATGCACGCCCCGGTGTCGACGACGACTCTGCAGGCGAGCGCGAGATCGAAGCGCAAGAAAAGGCGGACAAGCAGAAGCGCCGTGCCACCGCGCGGGCGGTGGGAATCATCAAACGTCCTGCGCCCGTCCGTGCGCCGCCGGAACCAAAGCGTCGTCGAATCAGCTTTGCACCTGAACAATCCACCAGCCGCTCGTCACCAAGCTCCACACGCGCAGGGTCGGCGGACTCGCCAGCGGGACTCCGGAGTTCGGCACGCACAGCGACGGTGCAGTCCAAGCTGCAGGTCGAGTCGCGTCTCGAGGAGGCGACGCAGCGCAAGGCGGCCCAACCGGTGAGGGTGGTGCAGAAGAAAAAGCAGAGTCTGACGCAGGATGCGCTGATTGCTGAGGCGCTCGAGGTGGAGGAGGAGAACAGGGAGAGCTTGCGCAGGTTCTTGGAGCAGGAGGAGGAGAGGAGGGCAAAGCAGAGGCAGAGAAAGGAGCGCATCACGGGGCCGTTTGTCAGGTGGGTCAGTGTAGGGCTCAAGACGCGTGTGGTCGAGGATGTGACGCCGCAGAAAGTACGCGCAGAGGACGCAGGTGCGAGCAAGGAATCGGCAGAACAGTCCGGCACGCCGACTGCGACGCAGCCAAGCGCTGTGCACGGAGGGGATCGAGGGGAGAGCAGTGCGCCAGATTCAGCAGCTATGGCGCAAGGCAGCACGGCAGCTTCGTCTCAAGCAGCACAAGATGATGCGCAGGCGACTGCCAAGTCGGACGAACCTGCAACAGCAGCGCAATCTGCTCAATCCGCATCGACATCAGGTGTTGACCCCAACGCCACCTCGACTCCCGCATCCGCTCCCCCGAGCTCGACGCCGAAGCCGTCACCTGCGTCAAACGTGGCCTCTTCGAGCTCGCTCACGCTGGATCCAGTCCTCGCAGCGCGCGCGGAGACGCTTCTGCAACGAACCAACCCCTCCACCCACCCTCCTTCCACCACTCCTTTCACGGGAGAAAGTGGGTGGGAGAAGCAAGCGCGCACATTGCTATCTGTCGAACGGATGCCCGAGGACTGGGAGTGGTTGGACGAGTTCAACGCTTTGCTGGGCACGCACTGCAACTGGGAGTCGTACGCGTTCGTTCCGCATCGCAACCGCCCGTTGCGACCGCGCCAAAGCGTCTGCCCAATCACCGGGTTGCCAGCGATATACAAGGATCCCAGGACGGGCATCCCGTATGCAACCGCCCACGCCTACGGCGTCATCACCAAGCTCATCCACCACAAGTTCAGATGGGCAAATGCTCCATGGGGCGTCTATACCGACGATGAAGATCAACTTGGCCCCGGAGGGGTTTGGCAGAAAGCTAGGGAGATGACCCTGAAACCAAAGCCAGAGGAAAAAGGGGACAAGGACAAGGGAAAAGACAAGGAGAAGGAAAAGGAGAGGAGCAGAGAAAAGCCAAAGGAAAAGGAGGACAAACGATCCAAACCGGGATTCGATGTCGTGCTTACGAATGCCATTGCTCCGGGAGATGAAAAGGCCTTACTCGCCCAGGCACTCTCGCTTCCCGCTGGCTCAACACGATCAGGACGACGCGTCCACCGTAACTAAGACAGCACACTGCTTACCAGCACAAGTTTGATTTGGATTGCTTTTTTTCGGGGGTGGTGGTTTTAGTCCCAGGATGGATTGTGACTCGCCGCGTTGCGCAGCGGTTTGATCGATGTATCCTCGGGCTTGCCGTTGGTGGTGGAGGTGCGGCGGGTGTGGCGACGTGCAGCAAAGTCGCGTGGCACCCAGTGGCTCGCCTCGTCCACAGCGGCTTGCCAGCGCGCAACGTCGGCGTGTGTGTAGGCGAGCCACAGGTCCGACTCGACAAAGTCCGACGAGGCACTTGAGGCAACGTTTTGGTGGTGGACGGTTTGCACGCGAAGCTCCCAGCACCGCGCATCGCTACCCACCACCACGCTACGTCGATCACTGCCGTCTCCCGTGCTGGGGACGGGAAGGCCGGTGGGGCGGGTGCTGCTCTCGGCCGCATCGGGCGCGACGAGGTGCAGCGCATCCAGCAGCACATTCACACGGCCCGCGCAGGCCGCACGCACGTCGTCGTCCGACCACACATCCCACAGCTTCGATACGGCCTCTTCGCCAGCGCGCGCGTCGGCCCCTTCGTCACCGTGCCACTGAGCATGCACGTACAGCTGGCGCTGCTTCTCCACAATGCGCGCCACAATCTCGTCCTCGGCCATGGGTACCGCGGTTTGCAGCTGGCGCTTGCCCGTCTCGGCCACCTGGCCCTGCGGTAGCGAGCAATCGTACCGGTGACTCCACACGAGCTGGTGGCCGCTAAACGGCGTCGTGGGTGCCGAGCCTGCATCGAGCTGCTGCGCCTGCAACTGCTCCACCACGCTGCCGAGCAGGGGGGTTTGCGGCGAAGGGCTGCTGAGGAACGGCAGGTTCTCGGCTCGGCGGCTGCGTGCACGCCGTCCCGAGCGGCCGCGCTCGTCGCCGTCCTCCTCGTTCTCATCGTCATCGCGGCTGATGGCCTCGTCGTATATGTCGTGCAGCCGCGTCTCCACCGGTGGCTTGGGCGCCGAACGCGACTGCAGAAAGCGGTCCGAGAACGGATGCGACGACTGGACGTGTGCGCCGCGCTCGGCGTCCTCGCTGCGCTCCGCCGCGCGCGACGCCGCCGCCGAGTGGCGCACAAAGATGGCCGTCTGGGTGGCATAGCGCAGGCGCTCGTCGGCGTTGGAGGTGGTGCGTGGACGTGCGGCCTTCCAGATCTTGCCGCCTTGCTCGGGCGGCACGGGCGGGTCCATCTGGTCCTTGGGCACGCGATAGATGCCGGCGCCGATGCCCTTGATGCTCACCTCGTAGCCAAAGTCGTCGGCGATGGTGTGGCAGTAGTTTGCAAACTCTTGGGGCGTGAACTCGAACTTGTGGTCTTCGTGGCGGAAGACGCGGTCAGTGCGACCGGTGGGGTCGAGGAAGCCGGGACGCGTGGAGAGGTCCTGGCCGAAGTTGTCGTTGAAGCAGTAGTTGGGCGTGGTGATGAGCACGATGCGTGGACGGTACTTGCCAAACACGGTGGGGGCGAACTGCTGCAGCGCGGACTCGTCCAGGTGTTCGATTCTGAAAGAGAGGGAAAGCTCGAGGTCAGCATGGGCGTGATGGGCGCATCACACGTGCGGATTGTACGGCGCAAACTTACACTTCAGTAGCAACGAATGCATCGTAGTCGTCGAGCGTCTCGTTTTCGGTCTGGACTGGGCCGAGGAAGAGGCGTACGTCGAGCGACTTCCAGCGCGGGCCGTTTTTGGCAAGGGCGAGACCGTGGAGCGAGAGGCTAGACTTGGCATTGTCGAGGACGTTGCGCTCTACATCGATGCCGATGAGACGGTTGAGCACGATGTCGTTGGGACTGTAGATCCAGTGGCGAGAGGAGAGGAGGGCGTTGTTGGCTGCGTCGTCTGCGGTGGCGTTGTTGGCGGACGAGTTGGACTTGGCGGGCAAGGCGAGGGCGGGGAAGCGATGGACGGGGAACTGATCGAGCTGGAAGGCGGGCTGCATGAGAGCGGAGAGGAGGACGCCATTGGAGCAGCCTACATCGACGACCGAGTCGGAGCGTTGCTGCCTGAGCTGGCCGAGCACCCAGGACTGCCTCTGCAACCAGAGAGGTGGGTCGAAGTAGATCTTGGCCACCATGCTGAGTGAGTGCGTGGGGTCGGAGGGCGAAGAGGATGGAGGTCCAGCAAGAACTCAAGGGAAGGGGATGCCGCACGTGCAGTGCAGCAGCCCGAGCTGAGTGATGGGAGTGGCGACCGGCAACGTAGCGCGGAGGCGGAGAAGACCACCGATAGAATCTTGCTACTGCAGTGGGGGACGAGGAGGAGGATGCGCGGTCGGCTAGAAGATTAGCGCTTTGTCGAGAGTGAGGAGCAGCGCCTCTGAATTGCAGTAGTGTCGTGAGCGCGCCTCGGTGGGAGTGGATGGCGAATGCCTTTTGAGGGAGGTGTAGGGTGGTTCCGACGAAGATGGTGGTAGGGAGCCAAGGCGGAGCGGGAGGGGGAGGGCAGCGGACGACGATGGTGGTTGCGGAATGGAAGGAGGGGACCAGAACGTGCTGCGCACAATGCAGCGGCAAAGAGGAGCAGCGCAGATGAGCTTACCGCCCGCTGTACGCGCCAACTGCTCTCTCGCCAAACTCCTTGCGCTTCCGCACACCTGACACGCGCACCTCATAAGATCACGCGGAATGAAGTTGAGCACATCCTGCGTGTGATTGCGGTGAATTGAGCCTGGCACAGCACATCTCGGCACAGCTCAGCACAGCTCAGCACAGCGCAAGCTATGACGGTCCCACCGTGCCGAGCCGTCCGAGTGCGGAGGACAAGTGGCATTCGTAACGATGCATGACTCTTCCGAATGGCGCCATGCATGAGTGTGGGATTCGTGCGCAGAAGCTCGGTGTCGTGACGTGAATCGGATCTGCACTCTAGACTGGCTCTTAGACTGGATTGCGTGCAGCTCGAGAGTTGGAGAGGGCCGGCTTGCAGCTTCGGAATCGATCCCGAGCCAGGGTCGGTCAGGAGTTGCGAGGTTGCCGCAGCCGCCTCACGTGCCATTGGGCTACAGTAAAAGTCAGCCGCCGCGCTTTCATACTCTCGCATCGCCAAACGAGCCGCCGACCAAGCAATCCAAAAAAATCAAGAAAAGTGCGGGGTTGCAGCCTCCGAGCTGGTCTGATGGTCGGTGTGTACCGCTGCAGCTGCGCCCGTCTCGCGTAGGGCGGCTGCCATCCTTGGCCTCCACGTCGCCGCGTCGTCGCCGCGTCGCCAGTGCCTCGTCGCAGCTCGCCCTGCAGCCCGGAGCGCAAGCCGGAACAAAAGTCGGAAAAGGCGAGGGAAAATCTGGGGAAATCCACGGCCAATACTGTAAGTCCTCCGCCAGCCAGCCTCGATGTGATCGCCCCGCGCTCCAGCCTCGAGTCTAGGCAGAGCGGAGTCGCAACAGCCTCGGAGATGGCCGGTATCCCCGACCTCTTGCCCCCACAGCGAACGGCTCAACTCCGCTTTGACCCCGAATGCCAACGTCTACACACACCGGCGATGTTGTCTGGTTTGGCACCAGCTCGTATCCGAAAGCTACGTCTTATCAATAATGCTCCGAGATGTAGTGAAATTGTCGATCGGATAACAGACAATAGCACTCACAATGGCACAGACAATGCCAAATTGAGCTTTGGTGGGGGGGACAAAGATGCCGGACAAAGCGCGCGTCCGGCTTCCGCTTGTCTCCGCACAGCTCCGTTGGACTTGATTTAGCCGCGCCGACTCCGCCTGCCCCTGCTTGAGATCCAGATCCGATCTCGATTTTCGATCAGCAAGCGAACAGCATGGCTGTCGCTGTATGCTGGAAAGGGTCGGTATCCGTCGGTGCTGGTGCTGATTCTGTGCTTTCGGCGCATCGATATGGCGTGACCTGTCGGACGCGGCTCGGTACAGCCTTTGGCACGAATCCTAGCAGCTCAGAGTCGAGGCTCATTGCGGAGAAGAAAAAAAAGATTGTCCGAGGATGGACCGAATCTTTGCTGCGAGGCTCTTCCTCACGCACCCAACTCAATATTCTCCGAGTCAGAGCCTGGCACGTCCAGACTCGCGGCAACGACAAGTCGCTCGATCGGCCGATACCCCGTGCTGTCTGACTCCGAGGGGCCGAACATAGAGACTTTGGCCGGTCGGGCTGCGCTCTGATTGGTCCGATCTGCGAGCCCATCGTCCTGGCCGTCTGCTTCCCCGAGCTTGGGTGTTGCTAGGCCAGTTCCTGTGCACGACATCCATGAGCCAGCTCGAGCTCCAATTCACCGCCAACCCTAAACAAGAACAGCATTACAGTCAAGCCTCACCTTTTTTCTTTGCGTTGAACACATGATCACTTCGACTCCACTTTGGTGCTGTTTGAAGATTGCAACGTGCTCCCCGCCGCGCGGCGCATTCGGATTGGACCACTCGGGAGCACAGACCGCTGTGGCTTTGATGGTGGGGGTGGCTGTCTGCAGTGTCAAGCCCCACAGGGATGCAGTCGTGCTTGGCATGTTGCTGCTGCCCGCCCGAGCCAACGGCAAGCGATCCCCACCCTGGGCCTGCAGCGGAAAAAAATCGAGGGTTGCTGTTGGCACCTCGTATTTTTTCGAAATTCGGCTTGATGGCACGCCGCCAATCAGAATCCGAAATATGGATTGCCGTGGCAGCCAGCAGACAGAGAGGCTCGAGCCGAGCGTTGGTGAGAAGAACAGATGGCTCGGCTAAGGCCCAGACCAGGGCGCGTCCCTAGATCGCTGCGCGGCGAGGCCTTTCCAATTGCAGCCTTGCAGGCCTCGCAGCTCTCGCAGCTCTCGCAGCTGGGGAGAGGCAGTCGCGTCGAAAATGCAGCAGGGCAGGGCGAAGCGAGACGAGCGACTGCGGCAATGTCGCTTGTGCTCACAATCGTGCGTGCGCGCGAGACATGAGGGCGGCTATCGTGCATCCGGTCCGCCATTTGTCGCTCGGCAGCCTCGTATTCGAGATGCCCCGCGGCCGACAGGGCGAGCCCAAGCAGAGCCAAAGCACAAGTGCGCCAGCTGCACTCCGCCTTTTGTTGGCCCTCGCAAATGCAGCTGCACCTCAACCCCCATGCAGCCTGCAGCGTGGTCTGCATCTCCCCGATCCGACACCCGTCTCCACCTTGGCTCGCCAGCCGCCCGCCGCCGCCGCCGCCTCCTTTGCCGAAGCGCTCATCTGATTGGCTCCAAGCGCCGTCCCGATACAAGGAGATGCGACGATCTCACATTGCTACACCTGCGCACGCAATTTGCTACAGCGCTGACTCGATTTCCATGCTCTTCTCTCGTCAGGCCACAAAGACTGCTCGTACGATGACATGGATCGTCACGGGGAGAAAGTTAGGTGTCAAAAGATGAGGGCAAGGGCGAATGATAGGACCAATTTGACTTGTAGCAGACCGGACAATGCAGTACAGCAGGCGCAAGGATAAAAAGTCCCACGCATCCAGCCGTGCTGCGGCAGTTGGTCGCCGCGTAGAGTGGCAGCAGCAGCAGCAGCAGCAGCAGAACACGGGCAAAGCTCATTGTGTGGAGAGAGCGCAGTAGCAGGTGAGTGTCATGGCCAGGCGGCGAGCTTAACCCCGGCGACACTGTTCCTCTGCCTGTAAGTTATAGGAACGGCCGTCGAGAAGTGGAAACAAGCCCCGAGCCGTCGACCCTGAGCGACCCTTTGTCGGCTTCCCCGTGTGGTCAATTTCCCAGCTTTTTTTTTTCGATATGGAAGGAGCGCTTCTGTCCGGGGACCTCGGTGCAGCGTTGGGCGAGGCGAGGCGCGGCGGCGGCGGCAAGCTCCGTGTGGTGATGGACCCGCTTTCGCAGGCAGGACCAACCAGAATTCGAGAACCAACCATCCGACCAGCCAAAAAAAAAAGGAAAAAGTGAGGGCGCTTCCCAAAAATTTGTGCAGCACTTGAGCAGAGGACGTGCCCGCGTGCTGCATGCTGCACTGCGACACGACGCCGGCTGCACCACAGCTGCCCTCTCTCTCCCTCGCCCTGACGGCCCACACACACACACACGCTTTCCAGTCGCGCCCGGCTCACTTCTCCGACCACACACGCCCGCTCGCCCTCGTACTTTCTGCGACACCACCATCACCACCACCACCACCACCACTCTCTGACTCTCTCTTCTCTTCGTCTCTTCGTTGGTCAGAACCTTCTTGCTTTCGGCCCCTTTGGATCGCCTCAACAGCTCAACTCCCACGGTCTTTCATCAGGCTTTGTTTTGGTCCAACGTCCAACCTCCGTCTTCTCTTGCTCTTGTTCACAAACTGAACACCCGTCACGAACAGCACCTCTGGCAACCTCTCCAAGGTGCACACAAAAATCTCTTCGACTTGACGACCACCTTCGTCCACCTTCCGTGTCTCGCCGCCAAACGCGCGCCCAATCGCTGCCTCGGTTCGACCAGCATCTTTTCTCGGCACAGCTTGCCTTGCCCATACCGGCCCAGTTGCTTTTAGCTCCGTTCTGCTGTCCTCGGCGACCGAGCATCGTGGCACTTTCGACACAAAGTGCTGCATTCGACTAGGATTGGTTCACGCCTACGCCTCTTAAATCACCCCCCTCAACACGCGGCATTCATCCACTCCCGTAGCGCCCCCCTCGGCCACTGGTACCTTCGTCTCGAGCAAGGCCCCTCAACGTCGCTCGTGCCCTCCTTCCACCCACCTCAAACCCCCACTTCAACGTCTTCCGTCGCGAGGTGGTTCCCAGTGAACATCCTTTCTCTGGTCTCTCCTTCGCCTTCTGACCTCTTGTCGTGAGTCTCTTTCTTCTTCGGCTCAATCCGCGCGTGCTTGCGTGCCGGAGTGCCTCGGCCGCTATCACCGGCTTTTCTTGTGCGCGCATGGCGTTGCTTTTTCGCTTCCCCTCGGCTTGACTTGAAAGTTACGTCGACGACGCTAGCAGCGGCATCACGGTTGCGGCGAACTCGGGCGAGCCAGCAGGCAGAAGGGAAAAAAGGCTCACTGGACCCTACCCGCATCGTGTTGCGCCTTTCTTGAAGGCGCCAACGTTGCTGCATGGGCTCGGTGGGAACTTCACTCCAACCTGTCTCAAGGCCTCGCTCGATCCTTGCTTCCCAGCCTTGACGCACACCACCGCCCTTCTGGCCAGACGTTTCCGAAAGACTTTGCAGCCTAACCCCACCCTCCCTATTCGTTTCTCGCTCCCCCTTTTTTCTTTCTCTCTCCCTTTCAATCGCTCGCTGGCTCGGTTCCTTTCTTGGTGGTGCTACTCGCTCTCAACCTCGGTGCGTGCCGCTTTTGCTCGACCCTGACTCGGTAATACTGCTGCTTGCTTGCTCGACTTGCTCGCACGCACACAGCAAGAGTCCACGTCTCGGCGCATGAGCTTCTCCAACACGGCACGTCACACTAGCGGCACTTCCACCACGACCACTACAGTAAGTCGTCTCGTCAGACGAGCCTCGACGTGCGCACCTCTCAGAGGCTGCCCGCGCCTGCACTCTCGCCCAGAAGAGCAGCGACTGACATCCGTTCGACATCGACCTCGCTGTGCCATTGTCGCTCCCAGACCTCGCCCGTTGCTACTTCGGTCCGTCGCGCCTACTACGATCCATCGCAAAACATGACCATGACGCTGCCCCTCTCCGGCCTCTCGCCGCCGTCGAAAGGATTCTTCGCGCCCTCGTCTTTGCCCAACTCGAGAAGCGACGTTACGCCCAACGGCGCCGTCTCCTCGGCCGTCCCCAGCCGAGGACGCAGACGGGAATCCATCACCGGCCAGATGCGACGCAAAGCCACCGACACCGCTTCGGCGGCTGGCGCAGGCGGCGCCTCGCTCCTGTCGATGAGCCGAGGCGCCGCGGGCATGCCTGCCTCGCCCAACGGCCGTGCCATCCCCATGACCGCTCGCTCGCCGCGCATGGCCGCCGTCGAGATGGGCGGCCTCTCGACGTCGTTCGGCGCGGCTGCCGAAGCGCTGTCGCTGTCGTCGTCCATCACCTCCAACTCGACCGTGGCGCCCGGATCGTTCCAGGCGCGCAGCAACGCACAGCCCATCCAGCGCGAAAACCGCTCGCAAGGCCACTCGCATCTGGGCGTCGAGTGCTTTGGCCCGTCGAGTCTGGACAGCAGCATGCCCATGCCGAGCCCAGGCATGATCACCTCGCACGCCAATGGCGGTGCTGACGGCGTCGCCAAGCGCGACCGCCGCGCTTCGGTAAGCTCGACGGGCACCATGGTCGACGACGAGGACGGCAAGGGCGGCAAGCACGAGCAGCTGCACCGATGCGAGAGCTGCGCCAAGGTGTATCGTCACCCGAGTTGTCTGATCAAGCACCGGTGGGAGCACACGGTGTACTGGAAGGAGGCGTCCAAGTTTCTGATGAGCAAGCATCAGCAGGTGCAGCTGCTCGAGGCGGCGGCGATCCTGGTAGGCATGGACGCCAATGCGCGATCGCTGCCGGAGGAGAAGGCGCTGTGGCCTGCGGCGGTGAGTCCGCCGTCGTCGGGCCTGTTGGGATCGGAGCAGATCAACTTTGAGACGCTCATGGCGTCGAAACGGCGCAACACGGTGTCGAGCAATGCGAGCGCGAGCCCGGCGCGTGGGCCTACGCCTGCGTTGGTGCCCAACGACAGCAGCGACGGCAGCACGACGAGCACGTACGATCCGTCGATGCGCAGTGCGACCATGAGCCCGCTTGCGGGCCTGGGCAACATGCGTCTGAGCGACGGCGATGCCAAGCATGGTCGCTTCCGTATGGACGACGGCGCGAGCGGAAGCGGCAGCGGCAGCGACCGCGCCGACCGCTCCGGATCCGCCGACATGTTTGACGAGGAAGACGAGGTGGAGGAGCGCGACGACAACGGCGAGGAACGCTATGGCGCCGATGCCGGCGGCGACGTGATGGCCAACATGGAGATGGACGACGTCAACTAGCGCCGTTGCCTCCTGTTCACCACGCCGAGTCTGCGCATGCAACCACATGCGTGCACACGGCGTTGATTTATTTGCATCTTGGCTGTTGTTGTCGGTTCCCTCTGTCACCGTTTTCCTCCTTCTCTCAGTACGTCTCGAAAAGCTTTCTCTTTGTCGACGCGCATCAACAGCGCGCGCGACAATGTACCAACACAGACCCCATCCCCCAAAAAAAAGTCAAATACCTCTTGAACGTTGGAAGCCGAACGTGGGGTGTGGTGTGCGCGAGGGTTTTGTGAGCGTGTCACATCTTCTCGGCGATGGGTTTGTGCTCTAACAGAATGCAGCGGGGATGAGCGGGATTGGGACGAAACAGAACCGGGCTATGCTTCTAGGTGTATGAATGGAAAGCACGTGAGGATTGGATTCGGGTCTGTTCACGATGCTGGCCACATGGGGCCGGGTGTAGGATAAAGCATTTGAGCCGAGACCGAGAGCGGACTGGATTCCGAGCCGACCCGGCAGCAACAAGGTGTGGATGGTGTTGTGTGCGAGTTGATGGTGTTGGGGGGTTGGATTCTTTTGGCTTGTGAAAAAGCAAGCTGGCGCGGCTTTGGACGACATTTCCCGCGGCTATGCACGCCATGCCCCCCACACGAGCAGAGCCGGAAGGTTACCACCAGGCACATCTAACGCGCTTGGGCGGAGACGTGCCTGCGATGAATTCGGTTCCGGACCCCGGATTCCATCTCCCCCTCGTCGCCCCCCGACTTTTTGTCACGACGACGCTCGACGCTCGACGCTTCGGTAGGGTGGACAGCGTGGGATCGATGAGGGAACAAGCTCTACCGAGCGACGTCACGTCTCTGCCATCCAGGGCCAGATTGACGCGGCCTCGGTTGTGGAAAGCTCGAGAGTGGGGAGCGTCATCACCATCCGACGCCAATGACGAAGTTTGTTTGTCGCCTAAAGGTCATCGCGTGCAGCGAGCAGTGCAGCTACAATGGGCTGGTTTTAGTGGCCGCCTAAAGTGGGAAAGCTCGTGCAGAATGAAAATCGGCAGAGGGAGGATAAGCTGGCGATGATTTGCACTGCACCTCGTTGTCGCCACGCCGTCACTCGAAGCAGCGGCGGTTGGAATTTTTAGCATGTTTTGCTGCTCCGACGCCGTATGCACTCGCTCACCTTGGCACTCACTCACTCACTCACTCTGCTCTCGATACCGCTTTGAAATGCGATGGTTATGCGCTTGTATGGTTGGACCAGGGTGGGGCCCGGGTTTGGGTTCCGTTCGGGGCGTGCAGGCGAGGTTGGATTGGGCGTCAGTTTGCCATGCACCTCGTGTGCTAGCCGAGAGCGGGCTCGTAAAAATGGCTTTGGAGAAGAGGCTACCCCGCGCGCAACTGCCAGACAGACAAGGACGGATTTCACATTCATTCATCCCCCACCGACTTTTTCGTCTTCTTTTTTGGCATGCCCAACCGCGCAAGGCAAGGCAAGGCAAGGCAAGGCGGGCGAGAGGCAAGACAGTGTCGCGGTGCATGTCTCAAGGCTGGGCTCGGCGTGTGGTGCTGAAGCTCTGCGTCGGTTCCAGCGCGGGTTCGCCGTCAGTCTCGCGTAAAATGCCGTCCGGTTAGAAGCTCTCTCGTCGCCCCAACCCAGGGCTTCCGAGTCGGGAATTGAGACACGGCACGAGTGTCAGGTGCCCCCCCTCCTTCCCCCCTCCGCCCGACTTTGCCCTGTCCATTGTGTTCCACGGTCGCTGCTCTCCTCAGGCACGCATGCTGTAATCCACCTGATCGAGCGACGCACGGTTCAAACACTAGGTTGTCTCTCTCCTTGTTGTGGCATAGCTCGTATCGATGAGATCGGTTCGTTCCGACAGATCAATCGCCGAATCTCGAGCGGGTGGATGGATGCTGCGGTTGCGATGCGATAGAGGGGGCGTTGGATGTCTAGCTGGGCTGGGCTGGGCTGGGCTGCAGCTGCAGACGCTGCTGCATGCAGACGCAAAGAAACTCACCTAACACCCATGCCGGCTCGAGGCGGGCGGATTCCAGATCTGGCCTCGTCCAGCTCCACACTCAACCTTTTCCGACACTGCTCCCACGCCACCGCTCGTCGCGCACGGGCACGCGCCCACTCTGCGGATCAGCACATGCAACCCGCACCTTTCACCAGGCAATCACGCGTTCACTCGCCCTCGATGTGGAGCCGACTGCGAAATTTTGGACTTCCTCTCTCCACCTCTCGTCGGTGCCTCCGCCTGACGGGCCGTCGAGCCATTCGTCCGCTCGTTTGGCCTTGCTTCGACTGCACTCTCGGTGCCTGCCTGTCTGCTTGCTCCTGCTCCCTCTCTCTGTTCCCCTCCGTCGGCTCGCAGCTGCCTTGCTCGGCATTTCCCCATCGTCGTCACTGCATCCAAAACCCAACTGGAGCTCCGCCTGGCGTCTTGCATCCATTCGAGCCGCCAGGCACTTGCGCACGGCTTGCTTTTTGGCCATCGATCCCATCCCTCCTCCCAGCCCGCCCAGACCCCACGGTGAGACAGCCCCCCGCCCCGCCACTCTTGCATCCGACTCCTCGTCGTCGTCCTCATCGTCGCCGTCTCCGTCTCCGAAAAGCTTCCCCGCCCTCGAGTTCCCAATAAAACCCCAGCACCCACTTCATCCCATCCACCCGGATCCCTTCTTCTTCTTCTTTGTTCACCACCATCGTAGAGCTGCTCTTTCCATCCACACCTAGAGGAACGCAGACTCCCCCTTCTTTCTCTCATACACACCGCTTCGTCTCCCGCACCCCTCCCGATACCCGTGCCCGGAGATCCCCTTTCCGCCCTCTTTCCTGCCTGCGCTCACTTCGCCGTCTTTGGTCGCGAGGTGTGCTAGCTCTTTCTGTACAGCAGCCGCTTTTCTGGTTGCTGCCTCTGCTTTTGTTGTCGCTCCTTCTCGCTGCTTCCTAGCCGATCGTGCGCTTCCGCTTTCGCTCCGTCTACTGCCTTCCCGCTCTCTTGGCAAGACAGCAGTCGTTCCAGCTCCATCAGCAGCAGGACCGCGAACCTAGCCAGTTTCGCTCCCCCAACTCCCACTTTCCTCCGTCTTCTTCGCCCAACAAGGCGCAGCCGGTAGCCAAGATGTCCACCATCACCAACGAGTACGGCGAGGACATCCTACCAGCCTACAGGGGTAAGTTGCTTCCCACTCTCCCACTCTCCCGCTTAGTGCCTGCCGCTCCGACTGTATGCGCCTCTGCCGGCCCATCGCGCCGATCAGCCGACGCGGTTCGAGCGCTGCAGACGGCACAGCCGAACGCTAGCACTCTCCGGTCAAAAATCACGCCCCAGTGACGCAGCAGTCGGCTTCTCCGAGCCCACAAACCGCTTGAGTGCAAAAGCTGACCGTCTCTGTATCTGCATCTCCTCCCCCCTTCCCACCTCGCGACTGCAACGCTTCCCTTTCCTCCAGGCAACCTCACCAAGGACCAGGAGAAGGACCTTCGAGAGATCTGGCGACGTCTCGGGGAGCTCTTTGAAAAGAACAAAGAGGTCTCGGAGAAGGTCTGGCAGCAGGGCGGCCCCGCCAAGCTCCCCAAGGGCAACACCTCGGCACCCAAGAACGAAAAGGAGGCCGGCAAGGACATTCCCAAGGATGACAAGGCAAAGGAGGAGGCCAAGAAGGCCGAGGAGATGAAGGAGATGAACGAATTCATCGACAAGTACGGCGGACCCATCCTCCGCGAAACCGTCTGGGAGTTCACCAAGATGGACCACCCAGACACCTCGGTCCTCCGTTTCCTCCGTGCGCGCAAGTGGGACATTGACCGTGCCCTCGCCATGTTGGCCGCCGCCTGCAAGTTCCGCCTCGAGAAGGACGTCGCAGGCATCATTGAAAAGGGCGAGGACGGCCTCAAGGACGTGCCCGGTTTCATGAACCAGATGCGCCGCGGTATCTCCTACATCAAGGGCTCCACCGACAAGATGGAGAACCCCATCTACTTTATCCACGTCGCCCGCCACTTCACCAGCGCACAGAAGCACGAGGTCCTCCAGGACTACGTCCTCCTCGCCATGGAGAACGCGCGCCTCATCACCACCCCTCCCTACGAGAAGGCCGTCGTCGTTTTCGACATGGCCGGCTTCGGTCTCAAGAACATGGACTGGCAGTGTGTGCTCTTCCTCGTCAAGTGTCTCGAGGCCTACTACCCAGAGTCGCTCCAGCGCATCTACGTCCACGGCGCTCCCTGGATCTTCAAGGGTATCTGGCAGGTGCTCCAGCCCATGCTCGACCCCGTCGTGCGCGACAAGATCAAGTTCTCCAGTAAGGCAAAGGACCTCGAAGAGCTCGTCCCCGCCTCCAAGATCCGCAAGGGTATGGGCGGCACCATGGACTGGGACTGGGACTACATCGAGCCCCAGGCCGGCGAAAACGACATCATGAAGGACTCCAAGTCGCGCAAGAAGATCGAGGCCGAGATGAAGGAGCTCACCGACGAGTTCGAGAAGGTCACCGTAGACTGGTTCACAAACACCACCTGCGACGACGACGATCCCGATCTCGCCTACAGGCGCGAGGTGCTCGCCAACCAGATCCGTCTCAAGAACTACCAGCTCCAGCCCTTCGTCCGCGCCAAGAACATCTACCAGCGCTCTGGCCTCATGACCATGGACGGCACCGTCAACTGGGAGTACCCGCAGACCAGCGGCAAGCCTCTCACCCAGACCGTCAACGACCGCCACAACTACGGCTCCATCATCAAGTGGCTCAAGGAGCACAACGAGGACACGCTCGAGGACTCGTTCGGCCACCAGAAGCTCGCTGAGATCTGCACCGACGGCACCATCAAGAAGTCGTACGGCGATGCAAAGGGCGGCAAGGGCGACAAGGGTGATGCCTCGTCCAAAAAGTCGTCGTCCAACAAGAAGGGCGCTGCCGCCGGTGCAGCCGCCGCTGCGGGCGCCGCTGCTGCTGGTGCTGGCGCTGCCAAGGCTTCCAAGAGCAAGAAGAAGGCGCGCGAGCCCGAGCCCGAGCCCGAGGAGTCCGACGAGGACGGCTTCGAGGACCCAGAGTCTGAGCCCGAGCCCGAGCCCGCCCCGCGTGCCAAGCGCTCGCCCTCGGCCAACAAGTCGCTCGCTCGCAAGCCCAGCCAGAAGGCCGAGCCCGAGCCCGAGCCAGAACAGGAAGAGGAGCCCCAGCAGGCCCAGAGCTACACTGGCGCCGCTGTCGGTGCCGTGGCTGGTGTTGCCGCCGGTGTTGGTGGCGCTGCCGCCGCTGGCCTCAGCTACCTCCGTGGCGGCAACCGCAACAACGGTGCCAACGACGAGCCTCAGCACGCCGAGTCGGAGGAGGAAGAGGAGGACGACGGCGAGGATCACGGTGTCGCACGCCCCGGTCAGCGCCAGACCCCTCGCACCGTCGACCACTACCCGGACGAGGACGAGGAGTTCGACGAGGAGGACTCGCCCGACGACGACCAGATGTCGGCCTACTCGGACGAGTCGATCACGCCCGAGACCGCCGTGCGCCCGGACCACGTCAAGGCCAAGATCAGCGCCTCGGACTGCCGCATCGACGACAACGACTGCCGCGAGGACCTGGCGACGGTGCGCGAGGCCATGGCGCTCTTCCTCAACTCGCGCATGCGCGAGGCCGAGGAGCTGTGCATGGAAGGTGCCAGCACGCGTCTGTACAAGGCCGAGGGCATGGCGCTCATCAACTCGGTCAAGTCGATCATGACGTTTGAGCCCACCGACTTTGAGACGGCCATCATGTGCTGCCAGCACTCGATGAAGATCGCCGGCTTCCTGCGCAAGAAGCAGGGCGCCATCGGCAAGCTCATTGGCGGCGGCAAGATGGCCAACTACAGGTCCATGAGCCTGGTCCAGCTCCACGCCGAGCTCGTGTTTGCCGAGTCGCAGCTGCTCAAGTCGGTGCTCGGCATCTTCTACTCGGGCGACAGCATCGGCTTTGTCAAGCAGGCGCTCGGCCTGCGCTCGGCCTACTTCCTCGTGCGCGAGCTCTTCAAGTTTGTCGAGGCCGTCGATGCCGAGGCCGAGGAGGCCGAGGTGTCCGGCAAGCGCTCCAACGCCATCCACCTCGACCAGGACTTCCGCTCCGGTGTCTACCTCGGCAACGCCGTCTGCTCGCTCGTGCTCTCGATGCTGCCCACCAAGACGCTCAAGATCATGGAGGGCTTTGGCTTTGTCGGCGACCGCAAGTTCTCGCTCGACCTCTTCGCACGCGCCGGTGGCTGGAGCAAGAGCAAGCCGCTGCCCACCATCTCGGCTGACGAGGAGGGTGTGCGTCGCCCGCTCTGCGACATTGTCATCCTCATGTACCACCTGTGGATCTCGAGCTACATCCCCGTGACGGAGCTCGACTTTGAATTTGCCGACAAGGTGCTCTCGTGGAACCTGGTGCGCTTCCCCAACGGTATCTTCTACCTCTTCTGGTCCGCCCGGCTGTACGCTGCGCAGGCGCTGCCCGAGAAGGCGATCGAGTACTACCGCAACGCGATCGAGTCGCAGCGCGAGTTCAAGCAGCTGCACCACCTGTGCTTCTGGGACCTCTCGCTCACCTACCTGTGCACGTGCGACTTTGCGCGCGCGTACGAGTGCTACGACGTGCTCTCGCGCGAGTCGAACTGGTCCAAGGCGATCTACCAGTACGCCAAGGCGGTCATGCTCTACGAGACGGGTATGGACGACCGCGCCAAGAGCGCCACGATCATGCGCACCGTCGGCAAGCTCACCAAGAAGGTGGCCGGTCGCCAGATCCCCTTCGAGAGGTTTGTGGCGCTCAAGGCCAAGAAGTACATTGCGCAGCAGAACCGTCTGCCGCTGCCCGGTCTCGAGTTCTCGTACCTGTGGCACTGCATCGGCCAGACGCCCGTGTTCCTGCTTGTCGAGAATACGCTGACGCGCATCGACGAGTTTATCGACGAGCTCGAGTCGTACCACAACCCCAAGTCGTACGGCACGGGCGAGAACGAGTACTGGTCGGCGTACTGCCTGGCGTTCTTCCTGCGCGGTGTGGCGCTGCGCTTCGTGGCGTACCCGGAGCCGCAGACGCTCGTGCGTCTGCCCGCCGAGGACACGGTGGGCCCGATCGAGGAGATCCAGGCGGATGCGGTGCAGTCGTTCAACAAGGTGTTTGAGCACGGCTCGAAGCTCGACGAGGTGGACAGGTATCTGGTGTACTTTTCGCACTACGAGCTCGGCCGCCTGCGTGGGTGCATGGGTCAAGACGAGGCAGCCAAGACCGAGTTCCGCAAGGTGCTGTCGGGCAAGCCGCTCGAGGCCAAGGGCAAGGGACTGATCGGCGGCGGCAGCAAGGCCAACTATCTGCTGAGCAACATGTGCCAGGTGCGTGCGCACGCGGCGATGGAGACGATGCGCATCCAGAAGTCGCGCAGCCGCGCGTCGTTCTTCCACGGCGCCGAGGGCTCGCTCGCAAGCCAGAGCATCGCGTCCAAGTCGACGCGCAGCAACTCGCTCGCCAGCTCGGCGAGCCGCAGCATGACGTCGCGCGGTACGTCCATGTCGAGCCGCTCCGGTCGCGGCAGCATCAAGTCGGGCACGTACGATGCCGAGGAGGGCTACCGCGCCAATGGCGGTAGTCGCCCACGTGCTGATACCGGCAGGTCGCAGGGCACCGACTACTCGCGCAGGCGATGATTTCCATTTTCCCCCTCCTTTTTCTTTCTCTCTGTGATATATGTGTTCAGCTTCCCGGTGTTTCTCTTACAAGGCTCCAGATTGCGCCCTCTCTGTGTATGTAGTTTCTCGCTAGTGGCAATGCTTTGTGTCTGTTCGAATCGACCATGTGACTGTTCTATTTGGGGCGTGCAGGAGTGGTGCGCTTTCGACCTTCCACACACTCCTTGGCTGGCGGTTGAGGCTACGTGGGCCTAGCGCCTCCTTTAACTCTCTACCGGAGCGCCTGGAAGCTGTCGATGCGGAAAAGGGAGGCGCAAACAGTAGAGGTATCAGATTGTACGTGCTACAGAGACGAGGCTCATGACGAGGGCGTCCTGCGGCGTTCGAAGTAGGAGCCGCGCGCAATCCCGGTGGCGAGAAATGTCGTTGGCCTGACGAGACGGGGAGCGACTTTTGTGGGGCTGTTGGACTGAAGTTGAGCCGATTTGTGCGCATTGTATTCCGATCGGGAAAACGGAGACTTGGGGATCGGGTGATGGTTGAATTCTTCGAAACGTGGGGGCTGGTGAGGTGAGCACGTTTGTGCGATGGCGTGTGGGATGGCGTGATGCGGTGGGCGCAAGCACGTCAGATACCGCGCGCCATGCGGACAGTGCGGGGATTTGAAACGCCGATTCGTCCCCCCCGCGACAGGGCAGGCGCTTCTCCACCTCTGCAAGCACGGAGGGTTGACCGGCCAACGGCGCGCCCGTCCGCCCGCGCGCGAAGAAATGGTGTGCTCGCCCCCGGCTCTGACTCGGCTGATCGTCATTGTGCGATGCGAAGAGTTGCTTGTGACAAAGCCCCCCAACCCCCCCGGCCCTACAGGGGGCCTTTTGATGGGGATCCCATATATACAAGCTGTGGTACAGCTGCTTCTGTCTTGCAACCACACACATACTCTTCTACACTGTTTTGGTATTTGCACGATGGCTGGACGACCTGAGCTTCCTGCGTGGACCCCACCCGTGCCTACGCGCGAGACGGATCTCGAATGGGCCCCGCTCACCACGCTCGACCTTTCGCAGATCAGTGGGGACGACTTCACCTCGGTCCCCGAGTCGGTGGTGCGCGAGGTGGGCGAGGCTTTCTCGCGCGATGGATTCATCTATGCCGAGAACCACGGCCTGTCGTGGGAGCACGTGCTGCGTCAGTTCGCCATTGGCCAGTACGCGTTCAACGGCGTCTCGGAGGCAGACAAGGCCAAGTACAAGGCCGACATCCTCTCCACCGGCTCGTTTGTCGGATACAAGGAGCAGGGACACTGGAAGCTCAACGGCGTCAAGGATCGAATCGAGCAGCTCAACTTTGGATCGCAGAGTTTTGCTGCCGACAAGCGCGAGCAGCTCTTCCCACCGTCGATCCAGCATCTGCTGCCGGAGATCGAGGAGTTTGCACGATTCAACCACGCAGTGATCCTGCGCAAGATCCTGAGCGTGCTGTCGCTCGTGCTCAAGCTGCCCGCGAACCATCTGTGGGAGCTGAGCAAGGAGCCCGAAAAGCGCGGTCTGGATCTGCTGCGGTATGCCATGTACCACACTCCTGACCAGCAGGATGACGACAAGCTCGGTGGCGTCAGACTCCAGGGTCACACCGATTTCAACTCGGTCTCGATTCTGTGGAGTCAGCCGATTACGTCGCTCGAGGTGTTGATGCCTGATAACAAGTGGCGCCTGGTCAAGCACCGCGACAATGCGCTCGTGATCAACCTGGGCGATGCAATGCACTTTATCTCGGGCGGGTATCTCAAGCAGACCATCCACCGCGTCGTTGCCCCACCCGCCGACCAGGCCCACTACACGCGTCTCGGCATCTTTTACTTTGCCCTTTTCAACGACGATGTCGCGCTCGAACCCATCGAGGAGTCGAGCGTCGTCAGGGAGACGTATGCCGCAAGGAAGCACAAGGAGGGCGGATTCTGGGACGCCGCCAAGGCCAAGGGCGAAAAGGTGCCCACCGCAGGCGACTGGGAGAGGCTCAGGGTCAAGGCGTACGGCCAGCAACAGGCAAAGAAGGCCCAGGACGGCCATGACGTCGAGGAGATCGCCGGCCAAAAGGTGCTCGGTTACAACGGCGAAAGAGTCAAGTCCAAGTTCACCGCTCAAACCAGTGCCGTTCGCGCCAACTAGGCTTCAACCCTATACCCCCTTGCCCCTTGTCCCAATCGACGCATTTAACATGCCAACCTTTCCCCGTCTTTCGATCGTAATCGCTCTGTTCTCTCGCCACCTTTGTACTTCTAGTTTCAACACTTGTCCCGACGTTCTTGCATCCAACTGCATTGTTGCTACAGTTCGATCTGTGCGACGCGCTGTGCGAGGTCCAGCAACGCTTGGTGGTGACCTGGTGGAGCGACGAGCTGGATGCTGAGCACGGGCAGTCTCGCCTCGCCCTCGCCTGGCTCGATGGGATCGGGCGCAAGCATGCCCGGGCTGAAGTTGGACCATTCCTCGTCGCGGTGGATGAGTGCGGTCCGGGTGTGGGGACGCAGCTTGTGGAGGGGGACCGAGACGGCTGGCCAGTCGAGCAGATTCACGATCTGGCACCACACCTCCGCATGTTGCGAATCGAGCTGTACAAACGCGGCATTGCGGACAGGACCGCCGAGGACGTACGTTGGGGTGAGCAGCATGTTGGTGCCCACGCGCGACTGGAGCGAGTGCTTGAGCTCAGCGAGGCGCGTCGGATGCGGTGGCCAGGTCGAGTCGGCCAGGCGGGATTCGTCGAACATGGTGCGTGCGATGAGCGGGTCGTTGGCGAGCATCTGACGTGCAGCTGCAAAGCCGTGCTGCGTAGCGTGCTCTGCCCATGCCATCTCCCACTCGCCCGCATCCACCGCGCCCAGCTCATCGCACTGCACCCCGCTCTCGCCCAGCGCAGAGACGAGATGTGTGATCAGCGCCGAAACCTCGGGTGAGCCGTACTGGGCCGTGTGAATGATGCGCGGCAATGCATCCGGTGAGGCCTTGGAGCCTTCAAGTGCATCAACGGCTCGACGGACGGTGCTGATGTCGCGCGCAAGCAGCCCCGGTGCCGTGGCGGGGACGGTGGTGTGTGGCAGGCCCGTCATAAAGTCATCCGGCAGTTGCCAGCGAAACCCATCTGGGGTCGCGGTGAATTTGAAGCCGACGAGCTCGGCGAGACAAGCCGGCTGGCGCACTGACCCGCCCATGTCCGTTCCGACACCGAGGTGGCTGCCGCCCATCTTGACGAGGCTCGCCTCGCCGCCCGAACTGCCGCCGACCTGAAACTCGTCCTCTGCGCCATCCGAGCAGGAGATGGGAGAGCGCGTGGTGCCCCACAGTGGGGAGTGGGTGGTGTTGTGCATCATGAGTTGCGGCGCGGTGGTTTTGGCGATCATGATGCCGCCGAGCATGCGCAGCTTGTGCACGATCTCGGCGGTGTGCGATTCGACGTGTGCGGCGCGCGAGGAGCAGCCGAGCGTAGTGGCGAGCCCCTGCATATGGATGCAGTCCTTGACGCTGAACACGAGCCCGAAAAGCGGGTACTGCTCCAGCAGCGCCGACGGCGTGGAGGCATCGAGGAGCTGCTGGTATCGCTCGGCGTGCTCGAGTGCGGCGGAGTAGGGGAACGCGGTAAGGCAGTGCGTTGCGAGACTCGCGCGGACAGTCAAGCGTATGCGTGCCTCTACGAGCTGCGGCACGGTCAGCGTTCGTTCGAGGAGGCGTGTCTGGAGCTCGTCGAGGCTGAGGCGAGCTAGAGCGTAGTCGTCCGCGGTGGGGTCGGCGAAGCGGCGGTGCGCGTCTTGCACGGTGGAGAGGAGGGCCTCGACAGCCTGTCCGGCAGCCGGAGTGTTGGGATCCGGGTGGGGATTGCGGAACTCGCCGCGTGCAAGTTTGGCGGTCGACATTGTATGGGTCTTCGTGATGCAGTGGTAGAGGTAGATGGAGGTGATGACCCAAGGTCGGTGCGGCGCCAAACCTCCACATCAACACACCGCGGAAGGCGGATTTTCGAGCGCTTTTTGGTGTTTCTTTTTCTTTGTGATGGCCATCAAATAGCGCACCGCTCTCACCATCGCACCCTCATCATCCAACATGCGCTAAGTGGCGGCTCCCATGTTTGTGCCGCGCAAGCTGCAGAAGCGCACGCACCCCGGTCGCGCCCAGCCGCGCACTGGCGAGCACGATCAAGATGCCTGCGCCCCGCAGACGCACGAGACTCCAGCGGGACCCAGCCTCGCTGTGGACGCGGGCAAGCTCGAGCGGCTGGTGGAGTTCCTGCACACTGTGCTGAGTCCGCTGCACGTCGCACTCGCTGCGCGGGACGAGGAGCGCACGCATCCAGCTAGCACACCGTGGTCGGACCTAGCTGCGGCCATTGCGGCGCGTGGCTCGGGCATCCATCTGGCGCGGCTGCTTCAGCTGGTCCCCGGGCTCGCGACACGGTGCAAATCCATCAGCCTGCTCGAGGCAGCACTGACTACGTGGCAGGCTGGCGCGGCGGCAGGGTGGTTCAGCCTGGAAGCGTTCCGAATCACATGGTCCGATGGCTACGCCGACATCGTCAGGCACCTCGTCGCAGCGAAAGAAATAGCAGAGGCACTCGGTCCCCGGCTGGCATATATCGAGTGTATCCCGCCAGCGGTGCGGACTCGAGCACAGGCGACAGAGTACGTCGCGCGGCTGCTCAAAGCCGGCGCGGGCGGTGGGGTGTTTGGTGTGCTGGAACCAGCGGTGGTGCAGCACGCACTCATGGCGGACAAGACGGTCGAGTTGGGAGCAAGGTGGGTGTCGGGTCGTGGATTCTTTGTGCTCGACGCGCGTCGTGTAGAGCATCTCTGCGATACCCATCCCTGGGACTTGGCGCAAAGAGTTCACAGAGAAGAGCCGGTGCGGTGTTTGTCGTGGCCGCAGTGGGAGCGGTTGCACGCGATGTACACGGCGCATCAGCTTGCACAACGGCCAGCCGCACCCAGTGTCAAGATGGAGCACAAGTGGTGGCGCGGAACCATGCTGCTGCTTTGCCTGCCATTTCGCGAGGGGTCTCTTCACGTTCCCGAGGGTGGGGATCGGACGGTGGGGTTTTGGAATCGTCATCTGAAGCCGCAGCTCGAACGAGGCGTGCCCGAGTCGATTGCATACATGCACATGCACCAAGACGGCGTGGCGATCCGCACCGCCCATCCTGTCTACGCCACGCAGCTACTGGCCCACTTCGCCCAGCTCGACCGCATGCCACCCCGCGATGAAGACGACCTGTGGTGCCAACTCCCCGCCAAAGTTCAGACCGCCGCGCACACACGGCTGCTCACCCTCGATCGCAAACTCATCTAGCCAATTCCATTCCATTACGATGCTCACTGCGGGGTTAGAAGAGCGCCACGCTTTGCGTCATGGGCAACTCATCGGCGGGCGGGACGGTGAGCAGCCTACCGCCATCCGTGACTTCGTACGTCTCGGGATCCACCTTGAGATCGGGCGTATGCGTGTTGAGCTTCATGTCCTTCTTGCTGACGCTCCTGCAGCCCTTGACCGCCTCGGTGCGCTTGCGCAGTCCGTACCCCTGCACGATCCCCTGCGCCAGCGAAACCTGGCTGACAAACAGGATCGAGTTGTGCGGTGCCGCATTGGCATTTGCGCCATGCATGGGTCGACCGTAGATCGGCTGGACGGTGGGGATGGATGCGTTGGCATCGCCCATTTGTGCCCATGCCACCTGTCCTCCTTTAAGCACGAACTCGGGGCGTGTACCGAAGTTGGCGGGGAGATAGAAGACCAGGTCGGCAAGCTTGCCCGGTTCGATCGAGCCGATGCGGTGCGAAATGCCGTGCACGAGTGCGGGGTTGATCGTGTACTTGGCCACGTAGCGCTTGATTCGCAGATTATCCGGTACGGCATCGGCGGTATTGGGAACGCCGGAGGGGGTGTCGGAAAGGGGACCGGTGAGAGAGGCCATTTTGGAGGCGGTACGCCAGGTGCGTGCGACGACCTCGCCAATACGACCCATGGCCTGGGAGTCGGAGCTGATCATCGAGATGGCGCCGGAGTCCTGCAGCACGTCTTCGGCCGCCACGGTTTCGGCGCGGATGCGCGAGTCGGCAAACGCCACGTCCTCGACAATGTCCTTGGAAAGGTGGTGACACACCATGAGCATGTCGAGATGCTCATCCAGCGTGTTCTTCGCATACGGCCTCGTAGGATTGGTCGACGATGGCAGTACGTTGGTCTCGCCACATACGCGGATGATGTCGGGAGCATGCCCACCTCCTGCGCCCTCCGAGTGGTAGGTGTGGATCGTGCGGCCCTTGAAAGCGGCAAGCGTGCCTTCGACGAAGCACGACTCGTTGAGCGTGTCCGTGTGGATGTTGCACTGCACGTCGTACTTGTCGCACACGGTCAGGCATGCGTCGATGACGGCCGGCGTGGCGCCCCAGTCCTCGTGGATCTTGAGTCCCGCACAGCCGGCCTTGATCTGGTCCTCGAGGCCCGGCAGGCCCGAGTCGTTGCCCTTGCCCGTGAAGGCAAAGTTGAGCGGGACGCCGTCGGTGGCGATCATCATGCTGCGCAGCTGGTCCTGGCCCGGCGTGCACGTCGTGGCGCTCGAGCCGGCGGTCGGACCCGTGCCGCCGCCGATGAGTGTCGTGATTCCCGAGGCGAGCGCCTCCTCGTGCAGGTCCGGACAGATGTAGTGCACGTGTGCATCGATCGCACCTGCGGTGACAATGTACTTTTCGCCCGCGATCACCTCGGTGCACGAGCCGATGACGAGGTTCGGGTCGACACCGTCCATGATGGCTGGATTGCCCGCCTTGCCGATGCCCACAATGTGGCCGGCGCGAATGCCAATGTCCGCCTTGACGATTCCCCACCAGTCGACGATCAGCGCGTTGATCACCACCACGTCCAGCACCGCCGCGTCGCTCCGACCCGATGCCTGGCCCATGCCGTCGCGGATCACCTTGCCGCCGCCGAACTTGAGCTCGTCGCCGTAGACGGTGTAGTCCTTCTCCACCTCGAGCCACAGCGGGCTGTCTGCCAGCCGCACGCGGTCGCCCACCGTGGGGCCGTACAGCGCCGCGTACGCCTCGCGCGACAATTCGTACGGCGCAGGAGGCGTCACGCCGCTGAGGTCCGGCACGGGCTCATCGGCGAAGCCAGCGGCTTGGATGCGCTTGGTCAGCGCCGCTTTGGCATCGGCCGAGGCGAGGAACTCGTCGAGCGGACCGGTTGCGAGGTTGTTGCCGCCGGCGAGGATCTTGGTCCCACCGACCTGGACAAGCGTGACGCTCTTGGTGTCGCCCGGTTCGAAGCGGATGGCTGTGCCCGGTGCGATGTCGAGACGCTTGCCCAGCGCCAGCAGACGTGGGAACGACATGGCGGCATTCACCTCGAGGAACGGATAGTGCGATCCGACCTGGATGGGCCTGTCGCCCGTGTTGGTGACCTTGACCACCACCCTCTCGCGCTTGGGGCAGAGCTGGATCGCAGGAGCATCTCGCTGCGTGACGAGCGCACCCGGGAGCACGTGTGCGGCATCGGCAGGCGCGATGGCAGTCGTCTGGAACACGCTTGGATCAGGAGCGGGGAAGAAGCTCGAGAAGAGCGCGGCATGAATGTCGCCCGCCTCGGTGCAGACGGGATGGTGCACGGTGACGAGGAAGGTTCCGTCGAGGAAGGTGCCCTCGACCATGACCTCGTGCAGAAGCTCGGCGACGCCAGGAAGCACGTGGCAGCGACCGAGGAGGGTCTTGCCGTGCTGCATGAGTTCGGCGACCGAGTGTTGGCCGTCGCGGATGCGCTCGTGGAGCACAGTGGCGATGAGCGCGGTGGCCTCGGTCTGGTTGAGCCTCACGCCGCGGGCGAGGCGTTTCTGCGCCAAGGTGCCGGCATGGTGGAGCAGAAGCTTGTCGCGTTCGCGCGGCAGGAGATGCATCGTGCCTTGAGTTGGTTGAAATGAAGCTCCGCGGTGAGCTGAACGCTGATAGGCACGAGGTAGAGCTTGAGGGTAAGAAGGATGGTTTAGATGAAGCCGCGAGCGGAACAGGGTCCGTGCCAAGCGCCGATAAGAAGCGCCGAGCCTTAGCTCTAACATAAACCAAAATTCGGGCTTGGGGATCCGAGATCCGCGTTCCGGGATGGCGTTGCGGTGTGATTTTGGTCGTCCAACCGTTGACACGGGGTCTTGTCTATGCACCCTCACCTTGTATCCTCGTGCGGCCGTGGTTCGATGCGGGCGTGCAGCATGGCGAGTGCACGCGCCTCGACGTCGCGTCTCACGCTCGAAGCCTTCCGCCCACATCGACATCTCCGGCCGGCCTTGGTACCGCGACGCACGTTTTCGTCGTGCGCGCCTCGGTCATCTTGTGGCTCGGCTTCGGACACGACAGTGTCGCATCGCATCCGGGCGCTTATGCGCGAATCCGCCCAACCCGTTGCACTCATCACCACGCTTCTTCCTGCTTCACCAACCGGCGGGAGAAGGGTTCATGCGGCGACGCTGTCGAGCTTTACGTCGGTGTCGTTGGAGCCGAATGTGGTGTGCTTTTCCATGCGCACACCCTCGAAGCTCGCCGCGGCACTCGACGGGCATTTCTCCTCGCGCGCGGGCGGGGAGCGGGTGCACTTTGTCGTCAGTATCCTGGCTGAGGGTCAGGCAGATGTGGCCGCAGCATACGCCAAGCCTGGAACCCCGCCGCTTGAGGAGCTTTCAGCGGAGGAACATCCACTGCACAAGGCTGGATTGCTCGATCTGCAGCTCGGACAAGACGCCCCACCAGCGCTCAGTAGGAGTTTAGGTGCTTTCGCTTGTCAAGTGGTCGACACCGTCCCACTCGCACAGTACGCTCCCACGCCACGCGAAGCGCAACCGAGCAGCGTGCTTTACCTCGCGCGCGTGCTGCACGTCCACCTACCCACGGACATGCATCAAAAGCCACTCATCTACCGTCACCAGCGATTCACCACGCCATCGTAATGCCAACCATGCTTTCTTATTCCAGGAAGCCGCGGATGGCGCCGCCGACGTTGGGCACGTCGATGAGGAAGCTATCGTGTCCATGCGGGGCGTCGAGTTCGTAGTACCTTACCGAATCGTTGCCGTTAAGGCGAAGGCATTCTGCGATTTCGCGCTGCTGCTCCACGGGGAAGAGGATATCGCTCTGCACGCCGATGACGAGTGTGGGGATGTGTGAGAGTCGGGCCATGCCGCGCGCAAGGGCGGGCACGTAGGCATGGGCAGCGGGCGACGAAAGCGTGCTGATATGCTGTCTCTTCCTCGGCCTTGGTGCGGGTGGGGGTGTGTGGGAGACGGACAAACCCGCCTCGCCCTCGCCGTGCGCAGCGGTGCGTCGACGCTCCAGATCCGACAGCGCATGGTCGGACATGTCGAACAGGTCCATAGCCTTCGAGATGTAGATCAGCGAGTTGGCGTCGTACTTGAGGCAGAACTGTTCGCCCTGATGGTCGAGATACGTCTCGATGAGAAAGTCGGGACACAACGCTGGGTCCAACTCGTGCTCTTCGCCCCCCTCGCTGGGGGCGATGCGTCGTGCGCGACCAAAGCGCTGCTCCCACTCGGGTCCCGACCTGTACGTAAACGTGGCGATTTGACGTGCGAGCTTCATGCCCGTATGCGGCGGAAGCGAGCCCGGCTGGTAGTAGAAGCCGCGATTCCAGTTCGGATCGCTCATGAGCACGCTTCGCTGCGCATACCTCAGCGCGATGCTCGCCGGCGCGCTGCGGGCACAGCCACTGATGGACACCAGCCGCTGCACGCGCTCGCGCTCCAGGTGCGCCGCTGCAATGCTCTGCATGCCGCCCATGCTGCTGCCCACACTCGCGTACAGCGTGCGGATGCCCAACTGGTCCAGCAGCCGGAACTGCGCACGCACCATGTCAAAGATGCTCAGGATCGGGAAGCGCGTTGCGTACGCTGCACCCGTCGGGTCCTGCGGATGCGGCGATGAGGGGCCCGTGGAACCGTAGCAGCCACCGAGCACGTTGGTGCAGATCACAAAGAAGCGGTTCGTGTCGAGCGGCTTGTTGGGGCCCACAAAGTCCTCCCACCACCCCTTGGCGGGGTTCAACTCGGTGGACGCTGCATGCGACGATGCCGATAGCCCCGTATGCAGAAGGATGGCGTTGGACCGGTCGGCGTTGAGCGTGCCCCACGTTTCGTACGCCAGGTGGAACTCGGGCAGCTCGCCGCCGTAGTCGAGGCGGAACGGCTCGCGGTGGTGGTAGAGCTGGTATCCACTGACGACCTTTGTGTAGGAGGGTTCGGGCCCGGACTCGTCGACCTCGGCGGCGGCGGTTGTGGGTGCGTCCGGTGCGAGCTGGGGCGAGCCGAGCTGGCTGCGCAGCCGGGATTCGCGCGCCTCGTTGGCGTCGACGCAGGGAAAGGCGACCGAGGGGTCGCTCGACGACGGCGCGGTGCAGAGCGGCGACTTGCTCGCCGATGCTGCTGCTGCCGCTGCTGCCTGCTCGGCTCGACGCTGCAGCTTGTGGCCGCGCCGCTCGTTGGCATCGACGCAGGAGAACTCGGACCTGGCGTGCACCGAGCGCGACCACGACGGTGTGCCTGCTCGAGAAAGTGTGCGCACCGACGACGCGAGCAGCCGCAGAGATGGACGCGACATGGCCGATCCGATGGTGTCGCAAGCAAGATGGAGCTGTGGGATGTGGAGAGGAGGACCCTTTGCGTCGACTCAGCCTAACGCTCGGAAGTTGGGCCGTCGATGGCAGCCGTCGATGGCGTGATTGGGCGCGCGGATTTCGGCACATTTTCCCACTCTCCACCTTCTCATGCCCGGCACCTTTTTTTCGCCCCACCGGCTTTGCACCCGAGCCCAACCTTGGCCGTGCACGCCATTTCTTCCGAGTGCGACCCTCACCCTTGCTCGCACCAGCACGATCCCTCTGCTGCTACCACCATCCCTCCTTCTCGTTCATTGGTGCTTTTCAAGATGGTTCAGTGAGTCTTCCTTCCCCATCCTGGCTTTTCCGCTTGGAGCAAGGGCTGACGTTGGGTGTTGGCAGTGCTGATGCGGCAGCGTTGCCGTCGTACGTGCAGAGCAAGGCCGACTTTTACGACCACCTCGAGTCGTCCCTTCTCGGGCTTGTTGATGCGTCGACAGACTGGGTTTCGTCATTATCCAATGCGGCCTCTTTGATCTATGCTTCGATGAACCGGTTCCATGCGTGGGAGGCCAAGCGTGTCAACTGGGCCGGCTTCTACTTGCTCTCGCCGCTGATGCCGTCCGAGCTCGCAGCACGCCGCCCGCGCAAGCAACCCACACTTCTGCTGGGGCCGTTTAACGGCCTACCTGCGTGTCAGCTCATCCACTCGGTGCCGGGTCGTGGGGTGTGCGCAGATGCCTCCGCCCTCCTGCCTCCTCGCGTGGTCAGGGTAGATGATACAGAGGCCTATCCGGGGCATATCGCCTGCGACTCGCTCAGCAGGTCCGAAATCGTCGTGCCCCTCGTCATCCACCGATCCCGCCTCGCGACCCAACACCGCCAGGCGCTGGAAGAACAGTCACCAACTAGCGGCGAGACACAGATTCAAGACGACAAGTCCTGGGCCGGAAGAGGCACCGTCGACAGTGTCATCATCGGCGTGCTCGACATCGACTGCGAGTCGCTCAACGGCTTCGACGCAGAGGACGAAGTGAGGCTCAACAAGATCGCCCAGCTCCTTGTGGAGCGCTCCGCCTGGTAAACATCCAGCACGTTTCGGACACGCACACCATACCCTTATAGACCTGCTACGAATGCATTGGCCACAATCGCCGTCTTACGCAGGCTCGTTGTGAGCCTAGCCCTGTGTTCGAACCTATTCAGGCCGTGTGCCCGTGGTGCCCGTGGCGGTGGTGGTGGCGCCAAACGATCGCACCGTCCGCGCTCCTGACGTGGTCGACTGTTCGGATCCAAAACAAAGTCAGCACTTGCACTCGTCCAACCACGCTGGCCTTCTCTCGTACTTACGCCGCCGACGGTGCTTTGCTCGCCGGTGTCCTTGTCGTCCTCGACATTCACCCTGGATCCGCCCGAGCTTCCATCACCAGAACCCGACTCGCCCTCGAGATCCTCCCACGGATCCGTCTCTCCTCCAGCTCCCGCTCCAACCGCCGCCGCCGCCGTCGCTGCGGCTCGACTCGATGGCCTTGTGGGCCTGGAGGCGTTGGAAGAGGCATCTTCGCCCGTGAGACTGCCGCCCACGTCGGTCTCTTCCTCGGTCTCCTCGTCGAGCCGATCGAGCACCCTGCGCGAGAGCTGGATCTCGGACAGCTCCTCGGGCGAGATGGGCGACGTGGGATCCACAATGTCCATCAGCCCTTCGCCGACCATGACGGTGCCGGCACTCGTACCCACTCCACTCGAACCGCCCATGCGCCTCGCCTCGAGCACATCGCGCATGCGCGACTGGCGGATCGCCTCGGCCAGATCCGCCGCATCCTTGGCCTCGAGGCTCTCGAGCGAGCGCAGCCTCATCTCTTCTTGGACGTCGTCGTCAGCGGCCAGCCGTATATCCTCTTCGTCAAACTCCTCGGTCTTGATGCGCGGCACATCGTATTCGCGCTTGAAGCGTCGTCGCGTCTCGGTCTCGGTCTCGGTCTCGTCTTCGTCGGACCGCAGCTCGTCCCTGCGACCAAAGCGTCTCTCGAACGACGTCGACTCTTCACCAGACGGCGTGTCCATCTCGGCCTTGCCGCTCGTGTCGCCGTTGGCGTCGTCGTCATCACCGCCGCCGCGACGACGCGCGCCGCCGTATCGCGAGGGCTTGTCCTGCTGAAAGTGCTCTTCGGTGTCGAGCGAGACGTGCTCGACGGTCATGGAGCTGGTGTAGATGGCGGCGACGGCCCAGAGCGTGAGCGCCGTGGCCATCTCGAAGCTGAGGAAGAGCGTGGTGAAGGTGAAGAACGAGAGGAGCGGGAAGTGGTACATGAAGAAGCGCAGACCGGTGAGGTGGGCGTCGAAGCGCAGGCTTGCGCTGTACGTCTGCAGCTCTCCGCGGCTCGAGTGCGATCCGACGGCGAGCGGCACCACCTTGCCGTTGCCTGGCAGCGTGTGGATGCCGGCGAGCGTGTTGTGGTTGCCGCCGTACATCCAGAACCTGTCGGCGTCCGCCCTGCCGACGCTGAGCTGACCGTGGGTGACCTTGCGATCGGCGCGCGGATCGGGCGGGGTGGACGAGAGCGGTGGCGCGTACGACGACGGACGCAGCACGGCACGGCGAAGTAGCGGGATGCGGAGCAGCTGCGCGTTGGCGGGCGCGGACGACGCAGGACTACTGCGCGACACGAGCTGCGAAAGCGACGAGACGGCGCGAATGGGAGCGGCGGAATACGTGAGGAGCGTAGGCTTGGACACGTGAAACACGGAGCGATCCGCCTTGCTCTTGAGGTCGAGGTCGACCATGAAGTTGCCCAGATCGAGGTTGGCCTGGTTGAGCGGGACAGATAGCTCGAGGGTGACGTCGTAGGCCTGGTCCTGAGCGAAGAACTCGCCGGTGATGTCGGTGGAAGGCTTGGAGGAGGACGAGGAGACGACGGGCTCGCGCAGCTGGCTCGCGGAAGCGGAGGGAGCAAAGTCGAGATGAGCAAACGGAGGACGGTCGTGGCCATACTGGAGCCAGATTTCCTTGCGCAGTCCGACGTCAGGCACCCAGGCGCGGTAGAAGCCGATGTAGCTGACAATGGCAGCGCCAAGAGCGAACCAAAAGATGGTTGCGAGCACACCAAGGCGCACTACGATGCGATGGGTCTTGGGCGAGAGAATGATGTCGCGCGTTGCCCTAAGCAGCTGCGAGACGGGAGCCAGCAAAAGTCGGTCAACGAGGAGAGAAGGCCACTGCTGGACGGGAGGCAGCGAGGCGATCCAGTTGGCGAGATCGACGAGCGGCGGCAGCAGTGGCGGCTCGGGCACGGGCTGCGATGTCCACATGGGCGTGCTTGCCGAGTAGGTGCGTGGTGGATGCTGAGGAGCGCCTTGCTGTTGCTGTTGCTGTTGCTGCTGTTGTTGCTGTTGCTGGTACTGACGCCATTGCTGTTCTTGCTGCTGTTGCTGCTGGTGCGAAGAGATGCGTTGATAGCGGGTATTGAGGTCGGACGAGGTCCTGCGCCCCTGCGCTGGATTGGAGTACGACATGCTGGAAGAGGGAGCGACTCAGCCCGGTGGTGACTGGTGGAGAGGAAGCAAGGCGGCCTCCTTGCAGCACCGACTGGTTTGGCTTGGCTCGGGCTCAGCCTCAGCAGCACCGAACCAACTTCAGGAACTGCGCACGGCCGAGCGTGAAACCGACGCGTCGAAAAGCAGCTGCTTCGAAGCCGACTTCTCCACATTTCACGGTTATCGCCAAGATTCCAAATGTTGGACAAAATGTTGGACATCGTCGGCCTCACATCTGGAAATTCGGACCTTCGCAGGTGTTGGTCTCTGAGCCACTCCGCCCGTTCAAAGCACAGGGTCCCGGCGCTGTCACCCCCTGTCAGCGGTGTTTCGTCCTGGCTTGCCGTCGTCGAGTGACGTGCAACGATGCTCGCATATGCTGCTCCATCGTACGCCGCCTTCCACTATGCCTTCCTCAGCGCTCTGGCAGCGCCCTACCCGGCCAATGACCCTGCATCGTACGTCAATACGCTCATCGGCACGCTAGGCGGCGGCCACGTCTTCGCTGGCCCCTCGACGCCGTTTGGCAGCATCAAGCCCGGCCTGGATTCGGACATCGGCGACAACCAGGCCGGGTTCGTCTCGGACGCGGGCGCGGCGATCTTTGGCATCAGCGCGCTGCACGATGATGGCACGGGCGGCAGACCGTCGTTGGGCATGTCGTCGCTCCTGCCGCAGTACTGCCAGCTCGACACGCACGAGGAGGACTCTGGATGCAAGTGGACACGCAATGCGCGTAGGACGCACCTTGCCGGGCGGAAGAGCTTCAGCAGTGCGCCAGGGGAGTTTCATGCTTCGCTCGAATCGCTGATTGGCGTCAGCTTGGCGGCGGCGGATCATGCGGCAGTCTATCACTTTGACTATACCAAGACGCTCGAGCGTGGTTCCTGGCCGGTGGACAAGCGGGGGACAGCGAAAGAGAGGCAGAGGCGCGCGAATAATATGGAGCCCGTGCTGGTGTTCGACTACACGACCGATCTTTCGAATAGTGGCGGGGGCACGCCCAACTCGCTGCGCATCGAGACGGTTGATCTACCGTCCACGCCGGGCGGGAAGGCGCAAGTGATCACGCGCATTCGTTCGAGCGCAACGTTTTCGCCCTCGTTTGGCGTGGGCAACTTCCAGGTGTATACGTGCCTCGATGTGCCGCTGGTGCGATCGTCGGGCGTGTACCAATCGACTGTCTCCACGCCAGGTGCCACCGAGCTTACCGACATCTACGACGAGGCGGGTGTGATTCTTACGCTCGACCGCGACGCCCTCGCTGCTGCGCCGTACCGAGGAGTGTTGCCCGTCCGTATGGGTATCAGCTGGGTCTCTACCGATTCCGCCTGCGCCTTTGCGGTCGATGAGATCCCAGCCTTCCCTTCGACGCGCTCGCTCACCGCCGTGGCCGCACAGACGCGCACCAAGTGGAACCGGCTGCTGAGCCAAACGCTCTCCGTCTCGCACGAGGGCGTGAGCGACGACGACCTCACGCTCTTCTACTCGTCGCTCTACCGCTCCTTCCTCTCGCCCAACAACGTCACCGGCGACAATCCCCGCTTCAGCACGTCCAAGCCGTCGTTCGACTCGCTCTACTGCATCTGGGATAGTGCACGCACGATTCATCCTCTCTGGACACTGCTTGCACCCAAGGCACAGGCCGACGTGCTCCAGGCGATCGTCGAGATTCAGAGGAACGAAGGGTGGCTGCCCGACTGCAGGATGTCGACGAGCAAAGGGTATACACAGGGTGGGAGCAATGCAGAGATGATGCTCAGCGACTCGTATGTCAAAGGTATCCTTGGCGACGATGTGCAGTTTTGGAACGACGCGCTGCAGGCCATGCTCAAGGATGCACAGGTCGAGCCGGCGTCGTGGGGGCTCGTGGGCAGGGGAGGTATTGCAGCACGTGCCAAGCTCGGCTATGTACCCCGCGGCGAGTGGGGATCTCCAAGTGCTGCAGGTGCAACTCCGGGTCGAACGGCTTCAAGAACAATCGAGTATGCGTACAACGACTTTAGCATCGCGCTCGTCTCTGCCGGGTTGAGACGCAGGGATCTGTACGACACGTATACGCGGCTGTCGAACGATACGTTCAACCTGTGGAATACGAGCATCGTGTCGGATGGGTTTTCGGGCTTCCTGCAGGCGCGCGAGGAGGACGGTTCTTGGGCGTACCAGGATCCACGACGCTGTTCGCCGGCACTCGAACCGATGGCTTGCTTCTTGGACCGTGGCGAGGGGCACGATTTCTACGAGGCGAGTAGTTGGCAGTACTCGCTGTTTGCACCGCACGACATGGCCACCGTCGTATCGCTCATGGGGGGACACCGACGGTACATTGAGCGATTCGACCACATGTGGGCCTCCGGCTATGCGGATATCGCAGACGAACCCGGATTCCTCGCCGCCTACTCGGCCAACTTTGCGCGCGGCGGATACAGCCATACTGTCGACACAGTTATACGGCTACTGCGCGCGCAGTTCAATACAACCACCGCAGGGTTACCCGGCAACGACGATGTGGGCGCCATGGGGAGTTTGGTCGTATGGACCTATCTCGGCTTTTTTCCGGTCGCCGGAACGGGCGTGTATTTGCTAGGAACACCGCTGCTGAGTGCGTATGCGGTGACCAGCGATATCACGGGCAAGACGTTCAGGCTGGAAACCAAGGGCTTTGACGCAGCAAAGCGAAACAAATACATCGTCAGCGCCAGGTTGGATGGTAAGCCGTATACCAAAAACTGGCTGTGCCACACAGTGTTTGCCCAGGGCGCCACACTCGAGCTCACACTGGGCGATACTCCAAGCGCCACATTTGCGACCGCCGACCACGATCTGCCTCCCAGCCTGTCCACCGGTGGCTACGCATACGACTCGAACCCTCTTGGCTGCTAAACCTCCCCCATCCCAAGAGAAGTCTGTCTGCGACGGAGAAAAGTGGGTCATGTGGTGGAACATTGCACAGCAAGCGGTGGGTGTGTGTGTGTGATTAGGACGATTCGGAGCCCGAGGAGGCGGCGTCGGTCTTGTCGTTCTTGGTGTCGTTTATGAGGCCGAGGTCCATGATGGAGGAGGTGGCGCGCACCTCGCCCTTTTCGCGTGCGGCGTGTGCATCTTTGGTCTGGCGCGCGATCCAGGTGTCTTTGATCTCCTTTGCGCGCGCGATCTCCTTGGTGTGATGCAGACACTCGAGGTAGTCCTCCTTGGCGCCGATGCAGTCCGACGGCGTATCCGCCTGCACGTAGCACTTTTGGAACTCCTGCCAGAACGCAAAGCAGCGCGGCCTACCGCCCTTGAAGCTGAATCCAGACTATCGCCCAAAGTCGACAGAGTGCATCGATTCCACGGTGAAGCAGAGCAGAGGATTGGGCTCGAGTGGGTCAGCAATCGAAGCGCAAACGGACGTGCTAGTTGGGTACTTACGGCCATTCTGTGTGTACGAGGTGTCGAGTGGGTGCACGACGGGTGGGGGTAAGGTGGTGTAGAGGACCGTCAGGCGGTGTGTTGCGGTGGTGTCGACGGTGGTGGTGACCAGCGGTGGAGTGGAAGCAGGTGAGGCAAGGAGGGCAGCGACGTGTTGCAGGTCCGCTACCTTGAATTCGCAGCGGCGCGCTTCGGATCCGTCGCTGCGATCACAATTTTGCACTGTTACACCCTAAAGTCTCACAGTTGAAATCGGTCGCGAATTCTTCGCACGGGCCTCTCCACCCAACCACCCCCTTCTCACGCCAATTGCACGCCAACCACACACATGAACCCCGTCGATGGCAACACCATCTGTCATTTTCACAGCTTGTGGAGCGGTATGGACCGCAACTAGGGCTGCATGAACGGTGCCATGTAGTACTTTTCGTAGCCGTGTTGCTTGCCCGCCTCGTCGATCTGCTTCAGCTCGTCCTCGTCGAGGTGCAGCTGGGCGTCGTTGTTCGAGTCGAGCTGGTCGAGCAGCTCGTTGGCGCGCGACTCCTTGCTGGTCGTAGTCGTAATGATTCCCTCCGAACGCTGGAGCGCCCAGCGGAGCAGCACGGCTGCGGTGGTGCGCTTGTCGTTCTTTCCCGCGATGGCGGTGAGCGCCTTGTTCAGCGGACCATCCTCGGGGAGCGTCGACTTGTAGAACGGTGCGAGCGCGGCGTAGGTCATCGTCACAATGCCGTGCTTCTTCTGGAGCGCCATCAGCTTTGTGTACTCTGCGTTTGCGTAGAGGTAGGGGTGGAACTCGATCTGGTTGATGTCCGGGGTGCTGAGGCCGGCGTCGAGCAGCTGCTGGATGTCCGAGGCGAGCCAGTTGCTCACGCCGATGCTCTTGGTCAGCCCGGCAGCCTTGATCTTCTCGAGCTGCCTCCAGGCATCCACGTTGGAAGGCAAGCCGTCCTTGCCGCGCGGCGGGAAGTGGAGCAGGTACGAGTCGAGATAGTCGACTTGGAGCTTGCGCATCTCCTCCTTGACTGCCGACTGCAGATCCGCCATGCCGTCCTTGCCCACTTTCGTGAGCACGTAGATGTCCTCGCGCTTTAGCCCGGACGACTTGAGGAAGGTCTGGATGCCTTCGCCGGCGGATTCCTCGTTGGCGTACACCTCGGCACCGTCGACGAAGCGGAAGCCGGCATTGAGCGCCATGGTCACCTGCTTGGCAGCGGCGGACTGGTACAGCGCTGTGCCCGTACCAAAGGCGAGGCGCGGCAGCTCAACGCCCGAAGGAAGACGCACAGTAGGGATAGGCATGGTCAGAAATCGCTAGATATAGAGCAGGAGGGTGTGACAGAGTGGTGGATGGTGGACAAGCGACGTAGCACTGGTCACGGCGGGGTCTTTATTGCATGGTGGGGAGCACCGTCTCCCGGCGGGACGAGCGTCGATGTTGGCCGGCTTGCCGCTGTGAGCTGCGACATCGATGCCGACACAGGAGCAGTGTGGCGTCATGCCTCATCGCGGAGATACGCCGTGTGGCCGCGGTTGGGCCAACGGCAACCTTCGATACCCGGCAATGCAATGTCCACTCTCCTCCCGATTTCGCACGGATCGGTCGTGGCACTGGTACTGTCAGCGTGACTCAGCCTCTCCACCCAGCGTTTTCGGCGTGCGAAGCCTTGCAGACCAACACCTCTTCGGCTGCTGAGCACGACCAGACCCTGGTCTTGACGCCGGTCGATGATGTGTATCCTCCACCATCACCGTCGACAACCTCCGCCGTTCGCTTCACCAACATGTCGGGGCAGACGCTCAACGATCTGATTGCGACGGTCTTCTTGCGCGCGTCGGACCCGCCTCCGCCTCCCCCGCCTCAGCAGTTTGACACGCGCGCACCCGAGACTGCCTCCTCCTCGTCGTCATCCGCTGCGCAGAGGGATCCTGCCGAGCAGACGCTGTCGCTGCTTTCGCGCGCGCAGCAGCTCTCCGACTCTATCGGCGTTGTATCGTCGAACGACGCGCTGCGCGATATCTCCACCTCGTCGCTGCGCACGCTCTTCCTGCCCTCGCTCGAGGCGGAGCTGCACCAGGCCGTCCGCACAGGTATCGACCACGCTTCGCGCAAACGTCGTCTTGCACAGAGCCAAACCGCTGCGGCAAGATTTCTCAACAGGACGGTGAGGCTTGGGGTGGTACCGCCCAGCACCAAGCAGTTGCTCGGTTGGACGTTGGGCGGTGTACCCCCCTCAGAGTTGGTGGGCATGGGGATTGATACGGGTGCGTGGGGGGGTGGGAGTGCGCCGCATGTTAGGGAAGCCAAGATCGCGGTGTTTAAGCTCGAACGTGCGCTCAAGCAGAATCTCGAAGAGTTCCGACAGGCGTACCGCTCCAAAACGGCGGGAGATAGGGTTCCGGCGGATGTGGTGTATGATCTGGTCTTTCCGATGGTGCGCGCGGAGGATGACGATGAAGACGACGATGCGGATAACGAGACGAGCGCTACGACGGCGCCGGGAGGCATTGGGTCCGTTCGACAGTATCTGCTTGCACTGCTCAATCTGCACGTGCTGCGTGCTGCCCAACTCGTCACGTCAGCAAGCCAGGAGCTCGAGCTGCTTCGAAACATGCCTCCCCCACCTCCCGTCGATACACCATCCGTGCCGACAGACGCCGAGTGGAGACTCGACAGGTCAAGAACAGGACTGGCTACAAGTGGTCCACTCATGGCTCCGTCCGGAAAGGTGTTGCGTCCGTTTACGATCACAAAGTCCCGAGAACAGGCGGCGAAGGAGGTGTTTCGTCCGGGTCACAGGTTGCCCACCATGTCCATCGACGAGTATCTCGAGGAGGAAGAACGCCGTGGCAACATTATCCAGGGTGGTGGTCAGGCTTCGTACGACGCTCCAACTTCGACGGAAGAGCGTGCCAGACGCATGGAAAACGATGGCACCAAGGATGCAGACGACGCAGAGGAGGAACAGCGCCAAAAGGATATCCACTGGGACACCTTCACAGAGCACAACAAACGCGGCGCTGGAAACACCATGAATCGAGGCTAAAACTGCCCGCTTCCCTAGCCTGGTCTCGAGATCATCCATGTGAAGATTACTGCAAATGCATTACTTGCTTTCAGACATCCTTGTGGGTGCGCGTTTGTAGGAGTGCACGAAGTTCATGTGCCGAGGCCACTTCGCCGCGATTGTGAAAGACGGCGGCAAACGCTTCGAGCACGGGTGCGCTGCGCGCGTCGTCGTTGCCGAGGCTCGCCGAGGTGGTGCGCAGCATCTTCCACAGCGTGTCGGTGGAGATCCAGTCCGAGTGCGAGTCGAGCAGCTGCACAAACAGCCTCAGACTCTCGCTCGACGGATGCAGCGCCGGGAAGCGTCGATGCAGCCGCGAAAAGTGCCGCAGGAAGCGCTCCAGCATGCCCGCGCGCGACGGGACCGACCTTCCGGTCGCCGACACGACGCGGACGTGCTGTGCGGCTTGCAGCAGCGTGTGAACGATGCGCTCCTGCATCGCCTCGTCCGGCTGCGTAGCCAGCAGTGTCGAAGCGTGGCGGTAGGCCTGCAGCAGTTCACCGCGCTTGATGTGGCAGCGCACCACAGCCAGACGCGCCGCCTCGCTCAGGTCGAGCAAGCCTCCCAGCCCCGAAGCGTGCATGAAGTGCAGGTCCGACTTGATCAGCTCGAGCCGCCGTGTGCGCGCGTGGCAGATGATGCGCGACGACATCGTGCGCAGCGTTGGCCCGCCCAAGTGGCGCAATGTGTTGATGTCGCGCCACAATTCGGCGTCCACCATCGAACACACGTGGATCGACGGGTCTGGCTCGTCGTCAGCTTGTGTGCGGCCGATCGACACCGTGTCTGCCGCTGCATCGCTGTTCGTGAGAATGGGCGCGTTGCCGTACACCGTCATGAGCGCATCGTACATGTCCGCTGTGCGTTGCTCTGGGTCGAGCGTGCGAAGCACCTCGTACGCTGCGTTCGCACCCTTGGCGTTCTGTGCGCACAGCATCCACATGCACTCCTCCACCATCATGGTCGACAGCACCCGCGGCACAGGAGTGGCCTCGATGCGCAAGCGTGAGAAGCCACCTGCAGCCCTAAGCTCGTCGCCTTGACATTTGCCTGCACGCTTCGTAGCCAGGTCGATCTGCTCGCGGCGCTGGGCGGCACGCACCAAGCGCACCACGCGATCATGCGCATGCGTCACGCAGAGCAGCTTGAACACGCGATTGAGCGTCTTGCGTTTGAATGCCACGCCATCGACCATGAGGTTCATCATGGCGTCGGTCACCGCACACACCGCCGGCCGTGTGACGATGACCAAAGATGGATGTGCAGCCGGCTGGGCAGCGTCGTGGTCGTCGGCAGCGGGGTTGGCTCGATCTCGGTCGACAAGAGACGACGAAATGCGAAAGTTGAGGACGAGCTGTTCCACCAAGTGACGCGACTGGGAAGGTCTGAGACGAGTGTCGCCGGCGACGACGGCTGCCTGGTGGGTCATACGGGCTGCTGTGAGGTAGTCGCAGCATCGGAAGACGGCGTCTTCCTGCATGCGACGCAGCACACCCCGCATTGGACCTGAGGGAACGGCAGGATTGGCTTGCGGCATGGGACACCACGTGAAGTAGAGGTCCCAGATGCGGCGAGGATCTAGGCCTTGGTGGATGCAGAATGTCATGATGTGGCAGCACACCTGCTCGCGGTCCTGCGCGCCCAGATCGCCCAGCTCGGCGGCAAGCGCGGGCATGGAGAACTCGCCCGAATGCGTGAGAACTCGCAGCCGAGCTTCAAACGCATCTCGTTTGGATGTTGGTAAGCTGTCGATGTAGGATGGCGGTATCAATGTGTTGGGCCTCGATGCAGTATTGTTGTCGGGAAGTTGTAATGTGGCAGCATGATCTGCTGGGACTTGCTGCGTGGCTGGTGTGAAGAAGTTGTTGTCGGCAAGCGTCTGGAGGTCGTTGCGCGCGTTGGAAGCGAGCAATTGGGGAGGTATTGGTGGCGCGGAGCTTGGTGGTTTCCCTCTATGCGAATGCCGTGTTGTATGTGCATGTGTGTCGTATGAACGGTTTGCTGCTCTAGCAGACTCGGCAGATTGCCAGTAGTCGGTAGTGGTGGCCGAAAGCTGTTCATGTCGGTAGTCGTCGAGCGCTGCCTCGAAATGAAGCTCTTCAAGCGGCACTTCGGACGCCTTGTTGCGCCCATGCGAAGAGCAGAAGCACCGCGAAGGTCCGGCGACACCTAGGTCCACAGATTGGTGTGGGGCGTGTGACTGAACAGGAGCGGCTCTGGCAGCCTTCACAGCACCACCGCCGTTCGCTGTCGCCGATTTGGACTGGGTGCAGACGCTTCTCGAGAGCTGGCTCGAGGAGACCGACCTCGCCTGAAGGCGCAGCGTCTGGAAGGCGGAGCTAAGGGACATGCCCGGTCATTTCTTGCTTCCATGCACCGAGACCGCCGCCGAGTGTACTCTGTTCGGGTTTTGCTGCCAGTGCGAGTAGTGATGCGCACTGAAGTGTCGGAGCCAGCTTCTCCTCTGCAGCAATGTAGGTGTGCTGGAGTGTAGTTGTGAGTGGTCAGAGTTGAAGGACCATTACCGCGCGCGAATGTCGGGGGGTGTTGCGGTCAGAATGCGATGATGCGGTCTTAGATCTACGCCCTGGTTTGGCTTAGCCGCGAGTACGCTGTGACAGCTCGACGGGATGAGGGGCTGCGAAGGTGGCAGAGGTGTCGATACAAGAATGTAGCTCGACGTCAAACGTGACTGCAGCCGGCTTTCTGCCACTTTGCAGAGCTCACGCGCCGTTCCAAAAAGGCACACCTCGACCCCACTTCTCGGAAGTCGGGATTTCCACCCACCACCCGCACGAGACAAGATGGAATTTCTGAGATGGCGGATCCGAAAATTTTGCATTTGGCGCGGCCTGGACTTGCCGCAGCAGTTGCGACTCTGCGAAGGTGCGAATTTACCACACTGAGGCGCTCGCGACCTGCACCTCTGGCCTTCTCCACCATCACTCTATCGATCGTCGTTCGACCTTTAAACTTCCTTTCAATCCACTCTCTGAGGTGATAGGTAGGCCGAACTCTTCAACGCCCTACTCGCAACAACTCTTTTCTCTTTCACCACCAACACCAACCAAAACTTTCAGCCAAAATGGGTGGAATGCCTCGTGCTACCAAGGAGGCTTGGTTCGAGAAGCTCACCGAGCTGCTCGAGAAGTACCCCTCGATCTTCATCGTCAACATCGACAATGTCAGCTCGCAGCAGATGCACCAGATCCGTCAGTCGCTCCGCGGCAAGGGTGTTGTGCTGATGGGCAAGAACACCATGGCGCGTCGTGCTCTGCGCATGCTCGTTGGTGACAACCCGGACTACGAGCGTCTGCTGCCCCACCTCAAGGGCAACATCGGTTTCGTCTTCACCTCGGGTGACCTCAAGGACGTCCGTGACCTCATCCTGTCCAACCGTGTTGCTGCTCCTGCCCGTGCTGGTGCCTACGCTCCCGAGGACATCTTCGTCAAGGCCGGCAACACCGGTATGGAGCCCGGTAAGACCTCGTTCTTCCAGGCCCTCGGTGTCCCCACCAAGATCGCCCGTGGTACCATCGAGATCGTCTCGGACGTCAAGGTCGTCGATGCCGGCAACCGTGTCGGTACCTCGGAGGCTACGCTGCTCAACATGCTCAACATCTCGCCCTTCACGTACGGTATGACGGTCGTGCAGATCTACGACCAGGGCCAGTGCTTCGAGTCGAGCGTGCTCGACGTTTCCGAGGACGAGCTGGTGGACCGCTTCGTGCTGGGTATCAAGCAGATCGCCTGCATCTCGCTTGCGCTCAACTACCCCACCATCGCCTCGGTCATGCACTCGCTCGTCAACGGCTACAAGAACCTCATCGCCGTCTCGCTCGCCACCGACTTCGAGTTCGAGGGCTCCAAGAAGGCCAAGGAGTACCTTGCCAACCCCGAGGCTTTCGCCGCCGCCGCCCCCGTCGCTGCCGCTGCCGACTCGAGCGCCGCCGCCCCCGCCGCCAAGGAGGAGGAGGAGGAGAAGGAGGAGTCCGACGACGACATGGGCTTCGGTCTCTTCGACTAAGCGTGCAACATTGCGTTGTCTCCACCCCCGTCTCTCACCCCCAAAAGTCGAGTTGCTGGCATCAATGTGATCTTGCATCGGCCGCCACTCTTCCCTCTTTTCTGCCCCTTTGGCGTCTCACTTGCCTCTGCGAAATGAGAATGTCTTTGCGACAGAAAACTTGATGTGCGTGCATACGAACGGTTGAACCTTTTGAACGACGAGATTGTGAGACTGTGAGAATTGGTAGGATGAGGGTTTTGAAGAGGAGGACTTGTAGAAGTCCATGCGTCTCTAGGTGATTCGGAAGGCGGCGGATTCGCGGTCGAAGCATTCGCGGCACCTGACCTCTCCGTGCGCATTGACCTTTGCGCCGCTATCGAGTTTCTTTCCGCAAGTCTTGGGCTGGCTGCGATAAGACCACACGTCCTTAGCTGGGGGAGGGGTACCTCTGCAGACGAGGCACGCTTTATGCCACTGCGTCCCCCGTGGGCCAAGTACCGATTCGAGCGAGGACAGTTTGTCCCCACAAAACGCACAGCACTGCATCCCTCCGAACTTGCGGTCCGTGCTAAGGGTGAGAGGGTTGCCGGAGGCAGAGGAGAGAGCTGACATGCGCGAGAATATCCCAGCCGCCGGATTTGCGCCTCGAGGCGTGGTGAGGATGGTGGATCGTGTCGGTGGTGCTGCTCCTGCGGTGGGTTGGAATCGTCGACCTTCACCACTACCACTACCGGGGTTGTTGGGTGCGGGAAGAACGGTTGGACGAGGGATGGGTTTATCGCGAAGAGAGGTGGCAGGTGAAGGAACTGGGCTGGGTTTCAGTTCACGCTGGTGAGTTGCATGGCTTCGACCCGCGTTCGGATCCAAACTTGCCCGATAGCTCCTCTGCCCCCCCTCGCCCTCGGTCTCTGCACCGCGTTGGACGATGCGCAGCTGGACGGTAGGCGAGCAGTGTGGATGCGCATACGCCTTCAGTCCGGGCGCATGTGGTGCATACCCTTCGTCGACACGCACGAAGGTCTTGCTCCCATCAATTGTGTCGGAACATACCGCACAGCGGAAGCAGTCGGCATGCAGGTGCACCTCTTCCGGCAGGGTAACCATAACAACCTCGTCCGTGGCGTGGTGCAAGGGCAGTTGCCCACACGCTGCACAGCGCACACTGCCCTCGGCCGGCTCGAGCGCATCCGCACGCGAGTGTTTCTCGCCCTCCAGCGGCTCGGTAAGCTCGACATTGCGGAGAGAGTTGAGTGGACGCGGAAAGCCCGTACCGACGGATGCTACGGGGGCGGCAGGACTACCAGGCACCTTGCAGCCGGTCTTTTCTGCGTCTGCACCCACCGCGGGCGAGGTGGGCGACGTCGTGCGCCAGTCAGGTCGCTTGACGGGGCTTACGCTGCGGCTGCGCGAGTCGCGTCGATGGACGCGCTCCGCATCCACGCCGAACGACGGCTGGAACGCAGCGAGGTTGAGGCCGTCGCGGAACTGCGCCGTAAGCGGACGTGGCTTGGGCGGGCTACCGCTCAAGCTCCCCGATCTTGACATGCCCACTGTATTCGCGGCGCCAAAAACACCCTGCGCAGCGGCGGGAGACACGGGTGCATCGAGCGAGCTCTTGGACGACGACGACGACTGGAGCAACGAAGTGTTGGATCCCGAACGACTCGCCGCCATGCGCGGGGAAGCTACCGTCTGCTGGCCGAGCTTTTTCGTCAGCTCGGCGATGGTCGCCCCCATGGCGCCGTTCCTATTGGCGGTGCGGCTGAGCCTACGCACATCCGGCAGAGCCTCAGTACGCTGTGGAGCAGGTTCGGCGAAGGGCGCACGTCGTGGACGATCAAAGCATCCTTCGCACGTCGGTTTACCGTCCATGCCAACAAGCACCTCGACACCGTCCTGGGTGCGCTTATCGCACGTCGAGCACTTCCAGCATCTTCCGTGCCAGATACCGGTGGTGGACTTGACGTACTTGCCGTCTTCTTTGGTGGATCCGAGCACGTCGCGGTCACACGCTGCACAGGCGCCGAGGCTGTACCGCCGCGCGTAGCAGTCTCGACAATAGTATGCGGCGTCGGGAGAGGGGAGCGAGGCGGGTGCGGCGTAGAGCGTCGAGTCGCGTGCGAAGACGGCTGCGCAGTCGGCGCACGCCCACCGATTGCGCGACTCGCTCGGCTCGACGAGCGAGCCGCACACCTTGGACAGCACACCGTCGGAGCCCTTGAGGACGGGCGCGGTGTAGTCCTGACTTTCCCGCCTCGGCGCATCGTCGGTGAGTGCGGGGCTTAGCCTGGTAGAGTCGTGCGCAGCGCTGCGCGTATCGGGCTTGGGGCCAGAAGTGCGCAGGTCACGAGAGATGCGCGAGGGCATACCGAATCCCAAGGCTGGGTCGAAACTCGCGCGCTTGGGCGAGAGCGGTGGCTGATCATGCGTGTATTCGTCGAGATCGTCGGCTGCAGCGAGACCGGACCTGGCGTTGACGTATCGACTTGCCCAATGGTCGACCTTTTTCGCTGCGGGGAGTGCCTGGATCGAGGAAATGCGAGGTTCCTTGCTGGTGCCGCCACACCTGCTGCAGCGCACCTTGCCCGAGATCGGGTCGCCGCAGCGCTGACAGAAGCCCAGACGCTGGGAGGAAGCATCACGTCCCGCAGCGACAACCGCGGCGCTCGACATTGTGCATGGACGGAAGTGGTGGAGCTGTGGCTCTTTCAGGTGGGCGCGCGCGGTTGCCCTTTATAAGGAGGGGCCACGTAGACGATAGCTCAACCACTGTAGGCGTGCGTTGGTCGTAGGATGGGGAGATGAAGCAGCGGCAAGTGGTGGTGGCTGGGACTGAGGAGGAGCGCAAGGGCCAAAGGCAGTGCGCACCGAGGCTGGCCAGCAAAGCCAGGTGCGAAGCCCCTTTTTTGGCTGAAACGCGCACGCCCCGCCCAAAAAAAGGTGCGTTCAGCCTCCACAACAACACCTCGGCCGCCCCACCAACGCGTCTCGCTCAGCCCCGCCCACTCGACAGCCCCACGTGCTGCTGCTCCTGGCTCCCAGCTCGAGAGAGATCTTCTCAAAAAAAACCATACGCCTCACTCACACACCTCTGGCAGAAACGACAGTGTGCTCTGTTGATTTATTTACATGTCTGCATTCGAGGCAAAACCGCCCAAGCTAGGGTGTGAGACAGTCTACTGCTCGCCGTAGCCCTGCGGGTTGTTGCTCTGCCATCGCCAGAGGTCCTGCGCCATGTCGTCGAGCGAGCGCGTCGCCTTGAAGCCGAGCTCCTTTTCGGCGAGGCTGGGGTCGGCGGTGAGGTCGGGCACGTCGCCCGTGCGGCGGTCGACGATGGTGTGAGGGAATTCGTAGCCCGAGACCTTCCTCATGGCGTCGACCATGTTGAGCACCGACATGCCGACGCCCTTGCCCAGGTTGAAGGCGCGGTACTTGCCGTGCGTCTCGGTCTTGTCGGCGGCAAAGATGTCGTCGCGCTCGAGCGCCTCGACGGCGTTGACGTGACCGCCGGCGAGGTCCTCGATGTGGATGTAGTCGCGCACGCACGTGCCGTCCGGGGTGGGGTAGTCGTTGCCAAACACCTTGAGGCCACCCTCGCGGTACTTGCCCACGGCCATCTGGGCGAGCAGAGGCAGAAGGTTGCCCGGCTTGCCGCGCGGGTCCTCGCCGATCTTGCCCGACTTGTGCGCGCCGGCGGGGTTGAAGTAGCGCAGGCCGATGGCGCGGAACTCGGGGTAGGCGTCGCACACGTCGCGGATGATGATCTCGCTCATCCACTTTGTGCGGCCGTAGACCGACTCGGGAGCGAGGCGCGTCGACTCGGGGATGGGCACCTTGGGGGGCGTACCGTACACGGTGGCCGAGGAGCTGTACACGAGACGGTTGCAGCCGTTGTCGTGCATGACCTTGAGCAGGTTGACGAGGCCGCCGACGTTGACGTCGTAGTAGTCGATGGGGATCTCGGAGCTCTCGCCGACGGCCTTGAGCGCGGCGCAGAGGATGACGCCCCAGATCTTGTCGTCGCCCTTGTAGGCGTCAAACACCTTGCGGATGTCGTCCTTGCTGCGGAGGTCGCCCTTGAAGACGTCCACCTTGCAGTCGTCCTTGTCCTGCTGCGAGGCACCCGCGGGGAGCTCGTCGATGGCGATCTGTTCGAGACGCTTGCAGGCGGCGGGGAATGCATTGTGGTAGTTGTCCAGCACTGTCGAGCAAAGAGGGAGGAGGATGGTGAGCATGTAGCCATGATCAAACGCAAATACGACGACGAGCCACCAACTTACCAGTCACGCGGTACTTGCGGGTGAGCAGGGTGACGAGGGCGACGTGCGAGCCGATGTAGCCGGCACCACCGGGGATGAGGATCCTGGGCTTCGAGGAAGGCATGTTGGAGTGTGTTTGCGATGCGAGTGTTGATCGGTGGTGGATGTGGTGATGGTCGGGAGGGAAGCGAAACGAAGCGAAGCTTTGGGGAGGATGCTGTTCCGAAGTGCGATCAATGGCTCGAGGCGCGGGCGCAGACGCTTCTTCGGCGACGGGAAGAATGAATGACTAAAATGACACGGCACCAGCCGGGCGACAGCAGGCGACAGCAGGCGACAGCACAGACGCGGTCGCCACAAGGCCGATGCGCCCAATGCACCTCCTCTCCCGCAACGCATCCAATTCCGAAGAAGTGCGCGTTTTGGCTTTTTCTTTTTCGACACGCGCCTGCTGCTCCAACACTCTCTCTGCGCAAAGGGTCGGCGGTGAGCGTCGGAAAGCCGTGGCTCAGCTGCTCAGTGGTTCTCAGCTGCTGCTCCGCTCGGCGGCTCGGCGTAAGGCACAGCCCATGCGGCCCGTCGATCCTTTCGGTCCGCTCTTTTGAATCGGGGATGCCCATTTCCATCGGGTGCGCACTCTACATCCTCATCCATAGCCACGGAAACACACACACACTCTCTCTCTCTCTCATCCTCTTTGTGTGTTAATGGGTGCAGGGTTGAATCGCGTACGTTGTCTAGTGCGCTCAAAAGACTGCCCAACTCAAAAGACTGACTGGAAGTAGTGTATCGATTGGACTCGCGTTTGGTCGGCATCGAGCGTGCTCTGCCGCTGCTTTGACGTGCGAAGAGCGACGAGCGCCGACCCGACAGTACAGAAGTGTTTGCTAGCAACACAGATGACGGCGCTGCGCATTGCGGGCTCAGCATGACCGGACAATGTGTGGGGCCGGCCAAGTCCGTGAGAAACCTACGAAATCCGACCTGCGTCTCCACCGCAGCCGAGGCCAATTCAGATTGCCGGTGCCCCCCGCCATTGTTTCCCGTGCGCTCTCATCATCTCTGCTTCCACCCATCGCTCTCATCGGGGCTGTGCAGACTAGTCCCGATCAGGGCTTATGCACAGTATGACAGCAGCGCTCGGGCGACATACACGGCTGGCGTGCTCGTTCTACCGCGGTGGCACGTCCAAAGGCCTGCTGTGGTCCACCTCAATCCTCGCACCTTTTGCGCCTTTGGTGCGCGACCGTATCATCTGCCATGCCATGGGCTCGCCCGATCCCGACAAACGTCAGATCGACGGCCTAGGTGGGGGGATCAGCTCGCTTTCCAAGACTGCCGTTGTGGGCGCACCGGATTCAAAGCTTTCCAAGCGGCTCCAATCGAGGGGGGAAGCGTTTGCGGGTGTGGATTTCGCCGACGACGAACAACTTGCTTCTCGCCGCGAGGGAGGGTGGGATCTGGTGTATCGTTTTGGCCAAGTACCCGTTGAAAAGGCGACCGAGGTGGATTGGACAAGCACGTGCGGCAATCTCGTTTCGGCCGTGGCACTCTTCGGCCTGCACGAAGGACACGTGAAGCAGGCTAGGATCGCAGAGGCTTTCCAAGAGGTGGTGGGCAGGCAGCCGAGGTTGGGCGATGGATTCGCTTTTCCAGCACGGCTGTTGGTGGCTTGTTCGGGGCAGATCGTGCGTGCCAATGTGCCAGTCACTCTGCATGCTGTCGGGGGAGAGACGATGTGGTGGCCAGACTTGGAAGGCGATGTAAGCATATCGGGCGTTCCAGGAACCGCACCGGGCATCCTCATCGAGACTCCTCTTGGTGAGGATTTGCTACCGACGGGAAACCAGTCCGATACGGTTTCAGTTGACGGGGCCGAGTACCGCGTGTCGGTGATCAACGCCGGCCTGCCCACGATCTTTATTGCGTCCGACTCGCTTGGCTCCGTACTGGACCCGGAACAACTTGCTGTGCTATCACCAGCGCAACTGGATGCCAATGTAGCCCTGATGGCGCTTTTGGATAGGCTGCGCGTGGCAGCAGCACAGCTAACACCGTGGTTGAGCAAGACACTCAGTCCGTCGGCACCCAAGATCTGCATCGTCCATCCCACCCCCCCACAGGGCTACTCCACGACCGGGGGTGAAAAGGTCGCAAAGGAGCATATGGATCTGCTTATCCGCGCAGTCAGCGTGGGCAATCTGCATCGAACCGTCCCGGCAACCTGTCTGTCGGCACTCGCTGCCGCAAGAGCGTTCCCGGAGTCGACCATCGAACAATCCATCCACGCCAAGACAACGGAAGGGCAGGGGGGGATTCTTTCCATTCGCGTAGGTCAGCCGGCTGGAGTCTCCGAGGCAAGCGTCAAGGTCCGCCCTGCGTCAGCGCATGAACAGCGCAGGGGCCTCAAGAGTGTGCCCGAGTCGATTGTGTACTATCGCACCGCGCGCAGAATCATCCAGGGCCTTGTAGACGTTCCCCCCTCCATTCTGCAATCCTAGCACAAGGCTCATACAGGCATACTTGGATCAACACTGTCATTCCGATATCTAGGCTGCAGATTCTATCCAACGACCTTTCTGTACAGTCGTAGCACATTCCAGCCAACGATGAACGGGATGCCCCAGCAAGCTGCGTCGCCGATCTCGCGCAAGCTGCGCAGCTCAGCCGGCAGCACCACATACTTTGCGCCTGGCTGCGTTGCGTCCACCTTGCTTGCTGACACCGCCTGCGTGAACTCGCCGCCGACAAAGTCGCCTTGCGCGTAGAAGCGGTGCATGAGTTGGTCCTTTTCCGTCCACCTTGCGCGCAGCCACGACTCGAACGCCGTCCTCTCCGCATCACTCGACTCGGCCGGCGCATCATTGGCACCCAACGGCGGTGTGTCGGTCTGTGCTGTTGCCACATCCGCTACCGAAGGCGCGTTGGATGACGTGTCGCCACTGACGGGGTGGGTGATTCGCGTGAGGGTCAAGTGCAGGTGGATCGCAGGCGGCGGTACGCCCTGCATGAAGATCGAGCGTAGCGTGTAGTAGTCCTGTCCATACCCCGCAGGTGGCACACCCGGATAGCCGATGGTGAAATCCACAAGCCACAGATCATCCATCTGCTTGGCGAGCGTTCGCAGGCAGAAAAAGAGCCCCGTCGACCGCGGGAGCAGCACGTTTTCGAGATCCTTGATGCCCATCTTTTCCGCAAACTTGGCCGACACCGGTCGCGTATTACCCGACACCAACGTTCCCTCTGGAAAGATGAGCAGCAGCAACTTCTTGGCCGTCCCCGTAGCCGAAGGCTTCTCGCCCGAAGTATGGTTTTCAGAAGCCACTTGGCCTAGTTGTTTGGCGAGTTGCGCCTGGTCGCTCGCCCAGTTGCGCTTGAGAAAGATGAAGCGGTAGAACTGCATGCCCCAGCCGATGAAGGGGATCCACTTGAGCGAGTCCTTGAGGATGATGAGGATGCTGTCTGCAAGATCGGCGTAGTACGCCAGACACCACAGATACAGCCAGTCGGTATACACCTGGTGGTTCGACATCCACACCGACCGACTCGGCAGGTCGAACGACACTACACGACCAGTGCGCTTGTCGCGGTGCACAAACGGCTCGGGGTCGATGTAGCCGCCCTTGCCGTCGCCGATGGAGATGACCAGCTGCGTGCGGCCGAAGAACTGCGAGATGACGAGCAGCGCACGGCTGAACGCGAGCTTCGAGTAGGCGATGTGCGAGCGGTAGATGGGTTGTGTGCGTGGGTGGAGAGAGAGCGGCCACGAGAGGAGCTGGAAGAAGTGCGCCGACACGATGCAGAAGTTGAAGACGAGCGCGAAGAGGATCGTCTGCACGAGTGTCGACTTGGGAGCGCGTTGGGCGATGGGCACTGTGTATGGCGCGGCGATGCCCGTCTTGGCGCGCACCTCGTCTTTCGACGCAGCAGCAACGTCAGCTGGCATGGTGTGCAGGGTCTAGAGGGCGGGTGGCGGAGAGAATGAGCCCACGAGTGATGGAGCTGAGACGTTGCTCAGATGATGGTGGATGTCAGAAAGGGCTGAGCAGGACCCTTGGCTCAGTGACTTCACTGCGCCTCGGCTCGAGCATTCCGAGACGGGCAACGCGTCCGTGCTCAGCTGCCGTGGATTCCTCCACTCTGGCGAAAAAGCATGAAAGTGTTAAGACCTCTGCTCGCCCAGCTGGTCTTTTGCTGCTGCTCTGCGCTCTCACTCGACAGAAGCGTCATGCCTAGCCTCAGCTGCAATGAAGCTGTCAGGCAACACAACTGGGCCGTCTCTCGATGCTTCCGCGATTCCATGTCAATTCGGGGCACGTCTGTATTACCGGTTGCAGCAAGACGGGCACGTTGGAACTCTAACGCAAACTGGTTCCCTCGCCGAGGTAGAAGGTTCTGCCCACCGAACCATCGCCGACCTTTCCGAGGCCTGGTCCTGTTTTCGCCTCGACCACCTTTTCTACCTTGCCGGCATCGAGGCCGACGGCACGGGCGATGCGCGAGCCGAAGCTGCTTCCTGGTCCGCGCACAGCATCGCGTGCGGCGGCGGCGGCGCTGGACTCGTCGCGCAGCGAGACGCCCTGCGTGTTGATGACGCCCGTTTTGATGCCACCTGTCGCTGCAACCTGCGCTTGCAACGGCGCGCCCACGGATGCATTCGCGCTTTCCGACGATCCCAGCTTGGTCACCATGTTCTTGGCCGAAACAATCCCGTTGGAAAACAGCTCGTAGTAGTCGGCGTTCGCCAGCGTGCTGACCGCACCAATGAGATGTTCCTGTTCAGCCCCACAGATAGAGTTGTCAGTAACGTTTCACCGTGGCTTGGTCCTTTGGACGAGTGGGGGGAACTTACGTTCCATCGAGCCTTGATCTCCTCGGTGACCGTCGGACGCACGGGCGCGACGTATGCGGGCTTGAGCTGCTCGCGCGAGACGCGCTGCTTGCCCTCCTTGTCCCAGTTGTCCGGGTCAATGTCGTTGAGCTGCAGTTGGATGCGGTTGAGCGCTACGGCGGTGTCGTGCGTGCGCACAGCGATCGTGTGTCGGAAGGTGTAGAGCAGCGAGGTAGCCACAAAGATGCCGCCTAATGGCGCAAGCACAAGGCGTGTTGCTGCCATGCTGATCGTTGCTCCAGACAAAATGGGCGGAGGAGGAGGAGATGCGTGCAGCAACGTCTCGAAGCAGTCACAGAGTGTGCAGGTGGAGGGTCGAGCGAGGTGGATCTGCTGCGACCGTCCCGAAATCGCCTCTCGGGTGGGATCGCGGTGTCGCTTTGCAACTGGGCCTCGTGATCGAGCCGGATCCAAAAATTCAACTGCAAACACGCAGTCCCAATCAAACTTTGACGTCCGTAGTTGCAGTCGTGATAAGATCAGAATTGAATGACTCGAGGCTCCGCGTCGGATCTCGGGCTCCACCTGTCGAGAGAGTCAAGAAGAAGCGGGCACAGTCAGAGCTCTTCCTCCCACCATTCCTTGCGCTTGGACTCCGAGCGTGAAGCAACGCTGTTCGCATTCCTCTCGACAGCCTTACGCTCTTGGGCGCGCGCACCACCTTCCCACTTGGCACCTTTTGCGTCGGTACGCTTTCGACCGCAGTCTGCGTGGGCGCTCCTCGGGCTGCAACTCGGCATGGCGTTCAATCCGGTGGCCATGCTGGCCGAACGCACGTGTGCGCCCATCTACAACGCCATCGACACTGGCAACAACACGCTCGCAGTGCGTCATGCCGATCGCATCCTGCATACGCAGCCCGAACTGGCGCTGGCGTCGGCGCTCAAGGCTCTTGCGCTCGTGCGCTCGGCAAAGCGCGACGAGGCCAACACGATCTGCACGCAGCTCATCGCCCGCGGTCTTCCCAAGGGGCACGAGAATGCGCTCACACCACTCACATGGTGTTTGGGTCGGCTCGGTCGGCGGCAGGACGAAGTGGCGCTGCTCGAGACGGCGGTGAAGAACAATCCGAACGACGAGGATCTTGCGCGCCAGACGTTCCTGGCGCTCATCAAGTGTCAGTCATTTCAAAAGGCACAGCAGCTGTCGCTCAAGATGCACAAGTCGTTTGCACAGCGCAAGCAGGGGAAAGGCCGGTTTGCGGACGAGTACTTTTGGTGGTCCATCCTGTCGTATGTGCTGCTGGCGCGCGATGCCAAGGCACCAGGAGCAGCGCTCGCACTGCCGCTCAGCCAGCGGATGATCGAAAAGCAGATCGAGACGAAACCGCTCGGCCTCAACGACGAGGAGGCGCTCTGCCTCCAGCTGCAGGTGCTCGTCCGACAGGGCAAAAAGGCGGAAGCTTTCGAGCTGGTGGCTACCGAGGGCTCGGTGGGACATGCGCTGTGCGACCGCAACCTTAGTCTGGAGTTCACGCGCACCGATCTGGCCAGGGAGCTGAACAAGTGGCAGTACGTCGAGCAGAGCTGCTGGGCGCGGATCGACGGCGGCAGTCGAAACTGGGCGCACTTTAGCGGATTCCTGGATGCAGCCGAGAAGCGAGGGAAGGACGAGCTGATGGCGGCGCACAAAAAGATCAATGTGCTGCTGAGCGTCAAGGGCGCGGTCAAAGATCGTAGCGTTCGACTGGCCGAGCTCGAGGTGTGGCGCAAACGCATGCAGGTCGAGCCAGAAGTTGAGGCGCAGCTGTATGCCAAGGTGGTGGCGTACTTTGACACGTTTGGCACCAAGGCGTGCTGCCACGAAGACCTGCTTCCGTACCTGGGTGCGCTATCGAGCGACTCTCGCAGCAAGCTCAGTGCAGTGCTCAAGGAGAAGACCAAGCCGCTGTCGGTCAAGACCGAGGCGGAGCTGCGGACGTACATCTCGATCGCCAAGATCACGCGCGCGGTGCAGACGGCAAGCGGTCTGAGCGAAGAATCCGAGGCTGCGCTCGCGGCGGAGCTGGTGGCACGGTACGTGGACGGGCTTTCGGTGGGCAAGGATCTGCCGGAAACCGAGATGCAGCCGGCGGATGACATTGCGTTGCTTGCAGTGCAGGCGCTTCTGTCGGCATACCGCCTTTCCGGTGGCAAGCTGGTGTACCTGTTCCAGGTGATTGGGCTGCTCGAATTCGGGCTCACCAAGAGCAGCAAGGGCTACCAGTTGCGCATGCTGCTCATTCGAAGCTACACGCTGGCGGGCGCGTTGGACCGGGCCTTGATCCACTACGGCCTGCTGGGCCTCAAGAGCGTGCAGGCGGATACGCTGTCGCACCTGGTCAGCGAGCGATGCTCTGCCTTTTCCGCCACGGGCAGGAACGCAAAGGCGGCCGACGAGGGGACATACAAGATGGCCGTGCGAACGCTCTCGACGGCGCAGGCGATCTACGAGGAGAATGCGAATTCGACGCCCGAGATGATCGGCAAGGCGCTCGAGCACGGCATCTACTCGCGCGTCGAGGAGTTCGTCCAGTTTGGCGAGGCGCTCGAGCGGTCGTTGCAGCGCCAGGTGGTGCGGCTCGAGGAGGCGAGATCGCATCTGCACAGGCGCGGCAACTTTGCAGACGACGAGCAGCGATCGACGTTTGGAGCGGCTATTAGCAACAGCGTGGCGAGCGTCCGGGCGGATTTGAAGGCGGGTACGAGTGACCAGCGCGACTATTCGGTGCTGGTCAACTACCAGCCCATGGCAACGCCGAGTGTGGAGGAGCTCACGCAGGTGGGGCCACGACAGGACGCAGGATGGGTGCGCAGCATTGCACTTACGCTAGCAGACGATGAAGGAGGAGCAGGAATCAAGGATGAAGATTTGGTTGCGCTGACGGAGCGCGAGAAGGCGCTGGTGGAGCTCGTGGCCGCGGCGCGCAATGGGTCGTTCGAGGCAAGCCGGCTACTCGAGCTGCTCGAGGCGGCCAAGACGACCACACGCACCGTAGTGGACGTGGTTGGCGGCGGAGCGGGTGGTGCCGAGCGGATGGTGCGACCGGTGGATGTGGTGCACGAGGTGGGTCTGGCGCTCGAGGCGGTGTACCACACCGAGGCGCTGCTCGACGCCGAATCCAAGGCGGCATGCCAGACGCACCTGGCCGAACTTGCGACGCTCGTCAACCACCTCACGCGGTCGACGCAGGTACTGACCAAGCCAGCGGTGCTCGAGCAAGGGCTGGCTGCCGTGGGCGCCGAGCGTGTCGCGCAGCTGATGCAGTCGACGCGCGACAATGTGGCACGCTGCTGGACCAAGGTGTTCGCCAACCTGCGCGACGCCCTGCGTGATGCGCTGTGACATGGTTCTCATTGCAATAGCAGCCACACCATATCCTTATCACATTGAGCCGGAGTGGCTTGGACCTCGAACCTCGGGACGAAAGCGGGGAGTCGGCGCGGGAGGGCAGGCCGAGACGCGTGTGGATGCTGGCGTGACGCGGCGCGGCGCGACAAAGGGGAAAATTGAACCAAAAAAAAAGCTCAAAATTGGGGATTTTTGGTGCTTCTCGAAATCTTTTCCGCTGCGCCTTTGCATGCAGCAGTGCAGCAGAGGTGCATCAAAAAGTGCAGCCGCATGCATTCGAAAAAGAGTGACAGCGCGCGCGTCGAGTTGTGCAGTTGAGCAGCTCTCTCTCTCTCTCCCTTTCTCCCTTTCTCCCTTTCTCGCTCGGCTTTCAGCTCTCGGGCCCTGCTTGGCCCTGCTTGGCCCTGCTTTGCCCCGCGCTGCCGAGCCAGAGTAGAGCCAGTGGACGCACGCACGCATGCACACGCTCCTCCTTGCTCCTTGCTCCTTGCTCCTTGCTCCTTGCTCTCTAGCCACCACCACCACCACGATATCCATATCCGCGGGTCTAGGCGTGCTCCATCTGCCAACGCGGCACGATCTTCCTTTGCAATGGCCGCTGTCGCGCCCGCCACCTCGCTCCTCAACTCCTACGCGAGTCCACCCAACGCCGATGCCAGCATGTCCAACACCCGCAAGATCTTCGGCCGCTCTCGCAAGCATGCACAACCGAGCAACACCCAGCTCAATACGGCCTCCTACGATATGACCGACGAAAAGGTGTTTAGCAGCCACGACTCCAATCTCTCCACCTCGGCGCTCAGCTCCGCCAGCACCGCGTCGCGCACCTCGCGCTTCTTTCGTCGATTCGCACGTCGTAAACCCCCGCCGGTGCCGTCGCTCCCGCCTGCGCTCGTGCTCGATCTCGACGCAGGCACCGCCGCACCGCGCGCTTCGGACACCGCAAACCCCATCGTCACGCGCCGTTCCGACGCAGCAGGCCAGCCTAGCGCCGCCGCAGCCATCATCGCCGAGTCCAACGCAGCCTATGCTGCGGCCGAGACGCGGCCCAAGCCAAAGGGTCTGCAGCGCAAACGCATGCTCGACGCCATGGCCAACGCCAGGCTCGACGTTCACAACGCCCGGGATCTCGTGCGCATGTGTGGCGTCCACATCCGCGAGCGCGGTCTCGACACCCCGGGCCTCTTTAGGCCGTTTCGCATCGCCGAATCGCACGACCAGCTGCTCCACATGATCCAGCTCTTCCTCCTCTCCGTCGACCCGTCCACCTACATGGCTGTCTTTCCCATCCTCCCCGACAACGCCCTCGATAGTTTCGGTCGCAACGCCCCCGCACCCGCCGCGGACCACCACGCCAAGGCGAGCGTGGCGCGCGACGAGCTCGACAAGGAGCTGCGCTACGCTGCGCCACACGACGTCGTCGCCGTCATGAAGTGGGGACTGCGACATTTGCGGTTGCGCTGCGCGGACTTTGACTCCAAGGACGCCGACGAGTGGTACGAGGTCTTTGCGGCTGCCGAGCGCGCAGCTGCGTACCCGGCACGCGCAATTGCCGACCTGCTCCATCCCAAGCTGCCCATCGCCACCGCAGAGCTGCTCAGCGAGACGCTCGACCTCATGGCGTCCGTAGCCGCCCACTCGAGCACCAACCACATGCCTGCCGCTCAGATCTGCAAGGTGCTTGGGTTCTGGCTCTTTGGCCGCATCGGCGTCGCGCATCCGCCACCCACCGTTGACGAGCTTGTCGACGCCGTGAATCGCGCCGCGGGCGTCGCGGAGCATCTGCTGCTTGCGCACATTCGCTCCCAGGCCGCCGTCACTTTCTCCATGCCGCTCAGGCTGACCGAGCTCGTGCAGAGCTATCCGCACGTGCGCCCGGGCGCGCAGTGTCCTTCGCTGCCAGCGGTGTTTGCGGCGCGCGCCGTGCCCACGCTGCGCATCGACCTACGATCGGACAACATGGTGGTGTCGCAGTCCAAGCCGCGCACGCCTTCGGCTACGCTCGCAGACGCGCTCGATGCACAGGCGGCCTATACGATCCAGGGCGAGCACGGAGAGCTGTGGGCAGCGGTCATGATGCAGCTCGACCACCAGGACGCCAGCACCAATGCGAGCCGGCTGCTCATCGATGAGCATGTGCGCATCCTAGGTCTGGTGGACAAGGAGCTGGCCGTGGGCGAGGAGGATACTAATGCGAGCCTTGCGAGTGCTGCTGCCGCAGCAGCCACACCGCACGCCGTCCTGGCCGACGATAAGAAAGTCGAAGCCCAGATTAAGGCGGCCCGGAGGCGGTCGCAGTCGCTGTCGGATCTGCGCACCAACCTGGGCATGGTGGGGGTGGCGCAGCTGGCGCCGCTGCCTGAGAACGTGCCGCGCAGCAGCACGGGTACTGCGACGCCACGCACTTCGGACGTCAAACTGGGCACGCCGCGCCGCAAGCCCGTGCCGCTGGTGGATACCAAGTTGCTGCAAGAGGCCGAGGCGGTCGAGGTGGTTGCCGACAACGCTGCGCCAGGCGCACGTGTGAGCGACGAGGTGTTCAGTGGCGGGCTCGAGCCGTCTGCTTCGTGGCGCTCGTTTTCCGAGGAAGGGTTCGGTGGGATGAGTACGGCGTCGTCGGAGCTCTCGCTGTCCGAATTTGATCTCCGCCCAGTGTCGGCGACGCTTCCCTCGCGACGAAGCCAGCGCGGGCTGCATCGCGTGCGCTCTTCGGCATCCGGTGGATCCCGACGGCGCACGGTGCTTCCACCCGTCGAGCTGGCACGCGCGCAGGTGCAGGCGCGGCATACCGTCACGGCGGCTAGGATGGTGGAGCACGATACGGCGCTGGCGATTGTATGGCAGGACCAGCTGCTGGATGCATCGCCCTGCTGCTCGTTGCCCGCCATGCTGTTTGTGCAGCTGAACAAGGCGACGGGCGCGGCGGTGGCAGCGGTGCAGGATGCGAATGAAGCTGACGTGCCGAGGTATCCGGGCGATACGCCGTGGCTGTTGGTGGTCGAGACGATCATTCCGCCAAGACCGCCTACACCGCCCGCGGTGGAGAAGACAGGCTGGCGGTTGGACGATGCAGCTTCGACTAGCGATCGCAGGAGCATCTTAGCGCCCAGCATGCGCAGTGTCAAGATGCGTCTGCGTCGCGTCAGCACCATCATCGGTAACGGCGTCGCGGGCACGCGCAAGAAACACATCGACACCGCATAACTTGGACCACAGATCTCCACCGCTCACACGTATACCCCGCGCGTCCTTCACACCGTCACGAATGCTCAATCTTATCCTTGCATGCTGGGGGGATCCAAGCGAGACCTGAAAAATTGCACAGTGTGTGGGTGGAGACTAGCACTGCTTGGAGTAGCCTTTGGCACGGTGACCCGAGCCGTGCGGCAGACCACCGCGGTGCTTATCGTGAGCCGGGTTGGGATGACCGGTGGACCTGGCAGCATCCTTCTCGGCGGTGGTGCCGACGGGAGGAGAGACGTGCTTGGAGGTGAGTTGGGCGAGCTTGCGGAATCCTCCGTCGCCGGCATCCTTTTGGAGCGACTCGGTGATGGAGATAATATCATACACCAGCTGTTCGATCATGCTTTCCGAGAGGTTCTCGCGCACGACTACACGCAGGATGTCGATATCCTCCAGATCCGGCGACAGATTGTAGTTGGGAACGATCCATCCCTTTGCCCTTAGGAGGGTCTGCATCCAGCGCTGTTCGAGGTCCGGGTTTCGTTCGCGGAACGACTGCGACCAGCGGAAGGAGACGACGGGTAGACCGGGTCGGTAGGCTTCGGCGGAATGTTCGTCCACGGCGCCTGGGTTCGAGGCGGGTTGGTGGATTTCGGAAAGCACCTCGTAGTATCCGCTCCTTTCGAGCGCGCGTGCGAGCAGACGCGCGTTTTGGAGGTCGGCCTGCATAACGCGTCGGTAGCCGTTGAATCCGAGGTTGATAAAGTTGAACAGCTGCCCGATGACTGGATGCGCAGGACGCGAGAAGTTGAGTCCAAACGAGTACTCGACCGAGCCTAGATAGTGGAGCTCAAACACCAGCTCCTTGGGAACCAGATCGTTGGATCGGAACAGCACCCATCCCAAACCGGGATACACCATGCCGAACTTGTGACCGGACGTGTTGATGCTCTTGACGCGCGGGAGTTCGAACGACCACTTCAAATCGGGCGTAGCAAAAGGGGCCACCATTGCACCACTTGCTCCATCGACGTGGATGGGGATGTCGATGCCCGTGCGGGCCTGGTAGGCGTCGAGGAGCTTGCTCATGCCCTCGACGTCTTCGTAGTGGCCCGTGTAGGTGGATCCGAGGATGACGACGACGCAGATCGTGTTTTCGTCCACCATGTCAATCGCCTTGTTGATGTCGAGGCAGTACCTGCTCTCGTGCGACACAGGCACCAGACGCTCCTCGACATCGAAATAGCGCGCAAACTTTTCGATGGCCACCTGCGCATTGCTACCGAATACCATATTCGGTCCGGGCTCCTTGAAGCTCTTGCCCTGCTCCTTCATCCTGTGCTGCCAGCGCTTCTTGGCCGCCAGACACGCAAGCATGATCGCCTCGGACGATCCGGTGGTGGCAACACCCATGGCCGACTTGCGCTTGCCCTCAGAGTCGTACTCCTTGGGCGCCTTCCAGAGGTCGGCGAGCATCGAGATGCATCGTGCGTGCATCGCCATCGTGGCGGGATACTCGTCCTGGTCGCACATGTTGATCATCATGGTCTCGGTCATGAGCTTGGTCGCCTCGTCGGGCATCCAGGTGTGCACGAACGAGGCGAGGTTCAAAGTGGGCTTGCCGTCCAGCGAGAGGTCCGAGCTGAGCAGCTGGTATGTCGCCTCGGCCGAGGTGCCGTTCTCGGGGATCTTGTATTTGGGGATGGGCTCGGTGGTGTAGCGCCCGGCGTGTGCGCCCGAATGGAAGGCGTGCGACTTTTTTCCTCCCGCATGCTGGAGGAGGCCCAGGATCGGGTGGTCTGCAGCTTGCTGGATCAGCTCGTCCGCGTCAACGTGCTTGCTGAGGGACATCGTGCGTCAATTGCAGGGGTTGGAGCGATGGAGGATGGGATGGCGAGTTGGTGGGGAAGAGGTGCGGCTGCATGGAGTCGGGTTATATACGCACGGCGAGGATGGCAGCGAGCGATGCGCGCGAAGCGATCCATCGATGCAGCGAAGCAACCGCGTCAGCATCGCAGCCACCAACGGTTGCAGTCATCTGCGGCTGCCAAACGCGCAGGGTCCATGTTTGCGCTGGTGGATGGTCTGTGCTGTGCCGACGCCCCAATCGCACCTCGGCATCGCCCGCTCGATCCCGACGCTTTCCCACTCAGCTTAGCACGCGCTCTCTCGCCCTGCATCGTCACTCGCCCACAATGCAGCCCAGCAACAATGGCAGCTGCCGGAGAGCGTGCGAAAAAAAAATTCGGCGCAGGGACTTGCTGCGAAAAAGGTGGACGGGCATGACGCGCTCGTGCAGATGCTGACCCCGCCGCCGTGCCGAATCGCCGCTGGATTCCATGCAGCAATCCGTGCCGCCGGCTTCCCCGACATCCCTCCCTCTTGCCCACAGCAATTCCATTCGGCCGGCATCCCTTGCGTCCATTATGCGAGAGAGGCCAGACCTTCTGTCACCCGGACTCGGCCAGAAGGCTGCCATGGGTAACGTGCGCTGGGCAAATCATGGCTGAATATTCCACCGCTTTTCGTGGCCCTCTTTTTGACGCCTCCTTTTTTTGGCAGTTTGGATTTCTATTCCCTATCGTAAATTTGAACCGCAAGCACTGTTCGGGCTTCTTCCCGCACTGCCCCGCACGCTGAAATGACAAGACAAGCTCAGACAAAGCCACATGCCCGACAGGAGCAGATGGGTATCGGTCCGATTCCATGAATAGACGCAGTAACGACGGAGCAGAGATCAATGTAGAAAGAGATAGAGAGAGCGAGAGAATAGGATCGACCCGTTGACGAGGGCTATAATCAAGCCGAATAATAGCATGGCGTCTGCCTCGACAGGTTCGAACGTATCGCAAGGACGATGGTCAGAGCAGCATGGCGGCGCCGAGGACGGCGGCAGCTGCGAGTGCGAGCATCTGCAAAGCAGCCGAGTTTCCCGACATGCCCACTGCAGCGTTTGACGATCCTAGACTACCAAGGCCCATTGATCCGGACGACGAAGCAGCTGAGCCGGCAGCGGTGCTTGTCGCCCTTCCCCTCGCCGAACTAGTCACCGTGCGTGGGACAGCCGAGCTTGCCCCGCCGTTCCCCCCAAGTGCAGCGTATGCTGAGCTGGCACCTGCAGCAGCGAGCGACGAGATGTACACCGAGTCGAGCGTGGTGTACGTTGCCAGAGCGGGGGTTCCTGCCGGCTGCGTGACGGGCGAGTTCTGCGTCTCGGTCACGACGCCGTTGCCGCCCGCGGTGGAGCACGAGCCAAACTGCACACACGCACTCTGCGCATTGTTGGTGGTGAGTGGTGGTGCGGCCTGTGCAGCCACCGCTGCAGCGCTTACAGCCACGAGAAGCAGTGTAGGGGCGAGTCGGGCCATTGAAGATGCGAAAGAGGATGGAGATGGTGGTGAGAAAAGGTGGATGGCAGGAGAGTTGCGAGAGTGCCCAATCCGGGGCAGCAGCTGCGGGGGAACTCTCTGCAGGCGAGGTTGTTCTCTTTGGAGCCATCCCTCGCAGAGGAGCCAAATTCAACTTCCGCAAATCAAATGCCCTTTTTTGAGAGCACGCCGGGGTAATCGACGCTGCATGAGCCGCCGCTGCAACGCCCAACTGCCAAATTGGGCGGCGATCCAACCCTCGGCGGCTTTCACACCGCCATGCCCAGCCAACGGTGCCTGGATCGGGCGCAAGATCCCGATCCCACCCTCCCCTCTTCCCCCTCCGGCTCCGGCGTAGATGTATGGCGACGGCTCCCTTTCGCCAAGTGGCATTCCAGAGCAAGTCTTGTGATTGGTTTGGGATGATCAAATGCGCGGCTTGAACCTTGGTCTGCGCAAGAGGTGAAACCTTAACTTCGCTCGAGCTTATCTGCCGCCGTGCGTGTAGATGCCCTTCCAAAACTGGCGATGAGACAAACCTGTGACTACACCACCTCTTGCTTCGAACCCTTGACGCACAACCACACATACGGACAATCCGCAACATGGGTGCAGCAGCTATAGCCGGTCTGGTGTTGGGGCTGCTCTTTGGCGCCGCAGCACTGCTGTCAGGCATCCTCGCCTGTGCCACACGCACCGAAGCCGAATCGCTCCCCCTTCACAACGCCAAACCGGAGGCCAAACCCGAAGCCAAGGCGAAAAACGAACAGCCAAAAGCGGACAAGCCCAAGGACGATAAAGCCAAGGACGATAAAGCCAAGGACGACAAGAAAGACAACCAGCCGAACCAGCCGAAGCAGGACAAGAAGGATGCGAAGGACGCCAAGGACAAGGATGGCAAGGCGGAGGAATGGTCGGGCGCCAAGTTGTGGCAGGAGTACGTGGCCAAGGCGGGCCACGACGCAGGCAAGCCGCAGTACGTCGTGTTCGATCCCAAGAGCGGCAAGATCGAGCTCAAGCCTGCGCCTGCCAACGATGCGCCGTTCCTCAAGGTGCACGCCGACGGCAAGGTCGAGCTCGTCCAGCCCAGTCAACCGGCAAAGGGCAAGGAGGCGCAGAAGGGCGCCGAAAAGGCGGATGACAAGAAGCAGGAGGCCAAGAAGGACGACAAGAAGGACGACAAGAAGGACGACAAGAAGGACGACAAGAAGGACGAGAAGAGGAAGCAAGATGACAAAAAGGCGGAGGAGAAGAAGCCAGACAACAAGAAGCAGGACGAAAAGAAGCAAGACGAGAAGAAGGCGGAAGAGAAAAAGCCAGACGACAAGAAAGCGGACGACAAGAACAAGGGCAAAGAGGCGGCCAAGCCTGGCGATTCTTCGGGGGGTGGAGCGAACAAGGAGCAGCCGGGCTCTAGTGGTGCTGCGGCTGCCACCGAATCGGGTAAACTGACGGTGCAGGGTATGATTGAGCTGAGCCAGATCCTGCAAGCGCTCGGCATCATCCCCACCTCCTCAAAGCGCGAGTACTGCGCATGTGCCGATTGCACACGCAGCAACGGCACCGACCGACCTCGTCGTCACAAATGCAGCCATACGTACCAGTAAGTCACCCCCCACTCTCTCCTCGTTGCTCCCCCACACGCACTGGCTGATACGTGGCAAAGCAGGTGTGAAGATACGCAGTGGGATTCGTCGAGCGATCACTTTGGTAAGTTCCCCCCCTCCCTCCTTCGCCACACGATCCCGACTAACGAGTATTTGGTTGCAGCTTCATTCCGACCTGCAGGGTATCGTCGACACTACGCCACGCACCGTTAAGAATGCATGTCATTTTCTACTGTGCCAAAAACTTCCACAGCGCCTGTGCATCCTTGTAGTCGTGATGGACGATGGTCATGAGCCATCGGTCGTTGGTGATGCTGTCGATGAGCTGACGACTAGCCGAGGTTTTCAGGAACAACATGGCCCACTCATTCCAGATGCCAAATGCCTCTTCGCGCCACGCCTCGAAGCTATCCCGCTCGATGATGGTCGATTGGACAATCTCCTTGCCCGGAAAAACGGCCCAGGTAACCGTATTCGCCTCCCCCTCGGCCAGATTCGAGACAAAGTCGCCGCGGGTGTTGCCGGCAAAGTAGGTGTACTGCGCATGCGGACCCATGGCATCAATCGCCTCCACCAACGCATCCTTGTCGCTCCCAGACATGAAGAGCTCCACGAATGCTTTTTGAAAGATAAATCCACCCGCGGGGCCGAATCCCACAACGGGGTCGGTGGAAGGTGCACCGTCAATAGCCGGTTGAGATCCAACCGACCACCACCCTTTACCTGCGTCGCGAGTGGCGCCGAGTCGGTTGAGCGCAAGAAGATGGTCGCGGATCTGGAGGGTTTCGTTCATAAGTGGCGCATCGCACCACGGAATGCATGCGATCTTTTCCTCGAGATACGACGCAAAGATCGTCGAAATGTCCGACAGCGTCACGGGGTGACCCCAGATACGCAGTGCGTCGGCAGCGGGAACTTTGAGGCTGACGCCGTATCCGTCCATCTCGCCGAATGCCGGACTGCGCGAATCACCGTAGCGGCCGTTGGGGAATTCGTCCCAGGTGGTGGTCTCGGGCACCTGGTACGAGCTGGACGTGCGCGCCAGCGTGCGCTTCAACGCCTCCTGCGTGGTCACCTTAAAGTCGCGCGGCGTATTAGCACCCGTGCGGTCCGAGAGCATCTGGTTCTTGGTGCGCTCCAGATGCAGATGCGCAGGCACCACACTCAGCCGCACATCCGCCTCGCCAAGCGCACCCACATCGGTCTTCCACCCCAGCCCGTCCAGGATGCGCTCGATGCTCTTTTCCAGGTTGAGCGAGCACAGATGGAATCCTCGTACATCGGACTCGAGAAAGATGCGTCCGATCATGTGGATGCTCAGCGCCACGCCGTACTCCTTGACCGCCGCATCGTCGGCCTTGATGGGCTCGAGCGCCTCGAGCACGAGCGGTGGGATCTGCACCTTGCACAGGTTGGTCATGCGTCGGAAGCTCTGATAGTTTTGAATCGGCATGATGCCCGGTAGGATGGGGATGGTGATGCCCAGTGCGCGCGCGTCCTTGTACCACGCCAGGAAGCGGTCCACATCGTAGAACAGCTGCGTCACAATGTACTGCGCGCCCGCATCCTGCTTTTGCTTGAGGAACGCCAGATCGCGCTGCACGTCGCGGTCGACATAGTCGGCATGACCCTCGGGATAGCCCGCTACGCCGATGCAGAAGTGGTCGCCGTGCGAGTCTCGGATGTAGCGTACCAGGTCCGTAGCGTGCTGGAAGCGCTCGTCGGCAGCCACCCAGTACTCCTCGCCGCGCGGCGGATCGCCACGAAGCGCAAGGATGTTGCGAATCCCCAGCCGCTTGGCAGCGAGCAGCGTCTCGTCCAAACTGGCCTTCTGGACATTGGTGCAGGTGAGATGCAGACAGACATCGCATGCATCGGCGCTTTCATGCTGCCACTCCTCACCTGCCTCCGAACCATTCTGACCGTTGGGGGAGAGGAGCGGGGTGGCAGGGTCGAGTCTGCCCTTCTGTATCCTGCCTGCGAGCTCGAGCGACTTTTCGACCGTGGTGCCGCCAGCGCCCCAGGTGACGTGGATCCAGCTCGGGTCGAGGTTGGCGCGCATGCGTGCAATGCGGCTGTACAAGTTGGCCAAACCCTGGGTGGTCTTTGGCGGGAAGAACTCGAACGACCAGAAGGGCGCATCGCGCGCGTTGGCCTGCTGGATCTTGGCGGTGATGTGCGCCGGGTTGGGCGCCGCAGCTGCATGCGCACCCGGCGTGGAGTTTGAGCTGCTGGCCGCCATGCTGGACTCGGGCATGGTTCCCAGACTGGCAACGCAAGATGGTGGCTGAGCGACACTCGACCCGAGTGCACGCGAGCAGACCATGTGATGGTGCGCACTCCGACTTCCGAGGCGAGCCTTTCTTCGTGGAAATTTTTGTTCAGATGTTAGATTGAGACGAGTTGATTCGCGGAAGTCCGCCGCAGAAGAAAGGGTGACGTCGTGGCTTGGGCGCTAATGTGGGTCGAACGCACTAGCCCGCAGTCAGCTGGCGGGGGCGCCGCTTGCTATTGTGTTGGACACCGGTCCGGCCCGGCATGGCCTTGGACGTTGGCGCAAGGCTTGTGCAGAGTGAAAGGCCGTCGTGTTGGGTGCGCTGGTCATGACGAAGTGGATGCGTCGACGCTGCACTTGGCTTCTTGGCTTTTTCTGGGCGTGAGAGGTGGAAAAGGAGTGAATGCGGTCAAGCTGGGCAGCGGCTGCAGCTTCCACTCGGCACGGCGCGAGGCGAGGCGTGGACCCTCTTCTGCTGCAGCTGCTCCATTTCGACTGGATTTCGCACCTAAAATCGCTGTGACGCGCCCCACCGCCCCACCGCCCCACCTCAGCCTCCACCTAGCTCAGGCTGGGATTGGGCTGCCGTGCTGCCGTGCTGCCGTGTGGTGCCGCGAAAGCCTGGCTTTGCCTCCAGACGACGACCGGCACGCACCCGCAAAGGTGGACAGACAGACAGTCAGCCTTGGAGGCTCGAGTTCCGATCTGCTGTGCCGTGCCGAAGCCGCCTCCACAGCCGCATTCCTCTTGCTTTCGCTCGCACTCGCACTTCCACGCCCCGCCTCGACCGTCGACGCTGCTCAGAATGCCATCCACGCCTTGATTTCTCTCTCCACCATCCTCGTCGACACCACCGCCGCACCATGCCCATCTGCGGCTCCTCACACATCCGCAGGGAGGCCGCCGAAAAGGCGCACCTCTCCGCCAGCTCCCAGATCGGCTCTGCACAGGATGCGCGTCCACAGGCCACACAGCCCACCATCACTTCCGCCGTAGCAGCCGATCCCACCTTACCACCCACAGACGCAGCAAAGTACCTCTTCCCCGTCCCCTCCGCAGCCAAACGAGGCATCATCCGCTTCAAGATCAAGGAGCAGCTCGAAGAAGGCAGAGGAAAGCACTGGGTCTGGGACAAGGGCGCCGTACACCAAGGCAACCGCGAGCCAGACGACGACGAGCTCGATCACGTCCGTCAACGCTATGGCTACAAGAAGCCCGAACAAGGCGGCCCTTCCCGCCTCTACCTCATGGTCCTCGCAGACTGCCTCCTCCCGCTCCCACGCAACCCCATGTCTGGCGTCGTATCGCCCCCGCTCCTCGCAACCACAGGCATCGTCCCGCTCTCCATCTTCTCCACCGGCCCCGACATCATCGGCCACTACTACGACTGCATCGTAGCTGCGAGGCGCGAAGTCATCCTCCTCACCAACTACTGGCAGGGCGGCAAAAACGTAGACCGCATCGCAGACGCCCTCCGCGAACTCAACAGGCGCGTCCTCAAGCGTCGCAAGGCACGTGCTCTCGAAGCCAGGCGCAACGGCCGCAACACCCCGGCAGAGGCTGCTCCCAATCCAGCGCACACGCCCCAAATCGAAAAGGCCGCCAAGCAGCAGGACGACCTCCTCGAAAAGCAGGGCGCCCCCGGCTCCATGGCTCGTGCCGGCAAGGACGACTCCACGTTGCTAGACGACGACGACGACGACGACGACCAACACGATCTCGACTCCATCCAGCTCGGCCCTCCCACCCCAGAGGAACGCGTCGTCGTCAAGCTCATGTGGGATCGCGGCCCTCAGACCCTCGCTGACCTCTTCCGCCTACGCAAGCCCGTGCCCCCCAACATGTGGAAGTCCAACGGCCTCCCCACAGAGAGCGACATCCCCAACCTCAACGTCGAGATCCTCAACTACCACCGCCCCCTTATGGGCACCTTCCACGCAAAGCTCCTCATCGTCGATCGTCAAGTCGCCCTGATCAACTCCAACAACATCCAGGACCGCCCCAACATCGAGGCGTGCATCCGCCTCGAAGGCGACATTGTCAACTCGGTCTACGACCACGCCCTCATCAGCTGGGGGAACCGCCTCCAGCCTCCACTCCCCTGCCTCACACAGCCCGCACCCGTCGCACCCTCCCCCGCCGCCTTCATGTCCGGCGACCAGAGCTCCCTCCCTTCCATCACCGTCGAGAAGCTCAAGCAGCTCGCCCTCAACGTCCGTCAGCGCCTCCACGACGAGGACACCGCCACCGAAGTAGAGAAGGAGAGGAGCCTCCAGAGCCCCATCACCTTCCACTTTGGCGACGTCGTGGACCAGATGAGGCGCAGGGACAGCTTCGGCACCAAAGCAGGCGCCTCCCCTGTCCGCTCCTCCTCGGCCGACCAACGCGTCGACAGCGACAAGGCCGCCCGCAACGCTGGCGCTCTCTGGGCCCAAAAGGTGCTCGGCGAGCGCTTCTCCCACTTTCAGAGCGCAGCCACCACCAAGGACAAGCCCGACACGGCTGCTGCTGCTGCGTCTCCGCTCGAAAAGTCGGATACCGCCTCGCCCTCGCAGCCCCGCAAGCATTTCGCCGATGTCGTCGAGGCGCTCATGATGAAAGAGGGCCACAAGCCGCCCGCCTGGGCGGAGGGCGCGCTCGAGGTGTTTGGTCTCGGTCAAAGCAGTTCCAAAAACGTCGCTCAGGAGGTGCGTCGCAATCCGCGCCCAAAGACCACCCTCGCTTCGGGCGCCAACATCCCCACCGCCGTTGCAGAAGAGGACTACACCGAGCACCATGACTGGCGCAGATCCATCGAGGTCGACGAGGAGAGCCTCGACGACGGCGTCGAACAAGCCCGCAGCCACACCGCAGTCGATAGCACCTCCTCACCCAAGCCCGCCCTCAGCAGCCTCGCAAGCGACGACAATACGACTTCCAAGGATCCAGCTTCAAACGGTGACGCAGCAGCTCCACTCAAGATCGCCATCCCTGCCGAAGAGAGCGCTTCACCCGCTCCTGCCGCTCCTGCCGCAGCACCGCCCATCAACAACGACATCCTCAACACCAAGCCCGATGCCGACACAAACCCCGCAAAGCAGAACAAGCGCGACGAGGGCGTGCCCGGCTCGGTGGGCTACCGCAACGTGCACCGTCGCACGCTCTCGCAGATCTCCAAGTCGTCGGCTGCCGAACGGCTGAGCGCCATCACCAAGTCGCTCGACTTTGCCAACAACTCGAAAGTGCAGGGCGAGATCCGGGCGGAGAATCTGTCGGACGAGAAGCTGGAGGCGCTCAACGACGTGCTCGACTTTCAGCCGTACATCTTCCACAAGCCGCACGAGCCTGTGCCGATGGCGCTGGTCAATCGACGTCCGCACGGTACGCCCGGCCACTCGGACATCCGCAATCCGCAAGATGCGGCGTGGCTGGCCGGGTTCCGGTATGCCAAGAAGCACGTCCTCATCCAGTCGCCCACGCTCAACGCTTCGCCGATCAAGGCTGCCGTTCTGGCGGCTGTGCGTCGACACGTTACGGTGGAATTGTGGCTCGACTTGGGCTTTAACGACAAGTCCGAGTCGATGCCGTTTCAGGGCGGGACGAATGAGCAGGTTGTGACTGGATTTTACCGGCAGTTGAGGCGGGAGGGGAAGGGGGACGAAAAGTATCTCGAGGTGTATTGGTATACGGGCAAGGATATGACGCGTCCGTTGAATGCTGTTCGCAAGCAGCGCAATTGTCACGTCAAGTTTGCGGCGTTTGATGGGCATGTGGCGGTGCTGGGGTCGGGCAATCAGGATACGCAGTCGTGGTTCCACTCGCAGGAGATCAACGTCATGGTTGATTCGAAGCAGATTGTGGACGAGTGGATGGCGGCGTTGACGCGGAATCAGAGCACAAAGCTGTATGGTATGGTCGACCAGAGAGATGGCATTTGGCGCGGTAGGGATGGGCAGGAACTCGTCGATACCGGAAAGGATACAGCGAGCAAGGATAAGGAGCGCACACCAACCCCCCCGCCGGCCGTGGCGGAATAGACAAGCGTTGCTATGGACATCTCCCAGTCGGCAACCACGCCCGAGATGGCAAAGTAGCCGCCATACCCCCCCAAACTCTTGGCCCTTGATTTGATTGTTCTTTCACTACGCTCTCTACCCTTTTTTGGTCTGTCAATCGTCGATACCAGCCACGCTGCACACACTCGCTCTCGTTGTTTAATCTCAAAGCGTGCATTATGTTGCTTGCCCTTGGCGGCGTGCTTGCTTTAAGAAAGCGCGTTGAGGCTGCCAACGTTGAGGCGCAGTGGCCCAGCGAGCCGCACTCCGGTACCGGTGAACGCAGCTCCTTAGCCAGCAGACGAGGCCAAGCAGACTCAACACCTCCTCCGGTCTTGTTCTGCACGCCCGCAACCTACAAGCCTTGATCTGGATCTTTGTCGGTAGGCGGTGCGGAGTTGATGTGGCATAGTTTGGCAGCGTTCCTCGGATCTTCCAGGGTTCTTTTGTCGTCAGACTTGACAGCTCCACTGCTTGCCCTGCAGCTTCTTGCAGCGAGCGTCGCTCCGGCTCAGTTTGTTGGGGGATCGTTATCGGCCCTTCCGATCCGCCGAATCGATCCGCAACCTTCCTACTCTCACTTCAGGCTCCTCTCCACCACGCCTTGACTTTGGAGCATCGACAGAGGTACTATTCGAACTAGCTGAAATTTTGGCTACAAGGATACAACGACTCGGAGACTACATCTGGGGCATGTCCGGGGCGGTATCTTCGTTCATACCCGCATCGGGAGCCTGGACGCCCGGGCCCGCACCTCCACCGGGCTGCCTTCCGCGCTTGGCACTCACCACGTCGTCGACCCTGAGCAGCAAGGATGCCGACTCGATGGCGGTCTTGAGCGTCTGGATCTTGACCGCTGCCGACTCGTAGAGACCGTACTCCTTCATCTCGACCACGTTGCCCGTCTCGCCGTCGACGCCGTACGAGTGCTCGCCGTTGGCGTGCTTGGCACGCAGCGTGGTGAGCGTCTTGATCGCATTGCCGCCACAGTTCTGGATGAGCGTGCGCGGGATCACCTCCATCGCATCCGACACCGCCCGGATCGGCCCCACCTCCACTCCCTCGAGCTCCTTGGCGTATTCGGAAAGTCCATAGGCAATCGCCATCTCGGTGGCACCTCCACCGGGCGAAAGCAGCGGGTTGAATACGACATTGCGCGCCACCGCCATGGCATCCGCCAGGTTGCGGTCGATCTCGTTGAGGATGTCCTTGGACGGACCGCGCAGCAGGATCGTGCACGCCTTGGGCTCGCGACACTGCTCGAGGAAGGTGAAGTACTCGTCGCCGAGCTTTTCAATGTGGAAGAGGCCGCAGCGCGTGCCGATGTCGGCATCGCGCAGGTCGTCGACGCGGTTGACAATCACGGCGCCCGTGGCGCGCGCGATGCGGTTGTTGTCAGTCTTGCGCACGCGGCGGATGCAGGTGATGTTGGCCTTGAGCAGGAAGTGCTGCGCCAGATCCGACACGCCCTTCTCGGTAAAGACGAGGTCGGGCTTGAACTCGATGATCTTTTCGCACATGGACTGGATCTGCTGCTCCTCGATCTCGAGGATCTTGTTCCAGTCCTCCTCGCGCGTGATCTCGATGTTGGTCTGCGACTCGCCCTTCTTGTACTCGAGCGGACAGTCGAGCAGCATGATGCGCGGATTCTCGATGCGGCGGCGCATCTTGGGATGCGTGACGTCCTTGTTGAGCATGACGCCGTCGAGCACGCGGCACTCCTCGATGGTGCCGCCGGGCACCTTTTCGACGCGCGCGTAGCGCTTGATGTCCACCGTCTTGGTCGGATCCGCAGCAGCCGACGAGCCGGCGGCACCGTCGACCATGGCTACGGTGCGCACCGCCTTGAGCGCCAGCTTGCACATGTGCTCCGACCAGCGCGACACAAACTTGGTGCCGATGGACGTCTTGATGAGCGCCAGCATCTCCTTGTCGTTGGCCACGTCGACGGGCACCGAAATCTGCTCGACGATCTCGAGTGCGCGTGCGAGCGCCTTCTTGAACGCCGAGATGATGACGACCGGGTGGATGCCGCGCTCGAGCTGCGGCAGCGACTGTGCCAGGATCTCGCCCGCCAGGATGATGACGCTCGTGGTGCCGTCGCCCACCTCTTCGTCCTGCGTGCGGCTGAGTTCGATCATCGACTTGGCAGCCGGGTGCGCCACCTCAACCTCGCGCAGGATGGCGTTGCCGTCGTTGGTGAGCAGGATGCCGCCCATGGGGTCGAGGATCATCTTGAGCATGGCCTTGGGGCCCAGGCAGGTGCGGATCACGTCGGCTACGGTCTTGGCGGCGGTGATGTTGGAGATCTGCGCCTTGCGACCGGTCTGGCGCTCGGGCCCAGTGTTCATCACGAACACGGGCTGTTGTCCGGACATGGTTGCGGTGCTTTGCGTTGCTCACGGGTGTCGAGGTGATGGAGTGTTGCGAAAGAGTGGTGCGAGCAGCGGGTGTCGGTTGGTGTCACTTTTTGCGCACCTGCCGCGCCGACTCTGAAGCAACTGTGCACTGCAGCACCAGCAACAGCGCCCTCCCCTTGGACGGCGCGCGCGCCGCTTTCGACTGCTGCGCGTTGCTCTTTGCCTTCTTCCAGCTTCTTCTCAAAAGCGAGCCGCCGCGACCGACGCCCTTTTTTCGAGGCGCATCGGGTGGCGATTTTCGAGATCTTCCCGATTCCACTCATGCGGTTGGCACAGCAGCCCGGCACCCGTGACTGCTGTGGGTTGGTGCAGATTACAGTGGCCGGCATCTCGAGTTGTGCCCGAACCTTGTCACAGGTGTGGGAGCTGTGCTGGACGAGCACGAGATGAGGTCGACCCACCAATGTCGACTTTGAATCCGTGCTACGCTGCTGAGCATGTCGAGGAACAGACTCGAGGCGGTGCGCCGAGTCGGTCCGAGTTTGTGCGACTCGGCCAACGAGGGTCAAAAAGTGAAATTCGCCTCGGGCTCTTGGCAGCACAGCACGGCACGGCAAAGCACAGCGCAAAGCAGCACAGCACAGTCCAACGCACGCCCGCTCCCACACGCATGTTCGCACGCACGTCCGCACGCACGCACCAACCGAAAAGAAAGAGGCACCAAAGCGCTCTCTTCTGCGCTCTCTCACTTGTGGCTCCAACTTCCCCGCGCCGGGACCGCTCCCATCGATCCTTCTCAATCCATCCATCCCACTCATCCGCCCACCTCCCCCCGCCATAGACGCTGAAAGCGAGCATGGCGATCTTCGGCCTCAAGTCACGCAAGTCGCATTCATCCGTCATCTCGAGCGTCTCCAAGCACGAGCCACCGCGCACATCCAACACCGATATCCTCGAGGCTGCCGACGTCGTAGGTGACAGCCCCGACTTTGGCCAGGTCGCACACAGCCGTCGTGCCACCAACAACACTGTCGACTCGTCCTCCTCCTCGCTCCGCTCCCGCAACTCGACCAGCATGAAGAAGTTCTTTGGAAGCACGCGCAGGAAGGGCTCCCAGAGCATCGACGCCGGTGCACCGCCCTCGCACGCCGCCAAGTCGTCCGACTACTTTGGCTCCAACAACACCAAGCGCGCCAGCCAGATCAGCCTCGTCAACAAGCCCACAGTCGCCGCCACTTCGCCCCCCGTCATCACGCCCGGCGCCATCGCGCCTTCGCTCAGCTCGCCCACAGGCGACACGAGCTCCTTTGCCGAGGCGGTGGGCGCAGGCGTCTCGGGTGGTCTCGCCTCGCCCTCGTCTCCTACCGGCGCCCCGCGTCCGTCCGAACTGTTTGCCGGTAAGGGCGTACAGTGGAACCAGATCGACCTCACCTCGCGCGACCTCACCAAACCCACCGACGCCGCCTCCACCAACATCGACATGCAAAAGTTCCTCAAGGAGCGTCGCCAGTGGATCCCCACCTTCAAGGACTCGGACAACGTCGAGGAGGATGCCGTCAACCTCCCAAAGTCGCTCGACCAGTTCTCGTTTGGCGACGCTCCCCAAGTCGCAAAGTCGTCCGCAGGCGGCCTCAAGAGCCTCAAAGACCTCGAAGACACGCACAAGCGCAAGGCCGCCCTGCTTGAAAAGACGCCACTCGCGACCACCGCAAACGGGACCATCTTTGAGGAAGCCGCCACCACCAGCCCCTCGGCACTCGCAGGCCCTTCCACCGCTCCCACCCTGCCGCCCGCGCCTGCACCGCCGTCGCGCAACCAGTCCTTCCGCACTTCGTCCTTTGTCGACAACTCCACACGCAAGTCCAACAGCATCTCGCGCAAGCCCGCACCCTCGCTTGGCACGAGCACTGACACCGCTGGCCCTGCTACTGCTGCTGCCGCCGCTTCGCGCGACATTCCGCAGCGCAGAAGCTCGGTGCGCAAGGATCTGTCTGAGCTGGGCGGAGTCACTGCTGCCAAGGAGCCATCGGAAACGGTCGACCCTGCGGTTGCGGCAGCAGCTGCCACTGACAGCACTAGTCAAGCAGTCGAACCGCCGCAACCCGTCAATGGCCGCGTGGATCAGATCAAGGAGCAGGCCGCAGCTACAGAGGCTGCACCGACCTCGAGTACAGCCAACGGCAGCGTGCGCGCCTCGATCGACACGGCTGGCTTCGTCACGCCTGCCGAATCGCAGACGCACGACACCCAGTCGGCGGCCGCAGAGAGGCTGCGCGCTGCGCAAGCCGGGTCCATCCAGCCAGCTTCGGCCATCGCCGGCGACGCCTCGCACGATTCAGCCGCCACGGCTGGGCCCGCTTCGGCCATGCAAACCGACACCCCGCCGCGGCCGCCCAAGAACGGTCAGCGCACACCCTCGCGCCAGAGCAGCAAAGACCCCATCAACGCGAGCCCCACCAAGCCTCCCAGCTCCACCTTTGCCCAGGTCAAGGAGCAGATTGCGCAGGCCGCGCCGTCGTTGCAGAACGTTGTGCCCGGTACGGGCGCTGCCACCACGCCTGCCGCGCAGCAGTGAGAGTCGCAGCCCACACAATCATGTCATTCGTTTGCCACTCGTCTCAGACGTAATTCAATACCCCCATCGCCAGTATCCACACCGCTTGCCAATGTGAACGAGGCAAAGTTGCGAGCAGAGAGAGAGAGGGCTGAGGGAGGACTTCGGGAGACGGAGAGGAGTGGAGAAAAAAACGCCCCGAGCCAGGGTCCTTTTCCAAAAAAAAGAGTGTCTTGGACGTGTTCTTCTTGTTTGCACACGCACACCACAGCATCATGGCGGACTTTTACATTCGGTCGGCGACGGCACTGGATCGCGTGCTGCGCGACGAGTGTTCGGTCAAGGCGGCAGCCTCGGTGCATGCCGACTCTGGGCGTGTGCTGGCGCTGCTCATCAATGCGTTGGCGTACCGTTCGGCGCTTCTAGCTGCGCTCGACGCAGCCAGGGTGCTCAAGCTCGAAGCCAAGGTGTTCACCATCCTTGCTCCGCCACCAAAGAGCAAGAACGACAAGCCCAAACAGAAGCAAAAGGCGGATAAGAAAGAGCTCAAAGAGGTTGCGTCGGCCGAGGCGATGTGTTTGGTGCTCTGTCACGATCTGCTTTTCCAGTCGCGCGGGATTCAAGCCAGCAAGACATGGCCACCCAAGGTGGCGCTGGAAAAGTACCGGTCTTCGCTGCATTCGGCGCTGGTCAAGATGCAGATCCGACAGGGCAAAGCTCGGATCCAGGATCTGCGGTCGGGTGCGCTGTACCACGAGATGACGGCACGCATGCCGAGGTGGATCCGCATCAACAGTCTGCGTGCCACGCGCGACGAGGTGCTCGCCTGGCTGGCCGAACACAGCTATACCCAGGTCGAGACGGATGGGATCGGTGGAGTCAAGGAGTTTGCGGTGTCGAGGCATGTGCAGGGGTTGTTGGCGTTCCATCCCAAGGCGACAAGTGCATTGTTGCAGACGGAAATGTACCGCGACAATTGGATTGTCATGCAGGATCTAGCGTCGTGCTTTCCGGCGTATATCCTCGATCCACCAGCGGACGCACAGGTGGTGGATGCAACCAGCGCACCCGGCAACAAGACCTCGCATCTGTCCGCCATCATGTTCGCCAAGTCTTCGCGACGCATCGGCCAGAGCGAGGGAAAGGTGGTTGCATTCGAACGCGACGCTGTGCGATACAAGACGCTCGTCAAGCGTCTAGCTGCCGTAGGAGCCCTGGCCAAAGACGGAACTACGGGAAACGTGGTTCCCGAACGCAGGGACTTTCTCACCACCAACCCAACGGACTTTGGCGAGGTGACGCATATGCTGCTGGATCCGAGCTGCAGCGGAAGCGGAATCGTCAACCGACTCGACTTTCTCAAGGAAGACGACGACGTCGATGAGCTCGAAGATACGGTTGCTGCCGAGACGGGCGAGACCAAGTTGCAGCGTAGACTGCGCCAGTTGGGCGAGTTTCAGCTGCTCATGATCCGGCATGCGTTCAAATTCCCCGCGCTGCGCAAGGTGGTCTACTCGACGTGCTCCGTACATGCGCAGGAAAACGAAAGCGTCGTCATCCGTGCTCTGCACTCGGAAGAGGCCGACAAGTTCGGCTGGAGATTGGCACCCCGCTCAGAAGTCATTCCCACCTGGCCCGTCAGGGGCGATCCGGATGCGTGTGGCGAAGAGAAGGACGTGGCGGAAAACGTCATCAGGTGCATTCCGGGAGGCAAGGGAGAGGGGGACAAGCCACATGTAGAGGCGTGCAATGGCTTCTTTGTCGCCTGCTTCGTCAAGCATGCACCAACAAAGAGACCACTGGAAGAAGAGCAAGACGCGGCACCGACGGGCAACTCGGCCAACCGCAAGAAAAAGCTCCAGAAACGACGCCAGAAACAGCGCCTCGCACAACAAGCCTAGCCACCTCACACCCGACCCTTGGAAAACAGCTAACGATGGCATTCAGAAGCTTGTTATTTCTCTCTCAAACAGGAGATCGACTCAAGGAAGAAAGTGGATGGGGGGGAATGGACGCGTCTAGTTGGACGACGACGAGATGAAGAACCACTTGTCGATGCTGGCGTCGATGGGCGCGGGCGGCTGCGGGTTGGCCTTGGGCACCGAGGTGACGGCGGCGTCGTTGGCACCCACGAAACCCTTGGAGCCCTGGACGGACGAGTTGGTGAGGCTGATGTCGCCAGCGTCGGCCTGGCCCGAGATGAGGCGCTTCCAGGCCTCGTTGCACTCGTGCACGATCTCGGTGGCGTACTTGCGGTTCTTGGCCTCGCCAGAGAAGGCGAACTGGTTCTCGGGCTTGCCGTCGGGGATCTTGTAGATGCGGAACCACTCGTTGGTGGCGCGGATGAGGCCGGGCAGGTGGCGCTCGACGTCCTCAATGTCGTTGAGCTTGGGGGCGAGCGGGTCGTTGATGTCGATGACAATCACCTTCCAGTCGGTCTCGCCCTCGTCGAGGAGCGCCATGACGCCGAGCACCTTGACCTGCTTGATCTGGCCGGTGTAGCCCACCTGCTCGCCGATCTCGCACACGTCGAGCGGGTCGTTGTCGCCCTTGGCCTTGGTGTCCGGATGCGTGTGGTGCGGGTCCTCCCACGTCTGCGGGAAGGCGCCGTAGTTCCAGATGTAGCCCTTGTGCGGGAAGCAGTTGCGCACAAAGCGCAGCTTGCCCTTCTTGGTGTCCTGCTTGAAGGCGTTGAAGTTCTCCTCCTTGCTGATCTCCACCTTGGCGTTGGTCCAGCGCGGGATCTCGACAATCATGTTGAGCACCGTCTTGCTCTCGTCGGCGAACAGCGGCACATCGTGGAACGGCGACGCGGGCAGGCCCGTCTTGGCGTTCTCGAGGAAGACGCGGTAGTCGAGCGTGTTGGGCGAACCCACGGCGCGCGTCTTGTAGTCCTGGGCGGAAGCCATGGTGTGGAGACTGTTGGACAGCTGGCGAGCGGTCTGCGAAAGTCGACGGATGGAGGTGCTGGCACGAACAGGCGACGGCATATACCCCAAAGCGGATAGGTATACGGCAGAGGTTGTTCGAAGAATGTGGTGGTCGAGAGAGATTCTTGGGTGGCACTCGCTCGTGATTCTTCCAGATTCCACCGGATTGCGCTCTCGCACGTTTGCCGCTGTTGCTGCCGCCTCCGCCGCCTAAGTTATCGATCGAGGCGCTGCTGTGTTGCAGTGCGCTGTGATAGGCTCCTGTTCCGGCTCCACATGCGCAGCTGCTCCCGACTTCTTCCAGCTCTGCCTCCTCTCCCTCTCTCTCAAAAACTGCCCCGCCCAACATTCGTTGCCCCGTGCCTTTTTGGCCCCACTTTGCCGCAATTTCAAGTCGTGGGGAAGATTCAACTACAAGTTTCTTCTATTTGCCATTTCAAAGCTGATCTTGGCGGTGCTCCGATGGCGCCATTTGTCCCGATTAGCTACTCAGATCGCCCCGATCTGGCTTTGGATCTGGCTTTGACGTACCTTCCTCTCCTGCTCAGCCTTCAAGTTGCAGCATAGGATGACACTCGATCGTCAGCCCCTTACCTCCAAGATGCAAGCGAAGCAGACATACCGCTTTCCACTTGACTGACGAGCAAAGCTCATGAAACGACCATGTCAGTCGACGTGGCGGACAGAGCAGGCGTTTGGGAAACAAACGACTTGCATTTCGGGACATGCGTAACGACAGTAAAGCAACAAACGAGCGGCAGCGGCATCGTTCTCAAGATTAGAGGACCATAGCAAAGGATAACAAAAAAGGACTCCGTAAAACAACGAGACGATCAGCCATACAGCTGCCAGTCGAACTTGGCCGTGCTGCCCCACACCTGGCCGCACCCGGCATACTGGTTGGACTGCAGCGAGATGGTGTCGAGCGTCGACGCGGCACCCGAAGCGTCGGCCGATCCCAGACGCAAGACGCGCGCAGACTGGCTGCTGGTGCCTACAGTCTGCCACGGGGCGTAGTTGGCCGTGTTGGGGTTTCCGCTTCGCATGAACGTCACCCAGCGTGCCTGCACCTCCTGCACCACTGCGCGCTCCGATGCATCCACCTGGCTAGGGTCGGCAAACACCAGACGAATATCGTCCTCGTGGCAGACCTTGCCCTGCGCACAGTAGTCGTTGTCCTCGTTCGTCGGGTAGGCGATGCCGCGCTCGAATAGGCCCACGTACACCTGGCCCGCAGCGGCGTAGCGTCGCGCATTGTTCCAAGCGGCGCATGTAAACATACCCTGCGTCAGCACGGTCTCGAGGTTTCGCCTCAGACCGTCCTGCGCGCTCGAGTAGAGCTTGGCCTGCACCGGTGCTGGGTACGCCGACACATTGGTGGCCATCGAGTATGGCGTTGAGGTGTCGAGCACGTCCCCACGACCGCCGTTGAACATTTGCCCAAGCAGCTGCTGGCGTGACAGCGACATCGGCCACGCGCGCATCTCGGCTGAGTCGTAATTCGTACCCGTCGGAAGCAAAAGATTGCCAATCACAGAGCCGGCCTCGTTCTCGACGTTGGTCACGATCATCGGCTTGGACGCCACAGCCGCCGGGTTCGCCTCGAATGGCGTTCCCGTCAGCTGGCCCACGAAGGGCCGCCACACCTCGGACACCGCAACGGCGTCGTCGATGCTCTGCGCAGCTTGCACCGTCTGCATGCTCGCATCCAGCACGTCGCCGGCCGACATGGCACGCAGGCACGCCACGTCCGAGCAGCTCGTCTGCCCCATGGCGTACCGGCTCACCGCGTCGCTGGTGCTGGCGGTCTGCGTGCCAAAGTTGGCGGGGTCCGAGTGCAGGATGGCCTTGTGGAACAGGCTTGTTGCCGAGGGAGTCGAGAGGAGCGTGCGGATCAGATGCGCTCCACTGCTCTGTCCGGCGAGCGTGATGCTCGAGGCATCGCCGCCAAACGCAGCGACATTGTCGTGCACAAACTTGAGTGCCTGGATGGCATCGCGCACGCCCTGGTTGCCGCTCAGCTTCCCGCTCGGTCCGACTTGCGATTCGTCCGTAAACTGCTCGGGCGCAAAGAAGCCAAACATACCCAGGCGGTACTGGATCGTGACGACAACCACGTTATTTTGCGCAGCCAGGTACGAGGCATCGAGGCCCGGGGCCGTAGATGAACCCGCAATGAAGCTGCCACCATGCACCCACACGAGCACGGGCAACGGACCCGCCGTCGACGGCTTGGGGCGGAAGATGTTGAGGTAGAGGCAGTCTTCGCTGATGTCGGCGGCCTCGATCCCATATCGCGAATCCGGCTGCTGCATGCATGCCTTTGGCAGCTGTGTTGCATCGTACACCGCAGTATGATTCGGCAGAGCCGTGAGAGGTTGCGGCGCCGCGAACCGCAGCTCATCCACGGGAGGCTGCGCGTACGGGAGCGTGAATCGCTGCGAGCCATACGCGGTATTGGTGCCCAGGACCGAGCCGAGTGCGAGATTGACCTGCAGTGGGCTCGAGAGGCTGCACCGGCGGTCAGCTCGGCAGGTGAGCACGGGCGCACCCGCGCACATGTGGGCGCACGTGACGAAGCTGCACACCAGGCAGATCAGAGAGCTTAGCAGTGTCATCTTGAGGAAGAACGGTGAGGGAGGGTCTGGATGATGGATGAGACACAAGCTCGGAGTGGACGGCTTCTTATAGACATAGGGACGAGGAGGGCGCCGTTTCATCGAGGACGCCAACATTGAATGAAGTGCCAAGTTTGGCACCGCGGAGCCAACGGAACAAAGGGACGTTAAGGTTCGTCTCGAGCTGCACGCCGCACGATGCATGTCGATCCCCACCAGCGTACCACCGCCAGCAAGCCAGCGTCAAATCGCCCAGCTTTCCTCCGTCCAACGCTTCCTGCCCTCTCGTGCTTGCTAGCATCGTTGCGCGTGACGTTCAGATTGTAGGGCGAGAGACGACAAAGGGCCTGCATTGCTCGACGGTTGTCTGGCTTCTCTCGGCAATGCAGGTACGCTGGAGGGGTCTGAGCGCTTAGCTCTGCATGACGGCGCTTCGGAGTGCCAAGATCCACCGTATGCACGGCAAGAACAAAGGGCTCCGGCACGACGTTTGCCACGCGACACATCTTCCGGCGGTGGTGTTCCGGCCTGTCAAGCTGAATCCCCTTTGTTTGCCGCGGCAGAAGCTCCAGTCCCTTTCATGTAGCCATGGCTGCATCATTTCCGGACCGCAGCAGGACAAAGGGACGCAGATGCACGTACACCGGGCTCCGACTCCGCCCGCCTGCATCGCCCACGCCATCTCTCATGCGGACCCAGACGCTCGGATCTCGTCGCTGCCACCCAGACGCAAAGCACAGGCCGCATACCTCGCGCCACACGCACACGGCCATCGGAGCATTCTCGACATTTCCGTGCCAATCACGGCGCACGCAACGCGGATGCGCACTATACTTCGCCAAAGTCGCCGTGGCCGGTGGACTTTGCATGCTCGACCGCCTGCTTCTCGCCCGTGAGCTTGGTGCCGCACGTCTTGCACTTGAGGCTGAAGCTGGCGGTGTCGGTGTAGTATCTGCGCTGCTTGAGCTGCTGTGCGAGTTGTTTCGCCGCCGCTAGAACGGGGTCCTCATCCACCTCGACGCCCACTGCGCTCAGGTTCGGAAAGACCGTCGTGCCCCTATCCAACGCCGCACCTGGATGGTCTATAAGAGCGACTGCATCGTAGTGGATGCCAGAGTAGATGACGATGCCGCGGTTCTCAAAGTTCTTGTCCTCGCCGAACCGGTGGATGGCGCCAGAAGCGACGTCGACCGAGGTGAGTTCGACGCCGAAATGCTCGGCGAGGATGCTGAGTTCGATGGCGCCACCCCAGGTTTGTGGCTTGAGGATCTTGGAGATGTAGGCCTCGCGCGGCTGGCCGAGCACGATATCCGGATACGCAGACGGATTGGAGCGAATCGCATCGGCGACGGTCGACCGAAGGCCGGAGCAGAGATCCGCCCCGAGTCGCTGCTCGAACAGAAAGCCGATCGAGTTGAACAGACACGAGTTGTCGTCCGGCACAACTTTGAGCGCAAGGTAGCCCTGGCCGGAAGAAAGGGGCACCGAGACGGATCCATCGGTCACTTTGTTGCTGGGCGTACTCGAGCTTGCAGATGCTGATGTACCGGGCGTGCGCGCGGTAAGGCCATCGTTGAGGGTTCGTGCACCGAGTCCGTACGAGCGCGAACCTGTTGCTGTTGACACGATGGGTTGTGGACCTCCCATTCGTCCGAACGAAGAGGTCGCAGCCGATTCCGACGCACCTGCAGATGCGGCTGTTGCAGCCCCACTTCCGCTACGACGTGCTACAGTCACCTGTTCACCCTTTCTGATACCGACCAAATCCGAGCTCACGGGTGTATCGCCACTGAGCCCCGCGAGAGCGAGCGGCTTGGGAGGATAGCCAATCTTGAGCTCCTGGTCCGCTGGCGCGATGCCGCTCTCGGCCTGGATGTACGCCTGCAGTGCCGACAGCGTGGTTGTGTCGTCGAGCGCGAACGAGCTCGTGCCCTCTGGGTGGCGGATGCGGATCATGACGAGCTGGCGGTGGGCGGTAAGTGATGGCTGCTGTACGACATGCACAGCGTGTACAAGATGCAGGTCGTTGCCGCACCGGTGTTGGTCTTGCACCGTCAAAGCCTCCACACGACACAACGCTTCGTTGACGCATCCCTCTGCCGAATTTTTTGGGCTTGTGTTAGACTCGTCAGCCCCGCCTTCACTCTTCTCATTATTGGCATGCTCAGTCCATTCACCTTGGCTTGCCTTGGACACACACACACAGCTGCTCAGACATTGGGGCGGATGAGCGGTAAATCCATGCACAAGCGATCTATAGGCAATGATGTTTGCTGGCGAGCTTACGACGACGACGAGCTCATGCCAACGACCATGCCGTTCTTCATGGTGACGGAGCCCGTGAGCGCCAGGTCGGCGACGCGCGAGCTCTTGCCCACCCAGATCTGGTACGTGCCGTCGACCACGCGGAACTCCTGCCTGACCACGTCCCACACCGAAAAGTCGCGCTTGCTCAGCTTGAACGTGGCGGTCTTGGACGCGTTGGGCTCGAGATCCCTGACCTTGTCAAAGCCTCGCAGCTGTCGAACCGGCGCCTCGGCCTCGTCGGGATAGCCAACATAGAGCTGAGCCACCTCGTCGCCCTTCATGGCGCCGACGTTCTTGACTTCGGCGGTGACCTCGACGAGGTACTGGAACAGAGATGCTGCGCCACCGGGCATCTTTTCGCTCTTGGACTGCACCATGCTGGGCGCATAGCAGTTGTCGGCCGACTTTTGGATGGCGAGGTTCGCGTAGCTGTAGTTGGTGTACGAGATACCGTGGCCGAAGGGGATGAGGGGCTTGAGACCCATCTTGTCCCACGCGCGGTAGTCGATGTAGAGTCCTTCGGTGAAGTCGACCTGCGGGTCGCTCGCGGGACTGCCAACGATGCGTGGGTAGTGAACCGCATCGTCGTCGGCGAGCATCGAGTAGGGCATCTTGCCGGACGGGTTGACGTCGCCGTACAGCACGCGCGCAAGCGAATTGCCAGACTCCTGTCCAGGCAGGTGCGGCAGCACGAGCGCAGTGATGTTCGGGTGGTCGAACCAGTCGCTCATCAGCACGGGGCCGACGGTGTGCATGACGACGATCGTGTTGTTGCTCTGCGATGCCACGAGCTTGATCAGTTCGTCGCCATCGGCGTCCAGACGAAGCGAGTGGCGGTCGCTATCCTCGCCCGACCTCGCCTGGACAAAGACGAGCGAGGCGTCGGCAAGACCAGCCGCCTGCTTGATGAGCATCTGGTTCTGCTCGTCACCGACGTCGTTGAGGTTGGCCAGCACCGCGCCCTGGTTCTCGCGAGCCGCCTCCGAGATGCCAGCAAGCGGGTCGATGAGGTAGGGGAAGAAGCCAGCGCCAGATCCCCACCCAATCGCCTGCGTGCCGTTCGACGTCGCATTCGCAGGGCACAGCTGCGAACCAAGCCCGATCCACGACTGGCACGAGTTGAGCCCGTACGGGTTGGGACCGGCATCGCTGCCAAACACGGCGACGCGCGCCTGCTTGGCAAGCGGCAGACCGACAGTGTATCCCGTGTTGCCCTGCTGGCCCGGCTTGTGCGTAGCCTTGTTGTAGATGAGCGTCACCGCCTCCTCTGCCACCTCCTTGACGATCTTCCAGTGGTCGCCCTGCACGTTGCGGTGCTCGTTGACCACCGAGCCGTTGTAGAGCGTGTTCTGGTAGCCGTCCTTGTAGCTGACGGTGGGGTAGTCCTTGTCCTGTCCGTGCAGATACCACTGTGCGAGCAGGCGCACGATTCCGTCATTGATGCGCTCGATCTTGACCTCGCCTGCGTCGAGCGCGCGAACGAGGTCCGATCCGCCCACCAGATTCTTGTMCCCMCCCGTCATTCCGCCGGGCATCACCACGTCCGACCCGCCGTTGTACGTGTTGCTCGTGTTGAACGCCGCCGACCAGTCGGTCACCACAAAGCCCTGGAAGTCCAGCTCGTCCTTGAGGATCTCGTTGAGCACCTTGCTGGACTCGCAGCCCTGCGTTCCATTCAGACGATTGTACACGCACATGATGCCGCCGCTGCCGGCTCGGACGGCGTTCATGAATGGCCAGAGGTAGAGCTCGTGCAGTGTGCGGTCGTCGAGGTTGGCGCTGTAGGTGAGCGCGGTGTTGTTGTTCGGGTTGAGCGTGTACGGATCCGAAGCAGCATACAGCTGTCGGTACGTCTCCTGTTCGTACGCGAGGAAGTGCTTGGCGGTGGTGATCACACCTGCCGACTGGGTACCAGAGACGGTGTAGTAAGCAGCCTCGCCGTGAAGGTAGGGATCGGGTCCGAAGCCCTCCCAGTTCCTGCCCTGGTACGGCCCGCGGCCGAGCGGGCCACCCGTAACAGGGCCAAGGTGGACGTTGACGCCCTTGGCGACGAACTCTGCGCCGAGAGCTGCGGCGCGCTTGTACATGAGGTCTCGGTTCCACGTAGCTGCGGTCGTCACACCGGCGGGGAAGACGGTGACAAAGTCCGAGGCACGGAATCCGGCGGGACCATCCTGGAAGCAAAGCTCAGGGATGCCGAAGCGGTCAACACGGCCGAGCGTACCTTCGCAGCGACCGCCTGTAATGCCCGCGGTGAGATTGACCTTCTCGTCGAGCGTGAGCTGGTCGACGACGCTTCGCGCCTTGTCCACCGCCCATTCCCAGCCACCGTTGCCCGTGACTGGGTGGAAAGGGCTGTTGATGTCCGCCAGCTCAGGACCTCCGCGGTAGAAGGTGCCCGCAAGAGGAGCCTGTGCCAGCGCCGAATTCGCTTCCGAGCTGATGTTCCACGAGAGCGTCGAAGTGTCGGTCTGGTTGGATGAAGAGGCTTGGCGCGTCTGCATGAGCATCTTAAATTGCTCGAGCGGCGCGGCCTGTGCGCCCGTGTGGGCGGCGTAAACGCCGAGCACCAGCAGTGCCTTGACGCTTGCCTTCATAATGCCAAGTGGGCGCTTGCGTTAAGCGACAGGTGTCGGGCCGAAGCTTTCCAACAGCCAAGGCTTGTGGTTGGATGGCTCTTGGCGGGGTACGAGGGGACAGCTGAAGGGGGAGGAACGAAGAAGATCGTGGCTTGACGGTCCCGTGTGACAAGCGGAGTTGCGAACGTACTTATAGTGAGTCAAGTGTTCAGTGGAGAAGAAGAACTTTTGTGGGGCGGCTGCGGGGTTGTCGGCTGACAGTGGCCTTTCCTCTCGGCAGACGCGGAGGACAACAATGAGCACTGTCTGCGTCGAGGATGCCGGACTTGCCTGTTTGCAAGCGAGGGTCCGTTCGCGATGGAGTCAAAGGTCACCGGCTGGTCTTGGCAGCAGCTCGTCTGGGATCAATACGGCAGCCTGGCGGACAGAGGAGGCATAGGACGATGCTCGAAAGTCTCGCGAGAGGCAGCGGCACCGTCTCTTCCGTGCAGGCTTCAGAAGTGCTGTAGCGATTCCGCAACCAGGCCGCCACTCAGTCAACAACATTACACGCGTTGCACCCTGGGGGCAAACACAGCAAGCACGCTGCGTGTGCGTCTGACGTGCAGGATCGCATGTATTCATCCTGCCATTTTCGGCACACGACTACCGGTGATCCCCCAAGCTCACGGTCGCCGGTCTCAGATGGCCTCGAGCAACCTATGCGAGGATCCATGGCGGCATCGCAGCAACAAACGGACGACGCTGTACGCAAGCGCGGACGGCGTGGGGGCAAGCAAGAGATTTCCGAAGAATCGCAGGCCAGAAGACGCCGGGCATCTTGCATGGAAGCCTCCACGCCAGAAAAAAGCGGGGTCTCCCGCCGGACGTAGTGGGCGGAGACTCAAGTCGCACCGAAATGTGGAGAAAGCAAGCGTCGACCGAGTCGACCGGCATCTGTTGGATCCGCGGCGCTGCGACAAGCGAGCCGATTTGCAGCTCGCTAAGCGCAAGCGACACGGTGTGCAGCTCCGCATTTCCTTGCAGATGCGGGACTTCGAGCTTGCTTCGACGTCGAAAAGCGGTGCGGTGGTGCTCAGCGATCGTGCAACCGGAGAGGAAGAGGCGAAGCAGTGAAGAGAATTTGCTGCTGTGCATCAGTCTACATACGGGGTTCAGTACTGTGTTGTGCTTGTTTTTCGTACTCAGGTATCGTCTGGCCATTCTGAAACATGGCGAGCATTGTCGTAAGGTGTAGACGAAATAGCTCATTGATCTGCTACCGGACCGCTGTGGGCGTGTGTCTACGGAGTAGCAAGTCTGAATGTCGGAACGGAAACCAACATGATTGAGCAAAGGGTCCGATTGCCCGAACGACAGAAAAAGGTGGCCTCGAAAGGAGGCATCAAATATTCTTAGCGGAAATGCTTACAGTAGCTGGCGCAGCCGACATTATGTTCGACTCAGCGACTTTGTTGAAAGGCGAATCATCTACGAGAGCAGAGCGAGGAGTCTAGCGGGAATGTGCAGCAGGAAGTGGCACTGCTCAGATCAGCATTTGTCAGCAGTTGAGCATCGACATCCTCGCAACACAAGGCCCCGTCCTGCGAGCGCCACTCGGGCTACAGGCTCGACAACAATGCGAGGAGCTGGACCTCGCCGGTGCCTCTCCCCCATGCGACAGACCACTCGACTGGGAGGGGCTGACGTGACCGGTGCGTCTCTCACGATGGAGCTGAGAGTTCGCTACGGCGTTTGCCTTTGTTCACGTGGTCGATCAGCCTCCATCTGAACGGTCATGGACCGCCATTGTGATCGTTCCGAGCCACAGGACTACAGAAGACGGCCACGATCAGATCAGCATGTGCTCTACTATAGCTAGATCAGGAACAGCCAGTGACGAGATTGCCGAGATGTCCGAAACAAGCGCAGACCACTACCAAGAACTCCATGGCTTTAGCAACGTCTTCTTGCTCGGATCGAGCCAAGAGAAGTCCGGCCTGGTTGCTCCTCATCGAGCTACGCATGACCGTCGGGACGTGTGCTGGGTAGTAGGGCCAGCTCTGCTCCGTGCCGACGGCATCACAACTCGGCGCGACCAGGAGGTGTTGTGCACGCACTGGTATGAATCTGCTGTTTATGTTTTCAGCCGAGATGTGGCTTGCTTGCGTACGCAGATTCCCGCAGGCTTATTTGCCGTAGACTCCCTTGCAATAGGCGCGATGAGCTCAGACACTTGCAATGTGGCTTGGAAGCAGGAAGCTTCGTCGGCTACAATGGACGAAGCTGGCCAAGCGTCGACCATGACCGGCAACGTTGAGCGAGACGCTTGGGCCGCGTTGACCGGGCATGGCGCGTGGCCGCTGGGACGGACCGGCGAATCGACGCTGGGGCTACAGCGGGCTAGCATGATCCAATCTATCGGGCGGCAAATCGTCCTCAATGGTCCGTGCATCTGCATAGCAACGGAAAGAGCCGCTTGCAGCTCCATGCTCGCTGCCAACCCCGATTGTTTGCTCCTCCACCATGGCCGTACCTCCATTCATACGTCTGAAAAGCTCGAGTGGCAGGATCGGCTTCAACACAATCGGCTCGGGTGTTGGATGAGAATAAGCCGTGCGGGAGGCGACCTTTCGTCGGCGTATAGTGAGCGCCGAGAAGCGAGCAGGGGCTCAGTCGCGGAGTCCGAAAGCAGGTCACGCCAGGAGGCTCAGCCAAATGCCGTCCCGTGAAAAAGAGCCATTCTCGAGCAGAGGGGGGGCCCAGACGCGGGGCAAGCACTCGCTCTCGAGTTGAATCGCTGCCACCTCCGCAGGTTGACCGATCTGCCCTCGATCGCGGTACAGCGATGCCGGCACTGGCCGCACTGCGCCCTCTCGAGCGTTACAGTAAGATCGTCGGCAATCACCTACGCCGAGCAGTCGCGCACAGAGACAAGACCAACACATCCGGCCAACTTGGCAGCCCGGGTTGTTGGTTAAGCCGTGCTCAGATTGCTCCGATATTGATGACGGGGAGAATACACCGAAGCGGCGACGAGGTCCCCGATGCCGGCCACGATGACGCTAGACGACGACGATGTGGGCAATTCGGATTTGTGTGTGACCCGCGGGCAATGTCAGGCGCAGTTCATCGTCATGCCTACTGTGCAAGTGACGATGAGAGTACATTGCACAGCGCAAAGCGGGGCCGCAGATGAAGACGAGATGAGATGCGGGATGCAGGCCAGACCGGATCTTACGCGGCATCCACCCGCAACGCCGCATTGCTGAAAAGCACGAGCTCTCGCGCGAAAGGCCAGGCATGACTCCCTTTGTTGGTCAACGTGTGCGTTCCCAGACCAACGCGGGCAGGACGGCCAAAAGGATGCCGAGGCAGGGTTGACCGGTGACCCGCGCTCGGCTGGGTCGGTGCGATGGCTTGGTCGAGTCTCCCCGCGCACGACCATGTTCTCTAGGCATTTTTCTTGGCCGCGAACCCTGACGAGATCCCCGCACTCCGTCTGCGTCTCTACGCGTGCGGTGCAACACATGGCATCTCGTGTGGGCTTTTTTTTCGATTTTTTATTCTCTCGGCTCCAGCTGAGGGTTCCACAAGTTTTTTTTGCGAGAAACTGGATTTCCGGGGAAGTAAGCAGGCGGCTCAGCGGAGGACGGCGTGCCGAGCGTCGAAGAGCAGGCATGGAGAAGTAAGTGTCCTCGAGTCTCATGCGCCAGAGCGTACGTCCCCGGTCACTCGACCCTGCAGCCCCGGGCCCCCGCTTTTGCGAGTCGTGCGCGCCAACCAGGTTGACCGGTTGACAACTCGTCTCCACGATTCTGGGGGATCACGGTGTCGATGTTGAGCATGCACTGCAAGGCGTTGCCAGAAATCAACAAGCCAATCCTTGCTCAGCCTCATTTGCGTCGGTGCGGGTGTTGGTGGAGACGTGCAAATGGCGTGGCATCCCCTTTCCCGTCCATTTCGGTCTTGTCCGTCTTGCGCCCTTCATTTCAACGAGGATACAGCGTATGTGGCACGGAAAGGACGCCATCAATGGCCAGGAGCATGAACGGAAGCGCAAGCCTGTTGAAAGTTGCTCTGTGCGAGGGTGGCACAGGGAAAACCGAGCGAAGCGATGCGCGCGTGCGGCTGTCAGCTGTCCAGCCCCATTATTTTATTATTCTTTTATTTTATTATTAATTTTTTTTTATTTTACTCCTCCTTCAGCCATGTAGGGACTTGTCTCGGCCCAGGTGCATCACCATCGTCGCCCTCATCCTGCTTGTCTCCGGTCAGCTCGGCCGTCCCTGGCATCGCCGTTGGCTGTTTAGGTGCGCACGTCGGCCTTTCTGACCGTGCGCTTCAGGCACCAGCGCCCTGGGCGCTAATGGCCCGAAATGAACAATTGGCGTGCGACGCGTCGAAAAAAAGCCCCCACGCATCCCCGGATTTTCGCGGCTCAGGCACTCGGACCCTCTCACCGGCAACGATGGAGCCCCACCCTCTCCCCGACCTCGTCCTCCTCGTCCATCTCCTCGACCCGACCGACCGTCACCTTGCAAAAGTAGATATAGACCCCCATTCTCCCCCCGGCTCTTTACTGTCTGTCCGTCCGCTCACACTTCTCCGCCCATCCTCTTCCACTTCTCCGTCAAGAATCGGAGCAAGGCCAGGTCCCTGCCCACACACTCTTCCCTCTCGACCTCTCGCTTAAGACCCGGAGCATCACCATCATGGCTCCCACCGCCACCGGTGCTTCCAACCATGTCTCGCAGGCCCTTGCTGAGCACCGTCTCTCGATGGTCGGCGCCACTGGTGCCAAGGGCCTCATCAAGAACGCTCGTACCTTTGCCATCGCCGTCTTCGCCTCCATGGGCGGTCTGATCTACGGTTACAACCAGGGCATGTTCGGTCAGATCCTGAGCATGCACTCCTTCCAGGAGGCATCAGGCGTCAAGGGTATCACCAACCCTACCCTCGGTGGCTTCATCACTGCCATTCTCGAGCTCGGTGCCTTCGTCGGCGTGCTCATGAACGGTTACGTTTCGGACGCGTTCGGTCGACGAAAGTGCGTTCTCTTCGGTCTCGCATGGTTCCTTCTCGGCTGCATCATCCAGGCTTCCACCACCGGCGGCTCTTACGACTTCATCACCGCCGGCCGCGCCATTGTGGGCGTGGGAATCGGTTCACTCTCCATGATTGTGCCCCTTTACAATGCGGAACTTGCTCCCCCCGAGATCCGTGGTGCCCTCGTCGCCCTTCAGCAGCTTGCTATCGTCGCAGGAGTGATGATTAGCTTCTGGTTCACCTATGGCACCAACTTTATCGGTGGCACCGGTGCAGGACAGAGCCGCGCTGCATGGTTGATCCCCGTCACCGTCCAGATCCTCCCCGCCCTCATCCTCGGTGTCGGTATCTTCTGGCTTCCCGAGTCGCCACGTTGGCTCATCGACGTTGGCCGCGAGCAGGAGTCGCTTGCCATCATCGCTAGCCTTCGTCGCCTTCCCGAGTCGGACCTCCTCGTCCAGATGGAGTTCCTCGAGGTCAAGGCCCAGAAGCTCTTCGAGGACCGCGTCTCTGCGCACGACTACCCCGATCTCCAGGACGGCTCCCGATCTTCCAACTTCAAGCTCGGCCTTGCTGGTTACAAGTCGCTCTTCACCAACCCGGCCAACCTTCGAAGGACCCTCGTCGCCATCTTGATCATGCTCTTCCAGCAGTGGACGGGCATCAACTTCATCCTCTACTACGCCCCCTTCATCTTCAAGCAGATCGGCCTCTCGGGCAACACCATCTCGCTCCTTGCCTCTGGTGTTGTCGGTATCGTCCTCTTCCTCGCCACCATCCCTGCCGTCCTCTACATCGACTCCTGGGGACGCAAGCCCACGCTGCTTGCCGGCGCTATCATCATGGGTATCTGTCATCTGTCGGTTGCCATCATCATCGCTCGCTGCGGTGGCGACTGGCCCGCGCACCGTGCTGCCGGTTGGGTTGCTTGCGCCTTCGTCTGGATCTTTGCTGCTGGCTTCGGCTTCAGTTGGGGACCTTGCGGTTGGATCATCGTTGCCGAGGTCTTCCCTCTCGGTCTGCGTGCTAAGGGTGTCTCGATCGGTGCGGCTTCCAACTGGCTCAACAACTTTGCCGTCGCCATGTCGACGCCCGACTTCATCACCGCTGCCCCTTACGGTGTCTTCATCTTCCTCGGAGTCATCTGCTTTGTCTCGGTGGCTTACGTCAAGTTCTTCGTGCCCGAGACCAAGCTTAAGACGCTCGATGAGCTCGATGCCGTCTTTGGCGACAACTCGGGCAGGTCCCAGTGGGAGGCCGGCATCATGCTCCAGGCCCAGCGCGACGTTGGTCTGCTCCGCCTCGCCGGCATCGAGGAGCCCAAGGGTGTCCACGGAGACAACGTCTCGGATGACGTCGACGAGAAGGGCTCCGACATCCACTCTGATGGTGAGGTCAAGAAGGAGGGCCACACCGTCGTCTCCACCGCCTAGATAGGCATTCGCAAGGCGAAAATACCCCCCCTTTCTCAAACTTTGTCTCGCTCATCCGCGTGTCTCATGGTGTATGGATAGCACGTTCGGGACGTGCTCGGTTTAAGCCTTTTGTATCTCTTACCGTCTCGACCCGATGCTGCAATTGTGTTCTTTTACTTGGAGTCGTGCGGTGCCTTGGCGTGAACCTGAACCTAGACTATGCTATGATTGAGTTGAACAGTCGAGCGTCGATCCTCCCGCGCGATGGACGTAGGTGCAAGAGCAAACAATGTATGCCTCTCCATTGCCATCAAGCAGGACTGGAAGCATGTGAAAGGAATGCAACCTTGTTTGTGGAGTCGTCCAAGAGTGTTGGCAGATTCAAATGGAACAAGTCGCTCGTCAAGAGACAAGTTCAGGTGAGGGCTGATATCAGACTATACCAGTCGTCAATGTAGATGGCATGAATGCAAAATATGATAAGTGCAAGGGGATGTGAGCAGTCGAGGGTGGATTTGAAACTGCTTCGAGTCGTTGATGCTGGTGTAAAAGAAGTGCGAGGCGGCGTGATCGAGAAATCAGCTCCGGGCTAGACTTTTTCATGATGAGGCACGTGATGGCCGCCGTCCCAGCCATGGACGAGTAGGCGTTATCATCCTTCCAGGCAGTGTCGACGCAGGAAGCGACTGAGCAGACTATGAACATTGCCTGCTTCCATTGCTGAAAGATGCCGGTGTACGTCACGCAGACGTTCTTGAAGTCAGGGCTGCGGGCGGAACGAGCGTCAAAGAGCTGCTGGAAGCACTTGACGACATGTTCCGTGTCGGAGAGGGGAAAGAGGTTGCTGCAGACGAAGCAGCAGTATTGCTTGTGCTTGTCCCGCAGACATTCATTGTAGACGGCAAAGACGTCGGCCGGATCGCGGGGGTTGGCAATCTTATCTGCAGGGAACGACTTATGGCAAGATGGGCATAGGTGAGATGCGTCACTGAGAATCCAGTCCATCAAGGTTGAGTCGGGATCCTGACGAATGCTTTCGTCGTCAATTGAATGAGGTTTTTGAGCGATCGACGTCCAAGACAGCAGTTTGGCACTTGTAAGGGACAGTAGGCCCGCCAGCGATTGCTTGAAGGGACTACGGACACTGCTGTTGATGGTGCGGAAAGTCTGCACGAACCCGTGTGAGATGGCGCTGAGAATGCTGGCCTGGTCGCCACCAGACTACTCCTTCCCTTGGTGAAAGGCTGAGAGGAGAAGTGGGCCCTCTGTCACCGTTCGGGGTCAACGTCGGCAGGGTCTGGCAAGTGTGACACAGCACCATGGACATCAAGCACCTTTGGGACGTTGTCGGAGAAAGATGTTGGGTTTCCCGGCTCGCCCGGCCCTTTACCTGCACCGGGCGCTCCCACCGACTCATACGCGCCCTGGAGGCGTCGCTACATACACCTCCGCAGGGCTACGACGCACATACCTTCGGCTCACTCACTCAGCTTGATCTCATTCTCTCGCTTGCACGCGTTATAGATGGACCACCATCGCTCAGTCGTATCCCGACCAATACATCCGTTCGCGTTAATCACATCTGCCGTGCGTCGCCTCGTTCCAGTGTCCTGGTTCAACAGCTAGCACTGCAGGCTCCCAACAATCTAGAATGTGGGCAACGCCAAAGTACCCACGGTAGCTTAATCGAGCCTTGAGCGACTCCAGAGCCAGAGGAGAGGCACCACACCATCGAGCACATCAACCTATTAAAGCAGTATCGTGCTGCAGATACCTGCTCGGGTGGATCTCGTTTGAGCCCGGGTGCCGCAGCTAGCGCTCGCTCTTCGGTGTCCTCGTCTGCCTCCCGCCAATGTCCCGTCGCGCCTTCAGCTCCGCCACCTCTGGAACCTGCTGTGGCTGACCCAGCTCTTTCTGCTGGTCCTACTGCCCCGCCTCTCAACCCCGCCGTGACCCCGCTGTGCTCGACCCAGCTCTTTCTGCTGGTCCTGCTGCGCCTGGTAGCCAGCAACCTCTGGCTACAGGCAGTCGAGATCTGAGAAAGAGCGAGGATGCTATCTTTTCGCTTGTTGCGCTCGGGCTCAGCCAGCAGGTCTTCCCCAGGAAGCTTCGCCAAAATCTTCTCCGATCGTCAGATTGGCTTATCTTTGCTCAAGAAGAGCAACTTTGCCTACGTCTTCACGGTCAAGGACAGGTTGTCGACTGTCCTGTGTTCCTGCACCGCAGGACGCATGCTCGCGAACCAGAGACAGACAGCCCTCACAACTGCAATTCGCCTCACCATCCCTCCGACACAATTGTACGGGGTCAACATCACCGACAAATGCACGGGGCAGAGATGGTGTTCGTGGGTTCAAATGTTGGTGCGCGCGCTGTCGCTGCGGGTACTAGGCCGCAGATGAACCCAGGCAGCTAGAGCTGGAGGGGCTTGGTCGAAGAAGGAGTATCACCACTGTCGATAGCGCTGGAGGGCCCGCAGCGCTGTTGGTGGACGAACGGTAAGGCGGTGAAGCCAAGCCCAATAAGCAGGGGCTGAATCGCGCAAAGGCCTTGGTACGCCGGCCAACAAAATCTCATCACACGAGGGTGTTCCTGGACACGTCCACAAGGCAAAGGCGGTAATACGGGTGTGGTGCAGGCCTGTCGGACGCAGTTTCGTGACCGTGTGGGTCGTGTTGAGCTGCTAGAGAAACAAGGAATGGCAACAAAGCCGAGAGCGACCATCTCTCACAACGCAGCTGTTTGTCGGGCCTCTGGACCACGACCTCAGAGACAGCGGGTCGGCGGTCTTTGGGACAGTGCGCCAAACCAGTCAGACCGCGTTGCATTCTCAATTGCGAAGTAGGCGATAGGCTTTCGATGCCAGGCTAGAGACGACGCCGACGACTCGAGCAGTACGACTAGAAACGGCGCGAAACAGGGATGTGAAAAAGGTGAAGCTAAGCCGAGAGGGAGAGAGGCAGGGAGCGAGAAAAGAAGGCGAGAGAGGTGTCACGATCAGCTTCTGGTTCACTCATGGCACCGACTGTATCGGTGGCACTATAGGTGGTCAGAGCCATGTTGCATGGCTGATCCCTGTCATTTTCGAGCGTCAATGCGCTGCTTGAAGCAATGAACAGCAGGGTCCGAGTCAGCGGCTCGTTTGGATTTGTGCGGGTTGCTCGAGCGCGGGTTGCTCGAGTGCGGGACGTGCGCAATTTGACGGTTGGAAAGGCAAGGCGGAGAGGTCAAAAATGACCGCGCTCGGGCCGATGCGCGCTCAGGGTCCGCGTTGATCCAGGGTCCGCGATAGGAGCGCAGATTCGGAAGTGGGTGGCCGGTCCGCAACGGAGAACTTGACACCAAAGCGCCGGTGATGATAGCGCACGGAGCGGACAAGCCATCCGACTTTGCGGCGATAGAGCTGATGGAGGTGCGGAAGCAGAGTAAGGACAAGGCCGAGGTCGGAGCGACGCACGTCGGCGAGGGGCGATCCGACTATCTTTGCAGCAGGGTCGGTCAGGTGTGGCAATGCGCATGTGTGGGGTAGGCGAGCAGCTCGGATTCATGCCAATCCAAACGTGCCCGTCACCTTGTTGTCTGCAGCACCGAGTCGCATATATACCGGGATGTGTGGCATTGTAACATGCTTCTCCATCATCCCACCTACCCAACGACAAGATGCTGTTGAGCAAGTACCTCTCTCTCCTCGTCGCCGGTCTGGCAGCTGGCAGTAGCAGCACAGCCAAGCCTCTTCCTGGTATGGACGTTGGCCGCCCTCAAGTGGATGCTGGCATGCGCTCGCTGTTCGCATACTACAACGGGACGGATGGACGGTTTGATACGTCTGCGTCGTGGTGGTTGAGCGGCAATGCGCTGACTACGGTGCTGGAGTACATGGACAAGACGCATTCGCGCCGATACATGCCTCAGGTGCTCAACACGATCGAGCAGCAGAAGAAGCCGTTGCCGTGGTGGCCTTCTGGCGGCGGGATCTTTCGTGCGGATTCGACGGACGACACGGGATGGTGGGCGCTGGCGATGCTCAAGATGTACGACCTGACGCACGATGGCAAGTACCTCGAGTATGCGGTGTTGGATGCCGAATATCTGCAGAGCTTCCAGAGCGGTGCGTGTGGTGGGGGCATCATCTGGGACATTCCATCGCGCACGTACAAGAATGCGATCAGCAACGAGCTGTTCCTCTCGCTCGCTGCGGGTCTTGCCAACCGTCTGCCGGATGCCAAACAGAGGGGTAAATGGCAGGGTGTGGCCAAGGCGCAATACTCGTGGTTCGTGCAGTCGGGCATGATCAACAGTGTCAACCTGATCAACGACGGACTGACGGACGCGTGCAAGAACAACGCCGGCGTGGTATGGACGTACAACCAAGGCGTGATCCTCGGTGGACTGGTGGAGCTCTTCACGGCCGACGGACACAAGCGCGAGTACCTGGACCTTGCGACCAAGATCGCACGTGCCGTGACGTTGAGCAGCGCATTCAACAGCGATGGAGTGTTGGTCGAGTCGTGCGAGGGCGCCCAAAAGTGCAACACAGACCAGGATGCGTTCAAGGGCATCCTTGCGCGCAACCTCGACAAGCTCAACCGCCTCACTCCGGGCATGCCCTACACGGCGTACCTCAAGCGCCAGGCTGCGAGCGCGTACGCCAAGGCGAGAAACGCCACCGACTTTTACGGCGTCCAGTGGACGGGTCCCGTGGGGCAGGCCAATGTGGGCACGCAGGGCTCCGCCATGTCCCTGCTCGTTGCGGCGCTTTGAGTGCAGATTGCTGTAGGCTAGATTGATCGTGCGCAAAGAATGACACTGGTCGAATCGGGATCCGATGGGACGAAGAGATGATCGGCCGATGTACGGCCATGCCGAGTGGAATGGGCGAGCGTGCATAGACGCCGAAGTGACCGCGCGGTTCGAGGAGCTAAAGCACAAGGTCCGCCCCCTATCGAAGCGCGAAGTGCATAGGCGAGAGAGAGAGAGAGAGTCCCCTTTGAGGCAGGTTTGAGCGCGTAGAATCCAGCCAACCCTATTTAGGTCGAATATCCAACGGCGTCCTTTTTTCGGCAGCGCAAAGGCAGCGCAGGCACGGCACGGCACACCACGGCACAAAGCAGACGCAGGGTCGTGCGCGGTTCCTGGAACTCCGCCAGCATCCAAATGCGCTGCCGAGACAGGAGAGGGTGTTGGTCTCGGAAAGGGAAAAAGGTGCACCACAGCACAGCAGCACAGCCCAGCCCAAAGTGGACGGCCCCTTTTTTGATTTTCTACACCGTCACACCGCAGCCATACCGCCAACACGGCACACACTTCCAACGGCTACCTTAGCCAATGGCGTCTCTCGCAACCACGACCATCTCTCCTCTTCCAAAGCGCTCCTGCCGGTCAGAAAGCGCGATCACTCAGCTAGGCTTGCCGTCCGGACGAACTCGCCTTTAGCCTTTAGCCATACTTGCCGTCGTCGTCTTGGCCTTCCTCCACCACAACGACATCTGGCCGACTCCTTGCAGCTAGGCATTATTGGCCCACACGGCTGTCGGACGCGCTCTTCCTCTTTTAAGGGACCCTTCCTTCACTGCCAACCATGCCTTCCCCGTACGAATCACGATCACCAAGCACCGGTGCCGCTTATGAGCGTGTCGCCTCCAACAACTACGACAACAGCATGTCGCAGCAATATCCCCAGCACCAGTACGCTCAGCAGTACCCGCAGCAGTATCCGCAGTACTACCAGCGTCAGCAGTATCCCGAAGAGCCCTACGACGCCCCCACCCCAGCGCTGGCCGCTGACAGCTACTCGCCCGAGTACAGCATGGAGGACATGCGCAAGCCGCAATCCAACCGCTACTCGATCTCCTCTCAGCCAAGGGACTACGCCGACCCGGATGCAGGTTGGGTCGAAAAACGATCCTCGGGCGTTCCCATCACCTCCTACGCCGACACCTCCGACCCCGTCGGCCATCGCCGCAAGAAGATCTGGACCATCGCCGGCTCCGTCATCGCCGTCATCCTCATCATTGGCGTCGTCGTCGGCATCGTCGTAGCCAAGCACAAGAACTCCAACACCAGCGCTTCATCCTCTTCCTCCAAAACCAACAGCAACATCTCGAGCGACCCGTCCAAGTTCAAAAAGAATTCGGCGCTGCACAACAGCTTCTGGGGAATGTGCTACACGCCCTTCAACTCGCAGTACCAGTACGGCTGTGGTGTCGACCTCGCCTCGGTCATCGAGGACGTACAGACGCTCTCGCAGCTCACCTCGCGCGTGCGTCTGTACGGCGCAGACTGCAACGTCACCGCGCTCATGCTCGACGCCATTCAGCGCACAAAGACCAACCTCACCATCTACCCCGCCATCTACCTCGACCAGTCCGATCCCAACGACGCCGCCTGGACGCGCCAGGTGGACAACATCACCTTTGCCCTCGACAGCTTTGGCACCGACCACATTGGCGGCATCTCGGTCGGCAATGAGTACCTCCTCAACGGCGGCTCGGCGGCCAACCTGGTGGCGTACGTGCAGAGGTTCCGCACGCTCGCCGCGTCCAAGAGCTGGTCGTTCCCCGTCGGTACGGGCGATGCCGGTAGCATGTTTACCGCCACCGTAGCTGCGGGTGTCGACTACTTTATGGCCAACGTGCATGCGTGGTTTGCGGGCACTTTGGTGCAAGATGGCCCCGGCTGGACGTACGACTACTTTGAAACCAACGATGCGGCGGTTGCCGAGGCTGCACCCAACAAGCCTGCGGCGTACATTGCCGAGACCGGTTGGCCGTCGGGAGCGAACACTACACAGGCCGAGACGTACGTCAACGAGAACGGCCAGGTGACGGGCGCCAAGGCGGGTGTGGCGGAACTGCAGACGTTCCTGGATGGGTACGTGTGCGACGCCAACAAGAACGGCACGGGTTACTTTTGGTTCGAGCTCTACGACGAGGTGTGGAAGGACGCCCTGTACGGAGGCGTCGAGGCCCACTGGGGTCTGTTTGATAAGGATAAGAAGCTCAAGCAGATCACCATCCCCAACTGCAGTCACAACTAGCCCTTGAGGCAATGGACAATGTCGTGAAATGAAGCTTGCAGCAGTGTGCGATTGTGCGCTTTGACGTGTGTGTAGGGCAGGGATAAGGGTGACGAATAGGGAAGCTCACATGAAACGGTTGGAGTGCCAGAGAAGCTGTGTGTCGCTTGGTGCTGGGAGTATGGCTGTCGAGCAGTCGAAGATCAATGTTGATGGGAGAAGCGCTACACCGTCTGGCGGGCAGCAGGACAGTTTCAGAAAACCGCCAACTGCAGTTGGGAAAAAGAAATTGCGTCGAAGTCACATCGTGGAAAGGTGAGCGATGTGTTGAACAATGGGCGACGGGGAATTTCAGCGAACCTCTTGATTTTGGTCCTAGGCGCAGAGCGTAGACGCAGGTGAGGTAAGGCTAACGCAGTTGTAACTTTATTCGATGTGACTGCATGGTGTTTGCGGCACCGTGTATGCGGGCAACTGTTGGTTACGCAATCCACACGCGCGAGCACTGACGAGCGTGCGGAGGTGTGGCATTTTGCGAGGCTTGCCTGTAGTCGAGGGCGATTCACTCAGTGTCGGATCCAAGACGAGCGCACTCAATTCCACACCGAGCGCGCTCAGGACTCGAGTGCAGCTTGGTCTCAAAGGGATGTGCGGGAGCGGGCGTCTGTGCGGCCCGATTCCGACACAGCCCGCATCGATGTCACGCTCAAGGCCTCGGGTGTGTAGCTGGAGTGTGACAAAGATCGGCCTCAGCGACAGAGACGGCGCGTGCGGCAATCGAAGCTCGACGTGTCAAGAGTCTAGTCTGTGCGCTCCGACCCGCAGCGGACCATCCCACGCCGTGGTTCAGAGGAAAGCCATCGCGCACAATCGTCATCGCACGACTCCACACTCCTCATCAACAAGTGCAGCAATGCATAGAATTAAGCTCCGGATGTATGCGTGTAAATGCGATCTACTCGTCGCCTGGATTCTTGTATCTCCTAAGCGCGCGCTGTCTTGCTTCCGCATGCTCGACGATGGGCTTTGGATATCCGAGCTTCTCAAACTCGGCCTTGGAGAGTCTTGCGTACGGATCGTGGATGGCCTTGCCCTTGACCCCCTTCAACTCGGGTACAAAGTGTCGAATATAATCGCCCTGCGGATCGCTCTTCTCGCTCTGCGAGAGCGGATTGAAGATCCGAAAGTACGGCTGCGGATCGGTGCCCGTACTGGCACTCCACTGCCATCCGCCGTTGTTGGAGGCAAAGTCCTGGTCGATAAAGTTGAGCGAAAAGTGGCGTTCGCCCTCGCGCCAGTCGTGCAGCAGATGTTTGGTCAGAAACATGGCGGTGATCATGCGGCCGCGGTTGTGGATGTAGCCTTGTTGGATACACTGCCTCTGAGCAGCATCGACAATCGGATAGCCCGTACGACCTTCTTTCCACGCTTGCAGTGTGGAAGGATCGGTCTCCCACTTGACATCTTCGTACTTGGTGATAAAGGCATGACCCATGCAGACCTTGGGCCAGGCGGCGAGAACGTGGCCGTAAAAGTCGCGGAAGGAAATCTCGGTATTCCACATGGCCGCACCGCTGTCGCGACCAACGTGGAGCTTGCCTTTGGTGAGCGACTTGGTGCGTCGCAGACACTCGCGCGGGGAGACAAGGCCGGCGGCGAGGTACGGGCTGATTCGCGATGTGCCGTTCTCGTTCATCAGATTGCGGCCTTCGGCGTAGCGACCCAGGCGCGAATCTTTGGCGTTGCCACCCACGTCCTTGGTGCTCGGCTCCGTAGCAGGACGGTCGAGCGCAGTCTCGCCGCCCTTGCCCTGCATAAAGTTGTCGAGCACCTTGGCGGGCGCGCCGTCGTCGACAGGCCACAGCTTGGCCATGTACGTGCGGTCCTTGCACTCGAATCCGTCCAGCTCCTCGGGGATGCCGAATCCATCGCCGGCATTTTCCAGATCGAACAGTTTGCCGAGTTGCGCATCTTTGCGGATGGATGCATCGTTGGACTCTGGGTCGGGCGACTCTTCGATGAGCGACATGTCCTTGGAGATGGCCTCGGTCCACTTTCGATTCCACGGCGAAAAGACCGAGTAGGGTCGGCCGTCGTTGGTCAAAACGCGGCCGGGCGGGACGACGTAGCAGTCGTGCATCATGCTGAAGCTCACGCCCTGGTCGGCGGCGCGCTCGACCATGCCGATATCGCGCCACAGCTCGTCCACCTCGTACTCGATGTTGGCGGTGAGCTGCGAGGCGTTCCACTGTTTGCAGAGTTCCAACACCTTTTCTCCGACGTCGGTGCGCTTGCCCGCGTGCGTGTAGACGGCAAAGGGGATGTTGAGCTTGTCGAAGCTGCGCTGGAGCGCGGCGAGGGTGCGGAGGACAAAGTCGATGCGGCGCGGGCTGCGGTCGTGTGCGCGGTAGTCGGCGGGCGTGATGACAAAGAGCGCCACCAGGTTTCCACCCTTGGCCTTTCTGCGGCGGGCAGCGGCGAGGTGGGAGGCGTGGGCGAGCGCGCGGTTGTCGTGCATGCGCAGGTCGTGCATGCGCATCCAGTAGACTACGTTTTTGCCGTCGGCGGCATCGTTGGACTTGGACGGCGCATGCTTCTTGAGTGCATCCTCGAGGTCTTGGAGCGGCGTGCGGTTGTCCTTGCGACCTTTTGGAGCGGGGTTGAAGTCGCTGCGATGCCAGCCGTCGCCGGACTTGGCGTATGCGGAAGAGCCGTACTTGGTGTCCTTGCCCTTTTCGTCCTTGACGACGGCGCTCGAGCCGCTTTGCTTCTTGGCACGCTTGGTGGGCGGCTTGGAGGTGTCGCTCTCGTCCTCGTCCGGATATTCGGCGAGCTTGGGATCGAGCGCCTTTTCGTCCTCGTCGTGCTGCGCCTCGGCAGCGGGGGACTGCTGCTTGCGCTTCGAGGCTGCCATGGTGACGCTGCTGGGTCGTCTAGAGAGTGTGATGGGAGCGGGTCTTGTGAATGCGGGCGCGATGATGTGTGGTGTTTGGGTGCGAAACGAGCGTAGAAGAGGCAGCAGTGCCGATGGCCTGAAGCGCATGTAGAGTGAAGAGGAAGGAGGATGGTGGAAGCAAACAAGCACGAGGTGTGCGGCCCTGCAAGATGAGCACACCGACCGGCTTTGCTAAGCTCGACGTGCATCAGCTGCATTCCGCCTGTCAGAAAGGGCCTTGCCGAATGCAGTCGGTGTGGAGGTGGAATGCCAAATCGGTAGTTGGCATCGCCGATTAGCTTCGATCTGGAAAGGTCCGGCTCGGCTCCGTGAAAAGCAGCCTTATAATAAAACTTTTCCCCCACCGCACAGGGCGGGCAAAAGAGGTGGAAATGGGCGGCGTGGGTGTGTGCCTGAAGAAGCTGTGCCGAGAAGAAAGTTCATGGCGGCGGTGGGGTGGGAATCCCACTCGGACGTATGAACACACGGAGAGCGGCACTCCAGTCGAGGTCAAGTCAAGCGGCTGGTGGAGTGGGAGGGTGAAATTCATGGGCGATGGTGCTCACTCGCTCTTGCCTCTTCACCTCTTGTTGGTCACCCCTCGCAACTCGTTCTTCCTCGGCTTCGGTCTCGACCACCGGCACCTCTCTCTCTCTCTCTCTCTGTGAGCGCGCACAACATGGCCACCATCGCAGGCGGCATCAAGGTGTTCTCGGGCACCTCGCATCCCGAGCTCGCGCAGCTCATCGCCAAGCGTCTCGGGCAGCCGCTCGGCAAGGCGACCGTGACGCGCAACGAGTCGGGCGAGAGCATCGTGCGCATCGCCGAGTCGGTGCGCGAGCACGATGTCTACATCATCAACACCTCGTGCGTCTCGCCCACGCCCACGGGCGCCGCCGCCTCGCCCAACACCTCGCTCATGGAGCTGCTCATCATGATCCACGCGTGCAAGACCGCCTCGGCCAAGCGCATCACCGCCGTCATCCCGCACTTCTTCTACGCGCGACAGGACAAGAAGGACAAGTCGCGCGCGCCCATCACCGCCAAACTCATCGCCAACATGCTCGAAAACGCCGGATGCGACCACGTCATCACCATGGACCTCCATGCGTCGCAGATCCAGGGCTTCTTCGACGTGCCCGTGGACAATCTGTATGCCGAACCGGCGGCGCTGCAGTACATCCGCGAGATGGTCGACGTCAACAAGGCGGTCATCGTGTCGCCCGACGCCGGAGGTGCCAAGCGCGCCACCTCGCTCGCCGATCGTCTCGAGCTCGACTTTGCGCTCTTCCACAAGGAGCGCAAGCGCGCCAACGAGGTGTCGCGCATGGTGCTCGTGGGCAACGTAGAGGGCAAGGTCGCCATCCTTGTCGACGACATGGCCGACACGTGCGGTACGCTCGAGCTCGCCGCACAGCAGCTCATCGAGTACGGTGCCGAGCGCGTGCTCGCCATTGTCACGCACGGCATCCTGTCGGGACCTGCGCTGGAGCGCATCACCAACTCGCGCCTGGAAAAGCTCATTGTGACCAACACGCTTCCGCAGGCAGCCAACCGCGCGCGCTGTGCCAAGATCGAGGAGATCGACATCTCGCACGTGCTCGCCGAGACGATCCGACGCAGCCACTACGGCGAGAGCGTGTCGGTGCTGTTCAACCAGATCCCCTACGACACGGCGCAACCGTACCGCCACGACAACGACGACGAGATCCTGGCTGCCGCGGGCACGGGTGCGGGTGCGGGTGCGGGTGCGGCGTTTGTGGCGACGGCGAGTGGACAGGGAAGCGCAGGTAGCAGTCGTCCCCAGAGCAGGGGCATGAGTCCCAGCGCAAGCCGACAGTTCCATCCCAGCCCCTACACTCTGCCTGATCCGCCGGCGGCACACAACTTTTTTGCGCAACAGACGCCCAAACCCAGCCCCGCCGAGCCCAAATATGCCCCCTCGCCACTGGGTAAGAAGATCTAGGTCCGCCGTCACTCGTTGCAAATCCAGACTCCAGTCCAAAACACACGCTACCCTGAATGTGCATGCCAAGGCAAAGGGATATTACGAGGGGGGGAATAACATCAAACCAAGGGCCGAGCGAGCGAGTAAAGAATCAGGCATAGCCGTAGCCAGGTGGGGGAGGAGCGGCGTATTCGGCGTACTGGGACGAATGCTGTCTCTGCACCTGTTGCGGGTATGCTTGCTGGTGCTGGTGGGGATGGGCATCGTTCAAGTACGGTGGGGCGGGATTCTCGCTTCCACTCACGTTGAGATCGTTGCTGTATCTCCTACCCTGCATCCCCGCGGGCGAACCCGCTGCAGCCGCTGCGCCCAGGGCACTTGCTGCAGGCTGGTGCGAATTCGAGTTCCGCTTCTGAATATGCAACGGCTGAACCGCTTCGTTGTCGGGCGTAGTACCCACGTAGGCGCCGGGTACCATGGGAGCGTTGAGACTAGGTGGCTGCGGCAATGGGTTGGCATACTGCTCGTCCACCATGTTGGCTTGCGCCGAGGGATTGCGCGAAAAGCCGCGACGGAATGCAGCCGCCGTGACCTTCTTGCCCTCGGTACTGGCGCTGCCGCCCATGGGCTGCGAGAGTGCGCCGTAGGACGACATGCGCGCCTGGGCGGGAGGCGACGTGGGCCGACGCACCGCCTCCTGCATCGCGCGCGTGCTGCCGATCGACTGGAAGTACGCAGAGTCGTCCGTGTACGTCGTGGGCGACGCTACAGGCTGCGCGTTGGCTTTGGATCCGTTGAGCGGCGTTGCAGTGCGCACGGGCGGGAGAACGGGTGCGCCCAGCATCGCAGTCGCATTGCCCTCCGATGCAGCAGCGTTGGGGGCAGCGGAATAGCCATCGTAGGCATCCGAATGGTGACCCTCGGTCGAGGTGGCGCGTGCAGCAGCATTGTCCACATGCCCGCCCTGCGCACTCTGGTAGTCGGCGCTGTTGCGGTTCGAGCCGTACTGCTGCGCGCCCGGACCGGAGCCGTACGACTGGCTGGTCTGCATGAGGAATCCGCCATCCTGCACGTTGGGATCGCTGTGGCCGGGAACCGCGTTCAGGTCAGCGCCAGCCGTGGCAGCCATGGCCGCCGCCGCAGCCGCCGAGGCGGTCGACTGGTCGGCACGATCGTAGCTCGTCTGTGCCCACTCATTAGTAGCTTGGTCCGGCGTGGAGTGTTCAGGTGCGGCGCCCTCCTGTGCCCACTGCGAGCGCGACGCATGCGCGGCATAGATGGGCGTTCGTGCCACATCGTCGCCTCCAAGCACGCGGTTGTCGACGGGCGTGTATCCGTGGTCGACGCTGGCGTCGGCGCCGACGCCCTGCGCGTGCGGGTTGTTGAAGCTGTCGGCGTCCTGGTTGGCGTAGGAGCGCGAAGCATTAGCGGTAGAATCGGCGAGCGTCATGTCGCCAAAGCGCGGGATGCCAGCCGAGGGACCCGAGGGATTGAAGCCGACGTCGGCGATGCAGCGCGTGGCCTCCTGGAGGAGCGACTCGGTCTTTGCGAATCCGTAGTACTCTGCACGCGGCAAGCCGGGCTGTGTGGGGTGGAGCGGGATCTCGTCGAGCATGAGTTTGGAGATCTCTGCGATGATGGTGAGTTTCTCCGCCATCTCGAGCAGCGCGCCCGACTTGATGCCGAGCGACTCGCGGATGGTGCGTCGCTTAAAGTCGCCGATGGCGGCCTCCTCGTTCGTGACTTCGACATGCATGCCGTCCATCTCGGTGCGCATCTCCTTGAGCGATGCGGTGGTGCGCATGAGGTCCTTGTTCTCGGGCCCCATCTTGGCGAGCTTCTTTTCGATCTTCTCGATGTCGGAGCCGAGCGAGCGCTTGCGCGCCTTGAGGTCCGAGAGCGCCTCCTCGCGCGTGCGGATGGATTTGAAGTGGAGGCGAACGGTGGTGAGGTGCGAGTTGAGCCGGTTCTGCGAGGCGGTGTAGTGGTCGTAGAGCAGCGATAGTTTGCCCACGACGTCGTTGAGGTCGGGGCCCTCTTCTGCAGACCACGCCTTGATGGCTTCTGCATTCTTCTTGAAATCGGCGGCGGCCTTGGTGTTGGACTGGATGAAGTTCTTTTCGGAGATGATGATGTCCTGGAGCTGCCTGAGGTCCTGGTTGCCGAGCGCGGGCAGCTTGGAGGTGTGCGCCACGTGCTGCTGAGCCTTTTTGAGGAACGACATGGTGGGCGCCGTAGTGAAAGGGGTATGTGCGTGCGTGGGTGGAGTATGCTTGAGGAAGGGGGTATATGGGATCCTTGCTCGAGCCGTGGCGTGGTGGATGGGGATGGTGGAGGTTGGATGGGGAGCGGGGGGAGCGGTGAAAGCCGGCTTGGCATGGCATCACAGCAGGCCGGCCAGTCGAGGCTGTGCCAAATGAATCATTTTTACGGGCCGACAGAGTGAGGACAAAGTGGAGCCGATTCAGGGCGGATTTCGTGTTTCAGTCGGGCAGTCGAGCAGGTTAACTTATTTAGGGCGGCGCCGAGCCTCGATGACGCCAAGGTGCGGCGGTCGATTTTTGACGTTCAAAATGTTGGATCATTTGATCTCACACCCTTAAACAACAAAAGCCGGCCGGCCGGGCCAAGTGGAGTCGAAGTTGCCCCACAGCTCGACTGCCCCACACTCACGGCTCAGCCCAGAGCGATGGCTCGAGCGTCGCAGTCCGAGACAAAGAGAGCCGTGCCTCGTCCTCATCTTGACCTCGCCACCACCACCACACTGCACAATCGAATCGCATCAAGCACCGCCCATTCGTACCACCAAGACCAATCCATCCCGCAACACAATGTCCACCTCGCTCGCCGGTCGAGGCCTGCGCTCCGCCACCCGAGGCTGGTCCGCGCGCACCCTCGCCGCCCCTACGCTCGTAGCCTCGCGCTCGCTCATCGTCCCCTCGCGTCCCGTCTATGCAGACCAGAGCGCCTCCTCCTCCTCCTCTGCCGCCACCTCTGACCAGCAGCAGCAGCCCAACGCAGACGCCGCGCAGCCCAAGCAGAGCCTGCTCAAGTCGCTGCTGCACGGCTCGGACAAGGCCAAGGCCGAGGGCGTCACGACCCAATCCCACTCGATGCAAGTCGCACGCGGCAAGTACATCCACGAGATCCAGCGCCAGTCGGTGCTGCCCGGCCACGCGGACGCCTACCGTGCGCTCATCGCCGACTTTGCACCCAAGCTCGCCGCCAAGGGCCTGCCCATGCGCCTCACCGGCTCGTGGGAGGTCGTCGTCGGCGACCTCGAGACGTTCTACCACATCTGGGAGTACGACGGCTACGCCGGTTACGACAAGGCCGAGGCGGCGCTCCGACAAGACGCTGATTTCCAGCAGTACACAAAGCAGCTGCGACCGCTGCTCAGCAATCGATCCAACTGGCTCACCCAGGAGTTCAGCTTCTGGCCCTCGTCGCCCCCGCGCACCACCAACGGCCTCTACGAGTTGAGGACGTACCACCTCAAGCCCGGTCATCTGCTCGAGTGGGAACAGCACTGGAGGCGCGGCCTCGAGGCGCGTCGCAAGTTCGTAGAGCCCATCGGCGCGTGGTTCACCCAGATCGGAGGCCTCCACACCGTCTTCCACATCTGGGAGTATCCCTCGCTCGAAGAGCGCAAGCGCACCAGAGACCAGGCATGGCAGGTCGAGACCTGGAACGACACCGTCTCCCAGACCGTCAAACTCATCGACAAGATGCACGCACAGATCATGCGTCCACTCCCCTTCAGCCCGCTCAAGTAACGCCCCAGCCTCCAGTAGTACAACACTGCATGCAATCAATCTCGCCAACATTGTTCCATTTCGGCCACTTACGAGGAGGACGACGACTTGAAACGCGCCCAGGTGCTGCGTGCGGTCTGTGCGACGAGCTTCCACGTCTGCTCGACGTGGTGGCGCTGCGTCTGCGGGCTACCCACCACAAATCTGATGCAGAAGCCTACCTCGGGCAAGCTGGTCTGCGTGAGCACAAAGTGCGCCGACTGTGCCTCGAGGTCGTCCCAAAAGGCCTTGTTGAGCTGCTCCACATCACATCCTTCACCCTTCGGCTTCATCCTAAACACCACCAGAGCCCACCTCGGCTGCGCCACAATCTCCAACAGCCCCGGGTCGTCGGCGCGCAGCAGGCTTTCAAAGTGGTTGGCCAGCTGCATCGTCGTGCGCAGATGCTTGCGGAATCCTTCCAGGCCGTACGAGCGCAGCACGAACCACACCTTGAGGCTGCGGAAGCGACGGCCCAGCGAGATCTGCAGATTGCGCAGGTCCAGCACGTTGCCTGCATCCGCCTGCTTGGTGCGAAGGTACGTCGGAGTGATGCTGAGCGCGCGCGACAGATCTCCTCGATCCCGGACGTGCAGTGGCGAACAGTCGAACTGCACAAGTCCCCACTTGTGCAGGTTGGTGCTGAACGAGTCGACCGCAGCGCTGTTGATCGCATCCAGATGCATCTCCGCCCGCAGTTCGGGCAGCGACAGACAGACGCCCGCATAGGCGGCATCAATGTGAAGCCACAGCGTCGGGTGCTTTGCCACCACCTCGACGATCTCCGGCAGGTTGTCAATCGCCCCGGACGACGTGGTGCCGATCGTGGCGATGAGCATGAACGGTACGCGGCCCAGCGCGACATCTTCGGCAATGGCAGCAGCGAGTGTCGCGCCAGAGAGCGAGTAGGATGATTCGGCAGATACGGGCAGGGCGCGGAAGTCCAGACCGAGGATCAGCGCGGCTTTGGCAGCAATCGTGTGCGTCTGCGTCGTACCGTACATGACCAGGCGCGACGGAAGCCCGCCTCGCCACTTGGCCAAGCGTGTATTGGCTACGAGCGTAGCATCAGCGCCCACCTCTGCCGCACTCTGACCCGCGCTTGCGACGTCTTGATCCGCATCCAGACTGCCCACCCCATTCATGCCATTGTGCACAGTGGGCATGGGGTGCTGCGGCGTGAGACGGTCGATGCACCGCTCACGAGCCGCAATCGCCACCGTCAGCGCCACCTCGCTCGCCGAGCCCAAGATGATGCCTCCACCGGTGCCCGAGGTGGAGAGGAACGCCTCGTCGAGCCCGAGCATGCGACCGACCCAGTCGACCATCAGGATCTCGAGCTCCGTCACCGATGGCGACACGGACCAGTTGAAGCCGGGATTGCTGATGCTCGCGCAGTACAGATCGGCAAGCGCACCCTCGAAGCTCGCGTTGCACGGAAAGTAGCCGTAGAAGTTCGGATGTTGCCTTCACCCACCAATCACCAATTGTCAGCCTCGCGCTGCTTTGTCGTAGCAAAAGGGGCGTGGAGTGCTTACCAATGGGTGATGCCAGGCATGATGACGCTGTGGTAGTCGTTGTCGATGCGCTCCCACGCTTCGCCGATCTCGGGGGCGGAGGTTGGGATGGAGGCAGACAGGAATCCAGGCTGTACCTGCGCCGACACCGGCCTCTCGGCGAGCGAAGCATAGTAGTCGCAGATGCGGTCCACAGCGGCGTAGCCCGCCTTGCGGAAGCTGTCGACCAAACCAGCGCTATCGTCAGCATCCAGCGGTCCGATCTGCGAGTGATAGTCACGTACCCTTCGATGTCCATGATGCGTGAGCGAGATGCGCAGATAAAGGTCGAGTGAGATGCTAGAATGAGGTTGAGGGGAAAGCGGGTCGTGCCGTCGAGCACCGGAGCGAGTGGGTGCTGTTGGCGTGGGGGTGCCTTGGCGGTAGATAGCCGAGCGAAGAACCGACACTCGAAAATAGCCAAAATGTTGTCATATAGGGCATAACATCCAAGCTTTTTTTCCGCACCTGGCTTGGATCGCGCGGGGAAAAAGAAAAGGCGACCGCCGGCTGCAGCGGACAAACGCGTACCACAAGACGCCAACACAGCAACACGCCAACACGGGCCATCAACACCCATTGCGCCTACTCGGACATTGGATTCCACATTGTAGACAAGATCCCTTCGCGCCCTGACGGGGGCTCGGAGACGGTGGTGCAAGATTAAAGACAGATGGGTAGCGGGTGCACGCGCTCGTGCGATTCAGTCGAGGCGGGGCAGCGGGAAGACGGGGAGGATCTTCCAGCCCTCCTCGGCGAGCATGACGGAGAGCGCGGCGTAGAAGAGCATGATGCCGATGATGATGAAGATCGCACCGGAGGCCTTGGCGATGATGAACTTTTCCGCGCCGCCGATGTACGCAGCGCCGAGCAGGGCGAGTGCGACCGTGATGAGCAGCGCTGCACCTGCCACGGGGCCACTGGTGCGAGCCGAGGCGACAAAGATGAGGAAGATGGGGATGAGCGCGATAAAGTACACCATGGCCTCGGCCTTGTAGTACTCGGTGAGGCCAGCCGCACCGCCAGCAAGGTACGTCGCCTGGATACCCGTCCACGGCAGGAACTGCAGCGCCGTACCGCCCAGCAGGCCAGCGAGCGTACCAGAGATCGTCGCCAGGTACGTCGAGCCCTCGGCAAAGGCAAACATGCACGCAGCAAAGTTGCCAAACATTCCCAGAGGCAGCGCCATCGCCATGTCTAATCACGGAAAAAGAGAGAATGGTAAGAAGATGGGACTGAAAACAAGAATGTCCCGGCGCGGTTGGAAACTTACAGATGGAAGGGTTGGTGATGCTGCGGTTACGCACGAGGATGAATCCGAGCATCAGCACCGATGCGCCCGTAGCAATGCACACCAGCGGGAATGGGCTACACACACAACACAATACAATGTCAGCTTCTTGTCACTTTTTCACAAACGAGATCGCAATCGAGGCTTACTTTGCAATGCGGCGGTGATAGACGGGGAAGCCGGGCTGGGACGAGTCGACGTCGTGGCCACCAGCCGTGACGGTTCGCGTGAGCTTCTGGCCGCGCGAGGTGACAATGTGGTCGCTCGCATTGGGGTCTTCGGCCAGACCCCACTGCTCCTTGAGGTTCGGGTGCTTGTAGTTGTTGACAGCCATGGTGTTTGAGTTCAACGCAAGTGTCGAGCGAAAGGACAGATGGTGGAAGTAGCGAGTGGAGAGCAGCTACCGGACGATGGCGATGATGGTGGAGAGGTCGGAGGAGGTAAGATGGGGTCGAGCAATCTGCCGCACAGCCAAGAGCGGGGGGTGGGCGTGATGAACGAGCCAACAGGGACCATCAGCAATGCCAGCTGAGGCGGAATCGAGGAGCGTGGGAACGGTCAAGCACCGAGGACACCAGACGCGGCTGAACCAAAAAGGTCGTGACACACTACACCGAGTCGCATGGTGAGCCTAGCTTGCGTTTTTAGCACGCAGCGTGTGGTCTCGGCAAGGCAACATAAGGTGAGAGGGTGCTGCGCGAGGAACGGCATGTGAGGCTCTACTCGCGATGGGCTCGATGCGACGGACTGTGCGGGCAAACATGGCTTGCCAACGTGTTTGGAGTGACTTGAATGCAAGCGAGAATGTGCGGGGTAAGCGCAGAGGTTGCGATCGCGCCAGCCGCTTGTTGCGGAATGGATGGCCCCAAGCGCGCGCTGAGCATGCAAGGCGAGTACGGCGCAGATGCACGTCGATCTGACCACCATGCATGCCCGTACGCGCTACACCAAAATTACCCGTCGACGTGCAGCTGCTGCCGTTAGCCTACAGTCAGCTTAAAGCCGCTTGTTTTGCTTGGAGGGGGCTTGCAACGATCCGCACAGGTCTCACCGCTCGCATTGGGGTACGCGAGGCAGGACTGTAGCGTGCGCTTGGCAGGGTCCTCATTGTGCCACCGAGTCATCGCGCGCTTGGCCAGCATCAGAGCAATGTAGAACGATGCTCAGCGGCGGGGTCACATGAGGCCCAACCGCATCCCCCAACAATGGTGCACGAAGCGAGTCGCAGCGCTGCCCTCCTGATGCGTCGTACAATGTTTACAGCATGCCGTCGGAGTGTGCGATGGATGGGTTCGGCGACGTGTGTCCGGGGAGCGCAAGGTTGGTTGAAGCATGCCTGGTTGGGCGATTCTGGTCATTCGGCTCGCTCGGCATCGGCGCGCGGGGCGGAGATTGATTTGCATTCCGTCACACTGCCGTGCCGACTCTGTGCGATGAGGGCGAGAGAGTGGCCTTGTGCGACGTTACCCCGCATTTCTGACGCCTCGGCCGCGGCAATGCGCTTTTTACGCGCTTTTTCTCCGCGGTATCCGATGCGGACATACGGTGGGCATACGGTGGGACAACGGCACGCCTGCGTTCCCCGCTCGCATCCCTCGCCCAACTCGGCAGTCGCGCGCCACAACATCAACACGCACACGCTAGCGTGCATGGAAAAGACCTCGCTCCCTCTGGCTCGTGCACCCCCGCATTGCTCGCTTACCTTTGGGTCTGCCTCCCTGTGCAGCTTCGCCAACGGACGCATGTGTGTCATTCTTGCCCCGCGCTAGCCCTCTTGTTTTCGTGTGTCTCGCTCGCGACCGCACCAAAGCCGGTTTAACCGCAATGCTTGCCCCGCACTACTGTGTGAGCCCGAATCGGTGCACGCGCGCGGCAAGAGTGCATTGCTGTAGCATGGGAACGTGTGGTTGGGAGAGCTTTGCCAGGAGACACGATCGTCGTTGCTGTGCATCCACGCTGCACCTGTTTGTGAATTCGACCCTCATCTTGGTGGCCAGCATCGCTCATCTTTCCGAACCACCATCAACAACGCCCATTCCCCCTTTGTACACTCCTCTTCCTTGCTGAGCACACGATCATGTCGCAGGTTGACACCGCCAACGGTCACCAGATGACCGCCGCTGCTGCGCCGACCAACGGCACGGCATCCACCGTCTCGAACGGCGCCCACGCCAATGGTTACACCAACGGCAACGGCAACGGACACTCGTTTGAGGAAAAGGCGTACCCGCACCAGGCACCTCAGTACAACGGCGGCGGAACCCACGCCGGCCTCAGCCGAACCCTCACCCCGGGCGGTCACTATGCTGACGACGACCTGATCGCCATCGCAAACGCGCACCGCAAGATTGCCAACCCCCTTCCCCTCGGAGGTGAGTCTCAACAGTGCTCCCTGATTCCAGCCCAAGCAAGGCCTGAGCAGATTGACTGATACAAACTTTTTTGATTTGGCTTACGACAGTATTCGGATTCTCGACGACGACGCTGCTGTTGTCGCTGTTCAACGTGCAGGTGGCGGGTATCGAGGTGCCGAACGCTGTGCTCGGATACGCCATCTCGTACGGCGGCCTTGCGCAGTTCCTTGCCGGTCTGTGGGAGTTTGCTAGCGGCAACACGTTTGGTGCCACGGTCTTCTGCTCGTTCGGCATGTTCTGGTGGGGCTACTCGGTGATTCTCGTAAGTTGCACTTCCGCTCGTGAGGTAGAGCGAGACACTCTTCATGCTGACTCTTTTGTTTTTTTGCGTGACAAGATTCCGTTCTTCGGCTTCGTGGGCACGTACAACGGCCAGCCGGGCATCTACTCCAAGGGCTCGCCCTACGCCTCGGAGGAAGCGGCGGCTGTAGGCCTGTACCTCTGGATCTGGTTCGGTATCACCACCATCTACCTCGTAAGTTCCAACCTCCCCCAAACCCAAGCTTGAGGATAAGCACGAATGTGTACTGACAATGTCATTTGATTTGGGGGTCCCCATAGATCGCCTCGCTGCGTGGATCGGGAGCACTGTTCCTGCTCATCTTCCTGCTGTGGGTGACGTTCATCATGCTCGGATGCTTCTACTACACGGGCAACTCGGCATTCCAGACCGCCGGTGGCGCGTTTGGCATCGCGACCGGATTCTCGGGCTACTACCTCGGCATCGCGTCGTTCCTCACGCCCTACAACTCGTTCTTCACGCTCCCCGTCATTCCCTTCAACAAGAAGGAGTAAACGCCTCTTAGCCTCGCAACTCCCGACCGTCGAGTGTGCCGGTAGTGTGCTGTAGTTGGCACGCCCAGCCCCACGACGTGCGACACCTTGTGCCTCGTGCTTTAATCTATCGAATGTCATCCCGATCCCACAAACATGCGAGCGCTTGGAGGCGAAAGAAGAATCGTGTGCATGCTGGTCGGTACAAATACATGAGTGTGTGCGGGAGCGGTTCAAATGACGGTGTTGGAGAGTTCAATGTGGCGGGGCAACTTGACAAAGGTGTCGCAGCCGTGGCCGTAGAGCGAAACGAGGTCGAGCGCCGAGCCGTTCTTCCAGTACTCTGCATAGATCCTTGCCATGGGCAGACCGTAGCCCAAGCCTGCGAGCGTGCCGAGACCCGAGGCTAGGCCCATCTTGCCCATCTCTGCGAGCGCGTCGCCGCCGGTACCGCCGACGGCCTGCATGGCGTACGGCCCGCCGCCGCTCTCTTCGGCGTCTTCGAGCTCGGCGCTGGTGCCTGCGGTGGTGAAGGCGTAGCTAAAGACGTGCGGCAGATTCTGGGGCGAGATGCCGCCGCCCTGATCGCGGATGCGCAGCGAGACGTGATTGGCCGACTGCGCGATTGTCACAATGACAGGCGGCATGTCTGCGGTGGAGGAGGAGCCCGAGTGCTTGAAGAAGTTCTCGGTGGTGGCGCGGTAGGAGTTCTTGAGCAGCTCGGTCATGACGTACTCGAGGTGGACGGGCACACCGGTGTAGGTCACGTCGAGGTCGCCCTCGAGGATGAGCTGCGGAGCGGCGCCGAGCGTGCCATCGCACAGATCGCGTACAAAGGCGGCGCACATGCGCGTCATGCGTGCGGGGCTGAGCTGGGTCTCGATGATGCCGACGGCGGTGGGCGAGCCGTAGTCGTGGTGGACCTGGCTGCTGGTCCCCTCGGGCGGCAGATCTGGGTCGAGGCTGTGCGGCGATTGGGCGATGTTGTTGGTGGTCTTGGGAGCCACGTGGCGTAGATCATTGGATGTGGCGGACAGGGCGAGGTGCTGCTCTGCGATCATTCTGATGGCGATGCGCGAGTGGATGGCGGCATCGAGAAACGCCGAGATCTGGCGTGCGTCCATATACTTTCTGGACTCCTGGAAGCCCCTTGCAAGCGTGGGGATGTTCTGTGCGTGCGCGGCGACGAGATCCTCGATGACGGCGGTGAAGCGGCGGTTGTCGTCCTGGGTGTGTATGGGGCCGAACTTGACGAGCGTCTCGAAGCTCGAGGCGTACAGACGGGCGATGCGCGAGATGAACGGGTTGCTGCCTACGATGAAGGGGAGGGCACGAAATCCACCGACACGCCGCGCGAGGCGGATGGGCAGCTCGCGGTGGGTGTGCTGTGCCGAGGAGAGCAGCTGCTCGGGAGTGAGCGCCTGGCCAGGCTTGCCGCCCTGTGCCATGAGCTGGCGGAGCGTGAGTGGTGCTGGCTGGAGCGAGAGATAGTGGGTGAGCAGATCGGGCGAGGCGCCAAAGGTGGAGAAGGGCGAGGGCTGGATGGAGATGGACTCGCCGCCGACGAAGGGCTCTGGTGGCGGATAGTACCTCTTCTCGGCGGCGGCATGGTGGGACGACGAGAAGGTGCGCACCTGGCCCAGGGGACGGCGGAGCGCGCGGGCGGTGCGCAGCGCTGCGACCATGGCGTGGGGGGTTAGCGTGCCTGCTGCTGCGTGCGGCGTGGCTGTGTCGCTTGTTGGGTGTTGGTGTGCCGGTGGTTGTCGTAGGCGTAAGGATATGCTGTAGAGAGACGATAGCAAGGACCAGCTGCGGTGACCGGCTGAGTTGAGTAGAGCGTGGCCCGGAGGATATTATTATTGACCGAAGGTACGTGCGCCTCCCTTGCCCTATTCTCTCGTGCGAAACAAGCCTTGCCGACACGCGTGTAATTTACGCCACGCGCGTCTCCCAGTTGGAGGGTTTGAGATTTGATGTTCAGGGCCGAGTGAGGCGAAGCAGTGCGAGTGTTGGTTGGCGTCCACCTCCGACATCCGCACCGAGCCGAGTCGAGAGCCGTGCGAGCTTCCACTGCAGGTGCATTCTTGATTCCCTCCCTCATCAGCCTGGCATGCCGCCAAACACAACACCATCCTTTGCATTCGAGCCGGTCGAGCCGCTCCCCACCCCGGAAGCCGGCTCGTCCACCAGCCACTTTCGCGCATTCACCCGCGTGCCCCGCGTGCTCGAAGTACCCGATTCCGAGGGCGAGGGCGAGGGCGAGGGCGACGACCTCTCCTCTGACGACGACGGCGGCGACGACAACCAAGACGAGAACCGCGACCGACGCTCGCAAGCACGCACCGCTGCCTCGTCCAAATCCACGCTCGAAGCCGAGCACTTCCGCATTGGCGATGTGGTCTACCTGCCCTCATCCTACCAGGCTCCGCTCGCCGGCGTGCTCACCCACCTCTGGACCGACGCCTCGGAGCACGGCAAGATCTTCGGCGTGTGCCGCCTGCTCCACTGGCCAGAGTGGATGTCTACCATGGCAAAGAAGCGCATGGCCGGCATAACCAGCCGCCACGAGATCTACTACACACACAAGGCCACCTCGCTCACCAAGCGCCGCACAAAGACGAGCGAAAAGTCGGGCAAGGAGGGTGACACCTTCGAGGCCGGGCCCTCGCTCCACGACTACTCGTTCGACGTAGACGAGATCATCGCCAAGGTGCACATCCATCCCAGCCACGCAGAATGCGCCAAAGCCATCAAGGACAGCTCGGCGCTCTCGACGCTTTCCGCCAATCTCGACGACAATGCCGCCGGCACGCCACGCAAAAGCACGAGCAAGATCTCGACGCTGTACAAGAACAAGTCGTTCCCAACGCATCTGTTCTGCGAGCGTGCGGTCGATCCCAACAGAGAGCTGTTCTGGCGCATCGACTGGGCCAAGCTCGTCGGCAAGGGGATGCAGGGCGCAGGATGGGATCTCAAAGATGACTCCTCCGACGTGGCCACCTCCCAGGGTCAGGGCGTCAAGGACCTGGTCGAGCAGGCGCACAGAGACTCGAGTGCAGCTCATCCACCTTCACTCGCCGCAACACGGCTTCGCGAGCGCTCTTCCACGCCGTCCTCGGTGGCCTCAACTTCCGACCTAGCCTCCGCATCGGCGCGTAAGACATTGTCTGCATCCGGGCTCGACACCGACGCACCCAAGCGCAGACCCGGTCGGCCGCGCAAGGAAGACTCGCTCTCTGCCGGCGTCGCCGCGCCCAAACGCAAGTACACGCGCAAGAAGGCCTACTCGTCCGACTCGGACATTGCCTCCGACGACTCTTTCCAGAGCGGCAACGAGTTCGAGGCCGAGGACGACTTGTTGGTCAAAGCGAGGCACCTCGACACGCCCGAATCCTCCGACGCCGAAGGCTCGCAGTTCAGCGCCCCGCCCTCAGAAGACGACGACGACGATGACCACGACGACTTCGGCAAGACTTTCAACCTCACCCCGCGCAAGCGCGCCAAGATGCCAAAGGACGCGCCCATGACGCCCACCAAGCGACGCGTGCTCTCCACGCCCCAAAAGGCGCTGTACGGCCTAGCGAGCCCCGCCAAGGCGCAGGCGACGCCGCGGTCCAAAGCGCGCCTCATGGGCATCAAGGCACGCAGCCTGCCGCATCCCACGCTTCCTACGCGCCCGCCCAAGCTGTCGCTGCTGCCGAACCAAGAGGCGCTCACGCCGCACGAGCGCGCCAAGCGGCTGCTCCACGTCGGCGCCACGCCCGACCAGCTCCCGTGTCGCGAGGACCAGTACGAGGAAATCATGGCGTGCGTCGAAGACGCGGTGGAAGAAGGCATCGGTGGATGCGTCTATGTCTCGGGCGTACCAGGTACGGGCAAGACGGCCACAGTGCGCGAAGTCATCCGTGCGCTCACTGCGCGCGCCGAGCGCAACGAGATGAACCCCTTCTCGTTTGTCGAGATCAACGGCATGAAGCTCGCCGACGCCTCGCAGGCATACACGCTGCTGTGGTCGGCGATATCCGGTGGACAGCGTACGTCGCCCAAGACGGCACTGGGCCTGCTCAGCTCGCACTTTGCGCGTGTGGGCGCCAAGATGTCCGGCACGGGAGGCGCTGGAGTAGGTGCCGGCCCGGGAAGGGCGGCAACGGTGGTATTGATGGACGAGCTGGACCAGCTCGTAACCGCGAGGCAGGACGTCATGTACAACATGTTCAACTGGCCCAACACGCGCGGCTCGCGACTGGTGGTCATCGCGGTGGCCAACACGATGGACTTGCCCGAAAGAACGCTCAATGCCAAAGTCGCCAGTCGACTCGGCATGACGCGCATCACATTCATGCCGTATACGGATCGACAGCTCGTCGAGATCGTCAAGTCGAGGCTAGGCATCGATGCTGGCGACGAGGCGAGCGGATGTGCAGATGTGCTCAGCCTCGATGCCATCACGTACGTCTCGAAGCGCGTATCCAACGTATCGGGTGATGCGCGACGTATGCTCGACGTCTGCCGCCGCTCAATCGAGCTGGTGGAAGCAAAATCCGCCTCGACTTCGAGTGCGGTATCCAAGGTGACCATCCTGGACATGAAGTCGGTGCTCGACTCGATGGTCAAATCGGGCAAAGTATCGCACATCCTCTCGCTGCCGCTGCACGCCAAGATCGTGCTGCTCAGTGTGCTCAGCTGTCTGCGACGCTCCGGTCTCGCCGAGACCGAACTCGCCGATGTCGCCGCACACCACAAGGCCATCTGCAGAATGTTTGCCGTCAACCTCCCCGCCACGACGCCGGGAGAAGAAACCTCACTCAACTCGCCACTAGCCACACTCAGCTCGCTCGGACTGCTCATCTGTGTAGGCCAGGGCGCGGGCACGGGAAGAGCAGCAGGGTACGCCAGAGTCATGCTGGCGTGCCAGGAAGACGAGGTACGCCTGGCCTTCGAACATGATCCCGACGAACGACTGCGCAAGATGCTCTGACGTCACACTCGTCGACTCGAACGAGCTCGCAACTCAGTGATTGGCGTGCTCCCCCCACGTGTGCCGTGTGACCACAGCTTGAACGAGCGCTTCGAGTCGCAGGCGGGTAGAGATCGAGATGGTGCGGCGTTGAGAAACTTTGATTTGGGTGCAATGTGTGATGGTTGTGACTTTGTTATGCCTGCTCGTTGTTGGTGGTAGTGGTGGTGGCGGGAGCGAAGCGGCTGCTACGATTGCGGAGTAGACAGTAGTCTCCGTACACGTTGGCGCTTCCCGGCCAAGCTTTTGGCAGCCAAAAGGCGCGATGGAACGCCGCTGCCGCCTTGAGTGCGGCCCGCTTGAGCGCCGCATCGCGTGGGTCAGCAGCAGGGCGGCTGAACTCTGCGTCCAAGAAAGGTGTGCAGAAGACGCGGTCCCAGTCGGCCTGGACGGCGTATCGAGGCTCGAGCTCGGATTCATCGCCAGTAAGGCTGCGGTGGGGAAGGTCGAGGTCGACGAGGTAGTCGCACGAGTCGACGTCGACGTAGCGGTCAAGCTCCTGCTTGTTCATGTCGTTGAAGCCGGATTGAATGCGGCGCGTGGTCGAAGACCAAGGCCAAGCCCAGCCGAGCGACGCATCCAGCACGCGCGTCAGGGCATCGGTCGCGGGCGAGGGCGAGGCATGGGCAAAGTGCTTGGGCAGGATACCGCGGAACTCGCTACGTACCCACTCGACCTCGACCCCAGCGGGTACGAGGAAGTGCGTCGGGAAGCGATGCCACTCTTTACCGTAGCACAGACGCACCGGCTGCTGCAGGGTCGCCAGCGGAGAGAGGTCGATCGAGAGGTCGACGCTGACGCCCTTGTTCTCGGCGCCATAGCCGCGGTCGTTGTACTCCTTCTCCTCGGACGTGGCTACTGCGGGGAGACCGCGTGCGATGCGCTGCTGAATCGCCGGGCTGAGCGTGTCGGGGAACTTGTCGGCCACGAGGCGCGGGAGCTCGTAGCCTTCAAAGTGGAAGAGCACATCAAAGGGCGCGTGGTAGTGGTTGAGCTGGCCGACGGAGCGCAGTACGCCGAGCAGGATGCCTGCGGCGAGGAGAGTCGAGGTGATGGTGGTGAAGAGGCTCGACTTGGAAGCACGGTAGGGCGACTTGGTGACTTGCACGAAAGCAAGCTCAGCCAGCGTACGGATGAGGTAGAGCGAGACGGCAGCGTTGAGACAGAGCAGCGTGTAGGCTGGGTACATGAATCGCTCCTCCTTGTGTGCCTGAAGGCTGAGCAGCAGGAGCCAGACGTAGAACGGAGCGATGCGCAGCAGGGCGAGCGAAAAGAGGCTCGAGGGCTGCTCGACTGCCACGTTTCCCTTTTTGGAGGAGGTGTCCTCTGCGGGACGTCGGAAGCGCTTGGGGTCCACACGCGCGGTGACGAGCAGCAGCGGGAGCGAGAGAAGCGCGAGGGGTGCAAACACGTTGAAGTTGAGCACGAGGTTGTTGAGGTAAAAGGTGGGCGGTTCGGTGCCGTAGAGCTCGGGTCCTGCGCCGCGGGTGCGCGAGAAGAGGTTGTAGAGGATGGTGTTGAGCGGCACAAGAGACAGCCTGCCGTAGGCGAGAGAGTCGATAGCGAAGGCAGGAAGCGCAACTAGGGCGGCAAGAACAGCCGCGCCGATGGCGGTGGACCAGCGGGCCACGATCCAGTGCGAGTACTTGCCGGTGGCGACGGTGTCGTCGGCGCGCATGAAGAGCTGTTCGAGCACAAAGGGGAAGGCAAGGACGATGGCGAATGGCCAGCCGAGAAGCGCGCCTGCAGCGAAGGAGGAGGTGGCGAGGATGAGGCGCTCGGATCGGAAGGGTCGCTGGGAGGGCGTGTTGAGGACCGAGGCATCTGTGGAGGGCAGGCGAGCCGGGTAGAGGCAAGCGGAGAAGGCGAGCGTGGTGGCGTGCATGACGAAGGTGGAGGGAAGCAGGGCGACGGATGCCTCGTACATGCCTGCACTTGCGGCAAGCGCCACGAGGCAGTATCTTCCAACTCGTGCGCCAAAGACGTCTGCGACGGCCTTGTAGAATCTGGCGTCTACGAACGAGGACACAAAGGCGAGGAGCAGACGGACGGCGAAAAAGACCTGGCGCTTTCCTACGCCAAAGTGAGCGAGGGGCTTGGCAAGAGGGAGAAACTGTGCGACAAAAGCCCACGAGCGGATGGCGAATTGGGGCGAGTACTCCCAGGTCTGGAAAGGGAGGTTTGCATTTGCGTTGCCACGGTTGAAGACGAGGAGGTGGAGGGGCTCCCAGTAACCGAAGGACTCGTCGCAGTCCTTGATGACGGAGTACATTGCGGAGGAGACGCGGATGATGATGAGGAAGCGGAAAGCGGCCGAGATGGAGGGTGACCAGGCGGGCTTCTGGTGCATGCGGGCGTAGTCCTGGAAGAGGGCGTTGCGACGTGCGAGGAGGGTGTTGGCAGCGGCGGCATCCTTGGCAGCGGTGGCCTTGGCGAAGCTGGCGTTGCCCTGCTTCTGGAAGCGCAGGCCCTGGCCCTTGGGAACGTGAGGCGACGCCATCTTTACGAGCGCTCCGAGGATGAAGACGGAGGGAAGGGAGAGGTGGTGTGAAGGGAAGGGAAGGGAAGGGAAGGAGGACAAGGTTTGGCGGCGGTCTGTGCTGAAGAAGAAATGTCGGATTTGCTCTCTCTCTCTGTCTCTCTCTCTCTCTCTCTCTCTCTCTTTTTGCAGGTGCGCTCAATCCAACACGACAGCGCTTTATTCGAGAAAATCACGATTTTGAGCTCAAATTAGTAGTTGAAGAAGGACGTGAAGGCGATGGTGTTGCATCTCTCTAAGATTTACTGCCCGATGGCCTTGAGAAGCGCCGAGAGCAATCGGTGCTCAAAAATGCCCTCGACAAACTCTCCTTGTTCGGTGAACCATTCGCCGAGATGGCCCAGCGGCAAGGAAGCGTTCTTGCTGCCGAGCAACGATTTGCCCTTGTTGGACTTGCGCGTGTAGTGCAGGTGGAGAGTGTAGGCGGGTGGAGTGAGGAGCGGCTTTGCGTCGGGCGACTGCGGCGGCTTCTTGGTCGCCTTGGGTAGAGGTGGCGATTGGAGGACGATACGCTCTGTTTCGATGCGGTTGGAGAGCATCTTGCGTGTGCCGGTGAAGATGGTGTTGCCCTGGATGTACGAGTCGAGCATCTGGATGGCCGAGAGCACGGCATAGACGACGACCGCCACGCCGCAAGGGTACTTGTTGCGGCTCCACTCCTTTTCAACAAAGTAGGACCATATCGAGGTACCGATCATCACGGCCGAGGCGGTGAATCCGAGCGCCAGACGCAGATCGGCGTGGCGATGGCTCGGCTTGAATGGCGCATATCCGAGCTGCTTGGCGTGCGAGCCGTCGTCGACCTGGCGCGAGAGGATGCGCTCCACCGCCTCATCGCATGTGGACTTGAGCTCCGAGAGGTTTGAGTTGTCCACGACGATGCGATCGCTGTTCTTTGGCTTGGCCATTGTGCTGGATCCGAGGATGACGAGGGTGGTGATGGCGAGGTTTGCAGCGACACGCGCGTGCCATCGTCACTCAATCCAGGGTCCCCACCCTTTTGCCTTTCGAGGAGCGACGTGGAAGCCCTGGCCCAAAAAAATGGTCGTGATTTTGTGAGGTCGAAGCTATCGACATCTTCAATCTTTTATGGCATCAATCGGGCGTAGATTCACGATTCGCTCCTTCGCCACAGAGAGGCCGGCTGGAAAAATCGATATTCGGGCGCAAATTTGCAGATGCGAAGCCAAAGCGGCACTGGGGCCCTTTCTTCTTCTGGCTCGCCTCTGCCATGATGCGCACCGCGCGAAGAAAATCGGGTGCACCGCCAATCTTCCATTCCACTTGCAAGAGAGGCAGAGGGAGAGCAGAGGGAGCGAGCGAGCGAGCGAGCGAGCGAGCGAGCGAGGAGAGAGGGAGAATCCATCGCTGCAGTTGGTTGGCCAAAAGGGTGTCGTCCATCTCATCATCCTGACCACCAGCTACTCCAGCTTCTTCTCGCTACCTCTTCAGCACAGGTAGCCCATTCAAACCCATTTTCACACCCTGAACCACCCGTGGCCAGCCACTACTTCAGCCCATCATGCGTAAGTCTCAACTCCCTCCAGCCCGCGCGCGAACCAAGCTGACTCCTCCTCGTGTCCCGCACCCCGCTCATCAGCGCCTAAAAAGGGACAGAAGATGTCGCTCAACGACTTCTTGGCCGACGAGTCCACCGGCAAGACCTCCTGGGCAGACGAGATGGACGACCTCCCCATCGCTTCGGCTCCTCGCGACAACTCCTACCGCAGGGGCGGCGACTACCTCGCCTCCATGCCCGACCGTGTCGACCGCGACCGTGGCTTCGAGCGCCCCGAACGCAGCTACCCGCCCCGCGACGAGCTGCCCCTCCCCGACAAGCCCCCCTTCACCGCTTTCGTCGGAAACCTCTCCTTTGACGTCGTCGACGCAGACGTTGAGAACTTCTTCGCCCCCTCCCAGCTCGTCAGCGTACGCATCGTCACCGGTCACGACGGCAAGCCAAAGGGCTTCGGTTACGTCGAGTTCCAGTCCCAGGATGACCTCCGCGCCGCACTCGACAGGAGCGGCTCTCAGCTCGCCGCCAGAACCGTCCGCATCAGCGTCGCAGAGCCACCCAAGTCCGGCTTCGGCGGCGACCGCCCCATGCTCTCCAGCCAGGCCGACGACGCTTCCCAGTGGCGTCGCGCTGCGCCCCTCCCGCCCTCCGAGCCCCGCGGTGGCTTTGCCCCGCGCTCCGAACGCTCCGGCGTGCCTCCTCGCGCAGAGGGCTCCGGCTTCGACAACATGGACGTCAGTGGCGGCGTCCGCAGCGGCTTTGGCGCAAAGTTCCAGTCCGCACCTCCCGCCGCCTCCCGCCCGCCTCGCGACCCCGCCGCCGCCGCCGCCCCGCTCGAGCCTAGCCAGGCCGACCTCGCCAACCAGTGGAGGACGGGCAAGCCCGTCGAGGGCCGTTCGCCCGCCAACTCGCGTCGTCCCTCCGGCATGACCCCCGACGCAGACTCCCGTCGCCCCTCCTACCGTCGCAACGACGCAAACGACGTCGACGAACGCTTCTCCTCCCAGGAGCGCATGGGCTTCGGCTCCAAGTTCACCCCCGACCAGACTCCCCCCGAGAGCCCCGCAAACGCAAAGAAGGGCTTCGGCTTTGGCGCCGCAGAGCGTCGCGGCAGTGGCCAGGGCGCCGGCGCGCCCGCCGCCGCCACCGACGGCGTCGACAACTGGCGATCAGCTAAGAAGCCCGCTTCCGGCTCCTCCAGCCCCGCTCCCCAGCCTGCCGCTGCCGAGCGCAAGAAGCTCGACCTCAAGCCACGCTCCGCCGAGGCGTCCGTCGCATCGCCATCCGCATCCGCCACCAGCTCCAAGCCCAGCCCCTTCGGCAATGCCAAGCCTATCGACGCCGCAGAGCGCGAACGCCAGATCGACGAAAAGCTCGCACAGAGGGAGAAGGAGAGGCAGGAAGACCTCAAGGCAAAGAAGGAAAAGGCAAAGGCAGACAAGGAGAAGAAGGACAAGGCTCCCGCTCCTACCTCCACCGACAAGCCTCAGACCGACAGCGCACAGGCCGACGCTTCCACTCCCGCTGCCGCTTCCCAAGACTCGGCGCCTCCCGCCGCTGCCAAGGCGCCACGCGCCCCGGCTCCCGTCGGCGCATGGGGTGGAGGACGCAAGCCTTCCGGTGCGCTCGTCGGTGGTGAGCACAGCCCCGCGGCCGCCAATGACGACAAGTCCGCCGATAGCCAGGTCGACGAGGTCGCCCAGAAGGTCGAGGAGACCAAGCTCGATGCCTAAGCCGCCTCGGCCGGTGCTATGCAGGGTGTTCTGCGCGCCATAGCAAGTCCATCCACTCTTTTTGTCTCCCCGTCTGTGCTTCTGGCACATACCAAAAGAAGGGCCGGCGCATCAAGCCCTTCGCTTCCTGCCCCTGCAGTGGCTCACATGCCTCGACCTCAGCTCGTCCACTGGATACCCTTCCACCGATTGATTGCAAGTGTCGAGCTCGGCCGTAGTCCAGTCACACGCAGCGCATGCTCGGCTGCTCATCCTACCCTGTAATGTACCTCTTTTCCTTCTTCGTTGTCAATATCATGCTTGCCTCTCTTGCCGTGGGCTCGCGGCATCCTCTTCGCACTGGACAGCGACGACAACAGAAGATTCAAATTGCTGAGCAAGGTTGATGGCGCTCACCACGAGCAATGTTGGCACAGCCACGAGGTGGGGACACTCTTTTTGAGAAACATCCGAACTTTGTGGTCTTGGGAGGAAGCAGCAGAGAGAAAAGTACAAGGGAAAAGAGGAGGCAAGGAGGAGGAAAGGGATCAGGTGCGAAGGCTGGACGAGTTCCACATCTGGCCGGCAGCGATGAGCTTATGCACGGCCTCTTGGCAGAAGATGACGCCCATCTTGGTGTCGCAGATGCCTGCGGCGCCGCCCTGATCGCCACCGCCGGACCTTGACTTTCGGTCGCCAACACGCCACCATCCGACCAAGCTAGAGCCGTCTTTGGCCGCAGCCACGAGCGACTTCTGTTGCTGTGCCCATCCCTGCACATCCGCATGGATCCTCCAAAAGCTCGATAGCACCGCGGTAGGACGTTTGGCCATCAGCGACTCGTATTCGGAAGTGTTGGACAGCTGGACGTAGTTGGGACTCGATGTGCCCAGGTTGGCATCCAATCGTTCAAGCCACGAGGACATGAGCAGCCGCGGGTTGGATCCGCCAGCTCCGTAGATGTGCCAGCCGCCACCGGCGAGATCGTTCTTGCGTCCCGAGCGACCGCGCTCGCCGGGGGCCAAGATGCGGTCAACCACGGACTTGCCGTGCAGCATGCCCAGGAGACGTGTGATGCCGAGCGGCTCGATCAACGCAGGAATTAGGTCGTAGTACACCGAACCCAGCGCGCCATGGTTGGGAGCAGCGTAGCCAGCGCGTGCACCAGAGTTGCGCGCAACCTTGTCCGTGTACCACGACCCGGGAGTCTCGGCATCGATGTGCAGGAAAGAGTGCACGAGGTGCGGATGCTGCACCGCAAAGTCCTGCGCAAACAGATGGCCGTATCCCGTAGACACGAGCATGAACTTTCCGAGCTCGGCATCGTCGTTCTTCTTTTTCTTGTCCTTGCTGCTGGAAGCGGTGTGGTCGAGCTGACCAGACTTGTGAAGTGCATGGTAGAGCGCCTCGGTCTGCAGACGCACCGAGGTGGGTTGGTAGACAAAGTCCGAGTGGCCATAGCCGATGCGGTCCCAGAAGCAGACACGGGTGAGGGCGAGGTGGCCATCCTCGCCGCCGCTTGCGTGAGAGGCAGATCTTGCCACCATCTCGCGCAGGAACTGGGCGGCGATCACACCGCTCACGCCTCGCTCGGGCATGACGAGGGCGGTGGGCACGACGTGTGAGGTGTTGTGCGACTTGAGCGCGCCTGGCTGGGAGGGAGCCTCCTCGCACGCGAGATGGAGCCGGAAGGAGACGGGATAGGGGTTGACGTCGGCGGGATCCTGGGGGTAGACGGGCTGCTTTGTGAGCGAGGTAGGGTGGACCAAGGTCAAGTTGCCAAGCGGCTTGAAGCGCGAGTCGGCGGCATCGAGGACGAGGTCAAAGGTGACGAGAGCCGAAGCGAGGGCGATGGCGAGACAGCCAAAGATGGCGTTGAGAAGCTTGAAGCGGCGGGACCATTTTGCCTGTGCGCGTGCGAGGGGCACCTCTGTGACGATGGGCGCGCCAAAGTCCGGGTTGAGGGTGAAGGGGATGGTCTGCTTCTGAAGATGGTGAGAAGAGAGGAAGGCCCATAGCGTGGAGAAGAGGCAGAGTGCGACGGAGAGGAAGCCGAGGTAGGAGTGTGTCACGCGGAACTCGGGCACGGCTGCGAGGAGGATGGCGTCGATGATGGTGAAGCAGAGGACGAAGAGGTGGAAGACATTCGTGGAGCTTGAGGCGAGCTCGAAGAAGAGCAGGCCGGGAGCGAGCATGGCGAGGGAGATGATGCCGAACCAGAGCGGCAAGAGCGCAGGCGAGCGGTGGGGCGGGAGGAGGAGCGGGATGGGTTCAAAGTAGTTGATGGCGAGCAGGATGAGGAGTGCGGTGACGGGGAGAAGTAGAAGCACACCGATGGCAAAGTAGAAGCGTAGGAAAAAGGTGAGGTAGGGAGATCGCCTAGGCGGCCGGGTTGCTTGCGGAGCTGCGGCTGGCTCGACTGGGATGGAGCGATAGTCCTGGTTGTCCGACGCCGACGCCGACGACGACGAGGAGGCGAGCAGCGGCTGTCGCTCTGCATCGCGTTGACGCTCAGCCGAAGACGGTGCTGGAGTAGATTTGGGAGCCATGGTGGCGAGCAGACTTTCGCCTGGTTTGGCGTGAGGAGGGGATGGTGGTTGGGTGTGGAGGAGGGTGTACAGCGCGATGCACGGTGGATGGCTCGAGCTGAGCGTGTGGGGGAGATTTGGGTAAATCGAGTGGAGAAATGACGCTGAGGAATGCATTTTTGGACGTGAGCCCTCGAACGCAACCCTGCAGCATCGAAGCACCAAAAAAAGTGGAGGCGACGGCTGCTTGACCCGATTTCCCTCGAGCCGATTCGCGCTCCGATCTTCGCCCTGAAGCTGTGCCGCGTCGGTGGGTCCAAGCGCGCCAAGCGCCGCCAAAAAATCATGAAGAATGCAACACCTGCAAAGTGTGCGTGCAGCGGCACTCTCTCAGGCGCTGGTCTTGTCCCACTGCCAAAGTGACACTCTCACCACCATCCTCGCGCCATTCTCGCTCGCACACATGACTTAAGCTGCCTAGCCAACCTTTCTCTCCACGCCGCCGCCTCCAACATGGCCGCCACAGCCATGTTCGGCTTGTCCCTCAAGCAGGTCTCGCTCGCCGTGCTCACAATACAAAACACCGCCCTGGGCGTCGTCATGCACCACAGCCGCGTATCCGCTCCCATTGGCAAATCCTACTTCTTCCCCACCGCCGTACTCCTCACCGAGTTCCTCAAGTGCGCCATCTCCTTCCTCATCGCCGCCGCATCCACACGCCCAGCCACCGCATCGCTTCCACTCCCTTCCGCATCCCAGCGTCAACGACAGCCACATGGCAACGACAGCAGCGCACACGCACGCTTGCTCACCTCGCCATCCCACAAATCACACGACAACATCTCCACACTTCAGCTCGTCCTCGATGAAGTCACCGCCCACGACTACTGGAAGCTCTCCATTCCCGCCTTCCTCTACGTCTTGCAAAACAATCTCCAATACGTCGCCGTATCCAACCTCGAGCCGCCCATCTTCATCTGCGCCTACCAGATGAAGATCCTCACCACGGCCTTCTTCAGCATCGTCCTTCTCCGCAAAAAGATCGGCATGTGGCAGTGGCTCTCGCTCGCCATGCTGGCCATCGGCGTCGCCGTCGTACAGATCCAGAGCAAGTCCGTCTCTGGTCTCGTCCCCTTCGAGGTACGCACCCACGGATACGGACACGTCTCGGCAGGGCCCGTCGCAGACCTGCCCCCACCACCGCCTCCGCCTCCCTTCGACTCGCATCGCGCCCCACCCCCAGAGCGTCTGCCCAGCCTTGGCTCCTTCCTCTCCGGCTCCGAAGCAAAGGACTACGACCACCTTCCGCCCTCCTCTCCCTCCTTTCCCCACGACCGCATCTCCATGAGCATGGAGGAGAGCGCAAAAGCGGACAAACCAATGCAGCCCATCCAAGGCTTCCTCGCCGTCATCGCCGCCTGCCTCACCTCGGGCCTTGCAGGCGTCTACTTTGAGATGGTCCTCAAGACCTCCAATGTCAATCTCTGGACAAGAAACGTTCAGCTCTCCGCCTGGTCCCTCATCCCCGCCGCACTCCCCGTTCTTCTCGAGATGATCCGACACGGTCCCTCCGCCCCCTTTCTTCATTTCGGCATCAGCGCTTGGGCCACCGTCGTCCTCCAGGTCACCGGCGGCCTCGCCGTCGCCATGGTCATCAAACACGCAGACAACATCCTCAAAGGCTTCGCCGTCAGCTTCAGCATCATCCTCAGCTTCGGCGTCAGCATCCTCTTCTTCCACTTCCCCTTCACTGCGCCGCTCGCCCTCGGCGTCGCTCTCGTCATCCTCAGCACACTCTCATATTCACGCGGCTCAATCCCCGGCTTCAAGACAACCGCTGCCAGCTGGGGCAGCCCCGCCTCGTCCGTTACCTCTACATTTCGTGACAAGGCACGATTGCTTAGAGACTGATCATGCCCATCGCAATGCTATACCATTCATGTCCCTGTCCATGTTTCGCCATTCCGCCACAACGCGCATGTCTTCATTCCCTCTGGTGCTCAGTAGCGAGTCACCACGTGAATACCTCTTGTCTCATCTGTCATAAGTACCGTGCACCCTTGGCGCAAGAATGGTGAAAGTCTGAAACTGAATAGCATTGCGCTGCAAGTTTCCATCAGAAGAGGTCCGCAGCTTTGACCTTGCGCTGATCTCGGCCATCGTCACCTGCAGGCGGAGCATAGCCTGGCGGCGCGTTGGGCATGCTCCCTGGTGGAGGCGCGCCGAACCCGGGCGGTGGTTGCGTGGGAGGCGGCCTCGCAAAGTTGGGTGGAGGAACCCCGAATGCTGGCGGTGGGACCGAGAATGGTCCTGCCGGCGGAAAGCCGGGCGGCGGACCTGCACCAAGTCCGGGCATTGGCGCCTGTCCGCTCATCAATGCCTTGTGCGCCGCCAATTGAATGCGCAGCTGCTCCTTGGACAGCACCAGCTTCTCGATCCTTGGTCGCTTATTTTGCACCGGCACGTTGCCATCGGCTCTTTGCGCTGCTCGTCTCTCCTTCCATTCGGCAAGGTCCGTCTCTGGAATGCCCGCCATGCCATAGATCTCGATCTCGAAAGAATCCCGCCCCGGCAACGTGTTCTCAATCCTGTGGAACACAAGACAAATGCTGGTCAGTGCTGATCACGAGCCATCGTCGGTACCTTCGCCGTCACATACTTGTCTGGCTGTGCTTTGTGCACTTGCGTGAGATGCACCGATAGGCCTCCTGCCGTATTCAGCCGTCGAGGGCATTGTGGGCACCGGTAGTGTTTCGACTTTTGATGCTGCAGCAACACTGTATGAATCGAATCGCCCACGTATCGTGTCAGTGCAGCCGTTCCAGCGCATCGTCACAGAGGCGTATCAGCGCGACATACCTTTCTCATCCTCGAACTCGCGACTGTGTGGTATCATCGGCGCAACGTATTGGCAAGCAATAAGATGCGTCAGCGGTCAGCAAGCTAGATGGTGGAGAGGCGGAGGTGAGGTTTGGATCGACTTACTCGCAGTACCAGCACCATGCCTCGAGCTGTGGCGCTTTCCTCTTCTTGCGCGCCATTCTGTGCAGATATGGTGAGCCACGTTAGGCTCCGTACCGTCTGGATGGTGGTTGGAAGGCAAGGGAGGATCCGCCAGAGGCGTCGACCGACTCCACTTTCTCCTAGACCCTGACAGCCCAGACGCGTCTTGTCATCGTGACTAATCAACTTCTTTCTTCGCCAGTTGCGAATCTCATCCGCCTCGTGCTGCCCTCCGACACCCCTTCCCGTCATAGCAGGTACACCCAACCCTGGGTCTTGCAACGACACTCAACGCCGGGTTGACCACAAACTCTCATCCGCAATATTTGAGGCTGGAAGCATTGTTTGAATGACTCGCACTTCACGTCTCGAGATCGTATCTTTTGTCCAGCAGTTGAGGGTTTTTTCAAAGCGAACGAGGTCGCGATACGAGCAAAGCAAACATGACACACACGGCTGCCACAGGAGAGACGGGGATCCCGATTGCCTTGCAGAGGTCAAAAATCCGAGCAGCGAAGCGAGAGACAGTAATGGAATTGGTGAAGAATATCGCCAATAGGGTTCGCGATCAACGTAATGGATTTGCTTGGTTTTTGTAAATCACGATATCACACATGAATGATAGTCAGGTTCACAAATATGTACGAAAAGCGCGTGTAAGTTAAGTTATCAAACGTCGGAATATTCACATTTTCGCATGCATTCCCAAATCGTGCTTTTGCGCCCTCTTGGTCTGGGACTTTATTCTTCACGATCAAAGAGGTTGCAGCTCACATTACAAGATCGTGGCTGATGCGTGCATTCTATGTCTCATTTTCGAGACTTGGGTGCGCATCTTGCGCGCGGCTGATTCGGAAACGTGTGATACAAACGCAGCGCCATGAGCAATTTGTTAACACCGTGTAGTGCCATGTGTACGAGAGAGGCAGCACAACACTGTTTCTCTTGACAGCCGGAAAAGGGTTAGAATTATCAGCTTTCATTTCACTCAGATCATTCAGCCGCGAACAGCTTGAGAGCGGGGAGAAGTGCGTCCAGAAAGCGCACAATGATTCTAAGAAGCCAGCTTTGGTATCTCCGCAGCTGAGAGCCTAGCTACACGCTCGGAATCAAGTCGAGGCCTTAATTCATATCCTAAAAAGCCGGGGGGGGGGGGGGGGGGGGCGAGGGTCGGCCACCCAGCAGCCACCCCGGGTGGCTGTTTGGGATCAGCCACCCCACAGCCACCCACACGGCCACCCACACACACTTGGGTGGCTGATGGGTGGCTGCTCCCGAGAAGCCACCCCGGGTGGCTGCTCCTCGCCAGCTCGCGTCTTCTTAGGATATGATTTTAGTACAAAGACGGGTGTCGACGGCAATGAAGCTTTTATCAGTTCAGACAGCCCAGAAAGCGTTAAGAGGTCAGGAATCATGATTTCTCTGATGACGAGGTTGACCTCCTTTGAAGCACATACTGTCAGCATGAGCCATTTAAAGAGGCGTCCGGGTAACTATACCATTTTCGTGATTCTTGCTTCACTTATGGGCCTGTTTCGCTGATGGGCCACTCGCTTTAAGTTAAAATCCATCATTTGAGAATAACTTCTAGCGTGGCAAGCAGGTTAGACTTGCTGAACGACATCCAACAACAAAGCAAGCATGGATGTGAGGCGACAGAGACATTTCGGCCACTCGTGAATCACGATGCATTGTTTATTATCACAGCTCGTGGACAATTGAGCGTCAAAGCTCAAAATAGATCCTGATCCCGAACTGACACAGACGTTCGTGATTCGCAATTTCCAATTTGTGATTTATTGGTCACGCTTTTTAACGCTGTCTGTAATTTCACCGTTAAAGTTATTTGTCTTTCGCTCTCGAATTGTGCGCTGAATCAACTTACTGGCTTTCTAGTCAATTGCGTACAGAACGCAAGTTTTGGGGCTCTACACTTAATGCAGCTGTCCCGCTGAAATGTTCACTGTCTCTTCAGGCTCGACGCAGATCAGATCTAGCTTGGTGAGCTGACTCATGAGCTTCAAGTCAATCATATCCTAAAAAGAGGGTGGGGTGGCGACGGTCAACCACCCAGCAGCCACCCATCAGCCACCCGGGGGGGGATAGCGAAAATCAGCCACCCAGCAGCCACCCCGGGGGTGGCTGCTGGGTGGCTGCTCCTCGCCAGCTACCGTTTTGTTAGGATATGAATTGCAAATCGTTCCAAGAAGTCTAGATGGTGGAGCAGCATGATCTTATGGTGAAGACTGTTCTAACCAACGACCACAAATTGGTTTGGGCTTTGATGAGCATGAGAAATAATGAGATCATTCCAAGAGCGACATGTGTGGTCGAGCAAGAGCTAGCAGTCTAGGTCGCCAGCTCTTCCGGAAAATAGGCACAACTTAGTTAAGTTAAGTTAAGGCAAAAGCATTGAAAACGTGATCCGCAAATCACAAGCAAAGCAGTTTTTGTCAAATTCGTCCCTGACTCATGCAAATACCATCACATGAAGCCATCAAGATCGTCAAATTGAGGACCACAAGAATTCTCAAACAGGCTGTGCTTGAGAGGCAAGAAAGCCTGATTCGTAATTTCAAATCATGATTGATGATTGGATTCATCAACTGTCAGGTGAATTCGGATGCTTGAGTCAAGAACGAGGAAATTATGGTGATAAATTACATGCGCCTGCAGACGCTTTTCATGCATAATCACGAACAACATCGTGAGTGTATCTTGGCTTTCTTGTGCCCGAGCCAACGACCGCGGATGGCGACTTGAAGCCAACAACCTCCTTCACGACACGACCGCCTAGGTCAATGTTGCTGCTGACGCTGAAGCTGATGCTGAAGGCGAAGCAAACTTTCACCGTTCACTGCGCTCCTCCAAGCTCCCAACGTCCTCATCGTTGTCACCACTGCCTAGGGTGCAATCAACGCAGCAGAACAATTCCCAGCTGTCTTCCCCCTCATCTGGAATCGCTTCTTTGGCTCTGGAGATGACCTACCCCTTCTTTCAGATCAAGTTCTACAAGCCCTCAAGACGCCTGGTGGCCAGAGCTGGGAACTGGATTGCTAGCAACAGGGAGCGCATTCGAGCGGCTAGCCTGGACCACCACCGCCTGGACGCTCTGGCCGAGGAGCTCAGCGAACACGTCGGATTGCTCCAGCCGCTGACAGGTACTCACCTCCTGTACAAAGCGATCTTTGTGCACCTGAGACCTAGTCGAGGTCGCAACGGCTACACGGAGGCCGACGATCGCGCTCTCCACTTGTGCGCTCAGCTTTGCAGTATGGGGTGCCATCAGCGCTTGCTCAAAGAAGTTATCGTTCAAGGCCATGTTGCGCTTGCAGATCTGCGGTCTGGACATACTTTTTTATAGCGCAACTGGTCGCTTTCGTTTTCCGATTCTCGCCACACTCCCAATGTCACCGTCTCCATGTTGGCCTGCGCACGGGTGTATAGTGTGCACCTGTGGCGCTTTTGCTGCAACACCGAGACAGGCTCAGGTACAAACATGAAGCCCTCAAAGTACAAGTGCGTAGATGATGACAGTTTCTGCCGCGCCAAGATGATGATGACGACTGGACGGTCGCATGTTGACGCTCGTGCGCAGAGTGTGAGCTGCGTCCAAGTCGCTGCGCCTCCGCGCGTACATATCGCCGTGGACGCCTGCTGTCGCTCCATTCGACATCGCCCATCCGGCCCGTTTATAATTGGTCTCAAGCTCTGGCGTGACAGGAAGACGCTACTTTTCCAGCCTTCAAAGGTTTCAGCTGGATCGTGGTCGAGCACCCGCCCTTTTGCCGATAGTACCCGCTGCTGAGCGGGTTTCACAACACTAGCGATTAAGAAAGGATCGCTCTGGCTGCTTCTCGAAGACGCGCAGATCCTGCACGGCTTGCTTGAAAGCCTCTCACTCTACAACGAAAGCCATCGAAGGGGATCGTGCTTTTCTGTTGCACAGCAAAAGCGGGTGCAGAAAGAGTTCCATCAAGCGCCGCCAGCTCCTGAGCCGACACACTGTACCAAGGCTGGCGACTCCGCTGGTCTCGTCGTGCATACTTGGCAGCTTTGCTTTCAACATCAGGTTGAACATTTCAACGCAGGCCGATCAACATCCCTGGGGGGAATTCGCATCCTCATTGGCTGTGATACTTGTTGGAACACAGGCTAGGGATACTGGGCGTCGTTGTGTTGCAACCCCAAGACGAAGCTGGGCGAAAGTCCTCATCAAAATCTTGGTTTCCAACAGCCTCGACAGCTCGACCAAGGCTGTTTCACCGCAGTGTCACAAGGTCGCTGATGCCACGACATTGATCCAGCCAAGTCTTGGCCTGTGCTTGCTGATGAGCCGGCGGAACAGAGGCAAGCCGACTCCGACGAGATGGCTTTTGATCGATGTGTGACGCCAAGCGAGAGCTGGCGCTGGTGTTGTACACGTGCACCGAGCAGCAGAGGGGCCACTTTGAAGCCCCAATGAAGCTCGGTCAACTGCAATATCTGCCCACGCTGCCAGCAAAGTTTCGACGCTTGATATCGTCTCGGTGAACAACAGTGGTGGCGGTGAATAGCAGTAATCGCAAGCGAGAGAGCAATAGTGGCTGAAAAAGGGCGGGGATCAGGACGATGTGTTTCTGGTGATCTTGTGCGCCGTATGACGACATGCTCGGCGTAACTCTCGCACGATTGCACAGTCAGCTGGCTGGCTGCCAAGGGGATTGCTCTCATCACGCACCCGTGCTCATGTCGATGCCCAGGACGAGCTCCACGCACATTCTTTTCACACACTGGGTCAACTCGAAAGCATTTCATAAAAATACAGTTGCAAAATACAAGCTTGGGATGGCGACGTGGCTCACGTAAAGTGGCGTCCCATGTCCCTGGGTGCGTATGGCGGCGGCAAAAGAGTTTCGCCCGTGTGGTCGTCAAAGAGGCCGGTGTCGGAAAAGTGAATGGAGCAGGCGTCCTGTTCGACGCGGTAGCGGGAGGACTCGCGCTCGGCGGATGTGATGGGCCTGGGCGGTACGGCGGGACCCAACAAGGAAGTGGCGGGGCTGGTGGGGATGTGCGCTGCCGCATTGGTCTGATCGGGTCTCGGGGGCACGGCGGGCGGCATGGGCAAAGTGACTGGGCTGACAGGGTTCATGGCCGTGGGCGGTGTGGGGAGCGGGCGCCGGGAGGCTGATCTCGTCATGGATGTAGGAGACAAGGAGACGCCGTGCGAGTCCTGAAACGGATCGGCTGCTGTGGACGAGCCTCGCGCGTGGTGAGGGCGAGCGGCTTGGGAGTGTTGGTGGCCTGCATCCCAAAAGCTGCGATGTTGGGCCGGAGATTGTGCGGTGGCGTATGCGTTGGAGGGGGAGATGGGCGAGAGTGGCTCGCAGCCGAAGCTTGTCGAGTACGCGGTTGCCGAGGAATCGAGTTCGGTGGCCGGTGTGTTGGCCGTGGGGGATGAAGGTGACGAGAGGGTGGGCGAGATGGGCGTGACTTCCTGGAAGAGCGCATGTACCCTGTTGGAGGGTCTTGTGGATGTGTCCGGAGTGAGGGAGTGGTGGATTTCGGGCTGGAGCCAGTACTGGGACTCGTTGGTGGTGGCAGTGACGCGGCTGGGTACTCTGCCGAGGTCGCCCTGGCTGGAGAGGAAGGCGGTGTCGAGACGCAGCTGGGATCGGGAGGAGGAGTTGGCGGTGGAGGATGAGTTGGAGTGTGGAAGCAGCGAGAGATCCTTGCGCTCTGCATCCATCTGGGACTGGAGACGTCTGCGCGGACGAACGAGCTTGCAGTAGTAGAAGAGTGAAGCGGCGATGGCAAAGATGAGGAGCATGACGGAAGCAGTGACGGTGGATGCGATGATGATGGTCTTTACGTTGGAGGCCAAGTGGAGGAACGACTTGCCGGGGACGTAGTTGTTGGGGTTGATGACGATGCCCCAGAATTGCATGTCTGTAGCGTCATGGATGTTGGACATGACGACGGAGTGGGTGCCCTCGGACAAGGTGTCGGATGTCCAGATGACGGGGGGCAATTGGGAACCGGTGGCGGCTGCGAGTTCGTCGTTGGCCGAATAGGCATTGATGATGACGGTGGATGTGTTGTCGATGGTGAGGTTGTATTCACCGCGCGAGGGGCCGCGATAGTCGAGGACAGAGAGGCCGTGGCCGGTGAATACAAAGTTGACGCTATCGCCTTCGTTGGAGGTGGAATAGTAGTACTGGATGGGCGCAGTGTTGATGTTGGAGGGGATGGAAAAGTTGCGCCAGTTTGCGATGGGCCAAAAGTTGGAGCGCGGGTCGCGATTATCGACGATGCCTGCGGACCAGAGCAAGGAGGTGTTCCATGGATTTGCGACTACGTCTGGCGTGACGGGGAGCGAGTCGTTGTCGTAAGATGCGTAGGCTGTGGCGTAAGATGGCTTTGCGGAGCGACTGGCCGCAGCTTGTGTGTCGAGCGTGGCGGTGGGCGCGGACGAGGCTGGGCCCCAGTAGTCTGGGTCCCACTGGCTTGTCATAGTTGGAGAGAAGCTAGTGTGGTGTGGGGATGGAGATGGTGGTGGTGGTGGTGGTGGTGGTGGTGGTGGTGATGGTGGTGATGGCTTGAATCGCGGGGCTACGCATGACTTGAGCCTGCTGAGGGCACAATCGAGCGCTCTTCCTCCGCACAACGGCTGCACCTCTGCTGCCACTGCTGCGAATCGCTGCAGCCTCGCAGCTTCGGCATGGCGGCTGTCGCTAAAAATTCGCCTCTCCTCACGCGCCCCAGGCTCAGGAACGCGGCCAAGTCGACGTCGCCACGCTGCCCTTCTGCCCACGAAATTCAATTTTCGGGCGGCGATACGCTACCCGCCACGCGCTGTCACTCTCTCGGATGAGCCGCCTCGACTCGAACCCTCCGCCAAGATTCGGTGACAGGCAGAGGCCGATCAGTCTTGGCACAAAGTCACACTCTGTGAATAGTCACATGCCTCCCCCCTCAGATCACATCCAGCGAAACCGCTCTCGGGCCATCAAGTGCATTCGAACAGATAAAACGGGAACAATCGGCGATGTGAGAGATGCGGACATGGAACCAAATCGAGATCAACGTGAGGCGTAGCTATGAGTCGGAACAATAAAAAACGATGTACGGGGTTTAACTATGCGGACGAGGTTGCGGAACGGAGCTGACGAAAAGGGAGACAAGGAACAGGGATCATCGAGGAGGACCGGGCTGATCACTCCGACTTGGACTGGCAGTCGTGCGGGACGCTGTAGCCGTCGGTGCGCTTTCCACCGCCCCAGGGCGTGCGGCCGATCACGCTCGCATCCGTGCCCAGGCCACGCTTGGCAAACGCCTTCCACAGCACGCAGCGGTTCTGGCCACCCGTCAGGTGCTTGTCCGCCTGCACAATCGCATCGCGAGCATCAAAGAAGCTCGGTCGGCACGGCTGCAGCTTCATCCCGTCCAGGATCAGCTGCACCAGCAGCGTGTTGCCGTGGCGGGGAACGCGGCGCTTGCTCACGCGCGACTTGCCCAACGACGCCAGCTCGTCTTCGTCGAGGAAGAACGCCGCCTGCTCCGACGCACTCGCATTCTTGGCAGGAGGGAAGAGGTGCGTGGCAAAGCCGTGCTCCAGCACCAGCGCCTCCTCCACCTCGTTGAGCATGGTCGCCCACACCTCGCCGATCGCGTGCACGCCCCAGTAGCCGGCGTGGTCCAGGTACGAGTACGTCTCCGGGTTGATCGTCTTGTTGGTCGAGTACGGGTAGTTTCGGATGCCCTTGGCGCGGTTCGACGCCCACGAGCCCATCGGCCAGTCGTGAGGCGCCGCTCCCGTGCGGCGGATGATCGACGCAAGCGCGTCACCCCATCCCTCGCCCATGCCGCCGGACTCGCCCCAGCCCAGGCAGCCGCTGTTGGCAGGTCCACCCGTCAGACGCGTAGACAGGCCGTGGCTGTACTCGTGGATCACGATGCCCGCCTCAAAGTCGCCGTCGCGGAACGGCGTCGACTGGTCCCACACGTACATGCGCATGCGTCCGCGCTGGCCATCGGGAGGCGTCATAAAGTCGGCGTTGTCCGTGCCAGCGCCGTCCTGGGCAAAGGCAATGACGCCGTCGTATCCCTCGCCGCCGCGCCCAAAGTTGTGCTCCTGGAAGTTGCCCGACGCCTCGTCAAAGCCGTAGGCGTACAGCAGATCGTGGTACTCGTTGATCGTCACAAACAGCTGCACCGTCGCCGCAGCCACATAGTCGGCAGGAGGAAGCTCCGAGTGCTTCTTCTCCGACTTGCGCCACTTGTACGGATAGTTGAATTCCATGTCCGTGCTCTTGTCCGCGCTCTCGCGACCGCGAGGGCGTTTGATCAGGCTCGACTTCCACTCGCCGTTGCCTGTCGGGTCTGCCTGCGCAAACACATTGTTGCCGCGCGTGTCGGCGTAGACGGTGGTGTTGCCGTCCACAGACACCGCATCGTCCACGCCCAGCGACGAAAACGGCGAGTGCTTGCCCGGCACCGCGTGCCAGCCCGCGGGCGACGCCTCCTCGTATCGCTCGCCCTTCTCGTTGGAGCGCTTGCCCTCGGTGGGGTCGTTGAGTCCCCACTTGAACACGCGGTACACCGGCTCGTGGCTCATCGGCTTGGCTTCCTTGGCCGCCTTGGCCTTCTTGGAAGGCTTGGAAGGCGTGTAGCGCGAAAAGTCGGGACGACCCAGCTCGGGCACCCTGGCGCGACCAAACTCGGGACGGCCAAGCTTGGGCACGTCTTCATCAGCGGGCACACGCTTGCGAGGCATGCTGTGCACCCAGTCCACCACGGAGCTGATGCTGCCGGGGCGGTGCGCGTCGGCATAGGCCTCGTAGGCATTGTCCTCGAGCGGGATCTGGAACTTCCACACGAGGTTGAGGCCTTCGTCCTCGGTCTGCACATAGGCGAGCTGGGCGGGCACAGGGCCCTTGGCGGTGGGCACATTGTGCAGATACTCGATCTGGGTGTGCGTGGCCTGCGCGCCCGAATCGGTCTTGCCGGCGTGCGGCTGCAGCTTGTGCTCAAAGGTGGTCACAATTTGCGCCGCCTCGGCCTCGGCAGCATGCGGGTCCGAGAGGCGAGCCGCCAGGCCCTCATCGGGCGTGGCCTGGCGGAGGAAGTAGACGAGCGCCAGACGTGGATCGATGATGGCGTCGGGCCCATGGAGGCTGCGCTTTGCGTTGAGGTGCGAGAGCGAGCCCGAGAGGCGCGATGAGAGGTCGGCGCCCTGGAGGAGCGGGTCGTCGGTGGGCACGCCGCACACCTCGTGGAGCTCCTCCTGGAGCGGCAGCACGCGCTGCGGGTCCACCTTGGCGCGCTTGGGCGCGTGATCGGGAGCGGCGTTGGCGAGGCCGTCAAAGACAAACTGGTGGACGCCGCCTCGAACAAAGGCCTCGTTCTTGTTGGACCAGTCCGGGTTGGCGGCTACATCCTCGGTGTACTCGGCGGGCGAGGGCTGGGCTACAAAGAGGAGCGAGTCGAGCTCGGCGCGGAGCTTGTCGCAACGCAGCGAGAGCTCGTGCTCGGAGACGGCGTCTTCGGACTGTGCGACGCCCTGGTTGGTGAAAGGCGGAGGAGCCTGACCGGCGTAGAGCGAGGAGCCAAAGGAGAGGATCTTGCCGTCGGGAGCAATGTTGATGTTGAGATCGCCGTCGGCGACCTCGAGGCCGTTGACGAGCTGGCGGATGTAGTAGTGCGAGATGCCGCTCGAGGCGTCGGTGTACGAGTCGGGGCGCACGTAGAAGTCGTGGCCGGCGGGGGCGAGACCCTGGGCGTAGCCGAGCAGATGCTTTGCCAGGCGGGTGGCGACCGAGTAGGCGTTCTTGGGGCCGGGCTCGGCGTTGACGTAGTGGATGGCGGCCGCGTAGGCGTGCTTGCGAGCCGAGTCGAGGCTACGGCGGACGGCGGGCACGTCGGTGGCCGACTCGACGTCGGCAAACACCTTGTGGGCGTGCTCAGGACCCCAGGCGAGCGACTTGCGGGCTGGATCCTGGGGACGAGGAGCGCCGGTGTTCAGGAGAGCGGCATTGGCGACGGGGGCGGTTGCGAGGCTGGCAAAGCTGAGCCAGAAGGGCAGAAGAGCGATGAGAGCAAACAGGCGCTTGTGGCCGTGCTGGTTGGGACGCGGCATGGCGAGGGGGCTGCGGCAAGCCGAGGCGTTGTGCGCGCCAGGCGACAAGCTCCTAGGCCTTGCAAAGATAAGTGGAGTGTATGCCGTCTATTCGGCGGTGTATCTAGATGTGGTGATGAGGAATCTAGTCTAGTCTAGTGTCTAGCGGAGGCTTGAGGGGGTGGAGTGGTTGTCTTGATGGATGGATGGATGGGTGGATGTGGTGGTGAGGGAGGGATGGGGGAGGTGAATGCGGTGCGAGATGAGGTGAGGGTGAGGGCGAGGGCGGGGGCGGGGTCTCGTGGGTGGTACAAAGCGAGGCGAGGCGAGGAGGGGTGGCGCGTCGTTTCAGGGTCCTCTGCTTGTTCCGCCTGGATTCAACGGCTGCTGCTGATAGAGGCGGAGAGATAAGTCAACTCCACACTGACCTCGTCCTGCATTGGGCGCTGCATTCGGGCGCATGTGCTCAGCCAAAAGCCAGCGGCACCAAAGCGGCACCCGAGCGCGCGATATTTGGCGCTATTTTTCGAGTCAGCACGCGAGCAGCAGAGGCCGCGGCGAGCGCTTGGCCCGAACAGGAAAGCACAGCGCCGCCCCCCCCCAAACCGCCATGCGTTGGCAATCGCCGCAGGGGCCGCGCGATCGAGGGCGCGTTGCGTTGGCTCGCTCCATTCGGTCTCTTGACCGGCTTGCCGAGACGGCTTGCCAAGCTTGCCCCCCCGCCCCCCCCCCTCTTTCGCAATGCATGCAGACCCGCTCGCATCCGAGAGGGGTCTCGTCTCGCGTCTCGCTGTGGGTAAACCAATGTCGAGGGGCCTGCGATTGAAGTTACTCAGGACACCACCGGCTTGTACGACCTGAGGCCTGGTTTCGCATTCAACTCCACGCTGCAGCAGAGCGTCGAATTTTGTTGTCGTTGAGCGGATGGAGATCGGGAGATCGGGACTTGGGTGAAGACGATCGCCGATGGATGCGCTCGAACCCTCGGCGGGCGGTGTGGAGACGATCACAAACGCACACTCTCGGATTTTTGGCCAACACGCAGATTTCTTCGTACTCGCCTCGTCCTCCTTCCTCCACCATCCGCGCTCGTCCCCATCATCATCATCGGCAGCGCAGGTCATCGCGGCTCACAATCCTCAGCCCGCGCACCATCCACACAAGGCGCCGCAGCTGCCATGGTTCAGCCACCTTCCTCGGCAGCAGGCCCCTCGGCCGCTCCGCCTCCCACATCGACCTTCTTGGTCTCCTACCAAGACATCTTTGAGCATCTCGAGCTCGCACGCCATCATCGCGATGCAGACCAGATCCGCGACATCCTCATCCATCGCGAGGCAGATCTCAGATCGTGTCTCCAGCCTTTCCCCATACACACCTCGCCAGAGCAAGCCACATCCAACGACAGCCTCCCGTCCGCAAGCCTGAAACTCGCAGATGGCTCCACCCACTCCCTCGACCAGGAGACGCGCAACCTATGCAAAGACATCGCTGCCCGCTACAACACCTCGCATCAGCATGCCTTTGTCCTCTTGCGCACCTTCCTCGCAACAGAGAATCGCTCGCTCGACGGCATCCAAGACATCGTCCGCTCCCACCTACAACAGCCACCGCCCTCGCCCGTCAAATCCAGAGCTTCCACATCCAAACCAGATCGCTCGCGACACCAAACCCGCACCGAGACCGACGACAGCGCTGCCAAAACCGCCGACCTCCTCGACGCCTTCAACATCTTCTACTTTGAGGAGCGCATGTACCTTCTCCGCACCATCTCCTCCCTCATCCGCATCACAGAGGATCCTCAGCACGTCTACTACCACACTGCCACCACCATCCTCGACTTCTTTGCCGACGAGGCTTTTGCGCTTCAGTGCATCGACCACTTCGCCTCGCTCGTCTCCCTGCCGCTCCCAGAGTCCATCCGTCAGCAGCCGCGCTACTCGACCCTCTGGGCAAAGCAGATCCTACGAGAGCAGTTTGGCCTTCTCGAGATCGTCTTTCTCCTCTTCTACGGTCGACTCTCGCCGTCACCCAAGCCTGTACTCGCCCTGCTTCGCGCAGTACACCAGACCGAAGTCGGTCGCCGCCAGGCCAACCTCGGCTTCTTTGACGCAGAGGCCGCAGAGACCGTAGACTGCCTCGGACACCTCCTCGTCCTTATCGCCGTAGAGCTGCTCTCCCTCGAAGAGGTCATGGACGGTCTCGATCTCGACCACGATACCCTGGACTCTCACATCTCCAAACACGCTCCAAGCCTCGAACAGGCCCTCGATCTGCTCAGCAGCACAACCGCAGACCCTCTCCAGGCTCCCATCTTGCTCGCATGGGCGCTCGTCCTCCATCGTCTCGAAGACGCGCTCGTCGCGGCCACAGACGCCTCAGACGCCTCGGATCTCGAGCCCTCCCGCCATCACACCGCGTCTCTATCCGAACTCGCCGACGTCGTCAGGACCGACGACGGAGGTCCTTCGCTCTGGAGAAGACTCGCGCAGGCCGCCTTCGCACCCGAACTGCGCCTCTTCGACACCTTGATGGCATTGCTCTCCTCTCCGCTCTTGACCAGCAGCAACGGCGCCAGCAACCCCGCCGTCGCAGGCCCCTCCGCTCTCGCCTACCGCGCCGTCTTTAAGGGCCTCTTGCTCAGCATCACCGAGCTCGTCAAGCCCGAATTCCTCCCCAACTTTGACGCCCTCGTCAGCCTATGGGAGGCCACCTTCGGCTCCGGTCTCGCCCTCGAGCTCAATCAGGCTGCCATCGACGGCGTGGCCGCCCTCTGCGACCAGTTCTGGCAGATCGACAGCAGATACGAATCCAGATGCACCACCCTCGACACCGCAAGGCGCCGCTGGCCCGTCAGCTTCCGTCCCTTGATCCTCCTCACAAAGGCGCTCTCCGGACACGCTCGAGTCGACTCACAGGCATCGTGGCCCTCCTTGCTCGACAACCAATCGCGTCTCGAACCAGAGGAGCGCGCTTGCGCCGCCGTCTTTGACTATCTCGCCAACGTGCCCACCTTTGCCCAGGTCCTCCCCATCGGCGCCAACACTCCCAATGCTCCCTTCGAGACCATGGAGGGAGGCGACTATACCTCGGTCACCTACAGGATCACCCGCCTCCTGCGTGTCCCTGGCACCCAGATTCGTCTCGTCCCCGGCACCACGGGTTCCACCATCTCCGAGCTCGGAAAGGATCCCGTGATTGTGCTCTGGAGTCCCGCCCGGCCCATCAGCGCCTGGAAACTCATGCGCGACGTTCTCTCCTCCTTCCCGCCCGCCTACGCAGACCGCAGCGCCGCGGACAATGACGACGCCGATCCGTTCCGCGACCAGCATCAGGCCGTCAACCTCGCCCAACTCGCTCCCGCCGATGTCCACGTGCCCTGGGAGGAGCTCGCCTCGGACGTGCTCGACCTCTTTGCCAGCATCATCTCGTCCAGCGCCGATCTCGCCTGGGCCGTCCTCGCTCATCTCGACGGCCGGGACATAAATGCAGACGAGCTCTCGCTTGACTTGGAGCCCGAGGAGCTCGAACAGATTCAAAAGGAGAAGGAGGACCTAGCGCACGCAAAGAGTCTCTCGTCCATCGCCGTCAGCCTCTTGTCGCACGCCCTCGTCGAAGCACCCATCAGTGTTCGACTCGTGCGCTCCACGCTCAAACTTCTCACCGTGCTGCTGCCCTACGATCCTGATGCCGTCTGGCAGGAGGTGCGCTCGTCCAACGCCCTCATCGGTAGCCCCGGCGCGATCCCCTACCTCTCCAAGGTAGCATCCAGCGCCAGTGCTTCCACCGTATCTGTCTTGCTCACCCAGGAACTCGGCCGCGCGTCGTATTCTGGCTTGATCTCTCTGCTCGATTTCCACATCGCGTTGTTCTCAGAGCTTCAGAGATCGTACTCGACAGCCTCGATCGACGTGCTCGAGACAAAGACCAATGTTCTCCTTCGAGCCTTCGGCTGGATCTTCGAATGCGTCTGGCCCGAATACCAGAGCTGGCGATACCTTCGCCTCGCAGACAGGCTCGAGATCGGCTCCAAGTGCACGCGCCTGCTCGAAATGGCGCTCGCAGAACGAAGCTGGCGTGCTCCCCTCAATTCTTCTCCTGAAGCTGTCGGTGGAGCCGGACCGGCTTCGTCTCTGGTGGAAATGGCGGAAAGGAATCTGGTCACTCATCCAAGCATCCTTGGTCTCGCTCCTCTCATCACCTGCATCGGGACCGGTCAGCAGCTTCTCGAGGCGCTGAGCCGAGCAGGCAGGCAGACAGACGCTGTCTTGGCAGAGGAGTGGATCGCATCCACCCTGCGTCTCGCAACGCTCATTATATCGCGCAGGCGTGAGCACACTCTTGCCGCACTGCACGATCTCTCGACGCTGCCGGCGGAAACGGCCAAGAAGGCAATGTCCGCCAGGCTCAACACGGGTCTGTTCGAGAGGCTCTTCTTCGACCACACCATCGTGGCCTCTCGCGCCGTGCTCAGCGGTGCGCGCAAGTCGAATCGGGTCGAGCTCGCTGGCGCTGCCTTTGCCTATGTGCTCTTCCCTACATCCACGGTCATCAGCTCATCGGCGGCTCACTTGATCACCGCCGTCCTCAGGTCCACCGCTGACCTCGCACCGGCAGGCAAGCAGCCTCCTGGCCTCATTGGGCACTTGGGCACCCTCGCAGAGCTCGAGGATACCCTTTCCGGCCTCGTCGAGCTTGTCAACAACCCGAACCAGGACGCTACTCTCAAGGTGCGCGTCTGGACCATGTTGGCGGCCATCGTCGACACTCAGCCTGCCCTGGGCACTCTTCTCTTGACGGGTCGCCATCTGGCCATGACTACAGAGACGCGTCTCAACACGTCCGAGGCGAACACCAAGGCCGCCGATAAGCCCGACACCAAGGCTGGTGACTCGCCCAACAGCTCCACGCGAGGCCAGGCCTTGACGACGACAGCGCTGGATGTCGCTTCGGAAGCCATCCTGTCTTGGCGCCCCACCCATCGAGATGGCCCGCACTTGCTCGAGGCGGTGCTGAGGTTCCTCGACGTGGCCTGGATCCATGCGGCGGAGCATGTGGCTGCCTTTGACACCATCCGCACCAACGACTTGTTCTTCCGAGCGCTCGCCGACATCGTGTGCGAGACGACGCAAGTGCCTTCTACAGTAGCACAGAGCCTCGAGGATGCCGAATTTGCGCTGCATTCGCGCAACGACGACGATGTGGCGACCTACTGCTATCAAAAGATGTGCCAGGCTCGCTCGCTACGACTGCTGCAACACGACATTCAGCTCGGCGGCATCCTCAAGAACACCAGCAAGAACGAAAAGCCCAGCAAGGCGAGCCTCGACGCCATGCTCGACATGCTCACCTCGTCCGATCGTATGCTCGGCGCGCTAGAGACGTGCTTCTCGATGCCGTGCGATCCACAGATGCGCGCCTCGTTGGAACGCAAGCTCGTCGAGCTCTTCCCATCGATCTACGTTGACCAGCTGCGACACCCTGCGCGAAAGGACGACTTTGATCTCGACCGACGCTACGGCGACGACTACCACTTCAACACGGCGTCGTTCCGCGCCAAGGCTGAAGGACGCATCCTGGACCACGAGAGCGCGGGCGAAGTGGCGCTGATCGAAGAGGGCCTGCTGGCGATCCAGACGATCAACATGGAGTGGAGTTTGATTGACGTGCAGAACTCGGTGCTGCAGGCGTGGACGCAGTGCGTCGAGTTGTGCATGGGTCGCATCGTGGCGCAGGCGTTGGCACAAAGCAAGATGAGCGGCATGGAAAAGACGATCATCACTGCGTGGACACGACTTGCGACGCTGGCAGCCGACGAGGGCCGGGAAGGCGACTTTATGCGCGGCGTGCATGCGATGCGCATGGCGCTGCTGACCAAGCTCATGGAGCTGGCCTGGGGGCATCGCCGTAGCATGGAAACGAGCAGCACGGACCAGGTTGTACAAGCAGCTACAATCTGTGGCCGCCTCGTCACGCATCCGCACTTCAAGGTGGAGGAAAGTCTCAAGGGCACGGTGCCGCCCGAGTTTCATCGCGAGGTATTTGAGATGGTGCTGGTGTGCATGTCGAGCATCCGCGCGCTGCTTGCGTCGCACACCGCGCTGGCACGTCCCGAGGGCAAGACGATCGAGAGCCACAAGGCTCTGCATGCGGCCGTCGAGCTGTTTTGCCGCCATGCCACCGAGGCGCTTCGCATCAAGATGGAATCCGCCCTGCGAGTGTTGCAGACGTCTCGGCACGGCGTCGATCTGCAGAGTCTCGACGACGACCTGGACATCCTCGTCAGCATCTTTGAGATGACGATCCGCCGCGACGTAGGCGCCGAGACAGGCGTGTGGCTGTCGCACGTGCAGGAAGTGCAGCTTCTGCAAATTGCCATCAACCTGCTGGGACGGGCACCCGTGCTACGAAACGACGGCGCCAACGGGCCCAACAGTGCGCACCACGTTGCGTTCATGAAGCCGCTACTCTCGCTGCTGCTGGCGGTGGCGTCTCAGCCTTCATCGGGCGAAGAGCTTGCTCTGCAGGGTGCGGTCAACGCCCTGGCGTCCAACATGATCACAGATGCATTGGAGAACGGTCAAGTGTCGCCGCTTCTGTTGACGGGCGATTCGAATCCGACGCACGAGTGCTGGCGCATGATGCTGCGCGTCGTCGTCAACCTGATCGACAACATTGGTGCGGGCAACGACAGTGCGAGCTGGCGCGGCGTCAGTGTGCGCTTTGTCGAGACCGATGTGATGGGCTTTGTGCGCGTCTATCAGAGGCAGATTGACCGTGCGCTCAACCTCGGCGAGTTGCAGGTGCGTCTCGAGTCGATGTCGGGACTGGTGGTTCTATCCGCCTCGACGGACTCCAGCGCCTGGGCTGGCACGGCGGTGAGCGTGGAGCATCTGGAAGAGATCGAGTTGATCTCGAGCCTGCTGTACAGTCTGACTCGGATCGAGAGCGAGCAGCCGCCACAGTCGCAGGCAAGTCACACGGACCGTTCGGCTCCTTCGATCGTGCAGCACCTGGTCGAGGCGGTAGCATGGACGCTTCCGCCACTGGTGCATCTGCTGCAGCATCCACACGAGCTCAACAGCCTGCTGGGACTCGACTCTGACGGCCAAGCGGAACAAGACCGCGCGGCGTCCAAGATCCGGAGCATCGTGTCGGTGCTCATCGCGAGTCTATGGAACCACACGCGGTGTGTGCTCGTTCTGTGCCGCGGTCCCGAATCCTGGCCAACGCCCTCGTCGGGCTGCGCGATCGTAAGGCCGACGACTCGAACGAGCACCGTGCGCATCGCTACGCTGGGTACGCTCCTGGACCTCAGCTCGTACCTCATCGACGTAGTGCGCAAGAGCAAGATAACGGGCGAGGAGAAGGCGGCGTGCTCGGCGACGCTGGAGCAGACGCTCGGGCTAGCGGCGAGCCAGGCTGCCATCTGGGCTAGCGGCAAATCCAAGCACGAGGAGCATGCTCGACTCGAGCATATGGCTAGGCAGGAACTCGAATCGGGCTTGTCGCGCGATTTGGTCTCAGCGCTGCGCGCTGCCGACGAGGTGGCTGGTGGAAAGGACGGACTTTTCGCACTCGTGCAGGCGTTTGTAGAGTCCAAGCTCACCGGCTCGCACTTCTGAATCCACACATGCAATCATGAATGCTGAGATGAGCAGTCTTGGTGAGCGCTAGATTGGTGGTCAAGTTACTGCAGTGTGGGGACCTTGTTGTGGGATGAGCCTCCACACTCAATTTTGGCTGCAGGGGCCAGGAGCGAACGCAGGCCGTCAACTCGGTAATCTCGCCTGTCAGATACGGCTGGGCGCACTTCTTGCCACCACCGTCTTTGCGATGTGGCCATTCGGCGTCCCTGAGCTCCGTTACGACGCCAAATTTGCCCTTTCGCCGCGTGAGTCTCTTCTGCCGAGCGTTGACGTTGCGAGCTTGGACTAACGACTTTCGAGTGTATAGCGGCGGGGTCGAGGCTCGCCACGCTTTCGTGGACGGGCGAGCGCGAGCTGGCGGTGTTTCTCGACTCGCAGTGCGACAAGGTGGAACATGTGGTGATCCACATCCATGGCAAAGGTAGGTCTGCTCCCCAGCCATGCTTTCTATGGACCATGTTCTGACGCGTAGGCCGTAGAGAGGGACGGAGCGAGCGCATGGCGAGACATGGCAAGTGCGCGTGATCAGCTTTCCCCCGAACAGGCGGCGACCACGCTCATTGTAGCACCCCACTTTGTAAGTGTCCCCACATCTTTGCATTGGCCGGCTTTCCGTGGCTGACTGTGGGGCGACAGTTGAACGGTCTGGACAAGGACAAGTTTGGTCATGGTCGGCCGCTGGTGTGGAAAGGGAACACCGTAAGTACATACAACTCTCCATCCCGGCCTTTCACTCACTGACACTCATGCGGCACTGAGGGATACAGTGGGGTGAAGGTGGGCCGTCACAGGGACGCAAGGATAGTGGGCCGGCGGGCGTATCGTCGTTCGAGGCACTGGATGCGCTCGTGACCCACTTTTCATCCTATACCTCGACGCGCAAGATCACATTGTGTAGGTTCTGCCCACCCCTTCTTACACCATTTTGGGACTCCATGCTGATGCGGATGATGGGGGAGATAGCGGGGCACAGTTTGGGAGCTCAGTTGGTGCAGCGATACAGCGTGCTGGGTCGCCCGCACACAGAGATCACATACGTCGTGATGAATCCAGCAACGTTCCTCTACCTCACACCGGAGCGACCCGGCCCAGCCTGTCCAGTAGGTCCCACCTCCCATTTTTTCTGCTTGTAAACTCGGTACTGATCCCGGTGACACGGTGGATGCACAGGACATGGACATATACAAGTGTGAGTGGTTGACCACCTCGCTCGCACAGACCTTCAACTGACAGCTGCCACATGAACAGATGGATTGGAAGGTGTGGATTCGGCGCTGTCGTGCTACGGTGCTGTTGGGGATCGGACCATGCTTGCGCGGCGATGGCTCTCCGAGCGCGTGGTGCACTTTCTGCACGCCGAGCACGACCGCGGTGTTGGAGATGAGCGTCCACCAGCTTTGGCTCAAGGTAAGCCCCCACCACGCACCTCATACAAAGTTCACTTGCTCATGTTTGGCGAGGTTAGGCGCGAATCGGCTCGAGCGCGCACGGCACTACCAGGCGCATCTGGAGGCGCTGGCCAAGCAAGCAGGATTGCCACCGAAATGGACCGTCGACTGGATCCCGCACGCCACGCACGACGGACTCGCTATGTAAGCACCCCCACCCCCTGCTCTGCACACTTTCGAGACTTGGTCTGACTCTCCTCTTTCGGTCAACAGGACGACATGGCGCGCTGCAATGTCACGAATCTTCAGCGTTGCGTAGTAGAAAAGATGGCATCGGACATCACCCGTCAAACTTGACCACCACACCGAGCGTAAATGGTAGCCGCGCATCTGTCACCGTCACCTCGTCATCCCCCGCACACACCTCTGCTATCCTTTTGCCCAAATTCGGCCTTGTGGCTTCCTCGATCTGTTTCGGCGCCTGGAAGTAGAGCGGTCTGCCCTGGATGGCGAGCGAGGGTTTTGTGAGCTGCAGATCGGGCATTTCGCCCAGCCTGTCGATGAGGTCCTGCACCGTTTCGTGCTGCTTAAACGTCATGGTTCGCGACTCGCCTCCGCATACGGGGCAGTCGGGTCTCTTTTCGTGCTCGAAAGTGTAAGTGTATACACTGTCGTTGCCGGTGACCATCATGTAGTTGTTGAGGAACGGCGCTGCGGTGGTGGCGATCTTGAAGGCTTCGAGCACACACGCAGCTGCGACAATGGCGTTTGTGGAAGCGATGGCGGGGATGATGTTCTTCACCACGCCCTGCGTGAGACCCCAGGTGACACCCGTGATTCCGAACGAGTCGGCTCGTGCTGCTGCCTGGTCGTAGAGCCACTGAATGTGGTCCGGATTGTCGTTGTCCAGTTTGGTATCTGGGAAGAGCCGCGGCCACTCGAGTACGCTTGCCCACTCGATGCAGTGTTCTGGCAAGCGCGGGGTATTTGCGATCGTGCAGATCGGGTACGTCGTCTGCCGACTGAGCATGTCCAGGCTGCACTCGTAGCACGATGTGACCGTCGGCAGGATGACCCTAGCCTGGCCCTTGAAGCCCTCCGTTCCGCCATCGATGAGCGGCTTTAGCGAGTCGGGGTCCTCGTCATCCACCATGTTGACGAGCGTGGCATTGATCCACCTCCTAGCCTCGACCGAGTCCAGCCCGCAGATGATCAGGTTGAACTGCATGTAGTACTGCTCGTCCTTGTCCTGGATCTTCCCATGGTACGGTGTGATGTCGACGCCGGGTACACGACGACGCACAAACTCGGCGGCCACCTCGGCCTTGGGTCTGCCTACATCGGCTTCGCGGAAAAGGAACTGGCGGTTGAGGTTGGAGACGTCGATGGTGTCCATGTCGATGATGTGGATGTGGTGGAATCCGCTCAGCGCGAGGTTGGCCAGGATCTCGCATCCGAGACCGCCTGCGCCGATGACGAGGATCTTGCACTGCGTACGAAGGAAGTGCTTGACGGATGCGCCGGCCTGGAACGCGGCATCGGTGGCGGGGCCAGGCCGGTCGAGCAGCCGATCGACGTGCTGGTATCTGGCTGGCGAGTGCAGCATGGTGCTCGGGGCGCGAGTGGACAATGATTCGTGGGAGGAAGCAAGATTGCCAGATGCCTTTGCGGAGGTGTTGGTTGGATTGGCTGAGCCGGGCAGAATTTGTAGTGGAGGTTGGCGGGTCCGTGCAGTGCTTGCGCTCTAACATGACACCCTGCGCTTGGCTGTTAGGCCGGAGCTTGCAACACCGTGTCGGAAAAACTTGGATCTCGGAAGGGACGCGAGATGTGCCTGGCTGAAGCACGATCGGATGGATGCGGGCTCAAGCTTCGGACACGTGAATCGGCTTTGGGTGAAGGATGTGTGGGGGACGAGGCTAGCGCCGTTGTTTTGGCGCGGGCGGGCTGGTCTTGGCATGGTCGTGTCAGGGTCTGCGTGGCTTGTGGGAACTGTCGCGGGCCTAATCGACGCGAGACTGTCGATCGCGGCCACTTTGGCTTGGCGCGCGGATCTTGCACACGCTGCACTCCCACCACAGACGCGCCCAATGCTCTTCTTTGGAGTCGCGGGATGCAGTCGAGATCCCCAGCGTCCAAAACAAGGTGATTGTGCATCCGACTCGTCGCATGTGCCGAGATGAGTTGGGAGCAGCCCGCAATCACGCGCTCGTGTGTGTTTGCTGCTCCGACATTGACTTTTTGACCGAGGCGTTGTGCATCCGGCAGCCCTGGGTCGGGAGTGGAAAGCTTCCAGCGAAGCGCGTGTGCAGATGAGTGCAGCCGCCGCCACGACTTGCTCAGCGGCGCGGGCGGTGTGCATTTCATTTCGGGTAGTGACATTTTGGGGCTTGCATTTTTGCTTGCATTTTTCTGGCCGCAAAGTCGCCACATTCCAAACTGGCGACCAACTGCAAGGACGAATACTGCTTTCGGGCTGGCCGACCAGCATTCGGGCGAGAGAGAGAGCGACCACGCGGTCGGGCGGAATGCCATCGCAGGGTCTTTCCGGAATCTCGAAAGTCGAACGACTTTGCCGACGCTGCCGCACTCTTCTCCCCAAAACGCTTTGCTCGAGTCGAGACGCGGAGTTCCGGAGAGCCAGGGCAGTCGTGAAATTCCGTCGTACTGTAGCTGCGCCAGTGCATCATCGCATCGCGATTTGAGTTTCGATGCAGAGCCGTTTGGGCATCCAATCAAGCTTTCAACCCGCCCATCCAGGCACATGCAACTTGCATCTGCAGGGGGGTTGGATTCGTACAGCGTCGTGGCGCTTCTTTCTGCAGTACAACCGGGTCTTAGCTCGGGTCTCGACCACCCCGTGTCAACGTACGGAGTTGCACGCCGTCAGATGGAGGCAAGCAACAGCCGCTTGTCGGGCGAGGATCGTGTGTGGGGGGTCAGGTCGGTCCGAGAGGTGTATTTTTGGAGGCTTTGGGCGGAGCGCGTGATGGGGGCACGCGCATTGGAGTCTCTCTGAGAATCGACGACTGTTCGTCTCGCCTAAAATCGAGTGGAAATCTCGCTTAGCGATGCCGCGACAGCAATCCACACGAGCGAATCGTCGCACTCGCCTCACTGCGTCGGCACCACCGCGTGATCACGCAGCCCTTTCCAACAGCATACAGTGCGCCGCCAAAGATGAAAGAGTGGCGTGGGTTGAAGCCGCGCTGCAGTCGGAATGCTTCCGATGCTGCCTTCCACGCTGGTCTTGGCAGGCATGGAAGAGCGGCGCGGCGGCGGCGGCCCTGCCGAGATGAAGAGCACGCCAGATGCGCCACTCTGGAACGGGATCGACACGGGCTCGTCTCATTTTTTTTTTTTCGAGCAGCGGAACAGCAGCGACTCGCTTGACCGCTCGAATTTGCTGCTGACCAAGTCCAGTACGAACGAGGCGGCGTTGCGTAACCCCTGTGTGCGGCCCTTGTTTTTCCTTGTCGCCTTGCCCGCTCCACTTTCCATCGGAAGTGCCGTACGCCCCACTGCCCTTTTCCACACGGCTCCTCGGCTGTCATTGTGTGTTTTCTTTTGCCTTTTTTTTAAGGGCAAGCCTCTGCTGCGATGCTATGCCCTCTCACAGCCGCGGTCGGTGGCTGCATGGCTGTCGGCACTCCGCCGTGTTGACAACGCCCTCTGAGATCGCTTCTGCCGCTGCTGGATCGCTTGGCCTTTCTTTCGCTGTCTCTGCCATTGTTGTGAGCTTGGAATCGCCTCGCCTCGCCTCGCCTCGCCTCGCCTCGCCTCGCCCCGCCCGGCGTCGGCCCGCCCGCTTGCTGACGGGTGCTTGCCGTCTGCACGCAGGCAGGCAGCTGTCGTCCAACCATCGGCTCCACGCTCTCAGCTGCCACGCTCGCTCGCCTCTGCTGCCGTCGTCTGCTGCCGTCGTGGTCGCTGCTGCCGCCGTTTGGGCCTCAAGCGACGGGCGCGCCTGGCTGTGCCAAGACCCTCCTCCTTCCCTGTCTCTCGCTCCCTCTCTACCCCTCGCTGCCGGCGCCCCTCTTCCGACCTGAACTAGCTCGCTCGCTTCCGACTGCGCCCCTCTCCCTCCTTCCCCAACCTCTTCTACATCCCTGCCTCATCCCCTCATCCCACCATCTCCCCCTCTTGCATCTCCTCTTCCCGGCCTGGCTCCGTACGTCTCGCTCTACCGCATCGATTCATAACCATCATCGCAGCCTCCGTCGATCGTCCTCGAACCGCATATACACCTACTCTCACGCGGCTCTCTGGCACGCCTTCTCACCCTCCTAGCACAAGTCCCATCATGCCGCGCCCAAATTCTCAACCGCCGCCGACTTCGAGCGCATCAGCGTACTACAGCCCGGACCCAATGTCCCCCACCTTTTCGCCACCGGGCGAGTATACCGAGTTCCAGACCCTCCGTCCAGGCACCCCAGGCTCCTTCGGTCGCTACTCGGTCACAAGCTCCAACTTTGAAAAGTATGACCGCGAAGGCGCCGCCACTCCGCAGGCACAGGGTCTCCTCGCCTCTGGTGAACGCTCCAGCACCTACTACTTCAACAAGGAGGGAGGCGCCGCTGCAGGCGCCACGGGCGCAGCATCTGGCTTCCACCAGTACCAGGGCCGACGAGGCCAGGGCTACAACCCCGCCAACAACGCCGCACTCGAGGGCGGTTACAAGACAGCAAAGCGTCCCAACTTTATCCGTCGCAGGCCAATCCTCTTTTGCGTCCTCGTCCTTCTCGTCCTCATCGCAGCAGGTGTAGGCGCAGGCGTCGGCATCTCCCAGTCCAACAAGTCGAGCAACAAGAACCTCTCGGCGCAAAATGCCAGCTCGGGCTCCAAGAGCGGCGCTTCCCCCACCGCCTCCGCCTCTGCAGCCAACCCCTCCTCCTCGTCCAGCAGCGACGCAGGCAGCAACCGCGGCAGCAGCACCCCCGCCGCACCCAAGATCACCCCCTTCCCACGCTGGTCCTGGACCGACACAAACACAAAGGCCTACGGCGTCAGCCTCGGCTCCTGGCTCGTCCTCGAAAGGTGGCAGCTCGAAGACTGGATGGTCCAAGAGGGCGGCCCCAACGCCTGGGACGAGTTCCGCTTCACCCAGAATCTCGGCACCCGCGCCGCCTCGGTCCTCCAGGACCACCAGAACACTTGGGTCACCGAAGCGGACATGGACTCGCTCCAGAACGCAGGCGTAAACCTCATCCGCATCCCTATCCCCTTCTGGGCCTTCATCCCCACCGTCTCGGGCGAGCCCTACGTAACCACCGGCTACGTCGACCAGCTCAACAAGATGCTCCAGTGGTGCTACAACCGCAACATGTACGTCATGCTTGACCTCCACGCCATGCCCGGCTCCCAAAACGGCGACCAGTCCTCCGGTCACAACACCACCGACATCGAGTGGTACACTCAGGCCAACCAGGCGCGCTCCGACACCTTCCTTAAGAACGTCCTCGACTGGGCCACAACGAGCAACTACAGCTCCATCATCAACTCGATCGGCCCCGTCAATGAGCCCCGCATCGTCGATGACAACTGGGCGCTCGACCAGAACCGCTTCCAGATCGCACAGGCCTACTACGAGCGCTCCTACGCCACCTGCCTCAAGTACAACATGCCCATGCTCTTCCACAACGGCTTTGCTCCCGGCACCGTCCAGGACAAGATGAAGCTCTGGAAGCCCTTTGTCACGGGCAAGGACCCCAACATGCTCATCTACGAGGACCACCCCTACCCGGGCTGGTTCCAGACGCCCGAGCCCGGCGCGGACGCCATCCAGACGTCCGTATGCGAGTACGGCGCGGCGAGCAACTCGTTTGGCGTGCCCATCGTCATGGGCGAGTTTTCGGCCATCAACAACCTCAACTCGACCAGCTATTCGCGCACCTACCTCCAGATGCAGCTCGCCACCTACGGCTGGTCGGCCGGCTCGGTCTTCTGGAACTTCAAGGCCAACAAGTCGCAGACCAAGGTGCTGGCGCTCGCCGACAACCTCATGGAGCTCTACTCGTTCCTCGACATGATGGGCGACGGCTACATGCCCAACCCGGGCAAGGGCGGCAACGTGCGCAACTTTTACGCCAACCTTCCCAACCCCTGCGGCGGCTTCCAGACGTTTGGCTGGAACAACCCCGTGCAATAGTTCGCTCCCTTTTGCATTTTGTATTCCCCCGGACAATCCTTTCTTTATTTTTTTGCTCGTTCTTTGCGCGCTCAATGCAGTCGTTTACAGGATCGCTTGTGGTTGTGGCGCGAGAGGGAGGCAGAGAGAGCGCAAAGGAGAAAGACAGAGGAAAGAAGGAGGCGCACGAGAGGAGGTGGGGGCAAATGCATGCCAAGTGCGCGGGGACGCGGCACAAGAACTTGAGGCTGCGAGGCTGCGCCTCTCGTGACTCTCAGATCTCTACTTGGGTAGGAGAATTCAGCCCCTGATGTCGACCGTGCACTGCGTCAAACAGCGCTCAAGATCCACTCACCGAGACTCGACTCGCAAAGACTCATGAACCGGAGAGAGTGTGTGTGCGTGCGAAGGTGAGACTTGGTGGGGTCGGATTGCCGGTTGTTTCGAAACGCACCGTTCCGGCCGCACGACGACTTGTGCTGCCCCCAGCATGCAAACGGCACATTCGTTGGCACTGCCCGCACACCCATTTGCACCAGCTGCACAAAAACACATGAACGCAAAGCGCAAAGCGATTGATTGCAACATATCGTTGAAACCAAACAAGACGAATGAAGGACGCGGGGATCACTTTTGGAAGGGAATGTCGTTGGTGACTTCCTGGAGCTTGTCGTAGAGCACGCCCCTCTTGTTTCCAAACGCATCCTTAACCAGCGCACGGGCATGGTCGGCCGCCTCCCTCTCGTTGAGTTCGGGCTTGAACCTGTCCCTGAGCCTATGGATCGTCGGCATGCCCTTGAAACTGGGCAGTTCGGTGCCGAGCATGAGCTTGCAGGTATCCACGATTTCCTCGCAGAATGGCCGCGCGGCGAGGAACGCCTTGATCACCAGCTCCTCAAACATGCCATAGCCTTGCGATCCCGCGCCACCCATCACGTCGATCATCTCGTGGCTAAGCTTGAACGAGTACGGCTCGAACCGCATTCCACCGGGCCCAATGTCGAAGAGGAATCCAAAGTCGATGTGAACCAGGTGGCCGTCGCCGTCGATCATCATGTTGCCGTTGTGTCGATCGCGAATCTGGAGGATGTGGCACACTACAGAGTACGCCGCCATGGACTGGATAAAGTTGATGCGCGCGCGCTGGAACGCCACACTGTCCGGACTGCCATACTTGCCGATGAAGAACGTGAGGAGGTGGTTGATCTTTGCGCGTCCCATCTCGTCGCGCGAGGTGGCGTTGGGCACAACATCGATCACACCACAACCGGGACCGGTGGCGGTGACGCGGTACGGGTTGAGGTACAGGTCGATGCCGACGGTGGTGTAGACGTTTTTGAACATGGCGATCACCTGCAGCGCCAGCACGTCCTGCCTGCAGTCGTCGCCCACCTTGAAGATGGCCGCCTGCCACACATCCACCCCAGTCTTCTTGGGCGGGGTGTTTTCATCACCCTCGTCGCCCGGCTTGACGATCTCGCGATGCACCTTGAACGTCGCCATGAACGGAGCCTTTGCATGCGACTGCAGCGGTCGACCGGACTTGCGATCCAGATCCACCACCACACCATCCGCATTCGACGGCAGATACACACCGGCGTCCACCTGGATCTTGGCCATCTCCTCGTCGATCTTGGCCTTCTTCTCCGGCTTGCTCTTCTTGATGTACGGCTTGAGCTTGCCCGAGATGCTCGTCACCTCGTTGAAGAACCCGAACTCGCGCTCGTAGAATTTCTGCGCCTCGCCCGACAGCGCCTGCACAATGTTGTCCACCATGCGGTCGAGCGTCGGCTTCATCGGATCCTCCTCCTCGGCATTGTCGTCCTTGTAGCTGTTGGCCTTCATGTTCCAGATGATCTGGTGGCAGAAGAGCTGCGAGATCTTGCTCGTCTCAAAGATGAACTGCTCCACGTACCCGTACGCGTCGGTGCGCAGCGCCTGCACCACCTGCGGCACGTAGAAGAACGTCAGCTCCACCGGATGCTGTTCGAGCGCACGCATGGCGTACTGCAGCAGCGACGGGTGGTTGTCGTAGTCCGGCTGGAAGAGGTCGATGGCCTCGACGGGCGACACGGCCGCCCAGTAGCCGAGCCACTTGAGGTCCGCACCTTCCTTCTTGGCCAGCTTCAGATGATCCTCCACCAGGTACTTGAGCGCACCGGGCACATCCACCGTCTTGTACGGCTGGCTGCGCACCATCCTGCCGAGCGCCGCCTTGAGCGCCTTGGACTGGAATCGCGAACCGAGCTGCACCGCCGTGACGGGGCTGATGCGCCACGCCGTCTCGACCATGCTGCCCCACGTCGCCTCGGTCATCGACTTGGTCAGCGTTCCCACAAAGTCGGTGCCGCGCGCGGGCGCGTTGAGCGGGTTGGCCCACACCGACAGACGCCCCACCTCGTTCTCCACCAGCAGCTGCAGCAACCTCTTCTTGTCGTCGAACGATCGACCCGCCTCGGCCACCGTGAGGCCGCCGGGCAGTCGCACCGCCGACAGCGTGGGCGGGAAGCTCGTCACGTGCTGGTCCGCACGCACCGCATCGCGCTGCAGCAGCTCGAGCGTCTCCTGCATCACCTGCATGTCGGCGCTCAGCTGGAGCCGGTTGCCGCCGAACGACCACTGCGGCGAGCTGGCGAACCAGCCGAGTCCGAGCTTGTACAGCGCGTCGCGCAGCTGGTGCTCCACCAGCCCCTCTAGGCGGCTCGTCTGGATCACGCGCAGCCCAAAGTTGAGCAGCGTGAATCGCACTTCTCTGGCGAGCGGGTGGGTGCTCATGCGCTCGGCTGCCGCGCCCGTGTGCTGGATGAGCCTTACGAGCGCCAACACCATGGTGGGATCGCGGTACCGGAACGCCTGGAAGCGGCTCGAGATGAGATGCACCAGCGTGAGGTGCGGCGTGAACAGCTTGGCCGCCTGCTCCTGCTCGGCGGTGATCTCTTCGCGGTTGAACGCGCCCATCTCGGTCTTGCGCAGGAAAGGATGCTTGGTCGAGAGGCTCGACGAGAACACGCCCTTGCGCGCACGCGCGCTCATGGCCCAGCCGATGGTGAGCTCGACCATGATCTTGGTCTCCACCTCGGGGCGTGCGCCAATGACCCACGTCCACACCTGGCACGCCGTCGAGATCGCCTCTGGCGTGAACACGAGGAACGGGATCGACACGATAAAGTGGAGCAGCTCATAGTCCGGCTCGGGCAGCGCCACCACGAGCGCCGCCGTGCGGTACAGCAGACGGCGCAGCTCTGCGAACGGCAGCGCCTTACGCTTGACGCTCACGTCGTTGGAGAGCGCCGCAAGCTGGGTGCGGCACGCGGCGACGCTGGCGGGCGACATGGTGTTGGTCGGGTCCTTGGACAGCTCCACGAGGCCCTTGGTGAGCGCGAGGTGGATGCCCGTCATCTCGCCGAGGTACGTGTTCTTGGCCGACAGCTCGCCGATGAACGAGCTGCTGGCATCCGAACGCCAGCCGCCCAGCTGGGGCAGCAGACGCTCCTTGCGCGCAGACACGGGCATGCTGCGTGCATACTCGAGTGCCACGCTCTTGCCAAGCTCGCTGCGGTCTGGCAGGATCGAGTCGTCAAACGTGCCCAGGTAGCGCTCGAGGATGCCCTGCAGCTCGAGCGGCGCGAGCGCCATGACGAGCGAAAGATACTCGCGCGACTTTGCGAGGAACTGCGTGAGGATCTCGTTCCTCTGCGCATACGAGTCGGAGAGGTCAAACTCGACGCCGGCACGCTCCGAGACGTAGTGGTACGTGGGCGCGTACTCGTCCTTGTACTCTGCCTCGCATCCGTCGCGGAGGAGCGTCAGCACCTCGAGCATGGTCGTCACCACGTCCTGGTCGCACAGCAGCGAGGGGAGCGCATACACGAGCTTGTTGAGGATGCTCTGTGCCACCTGACGCACCTTGGCGACGCGGTGGCAGCATCCGAGCATGAGGTTTTTGACCTCGCTCGACACACGCGGGTCGAGCGAGTGCGCATTGACCTGGGTGGCCAGATCGCGGATGAAAAAGTCGATCACCTTGTCGGCGATGGCCTGCATGGCGCCGACGAGCGCGCTGTTGTTGAGGCCCTCGTTGGTAAAGTAGGAGAGCACCATCGACGGCCGTCCGCTGCGGCTGCGCAGGCACTCGAGATCGTAGATCGTCGACAGGAACGTCACCTGCGCATAGCTGAACGCACGGATCTCGGAGGCGTGCGTGGGGATCACGGCGCCCAGCGCCTTGCGCTGCGAGTCGAGCGTCTGATTCGAAAACTCGCGCTTGAGCACCGAGTTGTACTCGAGGTCGCTCTCGAGATAGTTGTGCGCCGTCTCGGGCACCAGCGTGGGCGTCTTGAGCGAGATGGAGCTGAGCGAGCGACCCACGATCTCGGCCTGCGCCTGGGCGGCCGAGGCGGGGGGCGCAAGCGCGGTGCCGTCGGCGGCGACGCTGGTGCGGATGTTGCTGGGCGAGGCAAAGCCAAACAGCACCGAGAGGAACCACATGTTGCGGAAGAGCGAGACCATCTCGGTGGTGGGCTGCACCTCTGGGTGGATGTCCTTGTGCTCGAGCACGGCAGCGATGGCGGGGAGGAGGGTGGCGAGGTCGGTGTTGAGCTCGGCGAGCTCCTCTGCGCTGCTCTTGCCCGAGGTGGCGACGGTCTGCAGCTGCATGCCCTTTTCGGCGAAGAGCTGGAGCAGCTCGATGAGGAAGATCTCCTTGCGTCCGCCCGACGCCTCGTTGTCCTCGGCCGCCGACGAGTCACGCTCGTCGCGCTCATCCAGACGGCCGAGGCCGCGTGCGAGCTTGAGCTGGGCGGACTCGACGGCGACGGCGGCGCGACGGCTGGCGCCACCCTGGAGGGCGTTCCTCGAGGTGGCGGAGAGCGCGCGGACGACATCGACGTACGCCGACCTGGGGCCTGCGAGGGCGAGGGGCACGACGTTGTCGAGGATGGCCGCCTCTGCCGAGACGTCTGCGTTGCGGAGACGCTGGAGTAGCATCGAGATGGTGAGCGCGGTGACGTCTGGCTTGCCTACCTCGAGGGCGAGGCGCGAGATGACGGTGATGGTGCTGAGGTTGATGAGCTTGCGCTGATCCTCGGAGCGAGCGGCGATGTTGGCCTGCGAGCCCGAGAGCGGCAGACCGTTGACATGGTCGCGGGCCGTGACGGCGCGCGAGGCGCCACTGCGGACCGACACGCCGCTACCCGCCACACCACCCACACCAAGACCGCCCGGGGTGTCTCTGCCGAGGTAGTTGAGTAAGTTGTACATGGTCGAGACCACGAGGTCGTCGCCGGGGGCGATGGTGACGCACGAGGCGAGGCATCGGGCTGCGGCGAGCAGCACGGGAGCGCTGGCGCCCGTGGCGGTGGGGAGGAAGATGGGGAGGGGCGAGGTGACAAAGTGGCGCAGCACACGCGTCATGGGGAGCGCGAGGTTGGAGCTGTTGCGCACGAGCACGCCGACGCTCTGCAGCGCGGCGCCCTGGAGGCGCGGGTCAAAGAGCGGCGCGCTCTCGCTGAGGAGCGAGCGGATGCGGACAAAGACGTTGGCGTCGATGTTGGCGCCGTTCGCGACGCTGCGTGCGACCGAGCAGAGCGCCGAGAGCTTGAGCGACTCTGCGAGGATGTCGGGCACGTGAAGCTCGGGCACGATCTCGATGCTCCTGACGCCCTCGCTGAGGAGGAAGCGCTGGACATCGTGGAAGCTGCGGTTGCTGGCGCGCAGAACGGCATACAGAGTCTCGTCGAGGTCCTCGAGCGTGGTCGCCTTGGAAGCGTGGGCGGGGATGTTGTCGCCAAAGGCAGCCGACTTGTTGGTGGAGGAGCCGATGATGGGCACGGCCGAGAGGATGCTGGCGGCGGCACCGGCAGGCTGGGCCGAGCCGTTGGCCTCGGTGTTGCCGTTGAGATTGTTGGCACCATGGCCTGTGGTGGAGGACTTGGCGAGTTCGGGCTGGATGGCGAAGCGGAGGAGCGAGTCCCAAGCTTTCTTGGTTGCGCTGTTGGCGAGGACGGCGCGCGAGTGCTTGTGTTCGATGTCGTCGTTCCACTTGTCCGAGTCGAGATCGAAGCGGTCCGCCTGGGACTGACGGCTGGGATCGATGCGGTCGAGGTCGAGGCCGAGCTTCTGGAAGTCGGAGAAGTCCTTGATGGGCGGACGGGCGCCCATGGCGAGAGCCTGGGTGAGTGCGTTCTCGAGCACGTCGATGGCAGCGAGCAAGAGGTAGTGGCCCGAGAGCGGCACGCCGGCGGAGCGGTAGCGGGCGAGCAAGGAGAGACGGTAGTCCTGTGCGTCCTGTGCGGCGGGGGAGGTGGAGTCGAAGGTGAATCCGCCTTCGGGACCGACGACATCGGCGTCTTCGTCCTCGTCACCGGAGAAGAAGGTGTCTACGCTGGCCTCGGACTGGTCGTCGGTGGGACGGACGGTGGCGAGTTTGGGCGCGCGGCGAGTGGCACGAGCTGCTTGCTGGCGGATGTCTACCTGGTCGTCGAGGAGCAGAAGGGCGTCGTTGAGCCTGCGCACAGACTGGGTGGAGGTGATGAGCGGGGTGAGCACGTGTGCGAGACGGGCAAACTCGTGGAGGCTCCAACCGAAGGAGGTGGTTGCGATGGCGCGGTAGAGACCGTTGAAGAGCGGTGCGAGCTTGACGACGACGGTGTGGGCGTCGCCTGCGGTGGCGCCGAGCGCATCTGCGAGCTTGTTGGCGAGGTCGAAGATGGCGTCGAGGCAGCGAGCACGGTGGTGGGGCGCGTTGGTGGAGATGGTGAGGAAGCTGGACACGAGAGCGTAGGCGAGCTGGTCCGGGAGCGGATGGGTGGCCCAGCTCATGTCGTGATCAAAGTCGAGCACGGTGAGCTGGCGAATGAGGCGTTCGATGTCGTCGAGGACGGGGACGAGGTGCTCATCGTTCTTGATGTCGGTGGTGTGTTGGGTGGAGCGCGAAGCCGACGAGATGGAAGACGCGAATAGCGCAAGGCTGATCTGGGTTCTGGCAGCTGCGGCGGAGAGGAAAGGGTTGGCGTTGGTGGTGACCTTGCTGGTGGTGGCCGAGTTGGCAAAGAGGGAGCGCACGTGGGAGCGGGCCGAGGGGACGTTGGCGATGTCTTCGGCGAGGTTGAGCGCGAGGCTGTCGAGGATGAGTTGGTGGGTGGGCAGGTCGAGCGCGTCCATGATGGGCAAGCTCGACGGTGGTGTTGATACGGTTGTGTGTGTGTGTGTGAGCGATACGAAGGTTGTCGTCGTTGAGCAAGAAGGAGGAGCGTGTGCGAGTGGGTGCCCTCTCTGCAGGCACAACGGGCGAGTGTGGGGGAGGGACGTGCGTGAGAGTGACGTTTTTCCCCTTTTCGATGCGTGAAAGCGGCTCCATCGAGGGATCGAGGCCAGGTGCGCGAAGAAATTCGGGTTGAAATCCTCAATTTGTCCCCGCTTTTTTGGTGCGTGAAATGGTGGAAATGCGCCCAATTTTGCAGCCGCCGCTCCACGCATGATTTACTGTACACACTCTCGCTTTCTTCTCACCTGCCACACTCTATAGCGGGGGCATCGTCTTGTCACCGAGCAATCAAAGCTACGTACAAAGCACCATGACGAAACATTCAGCACTTGCACGCCGAGCCGTCTTCCATGGTGGTCTGTGCTGGTGCCGCAGTCACGTCAATGTCTAGCCACACACACACACGAGCCACAAGCTCACAATGTCAGCATACTGTCGTCTCCATCTTGTTGTTGGGGCAAGACTTACTCTTGTTGGCGGTGGCGCCGGCGTTGGCAGCATCTGCGTCCTTGTCCATCCCCGGTAGCGCCTGTGCGATCTTCTTGAAGAGCACCTTGACGTTGTGCCCTGCCTTGGCCGACGTCTCGATGAACATCACGTTGAACTCTTGCGCCTTTTGCTCCGCCTCTTCCGTCGTCACTTGTCTGTCATTACCAATGTCCCCACCGCATGTTAGTGTCAAGTGGCAATCGAATCCTCTATCCAGGGGTTGGGCGTGTGCACTTACCTCTTGTCGCTCAGATCCGTCTTGTTGCCCACGAGCACGATGATCACGTCGTTGCCGCGCTCCGCACGCACGTCGTCCACCCATTTCGATGTGTTCTGGAACGAGGCCCGGTCTGTGTTCCCACCGTGTCAGTTCCACGCCTCTGTTTGTCGTTGCGCTTGTGGGGCATTGGCCACTTACTCGTAATATCGTATACCACCACCGCCACCGACGAGTCGCGAATGTACGACGGAATCAACGATCGGAATCGTTCCTACACAGCAAAAGGCGATCCAATCGACGTCAGCTTCCTGTATCGATGCCCCCAAAGCAAATGAGGTTTGGGCACTTACTTGTCCTGCGGTGTCCCAGAGCTGCAGCCTGACTGTCCTGTCTTCGAGGTACATGGTCTTGGAGAGGAAGTCGATCCCGATGGTTGCCTGGTACGTGTTGTCGAATGTATCGTACATGAACCGCGTGATCAACGACGTCTTTCCCACCGACTGCTCTCCCAAGAACACCAGCTGCCCGTCCCCAAACATGCCAATTCGCGGTCAGCCTTCCACCTTCTTCTTCCGCGTCAGACGGCATTTGGCTGGGAACCTACCTTGAACTTGCGCAGCGGCTGGCCAAATTCGGCCGTGCTTGCGCCTGGTGCGTTCGACATGGCGATCCCAAAGCACCGAGACGCTTTCGAACAATGCTGTGTGCGGGGTGTGAGGCTCGTTGGAATCCAAAAAGCGGTAGCTGATCGCGATGGGCGGATGGAAAGTGTGTGCGTGGATCGGTACTGCCTTGAGCGGTCGGTGATGTGTGTATGCGCAAGCTGCGGTGCAGGTGAGATGGATGAGAGGATGGGTGGTGTTGGTGTGGTGCTGGATAGCAGTGGGAGCGGTGGGCTTGCGTGCATTTGTCCGTGGGATTGTGCTGTGCTGTGCCTGGCTCGAGTGCCACATGTGCCGCTTGGCCTCACTTCGCCTCGCCTCTGTGTCTGTGCTGCCGTGCTGCTGTGCCTCTCGCGCGAGTCTCGTCAAATTCAGACCCCGAATGCGGCGTCCCTTCTGACCCTCAGGCCTAACACTTTGAATTTATTTCGACGCCATCTTTAGCGACAACCTTCAACCTCCTCTCTCTCTCTCTCTCTCGACACACAGACACGCAGAGATTAGGAAACCGGTGACATTGATCGTACGCCATCTATGTACGAGATCTCTATTCCATGTGACGATGCATCCGAAATGCTTTTTTTGGTTTGGGCATGCCTAGCTACGCGTGGTGAGCTCGAGCTCAAAGGCCGCCTTTTCCAGATCGCAGCTGACATTGCGCGACGTCTTGCGGCTCGACTCGACCGACGCCGTGGTGCTGCTCTGCCTGCTCTGCTGCATCCTTGCTGCGTTGCTCGCCACGAGCACGGGCGTGAACTGCAGCTCGTCCTCTTGTTGGCTCTTTTGGCTGTACCTCTGTTCCAACGAGTCGCCCATCTTCCACACCACCCACGCGCCCCACACCTGGGTCACTGCCAACCCTGCGGTGCAGATCCAATACAGCGCATCCCAGGCGGTGTAAAGCTGTCCATCTGCCCTGCGCTGAAACTTGATCCACATCCAGATCGTTCCCGCGATCGAGGCGAACTTGAACACGATGCTCTGCACGGCTGCGATCCTAAACACCGTACGCAGCATCCTCGCCGGCGCCTTGAGTCTGTACATGAACAGCGCCACAAAGGTCGTCTGCTCCGTTGTCGCCTGGAAGATCCACAGGAGGCCTGTGATGACGTACGAGGGATCCTGCAGCCGTTCGCACATGACCAACGCCAGACTCATGGCGAAACACGTGATAAGGTGGTGCGCGATCATCGGATACGTCATGCGATACCTGTATATCAGTTCGAACAGGTACAGTGCTGCGATGAGGCATGCGCATGCACGCACCACATTCACCTTCCACAGCGCGAACCGCAGGCTGATCAACGAGCATACCGACAACTGCATCGCCACCACCAGCGTCGTGATCACCAGCTGCAGCACGTACACCACCAGTGTACGACGATGCTCCGCCTTGATATCGCGCCACTTTCGTCCCACCATGCACGGCAGTAGGAGATTGTGAAGCAGATTGGCGATGAAGTAGAGGATGAAGAGGAGCGTGACGAATGCAATTGGAAACACGTAGGGAGTCTCGACGTTCATCCGTTGGTCGGCCATCTTGACGACCTCGCCCAGCGACGCGGGCGACAGATGCGAGAGGATCGGAGCGTACGACATGGCTGCAATCGGCGGCAATGGCGCAATCGAGAGAAGGAGGTGAGGGAGCTATGTGTAGCAAGATCTGGCATCTACAACCACGTCCCGCTTATATACCTTCTCATCCCACCTACACGCATCACGGGGCTGCTTGTGCGTCCTGCATACATGCGCACGATTCATGCTGCAACACTGTATCGTCACCAATGATCATCGGATTGCCACCACCGTATGGCATGACCAGGATAAAACCGGTTCGGGGACCGCCCAAATTGACAAGGCTGACAAGCGGCTCGCCTCATCGGTGGGCCCAAAAACATCAAGTAAATCCGATAAAAATAAAATAAAAACGTGTGCCGCTCCCCGCTCGACGCCGTGTGGTGTCGACTTTTTCCGGCCGCCCCTTTATCTCTCTATCGGCACATGCCTTACCTCGTGCTCGCTTTTGCAAGCAGGCGACGCCGTTCCTGGCGATCATCGTGTCAGCAACCCACTCCCACACCCCACCTTCCGCCACGAAGCTCGTCTGTCTGTATCATGTTATGCTTTGAGGTGCGTGCTGAGGTAGACCTTCGCTCCCTGCAAGCTTTGGGATGCAGTGCGAGCTGGGCCATTGCTGTCACAGCGTCATCTTGGAGCTTGAGCGCTACGGAGCATGTGATACGGATGCTGCCAAACGTCGATGATCCACCTCGGCACCGCCGAATGTGGCTGCAGCCGGGACATGTCGCTGCGGAACGGGTGATTTTTCCGAAGCCTCGATAGCAAACTTGTCGGGCTGAAGGCGGAAATCATGCATGGGACCTTCGCAGGCTTCGCTATCACCACATCCCCGGGGCCGGGGGGGAGGGGGGGAGGGGGGAGCAACGGGCAGTCGCAGGGTTGGAACAGCAGGGTAAGGTCGCCGATGCGTGAAGCCTCATTCACGACAGCACGAAGAACTGCCAATCGGCACGGGATGCGGGGCGGAGCCACAATTTTTCCCGCCTGCTTGTGAGTCTGACAGCCGCCATGCGATTCACCACGCCGCCGGTCCCTGCGCATCTGGCCGTCAATCGCCTATCTCCCGATCCAAAGCCCTGAACCGGGCTGCAAATCGGGTCTCATCCCCGATGCCTGCTCAATTACTCCGAACCACCTCACATCTTCACATCCTGCCAAACCCCCTTCCCCCATGTTGACCATGTTCACGCCGCTCAACCACATTTATCCGTGCACCACGCTGACATCGGGGCCTACATGCCGATCTGCAAAGAGCACAAAGCGGCCACATGGAGCTGTAGAGCGTCAAAAACAAGATGAATTTACAACAAACCACCCCGAGGGGAACAAGAAGGAGCCTACCGGCCGCCTGCAACGCTGCCGATATCTAGCCTCGGAGCTCTAGTGCCCGAGTGCTAGCCACCGAGCCGAGATGGCCTACTTGTACAGGGCGCGCTTGGCGGCACGCACGACGACGGCGGTGTCGGGGAAGGCGAGCTTCTCGAGGTTCTGGGCGTAAGGGGTGGGCACGGCCGCACCCGACACACGCTCGACGGGCGCATCGAGGTGGTCAAACGCAAAGTCGTTGACCGTCGCGGCGATCTCTGCGCCGACGGAGAAGAGCGGGAATCCGGACTCGACCGTGACGATGCGGTTGGTCTTCCTCACCGACTCGAGGATGGTGTCGACGTCCATGGGCGCAATGGTGCGCAGGTTGATCACCTCGGCCTCGACGCCCTCCTCCTTCTTGAGGATCTCGGCCGCCTCCATGGCGTAGTTCATGCCGATCGAGTGCGACACGATCGTCACGTCCTTGCCCGCGCGCTCGATCTTGGCCTTGCCGATCGGGATGGTGAAGTCGTCCGAGAGCGCCTCCTGCGAGATGGCAAACGAGGTGCCGTACATGATCTCGTTCTCCAGGAACACCACCGGGTTCGGGTCGCGGATGGCCGACTTGAGCAGACCACGGCAGTCCTCGGCGGACCAGGGCGAGACGGTCTTGAGGCCGGGGATGGAGCCGTACCATGCGGCGTAGTCCTGCGAGTGCTGCGCACCCACACCAGCAGCGGCACCGTTGGGGCCACGGAAGACGATCGGGCACGGCACGTTGCCGCCGGACATGTAGTAGGTCTTGGCACCGGAGTTGATGACCTGGTCGATGGCCTGCATGGCAAAGTTGAACGTCATGAACTCGCAGATGGGGCGCAGGCCGGAGAGTGCGGCGCCGACGGCGAGACCGGCGAATCCGGACTCGGTGATGGGGGTGTCGATGACGCGCTTCTCGCCGAACTTGTCGAGGAGGCCACGCGTGACCTTGTAGGCGCCGTTGTAGCGGGCGACCTCCTCGCCGAGGATGAAGACCTTGTCGTCGCGCAGCATCTCCTCCTCCATGGCCGAGTTGAGCGCGTCACGCACGGTCATCTCCTGGGGCTTTGCATCGGTGGAGGCGTTGCGGGAGGAGGAGGGGAGGAAGGCGGTGAGAGCGGCGGGGTCGGTGGTGAGGCGCGACGAGCTGGCGATGGGCTTGGCCTTTTCGAGCAACGCCGAGGGCTGCTTGGCGGCGGCGGTGGTGGAGAGCGATCGGAGCGTGGATCGGTTGGCGTTGACGCGCGCCAACGAGGCGAAAGCGGAGCGAGCGGCGGCCATGTTGATGAGAAACGCGACGACCAAGGGGGGAGGGAGAGATGAGGACGAGGAGGTGCGGATGCGGAGGATACGGTGGTGGTGACGAGACGACGACAACGACCAAGGCCCAGCGAGGATTGAGAATTGAGGATTGGGGGGCGGCCAACTCTGCGCAGCGCTTGCGAAGAAGAAAAAGCACGGGCGATCTAGCCCACGGCAGCGCAACAGCCAAAGCAACGCGCGCGCACCCTGGCCTCAATCAACCAAAAAAAATTGGAACAGAGCAGAGCCAGACCGAGGTGCTCCCGTGCTGCTTTTCTTTTCTTCCAAGCCTCCTTCAAGCCGTGGGGGAGAGTGCGAGCGAGGCGAACAGAACGGCGAAAAAAAAAGGCGAGAAAAATTGGTCGCGTCAGGCTCGGGCTGCACAGTATCGATGGGAGCTCACGGGCAGCTGGCGGCTCAGGGTGCACGGATCTAGCCAGTCGAAACTCGCGTGGGATTTGTAGTGCAGCCGTTTGAAGCGGGTCAAAGTGCTGAATTTCACCGGCCGCTTTGCTTCTGCCCACTCTCTGCATTTCTTTTTTCCCAACAACGCATCGCCTCCTCCGCCCCACCTGCGCTTGTCCGTGTTGCGCCTGTCCGGGTCGTTTCGACAGGAACGGTCTCGTCCCGATCTGTACTCGCGCTGCCGATGGAGGCGTCGGTCAAACGAGGCACACACGCCCAACTCGAAAATCAACAACCAAAGACGGCAGCAGGGCAAGAGCAGGCGCAGGCGCGCTGTGGCAGGTGGTTTATCGATGGGCGCCCAACCTGGACACCAGATCGGCAGGCGTGTGTATGGTAGAAGCGCACTTGTCCGGCGCCGCTCCCATCATCACTTGTAGTGTCGACAATGTTCGATGAGCCACGACGGAACGGCTCACTCCGTAGGTATCGAGGGTGAGCATGCGATCACGGCGACGGAGAGCACGGCGCGAGGACGGTGGGGCCACGGCTGGATCCGCTGACCCTATCTCGAGCCTTTGAGCGCGTGTGTGTTGGGGCATGGCGTCGCCCAACGTTGCGCCGTCTCGGTCGCCAATTTGGCCGGCCAAATGCGCGGTGCAAAAGGCGCCTCCAAACCACCAACCGAGCGCTTCCGAATGTAGCCCGTGCGATCTCACACCCAGACAAAGTCGAAATTGGATCGTACGATCGACCAAGTCGGGCGCCGATTCGGACACGCGCCGAAGAGCCGGCAGTTTGCTTTTCCTGGTCTGATCACGGCTCGCTCGCTGCGTCGCCCGCCAAAAGTGCAACCCTGCAGCGCTGCCAATTTTCAGGCGCCTTCGGTGAGCGGAACCGGCTCGTGCTTTCCCACTCGCCCTTTTGGCGTTGATTCTCACTCAGCCGCTGTCGCTCGGTCCGTGGCAGCAGTTGGCAGTTGCAATTGCAGTTGCAGTCCACGCAAAATTCGCGAAATCGGGTCTCGACCATCCTCCTCTCTCTCTCATCCTCTCCCCGACCACCCTCGTCTCGCCGCCATCGTCTCGATCGCTCAGCTTCGGCAGCTCCCGAACGCATCTCGCAATCTCGCCCAGCTCGGCTCAGCTCTTTTCCCCCTCGATCCATCGAAAAGCTGCATATACAGCGCACCGCATCTCGACACGGCATTCCATCCTCGAGCACCAGCTCCAGCACCATTTCGACTCGGCTTCACTCCCGCACGCTCGCCCACCCGTAGTCTCACACGGCGCATCCATCAACACAGCAGCATCGAAGCCACGCCCGCACCCACGTCCACAGCATTCAACCCTGCTAGACAGACACACGTACAAGCAGCACACATACTCATCACAGTCTCCGCCGCCAAGATGAGTGAGTACCTCTCCCGCCCTTCTTCCCGTCGCTCCACTCACTGACACCATTGCCCTTACTTCACTCGCAGTGGACGATCTCACCGAGGCGAGCAGCGACTACGTGCCCAACTCGTGGGTCACCTGGTTCCTCGCCACCAAGGGCAACGAGTACTTTTGTGAGGTCGACGAGGACTACATCCTCGACCGCTTCAACCTCACCGGCCTCAACGCCGAGGTGCAGCACTACCCGCAGGCGCTCGACCTCATCACCGACTCGCTCGAGGACGACCTCTCGGACTCCATCCGCGACTCGGTCGAGGCGCAGGCAAAGCTCCTCTACGGCCTCGTCCACGCCCGCTACATCATCACCACCCGCGGCCTCGGAAAGATGCTCGAAAAGTACAAGCGCGCCGACTTTGGCCGCTGCCCACGCGTGCTCTGCTGGCAGCAGCCTCTGCTCCCCGTCGGCCTCAGCGACAATCCCTTCCAGAAGGCCGTCAAGCTCTTCTGCCCGCGCTGCGAAGACATCTACTCGCCCAAGAGCAGCAGACACGGCACCATCGACGGCGCCTTCTTCGGAAGCACCTTCCCGCACATGCTCTTCATGGTCTACCCCACCGTCATCCCCTCCAAATCCCCCACCGCCCCCTCGCCCTTTCTCCTCAGCGCCTCCCAACAACATCGCGCCGACGCACGCGCGCAGGCCGAACACGCCGACGTCGACGATTCCATCATGTCGGTCCCCGGCGGCGCGGGCAACGGCTCGTCGCTGCCCGCTGGCGCCGTGCCGTCGTCATCGGCCGTCGCAGCCGCTGCGGGCAGCGCGGCGGCGGGTGGCGCCAGCACCAACGCCACGCCTGCCAACTCGACCGCCGCGGCGGCCGCAAAGGTGGAGCGCTACCGTCCGCGCATCTTTGGATTCCCCGTGCACGAGACGAGCAAGCTGCAAAAGTGGCAGGACAAGGTGCGCGACCAACAGATCGAGCGCCTCGAAAAGGTAGAGGCGGCAGGCGGTATCGCGACTCCCGGCGCAGCCGCCTTTTTCCGCAAAGTAGCGCCCGTGGCGCCCGCAGCGGCAGCGGCAGCGACAGCGACAGAGGCGACAGAGGCAGCAGCGCCAGTGACGCCGGCACAAGCAGCAGGATCGAATGCAGGCGCAGGTGCAACTTCCACATCCGCTCCACCACCAGCACCGGCTGGTGCCACGACGAGCGCAGCCGCACCAGCACCCGCACCAGCCGCCACCGCAACGGCGCCAAAGGCGCGATCCTGATGCGTCGTTCATCCTCTTTTGCGCATCGGCACACGTGAGCAAGCTTGCAACGGACACCCACTCTCTCTCTCACACACACATGTTCATCATCCCTTTTTTCACTGCTCTTATACCAAAGGTGATCCTCTCTCTTTTTGATGGACCATTTTTCACAATTTTGCGAGATTCCTATGCGAGATGTGGGCGGGGATTGGAGGGGATTTAGAGCGTGGTGGAAGTGACGACGAGGGCGACGAGTCTGCGCATATCTTCCGCACGCGCGGCACCGGCTTCGAGCACTTCGGCGTGGTTGGCGGCTTCGGCGGTATCCTGCTTGAGCGTCTGCTTGACGGCGTCTTCTGCCTTGGGGCCGCCGTTGGCTTCGGCGGCGAGGGCGGCCTCAAAGTCAAAGTAGGGTTTGAGCACCACCTTGTTGGTGATGAGCGAGATGGCGAGCACCTTGATGCCCGCATGGGCGGCGGCGATGACTTCGGGCACGGTGCTCATTCCGACTGCATCGGCGCCTACGGTCTTGAGGAATCGGGCGTCGGCACGCGACTCGTACGAGGGTCCCATCACGTAGGCATAGCTTCCGGACTGGAGCGAATCCTGCAGACCCAGCTTCTGCGCTGCCCTGTACAGCGCCAGCCTCAGCTCGAGATCGTACGCATTCGACAGCGGCGGGAACCTGGGTCCAAACGCCAGATTCGCTCCGATCAGTGGGTTCATCGAGGTAAGCGTGGGGAGCGAGAGGTGATCGTGGATGGCCATGATCGTTCCCACCTGGAACGAGTCCTTGAGTCCACCCGCCGCATTGGTGACCACGAGCGCCTCGACGCCCAGCAGCTTCATCACACGCGTGGGGAATACGCACGCTGCAGCGCTGTGGCCCTCGTACGTATGGAAGCGACCCAAACACGCCACCACCGCCACCTTGGCCTCGCCCTCACGGATGTAGCCAAACGCCAGCGACGACTGGTGGCCCTCGACTGTGCTTTCCGAGAATCCAGGGATCGACGTGTATGGAACGTGCACCACCGATTCGAGCGACCCAGCCAGCCCAGACAGCCCAGATCCGCTACCACAACCAAACAAAGGCCATCAGCATCGATCCCACACAAGGAGCGGGTACATTGTGGCGCGACTTACCAGATGATGCCCCACTTGGGCGCGGCGAGCTCGGAGGGAACAGCGGCCCGGATCGCCTCGACCGCTTGCTTGAACTGCCCAGGCAGTGTGTCCATGTCGATGCCGCTCATGGTCTATACGTTCTATGCGGATTGTAGGGAGGAGTGTGGAGTTGGTAGGACGGATAAGAGCTCGGGGGCGGCCTTTTTGTGCGACTTTCACTCTCAGCCGGTGGAGGCGCACACACCAGCGCGTCCGGGTGAAAAAATGCCCACCACCAACACCCACCCCCCCCGGGGTTGCCGCCGCTCTCACCTTGCCGCAACTGGGGCCGGCAACTAGGGTCAAGGTCCGGTGGTCTTGCAGCAAAGGCGGTGTATGCCCCGCATCGGATGGTCGGATGCTCATCCGCTCAACTACCCGCAACACCCACCGCCAAGAAGCCCAACCTTTGCAGCCTCGGCGATCTCCGAGCCCACACGCGCCGACACAGATCTAACACACTATCACTCTCGCCACGCGCGCTTGCTGCCACAGCAGGGGTTCGGATGATATACATGCTGGCAGGAGGTCTAGTTGTCGTCGCTCTCGTCGGCGAGCAGCTCTGCTGGGTCTATGAGGTCCTCTTGTCGCCGGGCGTGTGGAGTTGATATCCCAAACGGCGTCGATCCACCGGTGGTGCTGGTCGGCAATGATGATGCCGGCGAGGCCGGCTCAAAGCGCTCGAGCACGTATTCGAGCGCCTCGTCTGGCTGTGTCGACTCGGTATCGAACCAGTGTTGTCGGTGTTGAGCGCGGTGCATCATCCAGTCGCTCACCTCGCACGGATGCATCCTGCCCGCCGCTGCCTCGGTGCGGAATACGGTGACCATCTGGATCGTTGCTTGTGGCGCCGCTGACTTGCGCAATGTCCGCAACCAGGCTCTGTACCTCTCTGCATATCCGACGTAGTCCCGTTCCGCATGTGCTACAAGCAGCAGCACCTCCAACGACGTAGACCTATCCAGCAGCACCTGGAGTGGGTTGATCCGACCCGCCACTTGGAGTCCTTCCACATCCGACGCCTGCGGGACGATCGCCGGTACCACGAGTGCGACCCTCTTGAGCGCGGGTAGTGCTGCCAGCGTCGCTGCTGTTTGCGGCGTCAGTCTGAAATGCGGTCCATGCAGCTGCAAGTCTCTTAGCTCGGTCCAGCTTTGGGGCTGCCAAAAGCCGCGCTGGACATCGCCGCCCCAATGCCCCATGATGCACGCCATCTCGCGCAGGCCGCTTAGCTCGAGCCCTTTCGGCACTCCCTGCACCACCAGCCCTTGCACTGCGTCGAGGTACCCCAAGGCTAGACGCAGGAAGGGCAGCATGTGCCGTTCGAACCGCACCTGCGCCTGCGACGCATCGAACAATCCCTCCACCTTTCCCGCTCGTATCGTTAGCCTGCGCACGCGCATTCGGGCCAGATCGCGGATGCCGAGCCGGTTCTTGTCGAGCGCGATTGCAAACGCTCGGAGCTGATCTGCATACAGACGCACGTTGGGAAGGAGGAGCGTCGATAGGATGGCGCGGTGACAAGCCCGACTGACACGTGCCAGCTCCAACCGCTGCCGTGTAGACGCATCGTCGGCGGCCATCAGCACAATATGCACCACCAGCTCGGTGGGTAACCTTGCCGCCAGAGGTACGGTCGTGGGCGTTGCGCCGCCGCCGATGGTCTCGATATGCTGCACCCTTCTTGCGCGTGGCTTGACAACTGCACGCGCGGAGGCGGGTTGACTCCACGCATCCGCCAGCCGACGCCACGACCACGGGTTGGTGATCGTCATGACCGAGCCATGTGTCTTGCCATGCGTTCCGATCCTCTCCGAGCTGAAGAATCCTCGAGTGCTGCGTAGCGGGATGGTGGTGGGAGGAAAACCCTGTGGGCGTTGCTCGTGATCAGCGATGGCGTCTAGAATTTTCCACCTGCTCTCCACATCGCTTCGACCCTGCACTTTGGCCCAGCTCATCATTCTCACCTCGTACACACAGCCCATTGCCTCAGGACTCTCATCACACACGGCCAAGCTTGGAGACGGGAAGCAATGCGAGTGTAGATGCAGGAAAGGCGATGCAGAGACAAAGAAGAGCGGCGGGCTGCAGGATATATTCAGCCGGTTCGCGTTGAACAGCTTGCCGTCCACACGAAACCGAGCCTGGCCAAGGTGCGCAGTCCCAACACATTGGCGCAGAATGGACGGGATGGAAGGTTACATGGCCGTGCAGTTGCATCCTCCGCCAGCGGGCGCATACGGATCCTCGCCCTTGCTAACAGGTCCCCACACCGAGGGCACGAGGTAATCGCGCGTGCCCTTGCAGTAGTTGATCAGACTGTAACCCCCAAACACAACGTCAGCATACGAACAGAAATAACGATGATCTGACGATCCAGTCCTGGCCAGGGTAAGGCTGGGGAACTTACCTTTGGCTGGCTTCCGAGACGCGGATGCGCGGACGTTCGAGATCCTCCTTGAGCCGCTGGTTGTGCTCGGTGAGCCTGCGCAGCTTGAGCTCGGACATGGACTGTTTGTGCGGCTTGACGTTCATCGTTCTGTGCGTAGTGATGGACGAATGCGAATGCGGACGAGCAGGCGAGGCTGAGTTGGAGGAGATCCTGATGCCATTCGGGGCACGCAACGAGGGTCCAAAGTCGCGGAAGCGCCCCGACCGCAAGGCATGCGCGCCCTCCAACTCTCGCGCTTCATTCGGCCGTCTGCACGCGCCGCCCCACCTCCACCGATTCACCCCGATCGACTCGCTTCTTTTTTTCGCCCTTTCGCCGGAGATCAGATCGGATCAGCGCATGCACGAGCTGCAGCGATAACACGGCTACGCCAAATCACAGGGCGACCTTGGCCCGCACACCAGCGAGGTCGAGTCAACTCATGCAGATCTCGAGCGGGCTTGCAGATTTTCAGAAGAAAGCTTCGCCCGTCGCTGCTCCACATATTGGCGCCGACTGGCTCGTGAGTGCATCGTGAGAACTGCCCCTTCGATTCGAACTCCCACTTTTACACTCTCATCACCATCATCACCGCCAGGTCTGCATCTTGATCAGTAGTGCAACGATCGGAACACACAACTCTCGCTTCCAACCACCTTTAATTCAACGCCTGGGTGCCGTCGCAGCAGACAACCATCGTCACGGTACGTGCATTTCACAAGGCCAACGACACTTGCGCACGCCTATCCGCCGCAGTCTGGTGCTGAGAGGCAGCCATACGACAGCGAGTGCTTCTCGGGCACTCTCTGCTTGATCTGTGGGCGCTGCTCGAGGATGCTATGCGCATGTGCGGCCCCCTTTGCCACTTTTGACCTGTGACTGACCGCCTCGTTTCTCCATTGCTCCTGATTCATTCCCTCGACCTCCTCGTCCTGCGCTGCTTCATTGGCGCTCTGTTCGTTCTCACCCGCTCGACGTGCACATCGGCGACATCTGCTTCGGCGCATCCGACACACGATCCGACTACTCATCGGGCTCCCGATCGTGCACTGGTCCCGCCGTGGCGCTTCCGCATCTGCTCTGCATCGAAACTGTCGTCGATATCTGATCATCACCTCGGCCACCTTCTGCTCCTACGACCTCTTGCTACCGCCGTCCTTCGTGCCTTTCACCTCGATTGCACCCGACGGCTTTGTGATGCATCGCTGTGCATCTCGGTCCGCGTTCGCCGGTCGGCATGTTACGGTCTAACATCTTTTGCCTTTTTTTGACCCGCGGTCCACACGCGACCTGGGTATGCCCGCGACCTCCGGACGCGCTCTGCTCTCTTTGATTTTCGGCCGACGCTTGCCTCGCTTGAACCCTTCGGCGCGGCTCTTTCCGCGCTCGCCTCGTACGCCCTCCCCCAAACTTTCTTCCCCCCTGCCTCGCTCTTGGTGTTCTTCGACCCTGTCCGACTTTGGCTCGCCCGCTCGTTTGGACTGTCCAATCCGCTTCGCCGCTCGTACCCCCACATCCCCACCTCCCCTGTCCCGCCCTGTCCGCCCACGCCCGAACTTCCGCTTCGTTCGCCGTCGCTTTTGCCGTCGCCGTCGCCCATACAAATCACCGGCCACTTTGTGCGCCTTTGCTGTCTTCTTCACGCTTCACCACCATCCCTATCCACACCCACCCTATCCACAAGTAGATGTCTACGGCCCGTCTCAGCGCCAACGCCTCTACTCGCGTCTTTTCCTGCTCTAGCCGCTCCTACTCGTCCCTCTCCGCCCGCGTCGCTCGCAACCCCGCAGCCTCGCGCTCCAGCATCCAGAGCTCCTCGTCGCTTCTGGCCACCGCTGCCCGCTCCAACACCCTCGCCAGCCGTCCCGCCTCGCTCTCGTTCGGTGTTCAGAGCCGCCTCTTTTCCAGCACCATGACTGCCGCAGGTAAGTAGGCAGACCATCCTATCTCCGTTCTCTGCTTTCGATTCTCTGTGCGCACAGAGGAGCAGCTCCGACGTCTGGGCCCCGGTCTTTGCGTTTGGAGTCTGGCGAGTGTCCGCGCCTCGTGGCTCGCCCTTTTCTCCGCGCACCGACAGCTGGGTTCGTACAGGGCCGCCTGCCTAGCTGGCTCGAGAGGGCCTTTTTTTTGCTCGGCTTGGCGGCTTGGCTCCGCGTCTCTCTGCCTTTGGCTTTTGGCCGCGCTGGGCTGAGCTGGCCTTAGCGGGGAAGGGTCGCGCCTTATTTTCCGATTTTTCGTCCAAAATCCGAGAGCCGTGGTTGGCTGGTCGCACAGGCGCGACGCCGCTTCGGCTTTGCACTCTACTCCGGCTTCTCTCGGCGCCGGACGTGACGGCAACGCTCCGGTCCGCCTCGTCCAACGCCATCATACATACACATGGCACAACTTCCCCCAACTTCCCCTCTTGACCTCCGCCCTTCTCCTCTGCATCCTCGTTCTCATCGCTGACGCCTTTCGCCTCGACCTTTGATTTCATCCCGCGCCGCGCTTTCGCTCTCGACGCCATGTCCATCGTTCGTCCCCGTGGCTCGGCTCGACCAGCCAAGATCAAGGTCGCCAACCCCGTCGTCGAGCTCGACGGCGATGAGATGACCCGCATCATCTGGCAGAAGATCCGCGAGGACCTCATCCTCCCCTTCCTCGACATCGACCTCAAGTACTACGACCTTGGCATCGAGCACCGCGACGCCACCGACGACCAGGTCACCGTCGACGCCGCAGAGGCCATCAAGAAGTACAGGGTCGGCGTCAAGTGCGCCACCATCACCCCCGATGAGGCCCGTGTCAAGGAGTTCGGCCTCAAGAAGATGTGGCTCAGCCCCAACGGCACCATCCGCAACATCCTCGGCGGCACCGTCTTCCGCGCCCCCATCGTCCTCGACGACCTCCCGCGCCCCGTTCCTGGCTGGACCAAGCCCATCATCATCGGCCGTCACGCTTTCGGCGACCAGTACCGATGCCAGAACTTTGCCGTCGACAAGCCCGGCAAGTTCACCATGCAGTTCACCCCCGAGGACGGCTCCGCGCCCCAGACCTGGGACATCTTCAACTTCCCCGACGCAGGAGGCGTCGGCCTCGCCATGTACAACACCACCGAGTCCATCACCGGCTTCGCACACGCCTGCTTCAAGATGGCCCTCGAGAAGAAGGTGCCACTTTACCTCTCCACCAAGAACACCATCCTCAAGGCATACGACGGCCGCTTCAAGGACATCTTCGAGAACCTTTACGAGACTGTCTACAAGAAGGACTTCGAAGCGCAAGGCACGTGGTTCAATCATAGGCTCATCGATGATCTCGTCGCCCAAGCTATCAAGTCGGATGGAGGCTTTGTCTGGGCATGCAAGAACTACGATGGTGAGTAGCGTCGTGAAGACCAAAAGCCGACCGGCTCATATGGAGAAAAAAAAAAACTAAAAAAAAAAAATCAAAACCGACACTGACCTAAATTTAATTTCCGCGTTTCTGCAGGTGACGTCCAGTCGGACATCGTCGCTCAGGGTTACGGCTCGCTCGGCATGATGACCTCGGAGCTCATCACCCCCGACGGCCAGATCATCGAGTCCGAGGCTGCGCACGGCACTGTCACCCGCCACTACCGCGAGCACCAGAAGGGCAACGAGACCTCGACCAACTCGGTCGCCTCCATCTACGCCTGGACCCGCGGTCTCGCCTTCCGCGGCAAGCTCGACAAGAACGACGAGCTCGTCTACTTTGCCAACGCCCTCGAGGAGGCATGCCTCGACGCCATCAGCGCCGGCAAGATGACCAAGGATCTTGCGCTGATCTACCACGGCAAGCAGATGAAGCGTGAACACTATGTCACGTAAGTACCACGCTGCATCTCCCGATCGATGCTGGCAACTGATGAAGCTGACGACGATCTCGCACGGATCTTGCTCACTCTTGACTTGACAGCACCATGGAGTACATTGACGAGGTGGCCAAGATCCTCAAGCACAAGCTCTCGGCCAAGGGCATCGAGGCCGGCAAGCTCTAAGCCGGCGCCACTCTTCTCTCGTGTGCGAGAGGCACGCTGAAACAAAATTGAAATGCAACGCGATTTCCGCCCGCAACACAGCGCAGCCTCCTCCTCGGCCTTGCCGATGAAGATCTTGAGAGCGGCCCGAACTTCTTCTTTGGCGGATGCCGTGACTGCCGTTGATCCGTCCGCGAAGCGGATGCATCCGTCTGAGGGTCGGGACGAACTCAGTGTGCGCGAGCTGCGTCCCAGGACTGATTTTTTTCTTTTCTTATTCTCGCAGCGCGGAGTGGGCCCGACGACGGGCCAAAATGTGTCACGACGCTCATCACGGTCGAGTCTGCAGTCGAGTCTGCAGCGAACGGACCCGCTCGAGCACGCGGCTCTCCGATTCTGGCCAATGCGCCACCATCACGCTCACTCTGGTTCGGCCATCCGCCTCGTTGGCCAACATCGTCGGGCCATCCGATGCTCACTCAGCGTGGCTCAGTTCGAATCGCAGGCGCAAGCACCGCCTTGGCACGACGCCTGTCTCGTCGCCACAGGCGCGACCAGCGTCTGTGGTTGCGCTCAGCGGCGGCTGAGTTCGGAACAGCCGTGCAGTCGCGCACGGCCAGCTCGAGGCCAGCTCGAGTCGGGCACGCCGCGAGTCTCGCGCAAGCAACGCTGCGCTGCCTACGACAAGGCTTGCGACATGCCCGGGCTCGGCGGTGCTCAGCGAAAGACCGCCGCCGTCGACATCCTCCCGCGCGACCGATCCTTTAAAAGAGGTGGCCTCGCTCGAGGGTCCCTCTCGACGCTCTTCTCCCTTCGCCATCGCTCTTCGCGACCTCGCCCCTCCCCTGCCCCCTCCTCGCCCGTACCATTCTGCGGTCGACGAAGCTCGGCGTCCGAACCATTCTGCGCTCGACCTTAGTCGACGTCAGCGCGCTCCCGCCGCGCCAGCGCCATTCTCCGCTCAATACGCCGTCGACACCGTTCGCTCCGTCGACACCGTTCTTCGCTCTCGCCGCATCAACGCCATTCCGCGCTCATCCGCCGTCAGTCCGTTCTTCGCACGCGACGCTCACCCGCCGTCAGAACGGTCTTGCGCTCACGACGATCCACCCCGTCAGAATCGTTCTGCGCTCTCGGCCATCTACCCCGTCAACGCCACTCTACGCTCGCATCCTCGACAGCGCCTCTCTGCGCTCGCCTCTCCAAACTCGACAGCGCCACTCTGCGCTCGACCTTCGCCAACGCCATTCTGCGCTCACGACGCTCACCCTCGTCAGAGCCGTTCTGCACTCTCGCTGCATCAACGCGATTCTGCGCTCGGTCCCGTGTCAGAACCGTTCTGCGCTAACGGCGCTCCTCCTCCGTCAGAGCCGTTCTGCGCTCACGACACTCTCACCCGTCAGAGCCGTTCTGCTCCCTCGTTGCACCAACGCCCTTCTGCGCTGATCCCCACGTAAGTACCGTTCTGCGCTTTCGCCGCCTCAACGTCATCCTCCGCTGACACCCTGTCGACACCATTTTGCGCTCTCGCCGCGTCGACACCTTTTCCGCCTTCACGATCTGGCGCCTGCCCGTTGTAGCCGACCGTCTCCCACCGCATCGCTCACGCTCCCGCCATGCCGAACTACCGAGCTCCGGTGGAGCAGACCGACTTTGACGCCGCCGCGGGAAGGGCAGTCGAGCGCGGCAACCTCAGCGGCCTTGCGCCTGGAATCGAGAAGTACAACGAACGTTGCGCTCAACGCCTCCGCGAGTATGGCCAGTGCTGGCTCGACTATGCCAGACGGAGCGATGATTCGCTGCAACTTCGTCGAGTCCGACGCCGAGGTGGACGACTGGTTCTGGGCGACCATCGTCGAGCTCCTGTGTTCCGCCCAAGAGGGCGATCGCAGCAGGGCGGGCGCACAGACCGAGCTCGACGGACTGATGGCCGCTTACTGCCGCGCCAAGCCGAACGCAGAAATCTCGCCACAGCGCCGAAAGAAGTTCACGATCTTGATCGACACTCACCCGCAGATTCTGCCGCCGAAGGGATTCTGCGCGAACTGGGCGGACATCGAACGAATCATCAAAGCTGGCGTCTTCGGCGACTACATGCACGGCAAGTGGAAATGCGCGAGGGAGCGGGTCCAGATGGCGGCCCTCATCCTTCTCCTCTTCGCCACTTCCTGCCGCCCGGGCGAGCTCGTCGTTGCTGGCGAGCACGACTCGTCGCAGTGCGCCAAGTGGAGCGACTGCAAGTTCGTGCTTCACAAGCCGGCTTTGCCGGCTGACCCCGTCGGTCTCAGCGTCGAGGTCACGATTCGCCTGCTCAAGGGCAGGCGCAACGATGCGACCCAGACGAAGCGTATCCCTGTGGTGTCGGACCATTCCTCGGCGCCCGCCCTCGACCCGACGCTTTACCTTTTTTGGATGGCGATCCAGGACGGCGTCTTTGAACGAGACTTTAAACTCGAGGACCTCGCCACCGCCGATCTCTCTCGGCTCCCGGCGAACCGGACGACGTGGGAGCTGCGCACGAATAAGGACGCCCTTGACAAGCCGATCTTTCCGGCTTTCAAGTCGGTCTCGAAGCTCGCCTACGAAGCCGACTCGACTCGCGGCTGGACGGAAAAGGACGCCAACAATCGTCTGTCTGCGTTTTGCGGTCCAGCTGGCCTTCCCGATTTCACACTCTGCGATGTGCGACACTTTTGCGCCAACGCTCTCAACGACCCCTTCGTGACAGACTCGGACTGGCTCCGCACGTGCGAGCACGAGGCCGGTCACCGAGTCTTCGTCGACGACTGTCAGCTCGATCGCCTGGAGATCGACGTGCTCGCACTCCTGCGCCGACATTATCAACGCTACGAGCTCATCCGCGGCAGAGGCGTGCCCAAGACGCCCGACACGGACCTCATCCGTCCAGACGAGCTCAACATTGTCGACCAGGACGAAGCCGTGCTGAACGCGATGGCTAGGGTCGCCGAGCTCAAGGACCGGCTTGTTCGCGAGACCGGTTCGTGCTACAGACGTCCCGCCGGGGATCCGCTCTACGACGAGTATTGTTCGGCTCAAATGCAAACGCAGAGGGCTCGTGTCGCCGTCCGGGACCGCATCCGAGCCGAGCGCGCGTCTGTCCTCGCAGAAGCCTTCGGCATTGACGACAGCGACGACGACGACGAGGGCACGAAGCCCGACGTTCGAAAGCGCAAGCTTCGGCAGGAGTCGTGAGTGTTTCGTGTCGAGTCAGTCAGTCGCATCTCGTCTTGTTCTCGTCGTGTTCAGGTTCGGTCGCATCTCGTTTTCGTTCACGTTGGGTAGTCGCACCTCGGTTGCGTCCATATTCGGTAGCTCGCATCGCCTTTCGAAATGCTCCACACGTTCGGTTCTGACTGCACGGGTCTGTGAGCTCGACCGTCGTTGATGATCGTGAGTCGCGCTCGGATTTGGGAAGGAGTTCGGTACTGAGTTGCGGCTTGCTATGAGGCGCCAAGATCCTCACGCACAAGCTTTCGCCCTCAAAGCATCGAGATCGCATCGGGCCCTGTCCGAACAGACTCATAAAAGCGCTCGCCTTGCCTCCTCGACAGCGCCGGACTGAGGTCTTCTCGCATCGACTCGCCGTTCTGCGCTCCAATCCTCTTTCGTGCCGCTCTGCATTTGGCTCGCGCCGTCAAAGTCTACACACTCAACGACATCCGCTTCCGCCTCATCGCGGCTGCTATCACGGCGCTCATCAAATTTTCCGTTCGCCGACGGACTCGCTGCAGCGCGAACGTTGTGCTGGGACGGGCAAACTCGGAATTCACTCTTGAATGCACTACTCTTCGAATGCTCTCGTACATGACCTATCCTAAGACCTTGTCGTGTGAATGGTTTCGCGTGATATTTTCGCAATACTTCCGCTTGCGTCCCAATACGGCGGGTGCGGCTCGGCTCCCGGCTAACGCCGTACTGCGAGTCGAGAAGATTCGGACATCGTGCAGACTTGGACAGCCGCGGTGAAGCGATAAGGAAAATAAATCTCCGTGACATTCCTCGCTTGTGCTTCGTGCATAAATCCAGGCGATCCGGGGTGTGACAGATGAAGGCCGGCGACAGATCTTGTTCCCCAGCATCCGCTTATCTCTGCACCACCAATGCAATCTTCTCCGGTCGAAGGTGCAAGGTATCTTCGGCTGCTTATCGTCGTCGTATGACAGTATGGATTGTGTCTGGCTCTGGCGATCGAGCTTCGGCAAACCTCACTAGCTCGTCTTGGCTGCTCCATCGTGAATGACCTCATTGTCGTTGTCAATACCTTCGACTGTTCACTGTGTCTATATGGTAGAAAGCAAGCGTGTGATCAAGCTTATCTCTGCGATACTCGACCATCCAATGCGTTGCGTGAACAGACATACCAAACAGCTTCACTACGTCGTGCGTGGTTGCAGCTGAACGATAACAACGCTGAATGCTATAGCGACAAAGACAATCCTTCTACGCAAGATTCTCTTCGTAGAGAGCACCACATCGTGGCTGTTCGAGCATAAATACGCACACTCTGGACGCCTACAACTCATCCAAAACTCATCCAACTCATCCACTCTCACATCCTCACATCCCAATCCAACCCTCCCCATTCAACTCCCGCTCCACCTCCTTCCTCCAAGCCATCTTCAACATGAAGTTCACGCAGCCCATCGTCATTCTCGCCTCGCTGGCCTTCGCCGCCACTGCGCTTTGCGCACCCATCTCCTCGGAAGCCACCCTCGCTCGACGAAGCGCCGAGAAGCCGAACCTGATCGATTCCATCGGTGCTGCGGCCGAAGATCTCGGTCTTCGTCGCGACATCGTCCAAGAGCTCAGTGCAGCCGCAGAAGACCTCGGACTGCGCAGGAATGTGATCGACGAAGCAAACCAGGCGCTGGAGGACCTCGGACTGCGACGTCGTAATGTGATCGACGAGTTGAACAAGGCGCTGGAGGACCTGGGTCTCTAAGCTTCACCATCTCCTCATCACCCGACACGCGGGGAGCAGCGCAGGACAGCACTTTTCGACTTCTATTCCACCCCCTTTTTTCACCCCAACACTAGCTCAATCAACTCTCATAGACTCAAACTCTCTGTCTGTGCAGAGCCGCATGTGATTGCTTGCTCATTACGTTGAGATTCGTGAATGCGCAAGAGTGCGGGCGCTGTATCGCGTGCGGAAGCAAGATCGTGCGGGGTGCGGGTGTTTTTTTTTTTTTTGACAGGTGTGGCTTGAGCGGAAAAAAAACCTCCGAGCAGCCACGGCGACGCGAGCCGGATGGATCGACCTCGCAGCCGCAACTGCGCAACTTTGCGGACGCTGCACCAGGCTTCCGCACACAGCTCCGCACTCCTTCGGACACTTGATCCCAGCCGCACCCCAACCGCACCGCTCGCTGACGTACCTGCAAAGTCTATTTTCTCCCCACGCATCTATGCTCAGACAGGGTAGAATGAGGTCACAACTAAATTGCGGCTACGAGGCTACATGACTTCGGTCTGATCCTTGGGCGGGGTGCAGGGTCGAGACTCTCCGCGCTCCATTGCGTCGGCTGCGTCTGGAGTCTTGTTGGCCGCGTTTGCGCCCGTATGCGACTTGCCCCACCTGAAATCGCCGAATCCGAGCAGCACGTTGGCATACACCGTGGGCGTCAGGACGATACTGCAGAGCCTGTTGAGCACGGCTCCGTACAGCAGATGGTGAAGCAGCGGCCTGTACCTGGGTGTGGGGATGACGACGAAGAGCAAGAACCAGATTTGTGGAAGCAGCGTAATGGCCAGTAGCGGTGCTACGCCAATGAGGCTGAAGCGGGTGACGAGATTGAAGACAAAGTGGCCAAAGTTATACATGCGGAAGAAGACCAGCGTGGAGCGGGTAAGCTCGAGAGCCATCCATACGCGCGTGACAAAGTGTTGGTTTTGCTGCGTCAGAGTGACGAATGCGTTGAAGTAGGCGTTGGAGCCCCACCGCCTTCGTTGGCTGAGGTAGTGGCTGAGCGACTGCGGCGGGATGGTGAAGCATGCGGCTCGCGTCTCGAGCACGGTGCGCACCGACTTGTCGCGCGAGATGATGGACCAGCACAATCGTCGATCGGTCCCCTGGTATTGCACCTGGCGATTGACCAAGTTGCCGTTCTGTACGTGCTTGCGATACTCGGCCGAAGCCTGACCCAAGATGCTCCCCGTCCTCAGCATTGTAATCGCCCCTGGCATGCAAGTCACCCTTCCCCAGGACGACTCGGACCTGCGTCGGATCCACTGCCCGTACGTGTACTGGAACCCCTGAAAGTGGTCCCAGTAGTACCACAGCCCGCATGTGCGCAGACTTCGACCGGGCTTGTGAAAATCCGCCTCGACAATCCCACATGCCCCCACCGTCTTTTCTCCCTCGTCCATGAGTCGGTCCGCCAGCACATTGACCGACCCGGCCAGGATCTTGGTGTCGGCGTCGGTGCAAAAGACAAAGTCAAAGTACTCGAGATCCGGCTGGTTGTACAACCGCCGAATGTGGTCGAGCACCATGGCGCGCGCCTCGGCATTGCAGTGTCCCGTCGCCTCGTTATCGCTGTTGAACAGGTCGAACGCAAAGATGAGCGAATCCTTCTTGCCGGCATTCTTGACCTTGCGCACGATCATGATCGGATGATTCATGCGGTACCCAAACTGCAGCCGGAACGCCGACTCGCGGATCTTCCACGAAAAGTACGGCGAGTCCTCCACACGGCAGATGGTCTCTTGCACGATCACGTCGTCTTCCACGTCAAACCCATCCGCCATGATGGCGATGATGTTGAAATCCTGTGGGCGCACGGGGTTGTCTTGGATGATGGAATCCACCGTGTCGAGCACATCTTGCGTCGATTCTTTGTACACGGGCACGAGGCTGACGATCTTGCGTGGCGGATGGATCACCTCGGGCTTCTTCTTGCGAAACGGCATCGCAGCGACACTGAGCAGGAACAAAAGACTCTGCCACACCACCGAGAGGATGTCGCGAGACTTGAGCGCCACCATGACCACAAGCGAGGCACCGGCCGGTGCGAGGAAGAGGAAGAGAATGACGAGACCCATGTTGAGCGCGCCAATGGCCATCATGAGACCATACCGACCGGCTGTCACACGCGACTGGACGAGTGGAGCATAGTCGGGGAACTTGTCTTGGTCAAAAGCCATCTTGCCGCCTTGCGACGCCATGCCGATCTTCTCCGCATCTCGATCCTTGTCGAGATCGTTGACCGGCTGGATGTCTTGCGGCGAGGCAAAGGGGTCGGTGGGCGCTTCGTTCGAGTCGGCAAAGGGGTCTGCCTCGGTCGTCGTTGGTCCCGAAGGCTCCGTTGTCCGAACGCGCAGACGGGTATGTGAAGCCTCTGATTCGGGCTCCGTGTGTATGGACTGCAAATCGCTGTGCGTCGGTTCCGAGTCGCTGGAGAGGCTCTCCGGTATGGACGAACGCCGGCTCGAGTCTGTTGATGGCCGTTCGACACGCTCTTCTTGCGAGCCTTCTTCTTCCTGTGCTTCGACTTGCGACTGCGCAGGAGTTTCAGTTTCTTCCTCTGCCAGCTCGACCTCGGTCTCGACCTCGACGGCGGCTGTAGCGACGACTGCTTCTTGCTGGCTCAACACAAAGGGCTGGCCGGACAATCCCGACTTGCGTTTTTCGCTGCCGTAGGTCGAACCCTGTCGATGCATGCCCGGCGTCATGGGGGTGAGAGGAGTCATGGGTGTGGTTGGCGTGGAAGGCACGGTACCGGCTGGATTCGCGGGCCAGCCCGACGAGTATCCTCTGGAGAAGCGGAACCTGTTGAGGCGTCCCTCGTCAAAGTCGTCGTCCTCTTCGCCATCGCTCGACGCCGAGCCTGTAAACGAGCTGCGCCGGCTGGATCTGTACGTCGGTCTTCTTGCGGGTGGCGGCGGCGGCACAGAGACCTCGAGATGGCGCCGGAACCTTGCCGGTACGGGTGCAAACTGGAAGGGCGTCCTCGACGTCGAAGCGGTCGACAACGACGCAGCAGCTTCCTCTTGCTGATGCAGCTGAGCAGCTTGGCTATCATCTTGACGCTGGTCGGCCATGCTTGCGAATTGTGGGTATAGTGATCTGCTAGAAGACTGCCTCTACGATCGATCTTGAAGGGGCGGGGGGTAAGCTTGTGCGTCGAAGAGATCAATGAGCGAGAGGCTGGGTATGTTGACGGAAAGACAATGGAGGAGGTGAAGAAAGCGATGGAGCTCGACCCGTTGGAAGAAAGAGCAAACCAAAAAGTCTGAAAGAGAGTTGGCATGGACCGAGCGGCATGAGGCCGGGCAGAACAATTTCATGCCGAATCGGGATGGCTCAGGGGAGCCTTGTCTTGCCACACCTGGTTGGCCTGGTACTGAAGGCCAAGAGGGGACGAATGAGCGGATGCGAGGCCAGCCAAGAGAGGCGTGTTGGTCTCAGGCATCGCAGCGAGTATGTCATGCACCAAGGACAGGGGTTAGCTGTGGAGGTAGCCGCGTCCAAGTCAGAGAGCAGGCAGCAGCCTGGAGATCAGCCACTTTTCCCGCCGGGCTGAGTGAGTGCGTGGCCGACGTATCGATCAGCGGATCGCTTAGTGGGCCCGCACGTGCGAATGAATCTGATCGTCCCACGTTGGCTGGATCGACACGAAAGCGTCCATCGCATAAGTGCTCAGTCTGCTGTACAGCCTGCATGGGATTAGCCGAGCTGGTGCGAAATGGGACTTCCTGACGAACAGAGACCATCGCTGGGTCAGAGGCAGCCCTTTGTGAGCGAGGCGGCTAGCAAAGTGGAGCGGGATCGTTGATCCGCGCTTGCCCTCGTGGAGAGGGGCCTGTTGGAGGTGCAGAGGCGCATGAGGCGGCTGGGAGTGAGGGGTGAGGCGAACGCTGCTTGGCGCGCTTGGCCGGTGGGCGTTTTGATTGCACGTCCAACATGGCGGAAGACTGGTTCGAACCGTTCGCGGCGCCAAAATTGGATTTTTCTTTCGGAATTTCGCAGTCCGCCGAAAGCATCGTGTGAACCGCACGTCACCACTCGCCTCCAGCCTGTTCGCCTCGCCCCCCGCGCGTCCCGTTTCTTTTTATTCCGAAATTCCGCATTTTCCATGCTTTTTCCCTTGCCGCTCAGCCCAGATCGCCTAATCGCCGCTTCACGCCGGCTGGCCAGCCCCCAATTTGACGCCCGGGACGCTGCATGGCCTTCTGCGCACAGTCGCTTCGATGCAGAGGGTGGGCGATCGCTTCATCCCCCCTCCACCCTCTCAGCCTGAAGGAGACCGCCTGAGATAGAGACCGCTCGTCTCGAACCCTCTGCCACAAGATGACTTCGTTGGAGCGAACGACTTGTTCCGAGTCTAGACGTCGGAACTCGGCTGTGCGAGTCGCCTCTTCGCCATGGCGCGCGTGTGACGACACATGGCGATTTCTCCCACGCTGCATTCCCTCGCCCGGCCTTCGTAGCGGAAGAGGCACCTCTCGTCTAGCCCGAGCTTGAGTCAACACTTAGCCCTTGACTTGAGGCAAAGAATGTCGCTTCGAGGATGCCTCCTTCCTATTCCGTACTTGGAGATAGTCGGGCCGATCGAGCGACTACTTTCCTCCCAACTGGCTCTAGTGCTCAAGCCTAGGGGTCTTGTACGAGCACCAAGGCTATTGTTTCGTCTACACTTCCCACGGGGAGATGGAGCGAATGAAACCTAGAGTTACTCCAAGCGCTAACCGACACCAGTCATAGTCCCCTTGGTCTCGCTGCCTTTTCCGAGCGGAGTAATGCTGTACCCGGAGCTTTTCCGGAAGTGTTCATCATCCAATGAGGCAAGCGGCTGACTGGTCTGGAGCCAGCATTACCAAAAGCGGCGGTCTTCTTCTCACGCTCCCTCTATATTGTGTTTCACCTCTCCGAACAAAACTCTATTCCGGGCAGGGCGATCGCTGCAAACGAGCTGTTTGCATGAGGCGAACTGCAAATTCTTAAGCGCATCGGTCGTCTTGTACATTCTTCTCCGAAAAGCTGCGATTCAGCAGCGTTGTAGAGGAGCAGAGGTGTGCGGTTAGCCGCCGGCAAGCATGGCGGAGCTGAATATTCCGACATGAGGCGAACGAGAAGAGCACGTTCGCAGCACATGGGCCCGGGTAGCTCACGGGTAGGTGCACCTTCTTCACAGCCGCTCTGGTCTTCCGCACTACACGTGCAAGAAGACTCGTTGCATGTCAAACACACCCGACTCCCTCGTGCAAGCTTCCAGCGGAGACGCAAAAACCAATATAAGATCACACCAAGCCGGCATATGGTCCCCATCTCTCATCAGCAAACTCATCTTTCTCGCCTTCCCTACCCAGACCCTTCCACCTTCCCCTTCCTAGTCTCTACTCCTCTCCTCTCTTCAAAAATGTCTTCGTTCGCAGAGCGCACCTCGCTGCCCACCCTCAACTCTGGCAATGTGATTGTCCAGGAGCCGCTCAAGGAGTCGCTTGACGTCGTCCGCCTCGTGGCACCCGTCCTCGGCGCCAACTATCCCGCCGTCTCGCAGACCACCACATCCGCCGACGCGTCGGAAGATGAAGACGACATGGAGACCGAAGACCTGGCCGACTTCCAGTTCACTGCCATGCAGCGCTGCCCTTCGCTCACCGCATCGCAGGACAGTCTCTCGCCTTCGCCCACTCCCTCGCCCAGCAAGCTCTCATTCTTCGGCGCTGATGCCACTTCCACTGCCGAAGCAGTCATCAAGAGCGACAAGCCTGCGACGTATGGCACGGTTCTCGTGGTCGGTGTCGGCTTTGTCGGCGCACACCTAATGGAGCGCTTCTCGTCCGCATACGAGGTAGTCGCATTCGACGTGTCCGAGAACCGATGCGAGTACCTGCGCAAGGCGCACTGCAACAATCCCAACGTTACCTTCATCTCGAACCTCGATGCCGACGAGAGGACCAAGTCGTTTGACCTCTGCCTCGTTTCGGTGCCTACGCTGCTCACCGCCGACCTGAGCCAGGTGGACCAGACGCACATCCGCTCGGCGTTCAACATGGTGTCGCGCATTGCTCAGCCTGGCTCAACCGTAGTCGTCGAGTCGTCCGTGACGGTGGGAATGACGCGCGAGCTCTTCTCTCCGCTGCTCGCCAAGGGTGTTCACGTCGGCTTTAGCCCGGAGCGCGTTGATCCCGGTCGCACGTTCCCCGCGTTCGAGGACATCCCCAAGGTGGTTTCGGGACTGGACGAGCCGTCGCTCGAGCGCATCACCAAGCTTTACTCGCGCGTGTTCAACACAGTGGTGCCCGTCTCGAAGCCCGAGGTGGCCGAGTTCACCAAGCTGTACGAAAACTGCCAGCGCCTCGTCAACATCGCCTACGTCAACGAGATCGCCGATGCATGCGCCAAGCACGGCGTCGACGTGCACGAGGTCGTCAAGGCTTCTGCCACCAAGCCTTTCGGATTCATGCCCTACACGCCCTCGCTCGGTGCAGGAGGCCACTGCATCCCCGTCAACCCATTCTATCTCTTTGCCAACTGCGATCTTCCCCTTCTCCGCTCGGCTGCGCTTGCCAACCAGCAGCGTCCCGTTGAAAAAGCGATCGAAGTCGGTTCCGCCGCTTCTCAGATCCACGCAACTTCCGCCAAGACCGGTAAGCCATCGGTGGCGATTGTCGGAATGGGATTCAAGCGCGGCGAGGCAAGTCTCGCCTACGCTCCCACCGTCACACTCGCAGACAAGCTCACCGAGCTCGGCGTAGACGTCAGCTACGTCGACGACTATGTCACCTCCGATCGATGGGCCAAGGTGGACCCTGCCACCTTCCAAAACGCCGAGCTGTTCGACCAGACCTTCGACGCCGTGGTTGTGGCGCAGAAGCCGATTGCCAGCGAACTTGCCGTGCTCGAAAAACTCTCGCGCGCCAGCATCTTTTACTACACCAAGTAGAAATCCCCTCTCTCGCATCATCCCCACCACATTCCTGTCTATAGCTCATGCACCTGTACAATAGAGTTTCCTTCGTGCCATGGTCCAATCCACACTGCTTCATCAGACAACCTTCGAAACTGCGAGACTCTGAAAATGAAAGGCCAAAAAAAAAAGAAAGGGAAACTGCAGCACCTAGGATTCCCACGTGGTCCCCCACCGCAGTACTGACTCGGCGATACCGTGCTTAACTTCGCAGATCGGACGGGATGCGGTGTTTTCACGGTTCTATGGCCGCAGATGTCATTGTCATCGCTCAGAAGCATCAACAAGACGGAATACGGAATGGGATGGCGGGGAGGGGGGTCCATTCGCTTCAGCGAGCTTTGGCGGGTTCGCCTCACTTTGCGGAGCTCGAAATTTTTAGCTCCAGGCGAAATGTGGCAGAAGCGCGAAAAAAATGAGCGACCGAGGCGCGCTGTCTGACGTGACCTCCTTTCGCCACGCCGCAGCGCCAAGTGAGGCGAATGAGTGCGCCCCGCTCCTGGCTGCTTCGACGGTACACTCTGCGGGTCGAGACCTGTTCTCCCTGGAGGTACGGATTGGCTGGCTTTCCTGCTGATGGACGTCTTGCTCAAGGTCGACTTTTGTTCTCTCTCGCCACCACCTTCTCGCAATCGCGTATACGAGGTTCGATCAAGATGGCGAGTTTGGCTCGGCGTGCAGTCTGGCTGGCGGTGGTGATGGTGTGGCTGCTGGTAACGGCAAGCGCAGCCCCACTCTCGAGCCCTGCATCCACGACATCATCTTCGACCAGCATCGAGAGCGCGACTTCGACATCGATGCAAACGACAAGCAGCACTTCCACTTCGTCAACTAGCACCGAGAGCGCAACTTCGACATCGCTGCGAACGAGCACTTCCACATCGTCCAGCTCGAGTGCACCTGCATCTTCTGCGGTGACGACTTCATCTTCCTCCTCGATATCGTCTTTTCCAAGCACGGCGTCGGGGGTGGGGTTGACTTCGTCGACTCCGCGCGCAAGTGGGACACTCGTACCTCGTCCGGAGAGTCGGTCCACCACGGCTTTGCGATCGCAAGCCACCCCGGCACGCGAAACTACTTCCCAAAAATCCAGCACGCATCGCGAACACCCAACCAGTGTTCGCGCCACTCGGTCGACCAAGCCCAAGCCTACACGCTCTGTTCGAACCAAATCTGTCCAACCCACCCGCGTCAAATCGAGCAAACCCAGCCGCACTGCCGGACCAAAGACACGAACAGCCACTCCAAAGACACGCACATCCAAACCCAGTACCACACATCCTTCCGCCTCAAAGACGCACACCACGCACACCACGCACACCACGCACGTGCACAGCAGCAAGACCCACACACACACCGCTTCGCCTACAGTCTTCCATCCCAAGGGCGGCAATATCGTTGCGGACCCAGTACCCGGTTCGACGTGGGAAAGGGTGCGAAAGATTCTGTTGATTCCGCTGTGCATCGTCACGGTGCTCACCTTTATCGCCGGCGTCGGACTGTATATCGCCGCGACGTGGGGAAGCGGTGAAGGCTGGTTTGAAAAAGCACCTCTCGTGAACCTCGACGAAAAGGCTCAGACCATAGGCCCCGGTCAGCCAGACGTCTTTCCTCAGGAAAAGCTCCTGGTGCGCGAAAGCGGTCAATTCCAGTTCAAAGCTCCGTCGGTACACGAACACCCCCCGCCCCAAACTTAGATCTTTGCGTTACTGTTGCTGTTCAATGCCAAGTACTTCGAATGCCGTATACAAAGTGAAGTGCCGAGTGTAGGCAGTGCTGAACCCCACCTTAAAAAAAAAAAGAACAGGGAGACGCGATAGTGTTAAAAAATATGCAAAAAGAAATGCTCCGTACTGGGCTCGAACCAGTGACCTTCCGTTGTAAATACTCAGCTGTGCTGAGGCACCGTGTATTAGACGGATGCGATAATCCAACTACGCTAACGAAGCTTCATATCTGCTGGACCCACTCATAACATGATGAATCTGCCTTGTCGGTATCAGATGCAGTTGGTGCGGTGTGGTGGGGACGCATGGCAACGGCTTGGGGACCGGCGGGGTGGGGGTTTTGTGGGACGGACGGATGCGATGGCTTCAACGGGACAACGAACGGCAGGACGGTACAACGTTCCGCGATTCAATCTGCTGTGCATATTTGTTTGGTGCAGATGAAAGGCGGTGCGTGCTCGCCAGCGATTGTCGTGATGTCGCCCGGTGCTGAAGCCGATGGTCGAGGGGGATATTGAGGCGATGAGGTGCACGCGCGCGTAATATGAAAGCGCGGCTTGTGCACGTCGGCGTCTCACTACCGAGATTGCGGTCGACGTTGTGGTGTTGAGCATGATTGATGCGTATAAGTAGGGGATGGCCCGAGTGGAGAGCGACGGCCCAACCACGCACTATCTTTCTCAACATGCAGACTTTCGTGCTCTGGATTTTGTGCAGCCTTGTGCTCGGTGCACTTGCACTTCCAGCCGACAAGGACCAAGCTCCCAACAATGACGGTGGTAGCCCAGCAAGCAAGAAAGATGGAGGAGTGGCGGTAAAGAAACGTTCGCCGCTCATGATGCCGGGAATGGGCGGACTCGGAAGTATGGGTGATCTTGGTGGTCTTGGAGGCGGAGGTCTGGGCGGTCTCAGTGGTGGTGGTTTGGGTGGCGGTGGTATCAGCGGCCTTGGTGGTGGCCTGGGAGGCCTTGGCGGTGGAATGCCGAACCTGCTCTCGATGGCCAACCCCTCCTCCTCCTCTACCTCTTCTGGAGCGGACACTTCCCCCCTCTCGGGTCTGATGGGTATGGGCGGGCTGAGCGGTATTGGCAACCTTGGCAACGCGGGCAAATTCGCCAGCTCTCTCTCTACCACGCCCGACACCACCAGCCCCTCACCCAACGACCCTCCCGCCTCCTCCTCCACGCCAGGGTGTCCACCTTTATACCTCATCTTCGCGCGAGGCACGGCCGAGATCCAAGGCACATTCGGCATCGTCGGACGCCCTCTCTGCACCGGCCTCCAGCAAGCAATTCCAGGCACGCTCTGCTACGACACCGTCTACACCTCCGATGCCGAATACATGGTATCACCCGGCATCGGCGCCAACACCGCCTCGCGCTTCATCGCCAGCATCGCCGCCAAATGTCCCACTACAAAGTACGCCCTTGCTGGGTACTCCAAGGGCGCAATGGTGGTGCATCAGATACGCGCAAAGAACGTCGTGGCTGCCGTCACGTTCGGAGACCCACTCAAGATGCAAGCTGTCCAGAGCACTAATGATGTCAAGACATTCTGCAATCTAGGCGACCCCGTGTGCGAGAACGGCATGATGATCATGGCACATATGACGTACAGCATGCAGGATATCCCGCAGGCGGTCCAGTTCATCGTCCAGGCATTCAAGTCGTCCGGAACAGCCACGAGGCGAAAGCGCCACCCGCGCCGAAGGCATGCATCGCACGGTGCTGGCCCGTAGATCCAATTCCCTCAACTACACCCAGCTGTACCGTATGGCCGTGCCATCATCCGAAAATGAAGTTCGAGCGTAGACCGACTGGCTGTGTGAGCAAGTTGCATTGCGAAGAGTCAAGGGGAGAGAAAGATGTACAGAGCAGGAGAAAAGAAAGGGGCAAGCATAGTCCGTAGGTCGAAGTTGAGGGCGAGTGGATGAGCATGGCGAGGTATATCTTGTGGAAAAAGAGTGATTAGAGCAGCACGGCACCAGCAGCAATGGCGGCGACGCACATCAAGATCGCCTGTGCGGCGGTGCTGGACGCAAAGTGGGGCGAGGTGAGGAGCGAAAGTGCGCCGCTGCTGGAACCCATTCCCGAGCCCTGGTTGAGCGCATTGCCGGTATTCGAGTTGTTGCCGTATCCGGGGATGGTGGTGAGGATGGTGCCGCGCGACACCTGGGGCGCGGGGAGCTGCGAGGATGGCGGTGGTGTGTAGCCCGAGATGGTCTGGACGCCGGTGTAGGTGGTTGCGACGCCGGCACCGCCACCTGCAGCGGCCTGTGCGGATGCGAGCGTGACGAGCGAGAGGATGAGCGCAACGAGCGCGAGCGCGAATGTGGTGGATCGCATGTTGGGTTGAGGTGTGCCAGGGGGACGATGGTGGTGGTGAAGAGCAACAGCGACGAGAGGCGCGTCGAATCGCCAAGGCTGAGAGCCCACTCTGCGGATGCTGCTCAGCTGCTGTGCCGATCTGCACGCCAGCCGAGCGCAGAGAGAGAGGTGCAGCGCGCTGGCACTCTGCGAGTCTCTAGCTCGAAATTCAAGTTGAAACTCGAAGACCCACTCAATTGCATTCAGCTTGGCACTCTGCGCTCCTGTGCCGCTTCGTCTCTCGACTTGACGTCAACAAGGCCCGCCCCTCTCCTAGATTTGGAAGTGCAATTTGTGGGTCGACCTAAAGCCTAACACTCTCCAATTTCAAAGTTAGCGTATCGTCCGAGACAAGCACCCGCCGCACAGGCACATCCACACGATCGAAAAGTCACAGTGAAGACTGAAGACCGAGGAAGAAGGTGAAGGCCAAGGCCAAGGCGGGTAGGAAGAAAAAATCTTGAAGTCGCGCTTCGTTCTGCTTTCTGCCCCCGTTCCACATCATACCCCCCAACCTTCCTAGGTACATGCCTGTTCTGCGCCTGGCCACTGCCACTGCCACCAGAACATACACTAGCATCACCACCTCTCGGATAGCTGCAACCACCGCTTCCGCCGCTACTTTTCGTTTCTTCGCGCCTACGTCTCGAACCGCCGCGCGAATCTCGGCTGCCTCGACCGCACGCACCTTTTGCGCCACCGCACTCGCGCACGCCAAATCGCACCGAATCAACAAGATGCCGCCCAAGAAGCAGGCCGTGGTGGAGAAGATCCGTCTGGGTCGTCCGTCGAATAACCTCAAGATGGGCATCGTCGGTCTGCCCAACGTGGGCAAGTCGTCGCTGTTCAACGTGATTGCCAAGTGCGACTTAGGCAAGTCGGCCAACTTTCCGTATGCGACGATCGAGCCCGAAGAGGCGCGTGTGCCTGTGCCCGACGAGCGCTTCACATGGCTCGCGGGGCAGTACAAGCCCAAGTCCGAAGTCCCCGCCTTCCTCACCTGCATCGATATCGCCGGTCTCACTGCCGGTGCATCCACGGGTGCGGGTTTGGGCAACGCCTTCTTGAGCAACGTCCGCTCCGTCGATGGCATCTTCCAGGTCGTGCGTGCGTTCGACGACGCAGAGGTCATCCATGTTGAGGGTGACGTCAACCCCATCCGCGACATGGAGATCATCTCGACCGAGTTGAGGCTCAAGGACATCGACTGGATTGAGAAGGCGCTCGACAACTCCAAGAAGAACGCACGCAGCGCAGGCAACGTCAGCCTCGAAGACAAGAAGCGCAAGGAGGAGGTGGCGATCATCGAAAAGATCCTCAAACACGTCCAGGAGGACAACAAGGACATCCGCAAGGGCGACTGGTCCAACAACGAGGTACGTATTCTCTTCGGCAATGCTGTTGTGGGGGTGGTTCAGATGATGATAAAGAGTGCGCAACTTGAGACACTCGATAATTCTTTAACCCAGCTCGTCGATGGCCCATCAAGCCAGTATGAGATAATTAGTTTTTCTACTGATCCCCACCGCCCCACACAACAGCAGCCCCTACCATCTTTGCATAACATTTCGCTGACCCTTTTTTGGCATTGGGTGGATTTGTAGGTGGAGGTGATTAACAATCTGCAGCTGTTGACGGCCAAGCCGGTAATCTACCTGGTCAACCTGTCGGAGCGCGACTATGTTCGCAAGAAGAACAAGTGGCTCGCCAAGATCAAGGCGTGGATCGACGACAACAACCCGGGCGATCTTCTCATCCCCTTCTCCGTCGCACTCGAGGAGCGTCTTCTCGCACTCGGGTCTCCCGAGGCCGAGGCGGCCGAACTTGCCACGCTGGGAGACAACATCACGGGTGCACTCGGAAAGATCACCAAGGCCGGATACGATGGTCTCGACCTCGTGCGATACTTTACTGCCGGTCCGGATGAGGTTCGTGCATGGACCTTCCGTAAAGGGCTCAAGGCGCCCGAGGCGGCGGGTATCATTCACACCGACTTCCAGAAGAAGTTCGTCTGTGGCGAGGTCTTCTCGATTGATGATATCAAGGAGCACGGTAACGAGGCGGGCGTCAAGGCCGCCGGCAAGTACAAGCAGATCGGACGAGAGTACAAGGTGCAAGACGGCGACATTTGCTACTGGAAGCACGGCTAGATCTTGTCCTTTTTTACTCAATTGCACTTTGTTTCGGACCAAGTCATCTTCCCTGCGGCTCAGGTGTTGCGTGAGAGAGTTGAGTTTGAATTGCCGGGTGGAATGCACACATGCTGCGGGTTGAGGAGCATCTAGAGAGTTGCGGGGTCTACATGGTGGTACGGGCATCGATTTTGCGCCTGGCCCTATCGCGTGGCTGTCTGAACACTGCCTCGTCCTTATCCTTCTTGTCCCTCTTGTCTCCCTTTGGCTTGTTCTTCCCCTTGGGCTCGTGCTGGGGCTTGGGCGATTCGAACGCATTGGGCGCCGTGGCGAAATCGAACTCGCCCTCAAACTTGCCCCTTCTCTTCTTGGGCTGCTCCCTGTCTGCCACCTCGGACTTGCGTTTGGTCTTGCGCTTGGCGTCCTTCTTGCCGTCCTTCTTGGATGAAGAGGCCGAAACGACAATGTACTCGTCCTTGTCCGAGTCACTCTCCTCCTCCACTTGAGCGGAAGTGGGAGCGTCGGGAGTGGGAGCGAGGGGAGGTGTTACTTCGCGAGTCGCAAGGGAAGGCTCGGCAGCAAGAGCAAGGTCAACGTCGGGGGAGGGGGCGGGGCTGAGGATGGAGCCGAGCGAGTCGACGAATTGCGCCTTGATTGCTTCGATGCGCGTCGCAGCGGGGGTAGAGGGTTGGTTGGAAGAGCCAAAGAGCTTCGACGTGGGCGCAGCGAGCGTGTCAGCGGTGGGGCGCACTTTGCGCGACGGGGTATCCCAAACGCCCGTGTTGAGTTGGTCTTGAGTGCGAGCGGCGTTGCTGATGGCCGAAATCACCGCTCCTGGCTGATCCACCTCGTCCGGTGCGGTTCTGGCCACTGCCTCGCCCAGATCCATCTCGTCATCGTCCTTCTCAAGCGAGGCGGCAATCTTCATCCTCCTCTCCTCGCTCTTCTCGTCGTGGTCCTTCTGCCACGCCTCGACCTCTTCGGCTATGAGCTGTGCCAGCTCAGGCGCACGCTTCTTGAGCTGCACCGCATTCGGCGGCACGCACGCCAGCACGCCCTCGACCTTGGTCGGCGCCCTGGCCGCTAGCATCATGAGATTATTCGCACCCAAGATGTAGCGCGGCGACTCGTCCTGCTCCCTCGCCACTCCATCGCGCCATCGATGCAGCGCGCGCACGAGCCTCTCCTCGCGCTTCATCTGCCGCACCTCCTTCCTCTCCTCTGTCCCCAATGCAGCCTCTCCACCCCACTTGCGCCAGACGCTCCTCCAGCCTTCGCGCGTCTCGCCGTCGGCATCCCACTCTTCCTTGGCATACGTCGCCATGGCAACCTCCTTGCTCCTCGTAAACACATCGCGGATGGCATCCACCCCTCCGGCTTCCATGAGCTCGTGTCGCAAGTTATCGTAGATGTACAGAAGCGTATGCGTGTCGCTGCGCGCATAGTAGAGCATCTCCTTGGGCAGCGGTCGGATGCGCCAGTCCGCAAGCTGGTACCGCTTATCCGCATCAAAGTTGCAATACCTCGCCATGAGATAGCCCAGCCCATGGCTCGGAAACAGCAACACGTTGGTGGCGTGGTACGTGTCGAAAAGGTTCACCAGATACAGTCCGAGATCGCGCTGCAACCACAGCACATCGTGATTCGCTCCATGCAGCACCTTGACCTTGTCGGGGTGGGTGAAGGACGAATTGAGCAGTTCGGCGTGTTGGCGCACGTCGTCCGAGAGCGTGTCGATGATCCAGTCGCCCCATCGCGTGCTGAGCTGCATGAGGCAGACGATCCCCTGGTAGGTGCGGTACGAGTGGTGTTCGAGGTCGATGGCGATCTCGGTTACACGGGGCTCGTCGAGATGATCGCGCAGCGCCTCGATCTGCGCCTTGGTGGACACCCACTGGAACGGAGAGCTGTCGGTGGATAGCGCCGGGTCCTTTTCGTTGAGCGGCGGTGGCGGCTGATCCTTGGCGCGCGGCTCGGGCTTGGAGAGTGCGTGTGTGGGCGGGTCGGCATGGAGGATTTCGTGGTAGTAGGGATTGTCCAGCGGATCGCCCTCGGCGCAGTACATGCCGCGCCTGGGGCCGCGTGGGAGCGGCTGACCATCCGCGCCAAGACGAGGCGGATTGACGTGACCCAGCGGCACCACCGCATTGGGCTTGCCGTACTTGAGGCTGGGCTGCCAGAGTGTGTCAGGCGAGTTGTCGGGCTTGGTGGTAAAGTTGCGCTGCGGCGGGGGGATGGGAGCATTGAGCACCCAGGCGGGTAAGTTGCCCGTCTTGGGCAGCGCCTTGCCGTTCTGCACCGCCGTCATGGCCTGCATCCTGCCGTGTGTCGACGTAGCATCGGCATCACCGTTGGCGTCAGCAGTGGCGGCATTGGCGAGCGAGCGCGGGGCGAGCTTTCCGGTGTACTCGTCGAGACAGGTGTCTGCGCTTTCGAGCAGGTGGTCGACGAGCTCGCCCAGGTTGGACGCAAACGACTCGTTGGTGGTGACGTCGGCCATGTCGAGCTCGAGCTCCACCTTGGCTTTGGCTTTTGCCTTGTCGGGTGAAGATCCTGAAGCCGAGCTGTGTGCGAGCGGGATGTTGGGTGCACGCGAGTCCGAGGCGATCCAGCTGGCGAGTTGGGAGATGGACTGCAGCAGCCGGTTGGACTCGGCGTCGAGTTTCTTGGCGAGCTTGCGGTCCATGCTGCGATGGAAGGCGAGGTCACCGTGGGTAGGGATGGCGGCTGCATTGCGAGTGAGCGGCTGGAGCGCCGACTGGAGGCGCAGCAGGTAGGCGGGCAGCTCGGTCTTGGGATCGGGCATGGCAGGTGTGGAGGCGGTGGCAGCAGGCTCGGGGGTGGACGCAGCCGAGTCGACCGCCTTAGTGCGTGAGCCTGAGCCAGATGGCTTTGACGGTGGCATTGTGATTGTGCTGCTGCCGTTGATGGGTCGAGAACAGCAGCGTGGGCACGACGATGGTGGTGGTGGTGGTGTGAAGGCAGCGTTGCACGCGAGTGGCCACAAACAAGAAGAACAAGCAAAGCTGTCTGTCGGCCCAAAAAATTCTCACTTTTCCGCCGCTGCTTTCATTTCTTCAATTCGGGCAGTGGAGGGCAGGCGAGTGATCGATCTAACAAATTCCAATCTCGCCAAATCCAATTTACGCGACTTTTTGTGGCGGCGCGTCGAAGCCGGAAAAGCGAAGACCAACACGTCGGACGGTGCGAACCTCGTCCTCGTCGTCCTGTCACCACCATCATCTTCATTATCACCGCCATGCCACCGAGGAAGAAGACGGCAGCGACAACCCAGCCGCCTGCAAAGCGTCAAAAGAAAGAAGCGCGCGACGACGATGACGACGACCCCATCCTGGACAGCAAAGACCATGCGGCAATCGCACCACCGCCTCCCATCCCGTCCGAGCCAACGACGCCCATCCAGCACTCGTACACATACGCATCTCGCGTGCCTCCCGAATGCAGCAAGATCGACACGGCCAACCCCAGCGTCAAGGTGCCGTGTGCGCTGGGTGTGGACGAGGCCGGTCGCGGTCCTGTGCTCGGTCCGCTGGTGTACGGCATTGCCTACTGTCCCGTGGCGTACCAGGACTCGCTCAAGCAGATTGGATTTGCCGACTCCAAGGCGCTCACCTCTGAGCGGCGCGACCAGCTTCTGTCAGCGCTCATCGACCACGACGCTCATCTCGGCTGGGCAGTGCGCGTCATGTCGCCTCAGGACATCTCGGCGGGCATGCTCCGGCGGCGGCCCGTCAATCTCAATGCGCAATCGAGCCAGGCGACAGTGTCGCTCATCGCGGGCGTGCTCGAGCAGGGCGTCGACGTCACCGAGATCTACGTGGACACGGTGGGCGATCCCAAGAGCTACGCGCGGCTGTTGAGCTCGCACTTCCCGAGGCATCCGCACATCAAGTGGACCGTCACGAGCAAGGCCGATGCCATCTATCCCATCGTCGGCGCCGCGAGCATCGCCGCCAAAGTCACGCGCGATCGGTGCATCGAACATTGGAAGTACGCCGAACAGCCTGCTCCAGCGCAACACACTGTGCTTGGTGACACCACCAATCGACCCGCACCACCCGTGGGTGAGCCGCAGAAGCGCAGGATCGAGGCCGACGTGTGGGATAGCATGGGTGCGCTCGGAAGTGGATATCCCGGCGATCCCAACACGGTTGCTTACTTGAAGCGCACGCTCGACCCCGTGTTTGGCTGGCCCGGTATCGTGCGCTTCAGCTGGGCCACCGCCAAGACGATGCTCGAAGAGAAAATCAAGCCGCCCACATCCAAGCCGCCCACTACAGACACTCCCGAACCAGTGCTGGGAGGAAAACGACTCACACGCTCTCTGTCTCGCACCTCTTCGATCGCTGATACCACCCCTGCGCTCCAACCCGATGCCGAGGGGAATGTCGCTGCAACACACGCGGTGAGCTTGTACGGTACACCGCTGCCACAGCCTGGAGTTCAGGGTGCGACGGTGCCACGCGCCTACAGGGTCAAGTGGATCGACGAACCCGTGGCCATCTCCAAGTTCTTTGGAGCCAAAAAGCCCGCGCCCAAACCTGGCTCTTCTGCCGATGCAGCCACGGCTACTCTGCAGTGCGAGATCAACGACTGGCTCAAAACCGAATCCACCTGGCGTGCCAAGTCCGACACTGCTCCAACCCAGCTGCAAATCAACACCAACAAGATGCTCAAAGACCTTGGCATTGCTACTGCCGACGCCACCTTCAGCCTGTTCTAAACCTTCAATCATCCGCAATGGAAAGTGTATTATCGGGGAAAGTGGGGTTTAGATGAGGCCTTGTCGCTTGAGCAGGTCGTAGGTCTTTTTGGTATACGAATTGCCATGTTCATCCTCGACCTCCTGTCCATCAACACCCGCATTTGCCTGATCGACCTTACCCTGTCTGCGCAGCTTCTCTGCCAACGCCAGCGCATCAGCGATGCTCGTCACATCGCGAAACTGCACCGTGTTGGGCAAGCCGAGTGCACGCATTCCAAACGCATGGCGCGATTCGGTAAAGTGCTTCTCGAACGCCTTGCGTCCATGATAGACGTGATCCGAACAGATCTCGCATTTGAACTCGTTGCGCAGACCGTGCAGCTTGTACAGCCAGAACGGAATCGGTCGTCCATCCCAGCCCAACGGCAACTTGAGCGGATTATACACCCGGCCCAATCCATCCTCGTCATCCATCCCCGTCGCTTCGTCCACATCTCCATCGAGACCAGAGGTAGGGTTGAGAGACGTCATGCGGTTCAGCTCTTCCTCGGCAGCCTCGGCCTCGGCTTGTCGTTCCCGATCCGTCAAGGCTGCTTTGCGTTCGACGTTGGATTTGGTATCGGCACGGATGGAGGTGAGCTCGTGCGCGAGTGCGGTGATGATGCATTCGTCGCGTGCCAGCGCTTTGGCACGCACTCGCGCCTTGATCTTCTCCGCCTCGCTGTGCGCCTCACCACCACCAGGTGCAGCTGCGCCGTCGCCTGCAGACTGCTGTCGCGCTGCCGCCTTGAGATGCTTGGGTGCCCGCAGATGCGCATCGTACACCGTCTGCTTGGCATAAAACCTCCGGCATGCTACACACCAGATCCCCTGCTCCCCCATCTCGCCCTGCACCAACCCCGTCCCATCGGCCACGTTCGCCTTGCCCGCGCCCGCGGCGCCAAACACCTCGGCCCCCTGCTGCTCCCATCCCTCCACCGCACCCCTTTCCCATGCCTCTTCGAACGAGTCCACCGCCTTTGTAGAGATCTTGTCCACGTTCGCCAGCGGCTGCGTCTTGCGCAGGAACCCATCGAAATACCTCCTGAGCTCCGTGAGATAGCTGCGGTACGCGTCCGTCTTCTTGGCGTGGTTGGGGATGGGCGAGCTCGGCCCGGCGAGCTTGCCGACATCGTCAATGTAGCTCAAGTAGCTCAGCCGCTTGGCCCCCTTGAGGTTGAGGTACGCCTCGTGGTGGACGTACAGGTCCAGGAATCGTCCCGCCATCTCCTCGCCCGAAAACATGCGGTCCACAAAGTCGTCTGCGTATCCTGCCGCTGCTGCAGCTTGCGATGAACCTGCGTCGGCATGCGACGATCCATCCGCTTCGAGCGCGTTAAACTCCACCGAGAACGTGTCGGGCAGCGCGCCCGGGTACCTCTCGTGGTAGTCGCGAACCCGACCCAGTCGCTCGTAGAACTCGCCCAACCCGTCGTCGTCGCCGTCTGTTTTCGTGGTGGTGCGCGTGGAGGAAAGCGCATCGAGTTCGCGCTGCCGATCACCATGCTCGTCGGCGTAGAAGCGGTCGAGGTACTGGTAGCGCGATGCGACGCGGTCGAGCAGGTCGGACGCCTTGTGTGCGCGCTTGAGCCTGTCCTTGTGTGTGAGCGTCGACGACGACGTGGCCGAGGAGATCAGCAGGTCGACGAGCGCGTGCTGGTAGCGTTCTGCCTCCTCGTGCGTCTGCCTCGCCACTTCGATGAGCGATGTGTCTGCCATGTCGCCGCACAGTCGCAAAGGATAGTCGGGTGTGGGGGATGAGGAAGGTGGCACAGCGTCCAAAAGGTGGAGAGCAATCCCTCTGATCCGCACTTCCGAAAGCCGAACTTTTTTTTTGGGTGGGCTGGAATTTTTGGTCACGTGCGTCGAGTGTGCGGACTTTGTGTGCTTCCGCTGCTCCACATCTTTGCCTCTGCACCTCCATCCTCCTCCTCCTCCTCCTCTTCCTCCTCATCGTAAGGACACTCGCCCATCATGTCCGGCGGTGGAGTCAACGCGGGCGACAGCAAGCTCGTGTTCGAGAGCTCCGAACACGTCAAGGTGGCGCCCACCTTCGATGCCATGGGCCTCAAGGAGGACCTGCTGCGCGGCATCTACGCCTACAACTTTGAAAAGCCATCGGCGATTCAGCAGCGTGCCATCCTGCCCATCATCCGTGGGCGGGATGTGATTGCACAGGCGCAGTCCGGCACGGGCAAGACGGCGACGTTCAGCATCTCGATGCTGCAGAACATCGACACCACGCTGCGCGAGACACAGGCGCTGGTGCTCAGCCCCACGCGCGAGCTCGCCATCCAGATCCAGTCGGTCGTCCTCGCGCTCGGCGACTATCTCAACGTCCAGTGCCACGCATGCATCGGCGGTACGAGTGTAGGTGAGGACATCCGCAAGCTCGACTATGGCCAGCATATCGTCTCGGGCACGCCCGGGCGCGTGTACGACATGATCCGACGCCGTCACCTGCGCACCAAGAACATCAAGATGCTCATCCTCGACGAGTCAGACGAGCTGCTCAACATGGGCTTCAAGGACCAGATCTACGACGTGTATCGCTACCTGCCGCCCGCGACGCAGGTGGTGCTGCTCTCGGCCACGCTGCCGCAGGACGTGCTGGAGATGACGAGCAAGTTCATGACCGACCCCGTGCGCATCCTGGTCAAGCGCGACGAACTCACGCTCGAAGGCATCAAGCAGTTCTTTGTCGCCGTCGAAAAGGAAGAGTGGAAGTTCGACACGCTCTGCGACCTCTACGACACGCTCACCATCACTCAGGCCGTCATCTTTTGCAATACGCGTCGCAAGGTCGACTGGCTAGCGGGCAAGATGAAGGAGAACAACTTTCAGGTCAGCAGTATGCACGGCGAGATGCAGCAGAAGGAACGCGATGCCATCATGGCCGAGTTCCGACAGGGCAGCTCGCGCGTGCTCATCACCACCGACGTCTGGGCGAGGGGTATCGACATTGCCAACATCTCGCTCGTCATCAACTACGACCTCCCCACCAACCGCGAGAACTACATCCACCGCATCGGTCGCTCCGGTCGCTTCGGCCGCAAGGGCGTCGCCATCAACTTTGTCACGCTCGAAGACGTGCGCATCCTCCGCGACATTGAGCAGTTCTACTCGACCCAAATCGACGAAATGCCCGTCAAACTCGACGATGTCCTCTAGTCCCCGATTCCCATGCTTGTTTGCGCTCTGTACTTTTATGAATACCATTGGTCTCATTTGCAGCCCGGTTGGCGTGCGCCGGCTTGTTCACACCGATGCGCACCGTCACATTGCATTGTGGGTCGTCCGGGGAGGGTGCTGAGTACAACCGATTGCCGATGTCTGTCTTTCATCTCGCCACGCGCGGGAACGATTGGTGGTTCCGACGGGACGCAGATGAAGTTGGCGTCGCCATGTCAGCTGCCTCTGCTGTGATACAGTGGCGTCCCGAGCGGCGGAGTAGCGCGGACGAGCTCGAAAGCGTGCAGCCTGTGCCCCACAACTTTGCACCGGCGGGCCATATAAGCCTCTGCCTCTTCGAGCCATGCCGGAATCCATGCCGTCGCCAAGCAATCTGTCACGATGCGATCCTTCCTCCTCGTAGCCTGCTGGGCAGTGTTGATCTCCGTTGTTTCCTGCGTCAAGGACTTTTCGCTAGGATGGAGCATGCTTGACCACGTCGCCCGTACCGACGTATCGAGCACTCTGGCCGAACGATTCCCGCACGTTGCACCCCACGAACGTGCGCACATCGGTTTCGTCCCCGACCGACTCTCTGTAAGCCCCTTCCTTCACCCCCTCATCCCCGGCTTATACTGACATCCCTCGTTGTAGGGTTTGATTTCGGGAGCCGACACGACGGGCCGACTCAAATTCGCCCTTCCCTCCCCCGGCAATGCTCTACTCTTCACCACCCCTGTCGACACGGGTAAAGTTCGCGCCGTTGGTGTAGTCACCACCCCCAGCGGCACGCACAAGTACTTTCGAAGTACGCCGTTTGAGCCGGTTCCGTTGCCACGGCTCGTGCGCGGGGAGGATATCGTCGCCCCTCGTGCGGTGGACAAGATGGCGTTTGGAAAGAGATACGTTGCTCTCGACACCTGGCACCCCGATAAAAAGGTCATCCTCACCAATACGGCAAAGGTACCCCTGACGACCGACTACAGGTACGTCGGTGTGTATCCAACCGAAGTCCTGGCCGAAGTCCTCGACCCCGAGAGGGAAGCTAGGCTCGTGCAGTGGTCCAACACTCCGACATGGGATAAGGCCAAGCCACAACAGCTTGTAGTCGCGCAGAGAGGCTCGCCGAGATGGATGAGGATCAAGTCGTTCGGATCGTGGGGGTCGTTTGGGTCCAAGGGCTCGCGTTCGTCGAGAACATCCACTCCAACCACTCCAACCACCGAGTAAGGCCCTTGCACACGTCATACGCCGCCAATGCCAACGTGGCCAGTGTCTCAATACACAGTGCGTACAACATTGCTGGCCTTGCCCTTTACAATGTCAGCAGAAGAAGGATTCCAGCCTCTCGAGCGAGGAGTTGGAGCGGCACGCCTCGTTTCAATGAGTTGAGGCAAGTTCACACTTGGCGACGTTCATTTGTTCCGATTGCATCATGTCTGTGCAGTAAGTCCAGACGTGCTGCGCTTCACCTTTGGCGGAGGTGCCAAGTCGAAGCGAGTCCTGCCACGCCGTACTGCAAGCCTGCGCCAAACCTTCACCGATACAAACGCAGCGGAGCTAAGCAAGCACGGCGTGACCCTGCTGAGAGACGAGACGATCGCCCAAAAGGAGCATGAAAGTGTCTCGGTGGAGATCATGCTACGAGGCGCCATGTGTGAAGCTTTTCGACCAGACCGAATCCCACTGATGCGACGTGGACGTGCATTGCTGCTTTGCGAACGAGCACAAGCGCGAACGGGTATGCTGGTATGCTGGGACTACGACCGTACGCCCTGCGCGTGGCACTCCGAAGAGGTAACCAGGTACAACATGCGACATGCAAGCAAGTGCGACATGCAAACACGTGCGATATCGCGAACAAGCACAAGAGCGAACCGAGTGCATCCACCATCTGTGCTGAGAGGCTGCGACTATTTACGCCCTGCAGGCGGCACTGGGAAGGGGGCAGTCCTTCACAGCATGCGAAATGCAAACGAGTGCGCCAACGAGGATACAGTGATGGAATCGTACACATGCCGGGGTCAAAGTTAATGATCAGCCGGCCCCCCCCCCCCCCCCCCGCATCGCCGCACACACAAGTTGGTAGCAGATGGGAAAGCAGGTGGGAAAGCATCCGACGTTGCAAAAGAGTGCGGGAACGAGGGTGCGACCAAAGGAGTGCGCATATAAGGAGCCGTCCAGGCTAGGTCCGACACCGCACAGACGCACAAACCAGCTGCTACTGTGCGCAGGTGGGAACGCATGCGAGATTGCAAAAGGAGTGCGACGCTACAGACAATGCGCAGACCACTCCGAAAGATACATAGCTATACAGCAGACGTGCAAAGGAGTGCGGCATTGCGATCCAGCCTACGAGAATGACTAGATGAATATGGTGCTAGGATCTCACGCCCTGCACCTGGCGGGCGCTTTGTACACCATATGCATTCCTGCCCTTCTCCTGCTGTGTCGCCTGGGCAGTCCTTGGTCTCTGCGGCCTTGGCGGAGCCGAAAGTGGCATGTACCCCTCTGCTCCTCCCTGCTGTCTACCAAAAACCCCTTCGCGGGGAGTGCGATCTTCGTTGTGCTTTCCCAATTGAACGTTCTCGATGGGATACTGGGCCTCTCCCCACGCATCGGCCGTGAACGGTCGGCGCTCGTCCGCCTCTACTGTCCTACTCCTTCTTCTTACGCGCGAGTCGGCGAACTCCGCCGGCACGAGCACGCCAAACGAGCGCTGTCGCAATCCCTCCGCCCGAGCGAGGTACTCGAGCTTGATGCTTTCCGACGCTGTAGGCGGTCTTGATCCCGAGCGGGGCTGCGACTGCGATGGACTTCGATCGGGCCGTGGGACGATATGCCCCTGCAGCAGTGCTGGGTCGATCTTGGTCTGTCGTGCCAGTCCGGCTGGTAGACTGATCGGGATCAACTTTCGCCCGTTCACAACGATCGGTTTGGCCGCACTCGAGGCCGAGGAAAGAGAGGTGGACGAGGGTTTGGTGTGCAGCACACGACCAGCATGTGCATCTCCCAAATCCAGCTGCAACGCCGGTGCCACCGAAGCGACACTTGGAATTGGCCGCTGGGGTTGTCCGAATTGCGCCGATACCGGCGAAGCCTGCAAATGCAATCTAGCGGGATCGGTATCACGGCCGGGGGTGGCGGGTTGGGACGAGTAGCTCGTATCGGCCGAGGTGGCGCTTGCGAACGACGCACCCGCTCGACTCGGCTGTCGAAGCGGACTGTTCTGCATCGCACCGGCAAGTCGAACGGGGGATACCGGTGCACCGTCTGGCAGCACTGCACGTCGGGATGAAGCCGGCGAAGCCTCGGAATGCAGCGACGCCGAACGGGGAGAGTCGATGGAGGGTACGACCTTGGACGCGAGCGAGGGCACCATCTGCTTCTTGACGAGATTGATCAGGCGCGATTTGCGCGCACGCTCAGGATTGAGCAGCGTCGCCGAGCACGAGAAGCGCACGGGCACCAGCCTCCGCTCCCACTCGCCCTCTACGCGGTAGGCGAACTTCCATGCCAGCCTCCCCCTCCGCTCATACCCGGCCACCTGATGCACCCCCGTTCTGGTCGATAGTGCTGCTTGTCGCGTCAGAAGATCGGCCTTGGTATCCTCTCCCACGGTCAAGTGCTTGAGCACCGCCGAGCCATCGCATTTACGTCCTACGTCCAGTGCCCTGTCATCGAGGGGGCCGAATTCGAGCGTACCGGATTGTTCGGCTTCCTGGTCCTTGTCACCGCGCGACTTGGGCCGCTTGGGCGTCATCGCCCTCGCTGCCTCTGTACCTTCCACCAGCTGCTCCGGCCTTCCGAACGGATCGTACGCGAGGTACGTCATTGTCACAGGCACCACACGACCGTCGTGTTCGAGATGCAGCGTCAGCCCCGCGTGGAGATACGACGCCCATCCGGATCCACCTGCTTTGGACGCCGACCCCGTCCCGCGGCTCTTGGGGCGCGGGAAGGTGGTGGTAGTCCGCGGCGTTACGGGCAGCGAACTGTTGGTGGTGGCGGGAGAGCTGGCCGAGCAGATCGACGATCCCGGTGTGGGCTGCAGCGCACTGTGCGAAAAGAGCTCCGAGCTCGTAGCCGACACCTGGCTCGGATGACGCTTACCGCCAGTGGCCGTTGACCAGCCCACGGCTCGAGGTGGTTCTTCGTGCTTGGTGGCCGCTGCGTTGGTGTGGGCTTCGACGCGGTCCGACTCTCCTAGCGTGCGCGACCGAAACCTGCGCCCAAAGAACGGAGCCCTCCCGTCGGTTTGCGCCGTCGACGGACGACGCTCCGCATCACCCGCAGCAGCTGCATTGTTGACTGCACCGGGAAGCGGCGGCACGGGCGTATGGGCCGCTGCAAAGAGCGACGACGCATCGAGTCGCAACTTGGGCGATGACGCCACACGCGCGCGCAAGAACCGCGCCTTACCCGGCGACCTGGCGGCGTTGATCTTTGGCTGTGGCTCTGGCAGTGTGGGATGCATAATCTCGTACGACGTCAAGCCTTCGGAGCGCACCTCGTATCTGGCATCGGTTGGCGATTGCACGTGCTGCTGCGGCGGGTACACCGGCAGCACATGCCCCGGAAACGTCAGCGGCGACACCGGCGGTTCGTGCGTGTAAACATCGGCGGTGCTGGGCCGCACACGAAGCTGGTTGAATCCCGCACGGGTGGCGGTGAGAGCCGAGTTGAAGCTCAGCTGCGACGGGATGCTGAGGTGCCCACCATCCGATGCGGCAGCACACCCTTGAGCCAGCAGCGTACTATCTCCATGCACGCTGGTTGGGGTGAGCGTGGCACTGTTGAGCTCGAGCATGTGAGGCGTTGCGCTGGTGACGCTGGAAGCCGAGGCGGAGTCCGAGGTGGTAGCGTGCGACGAGGTTTGGGAGCGCGAGCATGAGGGCAGCGAATCGTCGTGCGAGGTCTGGCTCGTGCTGCACGCACCCATCGTCGACTCGACCTGATGATCGTCGGCATCGGAAGGAGGCTGAACGGTGTACGTCTCGTCAAAGAAGCGGTAGGCACGACGGTACAAGTGCTTGGACGGCGCCTCGTTGCCGCGCGCCGTCGACATCGGCTGGGTGGGATCGTGGTACGACGACGAGCGCGAAGAAGCGCCGATCGAATCATCCGACACGCCCGAGGCTTTGCGCAGCTCGTTCAGCGGCGGGCCAAAAGTTCCATGCGAAGACGAGTGGTGGATGAACGGTCGCTCGTCGATCGTGTCTTCCGAGAAGCGCGACGAGAGCAGACGAGACTGTGCTGCGAGGCTCGGAGGATGGTAGGGCAGCTTGGAGATGGGCGAGGACTGCATGGGCGCATCCTCGTCGATGGTGCCAATGTTGAACGACGGTACTCTGCTGGGTGAGCTCCCACTCGAAGCCGAGCTTGAGGATGCGGATTGGCGCGGTGGGGAGAGACGGATGCTGTCTGGCCTTCGCGGATACTCGTCTGGGATATCGATGCTGAGCCTGGCAAAGTCGATGGAGAGCTGAGAGGAGCGTGCCGAGCTGTAGGAGACGGAGGGATTGCGCGTGGCGTAGTGGTGGTTGTCTGTGGGATCTGCGGCATTGTGGACGCGTGGGTCGAGGCAAAAGGGCACCTCTGCGGAACTCCAGAGGGTCGAGATGCTGCCTGCTCTCGAAGCGACTCTAGGGACGCGCGAGTCTCGCTCGTGCGAGTCTGGGTGGTATGCCGACGACATGGTGAAAGGCGGTCAAGGAGCGTGGGAAGAGAGTGTGTACGAGGAGGACTCCTCGGGTTGAGAGAGGCTCAGAGATGGCAAGCGAGCATTCCGCGAGGCTAATCGAAAGACAAGGGACGAGGCTGGTGGAAGAAAACGAGACGGTGGGTCGAGGACGAGTTTTGAAGGAATGAGAAGCGAGCGTGAGGTGTAGCTTGCCCAGTGGGTTTTGTCTGTGTGGTCGAAAGCGTGAGAGCGTGTTGCGAATGCAGTTGGGATGTGATGATCTGGGTATATCTAGAATGAGGCGAGGTGGGTTTGTGATGTGTGCAAAGGGGGCGCGTTGGATGTGCAGTTGGGGCTGGCCGACGCACGTATATGAAGTGAGCGAGACGAAGTAAGGAAGAAAGTGGTGATGGGAATGAACGAAAGGAGAGGGGGGGGGGGGAGGGGGAGATAGGGCTGCCTGTGCTGCGCATGGCGAGCACACGCTCAGGGAAGAGTGACAGCGGCGGTGGCGGCGAGGGCAAGAGGCGTCGAGGAATGTGAGTGAGTGCGGCCATGCGAGCTGCAAGATGGCGACTAGGTGCGAGATGCGCCCTGCAGGAGGAAGCGAGGTGGGACCCACAGGAACGGCACGATGCACGACGATGCGGTCGTACCCACGCTCTTTTGTTCAAGGGGGTGTGTGTCGATGATTGCGGCGGCTCGAGTGCCGGTTGGCGGTAGCGCCTAGCCTCTTTTGGGTGGTGTCGCTGCTTGGCGCTGCTGTCACACACTGCCGCCTGCCATGGCATAACTTTGTTTTTCAGTATTTCTTTTCTTTTGGCTCTCAGGGCAGGCGGAAGGGGAGGGAAAGCATGATGTAGGATCGGATTGCGCTGTATCCGAAGACTGCAGCCATGTGCGCCTGCAAAACAGGAGGAAGCTGCATTCGGGACGCACCCACGTATAGTGCGCATGAGTGTGGTGGGTTGCGAGCGTGAGTGTGAGTGTGAGTGAGAGTGAGTGAATGGCAAGCGAGCTGCTCCAACGCGCCCACCTCAAAATCTTCTTAAGAAGCGACGCGCGCTGCTGCCTCTTTACCTTTTGCTGCGCCTAGACTGGCGAGGGGTTGGCCAGGAACCGCGCCCGCGTCCCGTGCGCGCGTGCGAATGCTCGGATCCCGCTGGATTGTTGGTGTTTGGTGGTGGCGGGGGGCGGGGGCTTGTGCGCAGACGGGCCAACCGCCAGCCCCCCACTGGCGGCAAGGGGCTTTGCAATCGATGCTGGGGGTCATGGCATGTCGAGGGCATATAGAGTCGAGTGGAGCGAGCGCCAATCGAGAGCTGCAAGGGTTCGTGGCTGTGGAATTTGATATAAATTGGCACCGATCAAGGCGCTGGCGCAGTGTTGGGAAAAAGGGCGGATGCAATTTTGCGAGCTGCATCGGTTAGGCGCCTCCTGGCGTCGATGCAGCTTTGCCTTGCAGCGCTTGAAAGGAACCAAACTAACACCGCTCAGCCAGCCATTTTGGAGTGTTGGTGATTGTCATGCTTGCGATGGGCGCCGTCGGATCCCAACCCCCTGCCTGCGCAAGTGCAGTACATGCTGTCAAAGGGGTCCCGACGTTTCGCATCGGCACAAGATCGACAATCGGCAATCGTCATTCGTGGCTCCCGATGCGGTTGGCAGATGTTCCCAGCTCCACTCAATATCAAAGTCGGGCTGTCAGGGTTGCAAGAGTGTATTGATGGATGCAGAGCACGCTCAAGTGGCTGAGCCGGTCCGAGCGGCTACAGAAGGAACAGTGGGAGTGGCCGGTGCGTATCTACTCGGAGTCCTCGAGGAACTGTTGGCGCGAGAAAAAGGGAGCGAGGCGTCAGTATCGCTGCAGCATGAGCACAAGTAAGGGTGGGAGACCGCAACGTACCTTTCCACGGATGTCCTTCCACTGCTTCTGTTGGGGATTTCGAATCAAAGGGAATGAACATGGATGCGTCTGCGTCAGTGGCTGCTGCGTCGGTCGTGCTGTGGTTGGTGGCCGAGGAAAAGCGCAACTCACGCCTTTGTTGTGTGCGTCCCACCATGCTGTGGTGGCAAGGTCGTAGCCGATGCCGAATGCAAACGCGCCAAAGAAGATGGAGCCGACGCTGTTCGAATGCGAGCCAAGCCGAGTCAGTACGAGTGCGGTTGCGAATGCGAGTGCGAATGAGTGCGAATGCGAGTGCGAATGCGAGTGCGAGTGTTGGAGGGAGTGACGACTCACTAAACCGAGTTACGCTTGAATACGGTGTTGTAGACGGACTTTGCGAGCGACATGGTTGCTGATGTGATGTGAGGGTGACGACGGTAGGTGGTCGAGAGCGTTGAGCGGGATGATCGCGACCACACTTCTTCCGAGCCCCAGAGAGCCACGCCGGCCGTCGATTTCAAATCCTCGAATCCGGGCCCAGGCGGATGCGCCGCCTTTCGGAACCGACCGCGATGCAAATTCTGCAAACTATCCGAGTGGTACTTTGAGTCGACGTAACATTTCGCAAATGACCTTGCTACTCGCACGAGACAGATTCCAAAAGAGGACAAGCCCCTGATTCTCGGCTCGCTTTTTGGAGCAAGACGCGTGCGGAGAGAGGGGCGACGTGCATGAGAACGCGTGTGCTCTAAAAGACCAACACTCTACGCCATGGTTGCTTTCGTGGCGCGGCGGCAGTAGAAGTTGGGCTCTGCCGGCCGTGTGAGCGCGGGAGCGCGTGTTGGCCGGCTTTGCATCGGAGGCCCCTGAGAGCAGAGAGCGAGGCGACCCTGCATGCATCCAAAGCTGCCGAACTCAACTTTGTCCAACGCATAGCAAAGCCAAGCCGAACCCACCTCGCCATCCTCACCTCCATCTCATCCGCCTCGCCCCACATCGACGTCATCCTTCATACCCACCACGCTGCCCTCGACACCGCCGTCGCCAGTCGCACATACATATACCGCACCACCACCACCACCACCACCACCACGCGCTCCTCCTTCTCCATCACCACCAACGACAATCATCCAACCATGAAAAAGATCCAGCGCTTCGTCGGCGTAGGCGACTCCAAGCCCGCTTCCGCACCCCTCAGCACGAGCCCAAATGCCTCCTACCTCGCATCGGCCTCAACTCCCAACGCTTCTTCCTACGACCCTGCATCGCCCTCGCCAAACCACCTCTTGCCGCCCACCACCCAGTCCGCAAGCGTCGCGCTCCCACAGCCCCAGTACGCATCCAGGCAGGTCTCTCCGCAGTCCTCGCACTCTATGCTCCACTCGCCCGCCGCACGCGCATCGCCTCAGCCGCACAGTCCAAGCGCTCACCAGCAGTACTTTGACATTCCACCACGCGCCGTCTCGCCAGCCGCAACAACCCCACATCCCGTCTCGCCGCTCGCTCCCCCATCCTCCTCCGCAGACGTACACCTCGTGGAACGTCCCGACCTCCACAAGTCGCTCAAGGCCCTCGAGACGCTCCTCGTCAACCTCGACGAGTACCGCGACCTCTCCGCCCGCCTCGCCAAGGTCCAAAAGCGCCTCGCAAAGAGCGCCTCCGACCTCGAACGCAACAAGGTCGTCCTCGACACCCCCTCCCAAACCCTCCAGATCTCCTCCACCATGTTTGACGGCCTCGCAGACGTCGCCTCTCGACACGCAAAGCACATCCAAAAGGAGTACGAGGCGCTCAACGACGCCTGCGCAAAGTACTTTAAAAAGGTCGCCAAGGAGGAACGCGCACACGACGACTACCTCGCCACCCTCGATGCCAAGATCAAAAAGGCAAACCTCGCCCACGACAAGAACGTCAAAAAAGCCTCGGGCACAAGGGCGCTCGAGTCGCACGACAAGTACATCGCCACGGTTCAGGCGCTCACCAACGACGTCAGCCGTGCCAAGAATGCACACGCCCTCTCCATGGCCGCAAAGAGCCACGTCGCCTCCCTCCTCGTAGCATCCACCCTCGGCGGCCTCGCGGACGTCGACTTTAAACATCGCTGCGAATCCATCCGTCGCATCGGTCCGCACGTCGGCCGCCTCAACCACCTCCTCTGCTTCACCTCGTCTGAATTCATGCCTGCCCTCCACCAATCCGAGCTCCAACAGGCACAGCAGGGCCAGGCGGACTATCTCGCAAGCCTCGCCGCTCAGGTCGAGGCGCAGGTCGTCGCCCAGACACACATCAACGCCAAGATCAACGAGGACACCCAGACTATACTGCGCGCACAGGAGATGGGTTGGCGTCCTCCTTCGCCACTCGCCCCGCCCACCGCCGCCTTTCACAACCTGGCACGCAGCACAAGCATCAACAGCAACGCCAGCCGCACCAGCGCAACGCCCGCCACCTCATCCTCGACGCTGCAGCAGCCAGCGCCTCAAACAGCTCAGACAGGCACGCGATCGCGCACACACTCGTCGGCCACCGCCAACGAGCCACCGACTGCCGTTTCCGCATCGCTGTCCCCCGCGCCGCTGGCTGACAACGACGCTGCCTCGGTTCACAGCGTGGCGACCGACCGAACGCCTCGTCAAGTCGAAGCCTCGGCCGAACGCGAGCCCGCTTCGTCGCGCGCCTCGTCGGAGCGCTTGCTCACAGTCGCCAACGCCGCCGAACGCGGCGTGGTCCGACTCGACCGTGCGCCCACGGGCTCCACGATGAAGTCCATGGCTGCGCATCCCGAGACGTGGGATGCTGCCTCCATCGCCGCGTCTCGCTCGGGCCATGCCGCCTCGCCACCGCAAGGCCACGACCGCACCGACACCTCCGCCCACGAGGGCTCGATCGTCGACAAGCTAGCCGTACCGCGCGAAGACTCGGATGCCGCTCCGAGTCTTAGCGCCAGCCATAGCGCACAGGGGTCCGACGACGCTACCCGCATCCCGCGCACTCCGGACGACAGCGAAGCTCTCCCCGCCCTGCATGCCGATCGTGCCAAGCCCACCGCATCTACCGCCATGCGTCCTGCCCAACGCGCGCTCGAATCGTATCGCGAGCAATCTATCCCCAACGACGCCACCAGTGCAATTGGGCGATCCGACAGCGTGTACAGCACCAGCAGCCAGCAAAGCGCTCTGGGGCCGCTGGCGGCAAGAGAGGCCAGTGCGCGTAAGCTCAGCCTGTGGGAGCGCGAGCGCGAACGCATGCGTCAGCTCGACAACGATCCCGCCTCTCGCCCCTCCTCCGCGCTCTACTCCACCGCCTCTAATGGTAGTGGGTGGACGCGGTCCAAGCCGAGCGAGAGTGCGGGTAGCGATCGCAGCACCGGCTCGCAGATCGGTATGGGTCTGCCACGACCCGCCACCGGCGCCGAGGATGTAGACCGGTATGCGCCGGCTGTTGGGTCGACGCGCTTATCGGCGACGGGTGTGACGCGCTCACTCAGTACCGACACCACCGCTTCCGAGCGCAGCTTTGTTGCGCGCATGAAGGCGCGCTACCAGGCGGAAAAGGAGCTCGAGCGCGAACAGCGCCAACTCAACGTGCTCGAAAAGGAGCGGGCGGCTAGAAGAGCAACTATGGATCCCACACTCTCCTTGCCCTCGCTCAGCGGCGCACGCTCCGGCGGAGGTGGGGGTGGACGGGTTCCCGAGATCGCGTCGCGATACCAGATGGCTGGCACATCCACCTATGCGCAAGAAGTGCCCGCTCGGCGGTACCACGACAGCCTTCCCGCTGGGTCTCGTCTCAGCGCCTCCTCTACACCCTCGGCGAGTGGTGTGGACGAGTTCGGCGGTTTGAGGGCGAGACCGGAGGCGGCGCATTCGGACGTGTGTGGATGCCACCAGTGCTCGGCCCGTCACTACGGCAGTGGCACCACGCGCGTCGACCGCACCGAGCGTCCGCGAGAGTACAACGTCCGTCGCACCTCGATGCCTGTCCCCGCCCGAACCGGACCGGTCGATCCACCCCGCGCCAAACAGGCGATGTACTCGTCCTCCCCCGCACGAGACGAGTACATGCAGTACGCCCAGCGCCCGCAGCATGCATTTGCCAACGCACCTGCGCGCAGCTACGACGAAGCCCCCGATGCTGCTAGGCGTGTGGCGTTTGCACGCGAACCCCAAAGCATCCGCTGAAATGTACAGTACTCGCACGAATCCATGCCTTTGCTATCCGAGCTCTCGCGTATCGGGTTGCCGGTGACCGGTCAGTGGATGTGGGGAAGCGAGCCAAGCTGCTCGGTCAATTTTTTTCGCAAATCTTACCAAAATAGCGGCGGTGAAAGTATGCCGGAGCTAAAGCTTGAGGTGAGCGGCTTGATGCGGACCGTAGGGGCCGTTCGGTCGCCGGTGGGGGTGGAGTTGGAGCCGGCTTCCATGCATGAGGGTTCGGCCACTTTCCCCACACTCTCGGCGCACGGTCGCCGGTGGACTCCGCCTGTCAAACACGTCAACGCTGAGACATATATACCTCCCTCCCTCCCTCCTTCCTGCGGTGGATTAGATCAGCAAACATGAAGACGATGATTATCGCGATATGGGCGTTGCTAGCCGTGCTTACACGAGCTATTGGCGCCAACAATGTCTGTCTGGGCAACGACAGTGGGTATGCGATCGCTCGCACGGGCGAGACCACCTCGATTCTCACTTCGCGCGACGATGCTGCCGTCATCCACCACGCAGCAGCCAGTTTGGCGGCCGACATGATGCGCACGATCCCCGACGCCCAGGTGGTGGTGCGCAATGTCAGTGCGGCTTCCGCCATGCAGACCACTTCGGAGCGCGTGGTGTTTGTCGGATCATCCAACTCTGCGCTTGTCCAGGCGCTCGCCAAGTCGCACAGCAGTGTGGCGAGTCAAGCGTCGCTGCTCGAGGGGAAATGGGAGTCGTGGTCGTCCGTCCTCCTCCCCAACCAAGGCGTCGTGCTGATGGGTAGCGATCGACGCGGAACCGCCTATGCGCTGTACACCCTCAGCGAGGAGTTGGGTGTGAGCCCGTGGAAGTGGTTCGCCGACGTCCAGCCAACCACCACCCACACCTCCATCTACTACGCTCCGAGCGACAAGCAAGGGTCGTTTGGAGGGAATGCCTGCTCGCATGGTCCGCCAATGGTCAAGTACCGCGGCATCTTTCTCAACGACGAAGCGCCTGCACTCACCAACTGGGCGCGCACGCACTTTGGCGGGCCCTTCGCACCGGATGCATCGCAGTCGTTCAGCGACGCCATGTACACGCACGTATTCGAGCTGCTGCTGCGTCTGCGCGCCAACCTCATCTGGCCCGCCATGTGGGCCGACTCCTTCGCCGTCGCCGGCCTCCCCGACCTCCCCAACAACGGCACCCACGGCAAAGGTGCCGCAGGCCCCAACCAGGTCCTCGCCGACCGTATGGGCATTGTATTCGGTACATCCCACCAGGAACCCATGGCCCGCAACACCCCCGAGTGGAATACTTGGTACCAGGGACCTTGGGATTATACCAAGAACAGCGAGAATATTACGACGTACTGGCAGTACGGTGTCGACCGCGCAGAGGGACTCGAAACCATGTTCACAATGAGCATGAGGGGCAACGGCGACAAGGCGCTGGATGGAGCGAACATTGAGCTGCTCGAGTCGATCATGGCCAAGCAAAAGAGCCTCCTCCCCCACACCGCCACCAACGCATCGAGAGTGGGTGTGCCGATGATGATGTGCCTCTACACCGAAGTGCAAGGCTACTACAACGAAGGCCTCCGCGTCGACGATGACATTACGCTGCTATGGACCGACGACAACTTTGGCTTTATCCGTCGCATCCCCACTGCGGACGAGAAGAAGCGGTCGGCCGGAGCGGGACTCTACTATCATGCGGATTATGTGGGGCCGCCGAGGTCGTACAAGTGGGTGAATACGGTCAATCTGGTGAATGCGTGGGAGCAGCTCAATGTGGCATTTGCCAACGAACAGCGCGAGATGTTTGTGCTCAATGTCGGCGACCTCAAGCCCGTCGAGGTGCCGATTCACTTTATGCTCGACATGGCCTACGACTCGTCGCGCCTCACCCACGCCAGCAACGTGTCCACCTGGCTTGATACCTGGGCCGCCAAAACTTTCGGTGCCGGTGCGAATGGGGAGCATCTCAAGGTCGCTGAGGTGGTGCGGGGATACTCGTGGCTCAACTCGCGCATCAAACCGGAGCTGGTCAACGCGACCACCTGGTCGGTCGTCAACCATGCAGAGGCCGAGTCGGTGCTGGCCGAGTGGGATCGTCTCGAAACAATGGTGTCCGACCTCGAACCCTACTTCCGTGGCGGGGATAACTGGGAGGCGTTCTTCCAGCTGGTGGCATACCCTACGCTGGCGAGTGCCAATCTCAACCGCATGCACGTTGCCGTGGGCCGCAACAACCTCGCGGGTACGCAGGCCAAAAACTCTGCGAACCACTGGGCGCAACGTGCGAGAGAGCACTTTGCGCGCGATGTCGAGCTGACCGCCGCGTACCACTCGCTCGGCAATGGCAAGTGGAAGCATATGATGAGCCAGCCGCACATGGGGGGTCAGTACTGGCAGCAGCCCATGCGCAACATGCTCCCGCCCCTCTCGTACATGCACCTCGACGACTCGTGGCCGGATACGGCGCTGGGCAGCAATCTTCGCGTGGGCGTGGATGGAAGCATGGGTGCATGGCCGGGTGATAACCAGTACAACTGCGCCGACGGGTACAACTGCCCCGACCCGGTACTGCCCGCGTTGACCCGGTACAGTGGCGATCAGCGACGCAGCATCTGGGTCAGCGCCGGTGACGCGCAAAAGTTCTCCTTTTCCGCCACCACCAATGCTTCGTGGCTGGGTGTGGCGCATCGACTCGCCACCGACTCGGCCAACGCCACCCAGGGCGCAAGGTTTGTTCGTAGACGCAGCGATGGATTCGAGGCCGGCGCCGAGTTCGACGACGAGGTCGAGGTGCAGCTCTCTGTCGACTGGACCGCCTTACCCAGCCCAAGCTGCACCGGTGCTGCACAGATGCGCACCGCCATGGTCTACATCAACGCCACCCACAACGACAGACTGCCCGGTATGAGCCCACCCACCAACGTTACAGTATCGCTCTCTGTCGATCCGTGCCTGCTTGGCGATGAAGTGGAGCAAGGAACGTTTGTCGCTTCGCCAGACGGCAGTGTCTCGATGCTCGCTACGCACGCCACGATCGAGTCTGCACGAGACGCTTCCTTCACCCCGGCGTACATCGAGGCACTTGCCGGGTACGGGCTGTTGGGATCGGCAGTGACCGTGCTGCCGCCCACTGCCGAGTCGATTGACCGCAACGATACCGCCAACCTCGGCCGCGGGCCCTCGCTCGCATTCGACTTTTACCTCCCGCACTCCGTGGGCAACGAGACGGCGTTCAACGTGACGGCGTGGCTAGCACCCGTGCTCAACTACCGCGACAAGCGTCCCCTGCGATACGCCCTCGAACTCGATGCTGATCCCAAGTCGAGGGTTCAGGTGACCCCCGTGCCGGACAACATCACGCCGGGCACCAATTCGGCCGATTGGGGCAACGTGGTCAGCGCCAACATCCGCACCGTCACCACCTCCCTCTCCTCATCGGCTGCGACGCAGGACGGCAAGCACACGCTCAGATGGTGGCCGCTCGAACCGGGTCTCGTGCTGCAAAAGATGGTCATCGAACCACACGCCAAACTCTCGGCCCGCACAACGCTGGGCCTCCCCGAATCACGACGTGTAGGCATGCTCTAGTCGAATCTCAATTGGTACAGCGGGTATATCTAGTGGGACGACCAGCCGGGATCGTCGGTCTTGAACTTGTTGAGGAACGTCGCCTGGGTGTATCCATCGGCCGCATTGTACTGCGTTGTCCACAGCAGCATGTGTCCGCTCCCCTGCACCATAAAGTTGCGCGAGTTCGAAGTCTCGGCGTTCTGCTGCTTGAACAGCCTTGCCACTTCGAGGCTAAAGTCGTCGTAGCTCACGCCCTGGTTCACGGGGATCGTGGTATCGTTACTCCAGCTCATGCTTGCGAATCTCGAGCCGGTGTTGGCTTTGGCGAGTCCGACGATGTACGAGTCGAAACTGGTGTCGTCGCACGTGGGGCATTGCGGGGTTTGGATGTTCTGCGAGGGTCTTGCTAGGGCCGACTTGGGCGTCTCGCCCGAATCCGCCAACAAATCCACTCGAGTCCCGCTGAAGATGTTCTGTGCATTCTGGTACTGTAGAATCGCACCGAAGGCACCGGCACTCGACCCCGCCAGCCATACCCGCGAAGGCGTCGGAACCATCTGCTTGATCCTGGCCATGTCCAACTTGGCATTGCCCCAGCCGCGGTGATTGGTGGCGGAGGAGGCACCGGGGTAGAGCACCGTGTTATCGCCCGCATGCCAGTCTCCTGTACAGTACGGGATCCAGGCATAGTTGGCCTTCTGCCACGGGTTCCACTGGTTGTCGCGTGCAAAGGGGAACCACCACTTGAGCGTGTTGGGCTGATTCTGCGCCCAGAACGTCGCGTTGGAAAAGCCCGAATCGATGTTGTACGCCGTCTTTTGCACGTAGCACGAGTTGTAGTCGTAGCAGCTCCCGCCCTGCTGGTACGAGATGACGAGCTCGCTCGCGCCCGCGTGCAGGTTGAGCGCAAATCCGGTCGCGCTCCCGTCGGCACATTGCGTGCCGGGCACGTCGACCCACATCCACTGGTCGTAGACGGGTGCCGTGGTGGTGGTGGTTGTGGCAGTGGCAGAAGCACTCGCGCTGGTGCTTGTGCTCGTGCCCGTGCTCGAGCTCGAGCTCGAAGAGGAGCTTGTGGAGGTAGAGGAAGTTGTTGGGGAAGTAGCCGAGGACGAAGACGAGCTGGTGGCAGTGGCGGGTGTTGTGGAAGTCGAGCTAGTGGCAGCGGCAGGCGTTGTTGACCTCGATGTGGAAGTCGTCGAGGTGGACGTTCGAACGGTGGTGAATCCCGAGCTAGTGGTTGCCGGTCTTGTGCTCGACGTCGTCAGCGCGCTCGACGTAGTGACAGTCGATGTAAACGTGCCGGGCACCTTTCCGGCCTTCCTATTGAACGTATACGACGCCGAGACCTGACCGGGACCATTGAACGGGCCCGTCGTATAAACCGCGTCGGACTTTGGCGCCGTGGCGCTATACACTGCGCAGACGACATTTCCTTCCGAAAAGCCATTGAACCTGATCACGGACGCCATGGCACACGTTGGGGTCTTTTCGCAAAACTGGGTGCAGGCATTCACGTGCGCTTGCGTCGTGGACGAAGCGTCCTTGGAAATGGTCGTACGCGTGAGGTAGTTCTTGTTGCCATTGGTGTCGATGGCCAAGCGATAGCCATCAACGACCCAGCTGTAGGTGTAGCCAGAAGGAGCGACGAATCCCGAAACGTAGCGCGGCTCGATGTGCGCAATGTGGGTATCTTTGGGGTAGATAATTCCGTCCGAAAGTGTCTGGGCGCCGGTGTTGAGGTGTGCAGGTGGTTGAGCAGTACCCGTGAGCTCGGCGAGCAGCATACCCGCTGTGAGCGCCGGGATCCTCATCGTGGCGGTATCGACGGGAATACGTTCCGAAGCGGATCCTTGGATGAGTGGGACGAGGGATGGGGAGCGGAAGATCCAGCCGCTGCTCCGTCCCAGGGGTCGTTATAAGTGTTTGTGGCTCAGCGCGGAGATTGGGACGGATTCTCTGCGCCGAACGCTCGGAGTTGGGCACTGCACGAGGATCTGGCGGAGAGTAGACAGCAACAGCGGCTATGTTGACCGAGCTGAAGCCAGGCGCACGATGCTGCAGACCGAGCCAACAGCCACCAACGTGCAGGTCTAGCAGGGGCCAGCCCTGCTACAAAAAAGAGAGCGGAGCTAGAAAGGTACGACCGGCGATTTGTAGCTGCTGCATGGAAGAGAAGCCCAATTGGGCAGGTGGTGAGCGCGGCTCGCTAGGGAAAAGGGCATGAGGAAAGGAAAGGAAGCTTCCAGGCACCGGAGCACGAGGCGAGACCAGCTCGACCGCGAGATGTGGGCCAGGAACACGGTTGTCAGCGCGGGCACAATGGCACACGGGAGGGGGGAGGATGGTGGCAGGGAGTCAGGCGGCAGAAGGATTTGAGTCACAATAGGAAAGGCCAGACAAGGCTAGGCCGATGCACGTCCGGGCTGCATGATGCATTTGCATCCGCACAGTGACAGCACAGAGGCGGGAGAGGGGGAAAGAAGGCGTCTTGCCTCATTTGGTTTTGAGTTTGGAGCTAGCGTCTAGCATGAGTAGCAGCAGAGACGTGTGTCAAGCCACCCTGTCACTCCGTCTCACTGGATGATGTGCGGATAAACGGGCGCCATAAGCTGAAACGGTGTTCCAGGAGCATGGCGCGGGATCCACTTGGAAGCGTCTCGACCTGCCCCTTTTTTTCATATTCTTTTTTTTTCGATTTTTTGGGTTTTTAATTTTTCTCCGCGGCCGAAGCAGCCGGTATTGAGATTCCGCCTGTGCTTCTACCTGTACGACTCCGCTCGGTGTCTTCGGCAGGCAGTCATGCCAGCTTCTCTCGATGACTGTCATGGTGAAGGTCTAGCTCGAGGGGTTGAGTTGATGCAGAATCGTCAGTGACGAGCGTTGAGGATGTCCATCCAGGGTGCAACGCGGGAAGGTCTGCGATCCCGAAGAGGAAAGGATGCCCCGTCTTGGCGCGGGGAGCGAGTGACAGGTACAAGACATGCGTCTCGCCCGTCTCATCGCGAGGGTTTTTTGGGGGCACAGAAATTCGCGCCGACTGGGCGTGCAAAAGCCGCGAAGGTGGGCGTTGGCGCAGCTTCCCGTCGGGCAGCTCCCGCAGCCAAATTTTGGCACATTTGGACAAATCGTCGCAATTTCAACCGAGCTGTCCAAATCGGGCCGCAACTCGAGTCGCGTAGAGTCTACAGCTCGACCGCCACGGCGCATTGCACGCGGCACGTCGAAAACTGCACTGCACGTGCAAGCCTCGCCGAGGTGGCCTTCACTAGTACCAAACAGCGGCTAACAAACAGCGGCTATGTTGAAGCAACGCCGATGGATCGCCAGCATCGTATCGTGCATTCGGCCAATTGACCGGTGCTAGACGCTGGGAGCGTGGTCTCATATTTTCGGTGTCTCCTTTTTGCATCTGCTTTTCGTGCTGTTTTTTGATGCTCACGTTTTCGACCAAAATCGCACGTTGGACTCGACGGCGACCTGGCCATCGCCGATAGCTGAAACTTGCCGCCGAGACCCGCCTGATCCCGATGGCCGATTTTGAGCATGCAATCGTAACTCACAGACGACCTAACAAACAACTCGATTTTTCAGCATCGCCCACCGACCTTAGATCACAGGTCTAATCACAAGGCATCACTCCCAAAGCTGGCCGACCTTGGCATCATGATTCCACAACCTGCTTCGCTGCTGATCTTCCGCACGAGCATCTGTGAGAGGAGCCGACCGACAATGCCGACAACGCAGGGCGCCGGCATCGCAGCGTCGTCGGCTTCGGACCTAGGCTCTCCGTAACCTTGACCATCGATCACGCGCTCGACCACATCACATGGCGATGCACACCAGAGCCGGCCGGCATCGAGGGGAGCCGCGAGATGAGGTCGCTCTGCGTCTGCAAAAGTTGCACGAGTTGCATCGCCGGATTTCATGGCCGTCTCTTCATCTGTCGACTTGAGCCCTCGCCGGTTTCGCACTCCGCACTCTGCACTCCGCGCCGCCGGCAGCCGCTTGAACACCGCTGCTTGACACTTCCGCCACCATCCAACACCGTGCTTCCATTTCATGTGCGACATTCACGGCGGCATCTTTTCGCCACCGCCACGACAAGTGGGGTTATGGCTGTCGATGCAACATGGGTAAATTCCGCCGCACTGCCGCGTCAAGGCAATCGAGCAAAGCCATCCGAGCAAAGCCAAGCCGAGGGCATGCAGGTGCATAAGCGAGTTGCACTAAAAATGCTTCACAAAGACATCAGACGAGCTAGAGGCCCTACAACAGGCGGCACACCAATCGCCTCGAGTTGCAACAGATCTTGGCCGACGGATGCACCGGCACACCATGCTCCGTCGACTCCACCCGCCGCCGCCGCCGCCGCTTCTCCACTGTAACCGCCGGACGTATCTAATCCGCCCAATCAGCTCGTCGCTACCCCACATCCGCACGCCTTTCTTCTTGCCTCCTTTCAGCCCCGACCAATACAATGCTTGCGCGCCCAATCACGACGGCGCGATGGTGTGATTGCACCCCTGCAATGGCCATACATGCGCAGACTCCTTCAGACGACACAGACTCACACCACCCGCCGCCTCGGCCTTGTCCAGCCGAGCCTACCGCTGCAACGCGTTTCTCGGCTACCAAACAGTTTGATTCAACACAAAACGGCTACCCATCATTACGCACACTCCCCCTCCGCCGCTAGCCACTAGTCGGCCATGGAAGACCCTGATCCGCATCCCGGTCCTAGATCTCGCTTGCTAGCCCCCGCCGCAACGGCTGACCAAACGGGCGGTTGAAGCTTCGGCGCAGTCCCTTCCGCTTGCCGATTGCTCGTCGACGCCGTTGCACGCCTGGGCCATGATGCACGCTAGCCACGGCGTCAACGCTAAGCACGCATTCGAAGATCCCAGCTCGGCTCGTCATTCTGATTGCACTGCCGATTGTCCTGCACACCTGCCGCTTTGCCGCTCCTCTTCATCGTCGGCAACCGACCTCCTTCCGCGTGCGACTGTCGTCTCTGCCTCGCCGTCACATATATACCGCGTCTCACATCTGCTCCTCACAGATCGACGCATCCCATCCATTGGACATTTGTTGTACCCCTCCAACTCCACTCCACCTGCCCTCTTTGGACGGCCCCTCTCCCTCTAATCACCTTCACCGCGGCCGTCTTTTGACAACACCTCGACTCCCGTGCATTCGCTTCCACCATGAAGCTCATCACGGTCAAGGCACTGGTTGCCTTTACGTCGCTCGCCTTGATGGCGGATGCGGCGGCGGTGCGTCGCGACCCAGCCTCGACGCTCGTGGTCAAGGAGCAGGTGCCCGTGCCGGACACGTGGGTGCGTCGCTCCGACGCCGATGACCACCAGACCGTCGCTTTGCGCTTTGCGCTCCGTCAGACCGACGTCGCCGGTCTCGAAAAGAGGCTCCAGCAGACGTCGGACCCGAGCCACGAGCTGTACGGTCGCCACCTCTCGGCCGACGAGGTGTCGAGCTACCTGCAGCCGCACAAGCGCACCGTGGACGAGGTCGAGCTCTGGCTGCGCCAGGCTGGCGTCGAGATCGACGAGTCCCTCGCCAAGCGTTCGGCGTCCATGGACACCTTCAGCGTCAACGTGCCCGTGTGGAAGGCGCGCGAGCTGCTCAATGCCGATCTGGGCGTCTACCAGCACAAGCGTACCGGTACACTCGCCGTGCGCAGCCCCACGTACTCGGTGCCCGAGCATGTGGCTGATCACCTCGACTACGTCGGTCCGCTTACGCTCTTCACCGAGCCGCGAGCGCACAGCAACGACGTGGCCAACATCAAGGTGCTCATCGAGGACGAGGAGGAGCACGACTTTAGGAGCGCAGCTGCCAAGAAGGGCAAGCTCGACAACGGTCAGCCCGCGGCGTGCAACACGAGCGTCGTCACGTCCGAGTGCCTGCGCACGTTCTACAAGACCATCGACTACGTGCCCCGGGCCGCCAACAAGTTCAAGCTGGGCATCAGTGGCTTCCTCGAGCAGTTTGCCAACTTTGCCGATTTCTCCGGATTCCTCCAGCAGCAGCGTCCCGATGCGGCCAAGTCGTACAACTTTACCGTACAGAGCATCAACGGCGGTCTCAACACCCAGAGCATGCCCGGATCCGAGGCCAACTTGGATGTCCAGACCATGGGTGGCTTTGTGTACCCGATTCCGTTTACCTACTACACCACGGGTGGGTCGCCGCCGTTTGTGCCTGATCTGGCCACGGTGAACAACACCAACGAGCCGTACGAGCAGGAGCTCAACTATCTCATTTCGCTCAGCGACGCGCAGCTGCCCAAGGTGCTCAGTACGAGCTATGGCGATGACGAGCAGACGGTGCCCAGGGCGTATGCCGAGAGGGTGTGCAACTACATCATGGCGCTGGGTGCCAGGGGTGTTTCGACCATCTACTCGTCGGGAGACAACGGTGTGGGTAGCGACGGCAAGTGTGTGTCGAATGGTGCGACTAGCCCCAAGGGGACGAGGCAGTTCTTGCCGGCGTTCCCGGCATCGTGCCCGTACGCGACCACGGTGGGTGCCACACAGGGATTCGCACCCGAGGTGGCAGTGGGAGATGATATCGCAGGATTCTTCTCGGGCGGTGGATTCTCCAACTACTTTGGCATCCCGTCTTACCAGGCGAGCGTGGTCAACAAGTACGTCCAGTCGCTCGGAAGCCAGTACAAGGGGCTGTACAACAAGACCGGCCGTGGCTACCCGGATGTGGCCGCCCAGGGCTCGCTGTACAAGATCCGCATTGGCGGAAAGAACTATCTCATCGGCGGCACTTCGGCGTCGTCGCCCACTTTCGCCTCGGTCATTGGTCTGCTCAACGATGCAAGGATCGCAGAGGGCAAGTCGTCGTTGGGATTCCTCAACCCGCTGATTTACTCCAAGTGGATCGGAACCCCGGCGCTCAACGATATTACTAGTGGCAGCGCGGCGGGATGCAACGTCACCGGATTCCCCGCAAAGAAGGGTTGGGATGCGGTCACTGGTGCCGGTACGCCGGACTTTGTGGAGCTCCGTTCCAGGCTGCCTTGATCCCACCGTGTAGAGACAATTCAAGTTTCTGATTGGATGTGCAAAAGAATAGTGACAGAGTGCGAGGCGAGTTGAGAGGATGAGAGTGCGGCAAGGACGAGGACTTTTCAGATGGGGCGATGATGGGACGCACGCTCAAGGCAGCTGTCAAGGCAGCAGGCAGAAAGACGTGTGTTGAAAGAGGATGCTAGAAGTACAAATCGCGCGCAGGGGGGATGGATCGCTTAGGGAGACGCGCAGTCCGGAATGATGATGCCGTCCTTGAGCTTCTTGTTTGCATCAAACAGACCCCAATGCGCTTCGACGCCGCCATAAAGGGCGTCCTTCCAGGGCTCGTCGAACGCCTCAAAGATGAAGCTGGGCTGCAAGTTGGACTGGGTGACGTTGGCGTTGGACTGGCAGACGAAACTGGCGAGGAACGTGTTGAGTTCGGCCACACCCGCCGTTGCAGCCTGGTACGTCTCGAGCCGTGTTTCGTTTGCCCCCGTAGGCCATCCCGCCTCTGCCACGTAAAGCGTTGGCTTATTGGGTGCGGTCAACGCAGTCGAAGGTGCATTGGTATTGGTGTACTCGTACACCCATCCTGCAGCTTGGTCGACAGGAAGCCCTCCGAACCATGGATGGACGTTGGCCATGACGTAGTCGGCACCGGAAGCGAGCTGGAGCGTCACCATGGATCCTGCATCCGCCGTACCAATCGGGATGTACTTTCCGAGCCCAAGTGCGTTGACTGTAGTGTTGACCGTTTGGATGTGGGAGAGTAGCGTAGTGACTGATCCGCCGTTGAGGAGGAATTCGTTACCCACCGTTACGCCAGCAACATGATCCGAGCCGTACTTCTTGAGCGCAACTACGATTTCGTCGACTTGTCGCTGGAAGGTGGCGGCGTTGTCGTCGACCCATACGGCCAGAAACACCTGCATGTCGACTTGGGTCTGTTTGATCGCCTCGAGCACAAGCTGCGACGTATCACAGTCTGCACCGTACAGCCGCAGACGCGTGGTGAGCTGAGACATGATCTGGATATCCTCGGTCACATTCGACTGCGTCGCCCCGCAACCGGGATACTGAGCGTTGAAGGGTGTATAGCACAGCCCGTACATGGAGCGATGCAACCTCGGGTCTTTGGTGAACTTGCTTGGATCGTGCGGGTCCGATGCTACCGCCCCGGCCGTAGGCTTCCCACCCTTGCTTGTGCCGCTGGTGGAGGAGGAGGGAGGGTCTACGATGGTGGCGTTGGTGTTGTTGCGCGTGGCAAAGAAGATGACAATCGCACACACAATCGCAGTGACGACTGAGCCTACACCCACCATCCACTTTTTCTGCTTGAGCGTAAAGCGCGAGGGTTTGGGCGGGGTTACGTCGTAGACGCCATCGTTGGCTGCGAGTGCCGCCTGCTTGCGAGAGATGTACCGTTCGCGTGCAAGCGCCAGCGAGGTACGTGCGCCCTCGTGCTGCGCATCGTACAGCCCCCATGCATCCGAATCGCGCCGACTGTACAGGCTGTCCCGCTCGTCGTCAAAGCTCGCACTCTTGTACAGCGAGTCGCGGCTCTCGAACGACGGCATGTAGTGCCCGCCCGCCAGCGACTCGGGCGCCGAAGGCAGCGTGGGCAGGAAAGGGCTCTGGCTGATGTAGCCCGAGGGCGCAGCATGCAGCTCCTGCATCTCGTCCCTGTGCCCGCCGAGCGAGGAAGCATGGTGCGACGACGAGGAAGCCGACGAGCGGTACGGATTGTCGCCGCCGTACGACGACGTGTATTGTGGAGTCATGTTCGTGAAAGGTTCGTATGGTTCGTTATTCGTGACGATGGTGGTGACAAACAGAAGGATGGATGAGTGGGACAGGGGAAGATGAAAGCGAGAGCTGACGAGGAGGACAGTGCGGGTAGAAGCTCAACCGACTTTCAGGGACGCTTTGGTGGGGCGGTTGCGCTGGGTTGGCTGCTGCACCATGATGCCGCTGGGCTGCAGTCCGCTCAGGGGGCTGCATATGAAGTGGGGGGAGGGGGGGGCGGCTGTTGAAGCCCCTGTTTGAGCTTTCGCTTCGTTGTTTGACAGCTGTGCGCTGAGCTTCCACCTTCCGTTTCGGGAAAGTCGCACAGCAACTCAGCTGCAGCCCCTGAGCCGCGTCGGAAAATAAAATAGAAATAGAATTTCGCGCAGCAATTGGCGCTGCTTTCCAATGTTAAGCCTCGAACGCGGCTGTCACGTGGTTGAGGTGCACACATAAGCATGACTGGCTGGACACTCAAGTCGGCTCCGCTGCAGCGCCCGCGAGAAGAAAGTCGGCGGCGGCCGTGTGGGAAATTTGTAGCTGCTATCCTCCCTCTGCACCAGCATCTTGCTTCTCCTCGTCGTCCCGACACGCCTGCCACCGCACATCATGCTGCGCGCAATCGCAAGACAGTGCGCACCCGCCAGACGCCTCGTCGCATCCGATCTGCACGCCTCGCAGTTCGCCTCCACCTCGCTCGTGCGCCCACGCACCTTCGCCTCGTCCTCGGCACGATGCAACAGCGACGCGGACAAGTCGGCGTCGACACAGCAGCTCGAGTCGCAAGCATCGGAAGAGCCCAGCACGGATCCCTCACCAGCCGGCAGCGCCACCGTCTCGGACGCACTCCAGCGCCAGTCCTCTCAAGAAGCCGATGCGGATGCCTCTTCTTCTTCGAGCGGCAGGCAACCGGCGTCGTCCAACCTCGACGACATTCTCGGCTCGGTCTCTGCATTCTCTTCGCTTCCAGGTGCTGATGCTGCTGGTGCTGCCGGAGACGCTGCGGACGATGCTTCGGGCGCGTCGTTCCGCGATGCCGGTCGCAACGGTCCTGCCGTTCGTGGCGCCATGGCCTCGCGATATTCGTCTCCGCTCTTCTCCTCGTCCTCCGCCCAGCCGCACCGTCTGTTCGTCAACGCCAGCAGGAACAACACCATCCTCACGCTCACCTCGCCCTCGGGCGACCCGCTCGCCTCGGCCTCCGGCGGCTCCGTCGGCTTCAAAAAGGCCGCCCGCTCTGGCTACGAGGCCGGCTACCGCGCCGCCTTCGCCATGTTTGGCAAGATCAACGAGTTCAAGGACGCATGGCGCATCTCGCACCTCGAGGTGCTCTGGAATGGCTTCGGTCAGGGCCGCGAAGCCGTCTACCGTGCCATGCTCGCCGGAGAGGGCCAGGCCACCAAGAACCTCATCAGCAAAATGACCGACAACACCCCCGTCAAGATCGGCGGTGTAAGGCCCAAGAAGCGCCGCATGCTCTAGTTCCCTTTTGTCATCCTCGTGTACTTTTACCCCGTCCATACTCCATACAGTCTTGTGTTCACAGACTCTGTCTCTTCTGTCCGATGGGAGTGAGTCGAGTGATTGCTGGAGGGGAGGACCGGATCGGATCTAACATTTTTCGACTTTTTGAGCGGGAAGAAGTGCTCGCCGACTTCCGCACTCTCACAGCACAGACCACGGAGCGGACCCTGACTTGGCGTTGTGCGGCTTGCGTCTTCCCCTCCAACCCATCCCGCACCCTAGGAGCGCAAGCCTACACCATGGCAACGGCACAGCAGCGGTCGCCCTTATCGGAGCCGGGTCCATCCTCCCGTCTCGCGCCGGACGATGCATCGGCAGCCACCACAACCACGTCCACGCCACGGCCCATCGCATCACGAGTGCGCTCGGTGCTGTTGCAGGGCCCGCACGACGCCAAGCAGGTCAAAGCCGCACTCGATACTCTCGCGAGCATGTATCCCGTCTCGCCTTCCATTCTGAACGATCAAGACACCGGCAGACACACTGCAGCAAGCGCAGGCGGAGAAGAGCTGTGTCTGGTCGACACGGCGCGTGCGCGGCGCGATCTGGACGGCGATGTGCGCGCACGCATGCTGAGCGCGATGGACAGCATCATCGACGTGCTGAGGAGCGTCGACGATGGGCTCGTGCGGCTGTCGGACGAGGTGGCAGCCATGCATTCGTCGTGCGATGCGATGCAGGACAAGATCCAGTGCGCACACGATGCCAGTCGGCACCTTGTCGAGCATGCAGAGGGCTTAGAACGCCAACGCGCCGCCGCACTCGTCCAGATCGACGTCGCACAGCTCTTTCTGAATAGATTCACACTCACGCCGGTCGAGCGCGCGGCGATCGATTCGCGAGAGGTGCGTGTATCGACCGAACTCTTCCAGATCATGGACAAGCTCGTGCGCATCCGCACCGAGTGCCAGGTACTCTTACAGGGATCCGAATCCATACCCGCCTCCACCTCGGCCTCCTCAGCAGCCGCGGCGGCGGGTGGGGGGACACGTGCAGGCATGGAGATCATGTCGTCTACGGCGCACGATCTCGAACAGGCGTATGAGAAGCTGTACAAGTGGTGTTCGTTCGAGTTCCGCCAGCCCGTCAAGGAGGGTCTCGAAGTGTCGCCCAGCCTGCGCGAGGCCACGCGCCGCCTGCGCGAGTCGCGGCAAGACCTACTGCGCTCGGCACTCAAGACGCTCGTGCAGACGCGCAGCTCGATCCTCGCTAGCGCGTTCGTGGCTGCTCTCACCGTGGGTGCCGGTCCACCCACGTACCTTCCCGGTCCGATCGAGCTGCATGCACACGATCCCATGCGGTATGTCGGCGACATGCTCGCCTGGATCCACCAGACGGTCGCCTCGGAGCGCGAGTTTCTCACTGCGCTCTTTGACGAAAAGGAGGGCGAGGGTGGGCGGCGAATTGGACAGCGGAGACGTGGGCTCGAGGGATCGGTGGATCTGGGCGCTGCGGATGCAGAGTCGTTGCGGCTGGGCGCGGGTGAGGCGCTGGTGCGCGAGGTGCTCAACTCGAATCTCGACGGATGCTGTGGACCACTGAAGCTTCGTATCGGGCAGACGCTGCGCTCGCAGGAAGGCAGCGTGACATCCTACCGCCTCGCGCATCTGGTGCAGTTCTACCGCTCCACGATGGACAAGACCATCGGCTCGCGCGCATCGCTCAGCCGCACACTCGCCGAACTCGCCGAACTCGCTGTGGCCGCCTTTGCCGATACACTCACACGGCAGAGCAGGGGAATCGAGCGGTACGACGGCTCTATCGAATCGGATCTCTCGCCACCGCCACCGCTGCTCGCCACGCTGGGGACACTCAAGGAGCTTATGGGCGAGTTTTCGCGCTCGCTGGCAGAGGACGACGCGGCAGCACACGCCCAGGCTTCGATGGCACAGGCAGACGGGCCGACGCCATCGTTGGGGAGCTTTGAGTTTGTGCTGGCGACGCTGGTGGATGCGCTGGTGACGCTGGTGGTGCGTATGGCCGAGGCGCACGTTTCCAAGCGCCCAAGATCGCGCACGGAAGCGGCGGCGCGATGGGAGGCGCTCGTGTGGCAATGCAACTGCCTCGACGTGCTCGTGTCCACGCTGGGCGTGCACCCATTCGCCGCGACCAAGACCGGTGAGCTTCGTGCCCGGCTCGATGCGGCGCTGGCCGAGGTGGCGCAGGTGCACTCTGCGAATGTTTTGGCGCGCGCGGGACTCGCACCCGTGCTGGCGGCGATGGAAGCGGCGCAGGCGCCGGCGTCGAAGGTGGCGGGTGCGAGACAGGCCGAGGTGGTGCAGGCGCTCGAGCGGCTGGAGCAGTGTTTGGCGCACGACGATCTGCTCACGCCGCGTGAGCTCGCGCGTATGGCCTCGCCCGCCTCGCGACAAGATGTCCACCACACGGCACTCAAGAGCCTCACTCGGTCGTATCAGGTGCTCGTCGAGGCGCTCGCCGATCCGAACAACCAGTACGATGTGCACGTCAAGCGCTCCCCCCAGGACGTAGCCATCCTCCTCGGCCTCTAGATCTGATACCCCCTCGCAATGCACACACGGCTGCTACAGCAGTACGATTAGAAAAGCTCGAGACCGACGTAGGCAGTGAGGAGGGCGGTTGCAGCGGAAGCGATCAAGTTGACTGCATTGTTGCTGAGCACGTCGGCGCCAGTCACTCTTGTCCAGGCCGATGCAGCTTGTGAATGGGGCGCTGGACCGATGAGGACGCTCTTGGTTTCGGCATTGTAGAGCGTCTGTTGGAGTGTAGCGCCAAGCAAGCTGTCGATGAGCGATCCGGTGAATCCGGAGACGGTGAGAAGCGCAGTGAGCTTGAGATAGACCGCCGCTGGAACGCTTTGGGTGGACCCGTAGTGGGCAGCAAGCGAAAGCGACTGAACGACACCGATGAAGGTGCCTCCCAATGCCGAGACCGCCAGGCCTAGGGGTGAGATTCCGCCGTTGGTGCCCTTGGGAACGGTGCGCGATGGATTGGTCACGAGGCGTGGCTGCGATTTGGACAAGATGCCTAGTTCCGATGCCAGGGTGTCGCCCATGCACGCAGCGTAGTGACCAGCCACCACGAGCGTCAGTGCGAGGTTCGACACGCTGCACCGAGCAAGACCCACATCCAGCACCGCCAGTGTAGCCCTCGAGAGCGGGTCCGGCTTGCCCGCGTCGCCATTGAGCACGCGGAACGCAATGCACGCCACGACGGCGGTGAAGCTGTTGCACAGCACCTGAACGGCCGACCGGTTGCCGGACGAAGTGTCCCTTGCGGTCGACTTTGGTGAGGGTGCATGAGCGTGCGTTTCGAGCTGCGCCTTGAGCTGCGCCTTGTACTTGGTCGCTCTGGATCCGGCGAGGTAGAAGGTGATGAGCGTCAGACCGTAGCCGACGAAAGGATTGGCCATCGATGCATAGCCAACCGCCGAGGCGGTGAGTGCTCCATCGAGCGAGAGCGAGCCCTTGCGGTAGCCGGACCAGCCGAGGTACGCTGCAATGCCCAGCGGAATCGGATACGTGTTGACCATGGCGATGATGCAGTGATGGTGAGAGTGGTTCCCGCATCCGAGACCCTGACGAGGAGGGTCCGAGGCGAGGAGAATCCGCGGTGGAGCGGGTCTGTGCGCCGGCGCTTCTCAATCGCCGATTTCGCATCACTCACGCCGACCGATCGATTTGCAAATTTCGATGCTGTTAAGCCTGGTCATAAACGCCGCTGGCTCTTGGACTGCCATCTTGCGCTACTTGCAAGACCATGCATTCCGCTGCTTCCAAGACCATGCATTGGACATAGACGGCCGACGTTCGAACATCACAAGCACCGATGATTGGCCAGGGCATGGTCACGACGCATGGCTGATCACGCCATCGCCGCCAAGGTGGGCAAACCCACACGGCGTTGGATCATTGGTCAGCTTTGAGTGGGTTCCAGGAACGAGTGTGTGTGTGTGTCGGTGATGTTGTTTGTCGTTTTCAGCTGCGTGCGGAGGATGAAGGGTCAGGCCCAATGAGAGCGTAGCTGACTGTGAGAGCCGACTCGGACTGTTTGGTGAGGACGTGCGGGTATCTGTCCGGCTACTCGGAGCACCAAATTTTTGGTGTCGCAGGAATCGTCCAACGGCGAAAGGGCCGAAACCACTGCCAAAACGCAAACCGACAACCGACGGAATTCGAAATTGGCAGAATCGCGCGCATTTCTTTTCGAGTTTCGGAAACTTTCCTGCGACTTTTTTTTTCTTTTCAATTGGCTCGCCCCTGCCGCTCCTTCTTGTGCGACCTGCCTTCTTTGTGCGACCCACACTTGATGCCGCCGCTACTCTCGACAAGCCTTGCTCTCCATTGGACTTGTACAGCTCGAAGCAATGGCTGCTTTTGTGGTCGTTTGAAAAGACCGAGGCTGTATGAAAGCATAGGCAAACACAGAAACGCGCGTGCGGATGCAGGTGCGGGTACGGGTGCGGGCAAAAGGGGGGGCGGCAATTGAATCGGCGGGTGAGCGAGTGCGTGAGCCAGCGGAAGCGGAGTGAACGAGCATGCAGGATCTGGCGCGTTGCGGCTCGGAGCACTCTGATGCGATCCGCACCTCTGCGACAACCCAGCCCTTTGACCGATGCAGAGCCACAGCTTGCGTTCCGACCCGCACTCGACCCACGCTGAGCTGCAAGCGAGCTACGAGTCGCTTAGCCGAATTTCTTGGCCCGTCAATGCAAAGTCCATCCTCGCCTCGCTGCCCCACTCGCGAGTCGGTGCCCACTGGATCACGCGAGCACACCACTTTGTCCCACCAGTCGATGCAACAGTCTGAGCAACGCCTGTGCGAGAAGGGTCTCCACGCAGCAGTCACACACAAGAGGAGTGAGCAGGCTCGATTGACATTGTAGAGTGGGCGCAGTCGGTGCGCGCACATCCAACTCGGCTCAGAGCGTCAAGCGGCGCACAGAGCGGATCGCAAGACATGGGCGACGTTCGAGCTTCCAACTCGGACCGACCGGTAACACCGATACAGCATCGACATTGTGCGACGGCTCGACTGTCGGGTCACGATGGATACGTCTCTGCCATCTCTCTCGTCACGTTGGTGCGTTGGCATCGGCTCGCGATAAGCGCAATGCGGGGAACACCGCACGTCGTAACACACGACCAACCATTCGATAACGCTCCACACGCTCGTCATTCGGTGGCGTCGTGCTGATATCGGATTGACCACATCCGAAAGCTCGCTTCATCCAACCGTGGTTCGGGTCCCGACAGCCAGTTCACCGTACACTCCTGCTCTCATTGGCGCCCGCACAGACACTTTGCTTCCATGTGCTCCAGCCCTGTGCTTGCTTCCCACGTTCGTGCCTGACCATCGACCGTGCTCGCTCTCTCGGCCTTTCGCTTTTGTGAGCCAGCCCAGCTTCAAGGCGACCTTGCAGCTCGAGCCCCACGCTAGACTACAGGCCAGATTCATGCAACCCCAAGGCTTCAGAGAAAAGTCGGAGATAAAAAATAAATTTGATTTTTGCGAAAAGAACCCGCTGTCGGACAAAAAAGCCACTTCTGTCATTGGGGCACTTTGGCACTCTTGGCAGCGCCATTCGCCGGTCCGACCGTCCACAGACGCACAATCTCCGCCCCGCCGTTCTGGAGCGGTTGTGGTGGCAAGGGCAACTGACAGGAATGCCAACCCCGCCGCCAACCTGGTTGCACACTCGCAACATGCGGCATGGATTCGGCAATCCAAAGAGCGACCTGCACCTCTCCTGCATGCATGGCCCTGCGAGCACAGCAAACGTCTTGTACCTTCTTTTCCTGCCTCGCCGCCCTCCTCCCCCTCCTCGTCCTCGTCCTCGTGCTGTTCCACCAAGCTCGCCAAAAACTTTCCCTTTCCTTTGCGGGTTTTCATCCACCGCCGGACTAGACCGAGCCCGAACACTGCCAGAATACCCGACGGTCGGCTCCCATTCGCTCTTGCCATCCGCCGTTTACACAACAACGCCGGCGCACACCCGCAACTCCTACCGCCATTCGCCAGTCCTCTTTGTTCCTACGGCACTGTTGGTGTCGCGAGACCACGCCCGCAACTCGGCTCTTATCGTGCCTGCCGTCTTGTCCGATTCATCCCTCGCTTCCCATTCGCACCCGCAGCTGCAGCTCTATCSCGCGCGCGCGGACCCCATCTCCGGTCCAACCAGCCGCATGAGATCCGGCCCACATCGTTCCACGCCGTACTTGGCCTGCCCAATCAAAGCCCAAATTCCCAAGGCTGCTTGGTTCTCATTCGCTTTGCGCGTGCACTTTGCCTCTGCGGCTCTTGCGTGCTTTTTTCATTTTAGCCACTCCCGCACATCAGTCGCCCTCGCGCTCCTCCTCGCCCTTCGACCCTCGCCCCCCTCCCCTCCTCCTCCTTAAAGTGTCACCCGTCCTCTCCAACATCTTCCGCTCTCCCTCTCACCACCCGTCCCTTCCACCCCCTCCCTCACCATCAGCCAAGGTCCGCTCCCTGGGGAACATCCACCTTTTGGTTCGTTAGCCATGCCTCTCGACATTCAGGACGACGCCATCGCCGGCCAGGCCGAGGCCCAGCGCGATGCCTACGTCGCCGACGTCAAGGCCCACTCCGGCAAGGACGAGGCCCACCCCGTCGGCCACCTCGAGTCCGGCGTTCGCGTCAAGCCCGAGACCTCGGACGATGACTTTGTCGCCCCCACCGAAGATGACCTCGCCACCCTCCGTCGTGTGCCCGAGAAGCTTCCCTGGACCACCTACGCCATCGCCTTCTGCGAGCTGGCCGAGCGTTTCTCCTACTACGGCTGCGTTCAGGTCTTCCAGAACTTCATCCAGCAGCCGCGTCCCGCCGGCAATCGCGCTGGTGCCGGCGGCGCTGACAACCAGTCCGGTGCCCTCGGCGAGGGTCAGCAGGCCGCCACTGGTCTGACCACCTTCAACACCTTCTGGGTGTACTGCATGCCGATCCTCGGTGCCTACCTCGCCGATACCCGATGGGGCCGATTCAAGACGATTTGCATCGCCGTTTTCATCGCGCTCGTCGGACACGTCCTCCTCATCGTCTCTTCCATCCCCACGGTCCTCGACCACCCTGATGGCGCCATGGCATGCTTCGCCGTCGCCATTGTCGTCATGGGAGTGGGTACCGGCTGGTTCAAGTCAAGCGTTTCACCGTTGATCGCGGAGCAGGTCAACGGATCCAAGCAGTCGGTCCAGACGCTCAAGACGGGCGAGCGCGTCATCGTCGACCCGGTCCTGACCATTAGCCGTATCTTCATGTACTTCTACCTGTTCATCAACATCGGTGCGCTCGGTGGTCAGCTCGGCATGTCGTTTGCCGAGAAGTACGTCGGCTTCTGGCTCGCCTACACGCTGCCCACCATCGTGTTCGCGCTGTGCGTGCCCGTGCTCATGTTCGGCAGCAAGTACTACGTCAAGACGCCGCCTTCCGGCTCGGTCCTGGGCGAGTGCCTGCGCCTCTGGTCGTTTGCCACCAAGGGCCGCTGGACGCTCAACCCCATCGCCCTGATGAAGAACATGCGCGCCGACGACTTCTGGGAGAACGCCAAGCCGTCCAAGCAGAGCGCCGAGACCAAGCCGCGCTGGATGACCTTCGACGACGCCTGGGTCGACGAGGTGCGCCGTGGCTTCAAGGCCTGCACCGTCTTCCTGTGGTTCCCTCTGTACTGGCTCACCTACAACCAGATCACCAACAACCTCGTCTCGCAGGCTGCCACCATGGAGGTCAACGGCCTGCCCAACGAGGTCGTCTCGAACCTCGACCCCTTTGCGCTCGTCATTCTCATCCCTCTGTTCGACCTCTTCCTCTACCCCGCTCTGCGCAAGGCCGGCATCAACTTCACCCCGCTCAAGAAGATCGCTCTTGGATTCCTCACCGGTGCGCTCGCCATGGTGTGGTCGGCGGTTGTGCAGCACTACATCTACAAGACGTCGCAGTGCGGAAAGAACGCCGCGTCTTGCTACGATATCAATGGCGATGGCATCGCTGATCTCGGTGCCACCGGCAAGGAGGACGGCGCTGTGTACGTGCCCGCTCCGCTCAACGTGTGGATCCAGTCCGGTGCCTACATCCTGATCGCCGTCTCCGAGATCCTTGCCTCGATCACGGGTCTGGAGTACGCCTTCTCCAAGGCACCCAAGTCGATGCGATCGCTCGTTATGTCGATGTTCCTCTTCACCTCGGCCATCGCTGCTGCACTCCAGCAGGCTTTCATCGCGCTCTCGTCGGACCCCAACCTGGTGTGGAACTACACCGTGTTTGGCGTCCTGGCCTTCCTTGGCTTCATCGGTTTCGTGTGGGCCTTCAGGAAGCTCGACTCGCAGGAGGACGCGCTCAACCAGCTCGACGCCGGCGAGGTGCACGCCGTCGAGGCCTCCGAGTCGTCTCACCACGAGAAGGCCTAAAAAGAGGATCCCCCAACCTTGTACTCTATCCTTGTCACGTTGCTGCGTTTTGCTGCATTGCTCTTATCTATCTGCATGGGATCTGCCGCAATGGAACCAGATATACCTTCCGATTTACTTTGTGTGTGTGTGTGTGTGTGTGTGGAGTTGTGCAATGCATGTCGACGAAGTAGGCTTGGTGTCAGGTAGGACAAGGGCAATTGCTGTGCGGGTGCGCCGGAAGGACACGTGTTAGAGTCGTACAAAACACAAAAGCCGAGAAAATTGCGGGGCGGGGACCCTGACGGTTGCGTGTGGCGGAGTGAGAGAGAGAGAGCCACGTTGGCCGTTTGCAACACGGAGGAGGTGCTGATGCCGGCAACCTTCGCCAAGGTCGTGCGAAGAAGATTGGCATTGCCGCCCCAACTCGGCTCACCACCACCAATCTGTCGGCATCCTCTCGACACCGACCACCGCGCAACGCATTACGCTGGCGAGTCGCGAGCTGTCCTTGCTCTTCAAGCTGGCATCCTCACTGTAACACGCGCAGCCGTCTTCAACGCCCGAGCTGGTCTCGGTGACGGGCTGCCTACTGCTTGACGGGTCGCTGTCGCAGCGTTGATAAGGCCATGTCGTCGCCCTACACCACCACGCCCGATGCGCGGTCGCGCGGCAAGGTGCGAATGGATCCACTCGCCGCTTCGTCGCGCTCCGGCAGCACGGGATCGAGCTCGCTGCTCGGTTTCCCCATCCCCACGGACCTGCTGCTCGGCCTGCTGCTCAACAAGACGCTGCTCGCCTCGGCGGCGCTGCTCGTGCGCTCATGGCTCTCGTCCACCCACACCGAGACCATGCATTCCGTGCTTGCGTCCGACGTCTCACCCGCGGGGACCTCGTCCGACCTCACATCGTCGATCGGCACAACGATGGCGGCAAGAGCGGGCCCCAGCTCATGGGCCATCGCCACGCTGGTGTTTTTCATCGCGGCCCTTGTGCAGGGGGTGTGGTTCAAGGCATGGCAGTGGCTGCCTGCGGTTAACCGCGTGGATAAGCGTAGGCTGTCAATTCTCGCCGCCATCACGTTTGCACAGTTGCTCGTGTGGCTCATGGCGCTGCGCAAGCTGGATGCGGTCAACGTGATCATCTTTACGCAGTACTGCGAGATCTGGGCGGTGGATCTTGCAAAGAGCTTAGGGGGTAGGAGCTACGGCGGCTACACGACGCTCTTTGCGCTCGCCATCTCGTTTCTCTCGTCCATCTCCAACTCGGCGTCGCTGCCGTCGTCGACGCTCGAGTACTCGGCGCATATTCTCGACATGTATGCGGATGCAGATCTGCCCGACAGCCTGAGGCGCAATCGTCCGGCGGGGCTTGCGTCGCCGTCGCAGCTTCGTGCAGCTTCGGCGGCGGTAGAGGCTTCGGCCGCCAGCTTCAGCGTGTTAGGCACGCTTACTGGACACGCCTTCCTGCTCGTCTTTGCGCTGCTCACCATCGAAAGGGAGAGCGCGCTGCTCAGCGCGAGCAGAGACACGGGCGGTCGGAGGAGGGCGGGTATTGTGGCGACCATCGTGGCGTCTGCGTTTACGCTGCCGGCGTCGCTGCTGCTGAGGCTGTTTGGCTTTTCGACGCTCCCCTCGCTCGACTCGCTGCTGGCCTCGACGACGGGAAGCACCACGACGAGCGTGGGCCACCTTCCCGCCTACCTCGCCATCAGCTTCGGCGCGGTCATTCTCGAGCCACTCGTGAGCACCTCGATCGAATCGCACGCGTCCACCAAGGATCGCGTCGCGCACGGTTGGCCGCTCGCCGTGCTGGCGTCGTTCGCCATTGGCTTTGTTGGATTTGGCTATCGTCCGCTGTGGTCCCAGATTGTGGTTGCGCTGCTTGTGGGTCAGGCGCTCCGCACCATCCTCAAGAACTCGCCCGATCACGCTTCGTCGCGCTTCAGCTCGTCTGGCGCCGAGACGGAGGCGACACGGTCCGGCAATGTGGCGGGGAAGACGTCCGATGTTTCCGCGTTGCAGGAGCTGGTCGAGTCGATGTCGTCGGCTGCGACGGCCACGCGACGCACGGTCAAGGTGATTCTGGCCAACCCGGACTCGCGCAAGATCTTCCAGTTCCTCATGCTCAACCTCGCCTTCATGGGTGTGCAGCTGCTGTGGGGAGTGTGGACCAACAGTCTGGGCCTGATCAGCGATGCCATCCACATGTTCTTTGACTGCGCAGCCATCGGGATGGGCCTGTTTGCGAGTGTCATGGCGACTTGGCCTACGGATTCCACCTTCACCTACGGCTACGGACGCGTCGAGACGCTCAGCGGCTTTGCCAATGGCATCTTTCTCATCCTCATCTCGATCTTTATCGTGTTCGAGGCGGTGCAGCGCATCATCGAGCCGCCGGTGATGAACAGCAATACGCAGCTGCTGATTGTCAGCAGCATGGGTCTGGCCGTCAATCTGTTTGGTATGTGGGCCACCGGCGGTCACCACCATCACGGCCACTCGCACGGCCACGGCCACGATCACGGTCATGGGCATGGTCACGGACATGACCACGGCCACGGCCATTCGCACAACATGATGGGCGTGTACCTGCACGTCATGGCCGACACGCTGGGTTCGGTGGGCGTGATCATTAGCACGCTGCTGATCGGACAGTTTGGATGGACGGGCTTCGATCCGATCGCATCGCTCTTCATTGCCTTTATGATTGTGGGCTCGGTGATCCCACTCGTGCTCGAGTCTGGGCGCATCCTGTGTCTGGAGGTGGGGGAGCATCGCGAGGCTGAGATGAGCGAGGCGCTCGAGGCTCTGCGCAGCATCAACGGCGTCGTCTCGTACCATTCGCCGCGCTTCTGGCCCAAGGACGCAGAGACGCTCGTGGGCGTCATCCGCGTGCAGGTGGTGTGGCCTCTGCACGGCGAGCATGCGCATGCGCATAGCCATGATCACAAGCACGACCACGATCACAAATACGATCATAGACACGGCCACGACCATAGTCACGGCCACGCGCACCACGATCATCGTGGTCACGATCATGGACACGACCATGGACACAACCACGGACACGACCACGGACACGGACACGCCCACGCGAGCGAGCACGACTCGAGCACGGCAGCCACACCCGAGGCGATGGCGCGACAGATCGAAAACGTACTCAAGGCCCGCATCCACGGCCTGGACAGCGTTGCCGTGCAGCTGGAAAAGGTGGCGGGTGGTGCGACTGGCACAGGATCGCCCGGAGGCGCCACGCCCATGTCGGCATCGCCTTCGTACAGCAGCGCCTACGAGGGCAGCCCATTGGCTGTGCGCAGCAACGGCGCCCATGGCCTGTCACCCATCACGGCGCATCGCCATCATCATTAAAGCTTGACACCGTCTCTGTACGAAACATCTTTGCGCAACTCGTCGTGCTGTGTACAGTGAGCGGCTGAGCCAGAGCTGAGGGCGCAAAAAGTCGCAATTTGTTAGATCCACCAAATTGGGCTGCGGATGAGCGCATTTCGACGCTTGGGCCAGGTGGATGGCGGGCAGGGTGATGACTGCGCAAACCTCCACACAGAGAGCGATACCGGTTTACCACCATCCACTTTTTGGCAGCAGACGCTCGATTTGCCACAGGGGACTTTACGAAGCAACAAAGCAGCAACGCCATGTCGAACCAGTACTCGTACGGCGGAGGTGGAGGAGGCGGATACGGAGCACCTCCGCCTGGCCAGCAGGGCGGATATGGTGCGCCTCCTCCCGGTCAGCAGGGAGGGTACGGACAGCAGCCACCTGGTGGTGGATACGGCGCGCCCCCGCCTGGTCAGCAGGGTGGATACGGAGCACCGCCTCCCGGTCAACAGGGCGGATATGGAGCGCCTCCTCCGGGCCAGCAGGGTGGATACGGCGGTGGTGGCGCACAGCAGTCGTCGTACGGAGCGCCGCCTGGGCAGGGATACGGCCGACCTCAGGTGTACAACTCGAACACGGGACCTCCTCCGGGAGCGGATCCGCAGCTGTGGCAGTGGTTCATTGCGGTGGATCGCGACCGCAGCGGCCAGATCAACCCGCAGGAGCTGAGCCAGGCGCTGGTCAATGGCGACTGGACGCCGTTCGATCTGGACACGGTCAAGATGCTGATGAGCGTCTTCGACGTGGATCGCAGCGGACACATCAGCTTCAACGAGTTTGCCGGGCTGTGGAAGTACATCCAGGACTGGCAGGGCGTCTTCCGCCACTTTGACCAGGACCGTTCGGGATCGATCGACCAAAACGAGCTGGCGAACGCGCTCCAGTCGTTCGGCTACCGACTTTCGCCCAAGCTGCTGCACATCGTAACGCAAAAGTACAGTAAGTATGATCTCCAGCTCGGACAGCGGGCGTGTAGCGCGACCTGACACTGACGGCTGACGTGATGGATCCAGCGATTTCCGATTCTGCTTCGGGTGGTGCAGGCGGCATGGCGGCGAGTGGACCAGGCGGCAGGGGTGCAGCGGGCATCACTTTCGACCGATTCGTACGTGCGTGCGTGGTGATCAAGACGCTCACCGAGTCGTTCCAGCGCCACGACACCAACCGCAGCGGATGGGTGCAGATCAACTACGACACGTTTATGGAGATGTGTCTGTCGGCGCCCTGATAGCACCAGCCCTCGCGTTCGCTTCTCTCTCCCTTTTCTCGCTCAGTCTGTCTTGCGTGCTGGCAAATGTATGTGTATTCCTTCTGATGTCGTCGAGGCTGTGTGGCTGAGTCGTTGAGCTTGCGGGTGAGGCTTCTTTCAGAGTGGCCAAGCGATGCCGACAAAGCGTGCGGAAGGCAGAAAGTGCGAAAGTTGAGTGCAGAAACGCGATTTCGAAGCGGCCCAATTTTTCGACGAGGGTTCAGCAGGCGTCGGGCTTTGTCCGAAGCCAAACGGCACTTGGACGTGCACTTCGGACGAGCCGATGCTCACTCACCGCCATTCCCACCGTGCGAATGCTGTCGGAAGGGCCGGTCATCATCCTCTTCACCTCAGCTTGGGACCTGTCACGCCGCTCATCACAACTGCTAAAGCTCGCGCGGCTCTCCCGCACCGCATCCCGCGACTCAGCACCACCATCCATGTCGTCTCGGTGATCACTCGAAAATCCGCTGGATCCCGCAGTCGGGCTAGCTTTCCAATCATGGCAGCCGGGATCTTTGCCTCGCTCTTCGCTGGATCGGCGCCGTCAGACAGCCTCCCGCCTCAGCACCATGACTCTGTCTCTGTCGAGCACCCAGCATCAGCGCCCAAATCCGACTCGCCCAAATCCGACTCGGACTCGGACATCGTCATGGACAGCCAGACGGTCAGTGCCAGCGTCAATAACGAGGCTCAGGAGGTCGCAGACGTCGACATGCAGCTCTCGTCGCCGCCCAGCTCGGCGCCTCCCAGCGCACCTACAACACCACAACATCCGCCATCACGCCCAGCTCCGCCACCGGAACGCACGGCAGCAACGACGACCACCACGACGCAGAGAGCTTCGCGCAGGCGCACCATGCCCGCACGTCTATCCCAGGTATCCTCGCTCCTCGCTGGATCCATGCTCGAGGAGGAACTGCTCATGCTCGATTCAGCTCCTTCACCATCCTCTTCTGCTTTTCCGCACAACGGGTCATCTGCACCGACATCCTCCAGCGGAGCAGGCGCACCCGTCCTGGACCGCCCAGCCTCCCGCTCTCACGTCGCCAACCCAATCTCGATCATAGTGCTCACCTCCGACGCAAAGCTCATCGAAAGCGCAATCTATCCGCATGCGCCAACACAGCCCGCCATTCCGTTACCGCATCCCACGAGCATCAAGCGCGAGGCACAACCCACGGACCTCTCCTCGTCCACGCCGCCAGCCAACCAGCCTGCATCATCGGCGTCATCCTCGATCGTCTCCACCCTGGCCATCAAGCGACAGCAGCTCATCGAGACGCCCGACTTCAGGCCGCGCGACGACACCCTCTACATGCCCAAGACGCGCGGCCTCCGCTCCGAAGCCGCAGAGGACACCTCCGACGCCGCCTACGAGCGTCGCCATCGCAAACCAGAGACGGCCGAAAAGAAGCAGAGAAAGGCAGAGGTGGATCGGCTCGCTCGCGACCGTCAGAAGCTGCTCGCACGCATCGACCAGATCAAAAACGCAGATGCGCGCATGCTCCAGCCTATCGTCATTGCGAGAGACCAGGTACGGGCAGAAGCCTCCACCGAAACCAAAGAGCCCAAGCACGACTCCCCTTCGAGTCGTAAGCCGCTCCATGATCGCGTCGAGGATCTGCGACGCGAGCTGCTCGCCGATGCATACGATACGCTCAAGCGCTACGACCTGCTCCTCTCCACCACCGACCATGCCAAGACCGCCTCGCCCGCGGTCCCGACCTTGCCCACCAAACCGGAGCCCATGGCCCGTACGTCCACTTCGGCGTCCAACGAAGATGGCGGTGCGCGCAGCGAGTCGCCAAGGCTCAAGATCCGCATCAAGCGCGGTCAGGCCACCTGGGACACCTCGGAAAGCCCCAGCGACACGTCGAAGAGATCGTCGATCGCGCTCGGCAAGGCGGATGTATCGCGCAGAGTCAGCTCGCGCCAGCCAAAGCACAGGGTCGACAGTCTGCCCACCCCGCTCACCGCCGCCGCCTTCGAGGAGGCCCAAGACAAGCGGCGCAAGCGACGCAGACTTTCCAGCTCCAACGTCGATGATAAACGGCAATCACAGACGGAAGCGTCCATGTTGAAAAGGCGCAGCAGTCCAGAGACCACGCCTCAACAAGACAACGGCGCCGCTTCTTCCGCACGGACCAGTGGTCGCCCGCAGCGCGCCGCTGCCGCTGCGGCTGCCGTCGCCTCGGCACGCCAGCGCCAGAATGCCGAGCGCTCCTTTTCCGATCTCGAGTACGACGAGGTCGAATCCGTGCTCGATCTCGCCGACCGCTCTTCCACAGCCACTCCGAGAAAGGCGTCGACAAGACGCGACAGTCTCAGCCTTCGCCGATCCCCGCTCAAGCCTCGTGAGCACCGATCTGCGTCCGAATCATCAACGACTTCGTCTGCCTCGTCGTTCGCGTCGTCCATCGGCTACCTGGGTCCCACCATCCCCGACACGGGCTCGCTCAAGGTGTCGTCGTCGCTTAGCGAGATCCACGCTGCTGATCCAGACGCGACTCTCGGGCCGGCGGCAAGTTCGTCGCCCTCCAGACTCGACGCGGGCGTCGAGGTTGCCGAAGCTTCAGTGGACAGCAAGGAAGAGCTTGAGGAGGATCCAGATGCAACCGATTCCGACTCGGACCGCGAGATTGCCAAGCGCGAACGAGGGCGTGGGTTTGCGGGTGCACTGACCGAGAGCGAGGCCGAGAGCATCCTCGCCGCTTTTCTCGGCACCACGCCCGGTGGCAGAAGCGGTCAAGGCGTGCCCGCAGTCAAGGCTCCTGCGCCCATGGCCACGCCTGCGCCTACATCCACTCCACGCCCACCGCAAAGCGCTGCACAGTCAACACGCCGTTCCACCCGGCGTGAAACCACACAGTCGTTCGGAGAAAAGCTACCCGACGTCCTCACAAAGGCGGCGCAGTTCGACTTTGCCGTCATGCAGTATCTGCGCTCCATCGAACGTCCGCGCCCAGCGTCCACGCTGCAGCCCAAGCAGCGCTAGCAAGCTCGAGCCCGACTCATCTTTCCTCCCTCCTCACTTTCGCTCTCGGACTCATTTTGCAACAGCAGGAGGCTCCTTTAATTCATTCTTCCCCGGGTCTTTCTAGGTGGCATAGGGACGAGCGGATCGGGGCGATCAGTGGCCCTGTTTCATGGCCCAGATCTCGAGCTTGCGCAGCAGACCCTTGAGGTTCTTGCCGCCCTTGTTCGAGTTGGCTTCGAGCCAGGCGTGCATGTTGTCGAGGCACGACTCGAGCTGAGCTAGGACGGCGGTCTTGTCGAGCGCCTCGGGTTGGCCGTCGGCAGAGCGCGGTTTGGGGTTGAGGCAGACGTGGAAGAGGCTGTTCCACAGCTCCGACTGCCAGTATCGCTTCATGGGGCTGGTGAGTTTGTAGACGTGGTTGTCGTGGCTCAGGTCCATGTATCGACCGAACAATAGGCAGTGGGCGATGGCAGCTACACCGAACCAGTCGGTTTCGAATGTGAAGCTCTCGCCACGACGCATCTCGAGACAGTCCTTGGCATCCGTGTCCCAATCGGCAATAAACGCCTGCGAGGGGTCGTCAAAGGCAGTCAGGTCAATGGCGCGGCCAAAGTCAATGAGCGTCAGACCTTTGCTCGCCCATCCAGCCGAGCCATCGCGCGCGTAGAGGTTCGACCACGCACTCGCCGGTGAGACGTCGCCAAGACGCAAGAGACAGTTGTCGATCTTGAGATCGCCGTGAATCACGCCCGCACGATGCATGCCCAGCACAACGCGCAGCAGCTCGGTGACGAAAAACATGGCCAGCACCTCTTCGAGCCCAGCGCCTCCACCTGTCGTATCGGCACCCGACGAGCCGGCGGCCGCAACACCCGCACTGACGGCGTGGTTGACCACATCGAGCAACGTGCCCTTCTCGCCCAGGTCGAGCATGAGGAACGACGCATCCGAGTAGCAGTACAGCTTGCGCGCCGCAATCACCGAAGGCTGCAGTGCAGCCGGCAGACGCAGCTGCAGCTGGCTCAGAATGTGGAACTCCCACCGATTGGCGGGCGCCTCCACCTTGATGGCCACCTGCTTGCGTCGGTCCGCGTCGTCATCCTCGTCGTCTTCCTCATCGTCGTCCGCGTCGACATCGTCGCGATCGGCGCTCCTGTCCGCAGCCTTGGCTGTGGCAACCGAGTCCACATCGTAACCGAGAAAAACGGCGCCATAGCCTCCCTCTCCGAGCTTGCCTCGGATCTCGAACGCGTTGCCGCCAATCTCGACCTGGAAGGGCGAAGACAGCATGCCCGTGCCGTGGAACACGGTACCGCCCATGCTCTTGCGCGTCATCTGGTTTGAGGCCAGGCTCGACTTGCACTTCTTCTGCAGCTGTTCGAGCAGGCCGTCTGACATGGTGCCAGCCAAGCCAACGAATCCCGGTCGGCTCTCGACTGGCTCGTCGAGTCGTGCCAGGATCGCATTGAGTACGTCGGGATCCACGGGCGAGCACGGGTTGGGCGGGCAGAAGCCGGCGTCTTTGGGCGCACATTCTTCCAGCTGCTCTGGCGCCTGCTCTTCGGTCGCCGCCCGGTCCTGGATGACGAGCGACTCGTCAAAGTCGCCCTCGCTCTCGTCGCCCTCCTCTCCAGCTGGCACGCGGATGGTGAGGCCCTTGGTCAGCTCGAAGCTCGCCTTGTTGGCCGCGGTCCATGCAGATCGATTGGCGTCTTCGCCCGACGTGGACGCGAAGCTGCGTTCGTCTGATGCACCCTGCGAGTCGTCGGCAAGATTGGCATCCTCAGCGGGGGCAGCGCCGCGCGGAGCGATCGGGCCGCTGATCAAGATGTCTTTGGCGCCGCCGTTTCCATCGTATTGCTCGTCCTCGTCGTCCTCGTCATCGTCGTCATCCTGTTCCGTCGCGTGCCACGCCTTGAGCGCAGGACCGATGGCGGAACGCGTGGCAGTCCCGGGCGTACGCCCGTTGGTGTAGCGTGTGAACTCGTACGTCGCCTCGGTGATCGGCGTGAGCGGCTGGAACTGCGGCCTGAAGAGATGGTCGTTGCCCTCATAGCCGTCAGCCGCATCCGGATGGCCATCGATGGGCTCGCCGTTCTCGTCCACGGCGTATTGCTCCTCCTCATCTTCCTCCTCCTCTTCTTCCGCCATAGGCTCGACCCATCGGCGACTAGCCGACTGGCGGCTGGCCGGCATAGGCGTTGCTAGCACGGCTGGGTTGTGATCAGCATCGGCCACGGATGCAGCAGACGGACGGGGTGGAGAGCTGGCTTCAACAGTCTGTTGCGGCTCGTTGGGTTGAGCCTGCTCTTCGGGGGCGCGAAGCTCGCTGTACTCGTCGTCCTCTTCGTCCTCCTCGCGATAAACGGGCTTGGCGCCTAGGGGTGCTGGTGCGGCCGTCTTGGATGCGAGCGGCGTGCGCATCGGTGTGGCGCCACCCAAGCCGAGCCTGGGAGCCTGCGCGCCCGGAGTACGGGAGGGAGTGGCACGCACGCCGGCGTTCTCATCGTGCTGGCCCGCAAACTTGGCGAGGAGGTGGGGTCGTGATGACGGCGTCGGCGTGGGCGGCACATCTGCCGCCGAGCCGAGGCTGACGCGCATGTGCGCTGGGCGGGAGACGCTGGAGAGGGGCGCGAGGTAGTCGTCATCCTCTTCGTCGTCGTCGTCGTCGTCTTCGCTGCTGTCTTCGTCCGAGTCGCTGTCTTGGCCATTGAACATGTTTTCCACCTCGAGCAGCGTGGCCTTTGTGACAAGGGTCGGGCTCATCCTGGTCTTGGTGGTGTTGTCGCCATCACGCTTCTTCTTCTTCTTGAGTCCCGGGCGAAGGTTGAGCGCGACTGCGTTGGCGACAGAGTTGTCCGGGTCAAAGACGTCTCTGGAAGGGAACATGCCCGTAGTCTGATCGATCTGAGCGGTTTCCGTGGGCTCGGGTTCCGCACGCCGTGACGAGGAGGCTTTCGGAGCATTTTTGGGCAGCCACTGTCCGACGAGCTGGTCGAGGTGTGTCCACGGGTCGGAGGCCGATTCGAGGGATGCGGCCGGCTCCCATCCTTCTACGAGGGCGGGAAAGCCTCGTGCGCGTGCCATGAGCTCTTCCAGCGTCAGTTCGCTCTGCCAGCCGTTGCGAGAGAAGAGGGCTTGCTGGGCGTCGGATCGAAACGAGGGATACATGTCGGCCACCGGAGCAGCGTGCTTCTCTCGCTTGGTCCCGGCTACGGGAGCTGCAGAAGCTTGGGCGCTCGACTTGCTGGAAGAGGAGCTGGCTTGCGTGGATCGCGAGACGGTGGTCTTTGTGCGGTGGCGCTCGCCATGCGAGCCAGAGCTGGACGAGGAAACCTTGCGCGAGGCGGACGCACTGTCCGAATCGGGGCGCAGACTGGCGGGGTCGGGGACGCGCTTTGCATCTTTATCCCAGTAGGCAAAAGGGTCGCTACGAAGCAGATCGGTCTCGCTGGAAGCCTGTTTGCGGCCGAGGCCAGCCGCGTGCTTGGCAAAGTGGTCCTTGGGACTCAGCACACCTTCGGGTTTCGGGGTGGCTGGGACTGGGTTGGCTTCGTCATCGTCATCATCGTCGTCGTCGGAATCTCTAAAGACGGCCAGACCGGAACCAGGCTTTTTGGAAACGCCGCCCGAAGCTCCAATCTTGAAGCTCTTGGCGCCGGCAAGACGATCCGCCTGTACGTTTTCCTGGTTGCGGGACGCGACGGTGCCGATATCTTCCCAGCCCTTGGTGCTGCTTGCGTGCGGCCTGGATGCCGAAGCAGGTGCGCGGTCGTCGTCGTCGTGGAAGACGTTGAGTCTGCGACCGTTGTTGGTGGAGGGAGTTGGAGTGCTGTTGCCGATCGCACCGATGGTGGCGCCTGCGCCTCTGAGGACGTTGGCGGCGTGGCTACGGGCGGGACCGGAGGCGGCTTCCTTCTGACCGAGCATGCTGCGTCCAGCGGTGACCATGGCCGCTTTGAGAGCATCGGCGTAGTTGACGACGAGGCCAGCGGCGGAGGAGCCCGGCGCGTCTACGGAGGACTGATGACCGAGGATGATGCGTGTCTTGTACTCTTCGTACCTGCGCTTGATGCGGTCGATGGGGTTGGCTCTGCGTGCGATGCCGAGCTTGTACATGGCATCCGCCTCGTCGTACATGCGCTGTCCCTCGAGGACGACGGCGAGCTCCTCGTAGAGGCTGGCGAGTTTTGTGCCGATTTCGTTTGCGAGGAGGAAGTTGTAGACGTCGCGGGCGCACTCAACATTTCTGGCGTAGAGGATCCAGAGACGCAGATACCTGGGGTCGTTTGTATACTGCTCCGAGTCCTTAAAGTGGCGCGTGGCACGTTCGAGCAGGGGGATGAGGCCCGAGTCGTGCGTCTGTCCGGAAGGGTAATTGTCGATGCACCACTTGACGTACTTTGTCCAAGCGTCGAGAGGGTCGTCGGAGTCGGCGTTGTCTGCGGAGGTGACGACGCTCTCGTGCTCTGCGCGCTGCTGGGCGAGGAGCGCCTGCCTCTGCTTGTGCTGCATGCCGAGGGTGTTGGAGAGTGCGTGTGCGGATCTGCCCTTGGCGAGGGGCTGTACGTTTTCCTTTTGGGACTCGATGGCGCGGAAGTCGATGATAGGAGTAGAGGAGGTCTGTTCGATCTTGGATCCGCCAGGTGTGCGGAGGGGAGTCTTGTGTGGCGTGACGCCCAAGGCCAAGGCGTTCTTGGACGAGGGCGTGGTCGGAGCCTTGCGCGGCGTGACGGCGGGCGGACCCATGCTGGACGTACCTCCGACCATGATGGGCAGCGTGCACAGCCGGACGATGGGTGTTCTTGAGGAGGATGTGGGTGAAGGAGAAGGGCAAAGGTGACGATGGGCTCCTCCTTCCCAACGGCTATGCTGCGCCGTGCCATGCGGTGACTTTCTGCGGCTTTTTCGAGTGTTGGTGCGCGTTTGTTTGGTGCTGCGCGCCGGGTGTTGCTTTTGGCCAGCCTCCACCGCGTGCGGTCACGTGAATTTTCACCTCCACACCAGAAATTGAGAAGCGGCGGCAAATCAGCTAAACGCGACACGCCGTGCTGCTGCTGCTGCTGCCCACAAAGCTGGAGCGGCGAGGCACTCGTTATGGACGCACGCACGGACAGGCAGCAAGATCCATAAGACCACCCTCTCATCCATCGACTTGCGCATCCAAACCTGGCACTCTCGACTCTTCGACTGGTAATGCTGGCTTTGGCTGCTAGACTCCGCACTCGCTCGCTTCTGTCTATCACTGCCGCTGTCTTGCCCGCACGCACTTTGGAGGCCACCGCGACTCACCATAGACACCTCCTCCCTAGATTGGTGACCACCATGGCGCGAGCCACAACAACAGCTAGCCCGGTGCGCCGTGCCTCGACACGGACGTCGTCGAGTGCGAAGAAGGAGATCGATGCGGAGCAGCCAGCAGCATCACCATCTGCACCCAACAAATCCAAACGCAAAGCGGCTGATCCGACATCGGCGGCTGATCCGAAGCAAAGCGGCACCGATGCCACGGCCGAGGCAAGTGCTGCTGCGGCTGCTGCCCCAACCAAAAAGCCGCGCAAGAAGGCGGTCGCGGATTCGGACTCTCCGAGCGCACCCAAGTCGGAAGACACGCTGGCCGATCCGGGCCTGCCCAAGAACACCGAGATGCCCGCCACGCTTTCCTATGCCCGCCCAGCAGCTCCGGAAAGCGTGCGAATCACTGCGTGGAACATCACCAGCCTCAAGTCGAGCGAACCCAAGGGCATGATGCGCTACATCCAGGCAGAGGACGCGCACATCGTCGTGCTCTCCGAGACCAAGGTCAACGACGTACCCATGCATCCGGCCCTCTCCAAGATCTACAAACACCAGTACTGGGGCATCGGAAAGCAAAAGGGGTATGCCGGCCTCGCCATCCTCTCCAAGATCGAGCCTATCAAGGCAACCTACGGCTTGCCCGGTCTCAGCGACCAAGATACCAAGGGCCGCATCAGTGAGTCGTCCAGCCCCTTCCTCCCAGCCGATCCACACAGCTGACGCAATCCCATCTGCGGGTCGAAACATCGCAGTCACTCTAGAGTTCGAAAACACCTACCTCGTCGGAACCTATGCGGTCAATGCAGGTGACGGTCTCAAGGTAAGTCGCGGTGCACGCCAACTCCCCTCCCTACAAATGCCTTGATCGGGCCGCCACTTTTACTTGATCTCTTCCGCTTTCCTCAGGTGGAGATCTGCTGCGCGGCCCGTACATTGAAGAGCTGTCCTCATAATCTCTCGTGGCGCGCTCTCATCTTGGAGCACGCAACGCCCGAGGGCCTGATACGGCAGCCACATCTCCCAACGCCCTCCCCCTTGCCACTCCCTTCCTCGCTTGCTAGCTCAGCCCAGAACCGCACCGCTGACGTTTCCTTGCCACCTCGGATGTTCGCGCGCAATCAAGACCATGGCGACCAAGCAGGCGTGGAACACCGCCTTTGCAGCGTATCTGGCCGAGCTCGATGCCAAGAAGCCCGTCGTGTGGTGCGGCGACTTCAACGTGGTGCAGGACGAACGCGATCTGGCCGCCGCATCCAAAAAGTGGAACAAGAGCCCAGGATACACGGCCATCGAATGCGATGCTCACCGCGCTCTCCTCGACGGCTCTGCCACACCCTCCTCCCAACCCCTCGTAGACGTGTGGAGGGCAAAGCATCCCGACGCCGTGGGCCACTACAGTAAGCGCTCTTCCCTCGCACCTTGGCACCTTCGATCTTGCCCTTCTGACTTTTCATCTTGGTGCCACAGCTTTCTACGGCTGGCGAGGCTTCTGCAGGTCCAAAGGCATCGGCTGGCGTCTCGACTCTTTCATCGTGAGTGTTGCTTCCCTATGGCTGCACCTCGCCATCCCTAACACCGCTAACTTTTCTGCGCCTCGACATTTCAGCTCTCGCAACGCATCGCTGACAAGGCGCTCGAGTGCGAGATCCGCCACGAGTGCTACGGTGCCAGCGACCACGTTCCAATCGTAAGTGACATCCCGCCAAATCTTATCAAAAGTTGCACCTCACTCATCACAACTGCCGCCTCGTCTCGATTCCGATGCCGATCGACCTTGGCTCACAGTACTGCGACATTCAAGGACCGCTTTGAAGCAATTTTGTGCCGCATCAATCTCACCCATTCTCAAGCGACTCGCAGCGGCAGTGATGGTGGAAAAGCAAGCCTGTGTTGCGAACGGTAAAGTAGGGTGGGGTGCTCTACGCGCCCAGCCTGTCAGCAATGGTCTTGGCCACAAAGCTCTTGCTCTCGGGTGCGAGGTCAGCATTGAGGCTGAGCGCCTGGGCTGCGTCCTTGATCGCCTGCGTCTGTGCCGAGTTGGCGCCTGCCTTGACGCCTGCCGATTCGAGCACGGCTTGCGGCACAAAGCGCTCGTACGATCCGCCGATCTGCTGGTTCTGCAGTGCGATCCTCGCCTTCTTGAGCTCCGACGCAAGCGACTCGTCGCTCGCTCCCTTTCGCACCGACGGCGCCATCGCCGCGCGCTTGTACGTGAGGCTGCCCACCGCCACACCCACGGGATCGTGCAAGGGTCCGAGGACGTTGCGTCCACCCGGTCGGATGTGCAGCTTGAGCGCATTGACCGCAGTCTTGATGCCCGGCAGGTTGAGCTTGGCCTGCAGCGTCGAAGCAGGCGCAGCAGCTGCCTTGCCCTTGCCCTTGCCTCCCGCTGCCGGCGTCGCAGCCGCAGCCGCGCTAAGATTCGGCGTAAAGATCGACGAGGCTCGTGGCGCCGATGGCAGGAATCGTTCGTATCCGGGCTTGGCGTACAGCGGGCTGTTCCAGTCGGTGGTCGTCTTGGGCGCAGCCATGCGTTGGCTCTGCTGATCCCGACCTTTGAGAACCACACCGCGAGGCGCACGCTCCGCACGCGCAGGTGACGAGCCGTCAAACACCGAAGGAAGTCGCTTGTTGCGTCGGTCGCCGCCTGCGTTTCTGTTGCTCGCCTGACCGTTGGCTCGGGGCGCATTCCGGCTCCTCTCGCCGTTTCGCAGTCGCTCCGCAGCGGTGCCGCCAGTGCGCGCCGGTCGAGAATCCGGCTGGCTCGATCGTGGCTGGCTCGATCGTGGACGAGGAGTCGAAGTGGCAGGCGCACCCTCTGCGTGCACCCGCGCGCTCGACGTGAAGCTGCGTACGACACCGCACATGGGCATGACGCCCCGTGTGAGAGAGGTGTGCATCATTGTGATGGATGGTGTGGTGTGCGGGAGCAACCTCGAAGCGCTTTCGAGACGGTGTCTCAAGAGAGCGCTGCTGCCGCAACCTCCCGCTCACCCGCTTGGCGAGAAGAAGCTGAAGCTGGGCGGCTCACTCGGAGCGATTTTTTCGACTTGGACGAGGCACGTGATCTACTCTTTCCGCAATGTTACGGCGGCACAATACACAGTTTGAGGCGGGAATGGATAATATTGTCAGATCGTATTGACAGCTTGCAGGGAGCTGTTCGACGTCGACCATAGTTGCCCAAAGCTCGCAGTCTGTAGCCCTCAGCTTCTCCCCACCTCCATCGTCAAGGCACACGCTACTGACCACCGCCACCAGACGTGGCCTCGTCCATCAGACTAGTCATCATTATCTCTCTCATTGCCACGTGTTTTCTATGATCCACAAGCATGCTGGGCTGGGTGCGCCGTCTCGGCCCACGTCGGACACTAGGTCTACGCATAGATGCCTGCATAGTACGTGCCATAGTCGATCTCCTGCGCCAGGCCGCGGTACTTCAAGTTGCTAAAGTAGGCATGGTCCGAGGTGATTGCGCCGCCGTTGGTGGTGGCATAGATGCCGACCTGGCCACCCGCGCCTGACCCCGCCTGCGGTCCCCACGTGCTCGAGATCAGCGCAGACGACATGAACTTCTTGTACGTCGCTCCGGTCTGCATCCCTTCCTTGACCGTAGCTGCAAGCAGGTAGTGCGTCGCATTCACAGCGTTGACCGTCAGCTCCATCTTGATCTTGTCGCCCGTCGTCTTGATGCTGATCTTCTCCTCCACCGAGGTGGCATTGGTGGTGCGGAAGACAAGGTCGTATGTACTATCGCCTTGGTCGCTGCGGATTGCTGCCACATCGAGGTGCTGCCATTGTTGCAGGAACAGCGTCGCTCCAGCCTCCACTCCGGCCTGCTGCGTCTCTAGACAGAGCTCCACCGAGAATTGGAACAGCGTGTGCTCTTGCCGACGGCCCAGGAAGCTCAGACCCGCCACTCCAGTCAGCGCAGAATCGGTGCTAGCCTGATCTCCTGTCAAGTTGCTCCGAGACGGCGACACCTGCAGCGCGTTCGGATGTCCAGCTGCCGACACAGCAAAGGCATTCTTGGGAGGGTAGCGGAAGTACATCAGGTCCATGGGCAGCTTCGAGCCGGGCGCAAAGGTGAGCGACTGCGAAGCGCCGACGAAGGCGTTGTTTTGCTGCTTCTTGGGCATCTCGACGTCCGGCAGAGGCCAACCTTCCATAGTACCGCTGACCGGACTCGCGTAAGGGAACTCGTTCTCTGCCCACGTCACGGGGAAAAGGTGCGCTTCCCTTCCCATAGGAAAGTGGCTGTATTCAGGACCGCTACGTGTGCCGAGCGCCATTCCCCACCAGTTGCCATTGTCGTCCTGAAACAGGTCGGCGTGACCCACAGTCTGGAAGAGCGAGCTCGTGTTGACAGCCGTAATGAGCGGATTGGCTGGATCCGACTCGTAAGGCCCGCGAAGATCCTTGGAGCGCGCCACAGTCGCCATATGTCCGAGCTGCGTGCCTCCTTCGGCCACGAGGAGGTAGTAGTAGCCGTCCTTCCTGTACATGTGAGGTCCTTCGGCGAAAACGCCACCAGTGCCGTTCCAGATGCTCACCTTGTCCCCAAGCTCTCCAGAAGACAGGTCGATGGGCTGCAGCGAGACACCAGACCACGTCAGGTAGGTGGAACCGTCATCGTCCCAGAAAAGGTCGGGGTCAATGGTGCGATAGGGAGCGTCAAATGTCAACGGTCTGGACCAAGCCGCATCGCTGTACGGATTGCTCGTGGAAAACACGGTGCCGAGTAGTCCAGACGTGGTGTTGACTCCAGCATACACCGAGGTCATGTAGAATTGTCCGTCGCGGTACCGCAGATTGGGAGCAAAGAAGCCGTCTTGCTGACCTTGCGACTCAAAGTTGATGCCGGGCAGCTGTTCCTCGCGGTTCCAAGTGTTGCTGATGTGCTCCCAGTGCACCAAGTCGCGGCTGGCGTAGATGGGCATGCCCGGGAACGACTCGAACGTGGACGTGCAGCAGTAGGTGACGCCTTTGACATGGACGCAGCTAGGGTCCGAATGCCATCCGGGAAGCACCGGGTTGTGGTAGGTCGAATTGGCACCTTTCACGGTCCTGCCTCGAACGACGAGATCCTGAAGAGTTGCGGGAAGAGCGCTGACCCCTGCGATCCGCGCCAAAAGAGAAGAGACTAGGATAGTGGAAGCCAACATTGCTGCCACTATGAGCCTACAGATTGGTCGAGATGGGAGGACCTGTGGAACGGGCTTGGATGACCAAAGCGCCGTGTCTTTATAGGACATCATGTCTGAACCTCGCCGGTCCCCGCCTAACTTGCAGACTTTACCCCACTCAACACCGGCTCGCACCGACGCCACATCATGCGCAGATCCTAGATGACGGGCTCAGTGCTTCCAATTGCGGGGCACGCTTCTCCAACTCGGCCTTGACCCGAGCGGAGCGCCATTGCAAGTTCGCATATGGGATCGGCTCTCTACCAGCGGCGCAGTGCTGTCGCAAACGCAGCCTGGGTCAAGACTAGCGGGCACACACAGGGTATCTCCTTCTCCACCGCTTCACCATCGGCTCGGCTCGGCTCCACTGCATTTCGTCCCCACCAGGGCCGATTGGGTGCACCCCTTTTCCATTTCCTCCCAGAGTATTAATAACATTTTGTAGGTGCAAGCAATGCTGTTCTGTAGCGAAGGCCTGCCTCGGATGCACAAAAGCCTTACCCCACACTTGTGGAGCATCTTACGAGTCCGTCGCAGATCGGAAGTGTGTCTGTCTCGAGAAGTGGAAGAAGACCCTCACGCCTTTTGCGCCGCGACACCGGTCAAGCAGAATTTCAGACAGGCGGCTCCCCCAGATGCCGGCCGGACTTCTGTCTTGGCAGCAGCGGAAGACACGGCCGTCGTTGCTTGACTCGTTGGCCTCGCTTCGACACGCACTCCAGCCGGTCCATGCCCCGGCTACGTAAAAGTCACAGATCAAGATGGTCGAGAAGTCTCTGATTCATTGATAGTGATCTTAAGGGTGATTGCGCCTGAGAAGCATCCGGACACTGCAGAAGGCTCTGCTCGTCCACTGTCGATCACGCCGTGACGATGACCACACGCTTTTCTTCTCCGTTCGTCAAGATGACGTTGGCTTCGCCAGCTCCGTCGACGCCACCACATCCCTGGAAGGAGCCCTTGAACAAGGTCGACTTGAACGTCGAGATAACGTAGCCCGCCTGTCCTTGAGGCACAGTGTATGTTTCGGTAATCGTCGTAGACACTGACTCACTGTACTCTGTGCCGAACGTGGCACCGATGTCGATGCCCTTGACAGAGCCTCCTGCGTTTAGAGACAGAGAGGTTGACACAGTTTCGGTATGCTGCACGGCAAGGCTGATGGTGCAGGGTGCCGAGCCTCCACGGCAGTCGACGATGCTCGAGATCTGTTTTGGCGCCGAGTGGGATGCGACAGCGCTCTCGACGTACATGCCGTTGCAGGTGGCGTCGCGTTTGACCAAGTCTCTCTTGGCTGGTACCGAGTCTTGTCCGTTCGGGAAGCATGCAATTCCTTCGTCACCCGACATGGAGCCCAGCTGCAGGCATTGCGAAGAAGCCGAAGCCGCTGCCACCAAACCAGCCGAGCCCATCAAGGGGCACGAACTGTCGGCTTCCACAAGAAGCTGATTGCCTGCGCCGAAGCCGTCGCCGATGCTGTGCGTTTTCAAGTACACTGTGCCGGCGGGCACGGGGTCCAACATGGACCAAGGCAGACACGCTCCGCAGTTGTGTCCGATGTTAGGATTCATGCTGAAGTAGGCTCCTGAGATTGCATTCTGACAGTTGGGGTCAGAGTAGACATCGAAAGAGCAGACCCTCTCTTGAGGCTGGTTTACGGGTCCGCAATCGCTGGGGTTGGTCAGCAAGATGCGTCCGTCGACGTCTTGGTACGATGACTTCTTGAGAACCTTGTCGGGCACCAGCGCAACCTCTTTGGCGGAGGCTGCACCGAAGCAGAAGAGGAGGAGTGCCACCAACAGGAACCAGGACGATGGCATCGTCACTCTGCGGGAGGCTGCGGAAGTGGCGCCACCCGATGTGGCGCACGTAGCGGCCGAGTTCGACCCTAGCACCTGGGTCAAGTTGCCCAAAAACTCCTTTTGTTCCTGCGCCGTCTGCATCCTGCACGAATAGCAAGGCGAGGAGGCGTTCACTAGACTACCAGGGCAGATACTGCTCGACAAGTTGACGTAGGCCAAAGAGCAGCCAAAGGGTGCTTCAGGAGAGCACGGTGCAATGTCTGAACTGTTCACCAAGGTGGCCATGAGGAAAAGGGATGAGGCGGTGCCAAAAGAGCTTCCTCGATCGAAGTCCTCAGGCTGCTGATTTGTTCAGAGATGTTGCCGTACTGGATGGGCGATGCGGTATTGCCATAAGTGTCTTTTATATATGCGAGAATGCTTGCTCCCTCGAGCATGTCAAATTGTGCCAAGAAGTCACTAAGACCGATGTCCTGTGACATATGACGTTGTGCGGTGCACTAGTGCCATCGTCTCAACACCGCTTATATGCGCAGCTGAGCCCAAGGGTGAAGAGACCATCGCTAAGCTAGTGTGTGGGGAAAAATAATGCGACTAGTAGATTTTCTGCTTTCATGCGTCGAGGTACGCCGAGCCTTGTGCATGCCGGCGTCTTTTTCGACCCTACGATTCGGTGCGAAGACGTTGCACATGCCTCTTCATTCGCAAAGCCAGCCCGTCAAGTCTGCGTCGAAAACCGACCCAAGGGAGGTGCCTCCTCGCAGTCAAGCGAGCATCCCTCTAGCATGGACTCGCTTGTTGGCGGTGGCGGCCGTCTTGTAGAAGAGACCATCGCCATAGCCGAGGTTCCGCAATACAATGTCCCCATCCAAGCCGCTCGGCCCATCACTTTCCGTGCTCTTCATTCATGCGATCGTACACATCGGTCGATTGATACGTCTGACTGACCCATCTTGAGGCGTCACCAAAGTCTCCCGTGAGCACAAACGATCTCGTCGTATCTCATGCGCACGAATCGCGTCGTCTGAAAACAGCACAGGATCCCGGAGCACAATCAGCCGGCTCGGCCCAGCGTTGCATCAAAGTCTCGCGCAAATGACCAGCAAGAAGCATGGCGCGACCAAAGGATATCGTGGGGAGCAACTGTTTGAGCGGAAGCAAGTGACTGATAATGCGCACCAACTATTTACATGACGCGCGAGAGGCGCGACTGCTTGACAGCCGAAAAGATCTCCTGCTCGGCGCCTTCCTCGAGCGGCATCAGCGGCGAACGAACGGTGGCGTGGTCGAGGATGCCGCGAGCTACGAGCGCATGCTTGAGCGCCACCGTGCCCTCCATGTGCGAGCCACGGTGGTAGACGGCCTTGGTGACCGGAAGCAGCTGGTCGTGGACGCGGCGAGCGGCACCGTAGTCCTTTGCCTTTCCAGCCTCGAGCAGCTCGAGCAGCGCCTCGGGTGCGATGTTGCCGTAGCCAACCAGGAAGCCGTCAACGTCAAAGGCGGTGTGCAACAGGTACTCGTCGTGGCAAGACAGGATCTGCAGCTCGGGCCTCTCGCGACGGATCACGGGGATCTCGGTGTCCCATCGTCGCATGTTTCGCACGCCGTTCTTCATGGCCACCACACCGGGCTGCGCTGCAATGTCGAGCATCGTCTGGAGGCTGTACGTCGCCTTGGTGTTGTCGGGATACTGGAAGAGGATCAGAGGAAGACCCGACTTTTCGTATACCTGCTTGTAGCGGTCCTGAGGCGCACCGGGCTGGTAGCCGAATCGCAGCCAGCCGTGCGAAGGGTAGAGCAGGCCGGCCTTGGCACCAGCCTGGACGGCGCGGCATGCCTCAAGCGCGGCAACTTCGGTGCCCTCGCCCGTGATGCCGGCAATGATGGGGATACGGTCGTCGACCGACTTGACGAAAGCCTGGATCACCTTGACCTGCTCGTCCTGCGTCAGGAAGGTGCCTTCACCGGCGTGGCCGAGCACAACCAGACCCTTGACGCCAGGCAGGCTTCCGAGCCACGATCCAAGCCTCTGGATGGCATCGTAGTCTACTGAGCCATCCTTGTTGAAGGGGGTTACGGGAGCGGGGGTGATGCCGCGGAAGTCGAGATCGATGTTGTTGACAGTCATGATCGTAGTTGGGTGCTTGACAGAGTGCAGCTGGCTTGGCTTAAAGGGGAAGATGAGTCCGAAGAGATTGGATCTGGAGAAGCTTGGAGTGATGGTTTGATCTTGACGGACTCTTCCAACCGTTCTCGTCTGTTCTTATAAGCATTCTATCCAGCCTCAATGGGGCTTGTCGGTCCGTCAAGCTTGCCCACGCTGATACGCCGAAGCCAGCAACCTGATCGTTCACGTCGTGATCCGAGCTGCGCCAGCTCGGGCTCCTGGTGTATAGCGCGGGCAGTTCCATTTCCAAAGAGTACGGTGGAGCCCCGCAACCGGGTTCGCCGCAGGGTCCAGGAGCGAGAGACGGACACGGATGCAAGCATCCGTCCTCCCAGACGACCCCAGCTTCCCGCCCATGTCGTCTCTGCTTTCGAACCGACAGACTGCATGTGAGATCGGCATAAAGATGTCACAGCGTGGAAAAGAGAAGCCAAGCAAGTATGAAGCCAGCCTGGTAGATCGGTAGAGAGTGTGCGCCTCCAGGCTGGAGGAAAGTTGCCCTCGAAGAGCGGAAGCATGCAAGCGGCGGAAGTCACGGATGCAGACACTGAAGCGCGGAAGCATGCATCCGTCTCCCCTTCCGTTGGCTCCCACACGCCCACATGCCCTCGCCTGACATGCTCACGTGGCATGTCGGACTAGCAGGGTCCGGCAAGTATGCCCAAGCGCTCTTGCGTTTTGTCCAGGCACCGCTCATTGGCCCCAACTCCTGCAGGGTTGCGTCGGATAGCCGCCCGGAAGCATGCTTCCTCTCCCGACATCGCCTTTACCCCGCCAGCTTCACTTGTCCCGTGGCCAAGCAATCTGATTGCATGCCAGATCCCGCCTGTTCTGCCCATGTTGATCCCTGTTGCTCGAGAGCAAGTGCCTCAACATCTGCCCTCCACCATCATTGCAGCGTCGGCCGGCACCATTGCAGGACAGCGGTAGCGCCACGCACTTTTCTGAAGCTGGCGACGGACCCGCCTCGAACCCTCATACGACCATGCTTCCCCACAAAGGGTCCCTCATCTTCGCCAGCGGACCGGCAAACAATTTCACAGTGCTACATTGCTGATGCCCAAGCATCGTTCCCCACTGACTCCACAAGCTCACTGGCCCCAAGCAGGCATCCGCTTGATCTTCAGCTAGACCATCGATACGGAAGCATGCTTGCCCAGCACGGGGCCCCGCAGATCCGTCACTGAAACACTGCTGCCTGTTCACGTCTTGTTTGCAAGAATGCACCCGGCCCACAGCCATCGCGCCCCAGGATTCAGGAACGGCAGCACCTTTCTCCAACTCGGAACACCTCCCTCACGTCGTCTCTCCTCCTGCCGTCTTGCCTCGTGGCGGTCCAACTGCCCATTTCCACCAACACTAGCGAACCTCGCACGTCTATCGCATATAAGGACAGGGCAACGATGATCCCTGCTCGACTTGCTTCCCTTCTCGGACAAGCCACTCGATCCGATCAAACGAGGACGGCATCTTTTCCAAGCTACCATCAACCTCATCCTGCCTCAACAAGAGATCACGAGCAACTCGAGACCATGACGCAAAACTCATCCAAGAGCTCTCTCAGGGACATTGCAGCTGGTGAAGAGGTCAAGAAAGACTCTGCGGAGCCCGTGCACGTCTTTCCGATCTTGGAGAGAGGCATGATTCGCGACATTGATGAGAAGGAAGCTCAGCAAGCCCCGGTCGACCACTTTGGAACAGCGACACAGCAATCCGAGGAAGAGCGCAAGCTTGTACGGAAGCTCGACTGGCGGATCATGACCTCGCTTTGGGCATGTTACGCGCTCAACTATCTGGACAGAAACGCCATCGCCCAAGCCCGACTGAACGGGCTCGAGAAGGATCTCAAGTTGAAGGGCAACCAGTACAACATGTGCATCTCGATCCTCTTTGTCGGATACACGCTGATGCAGATGCCGTCGAACATGGTCATGGCGTCCAAAAAGGTTCGGCCGTCCGTGTGGATGTGCTGCTGGATGATGGCCTGGGCCGTGTGCTCGGGATGCACCGCGCTCAGCCACAACTTTGCCGGCCTGTTCACGACTCGATTGCTGTTGGGTGTGCTCGAGGCACCCTTCTACCCGGGAGCTTTGTACCTGCTTTCGCTCTTCTACACGCGCCGCGAGATCGCGACGCGCGTCGCCATCCTCTACTCTGCCAACATTGTCGCCACTGCTTCGTCCGGCTTGATCGCCGCAGCGACGTTTGCAACTCTGGACAAGGTGCACGGCATCCAGGGATGGAAGTGGCTCTTCATCATCGAGGCGGTCGTGACGTTCGGCGTGGCTGTGATTTGCCTGTACACCATGCCGGACCACCCGCTGTCGACACGATGGCTCACTCCTGCCGAGCGCGAGCTGGCACAAGCACGCATCGACCGCGACACGGTGGGCATGGAGCCCAGCAAAGGCGTCGTGGCGGGTCTCAGCCAGGCTTGCAAGGATGGCCGTCTGTGGGTGTTTGTGGTGCTGCAGAATCTGCACCTGAGCGCCTGCGGCTTCAACAGCTTCTTCCCTTCGGTGGTGGGCGGACTGGGCTTCAACCGTACTCTGACGCTGGTGCTCACCTGCCCGCCCTACCTGTTGTCGGGCCTTTTCATGATTGTCTGGGCCGTGTCCTCGGGTCGCAAGAACGAGAAGACGTGGCACATCACCATCTCGATGCTCATCGCCCTGGTGGGTTTCATCATCTCGTGCGTCACGCTCAATACGCCTGCGCGCTACATCAGCTGCTTCATCTTTACGATCGGCGCCTATGCCGCCAATTCGGTCATCCTGGGCTGGGTCAGCGCCACGTGTGGGCAGACACAAGAGAAGAAGGCAGCCGCGCTCTCTATCGTCAATACGTTTGGCAACGCCAGCTTTGCCTACACGCCCTTCCTGTACCCCAAGGGCGATGGGCCCAAGTATCTGACGGCCAACATTGCCAATTCGTGCTTTGTGGTCGGTTCCATCATTTGCACGTGGATTCTGCGCTTCTGGCTCAAGCGCGACAACGAGAAGATCAAGAGGTCCAACGCCGATGCTAGGCTCCTCTACGCCTACTGAGGCTGGGCCCCTCGATGCCACTTCATACTCGAGGACGTGGAAATCTTCAAGAGAGACTTGTCTCATCTTCGGTGTCCCGCCCCTGTCATGCTGTACGCGTCGCTTTAAATCGCTGCTCCGCTCCTTTGTATCATATGAACTCGTGTTAGGATGCCGAATGCCAAGCTTATTATTGTACCTGTGGCTTGTAATCCCACCGCAAGATGTCAACCGTTCTCGCGATTCAGCGCATCGCCACTTCCTTGCCGCCTGCCTGAAGCTCAGAATGAGAACGACTACAGCCACGCCAAATCCGACGGCAGCGAGGAGGAAAGATCCGAGTTCGTGTGGTCGGGACGTCTGAGCAAGCCACGGTTGGCCCGCTCGAGTTGCCGTGCTCTCGACCGCGGATGGTGTTGACTCGATTTTGCCAAAAAAGTATATATAAATCAGTAAATTCCGGCTAAAAATCCCGCCGCTTAATAATTTAGCTTTTGTCTTCCCCGCACTTTCCGCACGATCCTCATCATCCCTCGCTTCCATCGTGGTGGTGTGCACTCGCACGCCATGACCCCAAGCGCTCGTCGACCATGACTTCACAAGCGGCGCTCAGCGCAGCCAGCAGCGGGTCTTCTTCCAGCAACAAGCGGCTTCTCAGCAGACGTGTTCCCGATGGCAAGCGACAGCGCACGCTGGTCAGCTGTGACCGGTGCAAACAGCGCAGGAGGAAATGCTCGCGATCCGAGCCAGACGCACCCTGCCTCAACTGCTCTCAGCAAGGCCTCGAATGTACCTCCGCTCTGCCCCGAAAGCATCGCATCCACGGCAGCATCGAGAGCCTCTCTTGGCGATACCGTGCGCTCGAGGCGCTCGTGCGCGGCCTCACCGGCCAAGACATTCAGGAGGCAGAATCCCTCGTTGAGATCGCCCGCAGCCACCACATCGACCTGCCGAGCCTCGAATACAGCGAACACGAGCCACGTGCGTTTGCGCACAATCCCCTCGCTTCGATCCCGACTCACACCAGTACAGACCCTCCATCAATCACATGCTCTTCCGGCACCGACGATCGACTCGGCAGCAGCGCTTCTGCCATGTGTTCTTCGTGTGCGGCCACAGTCGTGCCCCTCAACATTCCCGACGGCAAGCTCATACCAGCTCCTCATGGCATCTCGCACTACGTTGGTTCGGCCAGCTCGTTTGAATTTGCCAATGCTGTTCGCCGCCTCGTGGCCAAGGTCGATCGTCTCAATACGTCCAGTGCCGCCACCCGTGCAAGCACCTCCTCCGGCCTGCCTGCTTTCAATACTCCCTCTGTCGTCGATACCCGATCCGTGCCGCTTGTATCGTCGGTCTGCAATCAAACGCCTCTGTCCGGCTCGGCTCCCACCACCACCCAAAAGCTGCGAACCGAGTTTGCCACAAGTATGCGAACCAGCAAGGCACTCGAGCCCCGGGACCGCACGCACCCTGCGGCGGCTGCGGCTGCGGTCGACGACAGCGCATCGTCAGAGTCTGATGATCAAGTCGAGCATGTAGCATCGGATAGAGACCCGCAAAGCAGCTCGATAGGCATCGGACCTACACCATCTCCTGCTACCGCGGGCAACGACCCTTCGTCCGGTTCGATGTCCTACAACGTCGCTGCACCGCCCATCCCAGCTACCACCAGCACGAATCCTACCGAGTCTATTCATGCCAACAATCAGATCTCCGACCTTGCCACGCCAGACAGTACGAAATCGATACGCACACGGCGGCTGCGGGACCTGCTTCCTGCGAAAGCCGTATCAGACCGACTGGTGGACGCCTTCTTTGACCGTGTCCATCCCAACTATGTGGTCTTTCATCGCGGTCTCTTTCATCGCCGGTACCGATCCATCTGGCGTCCAAACGACCGGGAAAATGATCCCTCGTCGCGATCTGCGGCCAAGGACGGCGACGCTGGGTGGATCTGCTCCCTCCTCATGGTCCTCGTCTTCGGTGCCCAGGCGTTGGAAGGCCAGGGTCTGCCCGACGCCTTGCAGATACAAAGGCGCTACCTTCGTCTGGTGGTTCGAGAGCGTTTTCAGCGCCTCACCTTCACCGCCAGCCTCTCCAACGTCCAGGCCCTCTTGCTTCTCCAGCTCTACGAGCACAATGCGGGCGAGCGCAACGCAGCATGGATGCTTTTAGGACAGGCCGCACGCATGGCCATCGCGCTCGGAATGCATCGCGAGACCCACGATCCTGGCCTGGACACCGTCGAGCAGAACCTCCGGCGCTTGGTCTGGTGGACGCTGCAGCAATTCGAAATGAACCTCTCCATGGCGCTCGGAAGACCATCCACTCTGGAACTCGTCGAAGTCACCGCGCGTGTTCCCGAGGAAGCCATCATGGATCGCAACGACTTTCCTACCGACTACCCGGAACACTATCGCAGGCTCATCGGCATTTCCTGGCGTGCCAAACAGCTCCTTGCCCGCACTTCGGCCCGGTACAGCAACGAGCAGGAGCTCCTCCAATGTCTCGCGGTCACACAAGAGGTGCTCGGTCAGCTCGACTCGTGGCATGCGCAGCTTCCACCCCAACTATCTCCGAACTGGCCGTTTGCCATGCCACGCCAGTGCAGGGCGGTGCTACTGCTGCTCATCAACTTCCACCACATTTGCGCAGCATTGGCACGTCCCTTCCTTCTGTGCAAGATCGAACGCGAGATCGAACAGGCGCAAGATCAGCGACCACCAGTCTCCGCCCCCGTAGCCGAACTCGCCGCAGCCGGCCTTCGCTCGGCCCGCTGCGTGCTGGAGATGTGCGAGCAGCTCCATCAGCAAGACATGCTGGAAGGAGTCGTGTGGCTCGACTGCTACTACCTTCACCACGCCATGCTCATGTGCAGCTTGCCCTACCTCTCACCTTCGAATCAAGCCGATCGATCCACGCTCGACGTCGAGCACCAAGCCCTTCTTGCTCGCACCTCGGCCATCGTCAAAACTGTTCGTCTGGCGCCAACCTACCTGGTGCTGACAAAGATTGCAACGCAGCTTGTCCGCATCGTCGGCATTGACGATAGCATGCAGAACTTCTGTCCGGCCGAGGTCGACGATGCTTCCGCTCGAGACGAGCGCCAAGCCGCCGCTGTCGATCCCTCTCCGTCCGTCGCGCGCCACGCAAGGATTGAGCTTGGGCATTATCCGTCCATCAACAATCTCGACCTTTTGCTTGCTGCAGCCCAACTGCCCGTGCAGCCCAACGACACATCCACAACCGCGTGGAACGGTCCCGATCCGCAGGGTCCGAGCCGCCTCCCTGCAATCACATCAAACCAAAGCGGCTACTCGAACGACGCACGGACAAGACCGATCGAATTCGCGTCGGCGCAGACTCACGAAAGTGCATCGCCCAGCCTGCACAACCTTTTGGCCTTCCAGACTTCGCCCGATGCGGAGCTGTACAGCGAATTCTACCAGCTGGGCTTCGAGACCGGCAGCACTTTCTTCACCTGGGACTTTTTCAACATCGGCGGCCAGGGACCAGCTGCCAGTTCCGAGCAGCACGACGCTTCGGCAGCACGTCCTGCTTCCGGCCTATTGCAGAGCATCGCGCCCTGTGCGAGTTCAGAGTCCGCGCCCAAAGACTGAGACTATGAGTTGCGCAACCCACAGTGTCACGCTGATTTAACGATGGGAATGACGCAATATCGATGTGTCGAGCTGTACAGTACTAGCACGCCCAAGAGATGACCAGGTCTACACATCTAGGATAGTGTTGAAACGACTAAAATTGGAAGGGGAAAGGCAAGCAAGACCGATCCTAGACATTGAACCCTTCGGGCTTGGGGTACAAGAATGGCAGGTCCTTTCCATCCTGGTAGAAGTGGCCATTCTCAAATTCGTTGAAGACGGGCCAGCAAACACTCTCGCCTCCCTGCGAAGCCGGGCGATGACCCGAGAAGCCATTAAGATCGGTGGCACAGTAACCCGGGCAGACAACTGCAAGTCGCGGGTGCTGGCTCTGCAGAACGTAGTTTCGCAGATAGGCGTTTAGGAAGAGCTTGCTGACCGCATAGCCCGAGTTTTCCAGCTGGTCGAGTGGCTTCCATGGCTCCTGCACTCCCTGACCACCTTGCTCGTGGAGAAGCCAGTCGTTCATCCACGCCTCGACCTGCTTCCAGTCGGTCTTGCTGCCATTCAGCAGCTTGTCTTGAAGTGCCTTCTCCTGCGCAGCCGTGGACCACGAGCCCACCTCGGACGAGACGACGATGACCTTGCCCGTGTCTTTGGTGAGGATCTGAGCGAATGCTTCGATGCAGGCCTTGGCTCCTCGGACGTTGACGTCAAACACACCCTTGGAACCCTTCTCCCCGGGCACCTGCAGGATGCCGCTGTTGTGCAGCAGCACGTCGAGCGTTCCGGATTGCTTCTGCACGGTTGCAACCGCCTCGCGGATAGATGAGGTGTCGGTAATCTCGAGGAGGATGATGCGAACGTTGGAGAAGTCGGCCTCGGGCGCCTCCTTCTTCATCTTGTCCACCGCATCTTTGCCATTGGACTGCGAGCGAGCCGTGAGGTAGATTGTGGCGTCGGGCAGCTTCTGTGCGAGGTGCTTGACCGCTTCGTAGCCGATGCCCTTGTTGGCGCCAGTAACGACGATGGATTGGGGTGTTGGGGTGGGCATGGTCGTCGGATTTGTACACAGTGGATACGGTGGAGCAGGTTCGATCGACCGAGCCCGAGGACAAGAGCGCTTATATGCGAAACATGTGGAGCAGCGGGCGAAGCCAAAGCCAAGACACGCGATTGGATCGCCGAGCAAAAGCCGCTGTTGGTCCCTGCATCGCACACCCGCGGCTAGCGGCTAAAGTCCGAACACCGACCGCTGGAAGTCGCGATGACATCCGACCACCGCCGCGGATTTGCGGATCGACTTACCGCCGATTGCTCGTAAGCTCCCATCGACGACGACTCATCACGCAGCACACGCTGCCTGCACAAGCCACAACTCCGGCCCGGAGAGGCGATTCCGTTCCACGCACAGAAGCGCGAAACGATCTCGCTGTACACGCTCACGAGCGTCTGCAGCGACTCGACCTCGACCGATTCTTGCTCGGTGTGGATGCCACTGCCTTTTGGACCAAACACGATGCTTTCGATCGCCTTTCCGTGACTAAACAGCGCTGCATCGGTCCAAAAATTGGCGCCGTTCCTTTGGCCAGTACCTCGTGTACTGAGCTGTGGCTTGGCAACCGCCGCGGCAAGCTGAACCAGGGGACCGTCTCGAGAGGCGAGCGGAGGCCTCGAGAGGAGCTTGCGGATCGAGTACCTGAAGTCGTACTGAATGCGACCCTGTGCTTCCTGTAGCAATGCCACCAATTCCTCCTGGATCATGTCATCGCTTTCTCCACGCAGAGTACGCCTTTGGACGGTGAGTGTTGCGTGCGCTGGATAGGTGGATGTCTTTTCGCCCCCAGAAATCTTGCCAGCATGCGCACTGCCAAATTCCAGAAGAGGATGCCGGTCTCTCTGAAGGAGCTCGTTGCAGTACCTCTGGAAGCATGCAAGGAAGAGGCCCATCTGGGTGATGGCGTCAACGCCTTGGTCCCAGCGTGAGCCGTGGGCTGCCCTGCCCAGCACAGTGATCTCGAACCACACAAATCCTCGATGCGCTTCGCAGTTGGCCTCGTTGGTTGGCTCTGGGAAGATGGCGCCGTGGACGTTGGGGCAAATCTTGTGCACATCGAGCGATCCGCGGCTTGCATCCTCCTCGTCTGCCACAGCTGCAACCCAGACATCGCCTCGCACGCCATCGGAGCCGCCCGTATGGGCAGCCGCCACCATGGCAGCCGCCAGTCCGCCCTTCATGTCTGCACTGCCTCGACCATAGATCCTTCCGTCGCGCAGCTCGCCGCTCAGACCATCGCCCACGTAGCCAGCCAGCGAGACGATATCGATGTGGCCATTGGGGGGAAGACTCTTGGCTCCAGGACCGCCTGTGCCGCGCTTGACAGCCAAGATGCTGGGACGATCAGGGTCTGCGGCAGGCACGGCCACCACCTCGAAGCCATGCTTGATGAACCATCGCTGAACAAAATTTGCGATCGCGCCTTCGCCAGTGCCCGCTTCGGTCGACAGTGTCGGATTTGTAGACGAAATGCGCACGAGCTGCTGAGTGAGAAGCATGACCTCTTCGTCCGGAGTCATTGCCCTACCTTTGCCACGCGAAGGCCTCGTGGCGGCGTGATTGATTCGCAGAATGGCGATGGATGCAGCTTTAGCGGCGGTCAATGTGAATCCCAAGGTCTGATCATTATGTACTTCAACGGCCTTCTGTGCGGCGGCCGAGGCAACAAACGAACAGCGGCGACGGTGGATAGAGAGGCGGGACGAGTCACCATGACCGCTTTCTGAACATCCCGCTCCACAGCCTCGACAAAGTCGCCGGCCAAAATTCCGCACAAATATCCTTTTTGTCGGGGCCAGAGCAACACATGCTAGTCTCCTGTGACGGCGTTCTCTTCTCGGTGACTCGTCCCTCGAGCACCGCAACAGCCGCACCAACCCCTACTCTACCGACGACGAATCCAGTGCCCGTGCGCTTGTCCTCTTCTTTCCTCTCGAGAGCGACTTCACATCATGGTGAAGACGATTCAGGACAACGAGCATGCTGTGCAGGTCAGACCCACGAAAGTGCAGCAGCGCGTCGAGCTTGCCAACGTGCGTCGCTTCCATCAGGACGTGCTTCCGGGCTACCGCAAGACGGATCTGACCAAGATTGCACTCACATCGCAAGACTTGGGCCAAGTCCGACATCGCTTCAAAGGCACCGTCTACGTCAAAGACGAGTCGGATCGCTACGGTCTGCCAGCTTTCAAAGTGCTAGGTGCTGCCTACGCGAGCTTTGTAGCCATTTGCGAAGCCTGGCAGCTCGACCCACATACGGCGACCGTCCAAGAGCTGCGCCGTCATGCCCGGTCCATCGATCCCACGCCTCTTCTGGTCGCAGCGACCGACGGCAACCATGGCCGTGCCGTCGCCTTCTTCTCCAACCTGGTCGGACTGGGAGCGCGCATCTACATTCCCAGTGGTGTCTCTTCGATTGCCGAGAGAGCGATCAGCGCAGAGGGCCCCGACGTCGATGTGATCCGGCTGCAAGAGGACTACGATGAATGTGTCAGGCAAGCTGCTGCCTTTGCTGCCGCTGACGACCCCACGCAAGGCCAGCAACGCTTGCTCATCCAAGACACCGCTTGGCAAGGGTACACGCACATCCCTCAACTGATCGTCGACGGCTACCAGACCATCTTCCGAGAAGTCGACGAGGAGCTTGCTTCGCGCAGCCAACAAGAGGCGACGCATGTCTTTTGTCCCGTTGGCGTGGGCTCCTTGGCCGACGCCACTGTGCAACACTACACCGCTGCCAGGGATGAGGCAACATCGCTGCCGACATGTATGGCCACGTCCATCATCGCCGTCGAGCCAGCGGGCTCGGCCTGTCTTGCCGAATCGCTTGCTGAAGCGCGGCTCACCAGCATACAGACGCGAAACACCATCATGGCGGGTCTCAACTGCGGGACTCCGTCTTACACTGCCTGGCCGAATCTTCAGGCCGGCATCCAGGTGGTCGTCACCATCGAAGACGAGCATGCACTAAACGCCGTCCAGAGGCTCCACACGTCCGGGATCGCCGCGGGACCATGCGGCGGCGCACCTCTCGCTGCCCTTCAAACATTGTTCAGCAATCCGTTCGAGGCGGAGAGACTAGCTCTCCTCGATGACGAGCGTGTCGTTGTAGTACTATTAATGACCGAGGGGGCGAAATCATCATAATCTCCCTCCTTTGCAAGCTCACGTTCGCGATCAAACGCTCTGACAGGGCTTCGCAAGTACTGAGTCATTGCGTGTGTGCAGGGAGGAACGGACCAAAGCCATGTCCGTTGATGCATCTAGGCAGCTTTCTTGTTCTGCCCTTTCAACGCTTCCGATTCCTCGACCTCTCTCTGGGCAAGAAAAGAGAGCACCTCCAAGCGAGCCGAGACCTCGCTGCCGTTGTTGTTCTGCTTTGCCTCTGCGAGCGTCTTTCGGTAGCGGATGTTGGTGCCGTAGATTGCGTCCATGAGACCTGTCGGGCCAAAGTTCTCGGTGAAAGCAAAGTGGTGGAAGTCGTGCTGAAGCGGACTGTTGAGTCCTGGGATGTAGTAGCCGGAGTGGGCCTGGATGGTGCCGATCTCGAGTAGAGTATAGGCGAAGACGTACTGACTCCAGTGGTGTGGAATGATCAGGGCGCCTATGGCGTTGGGAAGAAGATTCGAAAAGAGATGCTCGGTCATCGTGCAGTAGGTGGCGGCCAACGCTACGGGGGCCGTGTATTCGTGGTGCTTCTTGTGGAAGCGAGCATACATGGCTGGTGAGTGGAACCAACGGTGGATGTAGAAGAAGCCGATCTCAGTGCAGAGCACTGGCGACCAGCGGAGATCGTTCAGCAAAGATCGAGTGCAGAGGAGATGACTTTGAGTAAGCGATTGAAAGCACTCAGGGTCGAGCCTTGGCAGATGAAGGACTCACCATCAAAAAGAAGGATAGCGACTGTCCTCAGTGGACCGGGAAGCTGTTCGGAAGACGTTGGCGTAGGAATTGCCCAGGCACCCACAAGCATGAGGGGCGTCGCAACGAAGACGAGATTACGCAACGCGCCGAGAGCGATATTGGCGTACTCTTTGCCAGTGACCCGTACAAAGGGTTGCACCTTGTACTTGTACAGCCATTTGGGCCTGCCAGTGAGGTCTGCAATGGCGTAGAGACCGGACAATATCCACAGGACCGAGGTAGTAATGATCCAAGTACCAAAGAAGCGCAGATTGAACGAGCCGAACCTTGCCGTGAGATCGTCATAGACTCTGTGACCCAGAGCCGACGAATTGAAGAGGGTGAAGGCCGCGATCAGGCCAATGTTGACGAGGTTTTTGAGAACAAACGCTCGAGGCTGGAGTAGCGTCAGATCATAGCCCCAGTGCTTGGCCCGTGGGATGGGCTTCCCAGCGAGGTCCTTGGGTAGTTTCGAGGAAAGATTGGCATGAGCAAAGTCGGAGTCGCTCGTTGCTGGTGTCGTCGTGGCTATCTTTGTCTTTGCGGTCAGGTGATCTGGCTTTGACGTGGTCGAAACGCTGTCGACGGCAGTCGTCGCCATTGCGGTGGCTGTCATGGTCATCAAAGGCCGTACGACTCGTTGGTATGAGGGCGGTGTACAAGAACGGCCAATCGTGGTCCAGCTCTCTTAAATTATATCCCGGTCCGGCAATGCAGCGGACCAGGCACGGGTTGCCACCTCGTTGGCATTTTGCAGCCCCGAAATGCGGGGCGGGCGGTAACCTTCTTACCGAGATACCTTGGCGAGTTGGAACCCTCGGTGCACAACATTTCTTCGCTTCGGCCGTAGGACGCGCATTTTTGCGTGTGAATGCCCATGGAGTCCGATGTCGACCTTCTCGCTCGAGTCTTGACCGATACACGAGAAGAGCGAACGCCGTCGAGATAATGAGGCGGAGCTCGGTTGCCTCACTCGGTCGGATTCCTTGCAAGCTCCCAGCCGTGGCAACGGTGTGCGAGCGGCGCATCGAGGGCGCGTCATGAGCTGGAACGGTCGCCAGCTGAGGCTTGAGAGCGAGCGTGTGCGAATTCTAAAGAGCCACAATCAAGCGGATGCACCCACTCGCAAGCGAACGCTTAACAGGCGCAGGCGTCCTTCTCAGTTGACGCATCAGCGCACGAGACCTCAATGGGCAGTCCCCGGCGACGGTCATGCTGTTCGTTGTCCGATGGCTCGGTCTGATGGCTCGAACGTTGTCTGTGTTTGATCCGATACAAAAATCGAAGGCATCTCGGAAGGAGCGTCGCTACCTTCGACGAAACGAAACAGCGGATCGTCACCCACGATCGTCGACCACAAGCAGCGGACCGCCAACGGTCAACTGTCAGCCGGGAACCGCCAACGTACATGCCAGGGTCAAAGCGGACGAATTTCGGGCGCAACAAATAAACGCGTGGCCCGAGAAATTGGGCATGTAGATTCAACCGCAAATTTTGACTCAAATTTGGACCTGATTTAGAATCTTGAAGGATGAAACTTTAGACTTAGATCATTAGTCTGTTAGAGTACGCCTAGCCCCTAGCCCTAGGGCGTGGTCCGCGCTCGGTGGCGACGGACTCGGTCCGCCCGCCAAAATTCACCCAGCGGCGCGACCCGATTTCGAAAATCCCGACCGCCGGACTTTTTCGAAAGACACTGCTCCAGCGCCCAGCACGGACAGTTCATCGCCCACGGACTTCACGGACTGGCCTGGCCGCGCCTCGCGTGCGCGGCCAGGCCTGGCTCCTCCTCTTGCAGGACTGTTGTCTGCTCGAGCGAGCCGATGCATCACCGCTCGCTGCTGGCTCGCAGACTCGCTCGCTCTGCTGCCTCACGGACTTTGCTGTGCCTCACAGACGGGCGACGGACCGGGCAAAGATACAAAGATACACTGCTGCGGTGCTGCTCGCTGGCTCCTTGCGGAAATTTACACTGCTCGTCTGCCTGAGAAAATTCTGCAGCACCGCTTGCTGGCCCACGGACTCGCTGTGCCTCACAGACTGGCGACGGACTGGGCAAAATTACACTGCTGCGGTGCGCGGACTGGCGACGGACTGGGCAAAATTACACTGCTGCGGTGCTGCTTGCTGGCTCGCGGACTGGCGACGGACTGGGCGAAATTACACTGCTGCGGTGCGCGGACTGGCGACGGACTGGGCAAAATTACACTACTGCGGTGCTGCTTGCTGGCTCGCGGACTGGCGACGGACTGGGC